ATTAAAAGGTAAAGTCAAGGATAGATTGCCTAGGTCAGGTGTGGGGTTTATATATCTAGGCAGAGAAAGTGATCATCCAATGAGAAAAAGAGAAAGATATAATACAATATGAGAACTCAGTCAATAGAAAAAGAGTAGTATCAGTAAGTGAGTCCAAAGTATCAGAAATTGCTAAGTAATACTGACTACCAGGATATAACTAAGAGGTCACATAATCATTATCTATAAAAGGTAAGAAAAGTATATAAAAGATAAGTAAAATGTAAAAGAAAAAGGTTATCAGTATAAAAAAAAAGAAAAAGTATAAGTCTGTATGATAAGTTGTAACAGCCCTCACTGATCTTTAGGTCTACCTAATTTTCAATCTCTGCAAATGTCACTCTCTGCTCTTTCACTGCTCTTCTAATCATCAGAGTCTTCAAGTGATCTGTAACTTTATGTGAATAATTAGAACAGGGATAATTATATATAGTGCCAGTTTTGATGTACTTGTGCCAAATATCTAATACTATCTAGCATAGAATGTCTATAAGCTATGCTACTTCAATGATGCTCATATCAGCTTGAATGACTTCAACTAGCTAATTCTTCTTAGGAGAATCATACTAAGAGCAGAAAGATTTAGTAATAAGTATAATAAGTACATATATCATAGGTGAATGTTAAATTATAGATAAAACAAGACTATGTCTATATGCAATGTGATACACTGAGCATCTAAATGCTGATTATTTATTATAGATATAAGTAAGCACTTGTGAAGATTGCTAAAGCTGAAGTTGAATTAAGTGTTCACTTTCAATATGGCACTATTAGACAATAACATTTGGTCCTTGAAACTATATATCTTTAGCAGAAAGTATATTAGTTTTAGAACTGCCTTGATATTAGATAAGTATCTCTTTATCTCTTAATCTATCAATAACTCTTATTCTTATATTTGCAGATATCTAAAATAGCCTCATTGCCTTCTATCAAACTCACCACTTTACTGCCTTCACTTATAATAGAGTTTTTATTAGCAGTTTTCATTTTTTTGGAAGTTCAAAGATCTACCAAAACTACAGTAATAGATGTCTTCTGCTTTATCAGAGTTATGGTCTTAATTATAACTATTGGTTTCTTATAGTTTACATTCTTTTTCTTATAGTGCTACTCCAAAAATATAAATAGAACTTCTGCTACTTATATAGATCATTTATTATTATTCTCACTTTATTTTCAATTAGCTTTACTACTCTCTGCTCCTTTATCACTTTCTATTTATTTATCTCCTTTTACTTATTTATCACTTTCTCATGTTCAATCTCTATTGACCTCAGTTTATTCTACATCTTCATTATCTACTATCATTCATTCTCATCATTTATCTTCTTCTTCTATCACTTCTTAATGTATATTGTCAGTTTGATTTGAACTGTAGTGAATTATTGTATACTATCATTTTTGCTGCATATCTTTTATCTTTGCTTATTTAGTTATTTAATAATATATATCTCTGTTATATCTCCTATTTATATATTTATTTAGTTTAATAATTGTTATATAAGTGTATATTTATATATCAAACACTTTTGATATATGACAATGCTCAAGCTCAATAGTGGCCTGATTAACAGATCTGGCTTCTCTATGGCATCAAAACTTCTTTAAATTGTAGCTGACATATTTAGAAAGATAAATGTAAATATTTATTAATTCAATAAGAGTTAGAGCTCATCTTCAACAGAACTTCTGAACTCATTTAGAACTTTCCAGTCTCTCATCTTTCAACATATTTATTGCAACCTCAAACTTCTTCCACTTTGTTATTAGCATTAGTTCTATTATATGTTTACCCTTTTCTTCTATATGCTTAATTTATAAAAATAGTATCCTCTCAATATCTAGTCTCATTATATTATAATTGCATTTAAATGACAATACTATGAGATTTGATCTAAGGTGAGTCTGATCAGCTACTTAATTCTTCTCTAAAATGTGGCATAATAGACTGGCTTGATAAAATCAAAGTACCTCTACTTACATTGCTACATTTGATAAAGTGCTCTATAATCTCCACTTGAGTGATTTTAACTTCTTATGGTCATTATAATAAGCTACCACAGTTAACTAATTACTTAAAGTGAGATTCTCTTATTCATACTTAGATGTCATCTTCACTGATATCTTTGGCAAGATGTTCAAGAGAGTTGTGGCATATATAACTTGTGACCAAATTAAGGTTTGCACTTCTTGTCAATGATGGATGGCATACTGAGAGCAGAGAGAGAAAGAAGTTAAATCTTTGATATAATGTTTCTCAAATTTTTATTCTTCATAGCATATCTCAGAACTCTTAGCATATTTTTTTGATATCTGAGCTTAGCTAAAACTATAAGAAGTGATCAGAATATTGTAAATCAGACAAATATATAATATTTCATTATGTATATTTCTAATATAGCTTATGCATTATGCAAAATAAGTATTTATATATATTTCTATAGTAATAAATATAGTTACTGCTCTTCAGTATATATTATGAGTAGCTATGCATAATAAGTATATGTATTATTAGAATATCAACTATATTGCTTTATTATAGAGAGCATGATATATAGCAGAAATATTGTTAAAACTATAGTAGTGAAAGAGAATACTAATTGAATACAACTTCACTCAGTCATTTTTATATTATTTATATTAGATAGCATCTATTAATATCAGTATATCAGAACTTGGCACATATTTAGAATCTACAAGTGAGAATAATAGCTCTCACTATTACTTAAGTAATTGCAGTATAGGTATATTATAGTAACAGCAAGTATATAGAAATTTAGAATATAGAGTTATAGTACATATTAATTACTGGTTGAGATTTTAGAAGAAGAAAAAGGCAGACTAAAATAAGATTATACTATATTTATATTGAGCTAATAGACAGTGTCATTCAAAGTTTAGTTGACACAGCAAGCTAGGCTCTAGATTGCTACGTTAGGAAAACTGGCAAGTTCTAAGCTTCTGAGCATTTCAGTGTTCACATCATAATTTTGGCCAGTGCATTATTATTATGCAGCACACTCAAATAGTTAGCAGATGGGCTGTAAATACTTATTCTATATAGATGATAGTGTATATTAAATATGTTGATCCTGTTGTGATATGCTAGCTATGAAACACCTAGACAAGTAAGCATTTCAGAGTTCCAAAGTGTCAGAAACTTAATTTCTGATAGCTGAGGCTCTGAGAAGTCTGAGAGTGCTTCTGAGCCTTCTGAGACACCTCTCAGAAGATTTTTCTAATTTTCTGATGCTATAGCTTATAGTCAAAACTTTATTAAGATTACTAGTCAGTCAGTAACTAGGTATTATTTTGATAAGGTTATCTCAGTGATCTATTTTAATCAGACTAGACTAGACTAATTCTACAGATAATAGGTCTTTCTTTATTAATCCAAATACTAGACTTTTGACATAGAAGGGTATGCTTATTTTTCTTTATATGCTTGAGTTCTGCAAGTATACAAGTCTTCTTCATAGGCATATTTACACTTGAGAAATAATTGTCATATATAAAGTTGATAAAATAAAGAATAATAAATATGATTCTTCCTTTTTTGATATACACTGTCATTCTCAGGAAGGCTTTTTGCTTTATTGTAGCAATAGTACTTTATCAACAACTCTCAGTTAAGTCAGTTGATAATTGTAGTAGTGACACTTATAGCTTATAGTCTTATAATAGAATTTGTAATCTTCAGTAGCTTTTAGTTGTAATAATACTGAATCTTACTCAGAACTGATTCAGTTGAGCAGTGCAATTTAGTCTACAATTTTAATACTAAGCTTGCTCAGAATCACTACTCTATTTGAGTGATGCAAGTTAGACTTTGGATGCCCTGGCTAAATCAAACAGAAGACTTATCTTGCTTTTAGAAGAAATTTGATTAATTTCTATATATAAAAACTAGATTTTTATATATATTTTTGGTAGCTGAGATCTAAATATCTCTAGCCAATCAGAGTTATCAAAGCTATAACTAGTTTTTTCTTGATTCTAAGTCATAATAACTTACTCTGACTAATTTTAGTTATTCTGACTCATCTCTAGTCATTTGATATCTGCTAAGTCACTTGATACTTGAAAGTGACTCTGCATAACTCTGTTCTAGTTATTCTACTTTTTGCTGAGTTACTTAACTTTGAATAACTTATTTCTAGTTATTCTGAGTCTGCCAAGTGTTTCTGAAATATTTCAGAAACTTTTTGAAGCTTCCATTATCTTCTATTCTTCTAAGTCATTCTTCTTAGATTCTTAGTTCTTCTGCATATAGGATCTAAGTCTCTAATAATACATCTCAAGCTGCTTTCTATTTAAAGTTGATATTTCAAATACCAAACTGATTTGGCATCTGACAGCAAAGCACTAAAATATCAGAACATTTTATTAAGTGCTCAGAGCAGAGTCAGGAGTCAGGACAGAGCTCAACAGTCTGCAGAGTGAGAAGTTCACTCTATCTCATTTAGCAAGCTAAATAGAGTAGTCAGTTAGAATCTTGTTTGTCTGTAGCATATATATAGTATAAAGATATTATAGGCTAGATTTTTAGATAGATGTGAGATGGCTCATTTAGATATATATAAGTACAATGTGTTATATGCTGACCTGCACCCTGATGTCTAGTGTAGGTAGGAGGGAAAGGATGGATCTGGAAGTCTCTGCTACCTAGACTAAAGGGCAGTCTGAAGATGTAGTCAAAATTTACTAGGAATCAGAGAGACTCACCTCACTTCACTCACACTCTGTGTTCTCCATTACACTATTGGCTTCCTTTCAATATTGTCAAGACTACTAATTCCTTGAATCACTGAGAGATTGACACAGAACCCTTCTCCCGCTCCCCCCCAATGAGAAGGCCCTGTTCCAAGAGATAAGAAGTCATCTTGAATGCAACTGGTCACAACCAATTAGCCAAATTTCAATCATATATCTAGTTGCAACTATAATTCTTTTTGGCTAAATTATGATGCTCCAATACTTCCAATAAGTTCTTTAAAGCATCTGGGAGCCAATAAGCTCAGGTCCATGTACAAGGTTCAATATCCAGTGCAATGTCATATTCTCTGGATATGAATTCTTCATCACAATGCACATTATGATCCAGATGAAGTCTGCCATTAGGGTATCAAAAATGTATAGGCTAGAAGGTTGTCAACTAAAATGAGTATCATCAAAAAATGTACAAGGAATCCAGAAGAACAGGCAAGTGGACTAAGACTAATGTCCGAGAGTGAATGTAGGTCTAATCACATGATAACACAGCACGCGTTTTGCTGTGAAGCAAGTAGGCCAGTCAGTAAAAGCAACCGGGATAAAGATGATGCTGTCGACAGACTTTCTTCGCGGTCTTGTAGAACATCTTGCTTTGCATAGAGAGATTGTTCGAGCGATCTACCAGATCATTGATCTTCTCTCCTCGCTGTAGAACTGATTCTATGGTTTTATGCTAGGTACATGGCAAAGGTTCGCAATGAGTAGACCAAGAAGCAAAAGTAATTCACAACACACCAAAACAATCTTGGTCTCGTCCAGCTCCTGCTGAACCTTCATGATCGCATCAGCCTGTCGAGGATCCTGGTACTTCTCAAGATACGTATTGATCTCGGGGAAGCTGATCACGGCCGGAGTCGAATATGACGACTGGGGGACTTTGGCAATGAAATCGTCAAGAAGCTTCGTCAGCAATGAGAATGCAGGCCTGACAGGGTACTCCTGATCAGTAACGATGACGCCTATGGTGTAGAGTTTGGTTAGAGTCTCATTCGGAATTATGATTCAGCCGTAACATACCTGCAAGTTGCTCTGCTCCTCCGCGGTTGTACACATGAGCAGTATAGGTGTTCTCCTGCACGCTTTGTCTCTGACCCTGGGGTGTCCTTTCCGCTATCGTCCTAACGAAAAAGGACATGAACTCGCCAACGGAACCACGTTGATAAAAGGAGAAGGAGGAGAGATCGGTCGCCGATGACAGGATAGTAGAGTTCTGACCAGGAGGAGACAAGACGACAGCGAGACTAAATACCTTCATGGTGAATATGTGTGCAGGACAAGGAGTGAGCCTGAGAGAGCAAGTTTCAGTTGCGCCGTTGTCCTGTGGCACAGGCAGCTGCAAGTGCACCGCGTCTTACGTAAACCCATTTTCGTAAATCGGAAACCTACTCTTTCCATATTGTGGCGCAAGTACTCTTGTCTTCAAACACCTATGAAGTCGTGTTTGCATGGGCTTTCTTGACCTCGCTGTATACGTCGTCGGTTTCTGGGTTATCCTCCATGTCCTCCGCTTCTTAAGTCGACGACGCTATCCCTCAGCCAGTTATAGTTTACCAGGTTCAAGGTCACTGTCTAAGCCATCGTCCACGAACATCGTACTCGAGCAATGTTATTTGCGAGCGGAATTGAAAGGACTCAACCGTCTTCATGATGACTTTGTGACCTGGCTCGAGAAATCGTCGTCTTTTAGGCAGCTAGCTTCACTAGTCTATGACCTTGGGAGTGTCCTTAGCTTGATCGGCGTTGTACTGGCAATCGTTTTCCTCGGGTGGACTTTGGTTCAGCTTGGGGCCAAGGCTTTCACTGTACCAAGCTCGACGCCATCCACTCTATTCCATGTTGGTACGGTGTATAAGCGACAATTGCAGGAGGGGAATACAGCGACTCCTCACGACGGCACGCAGCGTAGTTTTGTGGGCGACCATCCAATCTCGTTCTTGGTGAGTGTACGAAATGCCTCCCCGATCCCTTGGTATTGCCTGAAGTCTTTCTTCCTCTTTCCGATGACTCTGCATTTCTGACTTCGCGCCACATTCACATGCAGATACCCGGAGTGACGATACCCTTTTCACATTTGATCCCTCTACTCGTTACGCTCCTCATTGCCCAAGGTTTGCATGAGGTTGGACATGCCTTCGCCGCTGCCCTGTAAGACAATTCTTCATTTGCCCGCCAATCCGTTTCTTGACCATCGCATCATAGCGACTCCATACCTATACTTTCTTGTGGGCTGACTTTGACACTCATCGTTCCTGCCGCCTTCGTTTCGCTCCCCTCCCACGCCGTCAAACGCTGTTCACCCCGCAGCCGACTCCGCATAATATCTTCAGGACCTTTTCATAACCTGGTACTCTGGGCCGCCATCGCGCTCTGGACAGTTCTAGGAATTGATAGAATATTCTGGTCACTAGCAGGGTATCAATACGTCGGTCACTTTGGTCGTGCCATCGTCAACATTAACACGGTACGTCGCACCGGACCTCACTCCACTGCGGACGCCGATTGTTTTGTTTTTTTTGATTCTTTTCTACAGGAGTCTTCTCTGCACCAGTACCTTCCGATCGGCAGTATCATAACAAAACTCGATGACTACCGTTTGGTATCATTTGACTCTTCACATGATCCCTGGACCGAGTACCTGACTCGCCCAATCGTATTCAATACTGGTATCCAGCTTGGTTGGTGTGTGGCCCGTGATTGGGTGCTGAGTACGTTCTCTTCATACTTTGCTTAGCCGGCGCAACAGTAAGAAGTAATGTCCGATACACCCTCTAGGTCACGACGAGAGCTGCTGCACCAGTCACAATCAAACTTCCGGCGTTTCGTGTTTCGCATCTAAACCATCTGCATCTACTCCACTTATCCAGCGATGTCTCCCACCTCTAACCATCCTTGATGTCAAATCTTCTCAAGCCGCGAGACGTTGCTCATCCGCGTCTGACTGTACCGAAACTGATTTCTGCTTGATATCGAAGTCCAAAAATGTAATGATGCGGATTGAGTACTACATCTCGGATTCTGTCGTGCCCGGCATCCCGCATGACGATTTGGATGCACGTTTAAAGTCGATTGTGTGGAGCGGACCTAAAGAGGAGATATTGGAAGATGGTGAGTGCGACTGTTGTCTATATTCTAACAAAAATCTGATCCGTCGCAGTTGAGGTCGGTACATACCTTCCACGCTTCCCGTTTCTTCCCCGAAGACTGCCTACAACTATAGGATTGTTTGTTGAGTACGTCTCCCAATCCATCCAACTGTCATCTTCGAATTCATACTTTGTTAGATATCTCTCGACTTTGTCGTTGTCTCTATTCTTACTGAATCTACTTCCGCTTCCACTACTCGATGGCGGCCAACTCCTAGATGCAGCGCTCGACTTTGCAGAACCCTACATGCCGCCGGTACAAGAGGACCACTACAGTCTCTCGAATCTAGAAGCTGGAAATGTAGATCCTAACACAGGTCGGTCAATTGCTGCTACAGCAAGGTGGAAACAGCAGGTGCTCGATGCGTCCATGATGCTGACAGCCATACTCTTGTCTTGTTGTGGCTCTCTCGGTCTCATCAATATTGCCACAGGCAAGTAACACAAAGCTGTAATATAATGTCTCCATTACGGATCTATCCATTCCCATGTAATATACACATGCTAGTCCATCCAATGTTATGTAGAAAACAGACGTAACAAAGTCAATAAAGCCCCAAGCACACCCTATCGTGACGTAGAATCTGAGTTGTTTACTCAGAGTTGGAAGCCTTGTGATGGATCAAGTCACCGATAAACTCGGCAACAGCTGCCCAATAACCTGGCTGAACGCAAGTGTCGTCTGGTAGCGAACAGAACGTCAGAATGCTGTCGAGCACAGTAAATCCCGCGAATCACGTACTATGTGTACCCTCGGGGAACTCCAAAAATTTGGACGAACTCCTCACATCGATAGCAACGGCAGGCACAGAACCTCTTGGTGAAGGCTTTTGTTTGCGCTCGACACTCGAGGCAGACTTCGAGTCTCGCTTCTGCACAAGCTCCCAAAGACCTAACATGTGGTCCCTTGGAACCACCTCATCTTGTGTACCGCTGAGCATGAGGACAGGCGTCATGTGTGGTATTTGGTGAATCTTCGATGCCGAATCCCATTTCTGATGACAAAGAAAGGCGAATGGACCTAGTGCGGGGAGAGCAGAAGGAATGAGGTTAGGAAGCGAAAGAAAGGTATTCTCTAGGATGAGAGCATCGATTGCGGAGGGATTGCGGCTGGCTAAGTCTATCGAGACGGCACCACCAATAGACTGGCCGTACAAAACCTGGAAAATGTCAGTCTGGACACGAGGATTTCGGGATGTGACCGGACAGAATACGTACAGTTGGGCCCTGTGACAAAGCGGGATGGGATTTGACATAATCTAGAGCGGCTTGAGCGTCGAGCTTCAAGCCTAGACGTTGACGATCCGATCGGTCATGAAATTCTGTAAGCTTTTAGAATTGCCGAGCCGCACCTTTCTCTGAAGGATTTCCCTCGGACAAGCCGTAACTACACACATGTTTAATTCAGCGATCCCCGATGGGACTGACAGACATCGCTGGTACCACTTACCCTCTATAAGAGACCATGAGTACGTTGCAGCGCATCTTGACGTAGAAGACTTTCGCAAGTGGTATACGATGACCAACGTTTCCTCCGTTCCCGTGAAACATGATCACCGTAGGCCGAGTAGCCGCGAACTGAGAACCATGGCCCATCAGTACACACTTCTTGATATCAACGAGGAATGCATTTGAAAAGCGAAATGGAGGTGACGGCGAACATCACGAAGATCGATGTGACGTCCCTGCAAAGATGCACTTTCCTACTAAAGCCCTAGAAGGACTGACGCTTTCGAGTCGGTGGATGAACGCACCTCATCGTCGTTCAAGCCGCCGCTGAACGGGACATCAGTAGCACCTGCCAAAGGTAATTTTTTGGCTTGAGAAAGGAGATAGCATCTAAGTTTGACGCCATCCTGTGCTGTTAATTCGACATGGTGGTACGGCAAACCATACTGGTCTGGAGTGGGAACCTCTGTAAACAGACGTGCGAAATCGATGTGAGCGGTGTGAGGGGAGTGAAGAAGAGAGCATTCCACCTGTCCGGGAACCTGGTGGGAAGGCAGATGGGTATATGAGATAACTTTGGCCGTAATATAATAGGCCAACGGCTGGGATAATCGTGTTAGAGTCGAGGCAAGGTTCGAGACAAAGTCTAGTGACGCACCGAGAGTCGAGAGACCTGCAGTTGCAGCGAAGGTGCCCTAGAAGAATGTTAGAACCGACATCGATGAACTGGAGAAAGTAAACAAGAGGACGAACCTTTGCCCAATCTTCGAGAGATGGCATACTAAGTTTGAAATGCTGTTCCGTGTTTGCGGTGTTCTTACCCGGACTCGAACCTAGGTTTTTGCATGCTCAGGGTCCGGCCCGGTGCCCGGCGGGTAAGCAGGACCTAGCAGGACACGTCTGATCTGGTCTGATGCGCCCGTCGATCAAATTCATCCTCGCACTCAACGCCCGTTAATTAAACGTCCAAACTGCCAGTCCACCCTGGCCCCCTCAGCAATGCAAACTTTGCGTCAAGAATGTTTTGTACGCAGACAGAACTAAGACCAAAGTGACCCCTAAGCACCCTCTCTCTGCTGGTACGCAGAAATGCTCATCCGCTGTGCTTCGCTTGTCGATAGCGATGATGGACGATCTCTTGCGTAATGTCACTCCACCGAACCCCTAGAATATCTAGCGGCCACTGTGCGGAGGACGCGTTGCCATGGTCAGGACTGCCAGCACTCATGAGGCTTGGGACAAGCCAACGCGTAATTCGCCTATGCTCCATTCCGTGTTTCAAGAAGCACAGAAGCATGCACGGTAAAGGGCTTTTGCAGCGCCGTGAAATTCCGTCCACTCATCTTTCTCCGCTTATTTTTTCGATGACGCTTTAGCATATTCCGGAGTCAGAATCTTCTCGGATTCTCAAACCGGCCCCCTGGTAATTACTTTCGTGAAACACGCTATCCACGCAAGCGGTTGCGTGCACTCGGAACCCTCGTTCTATTGCGCGTGATGTCCTAGGCGTCTTCTACCCGGCACTAGGTGTTCGAGACGTATAAAAAGCATACCAAACCGACTGGGATGTCTCCATTGACACCCAGTCAAAGCCTTCTCTTACTAGCTCTTCCCATCTCTCGTCTTCCAGACCCCCCACATTCCTTACAAAATGCTCTCTTTCAAGTCTCTTGCTGTCGCCGCTGGTGTCGCTCTCTGCGCCGTCTCCTCCGCCTTCGCGGCGCCCACCCAGACCTTCACCTCCGAGATCTCCACCACCACGACCACCACAGTCGATAAGACCACTGTGATCAAGCAGAAGAGCGTTTACGTTGTTCTCTCTGAGACGAAGTACAAGCTCGAGCCTGTTATCGTTAACTTCCGTAGGTCGCTCATCAACTTGTCTCCCTGGTACACCTGACCGAACGAGCTTAACAGACTACCTCAACAAGGTCAACGCCACCGTTGAGACCATCACTCCCCTCGTTAACGACGTCAAGGTCATCATCACTGGTGCCGTCGCTGAGCTTCATGCACTCGTTGGTGCTGATGTCTCAGTGATCCTCGCCACCGCCGATGTCAATGTCAAGGTCACCGTCCAGGTCGTTGCTCAACTCGTTGCGGAGATCCTCATCGTAAGCAGATATGCCAACTGGCAAAATGGATCGATACTGAGTACATACGTCCACAGCTTGTCTTCAAGGCTCTCGCATTTGTTCTCAGCGTTGTTGATGGTGCCATCCTCCCTACCGTCATTGCTTTGCTTGCCACTGTCGGGTATGTCAATCTGCATGTCACTGCTCAAATGACAACACTAATGCACTCATAAATAGTGAGGTCGTCGGTGCCCTCTTGAGCATTGTCCTCTCCCTCGTTGGTGGTCTCCTGTTCGGCCTCGTTGGTGCGATCCTCGTTCTCATTGGCGAGATCCTCCCCATCATCCTCCAACTCAGGATCAACATCCTCATCAGCGTCTTGGGCCTCAAGCTCTAAGTGCTCCCACAACGGCAGCCATTCAGACTTGTTGAGCTTTCATAATGCATTCGTTTGTTGTCCTTATCGTAGAAGGTAGTAATAGCGGCTCTGGGGTCATACAATATACCAGAGAACATTGGATACTCTCACTCATCACCGGCCTGAAACTGTGCGAGCGGCGAGAATATGAGACGAATTTTACATCCATCGCCTGCAAGATGAGGGTTGGTTACAATGGCCCCTAAGTGCAGTGGGACATGTACGGTGTATGCTTCTAGTCTTCATGGGGTTAAAGCCAACTTCTAGGTTGCGCCACAACAACTGAGAAGACACCACTGAATTATTCGCAGAATACTGTAAGGAATGTTGCATTACGAAAGAAAGTGCTAAGTACGTGCAAAGACATGACATCTTGAAACCCAAAGTCCACAAAAAAGCCGAAAGGAAGACTAAGCAATGATACAACTAACATCTAAACCAAGCTCCTCCATCTCCTCCTGAGCGACCTCCTTTTCGTTCTGCCGTAGCTTCTTCCGAGACTCAATAGGGAACCAATCCTTCATGAAGTTCAGAAGCGCCCAATCTACGTTAGCTGATTGAGAAGAGAAGGTCAGACGGAGATGATTCTGAGAAGAGGAAAAAAGGGATGAAGCGTACATCGGTCGGCGACCAAGACGGTTGGTGAACGACACATGGGGCAATTACCCTGCCCCCTTTTCTGCATCTTCACTAGACACCTAACACAGAAAAGATGCCCACACCGTAGTCGTATAGGCTTAAACGCGATGTTCGTACAGATCACACACGCGTAATCGTCGATATGTGGGACGATAGGCAGAAGCGTCTGACCAATGGCTTGTACGAGCATCGTCGCCAACGAGGTATTGCTTGAAGTTCGTGAACGAATCAGAGCGGTTGATTGCTCGCCGACGGTGAGAATGAATGGAGAAGGAAGGACTGGGGCCGTTGGTAATGCTGTGCGTTTAGCATGCTTCTTGAGAATCTTCCGGATGGCTTCTGTGGTGGCGTATTGGAACTTAACGAACGGATGAGACTCAAACATGAATGATGGGTATGAGACTAATATGCATACCTTAAACAAGTTCAATATTGATGCATTGAGTTCCAAGAACTTCTTCATTGCATGCTGACTGCGTTGCAGCTTCAGTCTGCTCCCATCCGCGAAACCTCGATCCGCCAGCTGCACCATGAACTTCGCTAGCCGTGCCTCAGCGTCCTCTATTGCACGTTCACCTCTTGATTCTTCGCTTTGACTCTCGAACACCTCAGCGTCAATGTATAACTCGAATACCTCCCTCCAAGCGTAAAGATCCGATCGCGTAAAAGACGATGTCAAGATGTTAGGTGCGCGGACAGTGACAGTGCCCGGGTTGGCGTCATGAGAGTAAGGTTGAAATGAGGATGATTCCGACATGGGTTTGGCAGAAGATGAGATGTCACGAGCGAGGACATCGAGGTTCTTAGTGAATTCATCACCGAGATCAGCAAGCCGAGTGCTCAGAGCCGAGTGAGCATCCATGAGGGCTTGAAAGAATGCGGAATCCGAAGCAAGTGGAATAACTACTTCACGAGGTTCCGTGGATCTAATAATTCTTATTATTGCACGTGAAGGTACTATACATGAAAAGCAAGCGTACTCTGACACATTCGAAGGACCCGCAGCAGCTCCAGTATTCAAATCGGAAGCACCCAGAAAATCTGAATACGCGTTTGGTGGGTTGCCAGAGGCCGGATATGTCCACATGCGTAGGCGAGGCTGGATCTCGTTCGAATCGGTGTTCAACTCATACGTGATCCTCGGCATCCGTGAAGGACCTGACTGAAAGGTATGTCCGACATCTAGAAGAAACGAAGTTTGTTCCCGTTCTTTTCCCTTAAGGGAGCTAGTTGTAGAGGTCTGTGCATGTTGCAAGAGCTGTTGAAGGAGATCCGGGGAAAGACCTGAAAAGAAGATGACTTTGAATGAGGGTTTTCAAGTTGTCAATACGAACCTAGAGAAGTAAGCTCTTTGACGACTTTATTAATGAGTTTCTTGAGTTGTCTATACTCTATGGCGTTGTCCCGGAGATCTGGCGGTAAGGAGAGGAGGAGTTGAGCATAAGTCTTGGAGAAGTGCATGCCGTAAATAAATAAGAGTTGCCAGACGCGTGCATTCTCTCCGCATTTCTGAAGCCTGCAGGAATTCCCACGTGGCTCAGGATACACTTGGACCCATTTCTCATTCAGCAACCTGCTTACTGCCTTGCGACACACTTTTACCACCATTTCATGCTCCCTCGTCCTCGCTTTGCTTCAGGTTAAATGAGTACCCTTTGCTTACCCAAACTATACTACCTGGACGTACGAGGCAACTAGCACCATGAGTCACCGACGAGAGGCCTCTGTGCCCTCTTCGCCAGTGGGCGATGGCAATTTCAAACGCAGTCTCGAGATTAACATGGCCGCTCTCGTGGGCTCAGCTATTGGAAACGTGAGTGTTCAGAACTATGTGTGTGACGGCTAAGCCCAGAACGATGAGCTCCCCGTCGAACTATTACCTTGGCTTAGCAATGTCAGGTATGTCTCGCCAATGCCAGTCAGCTAGCTGGAAGGGTGTGTAGAACAAAGAAGACATACCCTCGGAGACAGTTCGGACTGCCTGCAATGTAGCCGAGGTGAACAAAAAGGGGGGCCTATCGTTGTGTGTTTCACTGGAGCCCCGAATATTTGCTCTCGACGTATAGAGTGAATTCAGTTGCATCATGCATGCATGTTGTCTGGCCTATGTTGGCTTTTTCAAGTGTCGCGGTCCAGTCTACAACTATTTGCACGCCCGGGGCCGACCGAAGGAGTGCAATCACATTCTGCGTACTGCCTATCTTCAGAATGTAGCCTATTGTTCCGCCAATGGCTGCAGATCAAATATAGAATATAAGCATTGTGCGGCATGTTCAGCTTCTTTCTCGCCGACTGGCTAGTGTTCTATGTTGGTCGCGCCTCACGCCATGTGCGGATGCGTTCAAGCTTAGAACAAACGACTCAAACACCCAGATGTAGAAACTGACCTTGTATTTCAGATGAGTATCAGTCCTTGGAACCGTGATGTGGTTTTGGCCGCGTAAGCACTACAGTCACCTCTCCTCAATCAAGCTCATTCGCCCCCAGTCGAAAGGGACTCTACATCATCGACCTGGAAGCCCCGTTGAACCTACCTCGGTTCGTTCGCAGATCTCGTGGTGACTTTCTTAGTAATATTGGCCCTCGTTTAGGTTTCTCCCTCAGGGTGGTACATGGGACGTAGCTGATGTGCAGTGGAACCCTCACACTGCAAACATTCAGTACATTGTCTCGACGTCAAGCGAGAAGCTGTACGTCTGTTGTCTCGCTTCGATAGAGCCATATCTCAACCCGCCCCCGTAATAGCTTGATTTGGAACATACTTCTTTCCTCCAACTCTTCTATCGAGCACATCCTTCGAGCACACTACCGCGCTATTACGGATATCAATTGGCATCCTGCAGACCCTGACTGTGTTGTTAGCACAGGTCTCGATTCATGGTTGTGGGCATGGGATATACGCACTCCCCGGCGAGCGGTGCTTGGTACGGGACACTCCGATCAGTTAGAGTACTTATTTTCTGAGCTGTTATTCCTTTAGGCCTCTGCGCATTCAATGGTAAGTCGTTTTCTGGTTCACACTCTCAATATGCCAATCATCCTGCAGCCGGCGGGACGCAGGTTAAATGGAATCGTCAGGACGGGAATATGTTGGCGTCCTCTCATCTCAATGAAGTTCTCATATGGGACAGACGGGTGCGTTGGGTTGTTATATTGAGATCATGCTGGAACTAAGTTGCATTAGAAAGGGTCTTTACCTGTATCTCGAATCAAAGCGCACAATTCAAAGATATACGGTATCGACTGGGCACATAACAATCGGAACCAGATTGTTACCTGCTCTCTGGACAAGACCATCAAGTTCTGGGATCTGAACAATCTATCAGGCGATTCTGGGGAGTATGAACCAACAGCGACTGTCCAGACTGCATATCCCGTTTGGCGTGCACGTAACCTACCATTCGGACAAGGTGTATTGAGCTTGCCTCAACGCGGGCAGACGGCTTTGGAAATGTGGAATCCGGCGGTCTCAAACGAACCGGTAGAAAGGTTTGAGGGTCACTCCGATGTTGTGAAGGAATTCGTGTGGAGGAGGGGCAGTCATGGTATGTTTTCATTCTCATCCCGCTCATGAGATTGCTTACGGTTTCGTCAGGCAATGATAGCTTCCAGCTTATCACTTGGTCCAAAGATAGGACCCTGCGCTTCTGGCCAGTAGACACTGAAGTTATGCAGGTAAGACTACAAAGATCTGCTGCTTCTATCCCATTGATCTTGCATTTAGAAAGCTGGGGATAGCACCATCCATGCTCCCTATGTTGCACCTCCAGACCAAAACATATCTTTCAGTAACCCTCCCCCGAGTTCTGACACAGCACCGGCTTTAACCGTACCTGTTCGTGGTATACTGGGCGAAGTGCGAGCTTCGCAACCCCTTCGACCCAGACCGAGTGCAGGCAGGTTCTTGTCCGACCCTCTGCGAACACATGGTACCCACGGCGCCTCTGCTCCTTCCGCCAACACGTCATCTGGACAAGGCGAAGGCTTGACAAGACGTGGGGTTGTTGGTCGATCGGCTCAAATCACCGCACTATCTTGGCTATCAAGTGTTAAGGTTGGTGGGGCAAGGGATGGCAGCTCTGGAGCGGGCAGTGGAGGAGACAGTGGAAATGTCTCTCGATTGAACTCTGCATCCCGCCCTCCTTCGATATTCGACATCCCTCAAGGTCTAGATGAAAACGAAACCGACGATGAAGTTCCCCAGTCTTTGCAGGAGGAGTGAGTTCTAAGTTGTTGATATTTTTTCTGCTAACTGACTTTGGCTCCCAGAATCACCTCCGTAGTCAACAAGCTCGCCTCATCGAAAGTACGGCTTGAAAAGGTCCGTTCATATTACCATCCTATTGTCGTCTGGCTTACATTAGTGTTTCACTAGGCGGATTTTGGGAAGCGCCGTTCATGCACATTTGGCTTGCATGGTCCCTGGGGAGATTCGACGTCTGTTTTTATCCGAGTAACTTTTACTTTCCCTCACACATACCCACAAGCGGCACATCCTCTCGGAACGCCTCACGTAGACCTGGAGATGAACCCACTCATTTCAATGAAGAATAGAGTTCTGATTACACGTCGACTACGCAGCATTCGAGAACGAGAACGGCCATGCCTAGAGGCTTGTTTGCGTTTCTTGCTATTTGGAGATCAGGACCATTACGCAATACCTCGGACAATGATCATTGATTCAGAATCGTCATCCGATGATGAACCATATCCTGTGACTCGTCGACCGAAGGATCCTAGTCACTCAGCCCTCCGGGGTGATAAGAATCTCGCGGAGCCTAGGACTTCGCAAGGTACCTTTGGCCCAAACGGTAGGTTTCGTTTGTCGACTAGTTTACTTCAAATACTAACAGGAGATTTATTAGGCCAGCTTGTTTGCTTTTTCCGTGCACCTCCAAGGATAGTCAAACATGCAACGCGCGACCTTTCTATGTCACCTTCCATAGGATCACGGGGGCCTGATAATGCCCCTCACATCTTCCGTTCTCCAGTTCTTCTTTCGGACGCGATCCGGCGATTGAGTTTAGCTGCTCAAGACCGGGACTCGTCATATTCTGATCACAGGCGTGTTGAAGATACCAACAGCATACTTCGTATCATGACGAACCTTTACACATTCTCACATCCGAAGACTCGAAAATTCTCAGAGCAATCAAGACCTCAAGAAGATGCGCCTACGCCTTACTCGCTACTCCCTACAAGGCGAAGTTTGGTTTACATTCGGGATGCTTCAGCTTATATTGGTATTGACATTGCTGCCGCTGGCGAGTATGTGTACGCCATGACGCATCCGCTTGATTGGTGCAAAAAGAACGCGGAAATAGCTAAGGCACGGGGACGTGTGGACCACGAACGACTGTTCACCATGCTACACGTCCTGATCGTCGATGCGCGGAACGAGGGTGAGGGTGTCCCGACTGCCTTCGGAATTTACAGTCCCCTCATGTTCAAGCTTTTGGAGAAAATGTGGGTAGCATGTATCTGATTGTGGTGCTGCACTGACAGTTTGGACAGGTATGCAGAGTTCCTGGCTCGGAAGGATGCTCAAATACTAGTTATGATGGCTGTTGTACTACTTCGATTGACGAGACAACACGGTACGCGGCACAGTGTCAACCAGCAGATGTTCACCACTGATTGAATTAATAGAACACCTCTCTGAGCTGCCGAAGTTAACACCTCCTTCTCAGATATCTCACATCGACTATTTCAGCTTCGTGAGACGGCAAATGAATAAGAGAGACCCACCATTGCCCTCGTGGACCCATCATTCCCCGTCTCCTACTTCCCGGTCACCCGCGCCCGTTCTATCGCCATCTTCTTCACGGGGTTCTTGGTCGAGCCTGTTCAGGCCAAGCAACATGAGACGGCATATTTCAACGGAGAATACGAAGGAAGAGGAAACTGCTAACCGACCTGTTTCCGCAGTTCCGATTCCTGTCGGCAGAGCACACCCATCTTCTCCACAAATACGCACGTTCAAAAAGGATTCTCCCTTATTCCAGACTGCAGTATCGAACTCGTGGTCGGACGCCCTGGGCTCATCTGCAAAGACGAACATATCATTCTCATCTGCTGGTCATGGCAGGTCCCGACGACCAACCTTTTCTCAGGTTGTCAGTTCCACACCAAGTCCTTCGGGACAAAAGCGCATTGTTTTCAACGCTGACCCTAAAATGACAATGCAGAAGTAACTCTAGTCGTCTTCTTGTATGTGCTCGTCGCTAACGATGATTATATAGATTTCCATCCTTCCAGCTGCAGGCGAGGCTCCAGCGTCAACTAGCATGTCATATTCTGACTTACGCTGAGATGCTCTCTGCATGGCAATTTCCCAGCAAGCGCATCGAACTGATCAAGTCAGTCGAAGACGAGCTTCAGTCCATCTTGTCTGAATCTCTGCAATCAATTGTACTTGACTGTAGCCCGCTAGGTGTGTTTACTTCTGGCATGCCTCTTGCGCATTCCTGACCGTATGGCCATTCAGGCGTTGTTCGTCTATGCAGCAAATGTAAACACGAGAACACATTCTTGACAGATTTCTGTGCAATGTGCAACAACAGGTTATCGGCAGATCGTTGTTCGGTTTGTCGTTTACCTATCAAAGGTATGTTTTTCGCTCTTCCTTTTTACTATTCGCTTACCTTTCTTTGTAGGGCTTGCACAGACGTGTATGCTCTGTCACCACGACTCTCATGTCCGCTGTTGGACAGATTGCAAGGGGGTTCTATGCGCGACAGGCTGTGGGTGTACTTGCAAGATGACCATCAGTCCAGAAGAGATAATCCTAGAGGTCGAAAGGGGCCGTCGTCTTTCAGCTTCTGCGTCGGAAATTACGTAGTGAGACCTTCTCTTTACCTGAAATCTATTGTTTCCAAGAGACATCGCATTCAAGTAGAGCGTGCAAAAGCAGTTAGCAATAATGAAGTTCAATAAAAGTCCTGAAAGCATGCACACAGTGAGATTTCCAGTGGCTCTGTCCTTCGTTAGTGTTGAGCAAAGCTGTAAACGAGGGCGTATCTTCAAAGCCCGTGCTACTTGAATGCTTCCAACAAGACTTAAGTGAGCCAGCAAAGAAATCAAATGATACGTCCGAGAGAGGGAATCCATATATTCGTCGGAGATGAAAGCAATACCGCAGGATAAACATCAGTACTTAGTATATATTCTAGTCTAATTTTCCCGAGCAGCACTAGAGAGTCCAGAGAAGCAAATCAATCCACCGGCCTAGAATAAATTCGCATGAACAAACTGTCAAAATCGAATGTATGACAGGAAGGACGTACTGGATCTGAACGCGGGGCTTGACGTGGATGGAAGCGTGATTGGGAACACCGAGGATCCGAGGGTATGCGTTCAAGTTCTTATGAAGAGTGAATTGGAAGACCGATGCGCCTCCGTTTCTGGAAACATCCATGAGCATACCAGCCTTAACAGTGAAAGAATGGCTAGACGTACCGAGAGATGATGGTAGCGTAAGCAAGGAAGAAGACCCAAATACGGTACCACCGTTCACCATAGTGCTCCAATACCTTCTCCTTATTTGAGACCCAGTTCTTGTACCACCGGTAGATGGTGGCGCTGTAGTGTACGCCTAAGACGTCGATGTTTTTCACTTCAAAACCGGCCTTCTCCAGTTGGGAGACAACCCAACCGAGAGAGCAGGACGCGTCCGCACCGGGGAAGACGTACTTGTTCATGAAGAGACCCCTGCATAGCGTACATAGTATCACGAAGGGTGATCAGATGAGAGGAATCAGAGTACGTACCAGATGAGATCTTCGTATTGCCAATGGGGACGGATACCGGCAACTTGGAAAACGAAAATACCGTCATCATCCAAGAGGTCGTAGACTTGACGAAGGAAGCTCTGGTAGCGACGAATTCCAACATGCTACAGAGAAACGCATCAGACCAAGCTCTGATTGATGAAAAGCTCAGATAAAAGATTGTACCTCTGCCATCTCCAGGCTGACAATCTTCGTATAAGCACCCCTGCCTCCGGGGGTGAAGCGGAAATCAGTGCAGAGGATCTTAGCCCTTGAGGGATCGCACCCCTATGATTCCCAGTCAGAAACAAGCACAGCATAGGAGTAAGGAGAAGACATACGTTCTTGGCAATACGTTCGTTACCGAAAGCAGTCTGTTTCTCGGCGAGAGTGACACCAGTGACCTTGCATCCGTAGTTCTTGGCAGCGAAAGCGGCCAAGGTACCCCATCCACAACCGATATCAAGCAAGTGGTCCTCGGGTTTCAAGTCGAGCTATCGTAACAACGCGTGATTAACTGCGTACAAGGAGATAAACACGTCAATCTACCTTCTCGCAGACGATAGTAAGCTTGTTGTCCTGCAGTTCCTCGAGAGTCTCTTCGCGCGTAATATCGGTGACAATGCCAGACGTGTAGATCATGCGAGGACCAAGGAACCATTCGTAAAAGTCGTCGCCTCCTAATAAGAGGTCAAACGCGTCGGACGTAGTCAGAAGCCTTCAAGCAAGTAGTGCACTTACGGTCATAATGGTCGCGAACTTGTTCTTCGTCCTGGGTCTCAGTATGTCTGATGACGTCGGGAATCAAATTGAAGAAGACATATTTGAAAAGTTCAGGAGTGAAGACCAGCTTGGACCAATCATGACGTTGCTCCATAACATCAAGGACATCATCTAGAGACATGATAGTACCACGGGTATGCGAGGCGGTACAACGCGACAGCTCACCATTGAAATCAATCTTGCCTTCAAAGTACGCGTCATGGAAGACCTGCATGGGGATCTTCTCCTTGGTGTGGTATTTAGCCTTGAGGTCGGGGTCGTGAATCGTGATATACTCCTCCAGGTTCCTGCCCGGCAGTTGGACCTTCTCATTCTTACGCCTGCCGAACCTGCTCATTACAGTCCAGTAGCCGATTGCCACAGGAACACCCAAAAGCACCAGGAGGAAGAGATAGGTCTTGAGACCACCATGGTGAACGACCGGGAGTATACGCTTGACGATCCATGGCACGACTATGATGAGGGCGGCAAGATGTATGTTGTTGAAGGAGCCATTGCCCTCGGCGAGGCCTTCAATGGGAGCATTCTTGATGGCTGGCGTGTCTGTGGTACGGACAGCGAAGTACGGCATCGCGACGCTAACGTTCAAACGTTCACCACGCTGCCAATCCCACAACACGTCCTCCTTTTATTGCCAGCGCAGTGTTTCCCAAAATGGTAATCATATTTGTTTATGTTTGCACTTCCTCTGACGCCAATCTAAACTGAAGCAATCTAGGCTTGAGTCGCAAAACCAATTGGAAGCATGTCATGAGAAGACTGCTCTACAGGCAACGGTATGCATTATAATTAATACAGATTGAATAGAAGTATGGTAAATAGCCAAGCTAAGTCAACTTGGAGGCCTCTATCCGTCTTCTATTCTCTCTTCTTTCCTCTCCCTTAGTGACCATCTTCTTTGGCTTGAGGTCAGCAAATAGATGCTTGCAAACTACCTCAACCACCCAACAGCCAGCCAAGTCTAATAACATCGTACCAGTGAGTCTAAATTTGTACTAAACAGTCACTGAGTATCAGTAAAGGTAGATAGCGTGATAACCACTGTAACTTACTGGACTGCTCATCTCAACAATTTGTAGCCACCTGTTCAGCTCTGGAACAAAGTCTGTAGCACCAGAGAATGCCACTGCACTAGCACCAACCAAACCCCAGTATAAAGCAGGGTTTTCACCGATACCTTCTCTGAAAGGTCTCCCCTGTAGTACATCATTAGTAACCTTACAAAAGTGGTCTAGCAAACACTGACCTGGAAGTTGATTGCAAAGGTAGACACTTGCTGAGATAGCCCCAGGAGGTAAATGGCAGTGTTAAGCAGGTTCGGTTCAAACTTTGCTTCTAAATCTATGGCCCCTTCTCTATGATAGCAGTTAGCATGTCTTCGGAGATCAGTCAATATGTCGACTCACGGTTCATACAGATGAGAAAGTTGGGTAATGTAAACCAGTGAGACAATATGGATAGCGAATTGCAGCAGAACCGATAACAGCACATAGAAGTTGAAGATATTGCCAAGAGGTCTTTCCTTCGACAGTTTCTCTACCGGCTGATATACCTGTTAGCTACGATCGGACGAGTGAAAAAAGGGAGACATACCTTGGCCCTAGAAATGCACAGGAAGCAGACGGACATCAACATGCCACTGATGGTGACCTGGTAGTCTCCAAACTTGACACCATCGAGATATTGCACGCTCAAACTATACGCAGTAATCAGACAGTTCAAAGCCAAGATCTTGTACATCTGGATGGTCGCCACAAGTGTACAGCGACCTTGTCTGATGATATGTGTAACTGAATAACATGTTGAGCAAAATGACACAAGAGAGTGATAACAGAGTAACGACTTACTGGCAGACACGTTGGAGAGCTTCGAAGTGAAAGGAGCAGCGCACGATGCATCGCCCAACTTGATTTTCGGAACATCTTCCTCCTCACCCACTTCTGCCAGCTTGTCCGTGATAGATGCAATGTCGAACTAGCATTACTCAGTACTGGGTAAAACTCGAAGAAGCGAGGAAGAACCTACCTTCTCCATAGGGTTCTTTTTCTTGGCAGACTGCAAATCGGTTGCAGCCTTCTTCTGAGCCTCTACAACGTCAGGATAGAGATGGGCAATAGCAGCAGGAACAGGCGGAGGCGGCTGTCCAAAGCGCGCAGAGATCTTCAATTGACTCTCGTACACCTTCTTGATCCTCTCGTTCTTCTGATGTTCCGCAATCTTCTTCAGGTCCTCAGGGGTGCCATCGAGAAGAGCGACGCCGACGTGAGCTTGTTTGAGAGCACCGACGTCGTTGGTACCGTCGCCAGCCATGAGGGTAACGTAACCGAGGGCCTTAAGCGTCGTAAGGATAAACTCCTTCTGTGCAGGCGAAACTCGTGCATAAACCCAAGTGTTCTGTACCAGATCGTGCCAGCTTGGATGGTTCTCCATATGCTTTAGCGCAGCTCCAGTGACACAGATGTCAAACTTGTCGAACAATGCGGTATTCAAAGGTTGCGAGATATCAATGGGGATCTCCTTGTCATCCTCTGCGCTACGCCATACAAGGGCTATATAAGAATTGCGTGTCAGACTCAACATAACGAGGGATGGTAGCATCACTGACCTGGAGTGGCGTTCGAACCCTCCCGAGCATCGAGGACATAAACCTCCCGATCAACAATTTCAACCTCCCGAGCGACATGAACAGCAGTAAGAGGATTGTCGCCAGTGATCATAACGCACTAAAAACAGATGACACATTAGCCACAATACTTCATGCCAACGAACTTGAACTCACACGATGTGACGAATCAGCAAGCATTTTGATAGTATCGATAGCGTCGACCTTCAATGGACAGTGGAACACCAAGAATCCGGCAAAAGTGAGCTTTGACTCAACGTGATCTCTCGGGATTTTGTTGATCTGGATGGTTAGAGCTTTGTCAATGCCATGGCTCCATATAGAAGTCGAGGAACAGTTACCTTGTCGACGGGCATCGAGTCCATCTCCTTGAATCCAAGCGCCAAAACACGACTACCCTGCTTCGTGTAACGCTTGTACGCATTGTCGTAGAACTCGGGAACGTGTGACAACATGCCTCTGATCGTCTCAGGCGCGCCCTTGACCGCAACCAGCACCTTACCATTAGCCAGAGACGAAATCGTCGACATCCGTTTCAAAGCGGATGAGAATTGGAACCGACGCCGAATGTGAATGAGGGTGCGATGAGGGGCAGACTTGTCTTGAGGCGTCACATTGTCACCTGAAATAGCCAAGGTGAGACGACTACACATCATCCCAAGCTCAATAACATACCATGATTCAATTGCCACCTCAATGCGTCGAGAGTCGTTTTCTCCATCGGGTCACCAACAATGACACCGTCATCCAGACGCACGAGAGCATGCGCAGCGGCAAGACAAAGTGTCGTTTCTCTACCAACCTCAAGGACGTTGACAAGTGTCATGTGGTCCTTGGCACTATTCAAAAAAAGAAGAAAAAAGTCAGAACACCAATTCAATCCTTCTCGACAGCAAGGGAAACGACCGCGCGACTTCGTATAGAGATCATCCCACGACGAAATCGCCGCCGTCACACGAAGCGAGAATAGAACTTACTCAACCCCTGCAACACCTTCCAACACCAGGTTCTCAGCAGTGATAGTGCCTGTCTTGTCGAAACAACAAACATCGACGCGGCCAGCGTACGGAATCCTGAACGGTTCAGTACAAAAGATGGCTACGCCAAGTCATAATGACCGTCAGACATCAAGAATTCGCACACCACAGAAGATAGCAACATACCATACTTTGACAATGCGACCAAAGAGGCATTGACAGCAAGGGACAACTCCATAGGCAACTCCGGAGGCACAACACTTGTAATGATGAGGATACAGTCAAGTAATAGCTTGGATTTCTTCAAGTCGCGCTCTATACCCTTCACCCAGACGTACCAACTTGCAGCAATGGCAAAGATGAGCAAGAACCCAATGAAAAGGAAGGATTCCATGTTGTTGGCGGATACACGCTCGGAGCTAAAGATCATTGTCCGGACGAGTTGACCCTGGGCAGTTCCGAAGCCGGTACGAACGACGACGCCGAAACATCCGCCGTCAGGAGTGTCACCTGCATCGTGCAGCGTGATTACTACGGTGCATAAGGTACAAAAGAAAAAAATCGCTTACCGCCATTGGTCGCCTGTAGCACTTTTGTACCGCTGAACAGAACGGCGTTCTTGTGTACACCATCAATATCGAGCTTCTCGTCAGGCTCCAAGAGTTGGATGGATTCCTTTAGAAGGGGTGTCGATTCGCCAGAAAGCATAGCTTCATTGACGATACATGTACCTTTGACGAGGAGGATATCGGCGGGAATGGTAGTCTCGGTCGGTTGTCGAGCTACGGATTCATGATGAACTGATAGGACAGGTGAAGATGAAGTCAAACGTACCAATGGACACGACATCTCCAGGGAGGAGGTCGTCTGACAGAACGGAAACCCATTTACCATCGCGCTTCACGTGCACTGTATACGGTGCAACAGACATCGTGCGAAACTCAGTCAGCGTTCTCAAACGCTATGACACGATTAGTATCCACCCCATCAATCAGCCATCGCGAAGATTTGCACATACCTGCCAGACGACGGTGCATTCAAAGACAACCAACATAAAAAGCGTGAATAGACTGTAGTACCAGTACTCATCCAGACACCAGAGGGTGACACAGAAGATTTGAAAGACAAAGAATGGCGCCGTAGCATGTTCCCCGAACAATTCGCTGAACGATGGAATCGGGATGTTAAATTCATTCTTGCCGTACAAACGCGTGAGTTCCTCGGTTTGAGCCGAAGTCAAGCCTTTCGGCTCACGGTATTTTGCCAAAGGAGGGGAAGAAGACGAAGGGTACGGCAAGACCTGGAAAGTGGGCGGTGAGGTAGATTTGATAACATAGGTGTCCCGTTGATAGTTGAATGTGTAAGAACTTGGGTCCGAAGGAGTCTTCTTGACCAAAGGTACAATCTCTCCAGAGCCACGGTGAGGTGCTGGCATGAGACGAATGCAATCTGCTTGCTCGAGTGAATTTGCCTGCATTGGTTCAGATTCAGCCGAGGACATGTGTAGCATAGAAAGGATCATTACTCACAGAAATGGTAGTGATCCTGGCTAGGGCACCCGTATTCCATTTCGTAATCAAGAAACTCAGAGCATGCCCGACGCCGAGAGAGACGCAGGCTAGGAACGTCCATTCTTCGCTTTGAATCCATTCGTCATACTTAACATAGAACGCGTACGCCAGAACCGGGTAGAGTGCAAGGAAGGGTATGGTGTAGATATGCAGGTACCATGGAAGAGACCTGTGCAGAGTCGCCCCGACGATTTCCGAGGACTCTACGTTCACAGAGACCCTACAAGGGAACAATCGGTAAATTAACTTTCATTCAAAAGCACAGGCGGCATACATTTTGAATACAACTGGCAGCTCAGCGAGAAAGCTGAGGACCAGCTGAAGTCTTCAAACCAGACCAGGTATATGCAGAGGATTAGAGACCAAGACAAACTTCCCCCAAGGGATGCTCTCGAGGAGATGGTCAAAGAAAGTGGCTGCTGTACGTGCTGGCTTCGGCGCTGAGCAGTATGTGCCGGAGTGACGTGACTCCGTGACATTCGGGGGAGAGCGTGACATGCGCTCGATCCTGTCCCGATCAGATTTGCACAAGGACTACCACAACCTACTACCACTACTAGCCACGGGCCTACTCTCATCAACCCGGATTCTTCTTGAATGAATAATACTTTATAATGGCATATCCCATCGACAAGATTCAGAATTTCTACTCCCCTCGCCAACCCGTGCAACCCATTCCGGAACAGACTCGAATTCAGATTGATCGGCCCAATACCCCAGAACGAATTCGAGAGCGACAAGTCAAGAGTGTACGTCTCCTTACTTGCTGAGTGCGCGCCATACCCGGTTAGCTGAGATGCTTCCCACCACCGAACTTTTGTTCTGATCATCCTAATATTAGGTCCCTCCTCCGTTTTCCCATAAACCTTCCGATTCCGAATTCTATGTACGCGATCCTAGGACGGGTGCGCTGAAGCCGAATGTGGACCTGCTCAAGGATCATTTCCTCCATGAGGGACGGCTAACAGAGTCTCAAGCCCTATTCATACTGGAGCAAACTACCGATGCCATGAAGAGTGAACCGAATATGCTTCGAATTAATGGTCCAGTCACTGGTATGCTTCCTCTCCTTGATATAGTGTGCAGCTGCTCATGCTGCACAGTTTGTGGGGATATACATGGACAATATGTAAGTGTCCGAAATTCTGTTCGGGATCAACCCTTCTAATCGCTACTGTCTTCAGTATGACCTTATGAAAGTCTTCGAAGTCGGGGGAGATATCGGGTCTAATCCTTACCTTTTTCTTGGAGACTATGTTGACCGAGGTTGTTTTGGGATCGAGGTAACTTCCTTGAGTTTACGCTCGATATTCCCTGCACTCAAATTTCCCTAGTGTCTTCTTTACATCTATGCCCTCAAGCTCTGGTACCCCAACTCCCTCTGGCTCCTGCGTGGAAACCACGAGTGTGGACACCTGACCGCATACTTCACCTTCAGACGAGAATGTTCGTCATAGGTGGTTTTCATCTTCATGTATTTGGCTAACGACGATCATTTCTACGCGTTACAGGTCTCCACAAGTATTCGGAAACAGTATATGACGCGTGTATCCGCTCTTTCTTCGCGTTACCGTTGACAGCACTCATTGATGGCAAATTCTTCTGTGTACATGGTGGTATATCACCCGAATTGGACGTGTTATCCGATTTGGACAAGGTATGCGATTTCTCCAAAGGAGGGTATGTCAACTCATCGATCCTTTGTGCATCTCAGGTTGACCGATACTGTGAACCTGCCTCAAGCGGACTTTTATGTGACCTTCTATGGGCAGACCCCATCCCAAACTTCGGACACGAGGTGAGTGGAGTTAACCTCGTTTCGTTATCACTAGTCTTATCTTGTATTCGTACTCCAGCAAGAGCCATCTTACGAACGACCACAAGGCCTACCTCCAGGAACGTTATGGGAGCACAATGGTACCCGAGGCTGCAGTTATTACTACACGTGTGTGAACTTCTCGAATCTGTCGATTTCGAGAGAAGAATCATCTGATAAGTTCTAATGTTGTAACAGGTACGAGGCTGCGTGCAAGTTCCTGGAGCGAAATCAGCTGTTGGGAATCATCCGAGGACACGAAGCGCAGGACGCTGGGTGAGTGAATCGCGCCTTTGGTTCGCCCTGGATTTTTATTTATTTACTGACCGTTCATGGGCAGATATACCATGCATCGTAAAACACCATCAAAGAAGTTCCCGTCTGTCATTACCATTTTCAGTGCGCCAAATTATCTAGACGTATACCACAACCGCGGAGCGGTTATCAAGTATAAAGACAAGAACATAACGATCCGGTACGTCAATCCTTTCATCTTCATCCCCTCTACTCACTCATCCGCTTTATTACAAGACAATACAATGCCACCGCCCACCCTTATTGGCTCCCCAACTTCATGGACGCCTTCACCTGGTCTCTGCCCTTCGTCGGCTCCAAGATCACCGACATGCTCCTCGCGATCCTCTCCATTTGTACTGAAGACGAGTTGGAAGATGACGGATCATCACAAGGTGACGAAGATGATGCAAGGACGTTGGGTGATATGACTCTCTCGCCAAGTGAGGCCGCTGCCAGGCGTCAACAGATCAAGAATAAGATTCTCGCGGTTGGTAAGATGCAGAGGGTATTCCAACTCTTGCGGTACGTTCTCAACGTATTGTCGTTGTTATGACAATGCTCAGATCTTACATCTTGACATTACAGTGAGGAAGCGGAGCATGCCACAGAACTTATGACAGCTGCACCAACGCCCTTACCTACACCAATTGGTGGACCCCCTCCACCAACCTCATGGCCTGGCGGGTTCGCCCAGCCAGATGCACTCGGCGTGCATGTCAACGAACTCAAACGATACATCCGCTCCTTCGACGATGCTCGTAAATCGGATCTAGTCAATGAACGTATGCCTACATTCACACCGACTGCGCTGCCCCTTGTACCTGTTCCAAGTATGAAGCTACCTCGGCTGACTCAGGAGAGTAGTATGCATACAGGCGACACCCCTGCGCAGAATATGGAAGAGCTGATTAGGAAAGCGTTGGAAGAGGAAGGATTGAGCGATGGGGGTGTTGTTGAAAGGATCGCTGAGAAGATCGCGAGAAGTAGTAAGGCGAGCAGTCGGCCTAGTGCATTGAGACGATTCGAAACTGTCGGATGAGCTATGGGGAGATCAGAGAAGAAGGGGTACGGAGAATCTGCATGTGATTTAGTATGCTTCCTGTGACTTGTGTATCTGTATATGTTGTAATTGTCTATGCTTTATATCTGTGTACGATTACTACCACCTACTATGCAATCTGGATTGTCAATGGCTACAACAAAAGAAAGGGCCCATTTTGAGTGCAGAAAAGTTGTGCCGTGGATATCACAAGACCAGAAATGATTGCCTAAACATACAGTATCATCTACAAGATTCTTATGATGTCTCAGTACATGATAACCAGAATGAAAGGATATATCTTCACCCATCGTTGAACTTCTTTCTCTTCCCGATAGTATGTCACACCCGTCAAGCTGAAGCGTACTTCTCTGTCCACTCCCGACTAACACGCTGGGCATCCTTCTCGTCCTCCTTGTAATGCTTCGCAACATCAGTTGCCAGGGGATCATCCGGATTTGGCGAGCTAAGCAGAGCTTGTATAGATAATAGGACGGTCCGAATTTGGAGCGCGGGGGACCACTTATCCTTCAGGATATCTAGACAGATTCGTCCGAGCTTGTCTGCAAGCATGACACAGATCAATCAGACAATAGCCCAAGTACAAGAGATTAGGGAATGCACCAATGTTGGGATGATAGATCTTCGTAAGGAATCGTACTTTCGGCGGGGCCATAGGGTATTCTTCGGGCAGGAACAGTTCGAGACGGAATACACCATCTGTCAGAACATCGAACACGTATGTTAATGCGGCATACGCATAGAGGTGATAAGGAGGGACTCACTTGCGAATGGACTTCCATCGGGACCCTGTATAGTAACATCGAAATATCGAAGGTTATCCTCGTGTGGTGAGGCTGTAATACCTGGCGCAGGGTCGGCAACAAGACGCTCGGTTTCCTGAAGTAGAGAATGGACGATTCATGGTATTAAGAACTGTAGGGACAAGTCCAGTGGCGTACCTTGATGATTCGCTACAGGACACCTTGTAAGTCCCGGAAAGCACGGATACATATCATAATACACTACTACATACCTTAGGGAGTGACATAATCCCGTTTGTAAGGATAGAAAGTGAAGATTGCAAAGAGAAAGGAAATGATATGGAAGAGACGGAAAGTGTCAAGACTCAAGAGGCTTAGTAGCTTGGGCATCCCACCGATCTCATTCGGCCACTCAGTTTTCCCACGGAGGATTTCCTCTTACTTCCAGGTCGCGATCACTCCAATTCAACTCTAACTCTGATTTTCCACTTTCTACTATACAGCCTTGACTGAGAAGTTCGAATCTTACTGATGGAAGAACCACAGGTGGAGCAGCCTGACTGATCCTAAATGATCATACCAATCACGTCACGTATAACTTTATAGGGCGAGAAATCCAGTCAACCGCAAGATGATTGGGTACGGTTTATTAGCTCGGACGGGTATAGCTTTCTCGTCAAGCGCAAGGTAGCACTTGCGAGCCCTACCTTGCGCGGTATGCTCGATGTCAGCAGTACGTGAGCCTGTCATCCAACACCTCGGACTGCATGCTGACAACGTCGCGGAAGGTAATTTCGCTGAGGCGGCCATGAATACTTGTAGACTGGAAGAAAGGTTCGTGAAGCTCTTATTCTACTACAGTGGAAGAACTGATGTGCCCCCTCCAGAGGCATTGTAGTTGAGAAACTACTGGAGTACCTTGCGTATAAATCTACATTTGAGAGCGCCCCGAAGAAAGAAGATATCCCAGACTTCATGGAGCGTATTGCCCCTGAGATAGCACTGGAACTGTGAGCCGTTCGCTGTGATGGTGTACCTGCAGGACTCCTGACATCTTCACCAGTTTGATGGCAGCCGATTATTACGACTGTACGTTGCAGATATGCGGAATAAGGTGCTTAACATTGACCATCTTTTCAGCTTGATCCACGCGGTGTCCTTCAAGCTTGAGGTACCAGCCACATCGGGTATATCTTGCAACCGTCTCTATGAGGCATGGTTGCAGAGTTGTTCCTGCCCCGGCAATCTATGCATGGATTATCATTACCACCCGTGGTGTTTCCCGGCTCATTTCTGCAATGACTGTCATGCTCTATGATTGCAGAAAAAATATGAGCGTTTCCGATAAGGAACATGCCGTAATGTCCTTGGTTTCCTGTTGACACCTGTGTAGTATTTGGTACCCTTGGGTCTCGTTCGTTGGTCTCACGACCTCATACTCTAGTGTACATGTGCGACGTTGTACCTTCGTCACATAAGCAATAGATAATCCCATCTTGTGAAAGGCATGAAAGACGAGACCTTCCTCGTTGGGACAGCTACTTGAGCGCATCAATCTGAGCATGCATCCGATCGTGTGATCGCGACCGACCTTCCTCCATTGTTCCTTCCACCGCGTATTCATCTTATTTCCTCAAGAGTATGCAACGTCCCAGGATCGCCACTCACCCAAAATCACGAGAACGACATAAAGCTTTACGCGCTACTTCCCTTGCCAGTGGTATTTCATCTCAGACGTGAGGACAAAGAAGAGTGCCACTGCCTCCGAATATATATACGACTCGCTCGAGAAGATAAACCTGAGCTCTTCTTACCCTCTACCAAGATGGATGACAATGACATTAGCATGGCAGATGGGTATATGGACCCAGAGTTTCGCGCAGCAATGTTTCCTCAGGTACCCACCCTCGTTTGGAAGTCGACCCAGGACACGCAATGCGCTATCTTGGGAGAAAAGCTTGCTGCAAGTGGTGAGTTCTTACACGATCTCTCTGCAACGAATACCATAAAGATGCTCATATGTTCTCCAAGCACGTCCGGTTGAGAAACCAACTCGCTCCTCTTTGTTCGATCTATATCGAACCCCTTCAGGTTCATCGTCTGGTCCTACTCTTGTTATCCCCGGGCGTCGACAGAAACCCGTGCCTATAGATCAAGCACCCCGAAATTATAATAGGTCCGCGGAGGAAGAGAACGTATTCGTACCGCTCTTCAGGAATGCCGATAAGACAATGGATAATAATTCTTATGCCAAGAAGAGACGTAACGAGAAACAGGCTCTTCGACAGGCCCAGTCTACCGAAGGAGTATCAATTATTGTTGAGGACCCAGTTCCTCAACGTTCAAGTTCGCGCTCTGAACGCTCTAGAGACAAGAGTAGCCATGTCTCCAAAACCATCCGCAACGGACGCACCATGGGGGCGGAGGACATGGGGGACATTAGTGCTGATGGTGGTATGCAGTCACCAGCTTCCATACCACCATCTTCCTGCTCTCCAGGGATCGTAGAAACTGACGGCGATGAATCGCCTATCTCGGTCTCGAACTCGAAGGCACGAGCATCACGACCAGTCCAACAATTGGCAACTCCCCCTACAACCTCGAGTTCATCTGCACGAACATCTTCATCTTCATCTATCAAATCTAATCCTGTCTCGCGCAGTTCCAGTTCGAAGGCAATGCCAGATCATACAACAAGGACTCCTGCGCCACCCCCTCCTCCTGCCGTATCAGTTGCACCGACCATTTCACCGGTACAACGAACATCTCAATATCCTCGACCTACGCCTCCGGCCCTAGGCATGCGTCGTCCTACGTATAATGGTGCGAGTACCCTAGAATCGAGATTGGCTGGTCAGCTTCCTACGAAGCAACGTCGTTTCAAGCCACCCTCTGCCCGACCTCCGGGTGGACCATCGGCATCAGGAGCAGGGGCAGGGACAGCAGTGGTTCAGCAGCCTTCGAAATCTGCGCCGCAGCCACAGGCTCAAATTCGAGTGTCTGAAGCTCAGGAGCCTTCCAAATCCGCTGCCACCGCTCATCCTCAACAGCAAGTCGCAGCCCCGAAACATGCTCCTGTTGCGCGGTCACGATCACGTTCGTATTCACCTCCCCTTGATGCGGACTCCAGTTACGGTAACCTTAGCATGGAATTTGACTTCGATACTATTAACGAAGTTATGAAGGAATACGATTGAACAAGGACATCGGGTTCATCTTTCATCCATGTTTCATTTTTTTCGTTCATCTAAGATTATACCATGCATCCTTGAGCTTGCTTCGACATTGTTGGTACATGTTTCGTATACTGCTTTCGTTCCACATTCGCTAATAATGATCGTTCTATGTATCTAGTACGTTAGGGTAATTTTGACTATGGTTATACTGTAGAAGACAGAAGGAATAGTATGTATCTCCAAGGATAGAAAAACTTCCATACTTTTGTGCACAATATGTCCGAATACCGGCAAAGAAACAGATCTAGCACTTGATCGATGAGAAGCACATTAGAGAGGAATTCCAGCGTATTCATCGTAACCCAAAGCAAGGTTCAAGTTCTAAGAAAAAAATATCAGCACAAAAAAATTCACGAATGTAACTCGGGTGATCACGTACTTGAAGGCACTGAGTAGCAGCACCCTTGAGCAAGTTGTCCAAACCACCCACAACAACCGCCCGATCTCCGTCACTGTGTACCTGGAACCCACCGACGGACCATCCGTGCTTACCCTCCACATCCGGGAGTGTGGGCACCTCCTTCTTGATCGTCACTAGCTTCTCGCCAGAGTACTTCTCCTCATACAACTCTTGCACATTCTTCGCGTTCAACTTCCCATTCAGAGGCATGGACAAGACGGAGGTGATTCCACTGAACCATGGTGCAACATTAGGGATGAAGGCAACCTTGAAAGCTTGCGACGGGTCTGCAAGGAGATGTGATAGGTGATAGCCAGCCTCACGTTCGTGAATATGGTTGGTCAGAGCATAAGGTCGAATACCACCACCAAGGCTTTCGGGTGTGACCTTAGGTGCAGTTGTAGGTCGTCCATCCGCTTCGGGAGGACCGGCGATAGTGCCTGCACCGCTATATCCAGAAATACCAAACACGGTTGGCCAAACGCCAGGCTTAAGGTGGTTCAAGAGAGGCGCAACAAGGAGCTGAGTCGAGGTGGCGTAGCATCCTGGGTTTGATATCCTCTTTGCGGCACGGATGTTCTCGCGAGAGTAGAGCTCTGAAGTGCGTGTTAGGAAGCGAGAAAGCGATGATCATTAGGTGTGATAATACAAAGATACGTTTACGCAGAAGCCTCACCAGGAAGTCCGTATGTCCAACCGTTTTCAAATCTATAGTCCGCGCTCAAATCCACCACAACACTCCTGTCAGTTCCCCTCTCCTTCGCCCCCCGATCTACTGCATCAACGAAAGGCTTGCAGATGCCATTTGGTAAGGCCATGATCCAGGCATCGACCTCGCCTTCTTTCTCCATCTTTTCCACATCCTCGACACTCAAGTTAGAGTATGTGATGTTGGACTTGGCGTACTCCTTGAGAGGGTATCCAGCGAGTTGACGCGACGAAACATGTGTGAGTTCCAAGTGAGGATGTTGAGAGAGGATCGAGGTGAGTGCTTGACCAGTGAAGCCACGAGCACCGATCAGAGCCACGCGTTTTGGTTGAGTCGAAGGAGCAGCGGTTGCATATCCTCTTTGAGAACCAGGAAGGACACGTCTTGCGAAACTCGAGTACGACCTTGTTCCCAAAGCAGCGGAGGGGCGATGACGCGGTCCGACAGGCAGGAAACTCCTAGCGATCCGTCCATTGGCCTCGAAACCCTTTACAATCTTCTCAACTTCATCCACATCATGTATACCATACCAGAACAAACTCTTTCCATTCCTTGTGAAGCTTCCATCCGCTCTCTCGAAATGCCAAGCACGATTCTCATCGTCCGCGCGTGCAGTCCAGAAGAGCTTTTTGTGGTCCTTCTTGATGGCATGCCACACGTTGTCAACGATCCCGTTCAAAACACCAGACCGCGAGGCGAGAAGTTTGGTCATAACGGGAATCTCGCCTTCCGGACGAGTGACGATCGCAACGACGTCCATTGGTTCATCTCCGTAAATCGTGTAGGGTGCCTTCTTCAACTCGTTGAGGACACCAGTGACGCTTTGATCTCCGGCCAGAACATCTGGGTCTCGGTCGTGGATGACTTGACGCAAGCGATCCGGACCGACACTGTCGATAGAGTCGTGTTTGTATAGTTTGTAGCCACGACGAATGAGGGTTCCTGCACCAGTGTCGGTGAAGAGTTCGCGCTGGAGCATATCTGCTGAGATGACAGCTACGGATGAGGTACGGGGTAGGTTGTCCAAGAGTTCCTTAAATTCTCGTAGTTTGAGCTTGGTACCATACTTGACCCATGGTTGTTTCATCAACTCCTCGTATTCCTGCAGGACTGTAAGTACTGGTAGAGTAGGATTACGATGGACCCTACCTCGTCGAGATTGATAACATCGAGTTTTTCGCCCGTCACACCGTGGAACAAACCACCCTTCTCGTTCAAGAAAACAATCTTGATAGGCTCGAGCTCCTTCGCAAGCTCACCTGCCGCGATATCCGCATTCACATTCAAGATCTGACCGCTGTCGCTCTCTGCCAAACTGGTCAGGATTGGCAGTGCACCAGCACGAATGGATGCCTCTAGAGGACGTTTATCAATCCTTGTAATTTTACCGACAAGGCCGTACTTGTCTTTGTCGAGATAGTCGGCGGTGAAAACACCAGAGGTGATGGGGCGAGCCCGGGTTCCTAGCTTTTCGAGTGCAGCAACGAGTTTCAAGTTCTCCTCGAGGAAAACACGCCGTGCGATCGAAAGAGTCTTCGCATCTGGAAAGAGAAGATATGATCAGCCTTATTTCGAGTGGGGTTCTGGTAAGTGAATGAGTTGTGAAATAGTTTCTGCATGTGTTCAACATAATTGGCAATCATAGGCGTCATCGATAGATGTCACCGTCAACGCCACAGCAATAGGTTTTGTAAAAGACATTTACTGCAAACGCCTCGCAGACCTGCCTGAAGTGGACAGGTCCGACCAAATACAGCAGGGTGGCGCCCAAACTCCAAATATGAATCAACGTGAATAAGAAAAAGCGGTGGGACTAGGCGTCCTTGTATGCAGTGGAACAGAATGTCGCTTCCGCGAAATTAGCCGGACAAGCATCTCGTCCGTAGTGAGGTGTGGTTTGGGGACATCGGCCGGTGGACAGACACGTCGATCTACTCCCTTCGGCTTTGCTGAGAGGCTAATGGCCTAACGCAGTCAATATCCCCACCAAACGCGAACTGTCAAGCTCCGAGAGGGTATACCAATCGTGTCATCTGGCCTCTATATGACGGAACCACAATAGATGCAGGGTCTGAGCTGGTCTGAGCTATTTCTGCAATAACCGATGTTGTTCAGGCACCTCTCGTCTCTACGATGGATGACGATAGACCCGACGCCAAGAAAGCATCGATCTGATACCGAGCCACGGCCGACTCTGTCTATGGGTACCTCCGCAGTCGAGCTCTTCAGCGTATGCGGCAGACCGAAGGTGCCCGAAGACAAGTCGACTTGCGGTAAAGCAAAACAATGGGCAGAAAGCCGTCCAATGAATTTCGATGAAGATGAGGTTTGGTGCACTTACCTGTTACACGAATACCATCGATGTAATCCGGAACGATACCCTCGCTTTCGATGATGCCGTTCAATTGGGGACCTGCACCATGGAGCACAACAGGGTAAAGACCGACACGGTAGAGGAAAGAGAGGTTGAGAGCGAGTTCGTCAACCTGGTCAAGCACGGCACCACCGATCTTGATGACAGCAAATTTAGCAGGCTGATTTGCATCTGAGGAAGATGAGAATATTCTGAGGTAGCGCTCCACTTCACGCTTGGTTCCAATGGAATAGAGGAGTCGGGTAATCGTATCCTGTGTAAAGTCAGAGAGCGAGTCCTGGTGGTAAGTCAGAATGTTGCAGACACACCCTGTCAGTCTGTGCAACAGAGTTGATTGACCGGGCAGGGACCAGCTGCCGCTGCCTAACTATGTGAACGGCAGCAGGACGGGGGGCAGCAAGGATTGCACGCTTTCCATTGCGTACGGAGAGGGTACGGCTGGTAGCGAGCATGGTGGAAACTTGAGAGGAAGCTGTAGGACTTATGGGGTTTTTATACTCAAGAGCCGGAAGTAAGAAACATGCGCTTACCTGGAGAGGTCGAGGGTCACAGCCAACCCAAGAATACAGTCCACTCAGGATCTACTAGCACAATTCTCGCAGCGAGTCATGGTGCTGACTAAGCTGCACACACGTCTATATATGGCCTTTGTATTTCGCCCTTGCCACTGGCACCTCCTCCTTTACCACGACCTCCTTCCTACTTCCAAAGACTCTGTAACAGAACAAGGAATCATTTGTCTCACACTACAAACTCGACCGTCGCTGTCGACGTTTGTGCCCTTTTCATCGCTTCTGGATAGCTTACATCTTCATTACCCTGACCTCAAGAGCCACCTTGATTCAGACTTATGTCTGCCCATGAACCTGCCTTCTTCATAGAGCCCTCTTCTTCGTCCAAACGTTCCTTTGGTCAGATATCAGAGGACAGCGAATATCCAGAGGCGAGTGGCAGCGCCTCAAGCAGTTCTGACACCAGGCATGGGCGGAATGGGCGGAATAGTCGTAAGCGAGCGCGTAGCGATTCCCCAGAAAGAGGGGATGCCATACAGGTGCAGCAGGACCTTAGCGGCTCTGCCTCGTTTACTGCATCTCCCAATGCCGTCGCAATCAGTGTATTTCCCACTGCGCCTCTTCCCGTCCTGAGCAGCCCCTCGCTTTTGCCGCTGCCAATTCCAGACGTTACTCCTCTATCTCCCACGCCTGAGCCTGTCATTTCCCCAGTTGACAACACCGAACGTCTCAGGAGGTCATTAGAGCGCTCGAATGCCTTTGACGACTATATATCTGTCTTGCGCAGGGGACGCGATCAGGCCTCTCCTGCACCTCCGAGTGAAAGTACCCAATCAAATGAGGTGGGGGAGCGTTCCCGTTTTCTTGCTGAACACATCGAGCAATATCACCAGATGGAGGCTACAAGACCCGTCGATCCGACAAGACCACATCGTCGGCCAGCAGAAGCAAGGGGAGTAGCGGTACAGCATGGCATCTCTACACCGTATACATATACAACACCCTACCAATCTTTCCATCTTTCCCCCTCTTCTACATCCTCCTCTTTTCCTTTCAGACGGAGTAATAACACTGCTATCAGTAGCTCTGACAATAACAGCAACGACAACAGGCCTAGTCCTCTCCGCCCCTTCCCTTACCCAACGCCGAATCAGACGTCTCCCGGAGTTCCAGACCCAACTCCTGTCGATGTCACCTCCCCTACTTACGATATTGACATTCCTTTGAATATTCTGAACCCCTTTGGTGCGGACGCCGACTCGGATATCGAAGACCTTACACACTTTGTCCCACCCAGTACTCAAAGCAATAATCGATTACCACCTGGTAGAAATCATCCCTCGCCGATTCCTTCCAGTCGTCACTACGCGATGGATCCCGCTGGCGACAGAGGTTTCAGTCAACGTGATGACTTATGGAATGACAATCTTGAGAGATGGGCAGGTACGTCTGTTGATCGCTGTGTATCACTTATCTGAGAATTTTTACAAGTAGCAGCTGCTTCTCGTCGAGACTCACAGGACCGTTGGGATGACCGAGAAAGAATTGAGCGTGACTGGAGTGCGGGTCTTGAGAGCCATACGAATACGAATGAAAGGCGGGGATTTCAGTCACGAAGAGGTGAATATATTGATTGTCTACCATACATATCATCCGAGCTCATCTCTACGTCAGGTCCTGCGAACGTTCCTTCCGCTCCTCGAGAGCCTCCTAGGTTCTACAATAAGGCACCACCAATACAACATTCACCAGTGTATCCAGTTGTTCCCAACTTTTCCGGTTTTCCTGCTTCTCCCGCTCAACGCGAAACTGACCAGGACAGCTATCAGCACGATCATGTCATGTCTGAACGGGGACCATGGATCCGCATAGTCGACGACGATGACGCTCTCTTTGAACGTGCTAACAGGCGTACTGGCAGGAACGGCCGAAATGAGTTTATGCCACCAAATCACAGTGCTAGCGGGAGACCTGCCTTGCCTCTATCTTCGAACGGTGGAAGACGAGAACCTCTGAGCGTGGAGCGCATGTTTAGCGATGTGAATGCCGACATTGTAGATGGTATCCTCAACCGCAACGACATCGAGCGCGAAGGGTTAGGTTCACCACAAGTGCGAAACTCGTTGTCGTATCGCAATCCACCGTCATCATCTTCATCTAACTCATCTCGTGCTTCGAACGGGTCACAGTCTTCAGCGTACTTCTCGGCATCTTCCTCTCCATACCCTTCAACTGGGCCAACCAGTTTTTACCCCTTTTCCTTAAACACTTATTCTCCAGGTGTGAGTCGCTACCACACCGCGGTGTCAAATTTCAACGTTCCGGAGAGAAGCGATCCTCCTGCATCCTTCTCTGTGGCGGAGCGAAGTCAAAACGAGGTTCCTCGGCAGGCTACGTCTGGGAGGGAAGTCGAATTGGTGCTACAGAGTTTCCAGGACGTTCTTGGGAATATTGGCCGCCCTGAGCCTTCTACATCTAGTGGCCAGACTGGCACTGACGGAAATACGTCATTACCTTCGTCAACAAGAGCACGAGATGCTAGTAACCCCCTCGAACTCGAACGACATCTTCGGCAGATTGAACAGGCAGACGAATCTTCTCATAACAGACGCTACAACCTTTCTCCAAACGCAATTGCTGATGACCTTGAGGAGATTCTGCCGGACAATGCTCTATCCTCCCCTCATCCGGATTTGGATGAGGATGTCACCATGGACAGGGCTATACGGGCTTCCATCCAGGCTGCAGAGGGACTTGCGGCTGAGTTTAGCAATGCAGGTGTTCCTGAGATCTCTCCTGAGCTGAGGCAACTGTTGCGTACTGTCCAAAACCACACATATTCATTATCACAAACCTCTAGGCGCACACCTTCTCGAGGACCTTCTCGTCATGAACGCCCTGTGCCAGAAGTGGAACACAGGGCACCGGGCCCATACGAGCATCTACCTTCGGCCCTTCGTCCGTCGCCCGTCGCCGTTGATTTCCGCATCGAGAATGGAAGAGTGGTGGAGGCGCATCGCTTCAACCCGTTGACAGACACAACAGGTCCACCGGTGGACGCCCTAACCTATCTTCGAAATCGCCAACAGGCCTTGCGTGACGGACGTGCGCTGCAAGCCCAACTACGAGATGGCCGTCCTCAAGGACAGAACCCTGCTTCAGTTTCAACCATGGAAGGTTGGAGACCGCCTTCGCCGCCACCAGCACCGACACCACCTTCACATTCTGCGAGATCTTCCCAATACCCTAATTTGAATCTCAATGATTTCCATGACGGTCCTTTCAGAGCCTCCATGGCCCGTACTATGGCGTTGAATCGTCGCCGTGCTATGGGTCAGGCTATCGCTGGGAATAGGCCTCCCCCAAGTCACTCTCTTGCTTCACGTCCCAATCGGGATTCCGAAAGAGCGCAACCTAGTTCAAGACCAAGTCGCCCGCCCTATGCCATTCCACCAAGAAACTATCTCGTAAGTCCTTACTTGGTCTCTTAATCTTCGGTATTCTAACATTGCATTATTGCAGGATTCGCGATCTTCATCACGCCCTACTCCTTCCATTGGCACTGAAAGAGACAGGCCACCCGTTCTTCGAGATCTCGATTTTTACAACCCGGGTACTGGCGACAACGGTACATCCAGAAGACGAGCTAGCTTTTCTCGTGAACAACCGCAGGTTTCTTCGCAGTACTCTCGCGACCAACGAGAGCTCCATGATTTCGTTACTCGTCGAAGGCCGGTAGCTACTCTAGCTCTGCAAGTTAACGAACCCAATTCTAGACATGAGGACTTGCCACTCTCATTCACTCGGCGCGGCGATCGTGATCGTAACGATGTCTATAGACGACGCAATAACGATGGGAGGTCTTCTGATTCATGGGGAAATATTGCTGGAGATATCTCAATGGGTAGTCCAGACATGTCTGTTGTTAGTTCTCGTCCCTTGGATCCCGTACCAACGCCTGCCATACGTGGCCCTCCCCCGCGTTTAAGACACCAGCCGGCTCATGGTTCGCGTTCAAATCGCGGGTGGGGCCGTGATTCGCCGCCATTGATACCTACCGGTCCTCCCCCGTTCTCCTATGCTCGTCACGCTGACGCAAGGCCGGTCAATGGAGCGCTACCGCCTCACTTGCAAGCTGGAACCACTATGCAGAGTCCGCACAATAGAGCCCGACTTCAGGCAGATATAAACACTGAGCTAGAACGTTCTCGTGAAGACCGGCTTACTCGCGTTCGTCGTCATGCGCATGCCAGAGAGCTATCACGAATCATAGTAAGTGAAGTTCATTATAGAAAAGAATAGATGTATAGATACTGACATATGGATGCAGGGATCTAACGACCTCGAGAGCGCGTACGAAGGTCTTGTTCGCTTTACTGCAATTATGGAGGAGGGCGGAACGCGACGAGTTCCTCAGGCTGTCATTGATAGCCTTCCTAGTGGCGTTTACAGCGACTGGGCTACGCCTGGTGAATCTGAAGACTGCTGCCCTATTTGTCTCGACGACGTGAGTGCCATCTCGCTTTTGCCTCTAGTGATCATTGCTGACCACTCCGCTTCAGTATGAGCAGGATGCCCCAGTTCTAAGGGTCCCGGCTTGCAAGCACTGGTTCCATAAGACTTGTCTTACACAGTGGTTGAAACGTGGGGATACTTGTCCCGTGTGCCGAGCAGCTGTTCGTCCAGAGCAAGGAAATGGTCCACCTACCCGAGGCTTTCCCCCTGTGCCTGGTCCCAGCAGTAGCCGTGGCGGTAGAAGATTTGATTCTGACGACGACGAAGATGATTTCTTCCTCCCACTTGACTTGTTTTGAACGAACGGTTGGACAGTATATATAGCAATCTCTCGCATATCCTCGCATTCTGTTTCAGATTCCCCAACTTGTATTTTTGCATGATCTTGCACGTTGCGCATCTTTTATATATTAGTGTTACCCCGCATGTACAATCACAGACTTCCTGTATCACACACATCACATGGCTTTCATGCTTTCCAGTATAACGATGGATTCGATCACAGGGGCAAATTTGCAGGCATGTCAACTCAAAAAGCGGGTCCTGGAAGACAGAACGTGCGCGGAAGAGCGTCGCAGGCCGTATATTGTCGTAGAATCCCGAGTCCAGTGCGCGTAACAGAGTACGACGGGTGAAGAAAGCCTCGCATACATAGTATCTGGAGAGCAATATAGCACATATACATTCCCATATAATCGACGCTTGTCACCCCTGCCTTGACAGCCTCCCGCCGCGGCGCAGACAGGAGCGACTCGCCCATAGGACAATCATAGAAGTCGGTAGAAAGTGAATCCTCCTCTACTTCTTTTTGGGAGTCTTCTTGATCTCGACAACAGTGAGACCTAAAAAATGACAGAAGCGAATGAGTTTCTCAAGACTGAACCTTGCAAATTCACTGCGCACCAGGAGGGAGCGACTGCTGCAGCTTGTCGGCCTTCTCTGGGTCATCAAGAGACAAAGTGTAGAGGTATCGTGAGCAGCGAATCTTGAACTTTGTCTTCACCTTGCCACCGGGCACCCGCGGCGCGATCTTCTTGATACGTGCCTCTGCAATACAAGTTCAGATGAGTTCCTCCGTAAATGTAAATTCAAACATACGAGACGCATCCTTGCGGGTAGCAATCTCAATAAACTGCTTGATGTCACGGACTTCCTTGGGCTGCGAAGTGCAATAGTCAGCCTCGTCATCGTCATTAACAGCAAGAGCATACGTACCATGACTGGCAGGTGTCTTGAGGTCAGTGCCCGTACTTTGTGGTGAATGTATCTGATAGCCCGAAACGGATGTGGCTGAAACTCTATTTCCACCTATACAGCTCCGGGATGTGCCGATCGGTGCTCGTGTTGGCGCCCAGCGAAGATGGAAGAGCAAAAATCGTGAAATGTCATAGAACATGGGGATATATAATGATACATGCCTAGTGTACCTATGTAAACAAAAACACAGCAATGTCCGAGGAGAGATAGAAATGCAGGTATAAGTATCGTAAAGGTCGTAACAATCGTGAAAGAATCCAAAAATGTATGTAGTACTTGAAGAATATTGAGCATTCATACTAAGATCATTTCCTAGGGGAACTCGCAGGAGAACCGAGAACAGTCGATGGTCGTTCCAGACGGCTGCGCAACCGTTCCACTTCAAGTTCAAGGCTGCAGAGGGGTGTCAGCAATTACGAAATCATGCGATGGATGGCACTCACTTGAGGGCTTTCTGCTTGAGATCTGTGGCTTCACGTTCTGCCCGCTGTTTGGCAAGCTGGAGATTGTTCTCGGATGTTTGCTAGAGAAAAGAACAGTCAAAAACGACACACAAGGATCGATATGCACATTAGCTTACTAATTCGTCCATAGCTTGGCGCATGGAGACGACCTTCGTTTCGTATGTCTTCACCTCTTCTTCAAGACGAGCTCTCTGTCGGTCAGCTTCTGCTAGCTGGAACTTGGTGTCTCGAGCACTCTTATCAACTGAGCGGTGCAAACGAGAGCTTTCCTGAGAATTTTTGCCGAGCTGGCTGGTGAGCTCCTCAATCCTGCTTTCCAGTCTTCTGGAAGTCGTCGCGGGTCGTGGAGAGTTCAAGGACTTTGTTTCGAGATCAACAATCCTGACGTTCAGCTCTTTCACCTGCTTCTCCAGGTTGGCCTAGTAGAGATTCAACTTGTCACTATCACTCTAGAACACAAGGAAATGATATCACTTACATTCAGCTTCTCCAGCTCCGAATTCTCCACCCGGACTTTCCCAAGTTCGATCTGGCACTCGTTTGCGTAACCCTCCGCCTTCTTCATGCGGTCAAAGGCCATAGATACTCGGTCGTTCTGCTCCTCAAGCGACCGCTCAAGATCTTGCTTCTTGAGCCTCAAGTTCTGCAACTCCGTCTCAGACGACAGTTTGCCAGCATCGACGTGATCGAGCTTGATTGACTCCAGCTCTGCCTGTAATGCTCGCCGGGCTTTCTGCAGGAGTGCTCTGTCGGCCTCTGCATCATTGAGCACGCTACGCAGTTCGCGCACTTGAGAATGAAGGGAAACAATCTGAGATTGCTGCTCGGTCTGGGCCGCAGAGGAAGACTCATAAGCCTTCGTAAGGTCCAGGATCTTGGTCTCGAGACGCTCCTTCTCTTTCTTCCAGGCTCCTCCGTTGTAGACTTCATCGTCGTAGCGAAGCTGAAGCTCATCGTAGTCGGACCTCATCTTGCGAGTTTCTTCACGAAGACGGCTCATGGTATCCCGTTGAGACTGGAGTTCTCCGCTGAGCTGAGCCAACTCGGCCTGGTACTTCTTGCGAGTCTGTTCAGCAGCGAAGTCACGTTCAGCAAGATCTTGCTGATGTTGCTTCCTCTCGTCCTCCATCTTTTCAGCCAGACGTTGACGTAATAGTTCAAGGTCAGAGGATTCGCGGCCTTCTTCCTCTAGCTTAGCTTCGAGATCACGAACACGCTCCTCAGTAACCTTCAGGCGCTCTGAACTCGACTTTCTCTCTGCGACGATGTCAGCATGCGACTTCTCGAGATCGGCAAGAGCACGGCGAGCAAACTGTTCTGCACGGATGGCCTTAGCTTTGCTGATCTCAGCCTCCTCCAGCCTTCGCAGGTACGAATCAGTCTTCTCCTTGTAGCTCTCGACTGCAGCTTGCAATTCAGAGTGAACGGCAGAGGTGGCAGTGGAGGTGATCTCAAGCTCCTGCATACGAAGCTGAAGTTGTTTCCTGAGGGCGGCTTCGTCGTTCTTCGCCATCATCTCCACCTCAAGACGATCCTTGAGATCCGCAATCTCGGATTGCAATTGCTTCTTGGAGTGGCTAAGCTCTTGGACTTGACGACGTTGATCTTCGAGTTCGACGTGAGCTGCACGTTGCTGAGCGAACAAGGCTTTGCGAGACTCCTCGAGACGAGAATAACTTTCTCGCTCATCGAGGAGCGTCTTCTGGAACTTCTGCCACATCGACTGCACATCCTTCAATTGAGCCGCTTCCACCGCCCGACGAGCTTCAGCTTCGTCTTCGAGCAATTCGCCTAGTCTTGTGTTCTCTTTCGAGAGACGAGCACGGTATTGTTCCAAAGACTGTTTTGAGCCATCACTATTCTCTAGCTCGGCGGTCATATCGCGGAGCAATGCCTCAAGATGACGTCTAACACGAGTGGATGCGGCCATCTGGATCTCAAGAAGTTGCACCTCCTGCTTGAGAGCACTGACTTGAGCATGTTTGTCTGGAGTTCGGGGAGATTCTGGCGCAGAGTCTTTCCTGACACGAAGAATGCCATTGGGACGCTTGGAAGGAGTGACATTTGCCAACGTTCGGACACCCCGAGTCGGCGCACGTGAGGAGAGTTCTCGTTCCATCTCTTCATCAACCAATTGCAGCTCACGGAGCAGACGAGAACGGAAAGCATCGTCTTTGGGTCCGCTCAAGACCAGTCGCCGAATTTCCTGATGTTGTCGATTAACATGCTCTTTGATCTTAGAAGCGGTGTCTTGAGCCATAAGCGCATCTTCAAGTTGGTTCTCCAATTGGTTAATGCGGCTCTCGTATTGCCGCTGCAACTTGGCTGTGGATGTGGGAGCCTCCGTCTCATTGGCCAGCTTGGTGAGCTCGGTCTCAAGATTATCCTTGGCCTTCTGAGCAGTCGCGAATTGTTGGGAAACGTCAGAGACTTGAGTTTGAGCGAACCGTAATTCTCGTTGAAGCTTGCGAATCTGAGCTTCGGCTATTTCTCGAGCATGTCGTTCGTTCTCAACATCCTTGAGAGCCCGGTTAGTCTTTTCTTCCTGTATCCGAATAGCCTTATTCTGTGACCTAAACTCAGCCTCCGCTCGTTCCTTCTCTCGAACCATGTCTTCGGCCTCAGTCGTGAGACGTGACTTGGATTTCTCCAACGACCGGATATAGGCGGCCTGCTTCTGCAGCTCTTCTTGAGCCTCCGTCAGTTGTTTGTCGGTGACACGCTTCGCCTCCTCAAGTACGTGAACATGCTCGACGATTGTCTTGTCCTGTCGTGCCTCTAGCTGTTTGACCTCCCATTCACGAGCCTTCAAATCGTCAAGCGCTTTGTTGAGTTCTTTGTTGAGCCTGGCGTTTAGATCTCGCAAGCGATTGACTTCTTGTTTCTGTCCCGCAAGAGACTTCTCCGTTTGGCTTCGCTTGGCAAGTTCACTCTCGAGTTGTTGCTTGGTGGACTCGAGCTGACGGTCATGAGCAGCCTTTTCGCGCTCGAGTTCCAGAACGACGTCTTCGAATTCCTGGTACTTGGACTGTGTGGTTGCAAGCTTGCGCTCGGAAGCCTGGGAAAATGCAATACTTTTCAGTCCGCATCGCAGGGTATATAAAAAAAAGGGACAACACCAACCTCCTTGTCCTTAATTGCTTCAGCCAACCGACCATCCAGATCTGTTTGACGAGATCGAATGAGTTGAAGTTCCGACTCCAGCGTCCGTTTCGCCTTCTCAGCATCCGACAAGGCACCCTCTGCCTTCTTGAGTTGAGCTTGGACAGCACGCTCTCGGTCGGATAATGATCGATGACTCTGCTGCAGGGAAGCGTGCTCTCTAGTAATAGTGTCCAAGCTGACTTTGAGTTTACTCTGATTTTCAAGTGCATTCTTCCGTACGTCGGCAAGATCTTGCGACAACTTGTTTGCTTGCGATCGCAACGACAGCAATTCCTCTTCCTTGCTCTTGTCAGCTTCCGAACGTCGAGTCTCCTCGTTAGTTTTTGCCTCAAGTGACGCACGAAGCTCGTCCAGCTCTGCTAGAAGCCTCGATCGTTCCGAAGAATCGTGTTTACGTTCCTCCTGCTCAGCTTGCAATTCGGACGCAAGGGTGTCGATATCGTTTTGTAGCTGGGTTATCTCTTTCAGAAGACGTCCTCGTTCCTGTTTTGAAGAGGCCAGATCGGAGGACAATCGGTCGATGTCGCTCTCCTTCTGCTTGATGATATTGCTGTAATCCGTCGCCGCTCGGGTCAACTCCGTGAGCTGCTCCTTGGCTTGTCTGGCTTCCTCCTCGAGAGAGTCGGCTTTGTTACGAAGGGCATCCCTGTGGAAAACAATCAGTGAGGACAAGTGAGGTTAGAGCGCAATTCACCGTAACTTACCGGTTACGAAGCTCGCCAGAAAGCTTAGAGTCCAAGTCAGAAACTGCTGTCTCCATACGTTCCTTCATGCGAGCAACGTCTTCCTCCCGTTGAACCACTAAGTTCTTGAGTTCCTCCGCGACCTTTTGAAGCTCCTCCTTCTCGGCGTTCAATATATCGATATCCTCCTGTGCATCTTCAAGATGGGCAGAAAGCTCGGCTTCCTTAGCTACCCATTCTTGCTGCTCGCTCTCCAAGCGAACAAGGTGTTCTGCTGCTTGATCGAAAGCTTGTCGCAATGTCTCGTGCTTCTCCTCACTTTCCTTCTGCAACTTCAGTGCGCGGTCAAGTTGGTTATCCAGCGTGTCAAGGTCGGCTTGCAAAGCGTTGATCTCTTCTTCCAATTCGGCCTCGCGCTTCTTGCTACGTTCAAGCAGCGCGTCCTTGTCCAGAGCCAAAGCACGCTCAGCTTCCAGCGCATCTTCTACTTTACTCTTCTCGGATTCCAAACGCATCTTGAGATTCTCGAGAGCCTCACGTTCCTGTTTGTCCCGCTCGGCCCTTTCTTTGGCCAGGATCAGTTCAGCCTCTTTGCGACGAAGCTCCTCGTCATTGCGGGTGGCGGCGAGCAACGGGCGGACCTAAAGCAAGAATACAGTGTGTGAAACGAAAAGTGATGATGAAAACGAGATACCTTGGTAAAGAGCTGCCACCATGGCCAATCTCGTAGTTCGTTGTAAACCCGAGCATTCCGCTGGATAGTTCGGATAGCCACGGCGCGATTGAGAATCTTCTTCATGTGTCGTCTGGCCGTCCACATACGTGCAACGGCCTGTAGCCTTGAGAAAATCTCGAATAGTAAAGTATCCCTCCGCTCTTCGAGCTCCGCCAGGACACCAGCTTTGAAGAAGATTTTGGACGTTCCAATCCGGAAGATAGACTTGTCAAGCTCCAGAGCGTCGACCATTCGCAAGCAAGCCTTTCGACCATCCATGTATCCGCGAGGAATGACTCCAGGAGTCAGCACTTCATAACGCTGTCGGAACTCGACGAAAGGCAAACGATTGGGGTAACCGAGTCGCGCTATACGAATGCCTTCCAGGACGCCATTGCACCGCAGTTGATCGAGTACGAGAGGAACGTCGACGCGACCTGGCTTCTTGTGCGTATTTGGAACGATACAACGAATAAAGTGTGGCTGGGTACCCTGAAGCTGCGACATCAAACTTGCCAGTTGTTCCTTGTGTCGTTGGGCCACTGTTCGGAAGGCACCCTTCTTCGTGGCGCGCTTCTTCCCCATGGTGGCAAACGCATTGGCACCATTCGAGACAGCTGAAGGCGACTCACTGAACTCTGAGAACAACGAAGCAACATACTTCTCTGAAGAGTTGGCCAAGACACGGGTGAGGTTATCGTTCAGAGGATCCTTGTTCTTCTCCAGCCAGCCATCAGTACGGTATTCAACACGACCTGCATAATGCTGGATGAGGAAACCTTGTTCGAACCTCGTAGGCTCATATTTGTGCTTTCCCGGATGCTCCTCCTCTCCTGGTGTGGGCTCGGAGGCCCAGAGAGCGTGAAGTTTGTTCGTAAAAGTGAGATCAGTTGCCTTTGGCATGATACACTCTTCGTCCAACAAGCTGAGGACACCAATGGCATTGCCACTGGTCTCGATGAGGTCGATAGTAGGCTGAAGATCCAGTCCGAAGTTGACGTAGTCCCATTCGATACCCTCGCGAGCGTATTCTTCCTGCTCTAGTACGAACATGTGGTGATTGAAAAACTGCTGGAGCCTTTCGTTGGTATAGTTGATTAGCAGCTGTTCGTACCCATTGATATCAAAGATTTCAAAACCAGCGATATCTAGCACACCAATGAACGTCGACTTGGATGAGGGTCGATCAAGCGCGCGATTAATACGATCCACAAGCATGCCGAAAGACTTCTCGTATAAGGTCTTGCAAAGGGAGGCAAGTTCATCTGAAGCTTGTTGACGCGTCCTAGCTTGTGTAACCCATTCGCGCCCTGCAAGAACCCGCGGTCGTAGGACTGCCTTGGTGAACTCGGCAACGGGAATACCAAGGAGATGACAGACGCGTTCAGCTTGTGAAGGGTCTGGCATGACTGCATCGTCATTTCGCGTAGCCCCGATCACAATATTGCCGATATGGAGGATTGCGGCAACGATGCGGAAAAGGTCCCACTGGTCTGCTGCTGAGAAGCCTACGGTATCGAGAGCATTCTGCCTTCAAGTGAGACTACATATGGAGAGAATTTTTTTTACACAAGATTCTTACCTTCAAAGCTATCCACTCTTCCCGGTCATCAATGCCGTCTACTTCCCGTCGGCTCTTATTGAGGTACTCGTAGTCTTCAATCTCACCATCAAGCAATAACGTCTCCTTAAGACTATTTCCGCCGCCTTCCATGAGCTGATAGAAGACGTGGAAGCTTCGTTCTGCTTCACTTCTCACAACCACTCGACTTTTCTCAAGCAGATACCAGTCGATGTTTGCACCAGCGATGCTACCATCCGGTGCAAAGCTGATTCGAATGAACTTTCCGAAACGACTGGAATTGTTATTCCTCTGCGTTTGAGCATTACCAAACGCTTCCAATATCGGATTTGCTTGAAGGATCTGGCGTTCGAGTAGACCCAGTCGACCCTTGGACGTAAGCGAAAGTGTGGATGAGCCTGACGCGGACATCGACGCGTGCTTTGTATGAGAAATAGAATTATTGCGACGGAAAGAGGGATTCCGTGGTAGGCCAGTCGTTGGCATACTCGAATTGAACGACGATGAACCTACAAGGGAAGGAGACTGTGAATGTGCTGGGACATTTGTTGGCGGATGTGTATCCGTGGCAATGGCTGCTAAATATTGGATAACTTTCTTCGTACTCTCGGTCTTTCCTGCACCAGATTCACCGCTTGATATGAAGGAACAGTTCAGTAATGATCCAACCATAAGTGCGTGAAGAACCTACGTAATGAGGATGCTCTGGTTCTCTCGCTCCTCACCCATATTAACCCATGCGCGTTCAGCCACAGCGAATATATGAGGAGGGCTCTCATCGCGACGCTTGCTGCGATACTGGTGGACGATAGCATCCGAATAGAGAGGGAGATTCTGGTAAGGATTGATAGCGACCAAGAATAAGCCAGAATACGTCTGATATCATTGGTTAGTAGGACTGAGTGAGGAGTATTTGCTGAAACACCTACATAGATAGCTCCTGAGCCATACCTGAGTCTCAAGTTATGTACAACACTGGCCTCGTTCAGGAATGTCAGGTCTGCAATATCGTCTACGCGATCGAACTTTGGCGGATTCATCTTCGAAAGGGCATAGAGAGGTAGTCGTCGGATCTACAGCATATTCGAAATCCTGGTATTCACAACACATGCGTTGAGCTACCATAGCTGCACATACCTCACCCCCAGATGCCATTACAACCTCGCCCATATCGTCTTCTTCCTTCACAACCCATCCTGCTAGATATCCTTCCTTGTCGTCGGGCACCCAGACCCATTTCTTTTCGTTGAATTCCGCTTGGAGGGCAGCTGCTCTCGCGGCTTCGGCGCTCTGAGATGGCCTTGGTGCGGGCATCCCTGCACGATTGAATGAGCGTGACTGAAGTAAGTAATTGTAACAAAGAGAGAGTAAGTGAACAAAGAAAGAGTTATGCTCCTAACAAACGAGCCCTCAAAGCATTCCGAAGATACGCGCAGGAAAGTCGGAGGCAGAGGAGAGATGAACGTCCTCGGAACGCGTGCATGTTCAACACCCTGATCTAATCTTATCTAGCCGCGCTTCATTTCAAGCGGTGAAACATTCCGTCGCGATTCATTTAAGTTAGGAGATGTAGAGAATACAATGGAATGCCATGTCTGTTATGCAGCTCAAAATCTATCACATAACTTCGTCCACTTTGGACCGATGAATACAGAATCCCTAGGGATGATACGATCAGCCCTGTATGATTCGGAGCCAGGAGAGAACACTTACAGGGACAACCCATTCTTTGCAACTACAACACACCCCGGCCCAATCATAGTTGCCTAACTTTGCATTACATTTCTTATTTGGACAGACAATCTTTCCCGCATGTTCCCCTTTCGAAAGGAATGGCTCCATCCATTTCAACTAAGCAGTTAATGGTGAGGGTCATGGAGAGGCGAGAACGAATCATGAAGTGCTTACAGGTTCGACAAAATACCCAGAACACTTAGGATTGGCGAGGATTGGCGGACTGACGGGAGGAAGTGGCTGTGCTGGTCGAGCACGGCCTGCGTAATTCGCTGGTAGCGGGATAGATCTTGGCAGCTGTTGATCTGTCGACTTCGCTGACGAGGAAGAGCTCTGTGCAGAAGCTACACAAATATTCGAAGATTCGGCCGAGGTTGTTTCTGTATCTGATGGATTGGGTTTTCTAGTCTCCTCAAGCGAGAGAGACTCGGAGAGTTGTTCACCAAGGCGGGCAGCGTCCCCGACAGATAAAGGTGGCTGAAGGTGCTCCGTAACTGGCGGCGTACGGGATGTAGAGGCTGCAGGTACTTGACCATGGTCCATAATGTGGCTTCTTGTGGCTAGCTCCTGCCTGGAAGGAATCAATAAGGACGGAGCGGAAAATCAAAGAGCCTGCATACCTGCACATCTTGCACCTTATCCTCCTCTGACGAGGATTGTGGGCGGGGTTCGGGTTGAGTTCAGAGGCAGGATATTTTGTAAAGACTTCTCGCATGAGAGACTCATCTCCCTCTGATCGAGGAGTCGCGGAATTAAAAAAGAGCCGTCAAGACCTGCAAGAGAATCCTCTACTCACTGGCATTAAGCACCTCTTTTACTATACGTTCCAGATAGAACATTCTTGTAGCTCTGTCCTGACTGGAAACAGTATGGTGTGCCTTGTGAAATATTTCGAGCTGTGAGACGAAACCCTCGTTAGGACTATGTATATATTAGCGCGGATGGTCGAAACAGTGGTAGGTCATTCTTACTCTGCAATTGGCCTTGATAGGCGAATGAACTGCAATGCGGATTGTACATCCAGCCCATGCGCGTACATTAGATAAGCAGCAACAATTGTTGAACTTCTGCCTGCAAGGGAAGACCGCTGGTGAATCTTGCAATAAAGGAGGTCCAGAATGAGATGCACGCACTGACTCCTGCGATGCAATGCACAAGGACACCACGGTTTCTATCAAGCTCTTTCTCTATGAAAGTGATTGCAGGAACCAAATGCGAGAGAACGTCTTCGTCAGGACTGTCATCAATTTCGACTCGATGGTTAACGAATGTCTACTTTTGGCGAACCATTCTTTAGTATGAGAACTTGTACAACGCAGCGGAACGTACCTCATCAATAGCCAATTTTCCGCGCATTGCAGTCACAACGCTATGAATATTCTTCTCTCTCAGCGTTTTTGCGTCCAAAGCTCCGAGTAAGTTGCCTAGCCAAAGATTGGGTACAATTTCGTTCATGTTGTCAAACGGCTCTTCCTCCATCAAGTCAATATGTTCTGAAAACATCCTTAGCTATGTGTGTCCTATAATGCAGTTGTCTCGGCTTGTTAAGTGGTCCTACCAGAGAAACCCGAAGCCTGGCAACCACCAGCCTTTTTGACCTGCACCGGTGAAAGCCGAAGTGTCCGCATTTGGAAAGCACCGTTTAGTGCGGTGCCAGGCTGGCAAACCACAATGAAGGGCCACTCCACACAGCTCAGTCATTAATTTATGAACTAGAGTCCATTGTGGATCCAATATAAAGAACTCAGTACATAGGTGCGTAGTTAGCGTGATTGATAGCTAGTGTGGTAAAATACAGTTCGAAGTTACAAGTCGTCTCACCAAAATGAAAGAAAGGCATCCAACGTAAAGGAAATCCATGAATAGTGTCAACGGGTATAGCATTCCAGAAGGATCTGACGCTTCGTCCCGGGACGCTCACCGTGGTCGAGGAGGAATCCAAGATGCCAGGCCTAATTCGGCAAGGGAGGGTAGAGTCACACCAGGCCTCCGGGAAACATATTCACCGGGGAAGTCTAAGAGTTCTTGGGAAATGGAAGGGAACGTGATCCTCGGCGTAGACCCATCATCATTAGGTTCAGTGTGTAATATTGTACGTGGCGGGTCCGGAGACATCGAACACTCATCTTCGTGGCCGAAGGAAGTTTCGTCCGTGCTTCCGGTATTAAGGTCAGACGAGGGCGAATTTTGAGGTGCATGCTCTGATGTGAGTGGCGGGGACTGACTAGCAAGCAGTGATGAAACATCTTGGTTAGAGAGATGTGTAGTTCGGATCTACCCAGGATGATCTACATTTAGCTTTTTTAAGGACACAAAGACAGAACGTCGATGAAACGCACCTGGGACCGTAATTTCAAAGTTGTAGCCTCCGCCTCGCTCCTGCGATTACACAATCTGCGATGAGCGTTCCAATGAGCGGCTTCATACTCCGTCTTTTCCGACAACTTGATGTACGAGCCACATCGATTGCAAGTAACCGCGGAGGGTCCATGAACCGTGACCATAGGGTCCTGGAGCAATTTCGCCTTTCTCTTCTGTGATTGATACGTGGTCGACACGACCTTTGACCGACCTCCTGCGTAGCACACAGTTGCCCTCGACATTAGCGAGAGGTCAAAGATAACGACTCACCTCCCTCCTCCATCTTCAAAGTATTATTAGTGGCGCAGGATGTTAATTCAAGTCGAAAAAAGGTTGTTAGGCATAATCAATGACTCCTGCAGGTGTATGATCTTGGAATCTCCGGCCCACAAGTATGCCTTGTTAGTTCTTGAACTTGAAACCTGATATTCTCACAACCCTAAAAAGGATAAGATACGTCAATAGCTTATGCTGATGGTATTCGGCAAAAAAACGGTGGAAATTTCTGTACAAAAGAAATTGTTAGACAAGGAGGGACTATAGAACATTTTACTCACTGATTCTGGGGTTGAGGTTTGTAACGAAAGAGATGACAAGTCTGTCACGATGACCAAGATATTTAACCACTAGGCTATGGCGCTTATTTGACCGTCAAAATCAAATTGGGACCAGACTCTGGACACACATCGTGAAGTCCTGTCCCTCAAGACAGTGTCAGATGGTCTCATGGTATTTCTCACTTATGTCGTTAGTATCGTCCACAATTTGCTAAATCCAAGACATGCTTCTCTTATATGGTCAACTCCTGTCATTTAGCTTCAACATCGGAAGAGGGAAACGTTGACTGGGGTTTGCAGATCTATGCACGGCATTGGCTGGTACAATAGACAACGGACAAAGGCGGCATGTCTCTTTCGGCGTGGAAACGTTGACAGGCCACAATGTAGAGTGAACACTGGGCTAAAAGGGAGACTGCGGCGTGACTTGTAATATTTTCTGCTCGATAATTAATGTGAGAAATTCAACACATGCTTCCTAAAGTGTTTATGTCTGGGATTCACTGGGAGGTTCTCTCCAGAGCGTCTCCCAAAATTGAACGACACTCCCGATCTCGAAGGCAAAGCTTCCCCAAAAAGTTGAAAGGACGCTCTGATATGCAATCTAATAGCTCTCTCAGACAAACATGTTCAGGAAAATTGGAAGGAATCCGCTTACGCCCGATGATGACAGTGCACCATATCCGAACGCGCCACATAACGTGAAGCCGACCGCACCTATCAAGTTCCAGAGTGCTACATGCCTATGGCGAATCTTAAATTTAAGCCAAGGTGCAGAATAAGACATCTTCACGAGTACGACGTAGACGTACCAGCCTAGACTAGTCAAGCTTGGCTTCCACCAAGCTACTTGGACTTCCTCCATCAAGAGGATCGATGAAATAATAAACCCTGAGCCTCCAATAACTTGGGGTGTCCAGAAGAAGACATCAGCAATTGCCACTGGAGGTGATGTCGAAAGGTTTGGTATCACATGTGGAAGGCCAGTACTGTCAATTCATTGGTCGGTCGGTAACCAGCAAATGCAAGAGCAGAATATCAACATACATGGTTGATACCCAGAAGATAGTCGCCGCGAACATTTGGGTAAAACACGCTAAAAACCCTAGGTCACGGTAGGACCCGACCCCTCTAATGATAAAAGAGAATATTAATAATGATGTCCGAACACAAGAAAGAAATATAGAGCTTACATCCAGCGAAAGCTCTGCTTCTTTATCTCATTCTCCTTCTCATCGCATCCGTCTTCTGAAGCCTCTGACTTCCCAGAGACGAGTCCCCATAACGCAGGCCCAAACAACTGATCATGGCCAGTGTTGATTGCTTCAACGTACATAAGGTAACTACCGAGTTCGAACAATGTCCCTCCCGCGAAAGCCCACCAGGCCGCCGCCGTAGTATGGTCGCTGCCTATGTTCACTAAGGGCAAAAATAAATAGAAGCCGTTTACGATCTGCTTGGACATCTTTCAAGTTAGAACGCAGATAAATACGGGAATATAATTCATGGAACTTACCCAACAGGTTGATCCGAGTATGAAGATGACAGCTACCCAGAACGAGATATCCCATGACAGATGCACCTTCAATTCTGTGCCAGGATGTCTCAACCTCTGTTCAGTCAGTACCCACCCAACTGGACTAGTTACAGGCTCTAGCTTTTCCGCCTCATCAATGAGTCCAAGGTGAATAAGTTCGTCTGCTCGATGATGTCGTACATTGATGGGTCTTCGGGTGTATCTTCGTTTTCTCGATGCACGAGAGTTCCACGACGATTCTAGTGATGGCCTTGCTTGATCAGAGCTAGGAACTTCCGGATGTAGCACTACTCGAGTAGGATAGAACCAGGAGAACGGGCGGTGAAGTCGCTTGCGATGAGTTGTGAATCGAGGCTCTGCAATTTGACCATTTGCACCACTTTGAGGTCGGTCCACAGACAGAGAACTAGTGTCCTGTGCAAACATGATGGGAATGTAAGTCAGAAATCATCGCGTTGGATTGGAAGCTGCGTGTATGGAATTAGAGTGGATCGCATGGGAGGAGTGGAATAACACTCAAGCGCGCCAGATCCAAAAATATCGCCTCGACGTCACAACTCCAAGCTATATTTACATTCATTGCAAACTGAGAAAAAAATACACTAGGTCCAGTAAAACAACATCAATAACAAAGTCAGAAATACGAATAACGATAACATGCGGAAGCGAGGGAGAAAGCATAAATCTGAGAAAGCAATGCATGAATAAAAACCAGTTGCAAGTCAAGAGAACGAACGAACATCGACAGAACCAGAAATCGTCACGGACGATCTGCAGCACTTAACTGAGGCTTCGACAACATCCTCACCAGGGTCTTCCAACCACCCCTCTTCGTATCCCCAACTCTTCCAAGTGGCATGACCTTATCACTTTGTTCTTCACTTGCATCCACGTGCATCGACAACGGCAATGGTGGTATTGGTACACCATGCGCATCACCGATACCGCTCGCTCCGGTGACAGTATACGCCCGACTACGCTTCCTGACAGTGCTTGGAGACTTGACTGAGGGAACCTTGGACTTGGACTTCAGACCTAGGTTCTCACTAGCGCTCGCGACCATAGCACCCAGCCCGAGCCCTTTGAGTCCTTTGCCTTTGAACATCCGTTTTGAGATACGTGAACGAATGATATCTTCGGACGGCAGATTGACGTTGCTGAAGAAAGTGTCTCCCATGGGTGGGCTGTATACTTCCAAATCGGACATAGGAGGCATGTCTAGAAAGTAGGGTATCAGAAACTTTGCCAAATGGGACATCAATTTAGTGGACGCACCATCGGCCGACATCTCTTCACGAACGTTCAGTAATGCTAGCGACTCCTCGGGAATGTCCACTGGGACTGCGATGACATGACCGAACAGAGACCCTTCAGCCCTGGTCACCTGTACGACTTTCCACCCAGCCGTCAAAGTCAAGGCAGTGAGCTCGCGGAGAGTTCGCTCTTGAGCGTTGAATGTCACTCTCATCTGCCAGATCGAGGTTCAGTACGCATCACAGACAGTATCACTACTACTCACCGTAAGGTCAAGCCAATATGCGTTCGCATTTGCTTTCCCCAAGTTCGGCAACAACGGGGAACCTTCAGGCGCGAGAGACTTTACTGTTCCAGGTAGAGTCTCCCTTCGCTTCTTCCCATCGCTATCATCTGAAGCTCGCTTTCCACCATGAACGCTTTCGTCATCGGAATCTTCGTCCACGCACGCAAGCGGCAATATATAGTCCGCCAAGAGAAGTTTCGTATCCGGACCAGCAGACTTTCTGAGTTGGAGTAATATGCTACGGCGTGAAGTGAGCGTCGTGAACAAACTTGATGTTGCTTTTAGAAGACAAAATTACTTACCGCGTAACATACGCATCTGGCCAATCGTGCGTAATCACCCTCAACAAGAACACCGCCGGCCTCTTCTGGACTCTTTGCTCTTCTTCCGTCTTCCCATCTTCCGTGCAATCCTTGAGTCCAAAATTACCACTAATAGGGCTCGTCGTAACCGGCGCATTAACTTCAGTTCCACTTTCGAATAACGCCGTCTCTCGTGGTCGGAGAAGTGCTATAGGAATAGGTGGTTGGGGGGAGAGGAAATCATGTGCCAAGAAAGCTGCTCGTCCTTCTTCAAGTAATTCAGGACTCCTAGTCTTCCAGGCCTAAAAGCAAGGTATCGATATACCAATGAGCATACTCCAAATAAGGACGAGAAAATTGAAAGCAAAGACATACAGCAAGACCCATCTCAACGACCTGCGGCCGATCCTGAATCACAAACCTCAAATGCGGACACGCTTTCGCGAGCAACATCGAAGTCGAACCAATGCCACCTCCCACGTCGACCACGATTGAATCCTGCGAGAGGTCATGCCACGGAAATCCTAACCAGATAGCCAAACATGAAACCGTCAACATTAGGCTCCTTCATCTATACATTGGATCGAATGAACTGACCGTCAAGTACAGCACCAGTAACCTCCCACCCTCCAGTCCCCGTCATAGCTTTCCCAAACCGCCTCAACCTCATCTGATTTCCCTTCTCTTCCAACCAATCAAAATACGGCTTCGAAGTCCGGAACGCCAGGTTAAAGGGTGCATGCATCGGATGGGTTGGGGTGATATATTTCGGTGACGAACTGGATGTTATCAGCTTGGAAGGTTGAGGCTTGGAAGGAGGCAAAGGAGAAGAGGAAGAGGATGTGTTAGAAGCAGGTGAAATGGGCGAAGCAGGAGGGAAGGGTGGTAAAGGCTTCCCCTTATTCATGCTCCCCAAAGCCAACGAAGTCGTACTCCCGCCAGAACTTGGCGAAGTCATCAAACTCAAACTCGAGTCTTTCCTCTTCCGATTCGCATACCGTCCTCCATTGCCTCCAATACCGCCTCCTGCGATACTCGCCCCAGAAGTACCAACGACCATAGACCGTACACTCATCAACGAAGGAGACTCTCTCAAAGGCGATCTCGGGGGTGGTGGGGGCGGTAAGGAAGGCAAGAGTTGAGATGAAGGATATGGGTCATCGTAGCTATACAATGAAGGAGCCATCAACGCCGGGCTTGCAGGAGGTTGGAGTGATAACATCGAAGACGGAGATCGGAGCGAAGAAAGTGAAGGTTGGGCGGACGGGCTTCTTGGTGTGTTAGGTTGAACGTGGGGTGAAAGGTGATAGTAGGAGGAAGGCGTAGAAATGGTAGGACGGGAAGGTCCTCTGAATGAAGCCACAGACGGAGACTTGCTCTTCAACGAAAGCAACGACGGCTGCTTCGAGTACACCTGAGGTTTCTCACCTCTCGCAATCCCTTCCCACTCAATCTCACTTTCATCGTCACCCACACGCGACACCTCATCAACGTGTTCCCGACTGCGGCTCTTGCTCTTACTCTTACTCTTCGAAGAGTAACTGAACGGTGCCCCAAGTAACGACTTGGCGCTGGATGGAGATGGAAGGCTAATGGTCGAAGCACTTCCCAGAGCTCCAAGATGTCCACTATCCCCTGCAGACTTATCACTTCCTCCAGAGCTAACCAAAAGAGGCTTTGACCCAACCCGCCTCAACAACGGAATCCTCTGCCTCAACGACACAGGACTCGATGGTGTCGGTGGAGGCTCAGGACTCCCAACGCTTGGTCCTCCTCCAGGTTGTGAGCCTAGCTTGATCCCAGGGTTAGGCAGGAACGTCATCGGACTCAAGCTCGCTGTACTCGCCGTCCCTAGACTTCTCTTTCTGGCAATTCCACCCCAACTGGAGCTAGAACCACTACTGTGGGACGTCGTAGGAGTGCCATTACTATTGGTGCTCGCAGAAGTCTGACGTTGACGAGGCGTGACCGGCGATTGTGGAATACTCGGAAGTCTAGAGTTCGGGGTGGGAGGCGGAGGCGTATATTGAGCCTGCGAGTGGCTTGGAGTTGGAGGTGTAGTAATCGAAGTAGACGTGGATGTATGCCGACTGCTAGGAGTAGACGGTGTTTGGTATTGTCCGGCTAAATGCGCTTGTACAAGATTCGATCGACTCGGCGTCGGTGGCATGTTGCCAGTGGACACCGAATCACCATAGGACGAAGCGACAGACGAGAATGACGTCGAATGCGAATGCTTATGTGCATGGGACTGGCGAAGAGGGCTCAAAGGTGGGTTCGAGCTCGATGCGTGCGCAATGGGAGAGTTGGGTGGACAAGATGAAGGAAACGAAGGGGAAAGCGGGGATGTAGGAGAAGGAGGCATGGTGGGAGGAGAGATCGAGGGAAGGTAGCAATCGGTGAGATACGCGGAGGCTTTGAACAGCTCATCTGTGCTGTAGCATAAACAGAAAACATACTTATGGTGAGCAGATAGACAGAGGGTAAAGGTCGGGCAGAACCACATACCAGAGACCGATAAATGCAGCCGTACCATCTGTGCCTTCGTACTTCTTTTCTGGCCTGTCAAAATACGCTTTAATATAATGTGCGCAAATGCGAACACATTGTACGCTTACTCCTTAGCCAAAATGTGCACATCCTTTCCAGAGTCCATAAAACTCGAGATTCGATTATTCGCAAACACATCCGGTCGGACTTCCCGGGTTATATGATGTGTGGCTAGTAGACGGAGAATATGACCTGAAAGGGAAGCAAAATCAGTAACTGACGAGAAGGTAGTCCACATGATGGAAATAGCAAGCCGTCATAAACACGATGAGAGAGCGACAGAGCAAAAGGAGCACCTCGACTATATGCATATCATCAAAATTCAAACTACCCCAAGGGAAAGCGCCCATCGTACTCCATTGCAACTAAAACACATGTACTAAAAATGAATGGTATCAAGACTTACTCAATTTACCAGGATCTATATCCTTCCCATTTTTTTGATCTTCCTCCTGCAACTCACCAGGAAAGAGAACACTGCGGATGCGTTTAGCGATCTGCTTAACATGCAACCCGTTCTCCCCCGCCTCACGTAAAATCTCTACTATATGCGATGCTTCGAGGAATCGCAGACAGGCGGGGAGGTGATACTGCAGGAACAAAAGATATCAGTACAAAAGTCAGAATAGAGAGACATAGAGCGCATGAATAGAATGTAATGCACAGTGCTTGTGGGTGAAGAACCAGCTGTGGGCGAGCGCGGGAATGGAGCAGCTGCTCGTATCTCCACCCCAAACAGCAAAACTGTCAAGTAGTTTGTGCGCGAACACAATACGCCCGATGGTGCGTATGCGTGGTCACCTCGAGCACTCGATGATTCCCGGTCGAGACATGACCATCAGACACGCGTGTATGCTGTTGCCGCGAGACAAAAAAAGGAAGAAAAAGGACGTACGCCCATAGCAGCGTCACAAAGCACGAGGAAAGGTTTCTGAACGCTTGCGCTCAATTGACCGCAGGCAGCAACGATCTGGTTGATAGCAGCGATGACTTGAGGATGTGCAAAGTGATCTTCGTCCAATTTCCTACGATTCGGATCCTTCTTCTCCGCGACATAACGGGGTTCGTCAAGTGAGGGAAAGTCCAACTTGACTTCTTCCCGCTCCTTTGGCAGATGTGGCGGAACGAAGACGGGAGGAATGGCAATAGGCGGCAAAGTATAAGCTCGTTCTCGCCCCACTCTCCGCTCCTGTCTCTTATTCGGAGGTGGAATGGAGAAATTTGCGATGCTGACCGGAGTCAGAAGAGCATTATCATCGACAGATTGCAACGACGGTGATCGGTTGCGAAGAGCAGATGATGGGCGAGCACTACCTTGCGAAGTTGAGGGAGGACTGGCGGCTTGGGGTGGCGTATATGGCGGCGTATACGTATTCCCCAAGTCCGGGGTATCTGGAGAGAAGTACGGGGAGGCGGGATCACGGTAGACACTCTCAATGTCGTCGATAGCGGAGCCGATGAGAGCGTGCAGCGCCCTTAGGGTCGCAAAGGTCATATTTTCTCAATCAATACTGGGAATAAGGAAGAGGAGGTGGGGACTAGTGAAAGCTGGCGGGAGTGGGGAGATAAGCGAGACGGCGGGCAGAATGAACAGAGTGCATCGGGCACATGGACAGGGCAGCCCGGATGCATTTGCTCTGTCATTTCAGCGGTCATATGCAGCACTATGCATCACCCTGCGTTAATGCATTCTATCATCCCTGTTCTTGCATCGGGCTCAACGATTCTTCCTGCAGACGCTACTGCAGTACTGTCCTAGCTAGAATCGTTCATTCACCGTGGAAACCTGGGCTATACGAGCAAATATTTAGTCAAGACAGGAGAGAAAACCCGCAGGGAAAGCAATAAAGAAATGCATGAATCAAGTCAGAACGACAGCTCAGAAACCACATAAGCGCTGCCAGAGTCGTCGCAACCTGCCTTTTGGGGACAGAGGGCTCCCGTTTCGGCAACTGCCCCATCTACGAGTTTCTTGTATCGCTCGATTGGTTCGACTTCTGGGGCCCTGCTCAAAGATACTTATCACAAATATTTTTCCAAGCCCGACTATCCCCGCCAGTGTATCTCTGACTTGCACCTTATCACTACAAACATGAGCGTATCTGCCTTCTACTGTAAAGGTCTGCCAAGTCTGCCAATCGCTCGTTTGTGCCAACGTATTGGCATCTGCCTTACATTGGGTTCGTTTTTGCTCTTCAGGATTACGCCACTCAATGGCGGCTTTGTCCGTCTTCATCAATGGCATTCGGTCGAAGAGGCAAAGTCAATATGACGTGAAATCTACATAGGTGAGACCGTAAGTGCTGAAATAGATTCCAGCGCGACGTCCTTCCCAGTGATCTCTGTCGCTTCTGTGTATAACGTTCTTTGACTCGCGTCTCAAGTTCCTGCAATGATGCCCTCCCGTAACACATCTGGTAAGGGTTGGGCTCTGTTTATGCATGTACTGAAAACTCAATGGACGTGTCTACAGGTGATGTATCTATTATACATGCTGACATTATCTTTATGATAGCAGAGATCCTGACTCCCTGTGGACGGCACGCACGCACTCCTACCTTTATTGCTCCGTATATGTCGGGCTGTGCATAATCTCTGCAGCCATTTTCTTTTGCGTGGTACGGTCCATATTTACCTCGGCGGCAGCAATATTCAATGGCAACTTGATTCCTTAGTTATTCAACCAATCCTGGAGTCAATTGCGCCTAAATCATCTTCATCGTTTAGAAATCTCTGTTGGAACAAACCGAGGGTGGGACTGTGAGCTGGGTGCAATCGACATGGCTTTCTTCCCAGATTTATCCCGCTTCGCTCCTACTCTCACATCCTTCTGCATGTCAGGCAAACCCAGGAGACCCTAAAGAATTCTTCTCTTAACATCATTGGCTATCTTCACCTTTATTCGCTTTCTCTGAGCAAAAAGAATGGAAGCTGCCTGTCTAAACTTCCGTCAACTGCTCATTGGGGATCTTTGCTTTTCAGATGATGAAGCACCCGAACACTACATAGAAGCCTTGCGCCGCATAAATGAAACCACTCTAGGACAAGATGTTGTTTAGCCAGAACTGAACGATCCATCCGGCATTTTGCATCCTTTGTATTGTCTGGGTCTGCGAAGGAAGGTTCATCTGCTATGTTTCCAAGTTACTAGCCCTTTGGACGAAGACGAACAAAGGTTCGTTCTGATGCGACCCACGTTTTCTGCGTCCCCAGCGATAATTCACTTTCGGTGCTATCAATTCTGCCACCATCTTCAGCATGCGCCTTGAAATTTACTAGTAAGCAAAAATAGTTTCCTTTCATTGTATCTCTTTGAGCGCTGACCTGGGGGATGGGGACGACTTTCTCGAGAATGCCCACATGTGTTTCAAGGACACCCCAGTGTCCATTGTGGCTATCTGGGTGCCGCTTGCTGAGCGCAGCTTGTATGAGTACGCGGATGAAGACCGGTCGGAAATAACCACCGACGACGGTGTTCCTCACGATCCTGTTCCCATTTGGCCCCGAAATTACTCTGTGATACGCTTGATTAAGAGACCTTGCAGAAAGTACATCGACTCTGGTGGAGATTATTCAGTATCCACGCTCAGTTGGCGGAACGTCGGAAGCGAGCGCGGTGCAGTTCTTTTCAGTTCTTTTTAGCGTCACTGGAAGTCCATCGAAAGAATTCAGGTCTCTCTGATACCGAGGGCCGATATAATCTGGAGTCGATTAGCGCATGTCATGGTATCAAACGACAGTGTGCAGTCCATCTTCCAAGAAATATTTTGAGATACTGATCTCATGACGGTATTTGTGAGTTGAGGAATTCCAGGAGCTGGATGTCTTACAATGGCCTCATCATCCCCATACTTGAACATTCTTGAACTCCTGCCCTATGTGTGTCGCATCTAGACAAAGATGTAGACACTCAATAATGTGTTCTGGCAATATTTCCAAACCACGACGACCTCTTCCACAAAGCTTGAAGTCTCAAGACATCAAGAGTCACGTAATTACTTGCCTACTTCAGATTTTTCTTAATGTTTTCGAGATTCGCTCAAAATGCGTCCTGTAACTTTGTTGTTGTTGCTGAAGCTGAAGAATTGGCCACATCAAGGTGTTTCAATGCGGATCGTAAGTGCCTTTGCCTTATCCCTGACTCTGATATCGCTTATGTATTGTTGGAATACGTGATTAGCCGAATATCTTGGCACATCGCTCAGGCTTTGACCCTTGTTTGACCGTGCGTCGGATGATGGTCATGGTCAAAGTGCACGTTCTTCCCAGATTGTATAAAAGGTCCTTGCGCACCTTAGATCAACACACACTTCCCTCCCGATCTTTCTACTACGAAGCTTCACACACAAGTCTACAATCACCTCAATCGCTGACCCATTTGAGTACCGTGGCCATGTCGGATCCCTCCAAGCAGGTGGTACTGTGTACGAGTGGCACCTCCAGTAAGGTTCATTTGTTGAGACATACGTCTAGGATTCTGATTGAAGACTTTCAGGCCAGGCTCCTTCATCCTTGTCCCTCAATACCGATATTCTCTTGTTGATTGCAGACATACTCACCTCCGAAAGGGATCGACACACACTTCTCTCGCTGGTGCAAACATGCCGGTCGATGTACGACTTATGTAGCCATCTGCTCCTAGGCAGGCTCATCCGTATCGCTCTGGGTATAGATGATGATATATTACAATCATTCTGCGAGTTCTTGTTGGCGAATTCTCGCGCGCGACTTCGGCATCTTGAAAGCTTGATTCTTAGCATCGCTAGCCTGCATGAGGAGGCGTCTCACTCGGAACTCTCTGTCAAGTTACTTACGGAGGTGCTTGAGAATGCTACCAGCCTTGGATGCTTGAAGTTACCCCTCGGGTTTCAGCAAGCCGACATTCCTTCTTTATTTCCCTTGATCAATAAACTGCCCGCTCTCCAATGCCTTCACTTCAAAGAGTATGCCACCCCCATGACTAAAAACCTGCTAGAGAACCTGCAAATGCCTCTCGTCCAGCTGACAATTCAAGTGCGCGGTTTATTTGAGGAGGAGACCGTCCTGAATCCCATTGCGCTGTTCAAAAATGTCGCTCTTACCCTTCGCCATCTCGATCTCATGTCTTATGATGGCGTCGAGCTCTCCTGGCCGGGACCTGAAGAAGTCGTTGTCTATCCTGATATGCAGTGCTTGCAAATTCACGCTCAAGCGACTTCCATCTCCATGGACACTTTGACAACTGCGTACCCCAACTTATGCCAGTTTCGCATTGGAAACGTCCGTGTACCAGACGGTGAGGAGCCCGAGGCGTTCTTTGAACAACTCCATTCCACAAGCGAAAGGGCTCTGCAATCCAAGAAATGGACGCAGATGGAATACTTATCGGCGCCTGGTAGTGTCCTTCACGGTTTGGCTATAATGCAACAAATGCCGTCTCTCTGTATTCAAATACTGCATACCCACGATGCAGACGAGGATAAGCTCACAGCGATGTGCAGTGTCGTTCGGCCTTCGGAGTTGCATCTATATCTTACGCTTGATATATGTCCGTTATCGACGGTATCCGCTATCCTCCGTGCATCCGGAGCTACTATGGTCAGGATATTTGTTCATATAGATCACAATGAAGACGGAGACGGAGACCAAGCTGCAGCTCTAGCCGCAACAGAGAAAAAAGTGGTGAGTTTCCTCGCTTCGGAACTTCAGATCATGATATCATTGACTCCCATGATACATACAGACAGACTTTTTTGAGCATTTCCCCATTTGTCTCAAAGATACATCCATGATTGTCTTGTCGCTTCGGTTCACTTATGAGCCTCTCCTCAGAGTAACCCGAGCACAAATGGGAACATCGTCAGATGTTCCGCCTCAAGACAGAGTTTCTACCTGGCTACGAGAATATTCCACTCGCCCTTTGATTAGGGAGCTGGCTGACAATGTCAATACCCTCCAGCATATCTTTGTCGAGATCACGCAGACGCCTCGTTCCGTGACGTACGGACAGCAGGTGGTAACGGACGAAGGGAAAGTGCTGCAAGATGTTCCTGGAAATCTTGTTCACATTTTGACTGAGGAAATCAAATTCTTCAGTAGGATGTGCTGTCTCTGCTGCCAATGCAACCACTCTCTATACAACTGAACTTATCTCACAGTAGATCGCTCTTTCGCCCGACTCATTGCCTGCTAGTTTTGTTTTGTTTTTGTTTTGTCTCTGTACTTCAATAGTTCCATGGCGGGCGTTGTATGCCTTTCACTATGACTTCGGCATTATCGTGTGAGTTTGCTAAGAAACGTGCCAAGCGCACGCGTGTTACTCAAACTTGAAGATACTACGTTGTTCAATAATTGATCCAAAGGCCAAATTTTTGACCACTTCGACCTGACGTCAATCGCTTGGGGTCAAAGGCTCTTCTGCAGGACCCACGACAGTGGCCAACAAAGAATAAAAGACAGCATATATAAATGTAGCCATGGCCCGCAGCATGTTTCCTCAGTAACCTCAAAACTGCCCTCAATTTTCTTTCACTGCGAACTTGCTCCTGATACATGGCATCTAAGCCATTGCCAGCTATTGTTAATAGCACACCTGGTGAGGCTTGAATCTATATGTTTACACTACTCTGGAACTTACCTACCCATTGACTCTCAGCCACTACGCCAACCAAGAGATATGTTGATATTGACATTCTCGTTCTAGTCGCAGACGAGCTTACTTTCCACGGTCGCCATGCTCTTCTGCCGTTACTCCACGCAAATCGCGCTATATACGACCTTTGCAGCCACCTACTTTTGCGCAACGTGGTCCGTATTCACGTCGGCGGCAGCAGTATTCAATGGCACCTGGAGTGCTTCGGCGCGTTCCTATTCAACATAAATTGCAGCGAATCACGGTTGCGTCGTCTTCAACACCTAGAAATCTGTCTCGCGAACGAAAACGAAGAGGAGTCTATGTCGGAACAATCATTCGCATCACTTTTGCGGATCCTTGAACATGCAGAACATCTCGAGACGTTGGGTTTCCCTTACGGCGTTCCTGCAGGCAATGTCTCCTCGTTGTCTCGTTCACTTAACCAGTTGACTAGGCTTCAATCTATGACCTTTTGTGGACCCCTTACTCCAATGATATTCCCTCTAATCGGCCAACTCTCTCTGTCTTTGACCAAGCTTGTGATTCAACTCCGGACTGCACAATTTGGGAACGCGGAGGAAATGCGTGCTCGTTTCTATCCTCTGCTGTGTCTTGCACCTCTTGCCTCCACTCTTACGTACCTTGACGTGACATCGGATTACAAGGTTGACTTCAGCGGACCGCCCGTGCAATTTTCGGCTATGAAGACCCTGGCGATTCGTGCATCCCTCTCTGCCAATGACGTACTAAGGGGACCGTTGATATCTTTATATCCGAAGCTGCGTCAGCTACATATTGAAGACGTCCACATTCCATGGGACTTCACAGAAGCATTGCACCAAGAAAATACAGACACTGAACTTGCAAATCAAGATTCTTGGCCGGAACTGGAGTCTCTCTCGGGACCCGTGCACGTACTGTATGGTTTGGCTCTAGCTAGCAAAGTGCATTCCTTATGCATTCTGGTTAATGGCTTTATGGACGAGGATGAGAACAGACTTATCGAAGTTTGTCGGGCTGCGCGCCCTTCGATACTACACATTACCTGCGTGATGAGCATCAACTCGCTCTCGGTGCTTTCAACTGTTATTGGTGCTTCAGGTGCTGCCACTGTCCGGATTCATCTTCAAGTGGAAGACCAGGAATTCCCAGTCATCCCACAATACGATCCGGTGAGCTGCTTCTTTCCTTTATATCATTTCCCCTGATATTTTGTTGACCACTGACTTTGCGAAATAGCGTACGTTGCTCGACAATATCCATGTGTGTCTCGAGGGTACGTCAGTGACAGCAGTGTCAGTGTTTGTCGACTGGGACGAGCTTGCCAAGTTTTGTGTGGACCGGTCCACTGGTGTTAACTGCTCAGAACCTTTCGCCCCACCTTATGATTGTGTGTCCATCTCAGGCTGGCTCCGAAAGTATCCCGTGGAAGGCCTGATGAAAAGACTTGCGCTCAGCACACCTACTCTCCGCGATATATTCATAGAGATCTTCCAGTATCCACGCCGCGTGGATTACTGGAGGAACGTCGAAGGAGATGAAGGTACTATATTCAACACTGAAAAAATCGCTGGAAGTGTATCACAACTGCTCGATCTGGAGGAGAAGGTTATGTCAAGAGGCTGCATTTGCGACTCATCCTAATTCTGACGCCAGGTTTTGAGACTCGACTAAATTCAAATACCATATATATGTACGTAGAGACGTAGCTTCAGCATCGTGACCACCTCATTGATTTGGGTATTTGTGATTTGCATAAGGAGACGCGACTATGGAAATGGAGTGTAATGCATTGACGAATGAAACCAGAGAAATCTATGCGAAGTCAATATGCATGTAAATGGTGAACTATGACTAGTCATGAAAGGTGAGTCGAATATAAGGAAGGAATCAGGAAGTATGTACAACGACATAGCGCCAGAACGACTATTACACCCGATTAAACTTTTCTAAGCTAGCCACCCCCCGCTGACAAGTCATGGCGAAGACGTACAAGGCCGATGCCTCAGTCGCTTTCTTCTGTCACATATCCGTCGTCCTCGTCTTGTTGACCAGCTTTAGATTCCCCAATATCCTTAGCCTTCCCCTTGGCCTTAGCCTTAGCACCGACGTCAACCATCTCAATAACGAGCTGGCCACCAGCCTTTAAGCCCTCAACATCAGCGATTCGCTTGCCGGTTTCCCAGATAATGTCGCGTCGGGGATACGAAAGAACAAGCTTGAAACCCCACCAATCTTCACCCACTCTTCCAGCATCATACATCGCCTTCACCAAGCCCTCCTCACCAGACGGAGCACCCTCCGGTGGGACAGCCGGGTCAGAGTCCGAAGAGAATTCCTTACCGTCTGGAATAAAGAGCGTATCCACAAACGCGTAGACAGCAGTGAGAGAATCGCCTTCACCGAAGAACCTGACCCCACGTCTGCCATCGGGCATCCTCACACCAATACGAATAGTCTTGCCCCTGGCAGGCTCAGCGAGAGTTGGTCGAGGTTCTCGTGGAAGAAGGGTACGGCGACCCCATCTTCTCCAAATCATCCTCTTCGTCTCCCACTGTTCTTTCTCTTTCTGGAGTCTTTCGGCTTCCTCCCTTTCAATTCTCTCAGCTTCTTCTCTCCTCCTCGCCTCTTCAGCAACTCGGCGGTCTTCAGCTATCCGAGCCTCTATACGATCCTTGTCCTTCCTCTGACTCTCCGCGAACGCCCGATCCTGCTCAGCTCGGATAGCTCTTTCGTGTTCCCGCTGGGCCGACTCGAGAGCCTTGAGATTTTCCCGTTCGACCGCTTGAGCCCTGATACGAGTGAGGAAAGGCTGAACACGAGGAAGAAGTTGATCGTTGAGATGCGAGACGAGGGTCTTCGCAGACGTCGGTGCGCTAGCAGCAGGAATAGAAGGTCCTTGATGGCGAGAAAGTATAGTCAAAGTAGCCTGAGTAGTTCCAGCTCGTGATGAAGGACTGCGCCGTGGTTGGAGGGCAACAAACGCCACGAAGGGGTAAGTAGTGGCTTGAAGTTTCTGTGAAGCTGTAAGTAAATAAGGAAAATCAGCGTTTGGCAGCGTTCATAAGGTGATGAATAGTACCACTCCAGGCATCTCGGTCCCGAATGTCGCCACCCCAGACCAAGAAGTTATTATCTTGCATAAGACGTACGAAGGTAGGGTCAGTCAAAGTACTCCTGTAACAATTTCTAAGTGGAACGTCGCGTTAATAAGACTGGAGCAACCTACCTCTTGAATTCGGGAACGTCATCATGTTCTTCGCTGACAAGAATAACACAACCAATGCGTGCATCTGTCTCCTTTGCACAGGTTCTGGCAAACTCTTCATAGCTTCCAACGAAGAAATCAGGGAGGATACCGTCACAGTCGTCCGCAGCGGCTTCTCCTTGCTTCGCAGGACGAGAAGTCAAGCTAGAGGAACTCGGACCAACTCCAGTCGAAGCACCGTCGCCACTGCGAGAGCGAACTCTAGAGAGACAAATGGCGCCAGTCTCCTCCTCCAATGAACGAACCCAGCGCTCTGCTGCACTTCGAGGGTCAGTCTTGAGTTCGGGCCGTGGTGCTGACGGCGCACGATAATAGAGAGTCAAGCCGGAGAGGGTGAGGGGCAATTGAGGTAGTGGAATTCTGAGTAAGCGGAACAGTGTCCGGAGAATATGGAATGGGAAAGCAAGGATTGCGAGTATGAATCGTAATGGCCGAGCAACGATAAGCAGTGGTGAGGATGGGTATAGATTCTGTAAGGAGTACGAATACAGAATGCATTAGTACCAGCCATGAAACCTGTAGGGTGATATGACGTACAGTTCGTCTAAACCCTCGTGCACCAGGCTCATTGCCCAATAGACCCTGTTCGGAGTCGTCTATGTCAAAATTCTCTACATGTGTAGTAGTCGTCTCAGATGGTCGAGAAATAGATAAAGGAGCGGAAGGGTTCTGGTCAAAGATTATATCTGCAGCACGCTGAGAAAGTGGTCAGTCAGTGCTGGCGTAACGAACTTGGAAGAGGTATCGTGCAAATGGCAAGGAGTTTGATATTGTCGCCATTTCATTGTAATGGATAGGAAAGTGAACCTAGAAAAGAAGCTGTCGCACTCACCTGGACATCCCAGCTCACACTATCCAGGACGCTAATGGCTACCTCGGCGTCACCACCATTAGTGATGACTTGCAGTTGGTCCAAAGCTTGTCTCTGCGACGAAGAAAGAGAGTTAGGATCCATCCTGTTCGATTACGATGGAAACAGAGTCTGAGAAGCAAAAGTGAGTAATTATAGCGGTATTGCACTCATGGGGTGCGCAAGAGTGTCTGTTGATGCGCTGGGCACTGCAGTATAACTAGGCGCTAAAGCTAAGTGGCCATCCGAGAAAGTCGATATTGAGATAACTTATTGAAAGTTAGAACCGATGCCGCTCCTAAACACACGTCGGCGGAGGCACACAAATATATGCTATAGTTTTACAGCGTCGCAATTCGTACTTTCATGAAGACGTAGCTACCCTCGCAACTATTTAGCCCTACTAGTGAAATAAGACATCTAAGAATTACTGAATGTCGGGGGTGAAATCTATGAAGCAGACCGACGTGCCATAAGCTACGATGAGGTTGCAAAGAAGTGGTCGGCCGTCAGCATGATTACGACAAGATGTAGGAATAAAACTTACATCTAGGATTGAACTTGGGCAAAGGGGTGACATCGTCGTCCTTCTCTCTCCATTCATTCTCAGTAACCAAATGCCCTTTCATAGCCCTAGTCCCCTGGTTCGCCAAAACCACATGGAGCAAGGTCTGCGGATCCCAAACAAGCCACAGCCGCGTGCGAGTCAATTGCATATGGATGAAAACTAAATTGAGGTTCGACATGCGGAAATCGGCGAGTCGATGTACTAGGGCTTTCTGCAAGACCGGACTTGAGCGTCGTGGGTACGAGGGCGAGTGATATGATGGTTCGAGGTCTATAATAAACGTGTCGCCTTCCTCCTACGACGTGTGGTAAGTATGATTTCCAGACGTGCTCAAAGGATTTCAGTACGCACGGTCTTCAGCGCAAACCTTCTTGAGCGGTCACCCCATGAGATATGACTGAGAGGTGTACCGATATGGACTCTTTGAACTATCTTTTCAACGGTAGTCAGCCCTCGCGCAATACGACTAAAGTCAGGTATCAGGTAGAGTAGACCGAATCCCGTCACAATGACTAAACGACGTTCGTCCGGAGAAAATTCCACTATAATAACATAACGCAATGGCGTGGTCAGCTACTGCAACGGCATGGGAAAAGTACAAAGAAACCTACGCGAAGCAAAACAAGGAGATATACGCGTTTCCTCTCCGTGGATTACTAGAGCTCCAGCGGCCGCAGCTTTCGCCTCGGGGGTTGGTGGCACAACTTCGAACCGTTCCATTGCGAATAAGCCTGGTGCTCTCACCGAATTGGTAGAATCCTGTTCACGGTCTTTATCGGCGAAAGAGTCGAAATCATGGTTGCGTTGACGGAGGAGCTCAGATCGAGGAACTTTGCGCAACTGCAATACAGCTTGTTGTAACGCGAGCGAATTCTCGTTCTCGCATATAATGACAGGAGAAAATCGGGTCTCGTCTGCTGCTCGAATAGCTAGTACAATGACGCCGGAGTCAAAACAAGCCGCGACATAGCTATCCGACAGACGTAGGTCTATTGGCGGCGTGTTCATAAGGAATGAATTACCTGGCATAGACCGTGAGCCAGATTGTCGAACTTGGTCAATGTCAACGGAGCGTATGTGCACTCCCTGAGCAATATCGTACAGGTGTATCGTGTACGGTTCGACATGTGTGATGAAAGCCACAACTGGATACCGGAATCGAAACCATCGCACAAGTTGCTGGTACGGAGACGCTATGAAGGCATGAGGCGTGTATTGTCCACGAAGTTGTTCGTACGTCGGCGTGACATCTCCATCCACCCCGCCATCCTCATAGTGTGCCGCTGGTGTATTGTCGACAGCCCTCTCAAACTGACTGGAAACGGCCGCAAGGGGTGATGGGGAAAGCAGAGGTGTCGATATTGGCTTTCCACGATGAAAGTGTACGTCGGTGGAACGACGCCAAACTTCAATACTTCCTTCCGTATTGACGAAGGCGAGGAAGCCCTCAGACCATTCGAAGTGACGCACCTATCAGAGAAGCATGGTCTCGATCAATTCCGCAGAAATATTGAGAATGAATGGAAAGCTGCTCACCTCCGGAAGATTCCAGAGTTTGCGATTATCCTCCATAGCCAACGCTGTTAGCATACCGAAGATGACACTAGTCAGGATAGTCTCATCGCTTTCATCCACAGCGAAACCGCGGGCATGCAGACCAAAGTCTCTGGAAGCAGCATATCCTCCCTCAAGGACAGATCCTCGACCTGACCAATTGCGTTCCAAGATGGCCCATCGTCTAACTGCACATACATCAGGGAGTCCGAACAAATGTCAGATGTCATTATATAACTACTCACCTATGTCTTTCCATGTCTTTACACCATCAAGCCACTTTGAAGGAGCTTCCGATAAGACTGCATCTTGCAAAGAATTACCAGAGGCTACAAAGCGATGCGATACGGCAAGTTGATGGTATATCTCAGATTCATGATTCAGCAGGAAGTGGCGAGTTTTACGAGATAGCACATAGAGCTGTGAGATATCATGTAGGCTCAAGAATGATAGAATATACAACGATAGATCGGAAGGAAGTGAGGCCAACATAAGTTACACAGTATACAGCAGATGGTGGTATGAAGGAAACATGCTCTAGGAGGATTTCGACCTGTCTGGGAGTCATGATAGCATAGCTTGCTTGTATACCAGCCATGAAAACGAAATATCGAGAAGGAATAAAATAAATATTGAGACCCGTAGGTCTACCACTCCGGGAAAGCGTGTCATCCTTGTGCAGGGGCCATGCTAATCTTCTCTGTATCGTTCCAATTTTTTCGTATGTCACCCCGAAGGGGACATTTAGTTAAGACGGGAGGCCCACCCTTTTGCGGGACTTTTACATTTTGTTCAATTTGCGGGAGGGCGCTTATATAACCTCTCGACCAAAAAAAGTAAAGTCGAACGCTATCTCTTGACTACCTCAATGAACTTGCAAACATTGGAGGTTAACGAAGCCCCTGGAACTCTCCGACATGCAACAGGAACCAAGATGAAATTACATCTTAAGTCGGCCTGTACACGCCGCCCCGCTGGAAGGATCCGATTCACGTCCACCGCTATTTTCCGGGATGACTGTTTACAGTTTGACTACAGATATTCCAATACTTATAGCTTCACCACTTCTAACACGACGCCTCTCGGTGCATGGTATGGTGAATTCAATTCTGTTACACTCGAAAGATATTGTAGAAGGTATGACTGTCGAATAGTATTCGTATATTTTTCTCAACGAATGCCTCCGTAAAGAGATAACGGGAACAACGTTACGGAAACTCATATGATACCCTCGTATCTGATCTTCGCAGAGCTTCTAGTTTGCATCGCGTGCTTGTGTCATGCGGCGTCTGTATCTGAGGTTCACAGAAAGCGTTTGTCGTCGGTGCACTCCAACAAGGTTCGTTGCTGGATGGAGAGAAGTCCATCATGATTCGTCTGGGCAATCCCCGAATATGCAAAGCTCCATAGAACCGTGATGAAATCCCATGATATGTCATGAATAATAAAGTTTGTCGTAAAGCATACGTATCGCAACATTGCGAGTTTTCTTAGAAAACACCCGGCAAAAGCTTCCAGCGCACCTTTTCTGCATATTCCTCCCACACATCTCCGAAAACCTTATGCAGCTCCTCATCCTCCACCTGCAACCTACGATTTGTACTGCGCAGAGCATACCAGACTTTGACGGACCAGAATATGACGAGTATGTAGACGAAAAGGGTTGCTGGTGTGAGCCCAAATATCGGAAATGAATAACTCGCTGATAACTCGGACAAGGTACTGCCGGAGCTCATCGTCCAAAAGGTCACGGAGTTTAATCTCAAAGGACCTAGCCAATATTCATATAGCCATGTCCCTGGTGCGAGCCCTACTAGGGTTCCACCCAATAGGGTCAGATATATCCCTGTATAACTCGGATGTCTGACGAGTGCGTAAGGGCCAGTGGTGACGAGTGAATGTGAAGGATGGATGGACAGCTCAAATGTGAAATACTGCCCCAACGATCTGAAGCACCAGAGCCGGAGTAACGCCCCAAGCGTAACGGAGATAACACCGAGGACGAAGAGGGGTGATGGGCTGAGGAGAAAATGGGGCGCACTTGCGAGAAGTGGGATCGACGGATCCGTTCGGGAGAAGTTGTGCATGGCAAAGGAGATAGGGTGCTTGCAGAGGAGTGAAATTCGACGCGGGGATGCCAGTGCTAGCGCATACGGGGACGGAGATTGCAAGGCAACAGAAAGGTCACGGGAGGTCAGAATTGTTGCAATGGCATCGCAAATTGTGGCCAACCATACCAAGGCCTACAATCGAGTGTGAGTTGGGGAATGCAACAGTAACGAGACACAAACCTTGCTACAAAATGTCACCCGACGCACGCAACGCTCGAAAAAAGATCGTTTGGCGATACATTGTTTTGGAGGTGCAGGTGGATTTGGTGGTGACAAGGATAGATGTACGGACACTGCTGCGATTAGCAAGAGAGTGACCTTGACATAGGTTGAGTCATGGCGAGACTCATCCGAGACAGTGCAGATGTTGTTTAGAGTAGGGTTGAGATCAGCCATGGAATAGAGCTATGTAACTTCAGCACCTGCGAGGACCAGCAATGTATAAGAATCCAAAGGATGATCACCGATGGTCAAGACAGCGAGGAAGAGTGCCTGAAGGGCTAGCGACGGCTTCTGCTAAGGAGCCATTTGGTCTCGGAATATATAGCCAAGGGGTGCACCAAGGAGGGCCTGAAGAAGACTCCCATTTCCGAGCGATCGTCAACAGTAGTACCGTGACCGTATAGGGCCGATGTACGAACTTTTGCATAGGGCCGCTCTCTGAGCATTGCTAACTCCCAAACGATGCCGTAAAGAACCATCTTCACAGTGAGGCCTGCCTAACCGACGTCACACTAAAGAAGTTAGACTGATGTGGGGTATGAGAACGAAAGCTAAACCCAAGTGTAAAGCCTGATGCCCTTCGATAAAGGTCCTCCGGAGCGGTACCATGAGGGGCAGCTTCGGTAGAATCAGCCGCGTTGTTCGTCACAAAGAAGCCTACAGGCATCTATGTGTACATGCTTCATCCAGGGTCAAGAGGGACATCCAGGGTCAAAAGGGACGTCCGGGGTCAAGAGGGACAACCAAGTGAGAGGACCGACGAACGGCCAGCAGCAGGGGTGACCAAAAAAAGGATGAGAGCCAAGAAGCTATTTCTGTCTATTTCTGCCGTGTTTATGCGGGTGTACGTTCACTCTTGACCGCCCGTTATCCCAAGCATGCGTCCCGTTGGCATACGAGATCTTGAATCGCCGAAGAGAATCTATAAAGAAATGCTTAGTAAAGTACGCTCAAACGGCGAGGCAGACGTGAGACCCCAGGCCCGCAGCTTCATGCTGACTTTGCGAGGTAGTCAGTAGTAGTATGGTCGCTGTTATAATCCGAGTCTCTGAGGTGTTGAACTTGAAGTTGTCGCGTAGACCAGTAGTAGAAACGAATGTCCCATCAATCCGCAATACGCGTTCGATCATTGGCTAGTCTCTGTTTCACTGAAATCTACTTTCACAACTTGTTCATCATCGAGACAGTCGTTGTGTCAGGTACAACGTCGACTCAAACCCTGCTCGAAATCGCCAAGCTATGTGTCGTACGTTCAGGACACATTACACGGCCCGCCTCCTTGCCTGGACCTCTTTAGTTCTTCAACCGGACCAACTTTGCAAGGTTACTGAAGCCTCATGATGCGCAACCTTCTGATGTTCTCTCTGCTTGGTGTTCTATACTGAAAAGACAAGTGTTATATTTAGGTATGTCTTGACACCCTTCCAGTATAATCATCCGGTTCGACTGAAGGTACGAATTATCTACGCGAAGTCGTCTTCAAGTGTAAAACAGCGCTATCACGAGTGAGGACTGCTCTTCACAGTAAACAATGCTCTTGCTCTCCGCCGACCCCATATGAGGTCAGGAGGGCCAAACCTTAACGAGGCCGATGAGCAAGGGATTCCGGCAACTATCCTCTTCTATTCACTCATGGGTGAACTACTCTTCCGCCTGACACCAGTACAACTTCCGAACAGGACCATGAACTTCAATTTACCGCGGTGGCAAAGAGAAGATCGTTCACTGGTATCTGCATGATTGTCCTACATTCCATAAAGGCTGGTAACTTGGTCTACTTGTCTTTTTCATTCTCAGCTCAGGCCAGAAATCACTCACGTCAATTGGGAGTTCATGTCAACGATTCGTCTCACGGCTTAGGTTCAGCATACTTATGTTATGCTTCTATCAACTGTCAACCGGCATTCCATGCATTCCCATACGGATCTCGGAGAATTCCTTCGTGCCCTGATTCTATTTATGAGGATCTCGATCATTTAGAGGACGTAGAAAGCATCCTCGATGATGCAGGTCAAGAGCACATGCATACATGGACCGCGGCCAAGCTAAATAGTCATGAGGGCAGATGAGGCACTGTGCTTTCAAATAAAGGCCTAGAAGCTGAATTCATCTCTGCGAGGACAACAGTTAGTATCTCGGCAATCCGGTGTTTTCCCCCGATGGAGCTGTCAACCATAGGACACCGGTTTGGTGACAGGCCGCCATTGTTGGCAGTTCAGTACATTTGAGCTTGTGCCAATGAGGTCTCGCTATCTGCGATGGATGTCGATCGCAAACAGAGACGTCGTATTCTGACTGCGCGAATGTGGAAGCAACTGTAGGTGGTGAGTTACTCCCGAATTATCAAGGATTTCGATTCGTAGTAGATGCAACTGACCACCTACAGCTACTACGCCATCTTGCATTTTTGCCTTGCCAGGTCGTGCTCTATCCTGTGTTTTATTGAAGGTTGTCCTCAGAAATTGCTGGTACATTGTGGACGGCTCTGAAGCCTTCTACTGGGAGGTTACTCGACGACATATTCTCTCAACCTTATGGGTCCTGATTAACAAAGGTTGCTATACCATCCGTACTTGTGCCCATACGTGAAGTTGCTGCGAAGGGCTTTTGCGGATTTGCATTGGAAGTGTTCGCAGACTAGCGACCTGCATCCAAGCGCAAAGACGCGTCCGCTGTCGCTCTAGTTCATGCCATTGTTTTGTGGTCAAAATGAATTGTCCACGCTGTGTTTCAAAAGTGGCCGGCCGATCAAACACAAAGCGGGTGGCACCCTCCTTTGACATGACTTCTTTGGCCTTTTCATCAAACGGTATAAATACCCCTCGCCCATTCCCACAAATGAGCACACCCAATTATCGTTTTGAGCTCATACACATCTCACTCTACAATCCCAGCCTCATTTATCCAAAACCACTTTTAGCCCTGCCCGCTTTGCATATGCAATACAAAATGCAGCATTCATCCTCAACAGTTTCAACCAGAACTTCTAGAAGTGCTGCTCATCCTATTGTACGTCCGCCTACGGATAGTCACTCCGGCTCCGACGTTTTTTCTGCGAGGCGCGAGCGCAGACTCAGTCAAGACTCGAGCCCATCCGAATACTCTCAATCGTCGGCGCCATCTTCTTGTTCTACAAACACAGTCAGACCTTCTGGCAAGGATTCCCAATCTTCGGCTTCAATTACAGGCTCGTATTCCGCAAATAAAGGTGAATTATATTAGTATGCTGAATACTCGTAACATTGCTGATTCCCTTCTGTGTTTGGCAAAGCCTTGAAGGTCGCTGGCACTTCTACTGGATCTTCGTCTGCGTCGAGTCGCCCCCAGTCTGCTTCGGGCTCCGTTAACAGCAAGGTCCCCAAGGAGCCCAAACCCCGCATTCCCCCACAGCCTCTTGATCTCTCGCTCACTCGACCTGACTCTGCATCCCGAAAGTCCACATCTTCTACAGGCTGGGTATCACTTGGGCCAGCTATTTCAACGATATCCTTGTCTGAATCGACGCTTTCTGACCCGGACTATGGATTACGCGGTCCTGAAAGGATCGATCCTCGGAATCTAAACATCAAGACGATATCCCCCCCTCTTAGCCCAACGGAGAGCTTATTTTCGGAAGTGTCCGATTATTATCATCAGGTCGTCGAACCATCAGCTGCGAATACCGTGAAGACTGGTAGCACTCTCCTACTGCCAAAGAAGCGAAAGCCAGACAAACGTCCTGTGTCCTTGATTGCTTCCCTTCGTCAGGTCTCTCGCGTCCGATCGAGTATTAACAGCATACGTCTGCCTGCAGGAAAGATGAGCTTGACATACCAGGAGCTTCTGCAGGCTATAGAGCAAGGGTTGTCCGACGAAGCTGCTCGTTGCGGTGAAGCCTTACTTGCGTTCATAAATGGCACTATCGCAAGCGTGGAATCTGGTTTCACTACCGCGAGTCGCAATGATTCGGTTTTCATCTCAGCAAGACAAAGACTCAAGGGTGGGTGCGCAGCCTTCGCTGCCACCAGCGACCTCATGCTGGACGAACACGGACGGAACACGAGGATGGCATCGAGCAGTTTTTTGTGGTCGGCCTTTAACATGTATCTTTCTGTTTCTTCAGATCTCGAGATGAACCTTCTCAACGAAACCCTCAAGCAGAGTGGGGAGCTCAGTGTCTATGGCTCGATGACAGTGTGTAGTGAAGAACCATCGAAGTCCGAACTGCGGGATATTGCCGGACTCTCGAGGAAGACACTTTCTTTACTATCTTCCGAACCAGACTATAATCGCACGTCTGCACCGCTCATCAACGTTCTCCGCAGGATTGCTCGTGCAGCTGCCGATCCCGCCCGTGCTCGGCGAGGGCGCTCTGATTCAGTTGTTCCTCCTGTTGAGATCATTTCAACCGTGGAAGATGCCTTCACCGCACCAGGATCGAATCGAGTCAGCGAACAACCAACTTTCAATATGTGTGCGCCCTGGATTCGATCTTCAGACGTTCCCGCACAACGCGACAGTTCTACTGTCGTCGGCTCCTCACGAGGCTTGCAAACTGTTCCTGTTCGATGCGAATCTCCAGAACAACACACTGGCACACTCTCGGACTCGCACGTTGAAACGGCTGAACAAACATCCGAGCTCTCTAGCCGTACTACTAGTTCTGTTCCGCGCTCTGGCCAGTCTCTTTCTTCTGTCGATCCCAATAGCCAAGCCCGCACTTCAGGAAGTTCCACTGCAACATCCGAACATTCTTCAAGAGGCAACGATCGTCGATCTCGTCGCTCTTCTGTCAGCACGGTCAAGTCCGGTTCTCGACATACGACCTTCAAGATAGTTGATGCTCCTGCGCTTCCAACTCCGAATGCACCTTCCGTCTCGAGCAGTCACCATTCCGCAAAGGAAGAGAAGACATCATTAAACGAAAGAAAGTCGTCATCCAATGAAGGAAAGGTGCCTGAAAGGAAGACACCGTCAAAGTCTGGTTCTAGTTCTACGGTACGCTCTCAACGTAGGCGACGAACTCAATACACACCGGCATCTCCTCCGGCATCTCCTTCCTCGTCTTCCGACTCTGTTCCATCTAGCTACGAGTTTCGGTTCGATTCTTCTTTGTCAGATTCCGATTCAGGTCCCGAGCGAGAGTCTCGTCCATCTTCGAAGAAGAGCAAGACTCCCATTCGAGCTAAGTCTCAATTCATAACTGGGGGCAAGAAACATGATTTAGCGTCCAAGAAATCTTTTTCTTCTCTCAATACTCTTCCTGGCGACGGGACTTTCTCTGCCTTGGTCAACAGCCTCGAGCTCGATATCAGACAGACTCTCCTCTTGTTCAGCGATGATGGGGATTTCTACCAACGTGAACTACTTGATGGTACCCCTTTTCTTGGCTCGACAATCGGTTATGATCTGCAACTGGATACCAACGGAGGTGTTTTTGCTGCTAGTATAACTGCTCTGATTCGTCTCCTCGCTCAACCAGCTGGTGTGCTAGAAAATTGCAAGGCAGATATCCTCGACACATTCCTTATTTTCTTCCGATCTATCACTACCCCAGCGTACTTCTTCAAGCTGCTCGTAGAGCAATACAATGCAACTCGTTCCGCTGGCTTATCTAAAGAGGAGACACGGGCTTGGAATCAGAAGATCATTCTCACCAAGATTAATATTGTCGTTGTTCTTCAGACTTGGCTGAGGCATCACTGGATTGAAGCGCAAGATGGCCATCTCCTCGACGAGATCAAAACCTTTGCGCAAGACAAAGTGACTAAAGACTCTGCTCTACCCGTCCAAGTCTCTGGGGTTCTCGCTAATTCTTTGATCGAGTACGCTGCTGGACGTCGCACCAAACATGCTCCACGAGTAGAGGAATGCATTAGGCGAGGACAACAGAACCAGCCCGATTACCCACCGACTGCATTTGAGCCCCGTCTCGCTTCACTACAAGGGGTCTCTGAGAAACGCTTGGCTAAGATCAGTATTACATTCTTCTTGAAGGATGGTGGTGCTGAGGAGCTTGCGAGAGCGATTACGAAACTGGAGTGGACGTACTTCCATTCCTTCCCGCCGGAAGAAATTTCACTCCTCCGCAAGAAAGACCATTCACAAAGCATAGCTATCTGGGAGAAGTTCACGGCTTCTTTTTACTGCTGGGTCAGCATGGCAGTTATGAACGGTGAAGATAGTGCCGCTGATCGAGCAAAAAGTTATGAGCTATTCGCGAAGATCGCAATGGTCAGTCATTCTTACTTTCACGAAATCTATCACACTGAACACGCTCTTTCAGCTTTGCAAGGATATGAGAAACTACAACTCATCTCACACAATCCTTTCTGCACTTCTTTCACCGGCCGTCATTCGCAATGAAGCTATGCTCGATGTGCGTTCCATAACTGTCAGTTGCATGCTTTAATCTGACATACTTTTGAATAGAACGTGTCGCAGGACCATAAGAATGCTCTCAACGAATTGCAACAGTTCTTCTATGGTTCGCCAAATTTCCGCAAATATAGGGAGGAATTGCCGCAGTTCCTACCTGCTGTTCCATTTCTTGGTGAGTACGGTTTGTTTGATTGGACACTCCATGGTGTTGACAAGTTCCAAAGGCGTTATAAAAGCAGACGTTCAAGCACTCGACCAGACCATCAAGCGCTGCATCGGCTGCGTTATCGAGGAGGGTCCGGAGAAGGTGCCCCAGTGTGTCTTTGAAGTTGAACGATACATTCACCTCCGCGGGCTTGTGCGAGGTAAGTTTGCTTTTCTTTGCCTAGTCCGTGTGTTGTTAGACTAATATCAATGAAGATTTGGAGCGATGTTATGCAGCTTACAAGTTTCCCCAGAACGACCTCGTTATTCGGTGGATTCGGCTTAGCTGTAGTAGATACGATGCAAGCAGGCTGCAATCAGCGAATAAGGTGCCCGTCCAGTAAATGTACGTTGACTCTCTTCGTCGTCATTGCTCGCAAGGTCAACTGACACAACGCACATTTCAGACCGAAGCCAATGGAACCAAAATATCAATGGATTCACTTTGGTAGCTGATTCCAGCCTCTTCTTTCCATATTTATCTTAGTTTATTTCGAATTTTTATCAACCTCATTCAATCTCACAACGTGTTTTCACGACACCTCGATTGCCTTACTATTTACCCTCCTCTCCTGTTACCGATATTCTTCTACTCATTTATCTATGTCATTCGCCGTAGCTTCCCTATATATTGGTCCTTTCTTGGCTCAAACGGGAAGGCCCGTTGCCATTTCTGGCAGAGTACGTCCGAATATGGTATCAGCGTTTGTGTCCACGTGGTGCATTGTTTCGCTTTGGTCACACCACGCCTCGCTCAGCATTCCTGACTCTGACACTCATCGTCCTCATACTCTTCACGCCTCAACCATTCATTGTTTTCTCTCAAACTTTCCTCAAACATAACTTATCTGCAGGGCATTCTAGGCTGACTTCGAAACGGGTACAAATGGGCGAGGTGGTAAACGTTCTTGTTGCGTTCGCGGTCATTGTATTTGTTGTCAGGTGGGCCACTTCAAGTGCGTTACAATGGATTCTCTTTCTCTTCGCGCCCTAAATCTGGATTTCTTAGGCAAAGAGTCACCTGCCGAACGGTCCGCAGCCTCAGTCTTAGGCTTCAAGCCGAAGAATGTCACAAACGAGATGGTACGCTTTGCCCCATGATGTCGCCTGTGCGGGTCGCTCATGCCTTTCCCTTTGTAGGTCGAAGCAATACACAACATGTTCCCAGATATACCGAGGTGCGCACATGATCCGTTTCTCTGTAGCTTTCCACTTTCCAGCTGGCTGACTAACGCCTGCGCCTAGTGACAACATCCGTTACGACCTACTAAGAACTGGAAGCGTCGAAGTTACGACTAATAAACTTATTGAGCGGGGGTTCCTTCCAGCTGTACGTGCCTCCTTCCACCGCCCTCCATCGCGCCTTCTCACATTATATATGCACCTACCTACAGCCTCCAGAAGCATACTACACCCTCTATCCTCGTCAGTCCGCACCTACGAACTCACATACGGCGGCGGCACGTCCAGCTGCTCCGGCAGCAGTGGCCGGTCCAAGCAAACCAAAGTCCCAACCCTCACTCATTGATCGATACAACCTTCAAGGCCGAGTGCAGTCGGATTCTGCCATTTCCAGTGCGTTGACGCCAGAAGAAATCGCTGGGAAGAGTGTTTGGGAAGATAGTGCTGATAAGCGAGAGGCCATGTTGAGAGAACGGAAGGCTCAAATGATCTTGGCTGCACGACAGTGAGTGGTCGACATTCATTCTGATCATACATGTAGTTGACCTTGATTTGCATTTATAGGCGACTTCTTGCGCAGCAGAAGAATGGTCAACCTGCTACGGGTGCTTCTTCGTGACGATAATTCATATGTGTACTTCTTTAACTAAATACATAGTAAATCTGGCCATCGTTCTGTTGGACTGTGCAAGATTTTGAATAGACGAGAAGTCGAGATCAAAGTGTAGCAGATGTATGACCAACCGAAACAAGAAAATCAAGAGCAAACTTTTCAACACGCAAGGAACATGGTCCATATGAACACTGCTCTGAAAACCTCTACCTTTAGAGTCCAGTCGCGCAAATCTTTCATGGTTCCCTACTATTCTCCGATTACTCCTGGGTATCAGCTCGTGCCAACGATGGATCTGGAAATGCATGTATGTCGATATGAAAACTGCATACGTTCTTGCCGTCATTCGGGTGACTGCGTCAACAAGGATGCGTATTCATCGACTCTCTGGCCACAGCTTCCTAGCAGCTTGCAGAGCTTTCGCTTTGGTCATGACAAGAGTCCATATTCGCTGCTGCTGACCTTTCCCTACCAGGGCAGCACTTTGTTGGCGAACCGGAAGATACGATCCACAACGGCTGCCGCTTTTTCCGCATTCTCCTCGTCGATACGTTGAGAACGGTCACGTCGACGGCATACCAAAAATTCTAGGCGATGGCTCATACAGCGTACTGCTTGTACGTTGGGAAGGTTGGCGAAATCGACCACCAACCTGAGATCCTTCAACTGAGGGCAATGCGAAGCAAGGCCCATAAGGGATGTGACGGTTGGACAAAGGGAAACCCATCTATTCTGGTAAAGGTCTAGAGATTCGAGGCCCGGCCACGCTGTAGCCATACAGCTCACCTCATCATCAGTGAGGGTTACATATTTATTTGAAATTATGGTCAGCTCCCTCAGCTGATGAAGTGCTAATAAAGGTTTGACAATCATCCACATGGGTATGGCATTATCGGGATTATCGTGGTGGGAGAAACTCGAGTTAGTGACCTTAACCCTTTCGAGCATTCGATGTCTGGCTATGGCTTCCATGCATTGATAAATATCATGTTGATCCTCCTCAGTGAGCCAAAACTGTGTATCAAGGAAGGATATGTCGATTAGGCAAAGGGGGAAGATACGACTGAAGAACTGTGACCATGTTTTGCTCTGGCCAGCCACTCTGAGATGGCGGAGAGCAGAAAAAGCATTTGGCAAGAAACACGGCGTATTGTGCATGACAAATGGCCCCTCGCTGAGAGCGAGACGATCGAGATGCTCCAACACAGACAGTTTCTGCAGCCAAACGGATGGCATTTCTCTGGAGAATGGATCACGCTTGATCGTAGGAGTGATATCCTGAAAATTACGGAGCATGAGGACGGGATCAAGCGCAGATATATGTCTGGAAGCAGGAATGTAATGGTACTCCAAAGAAAGCGCTCGAAGGTCTGGTGATCGTGTGCTGAGTAACTGGAGACACAAATCGATCTGCTGTCGCGGCGTCAATGGGCCACATCGAAGGCTTGGTTGCAATTGACGTCCCCATAAGCGGATGTCTCGGAGGGTTGAACAGAAGAGAAGTGCGCCTTCGGTCGGTGTGAGTGGCCAAATCTCGTACATTTCTAATGTACGTAGAGATGGAAAGAGTGGTTGACCGTTGCGAAGGCGAGCTACCATATTCAGGACAGATGGTTCAGGAAGATCATCAAGACGAAGATACCTGACACGTTTAGTGTAGGTTTCGAAGCGTGTCAATTCGGCGTCGGAGATAGATAGACCAGCCTGCCATGATACTCAGTTAACTTAGAGTCTACTAGTGTGATGTAGGCAATCTCACTTGTGGTAGGAGTGCTAATGTTGCACTCAGATTATCCTGTTGGTTCCATAAGATGTCCAATGCTGGGTCGCGAAATGTTCTGCAAACTCTTGCAAGGTTTGCAAGAGCATGAGCACGAAGGGCGTCATCCTCGTAGCAGAGGTGCTCACGTCTGGAGGGTGGTACCAAGGGTGTCTTGAGATAGAAGCGCCCGAATATCTCGTACAGAAGGTCAACGTTGCTCAGAACAGCAGAAACAGATGAATATGGATCCATAAAATCCACCTGCATTCAAATTCTACTCTGCTGCAAAATTTGAGGATGATGGTTCACAGAGAGCAAGCGTGAGCATCAGATCAAATGCTCTTCAGACCCAGATATCAAAACTCGATGCACGCATATACTTATCTGACGCCATCGTTCATATAGCCCCAGACAGATAGGCAATAGCGAAACTCAATTTGGACTCTAACAGCTCACTCTAAACACTGACGAACGTATGCTGGCGTAGATGCCGATGACTGCCGAAGCACCGCCATCAATGTCGGTCGCATGGGATCATCCCTCGAGTTGAAGTCACTCTGGCATTCTCGATACCTTCAGGCAAGAATGTGCACGTCTGAAAGGGCTCATTAAGACTATTACATTGGTCTTTTTCCCATTCAGAATGGACGAGAAACGATGCAGAACAAGGGTCATCTCTGTGCACCTAACCCCGACCAGACAGACGTATTTTCAATTTTTCCGGCTGCAAGATCAGTGGCGGTGCGCTCTCTTCGTTTTCAAGCCTTTAGAGTGAGCCGTTAGAGTCCAAATTGAGTTTCGCTAATTGCATATGCTGATAGCTGGATTGCGAGCTCGACAGACACATCTATTAACATTAGAGCAAACTAAGTATACCACCAAACACAGCCCGTAATCAATGCGCCTGCAACTCCTCCACACTCTTCCGATTCTCAGGCATCCTCGCCAACTGACTCTTACTCCTGATCCGAGGCCTTACCCTCGTATACCACTCCCAGGCGAACCGCACTACGTATCCATCGGCATCATACGGCGTAGGGATTTCCGAGTACCCTGGACGGGCGGTAGGGTGTCGGAGGTAGATGACGGAGCAAGTTGAGAAGGAGGCTTCGAGGTAGGCGGGGATGAAGATGAATGGGGAGGCATAGTCTGGAAGGTGGAAGGGTGTAAGATTACGTTTCGCCTTTTTCTTCTCCTTGTACGACAGGTCTGGCGTGCGAGGTGTCGCTTTTGTCTCGACGGGTTTTGATTCAGATGCCTCGAGAGATTCAGAATCGGATTCTGAAGCTCTTGCTTCCGACTCTGCAGCTTCAGCATTCTCTGACTCTTCTTGCGTCTCGACCTCAGTCTCGACCTTCGGTTCCGCCTTTGGTTGAATAAAGCGAATTGCTGCTGGATCCACAGACACCATATCGCCAGGAGCCAACCTAGTGTTCGCATTTGTGTGCTAAATTGCAACATATATTAGCGCAGTAACCGCGAGTGCTGCCTTATGCACATACCTTCTTCCCATTCAGCAACACATTGCCGTGTACCACCATCCTGCGAGCCTCGTAGACACTCTGTGCCAGACACGCTCGGAAGATGATCACATCAATCCGCCTCTCAATCTCGACGAACATCAGACTGCCGACAGGTGCCAGTGCTTTACTGTCGTCGTCCTCCTTTTGCCTCGCTTGCTTCGTAGCAGCATTGTCTTTCCGCGCCCACTTATTCAGTAATATAGAATCGTCAGCGGTCTTGCGAGGTCGGACGTCTGGAATGGTGTCAGGCAGATACCATCGCTTGAAGAGTTTCTCATTAATGAAGTCTCCGTGGTATGCACGAACGAGCGACTTGGATATCCAGCGCTGCTGGAAGAGAGTGAGAGTCTTGCGCTGGTTCTTGAAGTTAGTCTGGAATTGGAGGCCCCCTAACGATCTTCTCCACAAAATATAGAGATTTTTGGACGACCAGCTCTATTGCATAGTTAGAACAAGGTTCAATTAAACTAAAGCGCGACGCACCATCCTGGGCAAAGCCCGGTTCATGTTGAAGAGATTCGCATCTCGCATCACGGTCTACCCTCACTGGACCCTCCAAATCCTTCGCCCAAAAGACGAATATGAACGGGAGTACAGACAAGTCGAGTCTGCACGGTTTGAATCCAGCAACTAGAAAGAGAACAAGCCTTGGGCGCCGGTCTTTGCCGCATGCAAGTCTCAGCGCTTGAGTCCTTTCGCAGTAAAGTCACCTAAAACATGGACCCATACACCCCAAGAGTACGACCAGGCGGACGCAAGAAGAATCTTACTCTTTCAACGCGAGAATACAATAAAGTATGTAATTTCCAGCCTTTGAGGCTCTCAGGAGGCTGATGAACGCGTAGATCACTGGAACTATCGCGTCAGTAAGGAAGACGAGAGAGTATCTTCACGATGGAGCGGACGGCGAGTATGTTAAAGGAAGTCACGTCTCGAGGAATGGTAGGCCAAGAGGTGAGATTATCTGGTCTCTCTATGTTATTATACATCTCATTTCATCCTATCAGGCAGCACAGGTCTCGACGAGCCCTCATTCATTGAAGAAGCGTCATTTGTCCGTGCTCCTTTGAATTCCCGCGTCTCAATGAGTCCGGCCATGTCTATGGGGAAGGGAAAGGGAAAGGCTGAAAGCTTAGATCGCGTGCCGGTCGAGATACAAGAAGCCCTCATCCTGGAGGATCTCTTATTCGTCCTAATGGTACGTCTGGTCTTTGGCGATTATAGTCGTTATTTCAGGCACAGGCTACAGCCAGAAATTCTCTATTCCATTTACCAATTACTTAGTTGTATTCTCTACTTTCGTAGGGAATTCCTGGCACGTACATAACGCTGCCCCCGGACTATTCGCCAGAGGACGAAGATCCACTCGAAGGTCTTCGCTTTGTTGTATCATCCTCTCTAGGTATGACTACCGGTATTTTGCCCTCTTTATTTGCTTGATGGCCCAATTAGATCCATCCCTACGTGATTCGGTGGAACGTATACTCCCTCTTGCGACTTACTATACAGGAATCTGCTCGTTTATCGAGATGAAGAGTCATCTTGACCTCGGTCTTGTCAATCATGCGCTTTGTGCCGCTTTACGAAACATGCTCAAGGTTAGTGTATCGCTGTTTAAATCACGTAGTCTCAGAATGCCCATGCATCTTGCAACAGGATTATCAAACCCTGCTTGCCCAGTTGGAGCATGCCTTCAACACCTCACCCACCTTCACCCTTCACAAACTCTGGTTCTATGTCCACCCTACCTTGCACACCCTCTCTCTCCTCTACCAACTGACAACTGAACTCGCTACAGCGGACGATCCTTCCGGATCAGCCTCTTCTTCATCCTCACCCAATACTTCTGATGCCGAAGAAGAAGCACGAAACGAAGCTCTAGGTCTCGGCGGCGCCAAGCTAAAAGCTGTCCTCAACGAGATCGACAAGAATGGTCACGAAGCTAGCGGGATCCCCGTCAAAGGCGGCGAAGTCTTAGCGATTATTTGGGATCGAATACAAGTAATGTATGGTGACCCGACGGCGAACACACTATATAGTGCTCTCTTGAGGAGTGCAGGGAAACCTTATGTGGAGATGTTGCAGGAGTGGATGAGGACGGGACGTTTGGTTGATCCGTACGAGGAGCTGTGCGTAAAGGAGAGCAAATTCATTGATCGAGGGACGTTGGAAATGGATTATACGGATGAATATTGGGAGAGACGATACACCGTAAGTCCATCTCAAGCCCCGCCGCGCGATTCGCCCAGTTTAATAGATGATATCTCTAGCTGCGAGATGGCTCGACGCTAGGTAGCACGAAGCAGAACCTCGCCGGCGTTCCCCCAGTGCGCGCGGTTGGTGGTCGTTTGCCTGGTGGCGCATGTGTACCTCCTTTCCTAGAACGTTGGAAACACAAGATCCTACTAGCAGGCAAGTACCTCAATGTCATACGGGAATGCGGGATCGAGATCAGCAAGGACTCAAGTGAAACTAACAATCAAGAGATCTTCCTTGACGACGAAAAGTACGCTCATACATTTACACCCGAGTCTCCGTCTCTCACTTTCGCTCTAGGTTCTACAAAGTCATAGAAGAAGCATATACCCACGCTAACCATACCCTACTTCGTCTCCTCCTCCGTGAACAACAGCTGATTCCCCGCTTACGATCCCTCAAACGTTACTTCTTCCTCTCTCAATCCTCTTTCCTCACACACTTCCTCGATCTCTCCCACACGGAACTCCGGAAACCTGCGAAAGGCGCATCTCTCGTCAAATTACAGTCTCTATTGGACCTGGCGCTAAATACCGATGCCCAAGGAGAGGATGCACTCTTTAGGGAAGACGTCAAGGTTACGATGGCTGGGAGTAGCCTTTATGAGTGGTTGGATAAGGTGTTGAGAGAGAATGGTAACTTTAATGACCAGGACGGTACAGATACGCAGAGCGCATCACATACCTCTCACCGAAGTAAAAAGAAGGGCGAGGGAGATGAGAAGCAACTGCTAGGTAAGTTATCTTATTCCTGCTTGACCAGACAAGTACTCACGTTTCGTTGAACAGCGAGCGATACGCTCCAATTGGACTATACCGTCAACTTCCCGCTTTCTCTTGTCATTTCCCGCAAGACCATCCTTCGGTACCAACTCATCTTCCGCTTTCTCTTACACCTCAAACACGCCGAGAGGTCATTATCCACAATGTGGATCGAACACACAACATTAACCTGGCGCAAACCACTCAAATTGCCCACTCCTCGACCGTCCCTTTCTCGACCTCCATCCCGACCTCCGTCTCGTCCAGGCTCTTCAGCAGCCTCGCATCCACCAACACCTCAGCCACCAGAGAACGACTGGAGAACTGATCTCGAAAACTGGCGAAAACGGGTGTTCTTGTTGCGAGCGAGGATGTTGGCGTGTGTACAGCAGATGCTGGCGTTCGCTACGTTTGAGGTCTTGGAGCCGAATTGGCGGAAGCTGGAAGGTAAGCTTGAAGCAGGGAAGGTGGAGACAGTGGATCAGCTCTTGAGAGAACATGTGGATTTCTTGGATACGTGTCTGAAGGAATGTATGTTGACGAGTCGGAAGTTGATTACGGTTGGTTCATTCTCCATCGTTGCTGTGTACGAGTATAGAGTTGATGGGGTCTGTGCTTTGCTTTTCAGTCGTGTTCTCGTATCCTGCGGGTCATTTCTGCGTTCGCACTTTACAACTCTGCTTTGTCCAAGGATGCGAACCGAGCGCTTGCGACTGGGGAATCACCAGAGTGGGTCCAACAATCTGCGAACAGGTGGGAAATTCTTGGTCGGTTTGAGACTAACTTCAACCACTGGTTCAAGGTATGTTGCGTCTCCTTCGTTGCCTTGAAGGGGATACTAATCGCCGTATGGTTAGGTACATATGGACTGCATCCAGTTCTATGCTTCAAGCGAGAACGTATCGCTTCTTCCTCTTGTTGTTCGATTAAACGGAATCAAAGGTCCATTATAAGTAAATAGATCATGCCCATCATCTCTTGTCATCATCTAGTTGCACCTGACCATCTGTACTGCTTACCTGCATAACACTAAGTTATTCCTTAGTCTTGTCGTATCTCGCCTTTCCTTAATTCATTTTCAAACAGTCCGATTGAGAAAATAAAGGAAAAAAACTGGTATCGTTACATTGTCGCTGATCGCGTCATAATCATAGTTTCAAGCATAACAGGAAAGACCAAACAGCGATCCAACAAGTACGAAACCATCGCATCAGACGAACGTGGTTTCTTACTGGCTGAGGATCGTACGAACGAAGGATTCATAGTTGACATTGCCGTCTCTGTGAAAATATCCATTAGACATTTGCAATCTCACCCGAAACGCGAGGCGGGGAACACAAGATACTTACGCGCCAATCTGAACACCCTTGAGCAGTTCATCAACCTCCTCGTCTGACATCTTCTCTCCTAGTTGGGTGAGGACATATCGAAGCTCTCCTGCACCGATGAAACCATTGCCCTCCTTGTCGAAGACTTGAAACCCGCGAATAAATTCCTCTGGACAAAGGGGTATCATTGAACGGCCAAACGCAATCCATTATGTGGGTATATGCATGGCAGAACGCGTAAAATACGTACCGGGAGTACCAGCAGGCTTGAAACCATCGGGTCGGTTAAGGATCGTAAGGAATGACTTGTAGTCGACTACATATCATATCCAACAACAAGGAAGACCGCAGCCAACGTGTCAGTGAGAAGGATTCGTACGAGTTAACAAGAACTTAACGTACCATCGCGAGGTGCACCAGCAATGATCTCCGCCACTTCCGCCTGAGTCGGGTTCTGTCCAAGAGCACGCAAGAGATCGCCTAGGACTTCTCGAGGGACAGCACCTGTTCCTTTCTTGTCAAAGAGGGCGAATGCTTCTTTGTACTCTATAAATCATAGGAACACCAAACCACAGTCCAAGGAGGATCACGATCAGTCGCGTCCTGTTTGGCGAATGCGAAATGAATTTGGTCCTACCTGCGTTATCACTCTTTATATCAGTCAGATATTATGTGGGGGTTATAAAACGCGTAGATAAACTCACCATGGTCGTGGTTTGGACGTGAAAGGGGAGGATAGCCTGAAATACGCAGAGGTACAAAGAAGGGTAAGGTCGAGATACAGATCTGACCCTAACCACCGTACCGATGGTAACCCTGAGCGCCCATATGAAACCTAAGGTCGCGCGTGCTCAACGTACTTTAGTACTTAAGGCTTAGAAGAACTTGTGCTTTCCATGCAGGTGATACAGACGACTGCATATATAATAGATATAGACATGCATTTCTGGACATCTACAGGGCCGAAGAATTTCTCTTCGTTGCTAGAAAGAGTGAATCCCTAATAATTCTTCTCCATCTTCTCTAGCTTAGGCAGAATAAGTACTAGCACAATTCTTTCAACCGAATCCCCTGCATCTTCCGGCGTTTGGGGACAAGCTCTTGAGATTAACAATAGGTACCACTTCACGCGTTCGAATATGTTCCGTCCAAATCACAGCCCCATAGATCGGTTTTCGTCGATACTCATATTGCGGGCGAGGGTCATAGTCATTGAGAATACATGCGTGCAATGGTGAGAAAATAGATAGCATGAAGAAAGCGAAGCGAAGACACCCTATGCCTCGGTCAACTCGCGCAACCGGCGGACAGTGCTGCAAATGATTCCAAGTAAGGCTTCCGTAATCCAATCGATCATGGTCAAATGAACGCACCTGCGGACGGTAGCAGCAGCGGTCGTTGAGACGGTCCAAGCGCCACCAGCGACAACCTTTTTGCACGACTTGCAACCCCAGATGCCAACAGCTTGGCGTTTCACAGAGTCCTGTATTATCCAAAGTGTAAATATACGGCCTTGAGGTTGGATCCAAAAGGATTAGGAAGCTTGCCTTTCCACAGAAAGTGCAGGTGTATCGGGCGTGCTGGGTGATTTCCATCTATTTCAGGTGGAATGTCAGTCAACTCGTCTTCTTCAAACGAAGGTCATGTCTGCACACCTTTTTCACTTGCTTACGGAGGGAAGCACCATAACGCTGTTCGCCGCAAATCCACAGTCAGTCTAACCCTCTAATCCTTCAATTGCATTCGGAGAGACAAGCTTACGGTGCCGTACTTTCCGGTCACGCCAACTTTACGGGTGCGCTTGGTCTATGATTCAAAAACATACGTTCAGCATACTAACATAGTCTCAAGATGCACTCCGCTTACCATCTTGAAGAAAGGCTTGAGGGGGCTGTCTACGGCGGCGTGCTCGTATAGTGTTCTTGGTGTATCGACGAAAACGGCTATAACTGTACAGTTTATTCGCTTATGTCAGCATGGCTCGCGGCTGTTGCCGAATCTCATCTGAGATGATCTACGTATGTGGCAGGCGTACTAAGTATGTGTCCAAGAACAAGTTACACTTTATTCTCGAACTTAGGATACGCAAATGCAGTCGAACAGAAGTATGCGCATCTGCTTATCGCCTTGCACGATAAGGCGATCTCTGAGCGTATCTTTCCTCCATTAGTGCTCAGTGATGATCGTCTTCTGCTCCCGCAAACTTGGCTACTGTGTTGCATGAAATCGTGCTGGACAAGTGATTGTTCCGATGGCAAGTCGGTGTAATTGCGACGTTGGCTCTTCTGCCCTCATTCTCTCGCATTGCGTTGGATTTTACTCATTACATTGATTCAGAAGTGAGTCTGCAGCTCTGCCTCATCTGGCTCGCATTTGACACCGAAAGCCTGCCTTTGAGCATGTCTGCCTTGTGTCTGCCCGACTGGCTACCTCGACCAAAGCTTTTCTTCTCTTCTATCCATGTGCCTGCACAATCTCAAATTTTGCATTTTCGAAACTCTGGTGGGTCCATCTAACATTCTGCAACCTCTGATGCCGATCATCACGTGTCGCAGTGTGCTACCAATCCTGTCTTGAATGCAATAATGCGACACGGCTGGCATATCCTCCGGTGTCTTGCCAGCTCTCAGGGCCCTTTTACGCAGATAGTCATTCAGCAAGGTGCAACACTGTTTCCGGATGCCATACGCTCGTCTCATTTTCATTCACTTCACTTCGCCGATATCTCTAAAATGAATAGTGCGCAGGGTTGGGGTGTATGCAACTTTGATGGGGTGTATGGATGAGACACTTGAAGGCATATTCGCGGCCCTTCATGACATTCAATGAAATGGACTTATTCATGTATTCGATTTGCTTCAGCCTTTTTCTCAGGCTTGCCGGTTTGAAGTATTTGACAAGTCATGTGCAGGCGCGCATCTCTCTTGACGATTTCTCTGTGCTCTCAGACTCTTCCCGGTCTCCAGCGCATCGCTCTATGTCCAACCGTCGGTCCACCTCGTGCCACAGTGCTCTTGCTTTCAAACTTCGGCTTAGGAGCATGACCATTCTAACTAACTTGAAGAACCAGCGCAGGATGCTTACCGCGGAGATTTCAGTTATGAGAAACTCTTCAAATGATGGTATCTGCCTGACACCATCCCTCACGTGCGGCCTCGCAAAACTCCTCACGATTTGATTCTGCTCAATAGACGGGCACGGAAAGACAACGTTGCTACGAGGCAACCGAAGCAGAAGGAGGAGGACACCAAAGCACTTGTACCGGTCGGCAGTCTGATGTTTGTCGAGATTGAGAGGTAGATAGACGTGATCATCTTCCGAGCGTGCCTGGCGCAGAGTGTCTACGAGGCTCGCAGGACGGTGGTACACGGAAATGTGTTGCTGAATGGCAAGGAGGTGCTTATTATTGTAATTCACTTCCGGTTACCATGCTCATACATATTTCTATCCGACACAGGAACTCAGGTGGCTCCTGGCGGTATGGTATCTGTGGGTCCAGCAGCGATTTGCTTCACTCAACCGAAAGCGGAACCCAAGGTCGAGACTGAGGTCGAGACGAAGTCAGAGGAGGTTGAAGTTGTGGAGTCCGAATCAAGTGCCCTAGAATCTGACTCTGAGTCTCTCAAGGCGTCCGAATCAAATGTCGTTAAGCACAAAGTGACACCTTGCACACTCGACCTGTCTTACGAAGAGAGGCAAAACGTGATCTTACACCCTTCCACCTTCCACACTATGCCTCCCCATTCATCTTCATCCCCGCCTACCTTGAAACCTCCTTCCCAACTTGCTCCGTCATCTACCTCCGACACCCTACTGCACGCCCAGGATACTCGGAAATCCCTACGCCATATGACGCCGATGGATATGTGGTGCGGTTCGCTTGGGAGCGGTATACGAGAGTGAGGCTTCGGATCAGGAGTAAGAGTCAGTTGGCGAGGATGCCTGAGAATCGGAAGAGTGTAGAGGAGTTACAGGCGCAGTGATTACGAGCTGTGTTTGGTGGTGGTATATTGAGTATGCGTGTGTTGAGCTCGTGATTAAGGTATCAACATGCGCGGCTGTCTATCTGTCGAGTCTAGAGCTATGGACGATGGCGTCAAATGTGCACGCATCCTGCGGTACGTCAAGAAACGTTCCAACAGCCTTCGATCTGACGCTCACGTCTGCTCTCTCTGAATTACCATCCTCAGTCTTCCCAGCTGAATGAAATTTGAGCGCAGGATAATACCATGAATCCATATTCATCTCCTCATGCTGTTCTGAGCAACATTTACCTTTTGTCCGAGATATTTGGGTATCTCTATCCTGAACGTCCTTCACTCCGGCGCTCCGAACGTGGCCAACACGATCCCATCCTTTTTCATCCTCTTGCAAACCTTGCGAGCGTTTGCAAGACATTTTACGACCCAGCATTGGACGTTTTATGGGAACGACAGGATAATATGAGTCCAACATTATCGCTCCTACCGCAGGTAAGGTTGCCCACTTTGCCCAATAGACTACGAGTTAACCAAGTATTATGCCAGCTTGCTCCGGGTTATTCTATCTCGAATGCCCACTTGGCACGCTTCGAAACATACACTAAGCGTGTCAGGCACTTTTCTCTTGAGTATCCCCATGGCCCATCTGGCCTAAACATATTACTTCGCCTTCACAAGGGTCGACCGCTCTTTCCATCTCTACGTCGTTTAATTGTCTACAACTGGCCAATCACACCAACCGAAAGTGCACTTCTGTTCTGTTCAACTCTTCAAGATGTTCTCTTACAGAGAGCAGAGTCACGGTTCAGACACGATCACTTCGGCCCATGTAGTCCATTAGCACTGCGACAGCAAAATGAAATGTGTCTTCGGTCACTTGGCACACGATCGCCAGACCTCCGAAGGTTTACTTTTGAGATCTCTGTTCTCACACACATTTCTATGCTTGATTCCATTCTCGCCGCGCTGCATACCGTCCGGACGGCGATCTCGATTGAACTTGAACTTGATCAATTCTCCCCGGATAGGCGATGGATTTGGCTGCAGAAGCTGTCAGGGATGGAGAATCTCCATAGTCTTCATCTCCACATCCAGCAATTTTTCAAGCACGATATGGCCCATTTGTTGCCAAATGCTTTCCCTTCTCTCCGCACACTCAGAGTAGCTGGCCAGAGCCAGGCATGGTCGCAGTTCTTCAGTCATATCTCTTCCCCTTCCCTAAAGGACATATCCCTCAGTGATACACAGTCTTGGCTCACCAAGGAGGATCACTACTTCCTTCATCAATGGGTAGACACTCTGGCAAGACATCGAGCACTTGAAGGAGTTTCCATCCATAATTTGTATGAGACCAGCACACATATTTCCACTCATAAAGGCTTATCCTTGTGGACAATTGTTGAGCCTTTATTACAACTTCATCAGCTGAAGAGACTGGTCATAGATTCAGGTCAAGATGTAACTGTGACCCTCTCTGATGACAAGGTGATCCGTATGGCTACTGCATGGCCTGGCCTTCAATCTTTGCACCTTCCCCAGGATACATGGAGTTTCCCTTGTCCAACAGTTGGATCCCTTATAGAGCTTGCTTCACATTGCCCTCAGTTGAGAGCATTGTCTTTGGGGGTCGATTTCACCAACCTTCCTGATGTACATGCAGTAGCTCATATGCGCCATCGCCTAGACCATTTGGCATGCCCTCCATATAACCAGATGGATGTGAGGGCGGAGAGGAAAGTGGCAGGTATTCTAGATCATGTATTTCCATTCTTGACCAAGATATACCCACCATTCAAGGTTCTATCAAGAGATGTTGACAAGGCGAGGATGAATGCCAATTTGAAGCTGGTGGATTGAGGGCATCGACGGGCATCCTTTGTGACATGGTCATCAATGCGAAGGAAAACCAGCATTCAAGTTTGTTTCGGGCTATGTTATGGTCGACTGCAGTGATATGGATAACAATGGGGAGTCGTGCAGGATTTGCCTCTAGTCGCCCACCGAATTGCTTTTTCCTCTTTCGTATCCGTCACGGGAGTCTTGAATAGCCTGGAGGAGTTCATTTTTGGGTACGTGCTGGTCGTGGGGGCCCTGTCTGCCTGATGATGTTGGTAGGTTTCTTTTGGGGGGATGCTACAGGGCGGATCGAGGAAGAACGCGCTACTGATTATACGTACATGCCGATGCTCAATACGTCTCTACCCGGTAGTCCTACCAAATATGCAGGAATAAATGGTTACGCTAGTATTTCGGACGTGCAAACGACGTCGGAGAGAAATGGCGATCCATAATACTTCACCTTCTCTGTAGTACCAGTGCATTCAACTTGTCAACCACCGCGTCTTCATTCGACACCCTCTGTAACGCGTTGTATCCCGTTCTCTTACATATGCGTCGCCCGCTCCAACAACATCAGTCTGAGGCATTCTATAGAGTCCCCGAATGCCTTCATTACCCCCAATTTCGGCGAGCCTCGCGAGATCCTTAATTTGTCTGAATTCGTCAATGTGGAATAGCTATCCAAAGTCTCGACCCAGCAAACAGAGATACTCTCCGACATCCTGTATTGTAGGTTCTTCCACTTGAATTTTAAGGATACGACGACGACAGCCAGTAGCGTTTCGTCATGAAGAAGTTGATGCCTTTACAGGAAGCCGGGAAGAAACGATAGAGGGAACCACTTTGTGTATCTTCTTGTGCTCGTTAGTGTTGCGTTCGAGTACTTCCCTCAAACGTTTCGTCAAAGTCGTTGAATGCCGCAGAGTACGAAACAGAATGGCCAACTAAATATTTTATGCATGCACGTCTTCTTTCATGTATCATATTCTTATCTCCCGTCTGGCATAGAGCATCATAAGATTTGAAAATTGCAATACTGGATTGGCATACCATGAAAATCAAGGGGACGGTATGACTTCTCGATTACCCCAAAACTACCTTGATAATGGGCTAGTTCGAACACGTACGCCGTGCCGCTCTCAGCGGAGGATTCATCCTGATCACGCAATGTTTGGTTGACATGAAGTCGACCGGTCGCAGGTAATTCCCCTGGATATCTTTCGGAACACGTTGAGAAGTAGATGGCGCATATTATCTGGGCTTGATCTGAAAATCTAGGTCACCCAAGAGCCGGAAGCGTGATCCAGAGACAATCCACAGATATACAAGCTACGAGACTCGTCTCGGTCGGCAGGGCCTCTGCGCGGGTGCAGTCTTGGTTGTACGGACATCTGCAGGATGAGAATATAACTTGAACCTGCACATGTATTTCAGGAATGTGACCGACAGATGTTACGCCGCGTGTACACTTCTTGCTTTGAAATTAGTTAATTTCCGTTGTTCTCCGTGGAAATACTGCGGTCGGTCGCGAGCCTGACAGGTCGATGATGGGGACAAGTCGTCAGTGGATTCATTGTCCAATAGCATACGAGACGAAGATCTTCAGGAGGGTCGAAGTGCGGCTTGACAACCACGATGGTTCCGAGAGCTTGGAGAAGTCAACCCAAATTTGAGAATTCGAGGATCCCAGTTGCGGGCTTCTTCAATCGTAAAAGTATATCAATATACCGAATCCGAACAAAGCAAACCGGAAGGAACAACTGCGGAATAGTTCGGCATGTGTTAATGCTGAGAAATATTCCATTCCTGCAGATTTCTGCAATGTTCGAGACAGAATAAAGTCAGAATCAGAAGAAGGAAGGAAACATCAACATCGTGATATTCGGGAGTCAACATAACCTGCCTCTACCACGTTACAACGTGAGATCATCCAGGGCATCACAAACCTTCTTGATACTCCGTTGAATGAGAAGCATTCGGAGCGAGGACCTGTTGTCTGCTGGTGAGAAATTTTACGGTCTAGATGAGGAAGAATCGTATTCCTACCAATCGCAAGCCATCCTTCAACGGACATAGAGAGATTGGCTTACCTCGGAAGCTTTAACAGTTCGCATGCAACATCATGTAAAGCGGTGATGCCGTGCAAAGCTTCAAAGCAACGCCATCCTGGAAGTCAGTGGTCGAATGTGGCATCATCCCCGTCACTTCACTGCTAACAGCGATCGCCGTGGAGAGCCGTTAATTAGCTAGCCCAGGCCACTCGGAATAACCTAACACGCCGTGACAGATGCACTGAGTCCGATTCAATACAAATGATACAGTATTCCAGACGTAAAAGGAAAGTGTGCAGCAAACGCGGCCAGAATGAATTTCCAAATGGACGGACAAAGGCAGTCCAATGACCGACCAAGACTTCGAAAAAACTCACTCACAGTCGATCCCATTGTACACGCCGTGTCGGCTGGTACATGAGGTTTTTGTGTGTATGTTCGACGCCACCGGTCTTTACACGATTGCACGTGCATGACTCGGAGTCGATGCAGCTGATGCCGGACTACATGAAGTTCAACGGATAAAAACTCTGTTCCAGAGGTCTGCGTTGATGCTTTTTGCACCGTAAAGACTTGTGACTAGATTTCAGAACATATGAGTATGCAAGATGTAGACCATACCTTGGGCTGCACGTCAGGATGCGTTTCATAGAAAGATCGCGAAGTTTCAAGCGCGTTTACTATTGGCTCGGCACATGCCGGCTTCAACACGAGAATCTATTTCAGGTTGTTCTTGTCCATGCTTAGTTGAAAATACGAACCTGCCAGACCATGCCCAGGGCGCTGCAACCTCGTTGTGCGACCGAGAATCCCAGAGAATTACTGTGTCAATCGTCACACATGAAGAAGCTTCATATAACCGGCAATATCACCCGCAAGGACGATATGGGGACATTCGATTATACAACGCAATGGAACGCGATGCGACTCGACGAGCCACGATCAAGTAGCTTGAAAATCTCATAGTACCTATGAATCACGCAAGTTCTTATTTCACCCAGCTTATTTTCCTATCAGTATCGATTCCGCCGAGAATTCGGAAACAGGTGAGTACGCTCCCTGACGTTCGTCTTCTCCGCCCTGATCAATCAGGGAGACAGAGCGGGTATGTCGCTCCATGCATTCTAATGTGTGAAGAAACAGAGATGATCGTCGATGCAGAAATGCCGAGAATAATTTTCCACAGCTCCAGGGCTTGGCCAGTCTCAAAAACATCCGTTCAATACATTCACCTGAGGTATAAGAATGGTTTGGCTTTGACTTGAAAGCCTCACCGCTCTCGACCTCCATCGCAGCAGCGTCCTCTTGTCTCACAGCCGAACCAACTGAACCAATCGTCTTCCCCTCTTCAAGTCATTTACGATGTTGTTCACCAAGGTTCTCTACCCGCTTCTCGCTGTCGTCGGCATCGCGTCCATCGCGTTCGCTAGTCCCATCGCTGAACCAGCTCCGGCTGAGATCGAGTCCAGGCAGACTGCCAGTGCTTTAAGCGCTCTGCAAAGCCTCCAGTCCGCTGTTGCTCCCATCGTGACTCAACTGAGTACGTTTACGATGATTATTATTCCACTTTCTTCACCATTCTGACCATCGTGCCTATAGACCAGGCGGCCGCCACTGGGCAAGACCCCACCCCGCTCTTGAACGAGTTGCGGACTGTCTTTACGAGCTCTACGAGCGACATAAAGAAGATCCCCCGGAAAAGCGTGGCCAAGGCTGATGTTACCGCGGTCGTTAGCATTTCCCTCAACATCTTCTTGGTATGTCGGCTTGTGTATCTTTCATCGTCTTCTTACTCACATACGACTTTGACGCGAAGGACATCATCCTCGTCTTGGGCAAATTCTCCATCATAAATGTCATTCTTTCTGCCAACATCGACGTCTTCTTGAATGCGTTCCTCTCCGCTTTGGATGTCGCTTCTCCGGGCGTTGCGGCCCAAATCGGCAAAGGGTGAGTTACACGATATTGCCCTTGCTTGTTCGCTATTGACAGTTTCTCACCCAGCATCCCGAGCTCTCATTTCGGTCTTCTTGTGGTTCTGAGGCTCGTTGCTGTCATCAATATCCTTGGCTTGGGTGGTTTATTGGGTGGTCTGCTCGGTATTATCGGGTTGTGAACGTCTGAACGTTTGCCAGGCTAGAACAGTAGTCTCGATGGTCGGGCTTCTTGCCCACGGGTTCGGACGGAATCGTTATATACGCTTATGTCTTTCTCGCTCGTAAATGGATCGGAATGGATTGATCTTTTTACATGCCACAAGTACAGTATGGAGTTGTGGTTTCGACCATCTGTTTGGTTGACCATTTACTGAATGTTGCTTCATAAGGAGAGCTAAGTGCATTCACTGGCAGAGAAGAGATCCCGACGGCATCGCACTGAAGGTACTTTGGTTTCCTAGAACGATAATCGTTACAGAAAGAGACCGGACGTCTGTGGGAATGACCGAAACTGCCGGTAAACATCGGTATGTCATCATCCGTCCAAATCCGAATCCGGCGATTATTTCGATCGCTGGCTTAGTTATAAAGCATAGCTTACCCCGCATACTATTCTCCTGTCTTCTCCTCCGGCCCCTCTTTCCATTGCTTTCCCGCCTCAATATCTATTCGGCATTCATTGTCGACCCCTCTCATACGACGAAATCGCCCACGAACGTTTCACGAATTAATTTGAGTGCTACAACATGACAAATTCCCTCGAGAGTTGGAAACGTGTTCCAACTACATCTTCCGTCCTATTCGGCATCGACCTCCCTTACCGCCCTCCCAAAAATTCAATTGGCCAATTTCTATGGCGCAGACGCATGTGGCTGGAAGTCACTACCGGGCTGTCTCTTCTCGAACCTTGGGAGAAAGTCCTCGTGCGTAAGTAGAGTCGTGTGACGTATCATGCGCATCGTACGACCTCTAAATGATGCTTCGTCTTCGCAGTTGCCGTAATCTATCTTTTGCTGACACTCGTAATCACTGGGGTGTATAAATTCGCACCCCTGGAAGTGGCCAACCTATACCACCGACTGTTATATTATTTCTTCGGGCAGGAAGCAGACGAGGGTAGGGCTATCCAACGCGCCATGGCCGATTTAGTGTTGCGAAATATCTCCGGAGAGTCGTGACGTCTACTGCTGACGCCCGGGCATTGCGATTGTTGTATCATATACCTGTATCCGTTGAGTCGGGATTCCCATAGTGTGAGTGTTCCCTTCTTCGTCTAACTAACCAGTTACGGTGCGGGCTATAATACGGTTGCTGCTTACAGGTATTCATCTTATTAATGTACTCATATCGGATCCGAGTTCGAGTAACGATTGATGCGTTATGTACACTCAAAGTTCGTTGACCGTTAGAATTCAATTCCTGGCTCCTCCGTGATGTCATACCAAGAAGCGGTGCGAAATGTTCCAACCCTGATTCGACCATGCTTCGCCATCACTCGGGCTCAAAAGTTGATAGACGTTTAGAGTTAGAGCACAGGTTATCCGATCGAAGTCCACCATAAACTCGCGTTTCTTCCCAGACATCCTTTCCGTTTATCTGGATCCAACGCACATTCGCAGACTTCATGAGTATTGGTATTTCCAGATCATCGAGATCGATATAGAATTTCGAAGTGAGAGTGAGTAGGTGAAATAACGAGAACATTACAGCAAGCATAACAAATAGTTCCAAAGTACCGTCCAATCAGGGTAACTAAGTCAAGAGAATCGTTCTTAATCATATTCGCAATCCCATCCGTACACGAAACCTTCCTTCTGATGCTGTGGAGCCTTGTTATCATCCGCGGCTTTGCAGATTCCGGCATTGTAAATTTCATGCAAGAGTAATTGGACTGCATTTCGTGAAGAAATCGTTTCTGTTTCCATCGTTGATATCAGCCTGCGGGACATACAGTTGGTCAGTCTAGGTTTCAATAAGGAACACAGAATGGAGGCAAGAAGACGTACGGCTCGAAGGCATTGACGTAGTACAGTCCTCGGTCAAGTTTGATTGGTGGGAAGCTAGTTGTAGGCGGGAGAACTGGGTACGCTTGGAACTAAAAACCCAAAGATTAGATTCGTATCGACCTTCCACCTGTAACTGTATGCACATACCAGTCTCCGATGAACCCAGCCAACCTCACCAAACACGTTCTTCAACCATCCATCTTGCACCTCCGTCTTCGAGAATATCTTCACCACGTATTCCTCCTTTTCCTCGCCTTTCGCTTCGGCGCCTTCCTTCTTGGTCAACTTCCCATGATAACTCAACGAATTGAATTCCGGCTCTTTTCCTCCATACCTTCCCTTCTCATTACTCGTCAACACCATACCAGGAACACCTGCCCCTTCCTTTAGGCCGAAGTACCCAGGGTTCGCAGTGGGGGAGGTTGTACTGAGGAGTGTGACATGGAGGTTGACGTAGGGTTGTTGAGGGATGACGGCTGTGGAGTTGGAGGGTAAGGAGAGTTTGATATCGGTTTGGTGGAAAGGTGCAGCAAGGATTATAGCGCGGTAGTGACGGGTATCTTCAACGATTGAAGAATCATTAGTCGTGCGGAGCGTCCAGAGAGAATTCTTTTCGTCTCTTGAGATACTCGTCACCTAAAAACCACGACGTGAGTTGACATAAGAACCTGACAGGTCGAAGTTCCACGTCCAGATGTGAAGGTGGACTTACAGTCGTATTCAAATGCAATGTTGCATTGGACCTCTTCACAAATTGTTCAAACAGCTGGTAATTTCCACCTTTCACACTGGAAGCTCCGGTAGTAGCTAACGAGCATAAGCCCTCCAGAGCATGAATTTGATCAACGTCTTGTCCGTAATTCACCCTTGTAGCACCTTCAACCATTTCCCTTGTCCATCGTCGGTCAATGCCTTGCAAATCGAAGAATTCAGAGGTCGTTTGGCTAACAACTTTCTTCCATTCCAGGTCGGTGACCAATTCGGTTAGGTTTTGAAACGGCGTCGAGAATTCCCATGAATAGAGGGACACGAATTTACCGACCATTCTGTCAACGCTAGTGAAGTCGGGAAAATTCAGTCAAGGAACTTATTGTGGAGTACAATATGTACCACTTACATAGCCTGAGTTTTGGTAGGTGCTCGATAGCCATACCGCCATAGTACCTTCACGGTATCCCACCACCCACCGAACCTGCCGCCAGTCGTCTTTACAATACTTGGTAAATATACAAGCATTAATAGCTATATTTAATCAATCTGACTCACCGTGAGGAGGAACTGCTCGCCATCCCATATCCCGATACTGTCATCATCGTCTTTGAAATTAAGCCGCTCGAGCCCAAATTCGTCCACCGCCCTCCACAGGTTTTTGTTCACCTTGACGAAGATGGAAGCTCCAAGTTCAACAGGTTCATATGAGGGGTCATCATACGGTTGTACCACCGTGCTTCCTACAATTCAACAGATCACACGACATACTTCATTCAGCATTCCACCAAGGATCCACGATGTTGAGCAAGTTCAAGTACAAATTCACTCACTTCCACCAACCCGATCGCTCTTCTCAAACACATCCACCTGGATGTCCAAATCAGGGAATCGTTCCTTCGCTTTAGAGATCCAAAAAGCAGCGGAAGAACCTCCTGCACCTGCACCGATCACGGCGACTCTGTTCACGGATTCAGGTGAGGGAAGCTCGAAAGTCGCTTGAGAATCCCTAGAGGTAGTAACGAATGGGATCCAAGTTGGAAGTTGGAAAGCATTCGCAAGGCCTGCGAAGGCCGCAAGCTTGAGAAGATGCATTCTTAGAGAAATACGATGAGAAAGACCTGGTCAACCCGCAGACCTGGAGTCGCTTTCGCGCTGATGCTGCACAGCCTTAGACGCCCATAAACATAAATGAATCTCCAAGGGCTAAGAAGGGTTGAAAATGTATGCCACAAGAATTGTACCTAAGTATACCGCTTGAACAACAAAAATGAAGAGGACTAATCGTAGATATGGTGAAGTGGTACAGTATGAAAACAGGATATTGAGATATTACGAAGAATTCAGACAAATACGTATGACAGCACTCGAAAAGCAGTGCTTTAAAGGCATAGAAGTTTAAGCAGTAAACCATCCGCCTGTCGGTATAAATCACGTCACGAGTAAGGGGTATTTTATGCAAAAGGGATCATTGCCTGCTGCGGAATAATAATCAGAAAGCGCATCGAGGAGAGGTATACGGAGAATGTCTCACAATAAAGTCCAAAACATGTTCTAGGCAGGATGCACGGTCTATAGATCCCGTGCTGTGCCCGTAACAAGAGGGGGAAGGGCATTGTTCCAGCTCCAACCCTTGAAGAGTTGTTGAATTGCGTCCAACATGCCCAAATCCGCAGCATCCTGCCCAAGAAGGTAGTACATTGTCCTGTCACGAACAACTGCCAGATGGTGGGGGAAGTACATGTAGAGCGCGACAGCAAGCAAGAGGAACACAGTATTGACAATGGTCACTGAATGAGTCGACATGCGTTTAGTATTGAAGATGGTACTAAGCGGGGAAGCCGTTGAACTGACCGACGAGCACTTTCTCCCATGGTTGCAACATGGACAACGCGAAGGTCACCTCAAACCACATCCTCCACTTCCAGATGAACACACCAAAGGCTGACTTGGGTGCACGATAGGGAAGCTCCAGGCCAAAAATGACCTCCATAGTCGATGGTTGTCTCTTCCATTCTGCCACGGAGTATGCTGCGTAAGGATGTGTCTCGGTTGTCATGGTCGACGAAGTCGTTTATAATCTAATTGTTTATCGTGAAAGAACGTTCGGAACGGCGACAAGAGATGGCTTGACGAGGACAGCCGTACAAGGTGGTGGCAAGCTGGTGGTGGCAAGAGCAGAGGGTTGCTTGGGCCCATGATCGGCATAAATTAAGAGAAATTAACCTGTGCCGGCGTTTGCCGTTCAACATAGCTACGATGGGTCTTGGACGTGACTACAAGCCTGTATACGCTATACGATGTAGGTACTTACTGTACACTGACGGCCAGCCAACTCGAGCGTAAGTGGATTAAAGAGATCAAGGCATTGGTAAGACCCTCGGGAGCGCCATACCGAGAGCAAAGACCGGCGCCGAAGGGATACATTCAGTTCAGAACGTCAAATCATCCTTACAGAATTTTGTCTAGAGGGTCCGATGCGGGGTCTTGCTATCATCCTGAACACAATGCACGTACGGCAAAGGTGTTCTGACTTAGGTTATTTCTAAGTCACTTTGACAGCTTATGTAGAACCTTTGCTCGTCGGCCTGTGTCAGCGCGCCGACATTTCCAAGGACGATACGGTCACGGCGAATTTGCCTGCAGAATATTGCGCTATGTTTTCTGCTCGGGTGTAGTTTTTCTCTAGGTACATAGTCCCGATGAGACCTACAGGCAGCTAGAAACTCACCACGGGTGCTCTAGGCATGTAGCGGAAGGCGATGCGGATGAATGGCGTGCAACTGAAATCCAGGACTCCATCTCTCATCTACATGCAGAGGCATGGGGTATCTCGTATGCGCATTTTGTAACTCCCATTCAATGCTGATTCTGTGACACCATCCAGGCTTCCTAACTGACTGCTGTGGTCTGTCTGGGGGCAGTTCCTGAATGCCGAGTGACTCTAAGGAGTTGGGTGAATCAGTTTCAGCAAGGCCATAGAAATGATATCGCTGTGGTGGCAATGGAGTCTCTGACTCACTTTCAAGTTGAGTTGGTGTGTATGGGTAGGTTTCAAGCCAGGACTGATCATCACTTTGATTTAAAGGCAATGCAGGTTCTGCCTGGAGGTGCGGTGTCAGTACGGTATCTATCGGTTTAGGTGTGCAAGGCTGAAATAGAGTTCTGAGAAAAGAGGGGGTTTTCTTGGACTTCTGTTCACCTGTGGAGTTGAGAGAACCATCATTCGAGCTTGAGTCAGATACAGACAGTCGCAGGTAAGCAACTGATGACATGATGTTCTTCACTGCACCCTTGACAGCACTAAGAATGTGTTTTGGACCTGTGGATCCCTTCTCAGTGGTGCATTTGAATGCACTGCTTGATACATTCTTTGATGCACTGGTTGACACAGTTTTGGATGCACTGCTCAATGTGGTTTTCAATGTGTTTTCTGATGCAGATTTAGGTGTGTTTCTAGATGCATTTTTGAATACATTTTTGGATGTGCTTTGATTGCCTTTACAGTTTCCAGATGACCTATGGAGGTTGAAGGCATAAGTGGAGGTTTTTGCAAATCTGATGTCTATCCATTTCTTGCATTCAGCGCACCACATCTCAGTAGTTCCACCATCCTTTCCATGAAGATTAGGGTTGTACTCAGCATCATCTGGTAAGCTGTCATTTTCTGCTCGAACCATTCCAATGACCTCTCCGCGGTCTGCATTCTTCATTCCACTAGCTTCATTATATTCTTCAGAATGTGTGTGCTCGATATTGGAGCTGTTCGCCAACTCTCAGCTCCACTGCACAAGCTTCAGGTGCAAGGTATTATTACCCCTATCCCTGAGGGGTGAAGAAAGAGGATAATAATCCTCTGATGCATGGGACATTAAACATAAGAGTGGCGGCACAAGGTATGATGCTGAGAAAGTAAGTATGTTGTGAGATGAAAATTCAGGAGTCTTATGCCAGGCCATCTGGATTTCTGCTGAAGTATCCCCTCTCCAATGAGTATCCCAGAACTCCATTATCTGGTCATATTTCACTTTCAAATTCATTTGTTGTACTATTCAAACTAGTGGCTACATTTCTATCTATGTTGTATAATATTCTGGACATGTGAGCAGAAAGTTCATCAGAAAGTTTCGAGTGGGACCCGGAACCACTCAGAAACCACTCAAGAGAGTGGGAGTCCCAGAGGGTTGATCTCAAGCACTTAGCTTTTGCCCCCTGCTTGGTCTCTGCAGTGGCCATCCACACGGCATCTTCTGACTTTTCATCAGCTTTCGTGATAGCAGCTTTCTCTTTAGCCTTTCCCCTCCCCTTTGGTCCTTGTCCTTCCTTTCTGCCACCAGGTGCCCAGCAGTCAGCCTTGTAATGGCCCTTCTTCTTGCAGTTATAGCACTCAACATTTCACTTTGACTTCTGCTTTCCACCCTTGTCACTTGCCCAGAATGCAGCATCTTTGGCATCTGTGTGACTCTTTGACTTCAACATGCGGCATTCATACTCTTCCACAAGTGTCAGCATGAGATCATCAGAGCTAAGGGTCTTGCCTAAGACACTTGAAGTAGCAGTGACAGCAGAGATGTAAGGGTCATATAAGGATGGAAGAGATCCAAGGATAATGGCATAGAAGTCATCATCGGCAGGAGAGTGACCCATGGCAGTGAGGTTTTCATGCATCATGCAGAGCTTCATAAAATGAGTATGGAGGTTGTCCTTTTTGCTGGCGCATTCATCCTGAAGGCGACAATGAAGGTCAACTGAAACTATGCGAGACTTCTTCTCAAAGTCGCATTCGCTAGTGCAGACCAAATATCATAAGCACTGGTCTTGCCACAGATTTTCATGAATAGAGAATTCAGAATCGTACTGGCAACCAGTTGCTTCATAATGGCTTCACCTTTCATCCACTCCCTACTGGCAGTTGCATGGGCTGTGATACGAGCAGTCTCCACAGCAGTTGGGGCATCAGCTGCGACAGGAGCTGGGGTGCAGTGGGTGTAGTAGCAGTGCCATCGATATGCTTCAGATATCCATGAGCATCAGCAGCCCACTTCAACTGGTCTTTATAGATGACCCAGTTAGTGCCATTGACTTCAAGCTTGGAAACACGAAGATAGTCATCGAGCTTGACTGTAGACATGGTAGGTGGAATGAGGGTAGCAACTGTTGGGTAACAAGAGTAGGATAGCAACTAGAGGTGTTTTGGACACCTTTTCACTTCAACACAGTTTAGGCTAGCTCGGGGCCCATAACCTAATGAAAGAGCAAATACATAGATGGAGTCTACAATGTATAAGTCAGCACAGTTTTAAGGGAGTCAAAATGGTACATGCTACACACCTCAATCAGCATCGGAGCTAACGATTGAGGTGTATCTATGAAAAGGATGGGAACTATATAGGAGAGAGCGGACGGAGCATCGGAAAGGCGGAAAAGATATGGAAAGGTACCAAGAACAAGTATAAAGCTTTAGAGCTACGGTAAAACAGAAGGAAGAGAATATACCCATAAAAGGGTAAGTAGGATTGTTAAAAACCTTCGTTCAGTATGTCTTGGCGGCTTGGATTCCAACACACCCGATGCCTGCAAATATTGTGTTCTCAAATGGGAAATGAACTTAATAATTCGTATTCAGACGTAAAGTTCGAAGCTGTTTAGCTTTTGTCGGGCTGCTGCAAATGAAAGTGTTCTGTCTGCTGAGGTGACCTGTAAGCTGGATAACCTGAAGATATCGTCGGTATCGCAGAGCAGGTCGACACAGGACGTAAACGATGTATTGGATACAAAGATGATGTATATAATGCGAGGGGTCTATAATGATTGAATAAAAACAGCAACACTCGACCTCTATGCGAGCATAACATAATAAATGTAATCAGATGAAAGATAACAAGTTCCAGCTTCTTTCCAACTTGCAAACCTGATGATGAGCACAGCTTCGTTATAGTTCGGACTTGTGGAAATGGTATCGAGGGTGTGCAGTCAATGCGGCGATATAATGAGTACGGAAGTCAGGATGATGGGATGTGATGAAGGGATGGAGTGGCGAAAGTTGCTTCGAGCGACCATGGTCATCAAAGCCCTTGGAAAAGACATGTATCGGCTGTGTTGTCTAACGCGTGCAAAGGCCTGCCTGATACACGGGTGCAGGTCTCGTCGGATTACCAGCCAAATACTCTGGGAAGGATCAGTCGAATCGTCAAGCGAAAGAATAAAGGAAGGTACGACGACTTACTCTTCATGGATTTCAACACCGCCAACTTGCTTCCTCCGCTTCGAATCGACAGCCCCAACGATGCTCCTCGCATCATCCGCCAAACCACCTGGTCCACACACGCCTACGATGACGCCACAGGGACCGGTACTATTGATTCCGCCAGCACCACTTTTCCTCGGAGCACCACGTTTGAATAAAGATAAAGCGCACGCTTGATCAATCACACTAGATAAAGTCTGTGCAAGTTTAGGTCGACCGGCGTGGAGGGTGAGGTCCTTAGGAAGAGGCTTCTGTGAGAGGGTTTTCAGTGCCGACTGTGCATTTCCGGCTTGTGTATAGTGAACGGAAATGTGGATGGTTGCGTAAGTGCGTTGAGAAAGGATGTCGGTGAATGTGGGTATGAGAGGAATAAGCATTGCTACACAGAATCCGTCAGTACGCAATCGAAGCGTGGAAACATCAGACTTACATGGGTCTTGGACAATCCAGACAAGCTCGATAGATTTCAACCTACTTTCCCCACGCAAATCTTTCTGCACCAAATCTTGTACAGCGCTCAAAGCAAACGTGATACCGCTACCTCCGGCAACGAATAACGCACCCGAGAAGCTAGCAAAAAGAGTATGTCCAGGCCCACCTAGGTAAGGGACCAACATCGTCAGTGATTGTTCACATCACAGATAGGGCAGAATACGGAGGCAGAAGAATAATTACCATAGGGACCTTCGATGAGAACTCTAACTCCGTGTTGGTATCCACCGGCTTCACCGTACTCGGCACGCTTGGCAAGGTCAAAAAGCTTCGTGGTCCATGTACCTGCTTTCTTGCACATCAAGACCAGACCCTCTTCATTCGGGCTCTAAACAGAAACATCAATTCTCAAACAACATCAACAACGCCAGGGCATGATCCACTGACCTTGGCAACACTCGCAATGGAGAAAGGGTGGCACTCGGCCCATCCAAACCAACCCATGCCCCTGGACAAGACTCGGATACGGACATGTTGACCCGCACGCCACCCAGCATTAACGACGGGCACTTCGATCCTCGTCATGCCTAGCTCGTTCAGAGCCGTGAGATGAGCATACGCATAACGCGTCTTCACGAATCGAAGAACACGATCCAGAGCGTAGGCGCCGACTGCGATCAAGACGTATGGGACTGACGGGTTTGAGTGCATACATATCTATCAGAAGTTTCAGACGTCAACAATCAAAGTTCGATGTCGTGAGGGTACGTACGGCGCCCAGAAGGACTACAACACCGATGATGTGAGTGGCGACGAAGACAGAATAGAACTTGTTTCTCCAAAAGGAGGTGGAGAAGAATGCGAGGACGTCAGCACAAACAAGTGCAATGAGTCCTGCGCGGTAATGAGGCACCGTGAGGTGCTGCGTAAAAGTGCCTGCGATGGACCAGGCATAAATAAAACCTAATGCATGGACGTTGACCGCGAGCACGACCAGACGTCCCGCGTAACGATGAAAGAAGTTGAGCTGTAAAGCGCATTGTAAGCACCTGGGAAATACGGGCTTGAAGTGAATGATCACCTACACGTTCATAGCCAACCCCTAGGAGCATGCCTGGGACATTGTTCTTTGTCGCCAGGATGATCACAACAGGAACTTGACTGACGGCCACCCAACCAGAGCGAACAGGCTGGGTGAACGGATTGGACTTGAGCAGTCCGGCATAGACAATAGCCACGGTATACGCGAGTACAATGAACGCTTTGCCAACGGTCAGACCAGGCCGGATAGTGAGCCGGAGGTAATGCGACACCGAGGGCAAAATCGATGACCATCCCTGCATATGACTGGGAAGATTGACGTGAGTTCTGCGAACCCGACCACTTGAGGTGGACGTATTGCGCAGCAGGTTTGCGTGTGCGCTGCCTGACGATTTGTTACGATTGAGGTTCCCTCGGGGGCCATGACCTTCGTCAGAGCCATTGTAGGCCTTCTCTGTGTAGAAATCGTTGAAGCCATGACCTCCACCAGTTGGACTGGTTGGAGAGAAGTATGCCCGAGAGAGGGGTGTGATGGGTGCCTCTGCAACTTGCTTGTCTAGTTGAACAGGGACGTCGATCTTTGCAGTATGAAGAAGCAGGCCTTGGAACCATTCAGGAAGATGTGTATAGCGAGTGAATGCTCGAGGGAGAGAGAACAAGACAAGGACCGCGAGAACGGCAAGGACCACGAGATCGAGGTTGTATACGAATTCTCCCTGATCGAACTTGGAGGCTGCCTGCCGGGAAGTACTAGGGGTTGAAGAAGAGACGTTGGTCATGGCAGACATGACGATAAAGAGTGTGTTGGGTTCTGTCGTAAGAATGAAAGAGTGGGGGTAAGGTCTTGCAGAAAGACCTAGACTAGCGTAGCTAGAGCCTTTGGACGGCGGAAAGAGAAAGACCTGGTAGAAAAACGAGGTCAACACGCCATCTTGGAGGTAAAGATGAAATTAAACTTACAGGCAGGTGGCCGCACGAGAACAAGGAGCGTCTCCCCTTGCCAAAACCACGCTGCATATTCATATACAAATCTGTACAAACGCCCAGGGACAGCGCCCCAACGATACGTCCGAGACAAAAGTTGCTATGGCGTTATGGCCCCTTACAGCAACAACTCTCAACAACAGGGGGTACAGTGACTGCTAGTCATAGATTGCATTCATACATACTTATTCAAGCTAAGCACACTTCTATGAAATGTTGAAGTCCAAAGAGTAGTAGGTAGTATTCTCAGTCTACCATTCAGTTGACCCAATCACGCTCGTTACCAACTATTCCTGGCATCAGTCCGTAGTACTTGATAGCAGTTCCGGACGGTAGCCAAAAATACTCCACATCCTTGTCGACCAGTAGTCTCCTCCGGTAGCAGTTGGACCTGATGTTATTCGCAAACCAGGATTGACCAGAAGTATGAGGCGCACGATGACGTCGACCAACCTCGAGATCACGATGGAAGTATCATACAAAACCACGAATTGATCATTGTCATTGAACGTCCAACCAGAGGTATTTGAGCTCGATCAAAGGATCGAGGTGGACAACGATCTAACAGTGATCATGGCGATCAGCGACCACCACCAAATTGAATTCTGGCAGAACGCACAGCGAGCATCTCTGTTGACGATGTTGGCTTGACTAGATAGATGTAAGGTAGTAGGTATCACGTTGCTCTGTTAGGCTGACCTGATCCAGAATTCTGTGAACCCAATCACAGTCATTCGATCGTAATCGCATGTGGAGTCACGAAACCAATCACTGGCTTAGGAGGATAACATAACATCGTACTGACCTGATAACCGAGTGGCCTGAAAGGGAGGATACACCTCCCCAAAGAAGAATAGGCGAAAACGTCCACACGATCGAGATGCGCAACGTTACTGTAAACGTCCAACCATTGGACGTATGCACGAGACTGACTTGCTCGAGTCCAAAAAATCGATGTTCAGAATACAATGCCAGATTCGACAACGATCATGGTCACATGAACGACAGCACAGAGTTCTCGGTGCACCTGGACGCTCCTATGATGAACAATGCAAAACATGATTACAATGAAACCACCTTTACAATGGTGTGGTGAGTCTGAAGGTGACAGGGTGTGAACGTTCCAACTCTGTGATGCATTGTTAAGGATGCAACTGACGATTACCGCGCTGGTTTCATTCCACATCCATACCAATCGTAGGTCAAATACCGAGGAATTCTGGAAAGCTCATGAGAAGAAAAGAAGGTGCATTCCTCGACGTTCGAGCCCATTTCGCAAAATGAAGAACCCGAGTCTCGCACGGCCGACAAACACGCAAATGCCGTTCGCATCAATGTTTGATGCGAACAGGGTCTCCAGAGTCAATTCTTTCGGAGAAATAAAAGCAACCAATCACTGCCATTCGGAGAGCGAAAAGCAACCCATTTTTGGTGAAAACCCTCGTTGCCATGGTCAGATTTCCGGCGCCGACACGAACACACCGCAAGACGCTGCAATAAAAAGCAGGATAAGATGAAGATCTCCTCAGTCCTTTCTTGCGTGTTGCTTTCCGACTCTCATCTCAACAGGCCGCACACTCCTGGCCTTGCCTTTCATTCACACGACACATTCGTTTTATAACTAAAGCCCACTAACACCCTCCTTCTTGCTCCCCGCCCCCAGCCGTCCAATCCGACCATGAAATTCAGCGTGACTCTCGTTTCTCTTACTCTTCTCTTGGCAGGATCTGTCGAGGCTGCTCATGTCAAGCGCGGTAACAACCATCGTCGCCACAACGGTCCGTCCGCCACTTTCATCGCGCCGACAAGTCAACCCACCGCAACTGCGTGAGTATTTGTTCTGAGAATCGATCAACGTCACAAATCTAACATTCTGTGCCAATAAGTATCCCCTCTCCCGCTCCCTCTTCCCCCAGCACCGGCGATGGAGCTAGCAAGCGTGGTCTTGCTTTTAACGATGTTAACTTGACCAAGAACTTCAACTCCCCGTGAGTTCGGACATTGACTCATCCGCTGAAATAACCTTATCGCTTTCCAATAATTAAATAGCAAGGTCACCTGGGCGTATAACTGGGCGTCGTCGCATCAGGGCGATCTCCCCGGTGGCGTTGAGTTCGTGCCTATGCTTTGGAGCGCTGACGGCAGCAAGACCAACGTCTGGCAAGATGATGCCACGGCCGCTATTGCCTCAGGCTCGAAATATCTACTTGCGTAAGCGTCGTTCCCTTTTGTTGCCTCTAACTTCCCTCAACCCCTGTCTTGTGTGGTAGCTTCAACGAGCCCGACCTTGGTGCCCAAGCCAACATGTCACCCGAAGTTGCCGCCGAAGCGTACAAAACCTACGTGAACCCTTTCGCCGGTAAGGCCAAGCTTATCGCTCCTGCTATCACCAATGGTGGTGCTCCTATGGGTACCGACTGGCTTGACCGGTTCTTGGCTGCGTGTGGTACCGATTGCCACATTGATGGTTTCGCATTCCACATTTACGACTCTGCAAGTAACACCGATTATTTTAAGACCTACATCAGCGACTTTGTCTCCAAGTACAGCAAAGATGGGAAAGAGTGCCTTCTCACCGAGGTTCGTACATCTTACCCCAGAGTTCTTATTTTCAGGGGACTGATTGTACCTCAATTTAGTTTGGCGCCAGTGGTTCTTCCGAGGAACAGCAACAGTTCTTGAACCAAATCCTGCCCGTCCTCGATAGTCTCGATGGTCTCACCCATTACGCCTACTTTGGCACCCTGCCCGGTTCGCTTGTCAATGGAGATGCAAGCCGTACTGCCATCGGTGATACTTACGTCTCTGTATAAACGTCATAGACTTTCTCCCACTTCTTCCCTTCTTTCATACCCTCATTCGGTTCGTCAAGATCGTTTGACACGCTCTATTCGCTTGCTTGCTAGATCGTTAGAATCTTTTGAAGGGTCGGAGCTGATCTGCCCCTGCCCCATTACTAGTACAGTAACTGCTTTTACTGTTGGCTGTTAGTTGTTTATACCGTACGTGACGGTACGCTGGTTGTATGCCGGCTTTGTCCTCTGATGTTTGTTTTGATAAAGGTTCCTAGCGTAGAGTAAATTTCGTGTGCTTTCCTGGCTTAATGCAAAGAGACTGAACATACGGTGCGTGTGAAGACAGTGTTATAGTGTTCGTCTATCTATTCGACGCTGTCCCGAAGAGGGGATGTGCGCTCCAATAGTGTTGATGCAATGGTTAGACAGATATATCCTTAGGTATGAGAATTTATGTCTCTATCTACTACGTACAGTACTTAGTCCTTAAGAAGTGAGATCCATCGTTTCACTCATCGGGGTCGGTTTGGCGACAGTTAACGTGTAATTAAAATGTAGCACTCCGCCGACTACGGCTTCGGTGGCTAGAAAGTGCACCACAATTTCGCGGCACAAGGGGGTGTAAAAGATTGCAATGCCCAAACACCTCATACACAAGATTTGAACGTTGCTTGAAGTAAATCGAGTAGCTGAGCTCAGATACAGCCTGGCGCTCATCAGAGAGTGGATATTCGAGTGAGAGACTAGGTGTTCGATATTCCCTTTTTGGGATGCTCGGTATTTGCCGGTCAACGGGGAAAATAAACGAATTCTCTTGCAAGTTCGCGACCTATTATTCACTGCACTTTGCTTCCATGACTTTGATTTTCCTGTATGCCTGTCTAGTTAATCATTCTTTGGATCTAATATACACCAATCGTTTACACCAAAGCTCTTTTCTATGGCCAAAATCTCCGCCCTAAAGAACTCCACCCGCTTTCCAAGCAATCAGAAGCATGGATCTCCACATAGCTTCAAAAAACGTAGGCCCTCTTGGGTCGATGTAGACGAGCATCCACATAAACGCAAAGAGAATACACCCTTGTGTTCGAGCTCCCATCAAGGGAAGAAGAAAGCCAGGAGAACAGAAGCTGCCGGTTCTCCAAGTAAAATACCCAAAAGTCCGACAATCCAGGAACAACGTGACCAGCTACCGATAGCGCAGGGTTTGTATACTCTCGTCTGTGAATGTCTAGTATACTTACAATCTGTGTTATGCAGGTAAGGACGCACTGGTGCGGGAAATCCAAGAGAATGATGTGACCGTTCTAGTTGGAGAGACAGGCTCTGGGAAAACTACTCGTGCGTATGTCGTCCGTTTAGACGACGGAAACATCTCATCGCTCCATTGCAGAGGTCCCTCAGTATCTGCTTGAAGCCGGTATAGCCGGAAAGGGCATGATAGCCGTTACTCAGCCTCGCAAAGTCGCAGCAACATCTCTGGCCTCGAGGGTCGCACAGGAGCAGAATGTTTCTGTCGGCGGCCTGGTCGGTTACTCTGTTCGATTTGATGAAGCATCCTCCTCATCTACTCGTATTAAATACGTGACGGATGGTATGCTCATCCGGGAGCTATTATCCGATCCATTGCTCTCTCGCTATAGCGTCGTCGTGATCGATGAGGCGCACGAGCGAACGTTACGAACAGATCTTCTTCTCGCCAACCTCAAGACCATTCAGAAAACTCGCAATGGTTATACAACAAGAGGGAAGAAAGGGAAAGAGCCCGCCTCGAAGCAGAATCCGCTGAAGATCGTAATCATGAGTGCCACATTGGATGCGGAGAAGTTCAGCAAGTTCTATGGAAAGTGAGTCAGCCCGGCCTAAATACAATCGGATTGTATGCTAATGTCAATCACAGTGCAAAAATACTCTATGTACAAGGTCGTCAACATCCGGTCACGATATACCACACTGCTGCGAGTCAACCAGACTACGTCGACTCTGCCTTGCGGACATTCTTCCAGATACACACCGATAGGCCACCAGGTGACGTCCTCATCTTCCTACCAGGCCAAGAGGATATCGAGAATTTGGAGAAATCTATCAAGCTATATGCGGACCGTCTTCCCAAAGAAACAGCTGGAGTACGTTCAGTTTCTTTTGCAGCTGTTCATTTGTTCATTTTAGGTATAGGTTGCAGTATACCCTATGTACGCAGCTTTGCCTGCACACCAGCAACAAGCCATATTTTCGCCTCCGCCACAAGGGATGCGAAAGTGCATATTGGCCACGAACATCGCGGAGACATCTATCACTATACCCGGGATCAAGTATGTCGTTGACACGGGGAAATGCAAGGAGAAACGATATATCTCTAGAGATACCGGATCTGGTGAGCTTCTTACTGCATATTGAATGAATCCTGTCTTAATATGCATCTGATAGGTTTTGATACCCTATTAACGAGAGATATCACTAAGTCCTCTGCGTTGCAACGCGCTGGTCGTGCCGGGAGAGAGGTGAACTTTTTCCTGCACTGTCGTCAAGCTGTGGTATTCAATTTGTCTGCTACTCTAGGGCCCTGGCTTCTGTTTCCGGTTATATACAGAAGATGCCTTCCAGGCCATGCCACTGTCGGCTGAGCCCGAGATTCTTCGGTGTACGCTTACCTCAAGTATCCTTCAGCTAAAATGTCTGGGTCAAGATTTGGAGACTCTTGATTTCATGGATAAGCCAGACGCAGAGTCCAGTGAGTTTGTTTTTGATCCCTTCATAAACATGTACCTGTTACTCACGAATAATGTAGTCGCATCAGCGCTGGCTACACTGTACCTCTTAGGTGCCATCGACGACAGCAAAACGCTTACAAAGCTCGGCCGTAATATGGCTTTCCTTCCTCTTGAATCTCCCCTCGCCCGCAGTCTGATGGCTTCAGTCGAACTGGCATGTACACTGGAGGTCCTCGATATCATCTCCGTCCTATCCGCCTCATCCAAACTTTTCGTCGACAATACGGATAATCGAGAAATGGCAGTTGAAGCTCGTCGGAAGTTCCGACATCCAAGCGGGGATCATTTGACAGTCTTGAATATTGTCAAGTCGTATGAGGAGATGAGCGAGAGTCAGGGTAAGAGTGGAAGGAGGGAGTGGTGTAGGAAGCAGCTGTTGAATGAGAGGTGTCTTATTGAGGCGTTGGAGATTAGAGCACAGTTGAGAGGGTCTTGCGAGCGGTTGGGGATCGATTGGCACGTTAGCTGTGGTGAGGCGGAGCAGCCGGTGTTGAGGAGCCTGCTTCGTGGGTTGGTGCACCAGGCAGCGTTCTTGCAGCCTGACGGATCATATAAGCAGATCATGGGACCTTCGGTGAGTCGTGGTATTCTGCGCTTCACTCGTACGTGCTAAATGACTTGTCTATAGACCGTCAAGATTCACCCTGGGTCGTCGCTCTGCGATAAAAAAGTCCCCGCCATCATTTATGACGAATTGGTATGTTTTGTCTTTGAGGCTTTCGTTGTGCCCGTGGTCTGATACACCGTCATATAGATTTATACGACTAACATATATGCCCGAGGTGTTTCTTCTGTGCCACGAAGTTTCATTGCGGAAGTATCTGTCCTCAATCGACGACGATCCGGGTAATCCTTGGGGTGTTCATTGGAGGCGATCCAGATCGCGGATTCATTCTTGAATCCAAGATTCCAACCTCGGCCATCGCAGCATGGATCGCGTACTCCTCTAGTAATAATGTTTAATTCTGCTTTGAAGAGTACGTTACGAGTATCAGTTTACGATTGAAATGCATGCACATATAACAATACATTTTTGGACAACGATCATTGCGACTCGATTCAGGCTCGACTACATGTGTGGATAATGTATATATACATCGTATATCGCAACATCACGGTACAACTCATGCAAACTTTGGAAGCTTGAGGAAAAGAAGTACAGCATTCTACCATGCGTATACACTCGTAGCCTCGGGTTATCGCCTATGAGAGAACAATATTCGACTACGTACAACTCTCAGCAGCGACCCGGAAGAAGCACCGCCTAGCCTTCGGCTGTCTTCCGCTTCTTCATGACTCCTGAGGTTTCCTCGGGAGCCTGGTTAGACTGGCGTTTACTTCCGGTGGTCACTCCACTGGGAGCGCATGATCCTCGCGCTGTCTCTGCACGTGGGCCGGCGTAAGGTAGACCGAGAAATTGGTCCTGCTCCTTGTCTTTTGGAACCCATCGACCTTCGATTAGTGTTGTTGCGAAAATCCTCTCTATTCTCTTGTGAGTGTTAAGAACTCTCTTCGGCGGAGGAGGTAGGGGTAGAGGTTGGGTTTCTAAATCTGGTTCATCCAACTCCGGCACTGGCAGATCCATAGGTACATAAGAGGGCGCTTCAATAGAAATGTCGGTCCTTTTCACGCCATAATTCTTCTCGACATCCACAAGATCCAGAGCAGCGTAGTGTTCCTTGCACATCTCCATTAGGCGCGTCACTAGATTTAGCATGCTGCTGGCCTCAAGGAGCTTGTAAGGCGGTATGCCATTTTGCATTTGCTGTAGCTTGTACTCGCTACCGACGTGGAAACCGTCAACAATGGTGGACTCTTGATACACATCGTAGAGGAGCTTCGAAAGCTTGAATTTGAGCTTTCCGTCGTTGGATGTCTTATCGTGCTTTCTGAAACGAAGATTCTGTAGGTTGATAACGTGTACAAAAGACTCGAGATCGTCGGAAAGTTCGTATGGCTTCTTCGGATAGTTCAAGAGCAGCGCAGAGAGGTAATACCAAGTGCCCTGGATAAACTGTTAAGCCAAGCCCCCAAGGACAAAAGCCGCATTTACTCACCGAACGTTCATACTGGGTAGGTAGCATCTTGAGCTGTTCGATGGTCTTCGCCAGATCCCAATCGATAAGTATACCCTTAGACTGCCGTGGTTCGGTATCGTTAGGAATAATGAGAATGTTGCTGCCGCTGATGTCGCGGTGCAGGCTCCCAGCTCTCTCGTAAGCATCCTTGTGAGCTAGTATAATGCTGTATGAGCAAGATACCAATGCGTGAAGTGCACCTCACATACCTAAGATGCTGTCGTAAACCACTTTACATAGCTCCTGTGAGCTATTGTGTTCTTCCAGCGGGATACCAATTTCCTCGAAAACAATGCGATGATGGATACGAGGCGAGAATTTTACCGTAGACTCAGACGTAAGGAAAGACTGGGTGATCGTTTGTTGAATAGGTGTTCCGATATCCCCTCCGCACAGTACTGTGGGCACATTGCGAACATGGTTTTTCGCTAATCTATCGTAAAAGTGCATTTCAGTGGAGACCTGGCCGGAGTCCAATCGCCACCCGTCTTTGATGAAGACAAAACGCGGTTTTTGCAGGTCGAACGCAATGAAACCTTTGGTGCCGCGACCAGTTGGGTACCGACTTCCCGCGCGAAGCCTCCCAATTAGAAAATGTTGCGCCGCCTCTCCCTCCTTGCCCGGAGCAATAACTTTATGAATGGGATATCCAGGCGTCGCCAACGCGTCCCGAATATGGGCGGCCATTCGGGTTTGATCATCAGACGAAGGTAAGTGGTTCTTCATGAGTCCAACTTCCATATCGGAGGCTAACTCCACCGTATCATCATATCCGCGTTCGGAACGAGTCATTTGGCCGAGCCGAAAGACAAAATTGAGTAACTTCTTGGACTCAGTGACGAGGTTGAAGGAGTCCGAGATGACACAACCAGCACGGTCAAATCGGGCTAGGCGAGCTCTGTCCTTGTGCACATAGATCATAAAGACATGCGTGCGGTGCTGTTGAACGAGAATCTCTGCAGCATACTCCGCCATTTGACCCCGTATGTCAGTCGCATCTACGGACGTGGGTAAGAAATCCTGGTCTGGTCCCATACCGAAGGCGGCTACGTTGACCTTAGCTTCTAGGAAAGCAACCATTTGAGCCCAGATGACCCGTGCCATGTTAGCGACGCGGTCGGTATCTGTGACTGTGGTCCACCTGACTGTTGTCGCACCAAGTACCACTGGGTCATCCTCGTAAAAACAGATATCAGTCTTGCGGCGGCCGGGACCGTCGCCGGTTCGCACTGCAGAGGTGGAAGTCGGAAGGTCTGATCCTTCAGGCCAGTCGCCCGTGTCCTTGCATACGAGAGTTCCCTCGGGTAAAGCCGATTGCATGACCTTACACTAAGATGTTCAAAAGTATCGTAAGAATCGTTCACTATAATGAAAGATGCCGTACCAATGGAGCATAGAGACTCGTTTCTTTCGTGACGTTGAGATCCTCAGCGGTGAACTCCAAAAAAGCAGCAGCCTCTTCAGGGGTCGGGTCACGACCGGGCACATACGTGGGATCCATGAACGTGTTATACGGAGCTTGTACCCAACGCGGATTCATTTCCAAGCCAAGGTCTCTACGATGGTTATCTTTGTGGGGTTTTCTTTCTGGCCTCGGACGGAGTGGTGTTGAGTGTACGGTTGGTGGAGCAACACCTTCGCCAGTCGAAGTATGTTCTTCAGCTGGGGGTGTAACAGGATCGGGATGAGCAGACATGATGGCGGAAGTGGAATGGGAAACGTACAGAAAATGAAGATGGCCGCTAATATTTATACAGCCCCGCAGGAACCACACTAAAATATTGCATTGTTCATCGCCTAATTAGGTGTGAGTGTGGACCACACACACCTTTTGGCCACTCGGCAGAATGCCAACCCGGATACTATGACGGCGGTCGGCACGCGGAAATGAATGAAAACTGGACTTATACTCACAACAATGAAGCTTGAAGAGGTAAAAACTATTGTTCTAAGTCACTTGGCGGTTCAATGTTCAAGTTAAAGACAAGTGATGCTGTGTCACAGTGGTGTTCAATGCACGTGATGCTTAACGTCTCGAGACGGTTGTCTGTGAGAAACTTCAGAACAGGTATTAATGAGTACCACGTCCGTTAAAGGCCACGTTAAAGTATATCAAAGACCAGACAAAATAACCAGCTTCATGGTCCTTGCTCAAAGCAATCTCGCATGGAGAAAGGAGTAAACGAAGGCTCGAGGTCTTATTCCTCTGAGTCAGTCGCAACATGAATCGACTTGGATGACATACCAGGAGTAATATACAGTGATATGATAGCTTGCTAAGGCAAGGACACAACTTGACGGACGGTGACCTGACCTTGTGGCACTTGTCTTTCGACGAAAAACTTTGTCACATGTGCGTTCAACTAAGGTGTTGATGCTTGTCGTGCAAAGGCTTCTTCCCTGTTGCCGCATTTGGCAGTCTCCCTAGTAAAGCGCACACAGAACTTGAATGTGACAGAAATGCAAACCTTCGTGCCTCATTGGGATATCTTTGTCTGACAGTTAGACCTGAACGGAGTACTCTAGTAATGATGTCCCGATGCCAGTCCTTGAATGGCTGGTCTTCACCGCTGAAAGTTGAGAGCCAAGGTCTATGCACTGAATGACCATCTCTGAGTCTCCCGTTACGATACAAAAGATACTTGTTCTTGTTGAAATAGTATGGTTGAAGCGGCGAGCGTCGCTATGTGCAGGGAGAGGTGCGGCACGTGCGGGACAGAGTCCCGCGTGTTTGGTAAGTTTTCGTATCCAAAGTAGTTAATTATCTTGTATGTACATCATGCATCCGTTTGCCTCAGAACTCAGAGAGGTCAAACGTTACCGACTCGTTTTCTCACGCGGGACTTTATTTCAATAGTTCTTCCCCCCCCCCCCCCCCCGGAATTACGCTGCTGCCTTCTCCCGTATGCACCTGAGAGAACTACCCAACCTACAATCCAAGCCAAGTATACAACTTGGGCCGAAAGGGCCATCCATTTCTCAACTTTTGAGTACAGACAGCGTCCTCCAATGGCATCCTCTCAATTTTCGATTTCACTGTCTGTTGCGAGTCTACCGCTTATTGTATGCATTGCATTGATGACCCCGTTAGTCTGATATTCTTTCCCCCCTGTCTTGCAGTAGCTCGCCAAGTATCACTCTCGCTTACACTGGCACTTTCCTAGCCTGAGCTGAGTCAAGTACAACTTGGTTTTCCTTGCTGCTTGCTCATTTGATGCCAAGAAGGTGAAAATTTACACTCCACGATGTACGCCATGTGGATGATGATATGAATGTATTTCCGATGGTGGATGAGCATATTTATACCGAACATTATGACAAAGGCCAAACCTGAATAACGGATACATGAATAACGGATACATGAATAACGGATATCAACTAAATTTGAGTATTTCCCAATTGAGATCCCTCGAAAAGGAAGCCCCGCTCATTCTTGCACAGGATGAAGACCGCCTTGAGCACGAGCCTGAGAGCGAGTCATGTGAGTCTGTTGACGTGACCCACTGTCAGTCTTGCTATCCTTGCGTTTCTTAGTAGTTTTGCGATTATCTTCCACGGCCTTTCGCTTACTGGTGTTCTCCGACGTCCCCAACACTATAGAGCGACCTTCTGTCATGGTCACTGCTGGGAGACCCACGAAATTGTCCTTCTCCTTCGGTAGTTTGTCGTTGATGACCCAGATATCGTTCTTCAATGCAAGGCCCAGGGCTCGGAACAGCGCGCCATGGTTGTCCAATGTGCGCTGAGGAGAAGGAACTCCAGCAACAGTATGCGCGGAGGCGGTTTCAGCAACATTAGCCGCGAAGGCCTCAGCAAATTCGGGCGGTGGACTGAGTTTTGGAACTTTCACCTTGGCTGTCTGCTGTTCTGCCGGTGGTCTACATGTCGGAGCGTAGTGTTCGTTCATAGATTTGATGTCGACGCAAGCATAATGCTCCTTGCAGACTTTCATAAGCTCGTCAATCAAGCTGGCGAGGTTGGTATTGCCAGTCAAGGCGAAGCCCGCGTTGCCAGCTTGTAACTGCGACAGCTTTCGCGAGCTCCCTACGTAGAAATCTTGTTCTTTGCAACACTGAAAGAACATGTCGTTCACGTAGGTGGCAAAGTTGTCGCGGTTACCAGTTAGAGTGTGTCCGTGGAAGCGAGCTGCAAACCAGAGGTAGATGTGCACAAAGGATTCTATGTCGTCAGCAACCTCATATGGTTTCCGGGGATATAATATCCGAAGAGCAGACAAAAATGGCCACGTTCCCTGTTTGATATTCAGTTTAAGGGAGGTTCTCAAGATCACTGAGTAACTTACAGAACGATTCGTGTTGGATGCCTTTTGCTCTGCGATTTCGCCCATCGTCTTGCATAGATCCCAATCAATCAGTATTCCGCGTGGCTCATCGCCCTGGTACGTTATGAGAATATTACCATCGCTGATATCCCGGTGAAGCACCTCGGCATTCTTGTACGCGCTCCAATGCCCTAAAGGAATATTTATATCAGTGAAGATTACACCGCATAGTTGAAGCCACGGACCCTTCAAAGCGCCGTACATAACCTGAGTCAATTCATGGGCTGACTCGTAATCATCCAATGGCTTCCCAATCTCTTCAATGACAAGTCGATGATGTATGCGAGCAATGAAGTCCACAGTTTCTGTGTTGAAATACTTTTGAGACTTGGTTCTTTGGCGTGGTTCGACATCGCCCCCGCAACGAAAAGTGGCGATGTTGTCGACCTTGGCAGCCTGCAACATTAAATAAACGTCTGACTCGGAACGGCCTCTTGGTATATCGGCACGCCAAGAGTCCTTAAGGAATACAAACTCGTCCTTTCGAACGTCGTATGCCACGAAGCCCTTTGTCGAGCGACCAGTCAAGGAGGAACTGCAGGAACGAGGTTTGCCCACTAGGAAAGCCTGAGGACCGATCTGTTGGGGATCCTTGATATTCGGGGGGACGAGGAGCTTGTAGATAGGCCAGAGTGACTTCTCCTTCTGTTCCAGAGCATCCGAGATCGCCGAATCCACATATGTCTTTTGGTAGCCGTCCATGCGGAGAGCACGTTGACGCATTACTTCGATTTCCTTAATGGAGGCTGGGGTGGCGGTAGGGTCGTATCCAAGTTGTTCTCGAGTCATAGAACCAAGCCGGCAGAAGAACTGCAAGAACTCCTTCGGCTGTTTCTGGCAGTCGATTGATTCCGATATGACAGTGCTAACACGGTCGATGTAAAGGAAATTGACCTTGTACTGGAAGACAGAAGCGAAGAAGAGATGGCTCCGGTGCTGGCGAGACAGGATCTCTGCCGCATATTCGGCTATCTGTCCTCTCGTCATCCGCGCCTCTTGAGTCTGCAGAAGTTCCCCAGAATCGCCGAAAGGTCTCTTTTTGGGGTCATTCTTGACTTCGAATGGCATAACTGCACGTGAAAACAGCGTCCTACCAATATACGGAGCACGGTCCTTGATCTTTGGCTGTTCCTGTTCATCGTCTAGCGTGTAAGCGTCCTCATCAGATTCATTGTATATACTGCAGTCAAAACAACGACGATCTGAACCGGACTCTGGCCAGTGGGCGGTGTCCTTAGCGATCAACTCGGACAGGCCAGGTCCGCCTGCACCATGATCCATGGCTTGTTTCACCATATAGCACTGGGATGTATCACATCAGCCTTTTAGCCGACCGAAGAAAAAAAGAGACTCACGATGCCGGGGTAGAGTTCTTCTTCCCGACCAACCTGATTTTCGCGTTTTCCAGAAGCTGCAGAGTTGAAGACCGTCCTACAGTCTGCTTCAAGTTTGTCTGAGATCTTGATTGTTTCCCCAGGAACGCACATAGCCAAGAATTGAGCATAAGAAAGTTGAGTGACTTGAGGGTCTTCCATCTGCTCAGCTTGTAGAGCCTTGTAGGCGGCCTTATCTTTGTCTACCCTTAACGTTCCAGGAGTGCCTTTATGAGGGGTTGTAGGGACGTTTTGGATGATAGAGGTCGGAGGGGTCTCAAGCTTGTGCTCAAGACGAGGTTCAGCGGCGTTAAGATCAAGGAGAGTAGTGTCGTCAGGATGCGAGTCGACCGAAGGGAATCCTGTAACGTCAGCAGGAAGAGAATTAGCTTCAGAGTTCATGTTGAGAGTCAGCAGTGAATAGAGATGTGGAACGTACAGAACACAGACCGAGCAGCCGCTATATATGCACTTCCGTCCCCAGTTAGTGGCACAGTGGATGATATTAACGTGTATTGTTTGGCGGTCAAGGAGTGCGTGGTAAGCGGCCAATTTGCTGTGGGTGAAACGCTCGATGGGGAATGTCTGTGGCACAGTACACTTGTCCGGCACAGGCTTGAGTTATCCATTGTTCGATGAGTTACCAGAGTGGCAAACACTAGTGCAACACTTACCTTGTAATATTATCACAAGTGGTAATATCACTCAAGAATATAATGGGACGTGTGGCCGTAGCAATGGCACGTGGTAGCGTCTACGTACTCATCCACAGAAAGACTGGTCAAGGGAGATTTCAGCGCCACCCACGCGTTGTTGATGGCTATTGTGCGACTTACCCATCAGAATTACCATTTATGGTGCATCCTCAGGTGAGGAATTGGCATTGGTGGGGTGCAGGAGCGGCTGGGTTAGAGACCAGTAAGGAATAATATTCGACTAAGCATTCCGAATCAATCTGCTCTGCCACTCCGAAGCTCATCATCTTCAGTATTGTCACTCTGCAGCGACGAGGTTGAAGCAAAGGGTATATATGATGATACTGATTCTCAACAGTGAGAACGTGAGACACACAGAAAGTGAAGTTCAATTCCAGTCGTGACACAGTGTAGATACGACACTCTACAAACCTTTAACGTGCAGAAATGATGTCAAGGATCTAGGACATCCTGTATGCTTTCCACACAGCATCTGCAACCGCTCTCCTAGGACATTGCCTGCCAGTCCACATGTGAAACTGCGCATATCCTTGCTCCAGCAGCACGTCGAGACCTCTCACTACTTCCCAAATTTTTGCATATCTGGCAGCGAGAGTTAACAACGGAGTGTCGGCTGGTTTATACGCCATATCGACCACAACCCCGCCGTGTTCGTTATCGAAGAGCTCGTTAGGAAGGTAGAGTCCTTCCGAAGCCGACGGGTCAAAAGTCGTCGCACTGGCTGGAACCGTTGAGACAATAACTGAAGGTGGATTTCCTGGCCATTCTCCAAGAACGGGCACGATGTGGATGTCTGCGAGATTGGAGAATGCATCGACAAGAACCTCGGCACTAGTCTTTGTACGATTAAAGATATAGATCTTCTTTACTCCGAGCTTGTACAGAGCATATATGGCTGCCCGAGAAGTCCCACCCGCACCGATGACCAGAGCAACCTCTGGCTTATGCAGGGTGGCCGGCAGACGAGACTGGATGCAGTTGCGTATTCCAAGCCAATCGGTATTGTCACCGTACAAAGTGTGGAGTCCTTCAGGTGTCCTTCTAGGGATGATAGTGTTGACAGCTCCGATCACTTCTGCATCTGGCGAAAGAGAGTCAAGTAAAGGAATCACATCAAGCTTGAAAGGAATAGTGACGGATGCTCCGCCGAAATCGGGTGCGGTAATCGTAGCTTTGATTTCCTGTCCGACAGATGTCGTCTCGAGCAACTCGTACTTGTGGGGCAAGCTGAGGATGCGGAAAGCAGTGTTGTGAAGGGTTGGGGACATTGAATGCGCGATCGGCGTGCCAAACAAGAAGAACCGCAATGAGGGCAACTGTCCAATGAGGTGTAGAGCAGTCTGAATTTCAGCGAAGGACAATTGACCTGGAGCTGCCTTGTTGGGCAGGAGGGGATGTGTAACAGGGCTGAAAGTAGGATTTAGTACACGAGACATTTGACCCTCAATACCCATATTGATAGCGATAACGGGTTTCGCCAACGTGGTGAGACGCTTATGTGTGACGAAGTTGTAAAGGGCGAAGTTATCTTGGATCGAATTAGCCTTGCTGACGATCTTTACGATGTCGCCAAAACTAGCAGCCTTTTGATAAATGTCCTCCACTAGATGTCCAGTCCATTTCAGTTTCCCGCTCCAGTCATGCCAGGACGCGATGACTTGCGAATAGCCTTTATGAGTGACGAACTCTTTGATGCGCTTGCTTGGCCATGAGATCTCGACGTCGATGTACTCTATACCGAGACGCAAAGCAGCGTAGAAGAGCTCGAATGCTTCTTTTTCAGCATGGTCTGGGAAATTTCCACCCTGTGAGACGGTCCTCACAGTGAAGACGATGGGCAGTGAGGTCTTTTGGCGAAGAGACGCTATCTGCTCAGAGACATAGGTGACAGGTGGGACGTAAGGCCCAATTTTATCGAAATCCTTGGGAGAGCGCAAGAGATCGACACGGAGTTCAATCGCATCCGCACCAGCTGTCAATTCTTCCATCTGGGGTAAAGCTGGAGTAACGTCGGCATATGTCAATGACAAGAAGTAGGATCTCTTGTCGTCAGCCAGGTTGGGAGCGAGATTAGGTTCTTGACCAGTGATATGTTTAAAGAATCTCGCTACGTCTCGCCTGACACTTTCAGCAGGACGAGAATCGATGCCGTTCAGCACGCCAGTGTAGTTGATGAACTCGTGGGTACGACATTCAGCGAACCATGGCTCGCGGCGACGGAAAACATCGACAATTGGTTCGCCGTAAGCAGGTCGTGCAGTTTCCTCGCCGAGGTATTGCAGGACTTGATCGACTTCGCGGACAACGTGGACGACGGGTCCCCTTTTCGCGTACTGCTTCAAAAGATCCTTAGCAGCTGGCGTTTCCACGATGCCCCCACCGAGGCTGATGACGTGTCCAGTTGGGTGAGCCTCCAACAGATTCTTCAAAACCTTCGTCTCTGCAGCACGGAAAGCGGCCCAGCCATGTTTTCGCACAAATTCGCGAACACTGATCTGGTGTCGTTGCTCGAAGACAGGATCGGCATCGAAGAAGGTCCATCCGAGAGCGGTGGCTGCAAGCCGCCCGATGAATGTCTTGCCTGAACCACGCATCCCGATGATGACGACCGAGGCCGACTCAGCTGGACTTTCCATTCCGCTGTACGAGGCTGAGACGTCGACACTTGCTAAGTCAACACCTTCAACTTTCAGACCAATCTAAGCATATCAGGTTAGAACATATTGTATGAGATGAAACAAATGAGCATACCTTGTTTTCCAGATCATCCCACCAATTAGGCCACGTTTTCTCCACACACCGCTTCTCCTCGATGATAGTGTCCTTGACCACTGATCCAAGAACACTGAAAGCCATTGCGACTCGATGATCGTCATAGCAGTGGACGCTGACACCTTCTTTGAGTTCTATCATTGGCTTGCCGTAGATTTCTAGCCCGTCATCCAGTTCCCTAGTCTCGACGCCAAATTTGGCTGTCAATGGCCAGAAACCTTTCAGCACATCGAAGCAATGATCACGACTATTTGAAATACTCACCGAGTTGGTCCATCATGGCCCGAATACGATTACATTCCTTCACCCTCTGATTGGCAATCCCAACGATTCGGGTAGCGGTGAGAGTGCTTCCATCGGGAAGCGCGCGTCCTTTTAGCGGCGCATTGTTAGCTACAGCAGCTAGCACGCTGGCAGTCAAGAACGCATCCGTCATCAGTTCCATATCAACCAGTCCGAGGGCCTTCAAAGACCCTACAGGCGGACCTCTAACCGTAGTTTCGGTTTCAGTTTGAACGACTTCACAACCCATCGGCTCGAGAACGTCCTTCGCAAACCTGGCGTCTCCTTGGAGGGACGCAGATCCAATGTTGGCAATTGTGCATTCCGTGCCGGTGATGGCAGCAATAGCCAGAGGATAGGTCGCACTGCTGGCATCACTCTCGATGGCGTACTCCTTAGGGTTCACGTACGGGCCTTTGGGAATCCGGTAAATGTTCAACAACTTGCCGGATCGGTCGCGTTCTCGCACTACATCCACGCCAAAAGTCTTCATCATGGCGATAGTCATGTCGATGTAAGGTTGAGAGATGACGACACCGCCCATTAACTCCAAAGTGACCGGTTCCTCAGCGTAAGGAGCACAAAGAAGGATGGAGGAGACGTATTGACTTGAAACGCTTGCAGCGAGCTGGATACGAGACCCCTTCAAACCAGTTGGCGCGATAGACAGAGGCAAGCAGCCTTGTGACTCAACGTAGTCGATGGCACTACCATTGGCTCGCAAGGCATCTACAAGAGGCCCGATTGGTCGCTGCTTCATGCGCGCGTTTCCAGTAATGACCGTACGCTCGTCAGCGAGCGATGACCTGACTAGCGTACATACTGTGGTCAGGAATCGAGCTGCTGTTCCGGCGTTTCCAAGGTAGATCTCTTTTCCTTGTTCCGGTACAGAGAGTGTTCCAGCTCCACCATCAACGACAAGTGTTTCGCCACCTTCTTCCCAGGAGAATTTGGCCCCCTGTATAAGCATGAGGTTGTGCAGGTTATCACACTTATGGGAAAACTCACCTTGAGCTCTACGAGAGCATTCATCATGACTTGTGTATCATCAGAATGCAAGAGATTCTTCAGACGACAGGTTCCCCTCCCAAGAGCGGCCAACAGCAAGGCACGATTGGAGATACTCTTGGATCCTGGCGTAGCCATCCGTACGGGACTCTTCGAGGGAGTTCCAAAGATCACCTTTACAGCTTCGGATAAGGTCTTTGCGATGACACTATCATCGACCACAGTCGCCTTCTGCTCGTACGTGGCGCCAATTCTAGACAGAATGACGATCTTCTTTTGAGGACCACTGTTCTTCTTGTCAACCTTCATGATATCCAACAACTTCTCCACCGTAAGAGACCTGGAGGCAGGAAGGCTAGCAATCTTCGGGTCCGAAAGGGAAACTGGTAAATTATAAGCTCTGAGACACCGTGTAAGTCGTCCGACAGCAACTTGGCCAAGGATAGCCAGACCCCTCGCGACCTCAGCTTCAAGCACCATGCCGATGCTGACGCATTCTCCGTGTAGAATTGTGGGAGTTAAGATGGCCTCAATTGCATGTCCAATAGTATGCCCAAAGTTGACTAGATTGCGGAGGCCAGTTTCGCGCTCGTCAATAGTGACGATGTGAGCCTTGACAGAGATTGACCCAAAAATGATTGAGAGTAGGAGCTCTTGAGCAGAAGACCGAGTATCTGAAGTCCGCCCGGCAAAAGAGGCAGAAGGGTTTTGAATGGCTGCGAATATTTCTGAAGAACGTGATTCGAGCGAGGCGAAGTCTTTCTCGTCCCAGATGGCGGCGGTCTGAAGGACCATTACAACAGGAAAATACAGATATCAGCAATACACATACCTTGATGACTTCAGCCATTCCATTTGAAAATTCTCGGGCAGGAAGTGACTCGAGGAAAGCTGCATCAATGAAGATGTACTCCGGTTGCCAGAAGGCACCAATGAGATTCTTGCCATGGGGAGTATCTATGGCAGTCTTTCCACCCACACTAGAATCAACCATTGCAAGCAGAGTAGTTGGGATCTGCACGAATCGCACTCCACGCATGCTGCAAAGATTAGTACTTGAGAAACGCGACTATCGTAAGAAAAGCTCACAATGTTGCAGCGACGAAGCCAACCAGATCTCCAATAACACCTCCTCCAACAGCTAGGATGACAGTATCCCTCGTACATTTGTGCAACAATAGGAAGTCCTCGATCTCAGCCTTGCCCTCACGGCTTTTGCTTGTCTCTCCGGGGGGAACGACATAAGTGAGGAGTCTTGGTTTGGGGCTCGATGCCAACGTCGAGAGTCTCGTTTCGAATTCGGATTCGAACAGGGGCAGATGAAGATTGCCTACGTTGGTGTCAGTGATCAAGACATAAGTGGAAGAGGGCAATGTCTCAATGACGGTATTGGCGATGTACGGTACGAGGTGGAAACCACAATGAATGCATTCCTTCCCAAGAATGGATACCTTGCGAATGTCAGTGTCGGGGAAGGTCATGATGTTGTTGGATCCTGCCACGACCGACAGTCAAACGGCGGCACAATTTAATCTGTGTCCGGCGTCCCGATGCAGATCCTATCACGATGGCAGTACGTCAAAGCTGTGGTAGCAAGCTGTCAACTGAGCGAAATATATGAAAGCGGCAACCGATTCACCTAGGCTCGACTTGACAAAACGACAAGTTGTCCAGTGCTGCGACTTTAAGCTTTAACTTTGAAGATGGAAATCAAGAATGACTCTGATCATCTAATCTAATCTCGTTATCTCAGCGCTTGCGAGTGCCCAGAATGAAGTAGGCTGTCGTTCAACGTCAACTTGGCGACGCATTTCAACTTGGATTTGAACCTTCAGCAATCAACACAGTCAACTAGAATGTCATACAAGTTGAGTCTGATAGATTGATCTCACAGAATGACAGAGGCTTGGCGACATCCTTAGACCAGTACTTCCCATCGGCCAGAAGGGCATGTACCATGCACCATCGTTCCCCGACTTCGTCGACAAACCAATGTTTTTGCAGAAAAAAATACGCTCATTAATGCACCAGCATCCCCGTATGTTGAAGGCTATCTAGAAACAATTGGATTATTTCCTGCTCAGTTACACGTTCCATTACAAGAAGCGGGTAATTCTATAGTTTCCGACTGTCTCGGATGCGCTATTGGCTGGGGTTCGGCGAGATTGAGCGCAACCTTGGGGAGTTATGTCAGAGTCCTCACAGTGGACACTGCAGCTGTTGCGCTGACATTAATTCCGTCCAAGGTCGGCGATTCGGGGCGGGGAGCACAACAGAAATCCCTCCAAGGTTCGACTATAAAGGCCAGCCATGAAACCGATATGAGTTCCCGTCAGTCTTATACCTCCGAGTGGTATATCCTGCTAGTACACTCAGGTTCTATCTCCGAGCCACCTCGCTGTCTCTACAGTTTTCTCTCTCTCAATGTCTCACGGAAAACAGTTCACTCTCTATACCCATGTCGGCGGCCCGAACGGATGGTTAGTGTATCTGCTTGGATGCGGCGGAAGTAATTGACTATTTTTCATTCAACAGGAAAGTCGCTTCTGTTCTTGAGGAGCTCGGCCTCACCTATGAGTCAACCTATCTCAACTTTCAGAGCGCCGAGCAAAAAAGCCCCGAGCATTTAAGATTGAACCCTAACGGTCGCATTCCAACCATCATTGATCATGGCAACAATGATTTCGTTCTCTGGTCCGTGTCCTTATAATGCACATCCGCACGACGATGTCTGACCATGCTGCAGGGAGTCCGACGCGATTCTTCTCTATCTTGGCGAAAAGTATGACACTCGGAAGCGGCTCACTGTGACGGATGAGAGCGAGAAGCATCAGATGTTGCAGTGGCTCTTTTTCCAGGCATCAGGCCAGGGGTATGTCATAAAGCAGCAGCTCGTATCAACTGAATTTACAACCGTTATAATTGATTTTATGGAACGAGCAGACCCTACTTCGGTCAGGCCGCTTGGTTCATCCGTAGCAATCCTGAGAAGATCCCGTCTGTGATCAATCGATACACGAAGGAAATCACTCGCATATTTGGAGTTCTCGAGAGTGTTCTCGTCAAACAAGAGTGGCTGGTTGGAGGCAAGATGACTATTGCTGACATGTCCTTTGTCATGTAAGCAGAAGTTTGAATTTGTTGAGTTGAACGAGCTGACCACCTGGTTGTTTCACATAGGTTTAATCACTTCACTCTCGTCCATCTGGTCCCAACTGGCCATCTAGGGGACTTTGACTTCTGGAAGGATTTTCCTGCGACCGCCGCGTAGGTCAAATTGATATAGGTCTTCGCTTTACAAGATATGCTTACTATTCGGACTGGTTCGAACAGTTGGCATGCTAGACTGACCGCTATTCCCTCCATCAAGAAGGTCATAGACCAACGTGCATGCATGCTTCAGAAGGAATCATGATTTAGAGACTCGGACATCTGGAATATCTGATGTCGCATTTTCTCTACTAGGAAATACTGTATCGTCAGTCTGTGTTTTATCTCATCTTACTCCACGGGAATCCTTCACCATTTAGTATCATTTCATGCCGCTATTCAGCTGGTTATTCTACTTAGGGCCGGGGCGGAGGAGTCTGTCAACTTTCTTTCATCGATGCTTCTGTCGCATGCAAGACACGTTTGAGATTCTCCAGGCAAGAAGATTGGCAGTATTAGAGCTTTTTTGACCTCTGGTTCACTACTTAGCAATGTATGAGCTGAAGGTAGCCGCAAAAGGTGTAATTTGAACGCACGGCACATGGTGGCGTCGGGAGAGCCCGTAACAGTGTGACGGGGCGCTCCTATGACCGTCCGGAAAAGGCATGTCCGTGACGGCATAGATGGTGACGCTGTCGGGAGCCCGAAATCCAAAACTTCGAAAAGCTGCCAGCAACAGCCTCAGTACTTGAGAATCCATTTCCAGCCTCTCCAGAGCATATATACCCTTCTATCGACGGGCTCTGCGTCGATTTCTTATTTTCGTTTCAAAAACCATGTCGGTCTGTCGTGGTATGTATTGGTCTCATATGGAAACATAGCACTACCAGCTGATTCCTACGTCCTTTCCGCAACAAGCCCGTATCGCTCTCGGCCGATCCCTGACCCACTCTAGACCACAGTCCGTCCTTCGAACCCAACCTTCGAGGCGGTATGCGTCTACTGAATCTTCAGCACCTCAGGTATGCTATTAGCTTATATGCATCCGGAAGTACACTTCAACCATTCCGTAGACTACTAGTCCGAGAACACAATCAAAATGGCGCACATTTCTGCAGCTAGTCGGCCGTGTGACCCTAGTCACTGTCGTTGGAAGCGGCGCCTTGTTCTACTATGTTGCGCGGAAGGATAGGACGCCTGGTGAACAGCTTCCTCATGACCCGACCAAGAAGACCTTGGTAGTTCTTGGCAGTGGATGGGGAGCGACCAGTCTCTTGCAGAAGTTGGACACGACAGATTACAATGTTGTATGTACCTCATCCTCTGAATCTCGACATCCATCTGAGTGTATATTCAGGTTGTTATTAGCCCACGAAATTACTTCCTCTTCACGCCCTTGCTTCCTAGTGTTGCGGTCGGGACTTTGAACCCTCACTCAATTATCCAACGTACGTATATGTTCATACTTGATTTTGGTTTCAACTAAATGTACCCATGTAGCCACACGATACATTACTCGTCACAAGACGCGTACCGTGTCCGTTATTGAGGCTGCTGCAACTGACGTTGACGTACGTACGTTCCACTTCGATCGCTTCCCGATCATTTCCTTCTATGATCGTCTCCAACCTTCATCGATCTGTGCAGCTAACCGATCCCCTCACAGCCCATTGCAAAGACAGTCACATTTGCCGGTCAGTGAACATTCGGTTTTCAGACTTGCTGATGTACTTACGTGCTGTTCAAGATGAATCTGAAATTCAGGGCCTCGTGTCTTCGACCACCTTGAAGTATGATTACCTCGTGTACGCTGTCGGAGCTGAGACCCAAACTTTCAACATCCCCGGTGTTAAGGAGAACGCATGCTTCATGAAAGAGCTGGACGATGCTGATTTGGTCTGTTTTCATGTGCATCTCATAAAGGATTGACTCTGAACTTCTTGCATAGACTCATCGACGTTTCCTAGACTGTATGTAATCAGGACCTTCTGCAAATGTCAATAACTGAGCTTTGTATCATAGGTCTCGAATCTGCCGCCTTCCCCGGCCAAACGTCAGAAGAGATTGACCGCCTCTTACATATAGTATGTTCGAAGTTGCCTCAATTACACTCATCATCTGATCAGATATTTACTTTCTTAGGTTGTCGTCGGTGGAGGTCCCACTGGTATCGAATTGAGGTTTGTTTCCCTTGTCTTTCCTCAATTACTTAATCCCTTATCACAAATCTAGCGGCGAAGTTCACGATTACCTCGAAGTCAGTTCCTCTCAGTACTTCCCTCACATTTTCAACTTCATTTACCCCAATGTCTTTTAGGAGGATCTCCGAAACTGGTACCCCGAACTCTCCAGCCACATCAAGATCTCCCTTGTCGAAGCTCTCCCGTCCGTTCTCCCCATGTTCTCCAAGAAGCTCATTGAGTACACCGAATCTACGTTCAAGGAAGCCAACATCGATATCTTGACTAAGACCATGGTGAAGGAAATCAAGGATAAGAGTATTGTCGTCCAGGGTCCTGATGGCACTAAGAGGGAGATTCCTTGTGGTATGGTCGTTTGGGCTGCTGTGAGCACTCTTGTTTTTAAGGTTACGAAACATTTGTACTGATGTAGGTAATCGCATCTAGGGCAACACTCTTCGTAAAGTCACCAAGGACTTGATGGCTAAGCTTCCCGAGCACCAAACCAACCGTCGTGGCCTCAATGTCGATGGTACTCTTATTTTCTCATCAGCTAATGGACAACCCTCACATCCTCCGTACAGATCACCTTCGCTTGGAAGGTACCAGTGGCTCAGTCTTTGCTCTCGGCGACTGCACCGCAACTTCCTACGCTCCTACCGCCCAAGTTGCTTCTCAACAAGGTTCCTACCTCGCTCGCGTCTTCAAACTTATCGCTAGACGTGATGCTCTCTCTACCGAGTTGCAACAACTGGAGAGCCAGGGTTTACTTGAGGGTGAGAAGTTAAAGCAGAAAGAGGACTTGGTTAGACAATTGGAGAAGGTGGAAAAAATGAAGCTGTTCAAGTATACTCATGAGGGATCACTTGCGTATGTTCCTTTTTCGTTAATTGTGTGTTGACCAGAATGACTTACTCTTGAATCATAGGTATATCGGTTCAGAGAAGGCTATCGCTGATTTGCCGTTTGGTGTCGGAAACGTACGTTCTGATGTCTATCTCTAAACTGTCTTCATAGCTAACAATATATCCCTTAGCTCGCAATTGGCGGTGTGGCAACTGTATGTTTTCATCACCAACTGTTGTGTCTCTGATATGCTGATTCCTACCTTGTACAGTACCTCTTCTGGCGTAGCGCATACCTCAGCAGACTCTTCTCTCTGCGCAACCGAACTCTCGTCGCCAGCGATTGGCTCAAGGTCAGGTTCTTCGGCCGGTTAGTACACCCTTTCTCTTTTTGATCTTCATGTCACTCCAATTCCTAACCTTCGAAATTTTCATTGCGTAGTGACGTGAGCCGAGACTAGACGGCCCTCGAAACTGTTACTCAAGTGTGGTATACTCCTTTTTCGCATAATGGCTCAACTTCTGGACACTGGCTACAACCTAGACGTTCTCCCTGAAAACTTATGATTCGTATATAGAGTTCATCAGTACAATATACTGCTTCTAATTGTCATGGCTTTTTGGGAAGACCCCTTCGAAGTTTCTTCGAACGCCTGGAAATTGGTTTCGGCGTGCATATCCAAAAATGGCACCGGGACGAAGCTCTTGACAAACAAAGCCCAATTTACCTTCAATGGACCGGCAGCGCCTAACCTTCAATATCATTCATAATCAGCAAGTCCAGCGTGCTTTTGAGTGTTAGTCAACTAACTTCATCTGCTCGCTTGACCTACCCCTCAATAGGTGTTCTGGCTAGGTACCTAGGAAGCGATTCCGTGAGGGCCTCATTAGATTATCAACAGGACATTGGAGGACCGAATCGACCTCGACGTCGGAGTTCGACCATAATCAGCCTGGCACGCTAGTATCCGCTTATATCTTATCAGCATTCTTGATTATTTTGGATCGCATGTGAACAGTGTGATGACCTGGATGCATACATTGGCCCAGCCACACCATTTCTTACACGTTTAAATAGTTGTCTTACTTGCTCGTCCAACTCTAACTCTAATCACCCGACAACGTTTCTCGCGACCATGGACCATTCCCATTCCTTCCTCCTCGCTGACTCCAATTTACATGTAACTATCGAATCCATCTCAAAACCGGAATCTAAGTTGGGATTGGGCGACATGCTAACCTCGATGGATCTGATTCGCGTCGTGGTGAACAATATCCTTCTTCAGAAAAACACGTCAACAGGTACGAAGAACACTAAGCAGATCAAACTCAGGAAGCTCCCTGCACCAAAGATTGCAGTCAACCCATTGGTCACTTCCCGCCCCAGAGTAAGTTGGTCTTCCCAGATTTGGAAAAAAAAACCTTAATAGCGGGGATAAATATGCAGGTTCCATGGATGTTTATGTCCGCAATCCTGCAAAAATATATATTCAAACCGCCTGCGGTCTCTGACGACATTGAATCCTTTATTCACGTTATCATTTGGCTGGCGCTCCGGTTTTCTCATCACAGGTTATCCGCACGTCCGAACAGTATGGCGTTCACGCTCTTTGGAACCTACATTGAAACCGGGGACACAACCGAAGAAGGCTTTCCATGCATGTCGTACAAAAGATGGGAGGCCATCGAGAAGGGGACTCCGGGATTCATTTTCTACCAGAAAAGAAAACTCAATTGGGTGATAGAGACATCGATGGGTCTATGTCAATTACAATACCGTTCTACCGACATGGACCAGTTAGAAGAATTCTTACCCCTCAGCTTGAGGCCCAAAGGTGCAAGTAAGAAGTCTACGACCGACCAATCGGATTCAAGCGTTCCGAAGCCCAATCTGTCTCAGGAAGTCCATGGGAACTCTTGGGTGGAGACAAGTACGAAGACGCAGGCCAAGCGCCCTTTAGACACTCATGAAGGCATTCTTGAGGTCCTTAGGCGGTCAATTTCAGATAATGAAATTTGGGAAAAGAAAACGGCCGATCAATTTATCGATCTTCCCCGCGTTGTTCTGACTTATCGGTGAGCGAGCGCATCATTGTGTGCACCCACGAGTAATGATTTATTATTTCCCAGACCCGGAGGCGTCGCAGCAGGACTCAATGTCTGAAACCTGTATTGTGCATCCTCAGTTGTGTGCGTTCAGTGGGTTTCGTGCAATAACGACGTCGCCCTCGCTTGAATATATTGAGCTTCTTCGTTGACTGCTTGCTTTCGTTAGGACAGCGACCCAGGTATAAAATAACTGTATGCAGCATTGCGACACGACGCTGATAACTCTCAGCTGGTATAATAACCTATAATATACAAATCCGCCTCGAACCATTGTCTTTAGGGCAAGTTAAATAAGAGATGAGTTCAATGCTTCTGGAGCATAGCAGCGCGTTGGTCGATGACACTCTTAACAGAGGGGATGGCGAGCAACTTGTTGTGCCACCTATACGATCCAGCTTTCAATATTCATAAACCCGGGAGAGCCACGATGCGAACTTACGCAGCTGTGGCAGGGAAGTCCTTCTCGAAGTCGAAGCCCTCGAATCCTGCAACCAAATTGTTGATGGCGAGGTTGTTCCAACTATATTGTAGCCAGTTCAGTCCTAATGCAAAAGCTAACCTTCACGTATGCTCACGTTGCGAAGGAGATATCAGCAATGGTGACCTTGCCTCCAACGAGCCAATCCTGTTTGGACAAAACGGCCTCGAGCACTCCGAAGACACGGAGAATCTCCCTCTTGTATCGTTCAATAGCGGAAGGAATCTTCTCAGCGTGGTAGATGGTGAACCATGCAACCTGTCCAAAGTACGGTCTACGCATGAAATGGCGAATCAGAAGGCGATGGTCACAGAGTCCTCTGAGCGAAATATCGCGTACCCTTGACCAGAGGATTGGAAGAAGAGCCATTGGAGAAGCTGGTACTTCTCGCGTTCATCGGTCACGGTGAGTCGCTTCTCCTTATCGTATCTGTCGACGAGGTAGAGCAGGATAGCATCGGACTCCCTGTAGGAGGATCAGTCCCATAATGCCATGCGCGCAGAAGACTGTCATACCAGAGAACGAAGTCGTTGTTGCCATGGTCAACAATGGTTGGAATACGACCGTTAGGGTTCAGTTTGAGGTAATCCGCGTTCTTCTGCTCGGCAGCCTGGAAGTTGAAGAAGACGGACTCAAAAGTAAGTCCAAGCTCCTCGAGGACGGAAGCGACCTTCCTGTGCAAGTGTAAATATCAAGAGTCAAGTGTGATCGTTTCAATAATAATGTCATCTCACCATCCGTTAGGACCGCTAATGTGGGTGTAGAGAGTGAATTGTTTTCCATGAGACATATTGGAATACGAGGGCGTGATAGCGAGCAGAAAAGTAGGCCGGTGGGGGGTACTGGGTAGCGATAGCGAGTTCGATAGGGAACTCATATGGCTTTGTGAGTCACGGTATTTATACACCATGTTTGGTTCCAAACTAGGGAGCTTCTTCGTCAACTGGTTGCCAGGTCCGCTTCGATATTGGGACTGAATTATCCCCAATGAACAGAAGCTTACTCATTGACTTGCTGACGAAACGGTCCCATCCAGCAGTGTCCCACCAATAGATGTCGGCGGTCCTAAGCGATTGGAAATGGTTAGACTCGTCATTACTACTCCCGAGAGTTCTGTCATAGTAGGTTATGGAAGGCCCTGCGCATGTATGCAAGCTCGCAATTTAACTGATTATGTCAATTGAGGATCATCGGCACGTATGAACTCATGGGATATGTGATCCCAAATGAGTACAATGTACACGACACCCATGCACGATATGAATAGATTCCCTACAGCGGATATTGCCGACAGTTCAGATGGTGGGTTTCTCTGGCGGCATGAGAAGATGCAGTTGCTTCGTGTCTACATACGCATTCTCAGACCGCACCCAGTATCTATGGATATAGTGACGACACATTAGAACTCGTTAGTATGAGCGGTCCGTTGCTACGTTCTTCTGTACTCACGATGACGCAGTCAGTGGTTCTTCTAATCAATCAATTTCAATGTGCCAGGGACGGCGATGACAGGCTGTTGGAACTTTGTAAGCTCGCAGCAAGCACATTGTGCTTACTCAGTACTGCTAGTACTAACTACTGAACGCTGGCAAAATTATTGAATTAGTAATGGTACATTGAATGCTGGGCTGACAACACTATACCATTTGCATTTGGAATTGGATCGTGAGAATACCTATATCACCAAAGGACACATTGATCCAGTTGGGGAAGAGATTATGTGGCTCAAGAGGTGGCTTCAACACAGACGCGAGATGGCTTAGGAAGCATACGAAATGTGCGGCTTTGAAACGCCATCACTGACGCTCTTGTCAATATGTAGATAACAGAGAGGTAGGCAATACCCGCATATTATTGACGTTGCATTCGCTATTGAGTTGCAATTGAGATATGATCGGCAGAAGGATGTCCCAGTGAGGATTCGAACATCTGTCCTCACGGGCTTCTGACTTTTGCGCTAACTGCAACTGTGAGAATCTAACCACGCTTTGGATAAAATATCCCTTTTGCTATGGAATAACGTCATATGTTTTCCTTTTCTCCGTATTTTAGTTCTGACATGTTTTTCATTGGTAAATCGTTGTGTTGTTTCGCCGATCGTATGTTGCTGTTGGACTCTTCGCCAAATGTTATACATCGAGGCCGATATTTTGAGGATTTAATTAATATTATTTAGATAACTGGTTATCTTACATCCATCGACGAAACAATCCAAATAATGAGACCCAAGAACATCAGCGAAAGCTCTAATAGTGAGAAATGAAACCGCAGGAACACCCAATACAATAGATAAAGATAATAAACTGATGCAATATCCGCAATGAGTATGAGCATGCAATGTCCGATGGTAGACGCAGAGGAAGAATGAGTTAACTGAAAAGAGAACACATAAGAAGGGAGGAACATCTAGATTCTTCAGAAGGGGTAGTGCTGTGAGGGGACTGGGATGGGCGAGAATGCGCCGTCAAGGACTGGAGGGTTAGGCACAGAGGGTGCATGGACATTTGCGAAGAAGCGCAGATTCTCATCGATGAGGTCGTCGAACTCATCAACAGCAATAGGCTGGTCGAGAAATGGTACTTGTGCTGGTGTGGACTCGAGCACGCAGGGAAGAGAAGACGTCAAATTCAGAGGCGTACAGGCGAAAGGTGTGTTGTCGCGAAGACAAGATGTAGAAAGCATGGGTGAACGGCCAGTCGGGCTTGAAGATTCTGATGCGAACAGATATGGAGAGGACGACCACTGTGATTCCTGTGATGACGATGCGTAGGAGTCCTGGGAGGACGATGACATGATAGACGTTTCGGAGGAGGCTCGACGAAACTTGTCCTGGCGATCGTAAGGTTTGCTATGTATCCTGTCCGACCGTGTCTTTGTCGCCCCCCTCCCCGTCTTTTGTGGTATGTATCCATGTACATTCTTCTTGTGGCGTGTGTAGGAGCCATGATCACTAGTGAAGAACGTGCAGGGTTTTGCTTTGATTGGGTCCCAGGCATATGGACACTCCAGGTCCTTGATTTGGGGACTAGGTGGAGTTAATTGAACATCATCCCTAGACAGGCAAACTAATATAAGACTCACTGTGTCTTAAAGTGGGTCATGCAATTTGTCCAAGCCTTGTTATTGAACGTTCTAGAACATGGAGGCCAAGGACATACGAATTGACTGCGAGAGTTCCGCCCAACGGTTGACGATTCATTAAGATCAGAGCGAAGGTAGAAAGAAGAAGGTTGAGAACGTACTCATTTAACTTGTTCCGATGTTGAGCCCCGATGTGTTCTAGCAGTTCCGCGGACGTTTCGAATTCCTCAAGGCATTGGCAACAGACAACCTGATAGTTGTAGGCTTGGGGCTAGAACAAAGTCATGTGTCAGTTCAGTTCACAACAGACAATAATCGGCTCACGTCGAACGCCGGGAGGTCACTGGATGGCACGGCACGGGTATCCAGATTAGGAAGGGAGGTGCTGCGAGTAATGGCTCGTGGCATCTTGAGTACTCGAGGGTGTGGAAGGGGAGGTATGAGGGCGAATATCACTCGGGAGGGATGGAAGATGGGTTGGGAGGGTCTCTGAAGGCTGCAGAAGTGCTGAAGAATGGACTCCCCATCGCACAGTCCCCCCTCCCTTTATACGCCAACCAAAATTGCCTCTTGGTAGGTGTGCCACTCATGGATTGCTCCCCAATGTGGAAGGCGGGGCCAAAGAGTTAAGCGGATTGCTTTTTACCATATACGGCGAATGAGACGGGGCCTGTGCCACTCGAAGAGAGGTATTGCCAGAAGCGGAAAGAGAGGAGTGGCTCAGGCATGTCCTAGAGAGGCAGTTGTGGCGGGGTGAGCCACTCGCTGCTAACGGGTGGCAGTAGAGTGGCCAGTCAACTTGTTCAGGAAGTTGTGATCGAAGTTTTGATGGACCTACGGGTCATGCAAACTAGAGACCGCCTCTCACATGGTAGTTCTGAGTACAAAGTAAAGGTAAAGGAGAGACACGCGATCGTGAGATGCATCGTAATCGCATAGGATGGGCGAAGTTGAATGATTTTGAACCACGGCAAAAGTGGGTCGTTGGGTTCACTCATACTGACAGAATGGGGAAGACTTCAATGTGCAATGGATCATTCTGTATTCAACTAAATCTATGCAATACAACATGACTTCACTAGATCTTTCATCCGTACAGCATGTGGGTAGATTTCACTCAACTTCATTTCCAAACAGCACGATCGCTCCATTCATTCATACTGCGGGTTCAACCTGGGTAGGAGCGTCGGGCGTTGCAGCAATCTGCTCAATTTTCCCGTCCTGCCATCTGATCGTTAAACTGCCATCCTACAGAGAGAAGAAAGTCACTTATTATGAGACATCACTATGACGGAAGAGTCAGCAAGTACGAACCTGGTTGCCGAAGTACGCTGCTTTCGCCATGTGACAGAACAAGCCAACCTCAACAACACCTGTAAGCATCTTGACTCTCGCCAGGAGCTGGAAAGGATTTGTAAACAACCCTTTCTTTAAATCACTCGACCAACGGGAGACATACAGTGTATGGATCCTTCATTTGCTCCTCGGGGAAAGGTGCATCGATGACAAAGTTACCATTGTCAGTCACAATCGGTCCCGCTTTGGCCTTGCCCATTCTCAAAGTAGCTTTAGGTGAACCAAGCAACTGTAGATTGAGCAGAACCTTGGCGTAGGCGAAAGGTGCGACTTCTACGGGAATTCCGTGTGTCCACTATGATCACGAAAAACGTCAACCAGTTTTATATGTGGACATGCATAAGTGCCACGCACGTTCCTTCCAAGTACTTGAGAGTTTTTGCGGTAGTCTGCGACAACGATCCAGCTATAAAGCCTATCGGTCAAGGAAGGATGATCAGATAGATAGAATACTAACGTATCAGCAGCCTCTGCGAGCACCTTTTCCCGCAAGTGGCAGGCACCTCCTCCCTTGATACAGTTCAGGTCACTATCGACTCTGATCGAAGCAAAAGTAAAGTAGTATTCAAACGAAGGAAAGCTGGTGTTCCGACTGAAGACTCACTCATCTGCACCATCGATAGTAACGTCAATGGTTGGGTATTGGTCCACGTCTCCGAGGTGTAATTTGGAGGAGATAATGAGCTCCTTCGATTGGAAACCTACGTGGGAACGTAGGTTTAAGGGTCAGAGTCATAAAGACCAAAAATATAGCATACCAGTTGGTATGAAGATTCGATCCTTGTTGACTTCTGAACCTTGTGCGACTATACGTTCAACGACGTAAGGAACAGTTGAGCCTGCAAAAGAGTAAACATATATGATCATGACTCGAAGGAATCATCGACTGATCGAGGCGTACCCGAGCCAATGCCGATGATCTATGATTTAACGTCACATCAGCGAGCCGTGCAATTACACCCCGAACATATGAAGGTACCTTATGTTCTGGTAGGACGTGTCTATCCACAGCAGTCCATGCTGCCAATCGCTTCGCCTCCTCGATCACAGTAGCGGCAACAGTAGGAACGGCCGGGGTTGTAGGGGGTCTTTCGGACAAAGATGGTCTAGCAGGGTATTGGTCTGGGAGTATTCTTCAGGTCCAAACACGTCAGTCACCAGACGAGCATGGAAATAATTCAGCAGGAATTTCTTGCAAATGGCGCCGCAGACGCCATGGGTATGAGAACGCACGATGAATCACGCGTGAGGACTATAGGGGGAATAGGCATAGTGTTTCTAGTTGATATCAATCGTCTGGTATATAAACGAGAGTGGAGTGTTTGTTGAAAGCGATATGAAGGTAGAAGACAACGCGAGAGCGGAAGATGTCGATGATAAGTGAGCAGCCGAACGTGGGTTATAAAAGTCATAAGAAGCAAGTGTCGGCGGTTGTAACTTGTAAGCATGTTTTCATCTTGTCCGTGACCCTCGCCGATCGCTAGCACTAAACAACTCAGTACAGCTCTTCTCTAGGTACTACAATTTCAGGAGATTTAGGAGCCTTTTGAGACGGCATCGTGGTTGTGGAAGTTGTCTAAGAAGTCGAGTGAGGATGAAGGCCATCAGAGGTATTTACACTCATTGGATGAAACATCATACTCCGCCTCTGACCTATGACGTTCAAGGTATCCTTCTGACATGGTGCGTGCAGTTCTCGAGTATTGAAAAGTCTGTTCACAAGACATGACTATTGATTGACTGAGCTTCTATGCGCTTTCACAGTGACTCTGCAGTGAAGCAGATTCTTCTTACAATGAATGAGAAGTCTAGCTTCATCATCGAGGACTTGGATGATTACCATGTAGTTATCAAAGCAGACGAGGAATGGCGAGTTAGACAGGAGCTGGATGCTGAGGTATGTAGTTCTGGTTCTGCACTGTTGTATCGTCGTCTGACTATGCTTTTGGTAGCTGGAAAAGAACACGTATAGTTTGGAATGAGTCCACTCTACTGTAATCATACCGTTCGTTCTAGTTTGAAAATAAGAGGATTTGGTGACATCCATGACACATCGATTTCGTAACTAACTTCCTGAAGGCGATATAGGTTTTCCTTCAGGACATTCCTTTGTGGCATCGTCTGGCAGCTGCTTGCCCTTTAATTACATTTGTAGCCGCATGCCGATCCATATCGCGTTCTAAAGTCCCTCAAAATCCACGTAAAAGCGCTAAAGAGGTCATAGAGAAGCAGAGTAACGGCGTGGCAAGGCCTACGAGGCAATTCCTTCTTGTTCGAAGTGAGAAGGCATACAACGTGTTCTGCTGCGCTGTATCGATAACAAGAATACGCCGATTCTGGGGTCACTTGATTCCCAGGCTGCAGATATAAGGTGAGCGGCATTCCAGCGTTCAAGAAGGTCGCTCCAGGTTTCCCCTGATCCATTAGATTTGCGCCTCCCCATGTGCCAAGACATGACACGAACAGCGAATACAGTTTGCGCTCTGCCTGGATGCCAGAAAACCGTCTGGCGTGATCCAGACGGATCGTACTCTGAGTTCTGCAGTAGAAGTCATCGTTCAGCGGCAGTTCTGAGGTCATCCTCTCAGGTTTGCAAAGTACGTCGTTCGAATTTGCCAATCCCGAAATATTGTACCGATCATCCAGCATAGAATTGCAATATCCGTCCTGTTTATGTGGCCAATGGCCAAGGTATAAATTCTATTGAATATCTCCCCGGAGCCTCACTCAATGTTACGGAATGATCAAGCCTTGCCCTTTTGCGGAAACCGTTGCGCAACAGCATGGAAAACTGGAGGCTCTTCGTCCGTTCCGCGCGATGACACCGATGAAGAAGCGAGTAGCGAGGTCTGTGCTCTAGCTGGGTGCAGCCGACCTACCTTTGTGGACCGGAATGGTGGACCCAGCGAGTATTGTTCGCAAAGGCATCGTCGGTATGTCCTTGTCCACTTGTCCTTCACTGCTAACCCCACCCGCTGCCCAATAGTGAGGCAGTCGGCAACGGCGAGGCGGAGGCTTGTCTGATGTGAGTGGTACATTTGATCTACGCTCTGATCCCTTCGTTATAGTCCCTGGTGTCGTCTAGGTGTCGTGAATGGCCAAGAACCTTGGTGGCCGGTAAACGAAGTGACTTCTGTTCTTTAAGATGTAGTCAAGCTGTCTTCAACACCGGTAGGCATGTCTTGCTTCGTTTAGGTTGCCTTGATGTCATTGTTGTCCAATGCAGCTCCTGCAATCCTGGAATTGGATGGAGAAGATGCAGACCGTCAAAGTGGTACGCTCTTTGACTAGCGTCCCAGAGACTCAACTAACCCCGCGTCTCATGTCAGTTCATCAGCAGTTCACATCGAAGTGGGCTCACACCACAATGGTGCCATCGGTAATCAGGGTAACGCTACTATTTATTATGTATCTGCTGTCTTTCTTCATTGCGACGTAGATCTGGAAGATCTTTGCTGCGAAGGACATATACGATACGATCGATCGGTACAAGTGAGCTCTTCGTGATGTCTTTCCTTACCTCTATAAACACACGCTTGTAGGTTAGAGGTTGAGCGACGAACAGGTCTGGAAGGTGGAAATTCTCTGCGTCGCTGGCATGGCACTGTGAGAACTTGTCGCCTGGGCGATGAAGAAGACAAGCATTCGTTCTGCTCTGATCCCGCATGTTCTTTGTGCCTCATCATTCAGGTACACTTACCGACTGCTATCGGATGTGCAGAATACTGACTGAAGCCGCACCGTAGACTTCATTCAAAAAGGCTAATTATGGTCAACGCACGAACTTCGGGCGTTTTGGCCAAGGTATCTATACCTCGGCCACGTCCAGCAAGGTCGGTGGTATTGACGGAAAGATGAATCGATAGTGACCAACCTCGAATTCCGCCGTAGGCAAACGACTATGTCGCACAAGTCTCACCTTCACCTTATCGTGCGATGTTGCTCAACGACGTCGTTCTTGGCAAGACCAAAAAGCTCACTACCAGTGACCCGAATCTGACTAAGGTATGCGTGGTCTCCCGCTTGACCGTGACTATACTCAAGAGCTACATAGCCACCCAATGGATACGACTCCGTTGTAGGAGAACCCGGCGGTGACTTAAATTATGACGAGTGCATTGGTATGTAGAGTTGTTTTGGTACATTGTCAGTTTTGCTGATTATTCCTCCAACAGTTTACCGGGTAGGTATCGGCCATCGAAGGTGACATCCAAGCGAGTTAGGTTATATTAATCTGGAATCTTCAGAACGACGCTATACGACCAATCTTTTTGGTTATCTATGATCCACAGGCGACCCATCTCGGTGGAAACCCAGCTGCAGGCGTTCCTCGCAATGGTCCCGGGTCCGTAATGGCACCTTTTCCGTGACTTGGACCACTCGCTTGGACAGTGGGTAGACGATTTCTTTCTTGGCCGCACAGAGTCCTTCGCGAACCAATCGGTTCACACAAATTCCTCGGATGCCTGTAAACCGCTGCGTTTCTACTTGCTACTTCTACGTTTGTCCATACATAGATTTATAGATGGACATGCGCTAGACATGCGCTACACAGCGTCGGATAGAACCTCGTCCGACTTGACAGGGATCGTTCAGTCTATCATCCCCAGGGATGTCGAAGTTACGTCAGCGAAGAAGAGCGAATAATTCTTGAGAACAAGATGCGCAAACTTCGTCCACAATTAATCGATTGCTTGAGGAATATGGAGCAGAAGTTGACGCCCGACCCTCGTTGTACCAGCCGCTCTATGAAGTGATTTCTTCACGATTCGTTTGTTTGGGTTTTAGATCTGGGTTGTTGAACCGACCTATCCACATCGTGATTCAGTGCTCCCGTCTGGTCAACGTCTCCATGTTGAGCGAAAAGAAGTATGGAACTACATGAGATGCCAATTTAGCATCGAAGTCGACATTGCGTGTTGTCTTAGTTTGGATTCGTTGACCGATTCAAGCTCTTACAGTCATGGTAAATGTACAATATCACAGTCAGGCCATATTTAATTATGCACTAGATGGAAAGATGAGAAGGCACAAATATCGCTCAAAGGCATTAGCTCTATGTACAAAGAATCAGGAAGTGTAAGTATAGCAAAGCTACCTACTGCAACGGAACCGCGCTTCCTATGCAACCTCATCTACAGAATGAAGTCCAGATCCAACGCCACGAGCAGCCTGGGAACGTGTAATTGGGCGCGAACCCGATTCACTTCTTTGTCTCTTCATCGAGCTTTGATCATCCGAACTCCCTTTTCGTTTGCTGCTTCGCTGGGATGTAGTACCAACAATAAAGGAGCGTCCTTCAGTCATATTTACTGAGCATAGGGGCAGGAATTGATCGTCACATTTAGGATATGTCTTCCAGTCCTTTTGAACGGCTTTGAAAAACTCTTCAAGGACAAGGTCGTGAGTATCCAAAGTAGGACGAGAGACTGTAGAAAGAGAAGCCGGCGAGTTTGCAGGTGGTATGTTGCTGCTCGACGACTCGGAGCCTTGTGAGGTCGAGGCGTGAATACCCATTTGTGGTCGAGGGATGTCACGTCGAGCCCGAATGAGCAGGGGTGACACTGCTGTCGTGTCACTGTCTTGTTTGGAAGCTGCATATTTCTTCATGCCTTCTTTGTCAATGGTAGAATAGTGTTCTTTGCACAATTTGATTAAAGATTGTAGCAGTTCGGTGAGGTCCTTCTCCTGGGTGAGCTCGTAGCCCAAGACCCCATATTGCATCATGGTGTACTTGTTGCCACAGCCAGTGTAAAGGCCACCCTCCTGATGACAATCAAGAAAATGACTGTGCACGTAAGTCGCGAACGTATTTGCGGGGCCGGTCAGGAGGTCATGCTTGTGGTATTTGAGGGCGAACCAACTGATGAGATGAACAAATGATTCGATGTCGTCCGCTAGTTGGTAGCACTTCATTGGGTATTTCAACCGGAGTGCAGCTAGATAACGCCATGTGCCCTGCAAATATGACAATCAGCTGAAGATACTCAGTTGAGCTGGAGAAGGCTTACGGATCGATTCCGGTCTGAGGCTTTATCAAGCTCATCCGCAAATCTTGAGAGGTCCCAATCTATCAGCATACCAAAAGCCTCTCCTCGATCGTTGTAAACGATCAGAACGTTATTGTCACTGATATCTCTGTGTAATATGCCTCCTTCTAGCCAGGCGGCCTGATGAGCTGTTATGAAATCATTAGCCGCGAATTATTGACCATAGGAACTATTAATACGTACCCAGAAATGCACAATACACTACGAAGGTAAGCTCGTATGGATTTTCGTACTCTGCCAAGGGACGACCGATCTCCTCGATGACCAAGCGATGGTGTATTCTGGAAATAAAACCGATATCTTGGTGAAAGCTCTGGGACTGAGTTACCTGCTCAGGGCTTAGGTCTCCTCCACAGTGTAGAGTTGCGATGTATGGCGATACGCTCTTAAGGCGCTCGTACATGACAACCTCGGAACGAGAGTTCGTAGTACGCCAACTATCCTTCAAAAACATAAAGGTATGGGTCTGCAGGTTGAACGCAACGAAACCTTTTGTTGCACGGCCGAGAAGAGAAGAGCCGCAAGACCGAGGTCGACCAATAAGGAAGGCCTGGGGGCCATCTTGCTCGATGTTCTTAGGGGGAACCAGAGCCTTGTAGATAGGCCATTTTGCCTTGTCTCCGTAGTCCAGAGCATTCTGCATTGCATGGTCTATGTACGCTTTGCGATAGTCACTTGGGTCGAGGGCAGAGGCACACTTGCGCATCATATCAATCTCTTCTGTTGTGGCGAGAGTGATGGTAGGATCATATCCGAGTTCAGCGAAGGACATAGAGCCAATGCGGTAGAAGAACTCCAGGAGGTTTGCCGGATATCGGACGTAGTCGAAACGTTCGGACATGACCGTACTGACGTGGTCGAAGTAGAATAGCCGCGCGTAGTCCCTGTAAATATAAACGAGATAGAGATGTGTGCGGTGCTGACGCGCCATCAACTCAGCGGCGTATTCGACGATTTGTCCTCTAGTCTTTTGAGCACTTTTACCCTGAGGGAGATGAAGCTCAGGCCCAGTCCCGAAGCCTTCAGCATCCTCGTCGATCTTGAATTCGCATGGGAGGACAAGATGAGTAAAGGAATTTCTTGCCGCGAACTCGTAACATTCGTCTAACTTTTCTTTTTTCTCCTTCTCGGTCAGGGTGTATGCTCTGTAATCAGAGGCTCGATAGATACCGCAATCCACTTTACGCCTCTCATTCCCGTCTTCTGGCCAGTTAGCGATATCTTTTGCAAGTAGCTTATGTCGGCCCCAATGCTCGTGAGCCCGATCGAGCACCATTTGTACGATATGACACTGCCAGACTTGTCAGTGAAAATCGAAAGAACGGCTAAAATGTAGACATACAAGTTTAGGATACAACTCCTCTTCTTTTTGAATGTGCCCTTTCTTACCTTTCTTGTACCCGTAGTGGTTGAAAACCTTGTAGCACTCGGCCTCGATGTCATCTGGGTGCTTGAAGGCAGGTCCAGGAACCAGTTCCTCTAAGAAATCGAGCACCGGAATTTCAGCAACCCGTCCGTCGTCCATCTGTTCTTTCTGGAGGATACAGAAGCGAGGGTCCTGTGTGTCCGTCCCGAGAGTGTTGGTAGTACCTGCAATGAGTGTGGTTTGGGTGTTGGCTTCCGGTCCAGAGACGGCTGGACTATTATAGCGACGATTGATTGCAACAAGGACTTCAACTTCGGAACTATTGTCTGAGAGTGTGTCGAATCGAAGGTCTTCGGCCGAAAGTCCACCTTATGAATCGGCGTGTGTCGACTGCTCTTCGTCTGATTCAGAATGGAGGTCAGGAAAAGACGCCTCTAAAGGGTTGTCCCGTACGGCCCCAGGGGGATATATAGAACGGATTATCTCCTGGTGAGTCGTCAAAAGGAGGGTCAGCGTGGGGAGCCATGTCAAAAAGAGAAAGCGAAAGGGAACGTACAGGAAACAAACACGGAAACTCTGAGATTTATGCGCTTCAGCACTCAGCACGCGAAAATGTGATCCAGTGTGGTCAGAAACAACGGTTATGGTCAAAAAGTGTGTAGCAGTGGCTGGATAAGGTAAAAACCACGCTCGGTTATGGAACTGTCTGTGGCACAATTTAGTCGGCACATGCTTGGTTTCATAAAACACACTCACTCAGAAGACACAAGAGTTATATGAAAAGAAGATATTATTTTAGCTATCATTCAAGGTAGATGAGTAGAAGATCGCGGTGTATGATGAGGAGTAGGTTCAAATTGAGCGCGACCGGAAACTTGGAACATTACAATTGGGCAGTAGAAGACCAACACGTATATGCACGTGCGGGAGTATCCGCACGACGGCAACTAGAGAAACGAGTATTGTTGGCTGAGTGTGGCACAATCGCGGAGTACGGGCTATGGCACCTTACGACGAATAGTTGTGTGGAAGGCGTGAAGCTGTAGACGTATACGATAGCAAGACCTCCGAGAGTTCAAACTATAGAGGCTCTGAGGCTCTACGTACTGAGAGAAGAACCACAGCAAGTTGAAGTTGATATTGGTTGATATCTCAGGAACGACACAGACGCGTTATTGATGACTGTTGTGCAAATTCTCCATCAGAATTACCATTTATGGACGGCTCGCAATTGAGTGAGGCCTTTACTTATCGACTCGGATATATTCTTCAAACCAGCTTTTACCTTCACCCCTACAACGTCTAGTAACTTGCATTTCACATGCAGTAGCTCCTAAAATGTATGGTATCTTTTGTTTGTGACCACATCATCGGCGAGTCAAATTCACAAACGCAACGAACACCATTCAAACCATACGTACAACACAAAGAGCGAGCTGCGAACCAAGCAGATAGAGATATCTTGAGGAAGGAGTGTTTTTATCTCTCTACACTCTGCCTTAGAAAGACTCGAACCAGTCGTTACAAATTGATGAGAGTGCGAACGAGGCGTCCCTTCTGCCCATTTAGTCGCAGTCCAGCCGAATGGAAATCTTCATATTCCGATTGTCTCTGTTGACCGCCTATCCGTCCAAAGTTCGATCCATCAGAAATAGAGGGTCCCAAGGCGACAATAGGCCCCCTTGGCTGGAGAATCCTATTGTTACAGATCTCAATGAGCACCGAGGAATACAGGCGGTCTGCTGGGCTTGGAAGGAATAGCTCGTTATAAAGCAAGGCATCCATCGCAAACATAGACAGATAGGATGAGTGTCTGAAGTGTATTTTGAGGACACCACAGATTCCCTCGAGGAGCACGAGTGGGTTGAAAGCAAAGAGCTTGCGAGTTGTGAACTTGCGATAGCGGAACAATGTCTTAGAGGGCGTGCCATGCGAAGAATGCGATACGGGGTATCCTATTCAACCGTCTCCGAAAGAGATCGTATAAACTAGATGATCTGCTGTACTTCAGTACAATGCATATTAGTGCAGTCAAACTACAAAACATAAGTAGTTCGTACACACTGTAACGAACGAGTCACGATCCTGCCATGGCAACATCTTGAGAATTAGGACCAGGCGATCCTTCTGGTGTCTGATCCGCACCATCACCCAGGACCTCTTCCAGCTCTTCCTCATCCTCAGTATCGTTACTCTGCTCGCCCACACTTTCAGCATCCGGCGGCCTCTCACCATTCTGAAACTGCCCCTGGAAACGAGGGTCCCATTCTAACTCTTCAGGTTCTTCCTGGTCCACTTCTACTCGCGCTTTCCAATCATACTTCTCGCGAAGCATCGTCACTGCCCGAACGGCTCTCTCGACTCGCAAGTCATGCTCCACGCGTGTTTGCTCGCATTCGCGAAGGACATCCTCGTATTCTGGCCGTTTCTGTTGACTTCCCATTCGTCCAAAGTTGGGTCCATTTGATGGTCCCAGAACACCAATTGACCCCTTCGTTTGCATGTGTTCAGCAAGATGTCTAACGGTATCGTTCTCTAACTTGAGGACATCAACTGTCTGTTGGTTTCGGAGATAAGGAATAAGCTCATTATCGAGCTGGGTATCCGTCATAGGCACGGACGGATGAAGAGCTAGCCTCTCGAGTATATTTTGAGATGCACCAGGAACATTCCCTCGGGGAGCACCTGTGGGATGAACCGTCAAGGAGTTCGCGAGATTGTGAGATTGTGACAGCAAAACATTGTATTTTGAGAGGATGTCAGGCCATGAATGCATCACAGGATGCCCTCCAAGGTCAATCGTGCCCATGAGCGATTGGATGGACTCGATCATCTGCTGCACTTTGTACTTTAGCGATTCCAGTTGCCCAACTGGCAGGGGAGCCGGTGCTAGTGTAGGATTCGTCCCAGTGGCGGTAGCCATCTCGATGGTAAATACTGCTCAGAGAAGCGACGGTTTGTGACAGAAAAATACGTTCAGACTGTAGACAAAAGAGATAATGTAGTGGGTGTTTCTTGTTAATGATCGAGGTGAATAAGCGCTCCTGAAGTTAGACTTTCGGCCTTGCTTTCGGCCATCGATATTGAACCATTGAACATAAATTGACAAACGAGTTTACGGCTGGATGTAAGTAGCACTCGTGTGTCAATCGTTTATTCACAAGGTATGCTTCCCCAAAAGACGTGACTTCACTAAACATTGTCCAGCTGGATACATAAATTCCATTACGCATAAATCAGAATATATCCGGAACTGCGGGAAAGAAGGGGTAAAGGAACGACACGACCTTAAGGATAATGAGGGTATACAATAGGTGGAATAGAAGAATAGAAAGTAACAGAATGCAAATAGCAACCCGACGAGAAGATGGTATATCAAACAGTGGCAACAAAAGACGTCGACTTCAGAAGAAAATCCTACAACCTACAACCCCCAACCACAGTTCGTGAATACATCGTGAATGAAATGTCTGTAACATTCTGTCTATAGTCGGTGACCGGGAACAGCCCAGAAAATGAGGGTGAGGGCAGCGACGCACGCTGCGACGAGTAGGCTGACCCATACTGCGCGACCGATAAGAAGTTTCTTGACGTAGGGTTCACGTATTCGAAGAGTGCGGAAGGGTGTAGATTCGGATTGCATGAAAAAGATGAGGATGGGATCAAGTTCGTACTGATGGGAAATGAGGAAGAGGATGGCGATAGAAAATGGAATGAACAGCTAGAAGATCGTTTAATGTCAGTTAGGTTTCACGAAATGAATACACGATCGAGAGACTCACGAAGAAGCGCTTAGATTTAGGGTGTACGTCAAGGAAGATCAAGGAGAAACCGACAGCCAACCCAATCCATAGGATGATCAGCCCTAGAATAAGACGCACGAGCGCTGACACTGGAGTCAGGTTGCCGAATGCTTTTGATCTCAGGAATCGCGGGAAAGCGTCCTGTTCCATGGCACGGAAGCAGTACTCCTTCTGCGCGTGGAACATATCTGGGATCTGTGCCATGATGCTCATATCATTGACGGTCTTTGGCTCTTGACTGCTATTGAGAGGGAAAGAATGAATGCGGAGGGAAGGGGGAAGGTATATCTCGTGGTTCTCATTTGAACCAACAGTGTTTCCAGCTGGCGAGAGATATCGAAAGTAAATCCGCTCAGCAGAGGCTATAAGGTCCTGTCGAGAAATCGCAGATGTACGTGGGATGATGGTAGGTGCACGTGAGGCGCGTCGGTGGTTGAAAAGAGTGGGTGTCCGGCCTGACAGGGAGAAGGGGGTGGTGGAACGCGGGGGCTCAGTTGCAACTGCGGTACCTGGGGACGTCGAAGGGAGGCGAGGACTTGGGCTACGCACAGCCTTCTCGTCTAAACCAGCGGCAGCGAGGTTGGTTCGATCATGTTCAGAGAGAACATCAGTCGTGCTTGCTGTGCTGCGTTTCGTACCACTATGAGGATTGAGACCCACGACGGTGCCGTATATTGAACCACGTCTTCGAGCATAGTCCCAATACTCGGGCCAGTCGTCCCGGATAGTACGACCTGACTTTCGAACGTCTTTGAAGTACGCGCGACAGAGATTCTCATGCTGTTGCACGTCCAGCCAAAAGTCGAGAATATCTTCCGCCCCTTCTCGTTGTAGGAATAAACTGTAAAGTATAACATTGATCAACAAGTGCACGAGGTAGAAGATGTGCTTGAACGCACTAGAACATGAACAAGTCTACTGGCGGTCTAGTTCGTCGAGCAAGAACTTCGGTGAAGGTGGGCAGCCGGTTCTTGCGCTCAGCTGCCCAATTGTCTTGCCGTTGGTCATCGTCCATCGCTGTCCGCTGCAGCGAGCTTCTAAGCGTGGTGGTCGTCGAGAACGGCGAGCGGATTCCTGTCGACGGTCTGCGCTTGACAACGTTGTCCGCGTGAGTCTGTCCTGCTTATGTAATGTATACCTGCCATGTTGGGATCGCCGCGAACGGTGAAATCTCCCTCCACCTTCACGTTCCCCACGTCCACTTTAAGGATGTCGTTCGCAAAGGCTCTCTCGCCTGCTATCCGCGAGATCAGGATACTGTGCTGCCAAACAGGACCTGCCTCCGCAGGCACACGGTGAGCCACGCTTGGTTCAGGCCATTCCAGAATTCGCATTGAAGTCCGTGAACAGACAGTTTATTGCTTCGACCTATCCAACCATCAAGCAACACAATCCCGACCTCCCAATTTTGATCAGAGAGGCAAAGGGCACGCCGGCAAGAGTGTTTGCGAGATTTGGTGCGTTTCTCATTCATCCCGGCTCAGTTCATCAGCACTCACTTACCCTCATGCCCTTTCGTTGGTGATTGACAGAGCGTGGCGTAGAGAAACATGTGGAAGTCGAGAACCTCTCATCTTCCGACGTAGCATCCAGAGTATCGCAGCTCTTGAACGTGCCATAATTGCTATATGGAGACACCACGAAGATATTTCTTTACGGCGTCATTCACTGCTCGTTGTTTCCCTTCGTTCTTGCCATAACGATAATATCAACGATGCTCAAATGCTTCCGGCTTAGCTACTATTTTCCCATCATCGCGCTCTGTGGATGCATCTGCGCAAGGGTACTGTCAATATTTGCATGCGACTTTGCACACAATGCGCAATGCGTACTCATTAACGTCATCAAGTGATGCTGGTCGATGAACGACAGTACAATTTGCAACGTAATGTTTGCCTTTCTCGCCTGTTGCGTCCGATTAGACATCCTTTTACTGTTTGAAGGAGTGTTCACTTGAATTCATTCATCCACCATACAGCGATATATAGCATTTGCTTCTCTTCCCCTCTTTACTTCTCTATGTACCACCAACCTGCAATTAATGCTTGCTGTGAACTCGCTGCAGCCTGAGAACCGTATATGGTAGCTCTGACAATGCTCTTGCACAACAAAACCAAACATGTTCTCATCTGTCGTGACGTGATTTGCGATAGATCATCGATCGTACCAGAACCACTCAAAACGTGTTATCATTCATTTTCTGGTATTTGACAGCCGTCATATTTGAGGTTGGGGAGTTCAATATGTAAGCGAATATCATGTCATCCACACATCCATAACCTACTCAGCTTGCAGTAAGGACCGAATATGCAGGTTGTCTCCAACGACGGCACTTCGGGCCTGCAGTCCGTAATCGCTGCATTCGTGGATATAAAACAGGCTCAAGTCATCGTGGACAAGCATGTTGGTTCTGGTGCCCAGGTCCTATCAATTGAAGAGATCAACAGTAAAGCTTTCAGGTATGCCCCCCTCAACTTCGCCGTATTCACTAATGCAATATCCATGTATCTACAGTGCTCTTACATCAACACGAAGTCATTTGATTCGGCTTTCTGGTGACCACACCTATATCCTCAAAGCCACTCCTCCGATCACGTCGCGCGTATATAGTCCGAATGCACTTGCCCACGAACACAAGCTTGGTCAACTCCTTGCACAACATTCAGATATTCCGCATCACAAAGTCATTGCTTTAGACATTAGTACCACCCTCGTTCCGTTCCCTTATCTCCTTCTTTCGCGTCCTCCAGGTGTTCCACTCTCACAAGTACGAGCTTCAGGGAAACTGTCACCTCGTCAAACACTCCTCCTTGACCTGCGCCTCGGATCGTTGTACAAGGCCATCCACGATAAAATCCAAAACGATTGGTTCGGCCTGCCTTCACAAGAACGGGATGAGCTCTACAGTTGGCAGGAAGCATTTACTTGGCAACTGGAGGCGCTACTGCATGAGGTTAAGGAAGCCGGGGAGGATCTTCCTTACGAGATTATCCGCCGATATCTCTCGCGTGCTATCGGGTTCTTCCTCTTCGACGACTGCGAAGTCCCTTCACTTATCTCCTTCCTCGGCGACGAAGACACCATCCTAGTAGACTTCGATCCTGACTCCTCGTCATCCGAAGACGAGGTCGCAATCACCTCACTATTCCCCCTTTCGCATGCACTGTGGGGAGACCCACTGCTGGAAACGATGTTCGTGAACCCGAGCGACGCGTTCTTGGAGGGCTATGGACAGAACCTAATGATTTTCGCCAGGCAGAAGACTAAGCGGTTGTGGTACACGTTATTCCTAGCTTTGGTTGTTTTAGCGCAGATCCTTCGAACTCAGGTGGGGAACGGGAGTGTGAGGGAAGAAGAGAGATATAAGTGGGCTCGTGAGACTCTTGAGAGCTGTATTGAGCGGTTGAAGGATGCGCCATGTTACTGACCGTACAAAGGGCGTGCAGTATCTAGGTAAGTTAAAATCATTTCTGATTCCAATCTATGCATCGTAATGAATATTCAATGGCTATACACCAGACGGTCTAGTCATTGCTCAAACGTGGCTTCGTATACGCCGCCTGACAGTGGCTCACAGGGAAGTCTGAACTTTGCTCGCTCGATCAGAAGTCTACAGTATGAAAGTATGAGATGTACCGACATTGAGGATCCTTCATGTCAATGTGTTTATGGGAGCCATACAATGATAATACGATAGAGAATGTAAATACAACACGGTACGCTGACGATACATAAAGACGCGTTAAGGGACGCGGGGAATTAGTGTTAAAACAGCAATCAAAAACCAACAAGTAATACGACCAGAGGGGGGGGGACACCAAAAGCATAAAGAGCATGACGGAAGAAATACAGTAAAATAACGGGAGCGATAGCAACGGAGGAGGACGTAACAAGTGGTATGTAACATGAGACAGGTGAGATAACTGATGGCAAAAACACAACACAGTCGCGAACAACGATGCCTTTTGGTTTTAAGCATTTGAAGCCGTGCCGTCGAAGGACTAGTTGATGAAACTGGCGAAAGCCCGCCTAGCATAGCTGATGTCATCGTCGGTCCACTTGGCGGGACGTAATGTGGGCAAGGACAATGGGACCGGCGAAAACGGCGACGACGAATGCACACGCCGTGAATGATCAGTGGGCGGTGTAGCAATATGGGGACGATAGCCTGGGGAAGGGGGAGAGGCAAATGCACCAGTTAGCCCCGACCCTATCCGCTGTTCGACGCTGTCGGGCGGATAGCCAGAATTGACATTGACTGAGTGATATCGCTGCGGATTAGGAATGGCGCTAGCTGTGGGCAGGGCAGGGGACGGGACGGGACGAGAGTCCTCGAGGACCCCATCTGGATAGTGTCGATACTCGACCTGGGAACGAGGACGAGGTTGAACGCCTGAAGTGGTAAATGACAGCGAGGGGCATGAACGGTAAGTGAGGTGGGGAATGTTATCAAATGCGATGCGAGGAGCGGTGGCCACCTTACTTGAAGATGCGCGAGGTAGATCAGGAACGCGATACGAATAACCGGACATAGTAGTTGAGGCGTCGATCCCAGGAACGGAGAGCCTCCAAGAGTCTTCAGACATGCGGTGGCTCACTGTAGGCGACGTGAGGGCTCTAAAGGCGTCGTAAACGTCATGCACCAAAGTCTTTAAAGGCTCTCTCCCCCGCTTTCTCAACGCCTCGAGCTCCCATTCGTTATGTTTCGTGACATATAGATAGTAGTACGGAACACCACCCCCTTGCGAGAAACAGAGCTTACTACTCTCTGTAGGCAGACGAAAATTGATTTCAGGTGCTCCTTTAGCGTGGAGATTGCAAAGGCCACGAACGACCTTATTAAGGTCTGAGCTTCCTATGAGAGTACGCCTGCTATCAGGCCCTTCATGTTGAACGTTGTTGGGAGCATTTTCATTCTCGCCATAATGCCTGTATATATGTGTTCAGTACCGATGTCTAGCTTACTGGTCCGAAAAATACTAACTTCGTCTCCATATGGGTTACGAGGTTATGGAGTTCTCGACATTGTCTGTTACAATTACAACAAATGTAGCACGGTCTAGGAGCCGACTTTAGTGATTTCAATGTGGTAACAACGGTTAGAGGTACTTACCCAAAATTATTATGTGTGCGTCGGTGACGGCTTAAGTCACCTGGGTTTGAGATTTTCTTCCCACAATCGTCACAAGAAACAGGCTCCTTTTTGCCATTAGAACGCGACGTTCTGCGCTAGACACGAGATACAGAAGCATCAAACATATAGGCTCGATGGGTAAGATTAGAGAGACGATGCTCACACGTCCAGGTGTCATATTCTCCGAAGAATTCTTCTATAAGACGATGTTGTCAAGCAGGAGAAAACAGGATAATATTAGACCCAGGCATACTGCGGAATTGGCCTCTTTGGAATGAGAAACCTTGGAAGTCTTGACACTACCCATAGAGTCAAGATGGCTTGCAACGGAAAACTACGGACAAGGATAAGGGGAATAGCGATATGTGAACACAACGAGCGTTCAGAGGTAGAGGGGAGACCCTAGACGTGGTGAGGGATATTTGGAAATCGACGGGTGTTTAAGTATCCAGCTGTCAGCGAACAATATACAAGGAAATGAGTTGCAACGAGGACCTTCGCATACGAAACTTCGAGTCAACAAGCTACCACGGGGTCCTAGCATCCAAGTATTAGGAAACAGGTTCCCTTGTTCGTCCAGCCCCCAAACCGTTCCAAGGGGAGAGATACCTGCGTGAATTACCCTGAGGCAATTACAATTAGCGGTTGCACCGAATCCCGTCCCAGAAAAAAAAGTTGTGCAAGTAGCCGTGCGCGTCTCTCGCCTCGTAAAGATTAGCCTTGGAACACAAGGTAATATTCCTAGGATCAGACAATGGGAAACAAGATAGACCCATGGTGATGATGTGATAGGCCCCGCATCACGTCCGCAAGATGCTGCGAAGCACGCTCCTTCAACTAGTTGATCGCCGAATATGGGGTGTGTTATTTCACGTCCGGACCGCCGAGCACAGGAGCTTCTGTTTCATACCAAAGTAATCAAGATCAGGAAACCACCTGTTAGCCTTGAGGGCGTACCACCGCGTCGGTCGTGCCCCTTTACCATATCTCCGACTTCATCCCATCTGTTTCAATTAGAAGCAACGACATCCAGAATTCTGACGGACTGTAAATGCAAAAAGGGCGAGGCAGACCAGATCGATAATCGTTGTATAAGCCATCACTGACCTGACGCCATTATTGTTATTATCAGATGAAGAGAAAATTCGGCGGAAGGGAAACAATGGACATACAAGCATCATTGGCAAGTTGGAGGTCCCGAGCGGGGGAGTACGCAATTGGAATGATGAGACCGTAGACCGTACACGACGTACGGAGGGAATGAAGTATAGGACGACCCTGGGTGAGTGCAGGTAACTTACAGCCCTCGGTGGCTTCCGAGTGGCTCAAAGCTCGCCTAGCGTGTGCTTGGACCATCGTGCGCGAGATCATTCTCCCCTTCGAGGCGAACTATACTGCGTCTTAGCTCCGTCGCTTCCGAGCGTTCTGCACCTGAAGTGACGCAGTTAGTAACTTGGAACGACTTATCCACGATCATGACGAACATTCTTCTACTACTACTCACGACTACCTCGCCCTCCAGAAAGTAAGCGGAGATCCGCATACAGACACGCATCGTGCCTCCTTATGATGACAGAACGTCGGGGCCAGTTTCAAGGTTAGGCTCCTTCAGGATACAGACCCTTTCTCCGCCAGCACTCAATTTTTAACAGTGGATACTTCGGGCAGACCCGTGCGTCCACGGAGGAGCATATAGCGTGGCCTATGCGAAGTACGCATAGGCCACGCTATTTGCTTTCGTTGTGCAGGAAACGGAACCTAACGTTCGTCCACGCCACTACTGAAAACAGGCTGCTCGTCAAGCACCACAGGTGAGATATCCGAGCCCTTCGGAAACGCGTACCTATGGTGTGAACACCTTTCTCAAATAGGCGGCCCGATGCCAGGGTTACCACTGAGGAGCGGCACTTAGCGCAGCTTAGAAGGCGTGAAGGATACTAGATCTCTAAAAATTAGGTGAGAATGGTGCCTCATACTCATAGAGACAGGCACTGACAGCTTATTATTATCGTTCTCGATTCGTTCCCTACAAAACTATCCAGAGATCGAGGCGCCACAGTTCTTGGTTCAAATGACTCCTTCAGTAACATTTGAACTGAAGCTGGCATGGTCCTCCATGACAATACAAAGGTTCGAGGCTTAGCCAATCATTCTTACCACCGGATGTTGTGACAGGCACAAGAACTAATTCTTCCTGTGCAGCCGGGATATCCCCAGAAGCCTGTACTGACGGAGACGCAACCTTCGTATCAGGATATCCCCGGAAGCCTGTACTCGAAGTACAGGCATCCTGAGATATCCTGATATGAAGGTTGCATCTCCATCCCCTCTACCTCAGGGAGACTCAACTTACGTTAAGGCGAATCTAATTCTCCGCCGCAACAAACCACGACCAATCTACTCCAATGCGTCACAAGGTACACCGAGGATATAGTACTTCGCTAGCAAGACAGCGATCGGATACTGGTAAGATCAACTTCAACATAGCGGCTGGTATCGTCAAGTTTGCTTGGGCTCCTGCAGGTTCTAGCATGATTGAGACAGACATGCATTCAAGGTGAAATCACTGGCGATAAAAGTGACAAGGAACTACGGTTGGACTGGTGGCTTACGCCAACGTTGCGCGACCAACGGACACGACAAGCCCTTTGCCATTAGACGCCAGATCCTGTCAGTTTACGTCTCAGGCTACTACGTCCGCCGTCAACGAGGATCCATAAACATCTAGTTCCCATGCAGTCGTACGAACGCATTACGTTGATATTGTAGACTTGCTCCTTCACATTTCACATATTGGCTTCGCCTCCATTAGGTCAACCTTTCACTGTCCGTTGGTTTGGGAGTCGGGGCATTCATTGCTATTGCAGTGGTCAGCCGCTGACCACCGCAACAGCAATGAATGTTGCACTTTCTCTAAGTCATGAAGCTATATGCTGGTAAGGCGGTATGACATGCAATGACACGGATGCTATTATCCACAGCTTGGTAGCCAGGGTGATTTGTATGTAAGGTTGTTTTAGCAGAATTTTAGATCCGGAGCAAAGAGATGTCCACGATATGGACTTCTCACATATAGAACACATCCCTCGACCTTCGCCAATATTCTGATGTGATCGTCTATGAGAATGCAAGAGCGATATGGTATTCAACTTGATACTCCGATCCACATACTGCATTCACAGTTCCTTACCTGAGTCGGAAAAGATCTTGCCAGATGTCATTGAAGTTATGAAGGCAGAAAGCGAAGGCAATTTAACATAAGAACCTGAAATGTATACCGAGCGAAGGAATGCATCAACAATTGACAACCGAGAATCTATTTTGAGGAAGGAATGGAACAGCAAGTAAAGAAGGAATTGGATGAACAGATGGACAACATAACCAGAGCAACAGACAGCGAACAAAGCGAGTCGAGGCTATGATGGTCTAACTGCAGGCAAAGCACACCTATGACGACGGATAATGACGCTGCAAAGAGCCTCCGAATCGGTCGGGTATGGATTTTTGTAAGGCGGATGGAGACAATCATTGTTGTGCAACATGCACCGCTTTCCCACTCTTGAGCTCATCTTCGCCGCTGGGAGGTGGCGTAATCCACAGAGGATCCGGCGCAGGTTGTTGAGGTGTTGGGGGTAGGCATGGGTTCCCGTTATCGTCAAAGTGTTCGACTTCAACACTACAAGGATTGGATTAGTAGCGGCATCAGATATGATAGCTTGCGCACCTTAATAAGATTCTGATAGGGTCCTCATTTGTGAGATATGGGCAAGGCCCTGTATTTACATTCAATGAAGACGAGGAGGAAATTGCAACAATCAGAATACGTACCCAGGTCCATCGCCATGTCCGGCTCTAAACTATACGATGAGAGGGGAATGAAGGCAGAGGCAGGAAGAAGTGAAGGCGAGAGAGCTGTCCGGTAGAAAATATCAGGATCGACTGTAGGTGGGGTAATTGTTGAGCTGTCCTGGCTGTGGGGAAGCGAAAGTTTCTTGGGTGGCCGTAGGACGCCAAATGGTCTGCTTTCAAGATGAACGTATTTGCGTATGTCGGGTGCGTTATTCAGTGTGTCTTACGGCGTTCCTAGTGAACGAGAAGGTGGCCGTGTTCTAACGACAGTGGGAACCTCGCAATAGGATTTCGCCAACGAACCTGCAACCGCTCAAGGCAGGGTTCGAGGATAAACCATTTCACGCGATCTCACGACGAACGAGAAGAACACAAGTACTCTGGTACAGACTAACGAATCTGGGAATGGTTCCCTTGGGCGAGGTCAGGCCGACCCAGAAGTTAGGATGTTGTCGTTTCAAGAATGCCTAAATCAGAACAATGGAACATGTGGGTGGTTGTACTACCTACCCGACCCGCCCAACAACAAGCCCGGAATTTGGTCGATATGGCTAAGCGATGGTATCTTCTCCGCACCGAACCAAGCCGTCCTCGTTTCGGGGTCTTCAATGTCATTGCAAAAGAACATGTGTGAGCGGCGTTGATTGTCCCTGGCACCCTCGTTCCTTCGTCACATTTATCAAGATAAAGTTCAATTGGTGAGAGAAATGTAGACGTACTCAGGACGTACTCGCCAAAAGTTCTGAACAGCATCTAGAGAAGACCAGCGGTACGCCTCGTCTATCGAAATTTCTGACATGGAAACCATGAGGAAAAGGCTCTGAGGTCCAGATGAAGGGGTTGAGGGTGTGGCGTGGGGAGGTCGAGCAACAGGGTGAGCAAGTCTTTTCCCTCCGATTAACTTTCTCCCCCTTGGTTTCTCCGTACTCTTGAGCCTCATCGTCCTTCGATACCTTGATCGAAATCGACATAGACATTCTTTACTGAACCGCCTTCTTCGCAGTCAACGACATAACGTTAACGACGCACTGCCAGTACCGACGCCACTGCCATCAACACGCTTCACGATCCCCTTATCTTCGAACTTGTTCTTCGAGCTGGTTCTTCGAGCTGATCCCACTCGATGTCTCGCTATGCGTACCCAGCCAGAGCCCCCACACCATCGGCTTCTCCATCTAATGGCGACTTCGTCCTCGCCGAAAGCTATTTTGGAGAATGGAGGCTCAACAACACCACAACTTACCGATGCATGCGACAGACTTACAAGAGGCCATTCTCAAGTTTTCGCATGAATTCGGCAGGTCCCAGAGTGTGGAACCGAGGATTATGTGCGTTGTCTGTTCTACTCGTCGAGTCGACTCTAACCCACGTCTAATGGAAGTTGAACAGTTACGTTTTTTCTAGAGTCGAGTTAGGTTGGACTCAACATGTAGATAGTCCGAATGATAATACCTTCTGCGCCGCTACATATATTGTTTGACGTGTGAGGCCAGTCAATGCCTTCGTCGGCTAGGTGAGTTACTCAACTGCCCCGCACGGTTGTATCAATTTGGCGTACCAATGTCCTACTGCTCTATTGGAACATTTAGGCATGCAAATTTTCACTGGAGATCACCAGAAGTATACTCAATGTTGTTTTAACATTGGATATACTCTGGTAACCCACTCTGTACCAGAAAAGAGAATTGTGAGTTTATCAAAGCATGGAGTTTGGAAGTTTGATTACTTACTTTTCAACACTGTCTATCCAGTGTGGTATCATGAAATATATTTGATGTTCTACTGCAAAACCTGGTAAGAGACTGTAGGCTGTATAGAAAGGGGACTCACAGACTGTTGATTCCCAAGGAACTCCCTGTCTGAATGAGGACAGTGCAATCTATATTGAACTCCAACCACAGCAGACAGCATAGGTGGTATGTTGACAGACAGCCATATCACTTGACCAAAGGCGAGGGCCAGCCGTAGTAAGTCCAACAACTGTGATGGTCATGTATCCAAATTGTACTGAGAATGAACACAGCCAGATCAAAGCAATGTCATATAATGACAGGTCTACTGGAGATATTTCGAAGAAGACTCTGTAGGTGAAGACTAGCTGTCGCTTTAGGAATAGTATATTGAAGCGGATCGTCGACGCATCAAGCAAGGTCGTAAGGTCAATCTCAAGAGAGCTGGAGAAAGGCAGGAGCAAGAAGACGGGAGGTAAGTGGTGAGCTCATGCCCATCTGCAGATTATGTACGCTGAGAATTGGCAACGCCATCTCCTCGAATCTTAGAGAGGCCAAGCTGGATTCGGAAAGCATGAGCATAAAGCATGTGAGTGAATCGCAAAATCTCCGAGAAATATCTTCTCTCTAATTGTCCATTCAGACTATTTCCAGAGTAGGTGCGCTGAGTTCGCACAAGATTATACAAGAAATTTGCAAGTCATGCCTCAGCGTCGAGAATATCTGAGCAAAACAGAACGAAACGCTTTGACGGTGAACGAGGAATGAAAGGAAGCGCCAAGGGTTTTGCTAGTCTTGGATCGGCTTCGCTTCCTCTCTCACCATGACCTCTTCACACGAGCTCTCCGTACTCCCCATGGCGTTGCCACATCCTTAATCCATCTTCGGAACGTCTCTGGAAATATTACGGACCATGCTGTTGCCAACATCCTGCGAAAGGCCGAAGCACTGACTTCTGGATATCTCGCCGATGAAGTGTTCACACTGCGGAGATCTCGTCCTTCTCAGTCCGAACCAAATTACAAGTTCGATCTTGCGGCGCCATATCTATATCAGACAACTTAACGGGAGTGCGTAAGTCTTGCCTGTCATTCCTATCGAGATTCATCCTTATTGACAATCCGTTCCCAAGCATCCCAGCCGGAGACTATACGGGTCACGCCTGATGGTAAGATTGGATTTGTACACCTACTTCGAGAGTCTGAAGGAGAGGAAGAAACATCTTTTGTCCGCCTGTGGAGCTCACCCGTACCTCTACCAGGATATACCGCCTGTAGTAGTGCGAATGCGTCGGTAGCTGCAGCTACTCCGGCACAAACGGATCGTACCCCCCCTTCGCTCTCGCATTGTAGCCTTGTTGAAAATGACGGTATCGCTGGTGGAATTGCTCCATTGAAGCTATTTCTATCTTTGCCGGTGAATATCACTGTGGAACCACTGATGAAGTGACATCGTACGCGTTTGCTTTTTCTTGCCGTTCCTGAGGCTGCAGTTCCTTTGATTGAATTGAATGTCACTACTGGCGTCATAGTTCCCGAACTTTCGACATGGTACCGCCGAACTATACGATTTCTTACACTAGGAATTCGGTTGGAGCACGGATACGAGGTTGTGTGGAGACAGTCTTTGCTATCTGATGAGTGCTGTAGACTCGTCATGCATATCCAAGCGCTTTGGCAAGTACCAAAGTGCCTATCACAGAATTCTTCTCCAGGCAATGAAAGGTATGAACACATTGCCCCCCCATGGAAGAGCGGCTGGCCTCACGGGCAGCATACGTTGCTCCGGAGATGGCACTTTTGATGGAGATGCTGCACAACGGCTTTCAGCAACGTTTCTGTCGATCGAAGTCTCTTCAACCTCGCAGACCCATATCGTATTGGACCCGGCGGAAAGTCGATGAAAGACAAGCACAACGTGTTTCTCTTTCAGTCGAATTTTCCTCTGACCGATAGTCTAGGTGAACGCAATGTTGTCAACTGATTATTGTCACTTTATTACTGACCAGAACTTCGATAACGAGTCTGTCGATGTTTTTTTTTTCTTTTTTTGCTATCAAGCTCAGGAACCCTCCTTTTACCGTCTCTACCACACTAAACCCTGCTCGTGATCTTTCCATATTCATCATCCTTTCGAGCTGACGGCTGAGACTCGGGACGTACATATGTTGGCCGAAGGACCTAATTTTTGCAATGAACTGAAATGAGGGTTACACTGCTCATTACTCGAGCGACCTCTTTTCTAATTGTTCATCCGTCTCTCAATAAATTGACGGATTCACGCTGTCCAAGAACCGAATCACTCCTCACGCCGGGATAGGCCTATCTTGTCTCTGTTGTGCATAAACAACAAGCAACGAGCAATGAAGAAAAAGAAATTGATTCCGAAGATCAGTATGTATGTGCGAGATGACTTGTAGTCGGTATGGAATCATCCCAATGCATTGTAAGCAATGTCCAATATATCTACACACCGTCATCACTCCCGCCGAAAACCAGCTCGCCATCATCGAAGTCATCCTCATCGTCAGAAGAGAGTCCACAGTTACCATTACTAGTAGAACCGAAACCAGACTCTGAAAGAACATGATGCCTGCAAGCATGTTAACATATAGAATAAAATCGCAAATCAAACAAAGTGCTTACCTTCGTAATAGCTCTTCTACGCCCAGTTGAGCTTCCCAATCCACTCGCACCCATGAATGCACGAGTTCACCTCCACGGTAAACTAACAGTGTAGGCAGAACATCTGTATCAACCGCATCGTCATCCCAACCCTCGTCCCTTTCACTTTCTGAATTAGAATCCTCGTCCTCATCGTCGTCGGGGAATCGTCCTGGCACGAGAATCTTGCGGGATGGCGTGCGAGTGAGTGTAAATGGTTGTCTAGACAATCGTTTCGAACGACCATTTGTAGCAGGTATCGATGAAGCAAACCCTAGAGCACCAGCGCGAGCACGAAGGAATTTGACTGAAGGATAGAGGCGTGCAAGTCTGGATAATGTCTCATCTAGAGTCGCACATCGGTCTAGTGACTGAGAAGAAGAGTTAGTTAGACGGTTGATTGGTCGCAACAGGACTGACGCACTGGGTCATATATGTGCACAACCACCCAGGTGTTGAGTTCCTCCCCCTCCACAGCCTGAACGTAACCTTGGACGCCTACTTCTCTAAGATGGCCGAACCTCCCTTTGCGCGACGGTTGCGCCAGCATCTCAGGTCTACCTTCTTCGAAGGCCTTCTGCGCAAGCCGTTCTCGTTCTTCCTCAGCCCAAGTCTTGCCACCCAGACTAGTCTTCTCCATGGCACGGTTAAGTGCTTTGATTTCCTCGTTACGCTTGGAGCGAGCATTTGCGGCAGCCTCTTTGCTATCACGTATGACACCCTTCACTCCAGTACGACCTGTGACACCCACACCGATAGAGTCCTGTTGGGCATCAGTTGCGATGGTCGTCTCAACAGCCTTCCGACGTTCTGCATCGGAATCATAGTCGTAATCAGACTCTCCTCCCGGCCATCGTGCTAGCGTCGGAGAGGTGGAACGAGATCGTACAGGAGAGGAGGAGCGAGATGGAGGGTTGAACAACTTCCCGGAGAGAACTAGTTCTTCAATGTCGCCGTTCTACAATATCAGCTTCCGTATGTAGATTGGCTTGAGGTTGATGAGAACATACCATATTCTGTAGCTAGGCGTCACTTCCGTGATGTAATAGTACTGGAGCAGTGTAAGACGAAAGGACTGGCGAGAACGACCACTAGACTGGGGATGAAGCTCGATGAAGGTAAGTGAGCCTGAGTGACTAGGTGGTGGAGGCAAAGTTAAATGAAAAGACCCTCCTGTAATTATAATATATATCAAAAAAATTAAGGCTCAATGGTCTAGTAGTATGATTCCTGCTTCGGGTTATGGCCCGCTCGTACCTATGAGCATCATTGCAGGAGGTCGCGGGTTCAATTCCCGCTTGAGCCCTTTTTGACGATAGAAGTTGTGCCTCGTAGCTCTTCACTACTAACTTATGCATCGCATTTGAGCAATAGCGAAGACAATCCTGCTGTGGTACGTGCAAACTCTAGATTTGTCCATGGGAATTTCAGCCTTGCTCACAAATATTTGGACCAGTTGCGCGCGGGCTCTTCACACAGGAAGAACCGTCACTGCCACAATCCCTAAACACCGTTCACCAGTACATATGAGCGATAGGACAAAGGTATACACACGTCGTTATTACTCGCATTTACTGTATGTGCAGCTGATTCATACGTGTCGTTAGGATACACGTCCTGCTAAACGGGCGCGATTGTTTGAACCAGATGGCTTCTCGGTGTCCAAGCCACCACAGAAAGTCTTTCCCCGTGTCGAATTTGTGTCTTCCTTTGATATTCCTGCTCCCGAAAATGCCCAGGATAAGACCACATGGAAAGTAGGATCTGTTCATCCTCTGAGTTCCTCGACGAAGACTGCGAAACCCTCCACCTCCGGCCAGAAGGCGGACGTGTCGCGTAGGCCTGTATATCGCGTCCTGAAACCACCGCCAAGACCTACTCCTGAGCCCCCTCTACCCACAACGACACGGAATGGCAAAAACTTCACTCCCCTCTCGTCTACACGACCTATGCTACCTTCATCAAAAGACTCAGAGCCACCCGCGGGCAAGCCACTCAGCCGTCTCGTTCGTCCTTTACCCAATCCCGTCTCGTCTAGTTCAAAACCCTCGAAACCTCTCAAACCACTCAGCCTGCTCAAACCTCCTGTGCGTCCCTCCAATCGCCGTCCCAAACCAGATCCTTCCACCATGAAGACAATTTCTACGACTAACATTGCCATTGCTACAAACCCCTTTACGGCACAAGGTTCTCTGAATTTGTTTGCTCTTTTCGCGAAGGAAATGGCAGCAGATTATATGACGCCTCGGGAACGCGAAATGCGCAGAGGATTGTTACAGAGCCCGGAGAAAGCCACTAGAAACAAGAAGCAGAAGTTCATTCCGTACGTCCTTATATGCTTCGTATATTTTCCGTTTTCCGTCATATTCATGTTCATTGTCTGTAGTGGTGGACTCGCCGATAACGCGAGATTACTTTGTTCTCAATCCCGAACAGGTCTTTCCCTCTGGGAAAAGGACATTCGGAGCCATGCTAAACGAGGCATAGCACCCGAAGTCCGTTTGCGCATTCTTTCCCTCATTTACACCACGCCTCCACATACCCAATCACACCAACCCGCTTCTCGTCCTCCCGTAGTCGCTATCATTCGTACCAAAGTGGAAGCATCAAGAGTTCCGAACGTGATCAAGGGCGGAGAGTTGTTCGTCATGGTTCGTCTAGACCCGCCGGCGGGTGGTCCGCCTAGGGCTCTGAAGGAAGACTCGCCGTTGTGGATTTGGAGACCGTGGTTCACAGTTCCGCTTCCTCCTGAGATCGAAGGGATGTCTACGGCCATTGGTGCTCGGAAACTTGTGATGTGTAATCGATTTCATATACCGAAGTGATTGTTCATACGAATTTTTGGACTTGTTGTAGCTCTAGCTTTCATTTTATATTCTTGTAGCATTATTTCTTTCGCTAGCGTAGGTTCTCTGGAACTCAGATGTACAGTTTATCATAACTTGAAACAATTAGCTCCGTGGAACGATCTCTGTGCTCCATCTTCGTGAATGACCTAGCATTGAAAGTCACCGTGAATGAACGTATCTACCATACAAGTACAACAGTGATGCCTTTGCATGCACTCGGAGATGCCATGAAGATTTGCACAACATAAACCATCTACCTAACAAGAAGAATGAAAGAAAGACAAAACAATTCGACAGCAAATGCGGTTAAGAGCGGGACATGCGGAACAATGGGTATGGGAAGAAAACGAGATATCACGACGATCAAAAGTGAGAGACAGATGCAATGGGGTATGTCTGAATGATAAGAATGTCCGTAGAGAATGTGAGTGTGCATGGAAATGTGGACTATGCAACGTGGGAAGTATAAACGAAATAATGATACAAGAAGGGATATTGTGGTGTTGTTGTGGATCGCATGCGACAGTGAGTGAGTATGTGATGGTGTGCGATGAGGGTATGAGGATAAAGGGCAATGACGATGGAAACGAAGAATGACAAAAAAAACCGTCCATGAGAACCAGAAACCAAAACACGGATACTCATCATACAGCCGAAGATCGGCAGGGTACCGAAGCTAAAAATGCCATCGGTTGGCATTGTTGTTGGGAAGGTTCGCTCGGAGCAAGCTATGCATAGTGATATTCACACCCATGTAGTCTTCGTACCAAATCCCCCGCTCCTGGCACCGCTCCAAAAGTCGCATCCAAAATTGCATGACTTTGGGACTCGGCTTCACGATTCTGAGCTCGTGACTATGTTCACTCAGATCTCGGATGAACCGCAACGAAGGGAATAAGTCAGCTTGTAAAAGGTCGCACATCTGCGTGTATAAAGGGAAGTATGCTTCGCCCGGGTCATTGCAAAGGCGCGCATCCAAGTCGCGGATGCCGATGAGCTCCAGGGTGGGATGTGATGGAAGGAGAATGTGAGGAGCGATCCAATCTGGAGCCTGCCAGTGCCATTCTGCCTCAGCAGAACAGATGAATTCGCGAAGATTAGGACACCACTCAGCCAGCGATTTAGGTGGCTGGTTCTGCAGGTGTGCTGATGGTGCTGTAAGGTAGTGTTCTTCGACAATGGTGGAACAGTGTCCGAGTTCAAGCTGACGAATCTTGGCGCCATGCGCTTCGAAGAAGGAAGCGAACCCGGGGCCGGTGTAGCTGAAGTCCGAAGAAAGAACGGATAGATTTGTCAGATGGGGCATGATCCATGATGCCAAAACGGAGAAGGTATTATTATCGAGCGACACTTTGAGCGCGCGAAGAGAAGGAAGATGGACGTCCATTTGCGTATTAAAATTTCCCACTTGACCCGAGGATCCCGCAAACACTGTTCGGATGTGAGGGAAGCATGATGAAAGTTCTAGGTATTCCAATTGTGTCGCGAGGTTTTTGAGAAGTGGGCTCATACGGAGATGGAAAGGGACGTCGCCGTAGCTTGTCCAACTTAGACGGCGCATCTTTGGGTGAGCGACGAGTTTGAGGATTTCTTCAGGACTGTATCGAGGGTCGGATTCGTCGAAGAAACAGCTCCGCTGAACGGAATGATGGTCGGAATAGATGAAGAGATGTGGCGCATGGTCAAGAATAGTTCGCAAATCCACCGGAGAGCAACGCGCTAAGATGGGTGTCTCGATATGGAGACGACGTATGTACTCCCCACTTGAACGGTTGCCTTGGACATACTCCATCAATAGCGTGCGTGCGAGTGCCTTCGCCTGGCCTGCGCGGCTGATCCAAACAAATTCATACAATGGTATACGCACAAAAGCATTCCATTGCTTCGACACCAGAGCAATCGTCGTCTTGAGTTTCATGGAATCCCGATAGGTGCTCAGACGTAGTGGTGATTCGTCCAAGAACGACAATTCGTTCGAGGTGTCGAGCGGATCATAATAGAGAAGGCACGCGTGGTAGATGACTATGCCCCAGATCTCTGCTGGTATGTCGGGGAGCCTCAGACTTTTTATTGATTGCTTTTGACGTGGTGCTCTGAAGCATAACATTAGTATATCATGAGTCGGCAGAGAAAGAAATTTCCAACAAAAAGAAAGTGACAATGTGTAAGCCATGGTGGCAAACGCAGCAACTATATTCAAATAACATACCTTTTAATATGTTTTGCAGCTTTCTTTCCGGCGAGATGCAGCCAGAGGTCGATCCGTTTGCTGAGAGATGATACGTCGTTGTTGTGGAAGATAGCCATGTCGGAAAAGAGGGAATCGCAGAGGGAGTGGTGGTTGACCGTTAACGTTGAGAGTAAAGCAACGCGCTTAGTCGGGTCGCTCCCTCGATCTCTCCGAAAAGGCATCATCCGGCATTCATCACACGAGCCGCCTATCCCCGAGCACTGACATTCAAAACATTCCTGCAAGCCCGCATGTACAACACAATGTTTCTTTGCTCCGGTCTTGAAGCGCTGTAATACTCGACTGGTCCAGCATCTTGACTTGACATTATCATAATGACTATCATAGCTATTAAGTACATCGAGAGGACTTTCACCAAATCTGATTCATGCTATTGGTCACTCGGAGGTCTCTGTAGAGTACTTTGTCTCGTGTTACCACTGACACGATGTAGTGCTCCATTCCAAACGCTTAACAAGGTGCCGAAGAACTCATCAACATAGCCAGAGGACCTTGTATTTATGTTGTTCGGCAAAAAGAATTGCCCAGGCAAGAGTATCAAAAAAACACGAAGTCCATCTAACGTTGAGAATGGACGAAGAAACTGTCTAAGGCTATTTTTCAATTGTGAGAACCAAGGTCGGTTTTATGTCTGCGGCAAGGGCGCTGCCAAATGGTTTTGTGAGATGATATATCACCGATCCGACGACGTTTCTTCCGCATCGCGTTAGCCCAAGCATCTTGACCAAATATCACGATCGAGCCTTATAGGTATATTTGGATGGATGCTCGATAGTCCAGTCTCGTACTGAGGATGTCATAATCTTGTTCAGGCCCTCCGAAGCCCAGCAGACGATACGAAGTTCGCGGATGAATACGATATCTCCGCTTATTGACATCCTTTGACGGAGTTACTCACCTGCGCACGGCGCCACGCGGCAAGTGAAGACAGGATTGAACTCAGGTACTGTGGGGTAATTCAAATGGCTACGCATGCAAAACCGTTCCCAGCAGCGGATCCCTAGCTTGAGAGACTAGCGGCAGTGACATTGGAAATTTTGATGAAGAGCCAAAGTATCACTGACAATCACAGATAGAATTCGAGTGTTTCCAAGAGAGATAAATTGCATAAATACGCGAGCTTCTAAAGGCAGGGTTATTAACGGAGTGACCTACTGTCCCCGTCGCTTCCGAAAAGACCAAGGAGATAAGCCGAAAGGACTTTGAGAACCTCCAACCAATTTCGAAGGAGGGATGGGTATGAGAGATTCTGTGTACAGAATAAAGCCGCTGAAAACGCTAGATCAGAAGAGCACGCTATCGGCAGCTTCGGTATTCATTGTTGTTGTAGTCCTTTACCAAGAGGAGACGATCCCGATGGCGCGAGGATCGTCGTAAGGCATCCTGAGTGTGTCCCCGTTGACACAATGTACGACCAGAGCGTCTGCAATGTGCATGCCAATCGAGATGACGCAGCAGCAACAGCAAACAGGAGTTACACGCAACCATTCGTACAGAGGAAATCGAAAATACCGTAGCTGTCTTCCCCAACGCATATCAGGACATAAACAGGGCATGCCTGAAACCAGCTCGACAGGAAGACATCTAGAAAAACAAACACGTCTTAATTCAAAGGAAGGCTCGACGTGGTCGCTTCACGTGCATCCTCAGCCATTCTTGCTTCAAGCCTGAAAATTCCATCGTGGAGTATTGTGCTACAAGTTTCATCTGATACTGTACTAAATATGCAAACATTAGTGACTACCTACGCCGAACACATCAAAGTATACAGTCAATTTCGTGGTGTGTTAACTTACCCAGAGCAGTTTCTTACCCCCAAGGATATGGAGTGAGAGTTTGGCAATAGGATGACAAGAGAACGTTGAAACTAAGCGCCGTCTCTTGGTCGTCGGGATGGTCCGAAGGGTTCTAGATTTGGCATGTCCTGCAGTTCAATTCGAGTCCATGCACCTTCCGCCAGTAGTATCTTTCCTGGGTATTGAGTGCATACACAGAATTTGGGACGACCACACAGCACTATTTCACCAATATCACTCGGCGAGGAAGTGTTGGTGAAGCTCACTTTTGTGACACATTGACTCACACTGCGCGTTTGTCCTACATGCAGTACCTACGAACCCCATGACCAAAAAGTACACCACTTAAAAGGCGTGGTCCCACAGTCCCCCGTCTATTCCTATCATTTGAGTGGATGTTCAAGACGAGAAACGTAATGGGCTTCTTAGTTGAGTCGCGTGAGTGGTGAAGAGTGGCTATTAAATTAATGAATTCCAAAAACCGACCCATATAATGGGAGTTTAGCTACCCGCCGCGTGAAGGTCCAATCACACGTCTGACCGATGCCCTCGTTGACAGCCTCGATATCCATCTACTCGGGTCGTCACCGGTTGGTTCATGTAGAGCAAGGTACCAGTAAACTCACGACGAAACGGCAGGAAAGTCTTTTGAAATTTCTTCGGAGGTCATAACGCTATCCATGGCGAATCTGTCGCATAGCAACCATGAGGTCCTCTTTCCGTATGGCATAAATACAAGAAATGCACCCACGCTACGAATGCCAAGTCAGCAATTGTACACTTACCACCAACCAACCAATCATTGCCAGAAAGTGCGTTCTCTAGTTCACTGAAACTATGTCGCGCTTGCGACTTGTACTGCTCGGTATTAAAACGAGTGTCCGACACTGCATTGGACATGGGCGCAATCGATAACAGGGTCTGTCTGTTCTCGACAATATTAACCTGTCTCCCCGGCGGCGCAATCCAAGGGGTAAGCCCTCACCGTTCACATGTAGCTTGCCAGAGCAACCATCTGAGCTGTACTGCTTTCTCCTTAGGGTCAGCCACAGAGATCCTATGGTCCGGATCGTAATTCTCCGTAAGATACAACAGGATAGTGTTGGCCTCCCTGCGAGAATCAAAGGTCGCCGAGGTTGCGGAGTCGCGCCGTTACATTGACAAAAAGAAGCACGAACCATACCGCGCGGTTATTCCGCCTGTGATCAATCAACACAGGTAGATGTTCGTCGCTGAAACCCTGCAAAGTGACCGGCTGATGCGGCTCCTCATCGACGTCCTGCTTGCAAATTAGTTCGCAGGAGAGGTCGAGCTCTTCGAGCACGACAAGAAGTTTCCTAATCGTTTCCGAATATATCGGATGATCAGAATTGCGATGCAGAACATCTGGGTGTACTCCACCCAGCCAAGAGCTGACTCACAAGCCAACGAGGGAACCAGGATCACCATGTTTCCTCTTGTCCGAATAGATAGTGAAATGTTTGTCATGCTGCGGCGTGCCGCTCGCAGACGCGTTGCCGGCGGAACGGGTGGGAGAAGTGGGAGAGAGATGAGAGCTCGACATTTCAAGTGAACCTGGTGGTGGCTTAGCTCGCATGAAGCAGGAATAGGTTGCTTGCGGTTTTATACCCAAATATCTTGACACGAGCGCTCTTTGCTGAGATTTATAACCTAGATGTCCTAGCATCTGAATTCTTGGATCGAGATACAACAGAATTCGCGCTGGATGGTTTCGGTATACACATAGAAACCGCTTGGACGCCGGGTCTCGGAAGACGACTCTGGCATCCTGATAGATCTCCGTCAACCTGGCTTACCCATCTGAACAGTTTGTTTTGGTCCGTCAATCGAATCAGAGCGCATCCGCAAGTGAGTTCTGACCTGCGGAAGAAAGCAGACGCGTTATTAGTGCGTCATTCACGGCCTCGAACGGTGACCGTCGGAAGACCAATACACTGTGCCCAACGCGGCCTTGCAGGGGTGTACCTAGTGGTGATCGGTGGGTAAGACCGAACGATCAATTGCGTCTACGAAGTTGGAAGGCGAGATGGTTCAGCACAGAAAGGAGATGAAAATCTTACATACAGTATATTACAATTCCAGGGCTCCGAAGACAAGGCAACCTTTGGAGACAAACTTCGAGGTGGAAGGAAATCTTCCAATTCATGAGAATGTAAAAGTACGGCTTTGGCGGTGGAAAGGCACGGTCTCGGGTAAGAACGACCGATACATATAGTGTACTAAGGACATTGGATCTGGTCTCATGTCTTTTAAAAGACAAGTGAAAGATTGAACTCACCTCCCTGCGCGTCCCCACAACTCCTTAGTAATGTGACAGCCCAGGGATGGGGTGTCGGTCTCATGCCTCAGCCTTTCGAGGCGTTACGAGATGCACGTCGACAGCGGGCTCGCACGTCGCCGTAGGAGAGAAGACCCGAATGGTCGAGGAGCGGGTCGGAATAGCGAGTATTTGTCACCACCTTGAGGGCGTTCAATGAAATTGAAGACACCGTCGAGTAATGATGAGCTCACCCTAGTGGAATGAAGGCAGAAAGGAATTCATAAGCCAGTGGATCAAGTGTGACATATTCGTGGATAAGCAAGTATTGGTTAACTGCTGGCCTTCGTATCCAATCATATCGCATCGTCATTGTGCTGCGAGCGCTGACTATATCAGGTGGCTATACCCACACTATCCCCGGGACACCAATTGGCCAATAAGGGTACTTAAAAATTAGCCCGATAAAGAATTATCAGCAGGATACCTGGTCATTAAATGTGTATAAGAGGTACAGAACATACGAGCATATCATGAATGAAATACGAGAATGATGGCGCAGCCAAGCCAGACCTCGTCGTGAAACTGTCCACAGTGCAGTAATTAAGCAAGTCCATAAAGTAGAACGATGTCACTGAAACGTTTTATCACAAACCAGAGTCATATACCATGACTGGAAATTGCATCCCTCACCGAGCCTTCAAGTTTCGTAGCTGCTTCTGCACCTCCACTATGTCTTTCCTGTTCCATGCGCCCTGCCATGCCTTTGTACCAGTGACCCAAATCCGCGAGGTACGTGCAAACACATCATCCCCTGTTGACTCATCCACAGACATACTCCGTTGCTTACGCGGGAGGGGTTCTGGCGTGAAGTAAGATTGCGGAGGTACCTTGGAGAAAACGAGCTCCGGTGGTACATTCTCGCCAAGAGTACGAGTGAGTTTGGCAATCTTTTTCCGACGGAGTTCTGCGGCAGAAGGAACAACGGGTGTGACTGGCGTTGGTGTCAACATGCCGTCCGTGTGATGCGAGAACTTTATGGTCGTTGCGGTGTCGGGTGATGCAAGGTCGGAAGTGGGTGTAGGTGCATTAAGACGGAGAACGAGGGGACGGGGTGCGTCAGCCGAACGACGGGGATTAGTGGAAAATGATTTGGGTGTGGGGAGAACATCGACGCTCGAGCGCGGCTCCGGAAGTGTTAAAGATAAAGCAGACGAGTTCGTGGAGGAAGACGATGAATAAGGACATGTTTCAGGGAAAACTTCAAAGATAGAACCATGCCGACGGTGAGTCTTCGTTTTCGGTGTCAGGGGCCTCGATTGGCCCGCGGACCTAAATGAAACGGGAATGGGTTTGGGTCTCGCATCAACTTCTATAAGCTGAGGTGTAGCTCCTAGCATAGCACCCAGCTTCCTTGTGGATCGCACAAGGCGAGCGCGTTGCTGAGCATCAAGGTTGTTGACAGTAGGTGGGGGTGTGGGATAGAGGATGGTGGAGGTAGCGTTCATTTTAGTGGATCGTAGAGTATGTCCGAGAGCAGAGAATGTGATAGCTAAATGATACAGGAAGAGGAAGAAGACGAACCAGAGCAATATGTACACGGCACAAGTCAAACGAGGAGGGTCTAGGTTAGACAAGGTTGACAGCGGCCATAGATATATCCAGGACAACAAAAGGAGCCGGAAATAAACCTTCGCCAGGTGACCGTGGGCAGGAAACCGTTGCGAGACAATTGACTTCGAAGTTCGAAGCTCCGTATAGTTGACATTGTATCCACGCTATTGTCATGATCCTACCGAACAATGGCTGCGCCTTTTCTCCGCAACAACGACTTCTCGATTTCGACATTTTTTTGCATGTCGTGCCTCCGTAAAGGAGAACGGCCAGCATTCTGAATCCATTGCAACAATGTTGTCCTGTGAAAAAAAAAGAGCAATGAATTAATGAACGTTTGAACGTCATGAATGTTGGACGATTCGAAAACCCGTTGGATGGCGCTAAACATACAAGTAGCCAAATATGCACACATGTAGACCATAAATAAGCTCAAACAACACATATTTAGAAAAGCCTCCGTAGCCTGAGGCTCTTCCGCTTTTGCTTGCTTTTGTACCAATGCTATGACAAGAAACACCAGTATATTCGCTATTAAACCCAAAGAAAAGATACATTTCACAGATACCCGTTATCGCCATACATACAAAGCTCACGACAATGCAGTTATCCCATTGCACATCTTTCGATTTACGGAATCAAGATGGTGTTCCCGGGGATCAAAAACCTAGATTTCGTCAGGACCGTCAGTGAGCTGATGCAATGTAACCTATGTTAAAAACGTACTCGAAGAACCACAAGAAATTGTCGGCGATACAACCTCCTTGTCCTCCACCGTCGACAATGACACAGTTGGTAAAGGTCACTGTGGCCAAAGAGCCCTAAAGGTCCAATATCAGACCCAATCAATATCAACCATACCTACATGCTACTCACAAAGTTCTCGAAGCAGTATTCAAGTTGACCAGTGGACTCGTTTATCCAGACGGCTTCGCAAGAGCCGACGGTTGCACTAACGCCATTGCCAGAGGCTACGAAGAAGGAACCGGCTAGAGGATATAGTATCAGAAAAATGAATAAACAGTGAAGAATACAGAAATGACTCACGGACTGTGGAGAATTCATTCGCAATAGCCTGACAATCCGACTGCAAGGGCGCAACAGCACGCGACCCCGTGCAGAAGGGCAAGTTGCACAACTCGGCGCACTGGCACTGCGCATCCGCAGCACCGCCCGCACAATTCTGGAACTGACGAGGGACGTTGGGCGACGTCGAAACTTGTTGAAGGCCAGTAGAAGCAGCCTTAAGGTCTGCAGGAACATGGTCGGGGCACTCAAACGTCGTGAAGTTCACTTTGCCAATCATCTCCGTCTTGAGCACGCGAGCACCAGGGCAACGAGTGGCAGCTGGGCGAAAGAGTCGAAGTTCAGCGCCGCCGTTCATGATTGAAGTGGAACAGTACGTACTTCTGGAGATGGCAGAGCCGTAGCAGACGGCAACGTAGGTTAATGCAACGAAGAGGAGCTTAGCAGTGTACATTCTGGGGCCGATGAGAGTAAGTCGGTGTAAGACTGCTGAAGCTCCGGATAGTTACTGGCTCCTTCTTATACCTCGCATAGCAGCCCTTTTGGCCCAGTATCTGACAATCCTGGGTGAAGAGGTACGAACGTTTCGATGCAAAAGCAACAATCTATTAAGTCCAGACTCATCGAATACCCCAAACCGGCGTTCCGACTGTCAAGTAAACCACATAGATGGCATCGTGACCCCGGTCTGGAGTTCATCCTACCATGCAAATCTGCAAGGGCCACCAATAGGAAAGACTCCGATGTTGGCAGTGACATGAGCACACGTACTGATGAGAGTAAATGCGCTTGCTACAACCGCTGCTCGCTGATCCTTACCTGACGCTCGATTTGCACTTCCACTTGAAGAAGCTACCTTCAGCGTCACGAACGCCTTTCAAAATCTGCAATTAAAACAGTAGGGCGTAGAACTTTCAATCATAGACATACCTATGATCTTGCCTTGTCTTCCCGTGCTGAACAAAGCAAGTAGTTAATCGGGAAGAGGTTTACGCATGCCTCCGCGCCACAATGGCCTTCAGTTAAGCATTTGACAGAGAAGGTTTGACTGGACACATCACAACGGATCGAAGCTGACCGACTTGACAGATGTGGGTCAACGTTCCTATGCCTTACATCGGCATCTAGGAGACAGAAACGTGCTCCCAGGTCTTTGACGGAGATGGCTACTAGTTCTCACGACAGACAAGAGCTTGAAGGACACCCCGGACGCTATAAAGAATACTTACGAAGGACAAGAATAGCACAAACACCGGCAAGAAAGGAGAGACAAGCTGCGGCCCTTTGGCGAATGTAGGAGTACAAATACATCAGAGTTGTCTTGACGTCTTGGTACTACAGGGTGTGGGTGTTCAGCGCACGGCTTTGACAATATCAGCTCCCTAAGTCATTTGTCAGATGGTCCACACATATACTCAAAAATAGACGGACCTTCTCTCCAACAGCATAGGCAAGTGTTTGTACATTTGAGGAAATTTCCTGCCCTCAGGTGTCAATGTAGCTTTCTACGGTCATTCTAATTTACGTACCAATGGTATGACCGAGCAGTCGATCTAGTCGGAGACGGGTCAGTAATCATCCATCATTCCTCGATTAAGTTGGACTTACTACTCTTAGGTTCTCCGTCCCATACACCAGCAAATTACTATCCACTACACCTCCATCTTCCCTCGGCAGCATTGCGCACGTTCCTACAGGATGATGCACGGTGGCGAGAGTGCTCTTCACGTATTCCTTGAGAGCTTCATCTGTTTCGACACCTTTAGGAGGGAGAATACGCTTCACGAATAGACTCTTAGTAGGCTCGGTTGCGTAGACCTTGTCCATGAACTGCAGAATCTTAGTGAGGACCTCAAGATCGACAGGATTAGATAGGTAGTTCTGCTGGATTGCAGGAGCATCGAGAGGCGAGGTTGACTTTATATGGACGGTTCCACGAGCGAACGGATGTGTGTAAGCGAGGAGGGAGGTCATGTAACGTTTTGAGTGGTCGATAGTAAGGCCTGGAATTGGGAAATGTCCGTTCAGACTAAGCAACCTGAAGAACGAATGAGTGAGGGCTTAGGATCTACAAAGAACGAGCCTACAAAGCCATTGGATGGGCGGGATCGTCGACCCAACCTCGAAGCAACTCATATTGCTTCTCAATACCTCTTTTGACGCTTGGCTTAGTCTTCTCGAAAATCTCCGGTGGTGAGCCTGAGATGGAGGACAACGACTTCCAGCGTTGAATATCCTCCGTGCCGGCAAATGCCTTTGCAGGGAAGAAGGCAAACAGCGAAGATGGAATACCAGCGAGGATACCCTTCTGCTGTTTGCTACACAAACAATTGCAACCACAGCATCAGGTACCAGTATCGAACGAATCTGGTAAAGAGACGTACTAGAGCTCCTGATGTTTAGCGAGTCCTTCTGGGCTAAACAGGACCTCAAGCGACTCAACCTTCTTGTCGACCTCTATGATGGCTGGTGCCAGAGAATGGTCCTCTACGATACGATCAACATCCGCACGGCAAACTGCTCACAAGTGTCACTCACGAAGATTCTCGCCTACACCAGGCAGGTCAATACGAGGCTCAATTCCATGAACATTCAATATATCTTTGTCGCCAATCCCCGATAACTCCAGAAGCTGAGGAGATTGGAAGGTTCCTGTGCGATGTATAAGTTATACGAAACATCCAGATTGTTATGGACATACCAGCAGATAAAATTATCTCCTTCGAGGCATTGGCGACGTAGCTTTTCCCGTCTTTGATGAATTCGACACCAGTCGCACGAAGCAAACCGGCCTTACCTGACGCGAGTATGATCTTTAAAATGGATTAGGAATATAGAGAAAAGAAGGCTGATAAGGACCATCGACTTGCCTTCGCGGCATGAGCGCCAGTGAGCACGAGGAAGTTGGGTCTCTGGGCATTCGGCGCGAAATAAGCAGAACCAGAGTGAGATCGCGTTGCAGTACTGCTGTCGACGGAAGTCGGGAAGAGCAGACCTCCGACTGGGTTGCCTCCACTCTGCCACGAGGAAAACGTAAGCAAAGCATAAAACAAAACAAAAAAGAGACCTGACACACGTTTTCAGCGTTGCGAGGGACACCATTTTTCTCGAGAGAATCGAGTACTGCTGAGTGCATCTCAGTCACATGGGGCGGGAAGGACTTCGCAATCGGTCCTATGCGAAGGGTTTAAGAATATTCCTGCACGAAATGCGAGGTAATTATGAACATACCGTTGGTGCCATGTAAGTTGGGATCTGGCACTACGGCGTACGCAACTGCTTGATCTGGTGTAATATTTGGAATCTGCAGATGCTCGCTCTGCATAATAACAAATTCAAATGAGCTGCGAAATACAGGCGGGCGATAAGGCACACTTTCTTCATGTACTTCAACAAGGATTCCCAGTTCCAGCCAGGGTTTCCAAGCCGTTCAAGAACATCCAACTCCTCTTTGGCTGGTCGTACACTAGCAAGGAAGTTGATCTGTATTGAAATAAGTTTCAATTTCACATCATTTCAATATCCTAGTAGTACTCACTGCGGAGGAGCCTCCGATGCCTTTACCGCGAGATTGTAATACTTTGCGATCGTTCGCATACTTCTGGAGCTCTGAATAGAACGTCCAGTCAAACTCAGGGTTATGGATCACTCGAGCCATCATTCCTAAATCAAGTGATCAGAGGTTACTTCATGGACATCGACACAACCCGTATAATCACCAGGAATCGTGATTTCTGGGACATCCGCGTGGTCATTTCCAGCTTCTAAGACACCAACGGCAACATTTGGATCTTCAGAAAGACTAGAGGATTGTCCTTCAATGCTGTTTAATCAAGCCCAAAAGTTCATAACATACCGGGCAGCCACAACCAATCCAGAAGTCCCTCCGCCGATCACCAGGTAATCGAGCTTAGCACCTAGGAATGTATCTACGTTGACAATCGGCATACTGTTTCTTGTTGTTACACAATCGGATCGGATTCTTGCTCGGCCCAGACGAGTGTCCTCACCGGAGGAGAGTAATGTGGGGCTGGGGGAACAAAAAGATGCCTGCTCTTATACATCATTGCGCGTTTCACTGCGTTCCCCGATATGAGCCGGTATTTTTTGAGTATGACTGAAATTCGACCATCTGGAACACATGCATGAGCCCGAGTCGGGGTGCTGTCACCTCAGATAGTTCGAGGAATTCCTCAATTATGATCTGCCGCGAGAAGTGATGATAGACTCGTGGCCCTCCTGCCGTCATTCTACCCACACGTTCTGATATGTTAGACCTCTCTTAGTTCATACGCCATGCGCAATAAGAGGCCGAAGGCTTGCTCATGGGATATGCTGATACACAAATGATAAGTATAATGATCATTGGATGTGATGATATCAGTGGGATGACTGGAACACGAATAAAATGACATGTCCCACCGTAACAACTTCAGTATACCGACTGCTACTAGGACTCCCCAAACGGTTGTTGTCTATGCTTATACTGTAAATGAGACTTAGAAGACAGCTCGTGGGTCGAAACGCTGAGACGGCGTATTCTGAATCGAACTGAATGCCAAGAGGTTTCCATGATCAACCTTCTAGCGCTCTCGCACTCGGACGGCCCCTCGAGTTCGAGAAGGGCGCAACCACTTGCTCAGCGTATCCGTAAGTATTTTAAGTACACCAAGGCTACTACCGAGGTATAACAAAAAGGTATCAAGATAAACACAAGAATCACAGCGTCCGAACGTCGCAATCTGTGAAAAGAAACTCATCAGGAATCTTTGCTCAGAGTCCATAAGCGGACTTGATCAAGTCGGCAGCTCGTTCAGCAACGATGTACACGGGGCCTTGAATATGACACTCAGGAATGACAGGCTTTCATATTCACAACCGTCAGCTTTCGACACAGTAGCAAAGCCCGAGAACAACTTGAACACTTACGAAAACAGATGCATCGACAATTCTAACACCTTGAGCACCCTTAAGCTTCAATTGCGAATCCACAACTCCCCAATTCGAGTTCGCGGGGGACATTCTTGCAGTCCCTGCAGGGTGGTTAACGGTCACAGAGTTCTGCCTTGCGAAACTGGCTTTATCCGTATCAGTTCTTGCGTTAGCAAGATCGCCAAACGGCACAGGTTTGAAGTCTTTCTGCCAAGGTGTTGCATTGAGGAAAGTTTGGGCGTCTTTGATTGCTTGTACCATGGCTTGGATATCGAAGTTGGTGGAAAGGATCGAGGGATTGATTAACGGTTTGGCGAAGGGGTCAGTAGATGCAAGAGTAACAGAACCACCTTCGAAGGGAAGTCAATAACTAGTATGGATTGGACGCCGCAAGGCGAATCTGCGCTCTACTCACGAGAGGTGGGTGACACTACTGCGGTCAAGACAGTGACAAAGTTTCCAGTGGCTGGTTGGGGGACAGAACCAAATGGCGCAAATCCATCCTGCACAATCGACATTCAACAAATCATGATAGATGTAACTTCCAGAATGTCCACTTACAACGAAGATCAGCTCCGTATGTGCAGACCTAGAACCAGCAGCTGGATCCGAGATACCAGCAAGCGCAGGAGAATTAGCTGGTAACCTGGTATATGCCAATGTATTACCAGGACTATTAACAAACAAGCCTTGACGACTAGCTTGCCACAGGCCGAGCGTTGCACCAAAATTATCGCCGTTTCGAAGAACATCATCCCAGGTACCGTTCGATGACACTTGGAAGTAATTGGGAACGAGCGGGTGATCAGCGAGGTTTGTTCCAACATCGGGGAGATCAACAAGCGGGGTAATTTGAAGTGACGTCAATGCTGCCGAGGGTCCAATACCTGATAGGAGAAGCAATTGTGGGGTTCCGATGACGCCGGCGGATAGGATGACTTCCTTCAGCGCCATGACCTGCCACCGCTTGCCTGAAGAAACCACGTAAGCAATGCGTAAAGAGAAAATCGCTTTCACATACTGCTACCGGGTTGACCGATCTCTGCCACCTGGAAGATAGGGCCCGACTTGGAGGTACCAGACTGAATTAGCTTGGTCACTTGGGCATTGATGAGGATGTCCAGGTTCCTGCGAGACTCAACAGGTTCCAGATAGGCTGTAGCTGCACTACTGCGCTCGCCACCACCAATGGAGGATTGCATGAATCCTATAAGAATGGTTTCAATGCATGATATTGTGGGATAAGTAGCACACCTAGCTCACCGACGCCAACGAATTTACCAGAGTTGAAGTCCACATTGAATGAGAAGCGACCGCCCAGTTGGTTGCTTGTGGAAACCACCAGGTCGTCAATGGGAAGACTAAATCCTGGTACAGAAACTTCTACAGGACCATTTCCATGGACTGCTGGGTTAGCCTGGCCAGTAAAGTCATGGCCATCCGCAGGCGGGACTAAACTAGAACTCTGGAAATGATCAGACAAATCATATAGCGTGTGCTCAACAGTCTGTTACCTTAAGATAGTACTTTTTGACGGAGTTCCAAGACCAGCCTTGATCCTTCGTAAGGCTAGCCCAACGATTCCAAACGTCATCGGATCCGCGATTGAACGTAAGCAAGTCTTAAAGCATGTCAGAACAATGGACATGACCGCCCCCGGAAAAGCTCACTAATACTGCCACTCCCACCCAGAACAAAACCTCTAGCGTATGGGAGAACGCGTCCATTTAGTCCGTTCTGAGGGGTCGTAGTGAAGTTCCAGTCCACCTGAGTGCCTGACAATGTGACGCCCAAGAATGGTACTTCAAGGTTCAAATTCCCTTGATGACTAGAGCAGTACGTCAGAAGCTGAATAAGAATGAGATTAGGTACTCACTTGACTCCTGCTTCAATCACAAGTACAGAGACTTTGGAGTTCTCGGTAAGCCGATTCGCAAGAACACTTCCAGCAGTTCCACCTATAAGCCAATGTCAGAATAGAGTTCGATTTTTACACCCCCCGCCTTACCTCCAACAATTACAAAATCGTACTGTTTCTTCGACAACTGGCTAGGCGAAGTGAAGAACGCAGCAGAACATAGGTTAGAAAGGGAACTAAGATGCAGTAAAGGAAGGACGAGAAATGAAAGCTTCATAGCAACTACCAGAAGCCAAAAAGAAAATGGGAAGAAGCAGAACAAGAACCAAGGTTTTGAACATCCAAGTAAGACAGGGACCGGACGACCTGAAATATTTCTCCATCATCGTTACTCATGCCCAACGTAGTGAGATCAAACGTCCCGAAAGGCACGTTCGGCACAAATTGATCATGCCATACATCCCTGGCGCCATGTCCAGGAACATGCAGCAAACATTTGCGAGGAACCCGCCCATTAGACCAGCCAGATGCCAGATACACCGCTGAACTCGGACTCAGAGCAGTCGTGGTTGGTCTCAGTCTCTTGTAGGAGCGCTTAGTACTTCACAACACTTACAGCTACATTCAGAACGATAGGCCCCTCCAAAAAAATCACTCATCGTAACCGAGGTCTAATTTACACAGCTTAGCAGGTGCCGAGCTCAGGCGAAGCTTGTGACCATTTTGTGACCATAGGCCAGTCGGGCCTATTCCTGGACATTTCTAGTCACAGTCGCGCCACGACAACGATGAGAATAACATGACCGATCCATTTGGGACATAGAGTAATTGCATGCCAGCAGTAGTACAGTACTGTAGTTTGTCAGATAATGGCAAGAGTCAGGCCACCTAGGTTCACCTCAAGTGTGTCAAGAAGACACAGACCGCCGCTACAGATTGGAGGCCTTTCAACCTCTCCCGTTTCGCGGTGGTTCTTCATTAAGCACCTTATTGCATGCACGCTTATGCCAGTATATATACTGACCATCTTGTACTTGAGACTATGCGATCTCCTTGTATTGCTTCGGTATATGTTGCCTCATCCTCAGGCAAGTACCAGGGAGCACAACGAAAAGGTACAGATGGGAGTTACTCAGGTGCTATTACTACGGAAGCGTTGTACAAGACGGCAGTGTCTAGACAGTGGCCGCGAGGCTTGCATGGAAGAAATACGGCGTGACGGGGAGTGACAGAATGCCAGAGCGTCAGGCGGGTCTGCCGTCGAACCGGCATTGCTTCGCGTGGCGCAAGCGACTGAATGATTTTTTTGGAGGGGCCTATCGTTCTGAATGTAGCTGTAACGCGCGCTAGATGTATCCTGCCGCATTAAGAAAGCGCTCAAGATCATTGCTGCTCCACCTACGAAGACAAGAAAGAAAATACGAAACTGAATCGTTAACTTCTGGGTTCAAGCAACATGAAAATGTGATTTGATGCCTTGGGTCACTATTGCAATACCAGAGTTTCTCGGCCTGTGACGCAAACACACTGTCCGTGTGATCACTTCGATCTGTCTTACGAACTCGTCACTTTACCTCTGAGAGGCCAATCCCGCACAATCTCCGACGCAGCCTGGCTACTGTAGTAACCATGAAACAATCGCGAAGCAGATTATTGAATGGTCTCTAAATAGACTAATTTGTTACAAAGAACGTACCTCACATAGAAACATATGCCTTGGTCACTGGCAAGCTAGGATCGAGCGGGATCTCAATGCCAATTTGTGATGCGACATCGTCCCCAAGTACCCACATGGACATCAGGACGTCTTGTGCTTGCTCTCGCTCGTCCCTGACAGCGTCCTGGTATCTGACCGTTGACGAGCAGCGGAATACCCGTCGGCTATCCCGGTATGCCTTGAAGTTTCCTGCGGATATCGAGAGCGAATCATATCTGGGTTTAAGTTGAAGATGGGTCGGAGGTCTGCTGAGATCTAAGGATGTATCAACATGCATACCGCGGACCATAGGACATTAGTCTAAGGCAACCGTGGTACGAGTGAATGACAGATGTACAATGTACAACGAGTGTAAAGTGAGGGAACGGAGGCCAAGGCAAGCACACACGTTTCATACAATAAAGATAAGTAAGTTCCGAAGGGAAACTAAGTCCGTTTGGCAATACAAACAACCGACCAGGAGTTGAGTACATTGGTATCATAGAGTAAGTCACAGGCGGATCAATCTAGAGCCACATACTCGAAAGGATGTCAAGAATCAGAAAAGTTTCAACCGGCGACCTCATAAATCAAAATGCGCCGTTTTGTTGTCATATCTGGGTGGATTGAGGTCACTAGAACTACGCACGAATTTCATGCTCTGAAAGGGACAATAATTGTGGATCAGATAATAGGCGGTTTCAAAAACGAATGCACCGGGTTCAAAGTGGTACACTCACGTCTGTCATGGGGATGCTGCCAGACTCCAGATCGCTCATGCCATCAACGGTTTGATTCTGCGACATGCTGAAAGATATGCCTCCAGAACTCTGCTTGCTTCGATATTGTCGGCTGAAAAATCTTGACGCATCTTCCGCACTAAGTGTATTAGCGGAAGGGGTGGAGTGGTCAGGATTACGACCGCCAACGATGCGAACTCGGGCGTTGAACACCTATGGGGTTTGACATCAGTCGTCAGCACATATCCTTGTAGCCTAGGAACGATATACAACAAGAGTAATCTAGGCAAGCACTCACCACAAGTAGACTATTAGAATACAACTTGCTCAGGGCGATACTAGGCGCAAGATGGTAATTGTTCTGCTGGAATGCGAGGAACAGTGCGAGGTCCAATATCGCAAACGTCGCACAGGTCAGCCCAGTTTCGACAGTGACCCGGATAAATTTCGTCAGCAAAGTTGCAGTCCCACGGAAGCCCGTACTTGATTTATACAGATAGTATATCATGCTCGCGGCGAGAATCACATCACAGAGAGCTGTTCCGCCCAGCCAGACCTGAAACAAGTCAATCCCGTTAGGTCGCAACTACCTACGAAACACGAACAGGAACATACAGTTGTCGTTCGATATGCACGTTCTTGCACTGAGAATGAAGTTCGAACCTCGATCGAAGTTCCAAGTAACACACCACGTAAACGTACCTTGTGAGAACACTCCAATTTGGTGAGCAAACACACCGGAGTATATCCCCGTCCCGCATTGCATCAAGGCAAGCTGCCATAGAATCAAAAACATCAATGAAGAGTCGAAACGGCTCCAGACCAACACATACTATTGCGATGATAATGGATACCCAGATTTTCTCACTAAGAATCCATATGCGCCATGCGTAGAAGAGTTGGCTGGTGCAACTAACTATTCGATCATTAGTCGAGAGGCTCGCAACGAAAAGGTTCCGACTTACTAATGCTACCCAAAACTGGGACACTGAACCACAACCATCCAACAGCATCCAATTCGATCATATTTCCCCATCCACTGCCGAAATTTCGAAACGCATCTCGTGTCGATAAAACAGTCTGAAGTAGCTCAATTGCATAAGTGAAAGCCACCAGAGTTTTCGGTATCGGTCGGTCGTTAGGAAACGCGAGGTAATAGATGTCTGCGCAAGGGTCAGCTAATGCTATCAAACTAAGTACCTGTATACTCACAAACTTGGACAGTGAGGGCTCCAAACAATCCCCAGTTGAAGAAGTGGCCAAGCAACTAATATATAAGTCAATCTAAAACTCGACACATGTCGGCAGCGACGAACGTACCAAAGGCCCAGTGCTGTGATTAGGAATTGATCGCTTAGCGAGACGCAATCAGCAAGTGTCTGCTAAACCGACTTACAGCTGGGCGATGATGGGTGGAACCGGTGGCAGCTCTGGGCTTGACATCGTCTCGTCTTCTGTGGCGTCGTAAGAAAATGACCTAGAGTGAGCAAGGAAGCGCAGTAGCAAAGGCTACTGGCGTATCAACAAGAAGGAGATTATTCCACCGCCGGAAACCTCGCTTGCCCGATCTCTAGATATTATAACGGCATGTATGGGCGCTTTTGAGGAGTCCAAAAGTTGATCACGTATTCACACTTCCCCGTTAGCTGCGACCGTAACAGCTTGATAAGTTGGTGCCCGATACGAATCCGACCGAAAAGGATCCCTTGCTCTATATCAAGGCAATCCACTCTTCAACTCGCGCTGTGCAAGGGAGATCCGAGACTGATTATCTTGGAACGGTTGTTATAGTGGAGAAGAAGGGCGCGGGTAGCGAACGAAGGCAGGCGGCAGGCCGAAGGGGAACAATGCAGTCATACTGGCTGGGAAGTTTCTCATCAAAGGTCATAAACCCTGCATTCGTGACTGACAAACTCACCTCAAAGCTCATGGTGCTGTTGGTGATCCGCTTTCCCATCAAACCATTCCGAAGACCTTGTCATCCTCCGTTTCTTCGCGTAGAAATTCAAACATTACGTTTGCAATATCGCTCACCACTAGTGTATAGACACGAGCCTACGTAGTTTGATACTGGACGCATCCTCCCTACCGCTTACTGGAGCTATTAACACTGCACGAAGCCTGCAGGACATGCATGCAACACCCAAGACATTAATCGCGTCTGATTGGAACTTTTGATGCAACGCATCGGACCGATCGTGATCAGAAGACTAGGTTGTGCATATCCTAATCTGGTTTCTTGACACGAGTCATGGATGCCCCTCGAGAACAGAATCTGGGTTTTTTGATGTGGATGCTGAGAACTTTGAGAGGCAATTCCAACCATGAGCAGACTCGTAAGGCACTACGTTTCAGGTACTGGGATAGACACCAATGAGAAGAATCGGGAGCCCATCAATATACCCTGATCCTCAGCATGAAATCAAAGCACAGTATTGCGTCGAATGGAGAAAGGAAAAATACGATAAGCCATAAGGAAAGCGAAACAAGAGGCCCAATCTCACTTCAGGAGGCTTGAAGTTTTGAAGGTCGGTTCCTGTTGTAACTCGGTGTACTTCTAGTCATCGTCTAAAGTTGAGCGAATAATAGAAGTGACAGACAATGATAGGATCCAACATATACAACCAACCCTCGAAAGGACGATCATCTACAAATCTAGTATGTGAGAAGCCGATATGGGCTACTTTTGAGAGGGACCGAGCTAAGAGCAATAGCGATCAGTCGGCGAATGACAAGTGCAGATGCGACCAGGGATTCCTATACCGATTACAAGCTGCACCTGCAAAAGGGGAAGATCAGTGAAGGCGCAGAATGCGGGCTTCGTACCTGGCTGTCTTCAGTTGTCTCACGAGGACGCTTCATATTTCGCCACTGTAACCCCACGGTCCTGCTGATATCGTTCCGACCGCGTTGCGAATCATCTTGAAAACCCACCATCAAGAATACCATTAGAGAATTCCATCTCTTTAAGCCCGTTCGGATGATGTACTTCATCGTCCAAGGAATGAATGAGGAGCCAAAGATCATGATACTCATCTTGTATACAGTAGCTTCCGTCTCCGCTTCATGGTCAATATGTGACATATCAACAGCAAGAAGCCCGTGGCTCCACGCCTGCATTGTGTCAATGGGATAATGGAAGATGTCCCCACAAAGTGCTATGAAGACGAGTCACACAATCAGTACACGTATGGAAGTAGTCTATACCTAGTTGTCTTTGCCCATCGTTCCCATTTCTCTCCAAAATGCCCCTTCAAAGCTTCATCTTCCACGGTTGTCCGATAGACGAGAAATGCTTCAACTACCGCTACAACGCCAACCCAAACCATCCAGAATAGCCTACCAGGAACAAGTTCCTGCAGTCCGGATTCCTTCCACCATGATCCTTCTCCCATTTGACACACCGACAGCCCTGTCATAAAGATGAGACCTCCAGTGTAGGATGGATGCCGAACGACGGAATAAGGACCAGAAGTGATAAGGTCATGGTCGGGTCGTAAAGTGAGTTCGAAGGTGAAGTTTGGCCCAAGTATTCGGTAGCAGAATATTCTGAGCATCGTCCCGGATATCACCAGAAGGAAACCTAACAAGAAGCTCAAGGTAATTCTGACATGATCTGTCTGAATTCCGACAAAGATGTTGTGCTGAATACGGGAGAAAGGCAAGTTCGACGCCACGATGACAACAACCTCAATCAAGTTGATAGCGATCATGAGTGCCTATATCAGGTTTGTCACTTTCCTCCACGTTGTCCGAGACAAATACGTTGTTCACCTTGTAGAACTTCGTGATTAAAGGCAACACATCCTTAAGCTGTATTCCCCTTTGCTTCGAGCTAGTCGTGTTGACGAACTTGCGACGTTCATCGGCTTTTGCTGGAGGATTGGGTGACGACAGGGAGATTTGCACGCAGCGTGTACTGGCCAACAGCAAAGGTATCCTCCACAGCGAGGCCATTGCGTACAAAGGTGAGTTGACTTGTCTCTATCAACGTTCGCAAATAGTAATCACACTATGTGATTGTTTCCAGAATAATATCAAGCCTCAAGAGCCCGAGAGTGTCTGACTGCAGCATCGCATTGTATCCTATCACTTTGATATCCAGATCCGTTCACGCAGATCGTTCCTCCACATCAGAGCAGTCTGATATTTACCCGAGCATTCAGAACGTTGGAGTTTCAAGTATCTCTTCGACGCTGACCTCGCATGCAGGTCAAATACTGTGGACATTGTACTGAGGCCTCAACTTTTCGCTATCGGGGCGCTCAATTTCTGCTCAACATGGCGAAGCGCAACCACGTTCCTCTTCGCCACCAACATTCTGCTTCTGATGTTCTCAGAGGTCCAAATCAATCTGAACAGCAACAGTTTCACTCAAGTGCCAATGTGCCTCAAGATAGAAGCAATTGGCCAGCCGCCGTATTCTCAACCGAGCCAATGACGATGCTAAAGTCGAAGTTTCAAGGACATGCAACGTCCTGTTCCCCTTCAATCGCACAACCGGACTCCAAGGACCTAGATAATATCCTGGAGCAGATTGCGCGGACATACCCAGGTATCAAACGTGCAACGCATTGCATGTACGCATGGCGAGTACGTGCCTCGACTTCCCGCTCCAGCACTTCTACGAGTCCTTCTCGCCCGTCTAAAGGCTCTACAGACGTTCAACCGCCAATCTCGACCTCGATCCTCTCAGGTTCGTGCGACGGAAACGAGTCTGGTGCGGGCGAACGACTTTCGCGTCTTCTCGAGCTTGGTGGTTATGAGAACGTGATAGTGATCGTTCATCGATGGTATGGAGGTGTAAAGCTCGGATCAGACAGGTGGAAATGCATCTCTGGCGCTGCGAAGGAAGCTCTTCAGCTGGGAGGTTTTCCACGCGGTGGAGAACAGACATCAGTCTCTCAATCCAGCTCACAAGGATCCAAAGGCAAGAAGGGACGTAAATCTAAGGCATGAGCTCTCGGAAATCCTGGTTATTGACGATCTCACTTCCACATTGGATGGCCGCCTGAACGACTTTGACACATTCACATACGTGGCGCATGTGAGTCGACTCCAGAAATAGATCCTCTTTCTATGCTAACAAAGATCCTGCAGGTTACTTGGGCGAGGAGAATGCTCCGCCTCGAATGGGCCAAATATATGCCCAATGACATGACAAAGAGAGTCTTTACATACATCGCATGGGATTCACCACTCTGCCAGTGGAGACCTTGTTGAGGAGACGGAGCTATCCTTTTGGTACACTGTATCGCTCAGGCCGCAACTAGTGGTGGCTTGTTTTTCGGGAAAGTATGGAGATTTGTAGAACGTGATGATGGGAACGAACATGGAGGTAGATTGTCAGAAAATCATGGGTTCGTCTTTGTCATGACCACGTTCGAAGGACTCTCAGGTTTTACCAACAATGCATTCAATATGCACCACCCGAATACAGTCTCTCCATTTGGCTTGGACATCAAAGGCTCCTCAGTCATGATTTCCGCTTCCTGGCCAGACGAAGTGAAGAGCTCACGGCAAACTTCTCTCACGACATTCCCATTCTTTCATAGCTTTCCTCCTCGCCCTCCATGAAGGATACCGTGAGGGTTACTTCCAAGGTGCTCACATTGCAGAAGAATTTACAGAACGGCTATCATGGTCACCGTGAATGCATAGAGAAATTATGTAGCGTAGAGTAAACAAATATTAGGCCACGACTGAGTACACCAAAATGAAACAAGGAAAAGTCGAAAAACAAAGAGGGGAAACAAGGAAGACAAAATCATATGGGGTATCATCCAACCAACATCACAACCATCCCGATCTAGACGATGTTGAACGCATCACTCCTCCATTCATTCCCCTTCAAAGCAGTCTCCTCGCGCTCAGTCGTCCTATTGATCCATCCTGACGGATGTCCAGCATCAACGATGACGCTATCCCTCTTAGAAACTACTTTGAACTGCGCATGCTTCTCATCCACCTTCGACTTCCCACTCGCAGCTTCGTCCTTCTCGCGCTGGAACATCTGCAAAACAGACAATGACGTGTCAATAATCACGATACAAGATGATGAGGGACAGTAAATTTGAAAACAGAAACTCACCTCCTGCAAAACCTGCGTTCGGGTCTTATCCTCACTAGCCTCCGCCTCTTTCATGCGATCCCTGACTCCCACGAGTTGTCCATCCACATACTCCAACCCAGTCCGGACAGCGCCCTCGATAGCCTTTTGCAATTGTTTCTTCACCAATCCTGTCGCAAGCGGCCTCAACGTATTATAAAGCGTGTCATGCTTTGAATCACGGATGCTGAATTTCAGGGTGTCGACTTTGACGTGGACATCCTTGACTGTGAATACGGAAGCTGGGTCCGAGGAGGATCGAACGTGCGCTGTGACGGTGAGACCTGACCCGCCAAGGAGGACATCTGCCAGACCCGAGTCGGTGAGTTTGATGCCGGTCTTCTTGCGGAAGTAGAAAGCGACGTCTTTCATATCCGATTGGATTTGGGCGAACGTGAAGGTGAACTCGTGGAAGGATTCGTCCCTGAAAAGACAAACATGTCAACGTCGGAAAATGCAAAATAGAAAGGACAAGAACACCTACTGGATGGCATTGTAAGGACTGAACTTGACAAAGTTGTGCGCCTCGACCGAAACAATGTTTGGGAACAGGTTACGTCCCGACAGCGCCAGATTCTCAATGACGATATCGAGTGCATCATCCGTGTACTCGATACGAGGGATTGGCACGTATCCGACCTAGGTACACATGTTCCTTAGTACTTTCACATACGTCAAGGGAAAAAAGGAAGCAAACCTGGTCGATGATACTAGGCAAGATGACCTTCCGAACATCCATCCAGAGATCACTCTTGAACTTGAGACTTCCTTCATCGTCGAACAGCAGATCCTTCGTGAGTCGAGCCCAATCCTCACCGAACCGCTTGTTGAGCGGGTCATCGCCTACATGAAGCAATTCGTCGTCAGCAAATTGTACGAATGAAGGTTGTATTAATAAGGGAAGGGTACCCACCGAAAGCGCGGAACCAATCACCCGCAGTCGAAAAGAGATTATCAAAGTGACTCTTGTACTTCTCATCATAGAACTGTCGTCCACCCTCGCGCAACTGATTCGCCTGACTATTGCAATCAGAGTCCAGGACGTAACCCGGCTCAAGAAGAACCTATCAGCAACACCACGACTTCCATTAGAATATTGCCTCAAAGATGGAAAGACGAAGAGCGCACCTTGCGAATGTAGGCATCTACACTCTTGAACCACTCTTTCAACTCTTCATCCTTCTGCGAATCGTCGTACAGGACCCTCAACGCATCTCCAATAACACTCAAACTCTTCCCATTAGCAAACCGCTCAAGCAAAGTGCGAAGCTCCGAGGTAGCCTGTTGCAGAGAGCTATCAGAAGTGGCGGACTTCTGCGTCTCTTTGCCTAAAGCAATGGAAGGCGACGTCAGCACGTGCAACTCGCGCATGATGAAAACCGGGGCCAAATGGGTTGGAAACAAGAGCGCCGACATGGAACATACCATTGTTGAGGGCGCTGCGCCCATGAGAAGCATACTCCCCCAAATACTCCAAGAGCCACCTAATGCCCTCCTGATAATCCTTGTGCTTCTGACACTCAACGATTACCTTCTTGCCACGATAGATAAACTGATCGCGTCTCTCTTCCGGGAAGTACTCTTCCATGAAGAACTTCTTGCTGCGTTCGGCATGATCATTGGCGCGGTCTTTCTGTTCTTGTGGGATGCGGTCCGTAAGTTGATCCTGAGTATGAGAAGGATACCAGTGTAAGTTGGTAGCATGAGAAGAAAAGGGATGAAGACTTACACGCAGTCCACGCATCTTGTTCATCATGCCCTTCTTCTTCACCTCTGCCTCTTCACGGTTGTTCGGCAGAGTTTCACCGTTCACAGCTCCATTCGCGGTTCCATTCACATCCTCCTTTTGACGATTAACTTCGGACTGGGAGACAAACACTGATCAGTAAACGTGCGACTAAAAGCGGACTGATATGCATATGTTTGAGGACGCATATACAGACCTGTGCACGATCTGCAAGCTCCGAGCCCTTGTGCTGCACTTCGTCCTTCGCTTCGGCACCGCTCTTGACAGTGCCGTCCTCTTGCACGACTTTGGCACCGGTACCTGGCTCATCGCGAGGGTTCTGACGAACAGTGGTGTTGGTACCAGGAAGCTTAGCCTCGAGAACCTACAAGATCGCACAGAAGGTGAGTATATGCGCAATATATGAAACAAGGTGAGAAACTACGAACTGGAGTCTCGTTAGGGCCAGCGATACGCCCACCCTCGGTGACAAACTGATCGTCGGGTGCGCTCTCGTTGACCTTTCTGAGTGCCTCCTGGTCAGGCCGAGCCATCTCAGCCACCTTGCCCGCCCCTCGAGCGAGCAAGTCACGACCAATGACGGAGAAGTCGCTCAGAAGCTTGCGGACCTCGGCATTAGTGAGAATGAGAGATAGGAGAACGCGAAGGTGTTGAGCGGCCTGTTGGCCGTCAGATTTAGCTTTTTCCTTGTCGACAGGGATGACATCGTTGGGGTCCTTCTTCGCCTGGTCAAAGTCGGTATCCCTGGTGTGCCATACGAAATTCTGGAAGAGCTCGTCGCGGTTCTTTTCCTGAACGATGAGACGCATGGTCTCAATAATATCGCGGGAGTCTTGGACTAGTTTTTTGCCATCTTGGCTCAGGTCGTTCTCGGGGACGGGAGAGTGGGTGAGGACGTATTTAAGGGTGTGGTCGATCTGGTCGTTAGTAGGCATGCGTGACTGCTTAAAGGCACTGATGACGCCGTAGAAACGAAGCTTGCGGTCGACATCCTTCTCGAGCTTGGGTCTGTCGACGGGCTCGGCGACAGAGCCCTTGGTAGGGTGGTCAGAAATGTCCTTGGGTGCGGTGGGAAGGGTCATGGTCGTTGTTGTTCAAGTCGTGGTCGTCGTGGTTCAAGTCGTGACTTCGTGAGAGCAATAGAACCGGGTCAGAGTTGCAAACGGGGGATTCTAGCAAAGGTGGAGCCTCGCTGTGATCGCTCCCCGTCCCTTATACTCCCGCCATCGAGCTGGGAGCTGTCGACGTCATCTCTCCATCGACGAGTCCTCTTCCTACTCTGCACAGTGATGTCATGAGCATTCAACGTAGGATGCCACAATCGACGACCCACCAATCCAGGGCTTTGGGCAGGGGTGCTCCACCATTGAACGTAACAGTGGACCATGCTCCCTGGTCAAGACTGTCAAGCCTCTTGTAAAGCTGCCTGATAGCCTATTCAAGTCCACAATCATGCTACCTCATGCACTGTCTGTGATAAAACGTCATTCAATTCAGTCCATAAAAATACGAAAGGATCCAGACGGAGGACCCGAATACAGCGTTGAAGTGGTGGCTCTGATAGCGGTGACGACATGCAAGCAAGTTAACTAGACGCCTACATCCAACACCCATCTTACACACATGCCTCTTTTGGCCATTCCGTCAGCTGACAACGAGGTCTTGGCAACGTTCACTCCAGGACCGAGGTTCACTCTCCGTAGCCGTTGTCCCTTTCTTCGGTCTCTATAACCCAGCTATTGAACACGCTGCATCATTTCTCATTCGAGACAATGCCCCGGGTTCACGACAAAGTCCTACAATTCATGGCTTCAAATGCCCTTGCTCTGTATCCTTGAGGTTCGCGCGATCACCTATTGATCGCACTTACCGGGCACCTGCCTCCCACCCTCAGGCTTTCAACGCCGAAGGTCACCCGAGTAACGTATTTCTCTGTTCGAATACCATTTCCAGACCCTAATCAACAGATGGTCCAGTACTTGACCGGCTGTTATAGACCGTTAGCAAGGTTCCGTGTATACACATCCCAACGTCTTCGTCACAGCTCTATAACCTTTTCGTTTTTTGCATTGGATTCAATTGAAATCCGTCTTGGGTTAACTTCAGACACCTTTAAACTCTGGAACAAATTGTGCCAAATTCCAAAAAGCCGCACTCCTCATCCCCAACTCGTCCATGCGTCCCCATGCTCCATCAACGCTCCCCGGAATCATGTGATCACGTACTACCTAAAGCCTTGATAGCACTTAAGCAAGGCGGCCTACGGCAGCTATCATCGCGTCGTCCAGATTATCGATACGGGCAATCTCAAATCATCCAGTGCCTATATCCGGAATGTTACTATTCTCCTGCGGTTTCCCCGATGCTCTGAACACCTTGAACAAATATCAAGCCCGTCCCGTCCGTTCGTGTGCGGTCTAAGACGACCGTCCCTCTTAACTTGTGTTCACCGGCAGGCGGGGTTTGCCTGACCTTTGAAACTCTAGATTTGTATTTTTTGTGTGTTCTGTACGAGTGGTCTTATATAATAATATCGTTTTACTATATGCCTCAGTCCAACACCGCTTACCCACCGGCCCTTTTCCTTGAGACAGAGTTGACTCTGCTCGTTCGACCATCGTACCCCAACTTCTTGTCCGTATAGCCAATTTTCTATTTCTCGAAGTCCGTAAGCAAACAAAAGACCTTCATCGTACACGGCTCGTGCTCACCTCTCTTCCCCTCCTCAAGCTTCAAATCTTAAGCCTAAAGCCTCAAATAATAAACCTCCAAAGCATGGCCTTCCGCCCACACACACACGCCCGCACTCTTTTCTCCCTTCACACTTTCCTCATCCTCACGGTCCTCGCACTCCCTCACATTACAATTTCATCCCCACTCACCTCCCCTCCAAATATCCCAAACAACCAAATTCAAGTCCCATTCAACCTCGTCCCCACCACCCATATCGACTCTCCCACTACGCCACTTCCAAGTGTTGATGACATCCACTCGACCAGCCACGTCCCGATGCCAGTGGGAGGAAACGAGGGTCATCATCGCGGCTCGGAAGTCATGACGGACGTACCCCGGTCAAGATATGGCATTGTGGACTTATCAGCACACATACCCGTTGGATTCCTACTCAATTAGAGTTCAGTCACGGTCGCTCGCTCGGTCTTGGGTCATTACGATCCCCTGCATCACTGCACATCGTACAACAGCATCGACTCTCACGCCGCTGGAGGTTTTTTTTTTTTGTTTAGGGTCAGAGTTTCGTTCGGCTTTCCTCTCGTCGATATCAATGGGATTTTCTTTTTCTTTTTCGTTGTGTCTGGTCGAGGGTTCGTTCCCGGTCTGTCGGTTCCTTTGGGGTTTCGGATTAATGGGTTGGGTTTTATCATTTCTTGATTCGGGTCGGGCGGAGAGGTTCAAGTACCTGCTGGTAGGTTCTTGATTCTTGATATTAATTGGTTAGGCTACCCGTACACCAGAGTTGGTCGATAAGCCCCATCGTTATCCTTTCCAACTTAAGGACGTCCTAACGGGTATATTTTCTCATAGGTTGGTCCTTCATACTCACCAGCCCTAGGCTGTATCATAGACAGCGGATGACTCGCCGGGGCTCGAGGCAAAGCGAGGGTCCTGGGTATAATACACTGTTTTGGGGGTCACATCGCGGATGCCTTGACACAGATATCATGCGAGCAGGCATGCACACTCCCTCTCGAGAATGTCCCTAACAGATGAAACCATTGGTGCGACTGCTGTTGTCTCTCTAAGGACCGAGATTGCCTGTGCTTTGGGAAGGGGTTTCCTCGTGAACTAACCGACAATGGAATGCAATTATCTTGGTCCACATCGCCTGTCATTTTATAGCGATGGTCGAATTGTCATGAAAATGCGAAGATGCGGTCAGATTCTCTACCTCTCGGTGCGGAGTGAGGGCCCATTTTGCTGACTCTAAATTCAGACAATGAAAGAATAAGCTGAACACCGTCTGTCATGCCAACACTAGCTCCTCCAGCTTCAACATCTTCTCTGCCAGTGGTACATAATGCCATAGCTCTATAGGATACAGTCAACGGTGGACTTGAAGTGGAAGCAGTATTCAAAGTGAGACACAGAAGGACATACCGAATATGGCTAATAGGTCGTTGAGAACAACAACCAAAGTCGACATGACAATATAAGTAGTAGAGTTACACGGGGAAAAAAAAACTAAACCGTGGAAGTATGCAGTTCCCACTAGCCGACTTGAACGACTGACCTCATCATTACTAGTGATGCGCTCTACCACTGAGCTAAGCGGGAGTTAAGAAGTAATAAATATGAAATTTATTGACAGCAATGAATCTTTTTAACATTTCATTCGAACTTGGGACCAGGACCTTGGTCACACAAAGCGAAGTCTTCGTTACTAAACAATCGCTACAACGTCGTTCGGGGAGACATACATACCGGTTATGTTCTCTGAGATGTCGGTCGACAGTGGTGTGTTCAAGCGGCGCTACCGGCCGTTTCGGAAGCATACCCGAGTGTTAAGTTCATCGCAGGTGGCACTGATACTAAACATGCATGTCTAGGGGAAGTAGGGACGAATAGAATAGAATAAGTATCGGCAATCTTTTTTTAGTTTTTCTGTTCGCAGTTCCTTATGATACTTATATGGAGATTGCGGTGATGATCGGAGAGGATTTCGCGTCAAGAACGATTTCTGTGTATCTGTTTGTTTCTTCAAATTCTCCCTGTTTCGCCTGCAATCATTCCAACAATGCGGTGTAACTATATTGGATAGGGAACGAAAGTGAGTATTGAAGATTTATGCTAACTTACGTGGTCTGACAGAGTCGGAAGACGATCATTACGGAAAATGTAAGTATTTTGGATTCATCGTTGTCCAACAAATATTGTTTGCCTTGAGAGTGGTTGCCAGTGGTAGGCCAGGGACACTCGGAGGTTGAACTTGATCCTGAGCGCTAGTTCATGCATATATGACGTAACTCAAAGGTTCAAATACCAACTCTCGAGCCACAGAATGCCCTTCTCTAACACCATCATATCTTCCTCACCAACATTGTCATGACTGCTCTGATTCTACCTCGTCCTTTCAAACTCAACGCGAAAGCGGTACATCTGTTTTCTCTGTTATCCAAGTCAGTTATTGAACGCCTTATATAGAGGCTAGCGGACGCGAAGCCAGCCCCAGCTCTCGACGATTTACCATTCGTGCTCCATGGCCGCAAAAGAGGCCCTCGACCTCCCATTCTCTCTTATGGCTTTCTCGCTGACAAACAGAAGCTGAAAGACATGTGTGCTGAGCTCTTTGACTATTCCCCTACATCTTACGGTGACGCCGAGATGTATGTGCCGGATGCTGCGATATGGACGACACTCAACCACATGGCCAACACATTCAAACACAAGATCACTTTCGATTTTATATTATTTGAGGGGCGGGGCCAACTGATGATCGCTATCACCAACAACTATCGCATGCACCGTAAACGTGAAGAGATAGCACGGAAGGTGGCCGAATTTTTACAGCTCCCGGCGGACGAGAAACCACGGTGGTTCTTGAGCGAAGAGCGATGGTGGTGGGAGAGGTGCTAGGACCTATTGAACTGTTCACTTGTATTTTTCTCTTTCTCGTAGTTAGTTTCACTGCTTACCAGGCGACTTTGGTGCCGTATTACCTGTACATTTGATACCCACATTTTTCTGGCTGTAGGATTTGCAATCCACAGCCGTTCGCGTCATGAGCATGTTATACGAAGAGCCAAATTTGGCAAAATCCTATATAGACGCCTGGCGTTGAGTAGCGAATTATCGATGCAATGAACTCTGTTTTTTAAATTTGCCATTCCATGTTGGTTCCGTGAGCGGCTCAGTCTTCAGTTCAAAATCGCTACAACATCATTCAGGGGATATACATAGCTGTTATATTGCCTAAGATGTCGGTCGACAGTGGTGTGCTCAAGCGGTGCTGCCGGTCATTTCGGAAGTATACCCGAGTGTTAAATGGAGTTCATTGCAGGTGGCACTGATACTAAACATGCGTGTCTAGGGGAAGTAGTGGCGAACAGAATATTGGCAATTTTTTGAATTTGTCTGTTCCACATTTCTTTTGATGACACTTGTGGTGGAGATGTTTTGCATCCTGAGAACCGTGTCTGTGTAGCTATTTATTTCTTCAAACAGAATCTATGCTGACTTAGTTGGTCTGATAGACTCAGCAGACAATGATCATTATGGAGAATGTAACCTGAAATGCTATGTATTCAAGAAGCACATGCTGCAGTACATGGGAAAGAGATTTTCTGAACTACTCTACATGTTCTTGAGGGTCAAAGACCATCCTCATAGCAGCCTCAAACTCAACTGAGAATTTCCTGTGATCCACGGTCAGCAGGGGAAATATGTCGCCAGAATAGATGGGCCTGTTCATTCGTGATTCAGCTGACTTGCTGGATTCCGGTATGAAATTGTGGTTATCTTGGTCTCTAACAGCGTATGCAGGTAATTCTTCCATCTTGTCCCATCTGAATTTCAGTAGTCGGCAGAATGGGCCATAACCTTGAAGAGTGAAGACCTCGCAAAGATCGCTATATGTGGCAAAGGCAAACTGTACCTGTCCTTTTACCTGCCTATAGAATTGCACAAATTTGCATTTCATTTGGAGGGAGTTCAAAGGTGACGCAAGGTCGCTAGGTGCATCAAGTGGCTTGATTTCTACAATCAGTGTCAGAGTTCGGAGAAGATGCTCTCTCAGCTCGAAGAGGCAAAAGTCTGGTTTGCGTATATCCCCAGTGATAGCGTGATTGGCCCTCTTGATGCGATTCTTAAGTTGACCAGACTCTTCGTCAGAGTTGTCAGAGTCAGATGCATCATCTAGATTGTCGTCCAAAGATAAGTTCAGCATCCTCTCCATGATACCGCTGACATTGACATCCAGGCTACTGTCTGCAACTAAGGACTGATCAGTATAATATTGAATGCAGGACACTGACAGCCAAAGCCTACCATCGAAATTAGGTTCCATGCCAGAGCGCAAGACATCTCATTGGAGGCATAACTGTGGAGCAATTGTAAAGTATCTTGGATGCCTTTCAGTGTGGAAAAGCTGCTTTATGAGAACAAGAGCTTCGAGGTATAGTTCATAGTAAGGGTCCTCTTTGAGAGTCAAATGCTCTCTTTCGATGTGTTCTTGGACCCAATGAATAGCTTGGAATGCGCCTTCCAAGCTATACCTGATAAATTTCAATCTGAACCAGTCTTCAGCAGTGGTGGACATGAAGTGCGAGTGAAGTAGTCAGGGAGCGAAGGGGAAATGTTGAGGATCCAAGTCATCACAAGATGTGGCATTTATAGATTTTTATTTATCATCGGGTACAGTGGGACTCTTTTGGGCCAAATTTGTTCTGTGGTTGGTGAGTAGGCTGTACGTGCCGCGAGGTCAACAATCGAAACCATAGACAAAGATAGAAGTCTAACTACTAGCAACAATAGAACTCCAGAAAAGAAATCGATAAATATTGATTTCTTCATTGGATGCCTTTCCGTAGCCATTTAGAACACATTCTAAACAATAAACCAGTAGAAAAATGCCTCAGACGCTTGTTGGCCAAGGAGCCATCAAGTGGTACCACTAAGTCAGAATAGAGGAGAGGTTTCTAAACCTTGAATCTGGAAGGGGGGGTACCCCCCCTCTTCTAGTTGTAAACTGCAGTAAAAACTGGTAAAAATACAGCATTGTACTCTTCGCTGTCTCTTCATTGATCCTTGCAACTTGGCAGCTTGCTCGTGCTCCTTGTATGGTAAGACCAATTGCTGACACATTGCTTTACAACAATCAAAATCAGTCTACGATGCAGTCAAATTTTGATGCTGCGGGTTAGCAACTCCTGTAAACCCAAGGCAGTGGGCCCATTTAAGGTCCGCTTAATATCTAGAATTCACTCTAAATCCTACGGAAAGGCATCCATTGTCTAGCTTTATTTTCAGAGTGGTTTTTGATATTAGTGAGCCGGGCCAGGGAGCCACACTCAACTCAGTTTTGAACATTGAACGTTACAGCTAAATGCAGAATGATAGGCCCCTCCTCAACTTTTTCTGCACCTGTCGCTTAGTACGCGAATGTAGCTGTAGGGAGCCGAGCTGCGTAGACACCAGAGAACAATAGTAGTTCATTGTCACTGCCTTGTCACTCACTATCCAGCATGCTCGACGACATTCACTAGGGCTTTTCTCCTTTCTTTCTCACTCCCCAACTGTCTCGACTGTCTTCTGATGATGCGCCATCATATCCCTAAAGAATATAAGGAAATTGCCCTTAATATGGTCTTGGACCATGGGCTCTCATACGAAACTGTTTGCCATTTCACTGGTATTAGTGTACGTTCCCTCAAGCGACTCATGAAAACATACCGTGACACTGCTGAGGTCATCCGTGTTCCTGTCTGTGATGGATGGCCCCATATTCTCAACAGTCTTCAAGCCGCGGTAAGTACCATACTATCTCTCTACTCTTGTATCCATGCTCACAGTCTGCATAAAGTTTCTGGAAGGTTGCATCGAATGCCAGCCTGATATGCTTCTGTGGGAGCTGCAGGTTGAGTTATGGGAAGTCTGTCAGATACATGCATCATTAGACACGATTAGAAGAATGCTACGATGAAGAGGTTTTACATTGAAACAGGTGAGTTTCAACAGTTGTCGAAATATAACAAGCCTCATATTACCTCACGCCAGGTGACTCGTCCTGCAATAGAGCGGAATGAAGATGATCGCGCAGCATACAAGATGCTGATTGGTGAACATTTCTGACCTGAGCACCTTGTATTTGCCGACGAGAGCCATTTCAGCCAGCTCACTCTTCATCATCGATATGCATGGGCACCTCACAGAAATCGCACTCGTAGACGTGATTTCTTTGTTCGTGGCAAGAGGTAAGTGACATTTCTTATATGTTCAGCTTCATTGATGAATACTGATTTTCTAGGTATTCAATTCTTCCAGCGATATCGCTGAACGGTGTTGTACATCTTGATGTGCAAGACCACGCATTTACTGGTCCTGATTTTACAGATTTCGTTGAGGGTGTTTTAGATCAGATGCAACCATGGCCTTTACCGAAATCAGTACTGGTTATGGACAATGCAACCATCCACCATGTTCCTGGCCTACGTGAGATGGTAGAAGACAGGTGAGCTATGCTCTATGACCTGTACAAAATGTATCTTATCAATAACATTGTAGGGGAATGCAGCTCTTGTACCTCCCAACGTACTCCCCAGATCTGAACCCTATAGAGGAAGCATTTTCAGCTCTCAAGAGTTGGCTGCATTCAAATCGTGATTATGTCCAGGGAGAAATGGAAGGACCGCTGTGCGATCCTTATGCATTGATCTGGGAGGCCATTTATAATGCTATCACACCAGATAAGATTTACAGATGGTACTGCCATAGTGAATATATTGTATAGAATGTGAATCAAATCATGTAGCATGTATGATACAAGAAATACGAAGTGTTCAATCATGTATAGTCTGAGCCAGTTGTCGGGTGCATCAAAACCCTCAGGAAAAAGCTACCGACATGAACTGGACAACAATTCAAACTCACTCCTCATCGAGCTCGTCGTACTCATTGGAGCTGCTATCCTCATTCTCATAGTCAAATGTCACTTCCTCCCCATACTCAAGTTTACTATGAAGTGACTCAGTGTTGTCATCATCTTCGCCACTTGCAGAAGATGCGCTAGCTGGCTTCTCAGAGTGTGTGGCATTGGTCTGGGTTGGAGCGCTGGCAGATGATGTTGGAACTGGTAAAGAACTGGCCGTTCCATTGAACTGTGTGCCATAGGGACGCTGAAGACCAAAGAGAGGAGTGGCATGTTTTTCTGAGTAGGCAACCATTCGTTCAGCTCATTCGAGCCCAATCTGACCCACATCTGCAAGCATTTTGATAGGGATCATCATAACTGTGTCAGCATAGGTAATCCCCAGTCACTGCAGAGTTCCCTCGAAGCTTCAGAAGTTGTATCCAGGAAAGTCGATATCGAGGGACTCCAGTAAGAAGCTGATCGATGGAAAGACGATACCTGCAGCTTCAAGTGAGGCTCTAAATGTAGCATCGAGGTTCACAATCTGTGCGAGAGAGCGAACTTCGCATTCTGAGCCATCAGACTCAAGGTTCTGAGCATGAGATGATGACGCCATGGAGGAACCAGAATCATTGTGATAGCGGAAGTTTGAACCAGCAGTGTCGGTTGTTGCTTGCATGCTACCAGAACTGGCGGCATCACCAGAATGAGAGACATTTTCAATGGTGACATGAACATGTGGTATAGGAGCATCTTGAGAGTAGCAAGCCTTCTTTGCAGTTTTCTTGTCACGGTTATTTAGTATGCAGTGAGGGGGATCGTATACAGTGGCTTGGCCAAGTGTCTAGTGCAAGAAATGTTTGTTTAAGCCAGTAATTGTATAAATGGACCATTTACTTACTATCTTCTTTGTCCACAGGGTCATTTCATCATGAGCGAGGTGACAATGATTATCAATTCCACCTTTATGATCAATAAAGCAGTGTCCATGGTGTAGTTCACACCGGGTATGTTCTTCAAGACATTTATACATCTTCAACTGTGAGTTATCATCTTCTAATTCATCATCGTGTGGTGGTATGTCATCTTCACGTATGCATTTCCTTCCTCATGCAGCTGCACGCACTGGTGGTTTAGTCTAAAACACAGAGTTTATACCCACTATCCAGAAGATCCCTTTGAAAAAAGAACAACTTACAATATTCTGTACTTCCATATAGACTGCCTTTGTTCGGGCATTTTGAGCCCTACTGCAGAGTCGCTCCATTGCCGAAACAAACTCAGGTGCGTCATTCAGATGTGACGGCTTACCTGCATCACCTGAAACCTTATATGCTAATTGAATAGGCTTAGGTGTCCCGTCAAGGAGAGCAAGGCAGCGGTCCTTGAAGTCACCCCATAGAATGTCGGTATGAGCAGTGAATGAGTGTTTTGCATCACTGATGATAACATCAGTCTGAAAGCTGAAGACTACAAAAATAAGGTGAGCAGGGTTCAAATGTAAGTAATATAATATCAAGAATACACTGTACCTCCTTCTCTAGGCTCAGGGTTCGGATGTTGACGAGCTGCTTGAGCAGCAGGGGGTGCATGGTTTGGTGGTGGTAGCTGTTGTGGTGGCAGGATCATTGGAGGAGGCACATTCAGAATCCATGGCCCAGGAGGAGGTTGATGGTGAGGGGGTACATAGTGAGCCGGAGGATAAGGATAGGGATAAGGATATACAGGATACTGATGATTCAGGTATTGCTGTGCAGGTGGATAGAATGGCTGTGGTATGACTTGCTGAGGTTGTACTTGCACAGAGATAGGGCGGACTGGTTGAGGCCTTGGTGCATTGACCCTCTCAGCTTGTTCATTCCGTGGGTGAGCATGCAGACGTGATGCTGCATTTCGGTCATGCCGCTCGAAGTTTTCCATTGTATTGATGCTGGTGGAATTCTGTACACCCTCTCATACTCAATATACACTCATATACAGTGACTTACAAAACTCTTTCAATGTTTGTCAAAATTTGCTTTCATGGGCAATATCTTCTCACTGAGAATGAATATCAAAGTGCTGTTATATAGTATGAAAGGGTAGTGTCTTGGCTCCAATTATCACTCTGGGTCATGTGATGTGGTCCAGAATTGGCAGAGATACTTGAATTGCAAAGGGCACTACTCATTGAAAGGGTTTTGTTGCGCGCTGTTCTACCAAATGAAAACTTGAAATTTGAGTACTTATTAGAGTTTTGTCTTAGTTTAAATTAGTGTGTAGACCTACCAAGGGATGCTCCAAATTGAATAAGAACAAGTCTTCTTTGATACAACCTCTTTTTTCTTCTGCATTCTCTTCTATCACTTTGATATCTCTTTTAATAATATTCTCAGTTCTCCAAGCTTTCTTCCCAAATGGTTTCAAGAACTGTTAATAAGATTGATTTCAGAGGACTGAATTGAGTATAGAGAAACCTCAAACTTATAACTTTTCAGTCAGTTCTTAGCATTTTTTAGGATATTTGTTTTACTGAAAGTCAATACCCTTGAAATGTTTCTATAATATCTCAGATACTCTCAAAGTTTATCATTAAGTGCATGTGTGTATAGATTGACATTGACAATCTTTTCATGATTTATCATATATCTCACTTTCATTTATTGTCTACACCCCTATGCACACTCTTCAATTCTAGCTATACTTTGTAAGAACTCATTGTTTACATTGTTTATCTCCTTTTTTAATATTGACTTTCAATCTTTTAATCTCAGATAACTAATACTGATCTTATATATATGAAGAAACTATCTCTAGTAATTTTGGCTTCACTTCTGATACTTTATGACAGAGTTTAGCATATTCAGCATAGTATAGTTAGAATTGAAGAGTGTGTGTAGGGGTGTAGACAATAAATGAAAGTGAGATATATGATAAATCATGAAAAGATTGTCAATGTCAATCTATACACACATGCACTCAATGATAAACTTTGAGAGTATCTGAGATATTATAGAAACATTTCAAGAGTATTGACTTTCAGCAAAACAAATATCCCAAAAAATGCTAAGAACTAACTGAAAAGTTATGAGTTTGAGGTTTCTCTATACTCAATTCAGTCCTCTGAAATCAATCTCATTAACAGTTCTTGGAACCATTTGAGAAGAAAGCTTGAAGAACTGAGAATATTACCAAAAGAGATATCAAAGCGATAGAAGAGAATGCAGAAGAAATAAGAGGTTGTATCAAAGAAAGCTTGTTCTCATTCAATTTGGAGCATCCCTTGGTAGGTCTACACACTAATTTAAATCAAGAGATAACTCTAATAAGTACTCAAATTTCAAGTTTTTATTTGGTAGAATAGTGTGCAATAAAACTCTTTCAATGAGTAGTGCCCTTTGCAATTCAAGTATCTCTGCCAATTCTGGACCACATCACATGACCCAGAGTGATAATTGGAGCCAAGATACCACTCTTTCAGACTATATAATGGCACTTTGATATTCTTTCTCAGTGAGAAGATATTGCCCATGAAAGCAAATTTTGACAAACATTGAAAGAGTTTTGTGAGTCACTGTATATATTCACTTGGGTGTCTGAATATGAAATCCCAGCAGAACTTTTTGTCTTTTGTTAGGACAGTGTGCAAGACATTGTGACGGAAAATCTAAAAGGCCGCCACACCACTGGGACAGCAGACTTCTGACAGTATTGACTCTGATAGATTTGGAAAGCATAGCAACAGCCAGATGCTTACTTATAGATACACGTAGTACTGTAGCGGAAATATTTTGTAGTAGAGTCCAAGTCTGTCTCATAGTATGACACATACTACACTGCTGTTTCGATACAGAGACAAAGGAGTGGGTCACAGGGTGGTCACAGCAGGTCACAACTGCGGATGCAAGTCGGCTACGTTCGCGTACTAAGCGACAGGTGCGGAAAATTTCGAGGAGGGGCCTATCGTTCTGCGTTTAGCTGTAATGAACGTCTGAACTCTATACCCAGCGCTAGTTAATATTACGTAACTCGATGGTTCAAATACCAACTCTCGACGACCCGCAGAATTCAACGCCTTCCTCTCACCATCACATCTTCTTCACCAACTATTGCCATGACTACTTTGATTCTACCTCGTCCTTTCAGACTCAATGCGAGAGCAGTATGTTCCTTTTCTCTGGTATCCAAGTTAGTTATTGACGCCTTATACAGAGGATGGCCGATGCGAAACCACTGGCAGCTCCAGCTCTTGATGATTTACCACCCGTGCTCCATGGCCGCAAAAGAGGCCCTCGTCCTCCCATTCTCTCTTATGGCTTTCCTGTTGACGAACAAAAACTGAAAGACATGTGTGCTGAGCTCTTTGACTATTCCCCTACGTCCTATGGCGATGCCGAGATGTATGTCCCGGACGCTGCGATATGGATGACACTCGACCACATGGCCAACACATTCAATCACAAGATTACTTTTGATCTCATATTATTTGAGGAGAGATGTCAACTGATGATCGCTATCACCAACAACTATCGCATGCACCGTAAACGTGAAGAGATAGCACGGAAGGTGGCCGAATTTCTACAGCTCCCAGCGGACGAGAAGCCGCGGTGGTTCTTGAGTGAAGAGCGATGGTGGTGGGAAGGCTGCTAGTATCTAGGACCTATTGGACTGTTTGCTTGTATTTCTTTCTTTGTCGTAGTTATTTTTCCACCTACCAGGCAACTAGCCTGGTGCCGTCTTCTTTAGTATCCAGTTTACATTTGATACCCACTGGTACACCTTTGGAACTTGCAACCCCCAGCCGTTGGCGTCATGTGCTATAAGCTATTCCTGATATATCCACCCTCATCGTCTATTCACTCTCCCTTCCAGTAACGACGACCATTCTATGTCTTGGTGGCGAGTTTTTTTCATAAGCATGTTGTAGGTATGAACTCAGAACCCAATTTGGCAAAATCCTACATAGACGCCGGGCGTTGAGTAGCGAAATTGACCAAGTATACTCACAGTTCAAGGTTTGTAGCATAGAGTACTGTCACTACAAGCACGAAAATGTGAACATCGGAGCTTATCCGGTATCCAAAAGAGGAGTGAGTACAGCAGGATATGTCTATTATGCGGCGTACTCCTAACCACGATACCAGAGTAATGCCATCAGATGCGTTATAGGTGAGTAAGTAGTGCGTGAGTCATAAAAGGTCATTGGTATATTCCATACGAGTCCGATGCGAAAGCGAGATAAGCCAAAATTCGCGTGATAAAGGAAGTCGATGACAGCAGATAGTACAGTACGTATGGGCTCGAAGTTACTGAGCTAGAATTCCGGAGGGACGTCTTGCTCGCCTTGCAAGCGAAGGCAGTGGAGCGTCACCAAGATGGTCAAGGAAAGAGGGAGGGGTAATAGATGACCGTCATTAAGACGTGCGAGCGTATTTGCTTGAGTTTCGTATCCGCTCGCCGTACTTCCAGAATATCCATGGTCTGGAATTGAAACCATCAGCTCAAACTCGAACACACAAATTAAACCAGAACAATCACTTACGCAGGGCATCCAATGACGATCGATACAACAGCCAATATCGTGTTTCCTTTCCCATACCCAAGCGTGTTATACATCGATGGAGCAAACAAAGGGAAGCCGAACCCACACAGGGAGCGAAAGAATGCGACCGCGGCAAGGGCTGAGGCAGCGTGAAGGGTGAAAGCATCAATCACGTAAGTTTGTATTGATTGGAAGTTTAGGATCATGCCGGCGCCGACCAACGCGATACCCTGAGGACAGAGGATCAAATGCGAGTGTGAAACCGAGAAGTGTAGGAGACAAAGAGTGGCTACTTACGATATCAGTAGCAATCCAGTGTATGTCTGCGCGTGCAGTCCAACCTGATATGAACAATCCTATAGGCAACAAGATAGTGCCAGGAAGCATGGCAGCTATAAGCCGAAACAGAATGATGAGCATGGACAAACGTTCGACATTCTTGTTCGCTGGTCCAGGGCCACACGAACATTTCCCTATACCCCAATGACGAATAATCAGAATAAAAATACGCACGCAATCGGTACTCGGGCCTTCCTTTCCCTCCACTTCTCTTTGATAGGTGGATATATATCCTATCCATGAACCGGGCGTTCAATTGAGATGCGCCCGTGAGTCCAACTCCGAGTGCGATGTAATGTAGGCCAGCAATACCAACTGGTTGGTGGTATATACCTTGGAAAATCCCAGGTATCGATGTTAGGAATACTAGCATGGAGGGTGTAAGTAACGGATATATTCTTCTCCTGAAGGATGGTACGTACAATACAGCAAGCCATAGATGAAAGCCATGTATAATCCAAGAAGTTGTATGATGGGTTCACGAGCAAAGAGCGCAAATGGTCGCACAAGAGCCTTTGCAACAATATGTCTCCAACTATTTTTATTTAAATGAGATTGAAACCGAAAGTAGGACCGAGAGAATATTCAAGAACTTACTGTCGGTCTGCTCCGTCGTATACGGTACGAACTTCTCGTACATCGGTTTTCTCAGGATCCATGCTCTTCCTTATCTGAACGGCCTTCCGTTCGAGAAGAACGGGTGCGTATGCTAGAGGAACAAAGTGAAGTACGAACGAAGACGGAAATAACAAAGGAGTGACGCACTTTCTTTGAGGAAGATCAATCCGAGTCCTTGGATGGCGGCATCTACTATAGTCGTCGACCAGAACTGTAATTGAAACATTCAATGACTAGAAGACGCACAGGAGAAGTAAAAAACATACCACCCATCGCCAAGTAGACTTCTCGCCAATCCATGCACCAGCAATAGGACCCACTACAGGACCGAGAAGAGGTGCGAGAGAGTAAAGGGCGATAGCCTGTCCTCGCTCTTCTGTTTTCCAACAGTCACCTAAAACACCACCACCGATCTGAATGTATCTGCAGATATGGTTATGTGGTCTGAAAATGTCGGCGTTATGACTCACGGATAATGGTGCACTGCCGCCAAGTCCAGCGAGAAACCGGAAGGCAATGAGTTGACCCGTGTTCTGAGCGAACCCGCATCCTAGATTCCATGCTGTCGAAGGATGAGTATGAGCACGGGCATATAATTTTGATTAAAACAGCTTGCCTAGATACCATAAATTTGAGAGTTGTAGTACTCGTGAGCGTCCATAGATTTCACTAAGCGGGCCCAAGAACAAGGGTCCAAAAGCTGGGTGATATCAGAAACCTGGATACAACGATATTTAAAGAACCTACCATACGCAAGAACAAATACAGATATAGTCAAGGCCTCTGTAACAGTACTATGAATTCCAAACTCTTCTGTGACTTGCCCGGAAGCTGGGGCTACCATAGAAGAGGAAACGGGAGTGATGAACGTAAAGGCAGACACGATAGCGGTCGCCGCCCATTTCTTCTTGTACGTCCAACTGAAAGCATCGCGTGTGAGTACTTGATATAATAATTGATGATTGAATGACGAACTTACTTCTTTGGATTTTGCGGGTCATTCGGGCCTTCCCAGTCCACTACGAGGACATCAACATCTTGTCCTGCGGGTTCTTCGCTTGTGCGCACAATGTCGTCTGATTTGGCCTTCGAGTTGGGATCCTTCTCACTCCTTTCCTGCAGAGGTATATCTGTAGTATCATCCCCATGTAATGTGGACCTCGAGGCGTCTCGTTCCATTGACATACGGCTCGAATACTCCGCGGTACTACTTTCCCCGATCATAAGAGTGGTAAGCTTTTAGGAGGATACTTCCTACGACTATCGTGCTGGGAGATAGCGAACAAGTAGCCTGAGGAGCAACATGACCAGTGTATATATTGCTTTCTCCCAGCTGCATGGATTTGTGCTCTCAATTTCGTCAGCTATATGCCTTTCCTACGATGCCGACGGCGCCGACTAAGATGGCTGCACGCTCATTGGTCGAGGCAGTCGGCCGACGACGCATCCTATTTTTACTTTTTCGGATATAGGATTTGTCTGATTCAGTGTCCTGGTAGGTGTAGTTATTCCGTTTCCGGGTTGATCGGAAGGAATAACTAAAGCAGTGTGCAGCGTTCAGCTTATAGTCATTCGTCTGCGCACATGTATGCCCTTTCATACGAACAAAAACCTGATTGTATTGTACATTCTGCAATGTTCCAAAACTCATTCAATAGCTTCTCCGGCCCGGGTGGTCTACCCCGGTATATATGTAGGCGATACCAATCAGCGGACGCCGGTGTCCTGCTAAAGCCTGCATTCTTCCTTCATACAGCTGCGAAGTCAGATTAGTTACCACCAAAAAAATCGTGAACCTCGTAAATGAAGATTTTGCGATGGAGAAGACTTCACTTTGATCTTGAGCTGCTGTTGATTAGTCGAGATCCAGTTTCTCAGGCGCTACGTATGCAAGTGTACTAGTCTTCGGTACGCAGACCAATGACGGGTCTACTAAGGGAGGGAGGGACGACCCGTCAAGTGTACCAATATCGGACTCAGCTGTAGAAGTCGATTAGCTGGTATTCATAATGCGCCGAAGCACCGATAACTCCCACAAAGCGCAACACATTTGAATAGTACTCGAAGACAACAGGTATTCCTACCTCCTTCGTGTATCGCCATAATTAAGAGAATCGAGGACACCACGACACAAGACATTCAGTTCGTTCAGGCATCAGGAGTCCTGATGATCCCATCATCATACTTTGTAACGATTCTCATAGAAGAGTCATTCAAGGTCTCCCAAGGCTCTTTAGCTGGGATCGCTAAGCGTAACCTGCAGTATTTGCCCTTCTGAAATACACAGTTTCCAGAAGATCGTTTGTCCAAATTGGTCAAGTTCACGCTGGCTTGAGTGTGTAGATAAGGCCTGCTCGAGGCTGCTCGAGGCCTGATCCCTGAGTTGGAGACACGTTGTAGATGTTAGGAAGATTCCTCAGCTAGTCATGTGTATGACCAACTGAATGGCGCGCCTAGTATGCAGTGGGTTCGTTCTCAAATTGATGGATCGTGAGCGATGTAGCGAGGATGAGATTCGGGGGTGATGAATGTGAGCTAAATCAGGCTAAATCGCGACCTGCTAAACCTTCCATGGCGATGAATCCGAACAACATGTTCTCACCAAGACTTTCAAAACCTCTCACCATGTTTATGTCTGCTGGGTGGATTGCTCACATTACATTCCGAAGGCAAACACGTCGATGGCAGCTGGAGGGAAGCACCGGAGGATGTGAAAAGAATATGGATATGGCATAGCACCGTGTTATCTGAATGATCATCAACAGACGAGTTGAGCAAACCTTCCACTATCCTCTCGATATCGCGTATGAATAGCTGGGTAATGTTGGAAGTGACCATGACATCGACCAGTTTAGTGTTACTGACCTATATTACGACATACATAACGCCACACACTGCCTAGCTGTCCTAAACGGCATGGTCCATTCCACGATTTGGTCTGCAATGTAGCATTGCAAGCATGGATGTTCATGACATGGCGATGCGATAGTATGCATAGAGCTATACGAGCAAGAGGTCATACGAAGGTAACAGGATTTTCGAAGGAACGGGAACCGAAAAGCCACCTACATGGCTTCCCTGCAGAACGCCTGATATGTCCAGGTGACCTGCAGGATGTATGTAATTTTGACGTTCCATGGCACCGTCTCGCCAATGTATGTTACCAGCAATCGAACCGGGGAAAGGGTCGGTAGGCAGAACCTACGACGCTGACGGCGGGGTACAACAAGAAAAGGTCGACGTACGTCGCTCTCAAACACCCTGTCCGGGAGAACACAACCTACGACGGATGTCTTTGTGAGACAGTGCAAAAACCCGTGGCGCTAGGTGCTCTCGGACCGTTTGCGTTCGCCCCTATGCATGAAGTCCCAGCATGCCTTGCCAGGTTCGACGCCCAATATTTCTTGAACGGCCGGGAGGTCCAATTCGCAAAGTTCTCGTACGCTTCGGACCTTATTCATGACATGTTTTACATTCTTGGCGGTGATTCCGGGCAGAGCACGCAGTAGCTCCTCTGCCGCTGTGTTGATCCCTGCGCCTGCCTCTGGATCCTCTTCTGCGCCAACCACTATAGCCTTCATCGGATCTGGTTCCGGTTGTATGGCCTTGAGATCGTTAAAGATCTCGGCGGTGGCGTACGGGGACGACGACCAGATGATCCTCACCCGAGGGAAAGTCAGAGTCAGCAAAACCAGCTTCGATTGAATCATCGGTGACGAGACATTGGTATCCGAGGGAGCTGGTTGCTTCTTCTTGGGTGGATACTTGCTCGATGCCTTCGCGAATGATTTGACTTCGGCCACAGTCTGCCGGAGGACATTTCAAAATAGGAGCACACAGGAGTCGAACTGTACACTTACGTCCAGTGAAAACGACTTGTGTTCCTCCCACTCGATCAGTAAGATGGGCTGCTTGTAGTGAGCAGACATAAGCTCGCATTGCGTGTACCTGTTTTAAGTGTAAACACTTAGCAAACGTATTGCTTCGAATTACGTACAGTCGCCCGCTATTGAAACTGGAGACCAGATCCGGAATGCTTTTGCGCTCTACACAGATGTCAGGCGTAAGAATGTAGTCACCCACTGTCAGCGTGACGGGGATGACGAGGAGGTTCGATGCATGAAGCAATGAGGGTAACGATGACCTAAACTCTCGCATGTCGACAATGACCTGTCTCTTATTTAGTACGCCACACTAGGATATTATCAAGCTGCTTTACCTTGGCTGGCTCCATCGTGACGTCTTTCCTGCCACCTGCTATCCTTGAGCTCACGACCTTCATCAGGGACTCAGTATCCCCTGATCGCCGCTGTTCCAGGATCGGATTGAGCATGGACTAGATGAATTCAGTCAGCATCGCCATATCCATGAGGCGTCCACGTAATAATAGACGCACTCCACGCTCTTTGATCAATCGTTCGAACGATTCCTTCTCCCTTCTCACACCAGCCAAATACTTAGCCTCCTCGCAGCTATTATTGTATATCAAGAGGTAGATCCGAACGGCCAGTCCCGGGTTGGCTTTCTTGTAAACCTTGATGCATAGGAATGTCAGATAAAGCGATGAGAAGCGATGATTCTCTCCTACCTCGATGCGACGCACGAAGTCCAGATTCGGCTCAAACATGATGATGTATCGGGGTTGGATTTCCGCAAGCAATTGTTCGTCGGTGTCGTCGGAAAAGGCTCGCACGAGTACGGTCTGCTCGGGTGCGACCAAGCCATAATGCATATCGAATTCAGGTCCGAAGTCAATCTGAGTGAGATCGATTTCCGATATCCCCATTAAAGGGTTTTCATTTTGACCGACAATGCTACAAGGCAGATGTAAGACCGCGAATGCAGGGAAACATTTTGGTGTATAACGTACAACTTTGCAATAGCGGCGGTGTCATCAACAGGCTGTCCAAATGTTCCATTCGAAGGTCCAGAAGCAGTCGAACTAAGTTCGCCTTCCCTTGATGATGACGCTGCTGGACCTCCTCCCCGAACACGCCTCCGACTGGCTGCTCTTGCTTGTCTCTCCCTGTCCTTCTTCTTCAACGCCTCGCTAACTTCCGCATCTCCAGCGCCACGCTCAGTTGGATTCTTTTGTCCAGTCGGGAGTGCAAACCCAGTCTTTCCTTCCTGCTTACGTTGGGCAAGTTTACCCTTCCACCAGAGGTAGAGTCGCAGTTTGTCCTCCATCATCCTGCAGCCCTGAGATCCAGGCGGCGCATCGGGATCCATGGTCGAAAGGAATTCTGTAAGTAATTGGCAAGTACGGACTGACGACGTCATGATAAGCACGGTGTCAGTTCCAGGGTCATCTAACAGAAGTGTTAAAATCTGTATTTAAACATTTTTGCCGTCAACCTACGAAAAGTCACTTGTGTGGAGCGGCGAATCATTTCTTCTTCAATCTCTTGCAAGGCAGCGCCAACGAGGGTCCACTTCGGGAGCTCCTCAAGGACCGGCTCCATGCCATCTGGCAACCACCTTGGCCGGCGGTTGGACGTGGAAGCCTCAGACGTTAGATTCTTGGCACGTCCCTCAAGTTCGTTCAACACATCCCAATCCTGGTCATCGTCTGCGTCCGAGACTTTCTTTTCAGTCGGAGCGCTCATTGTATAACATCTTCGCTTTGCAAACGTGAAAATGATATTGGCCGCGTCTGTGAGCATCCATGGAGACTGGTTTTGTCTAGTGTTACCAGCCTCGTTCACGGTATTTGACTCGATAAGCGTCTCCAAATACGCGTGGAAAGAGAGAGCGTCGTATGTCAACAGGTATCTGTATTCGACGGGACCCCAAAGATGAGATTGCGTGAGAGAAGAATAGAGAACACACGTACATCAGCAGACGTCGGAGGGTCGCAAGGTCACTCACGAGTTGCTTTGTCTTGGGGCCAACCTTGTGCCACACTGGATCAAGCTGACGCCGAACCAACACGTCGAACGATCTGAAGTACGCGTTATCGACGTTGAGATCATCCAGGTCCATCTGTGTTACATTCACTCGCATGAGCATGGGAAAACAAATAAATGTGCACAGTACGTACATTGGTGTTGGAACGCTTTAGTTCCGATAAAGTTGTACTCATGCACTGCACGATGGCACCATGTATCTCCTGCATGTATTCAGTCATGCCTATAGTCAGTTGCAACACCGACCGGTCTCGACCGAGACATTCGATAATTTCTTGATGGAATCTGTTGAGACGAAAAGCGTGTAGTCAAACTAACCCGCCCTAAAGCCGTTTGTGGCATACCGAGGGTATATGTAAACCTTGCGCAGTTGGAGCTCCTTCATGATGGTACGCAATGGAGACATGCCACTGGTAATATGCTCAGGCTGATCCGAGAAAGCCTTCAGAAAGGCGTTCTGGTTCTTCTCCCGGTAGAGACGAACGATAAATGCCGACGACGACGTCGGAGTAGCCCTGCAACATGTTCGAGCCATGCCATGGGGAAGAAAGAAGGAAACCTACCGCTCTGCGTGTAGCATGATAATACCAGTGATGAGATTGGTGGGGATATCCGAGGTCAGCATATCTACGGTCAGGATTTGCGACGTTACTGACAGGAGACCCCCTTTCTTGTACAGGTCCTGTCTAAGGGACTCGTGAAGCGAAGGGTGACAACGACAGAACATTCACCGACCTTTCTTTCCTTCCAGTCTCGAAACCGACGATCCGAAGCCCAGGGTTTCTGCACCCCATAAGTCCAAGTTCTTCGCCAATGGCCGATTCCTCCTCTGGAGAAGCGTTCACGAGTATGACAAGACTTTGAGGCGAGTCGTAGATCTGGAGGAGTTTACAGACTATCCGACGCAAGCCGAGACCGCGGGCGATAAGTAACAGCTCGCTTGTAGATGGGTCATGCATCTTCTCCAGAATCTCCTTGTGGAAGCATAGTAATGCCGTCATCTTGCCCCTTTTTCCTGGCCAAGTTGACCTGCAAGACTACGATGGAAAAAAGTTGACCACGATACGTCCAACCTCGAAAATTAACAAGTTGTGCCGTGAGATTTCTCCGCCCTCAAGGATCGGAGCTTCCTGTGGAAAGTTCAACGGAGTCTAATGATTGCTTGCGCCAGGACAACTAGCATGAGACTTGCGCCGCAAAACACCGAGAATAGCTGGTTTTCGAAGCCTCGGTGAGTTTAGAATTGATTCAGAGCTACACGATACAGAGGGATACTGGGGACCTTCAAAGCTTCATGAAGGTATGAGTTCATGAACATGCAGTGCGGCGAAGGCAAGTTCCGCGTCGGCAATCAACATCATACCCAACTTGGAAAGTGTAATACTTCATGTAATCAAGCTTCATCAACTTTCCAGAATCCTTCAAAACTTGATGTTTGATCCAGGGACGAAATACATTCTCAAAAAATGTCGTCGTAGTTCGTGTGACTTGCATGCCCCAAAAGTCGTTATGAATTCGCTTCGCTGGTATGCTGTGAAAGGGCGGAGACGTCCATATGGAGGTGATTCAGCCATCTGCTGCTCCTACGTAAAGAAACAAGACAAACGGCGAATGAACGAGATACAGGGTTCACTTGTTCATTGTGCTCAGAACCATCAGGAAAGCGACTAGGTCAAAAACAGGTTCATGCTTCTCAGGACATTCTTTCTACATGTCGAGAACATGTTCCTGTTTGGTACCCTTCGGCTCGATCGAAAGCGCAGCACATAGAGTCGGAATGCAACATCTACAGCTAGAAGGACGTCGGAGACAGATCCGAATAACTCGGCTCTGCGGCCAGCGTTCTATAGAACCTGCATTTTCACCTCGAAGCCAGTCGGTGAATGAGTGAAATGGTAGTGCTTCGAGTTGTGTGAGGCATTACATTAAACGACTCGGAGATTTGGAATTCATGCACATGGAATTGACGTTGTGACTGTTCATTAATTAATGACACCAAGGTGGGAGACTAGATGAATCTCCCATGACATACTATTACATGTAATGTATGGAATCTGAGATGTGAGACGGATAACCAAACGGCCTTGATCTCCCGGTAGTTAAAATTTACTGAATTTTGTAACTTACGTGCGAGAGACTGGTGCGCGTGCCGAACAGGGTTGCGTTCGGCGACCACATGAATGGAAATCCCGAATTTCATAGACGAAAGTCAGACACTGGATGAACGCTAGCCAATGAAGGAAAACGGGTTTCAAAATGTAGACCTATGAGCGTATCGCTTTCCATTGCGTCGAAGAACCTTCACACGCGAGGAAAGCGTGGTGATCATGGAGTGTATGAGAACACGAGAACCTGGAGGAATGTCTTTGCCAGGACGGTGTTCTCCGGAGAAGCCAAATTAATGTATTTCTGATCTGCAAACAACCACCGAAAAATCACAGTTGCATGGAAGTGGAAGCGTGGGTGTTCATCCCATACGAGGATAGCGTCGTCGAACAGACGCAGAAAGAAAAACTTACCATCGGAAATTAAGGAGAGCAGCAGCACATTATCGCGTGAAGAGAAAACGGATGTTGCCACAATCGTTCCTTGAACCGTTACAAGGACACGGCAGCTGGTGTGCGCCTTGCGGGAAAGAAGAGAGAGTAGCGTCGGAACCTGCCGATAAGCTATGATATCAGAAAAGACAGAGGGTCCATGTTTATGTCTTTCAGGCCCCGCGCTAATATTGCGAACAACGTGAGTGAAAGAGACATGTAGCTACGCCCTTTCCTCACATACCATTCCTTGTCTTCTCTGACGTGTACAACAAGTGAAGCTGGGTGATGTGAGATGCTGCTAGAACCCTACTATACCGCCACAAGTGTTAATCAGAGAAATTTCGGCATCTCGAGACTGGACTCCCACCCAAGAGTGGATAGATCATTATGATATGTCTCGCCCCGTCCAGCTTGTGGACTTTGAAAGGCAGTTACATGGTGAAACGAGCAGCACAGGAACGGCGTGCCCAAGGGGAAGGAAAATGGAATGAAGCATCGAAGACATATGGGAACGGAACTTGCCGGTTCGTCAAAGCCTTCCATCACACGACCTACGGCCTGAGCCGAAACGATCTCTCCTTCCCCTTGCTTATACCACCTTCGTCAGTTAAATAAAAAATGGACAGCTTTACCCCTCTTAGGAGTTCCCCCCCACTTGATCCATACGTTCCTATCACATTCCCTCACCATGGCCTCGTACGTTCCCAAAATTGCTTATCTTCTCCAGGCCGAAACTCACCATTGGAGGATCAGCGAGCCCGATGTCTATGTGAGTAGCAGTTATACACATTCATCATTTCGCTGCTCACGTATCCGTGGTCACTCCCAGTTCGACTTAACCGTTGACGGTGTCCCGGCAGGGCGCATAGTGTTCAGGCTGTTCGACTCTGTGGTCCCCAGAACAGCACGGAACTTTCGGGAGCTCGCCACAGGACAACACGGTTTTGGTTACCTCCATACCATCTTTCATCGTGTCAGCCCCGATGTCAGTTTCATCCTGGAGCTACCTCAGGTTGAACGTAGTTGACGACGTCATGCAGTTCATGATCCAGGGCGGTGAGATCCCCGCAAGAGGCGACGGTTCAGGCGGCAAGTCGATTTATGGTCCTACCTTTGCAGGTATCCTCAGGCACTTAAATCCTTTTCGTGACATCATGTTCTGAAGCTGTGCCCCCGACATAGATGAGAACTTTCGCCTTAATCACGACCGTCCGGGACTCTTATCGATGGCGAATCGCGGACCCAATACGAATTCCTCACAGGTTTGCCATGCTCGCACTCGATGAATGTTCTGCTTTGACACTGTTTTAGTTTTTTATTACAACGACGGCTGCTCCATGGTGCGACCGCAAGAATGTTGTGTTCGGTGAGTTATCGCATCATGAACCTGCCGCCGGCCTTTTTCCGAGAGCTGACGAGACTGAATGGGTGATCTTCTTTCTTCACAGGGGAAGTGATCGAAGGCATGGACCTCGTTCTTCGGATCCAGGGCTACACTTCAGATCATATCTTGCGACGCCCTTCTGCCGACATCGTCGTAACCAGATGTGGCATTATTCCTTAAGGTGGCAAAATAAAGCCATGGTCCGCCGGTGCCCTCTAGTCGGTGCTTGCATGTCCCCGCCTCATGTTATCTATTGGTTCTTGCTATGTGACACTTGACGATATGTATCCGTAGTAAGCTTATGATATCCCTAATTCACGAGTTACTTATCGCTTGTAGTTATCTGCGGCTGGATTTTCGTAGGATAGAACATATATTACATTTTATTCATTTCTAGCAAGGCACGTTGAGCAGCTGGACGTCGTTGACGACCGTACGTAAGTGACCAGGGACCAGTTCGGCTTTCAGCGGCCCGGGGCCCCGGGGGATTGGGAACTTTAGCCGCTGAAGTACATTAATGGCTTGCTCTGCTACGACGACGACACCTCTTCCAGTGACATTACAATTCTCGGTATAGGTCTCTTTCGCAATGGGAAAGCTGAACATTGCACATCACAAGTCATACCATCCTTACCGTAGGGACAACATCGAACGTGTTCGTCGAGATGAAGAAGAAGCGAAACAGAAAGAGGCTGTGGAAGAGGGCAGGATGATGCTTGCCGTACGTACTTTTATCATTTGCTTGCAGGCATGCCCTTACCTAGATGCAGGACTCTGAAGCTCGGATAGACCTCTTGAGGCAGCGAGCTGGTCTTGGGAGGGCACAGTCGAGTCGTGAGGAGTTGGAGGTTGCGGTGATAGCTCCTGAAGCGGGACCCTCGACGCTCACAACAGCAAGTGGGCACATCAACCTATTTGAAGATCTGGAACGTGTATGTGATTCAAATATTGCCTTTGACTGAATGCTGACAGCTCTCGTCTGCTAGCAATCATTGCCATTAGCCATCCGCACATCCATGAAGAAATCATCAGAACCAACTGATAAAGGTGTGCCGTTGGCGCCCTCAGAGAAAGACTTGAAACCGTGGTATTCGGACAAGGACCACGAGCGGAATCGAGACCTCGAGGATGATCGAAAGTACGTTTCAGCTCTCCCTGTGGCGGTTTCAATTGAAACTTTAACATATAACATATTAGACTACGGGATCTAAAGCGCAAATCTGTTCACGATCCTTTAACATCGATTCAATCTCAGCTAGGTTCCCGGTCTACTCGAGAGGAAACCGTTGACGTCCGTAGATCGCGAGCGCCACCACGGAGGCCTCCAAGTCCTCGACCCAACGCCGATTCCCGCCCGCCCGAAGTCGCAGAAAGAGTCAATCGTGAATCTTCTGAACGTGAGCGAGCACTGGAGCTCATTCGTCGCAAGAAACGCGAAATGGCTGGGAGCGAAACTCCAAGTACAGTTTATGGAGGTATGGAAGGCGGATACCGCGACGTATTTAATCGCATGGATGTGGAAGCAGCTCACCGTACTCGAGATCGACGTTGGGATGGGGGAGACGACCGTAACTGTAGACGAGGGTCTAGTGGTAGATGGTGAGTCGCGGGTATCAGCGTGTTGATTGTGGCTTGACTGTGTACACTGAGTAGATATTTTCCTATGACCTTCATGTCGAATCCGAGGATACGGAGCGTGATGCCGTCTTCAGCGTGTCGCACATCTGGTTAGTCGCTCCATAAGCTTCTGTCATGCCACGCCCAACCTATACCCGCCAGGTTCGGTTCAAATTTAGCTCGTCGGGCTCACCGTGAGGAGTGCTAACACCGTAGAGTTGCCTTTATCTCCCTTTGGCTCGATCAGGCCGCGCTACGGAGTGGTGATTGGGGCGTGTAAGATGAGTGCTGACCCGAACGTTCAAAGCCGGTTCAGCATTTTCCATGTTTGCGACCGTTGAACGAAACACTCACTAGTCACTACTCATCGACGTCATCGGTGCTACCGGTTGGCCGCGGACAGGTTCAGTTGTGACAGGTGCTGACACCCGTCTATAGGTTCCTGGTCATTGAATAGTTTTATATGAACGTCTTTGGTGTCCCACGTTCAGTTAGCTTTCACCGCGGAGATCAATCTCCCCAAAGGAGGTACTCAGGGAAGATTCAGTGGTGCGCGTTTGAGCTTGTTTGATAGTTCTTCACATCTGCTGACTCCGCTTTCCCTAGTCCGCGACTTTCCGATGGTCGTTGGGTATCATCTGATTAGTGGAAATATCCTTGCGACGGTGTCTTCCTCAAAGGTTCATACCTGATTTGTCAATCCTCGAGACTCAACTGACAGCTACCCTCCAGAAGTCACTCTGTACATGGTGCCGCTTAGTTGAGCAGTTGAAAGTCATTCCCGCGGTGGACCCTTGCCGGTGAGTTCTCCCGGCTCGATGACATAGACAATGTCATCAGAGGACGCATGGTATTGCCATTGCATCCCAGTCTGTGACCTTGATAGCTTATGGAGCAATATCAACGGTTCGCGGCAGAAGCTGAAGAATGATGAATGCATGCTATCTTGAAGCGAATAAGGCTCCCAAAAACACCAGCTGTTCTCTCGGTGCCGGTATTCGTCTCACCGTGCTGCGCTACTACACCACAGCAAACCTGAGCAGCGACCAAAACATGCAATAATTCCACGATCATGTACGGATGTTCAAATTCAAGGCACACTCCATATGATGGCCCATCTTTCGGTTGAGCTTATTTGACCAAAGGCTCAGGCTAGCCACAGCCTCTCCTCGGATTTCACACACCGTAGTGCAGTAGTGCGGTATAAAAGCAGGTCGTTCATGGGGTGGACAAGGTCAGTAGCCAGTGTTAGAGTTATTTCGTCTATCTTGACTCATGTCTACCATCTTCGTAGGGTTTCTCTCGACGCTGGCCCTAGGCACCACAACTCGACCTTGTCTGCTTTTCTTGCACTATGTGCTTGAAGGTGGCCTCCGAGTCGTGGCGGCCGCAAGGATCAGTGTCGACGGATGCTTTGCGTTGGTGAGTAGGTTGTTGAGATTATCTCTATCTTTGATGTTCTGATGGTGTTTTTTCCTGCGAGCAGAACACATCTCTCGACTCTCATGTACTGCCGAGTTTTATTGCATTTCGGACTTGTTCTTTAAAGTTACTCGCGAGCACCTCTCATACTCAATTCAAGGCTGTCTAGGACGTCGTCGCTGTATCACTGCCTTTCTATTTTTGGTTTACTGAGCTTAGGCTGTGGATTGGCAATACGATATTGGCAGATTGACGCACGATTTCACCTACAGCATAGGTTGCGGGTCGAAATATATCCATCTGCCAATACTTACCCAAAGTCTCAATCGTTCTCTTCACTAATATCGGTAAACCCACTGGTGAAGCACTAATGTACAACTTGCTCAGCCATGATCAGGCGTGCCGTCCGGATTTGAGACCGCCAGTGCTACACTTGTGTGTCTGAACCGCCTGCATCCGGTCCAAGCCGCTGCATAATAACGCGTGGAGTCGTTGGAATGAGGGATCGGGTTGAAGTGGGGCTTGGCTTCACCATCGCATCAACAACAACTTCGACAAGCAAGGCTCATTATGCGGGAACTTGACTCTTGCGCGCCCTGCAGCGCATCATCCTCCGATACCGCCGGGATAGTGGGTTGCACGGTGAGTTATTATAACCTGACTAGAGGCATAAGGACCGCCTTGACCGGAGGAACTCGTAAACGTGGGCATCGTCAATGATCGTTCATCCATACGGACTCAGACTTTGTGACAGGCGTAATCGTTGTCGAGGTTTGACCTGTATGTGTTCAACGCCGGGCTAATTATATGCACTCCGCATTTATCTTCGTTATTTTTAGGGATAACGCTTTGCAGCCACCATGCTGGTACCCGAAATTGAAGGACGCTGGACGGATTCGAGATGGTGGCGCCTTCGGCGTGATCACACGAGCCCCACATCTCGAGTACTGTACTATTAATTCGCTAGAAATGCTGGTCACGCTCATGAAGTATAAGTTAAGACCAACAGCTACGTAGGGCAACTGTCATTATTGTCAGTGACAGATGCCACTGCAAGTCGAGCAACCGAAAACGCTATCCTTATCATCTTATCAAGGACGCTGAAGGAGTAATGTGCACAGCCACGGCGCCGACCAAATGAAGGTGAACGCCGCAAAAAGAACCGAGAGATAAGCGCTTTCGATCCTCGAGGACATTTACTCACCATCTCGGTCGATAGTTTGAACCCAAGGTCGCTTGGCGGACACCAGAAGATACGACGAGCTTTTCTAGCGGACGAAAGGTGTTTTTTACACTATGTCAGACGTGATTGGACGCGAGCGGTCGCCGGGCGGTGTTCAGTCGAACCCTGTTTTTGTGCCGTCGCTCGTCAGACTGGACTGCGATTGCTTGGTTCCCGGGACGCTGACGGAGAAAATCGGTCGAAGCTGATCTTCAAATGGCGCAAGGCAGCACAGGTGTCAAAACTGTGGAAGAAACGCGGCTGACAGGGCGTGCTAACATGCCGCAGATCTGGATTAGGCGAGGGATAGCCCTTAAAACCTAGAGCGGCTGGCCTACCTTCCCTCAAGTTGTCCTCTCCAGTCAGGCTCACTGTAGAGCTCCAACGCTTTCCCTCCTACCGCCATGACTCTCGCGACGCCCCTTGCTCTTTTCTGTCAGGTTTTCTTGTTTGCAGCTCTTTATGTCTCTTCTTCCTATGCACAAGAACATCTAGTCTTCGCTCACCACGTTGTTGGCTTCACATTTAACTATACCGTCGACGATTGGACAAATGGTGCGTCTTGCTCCCACGCTCATCTTACTCTTCATTCAACTCTCCTCTTCAGATATCCAACTCGCTCAGTCGAAAGGTATCGACGGCTTCGCCCTCAACGCTGGCCATGAAACCTGGCAACCCGGCCAGATCTCCAACGCCTATACCGCAGCACTGAACTTCACCGATTTCAAGCTGTTCCTGTCCTTCGACATGTCATCATTCCCTTGTCAAAATGTCAGTGACGGAGACCCGTTGCGACAGATGATCAATGGTTACGCTCAGCATCCCAATCAAGTGCAAGTTGACGGCAAGATGTTGATTTCCACATTCGTCGGTGACAACTGCACATTTGGCGCCCAATCTGTCGACCAAGGTTGGCTCAACACTGTCAAGAGCAATGTGTCCGCGACATACTTCATTCCCAACTTCAACGCACCGCCGGAAACTATGGGAACGTTCACCTCGATAGATGGTATCTTCAACGTGAGTTGTTGCTTTGCTTTTACTGTGTCCGACATACCCATCATTGATCCACAGTGGAACGCCGCATGGCCGGAAAGCGCTTCTTCTGCTGCGACCGACGTTACCCTGTTCTCAGCAACCAACACGAACATTACCTTTGACCCAGATCAAAGGTACATCGACCGCCTGGGCGAGCGGCGATATATGGCCGGTGTCTCGCCCTGGTTCTTCACCGTAGGTATTTTCCGCTTGTTATCTCTTGCGGACTTTGCTTAGGTATCAACGTCTGTTTTTAGCACTACGGACCGCCTCTGAACAAAAACTGGATTTACCGCGCCGATGAATGGCTTTTAATCCAGAGATGGCAGATGCTTGTGGAAAACCGAGACAAGATTGCGTTCGCTCAGATTATCTCGTGGAACGACTACTCTGAGTCGCATTACGTCGGCCCATATGAGGGTACGCCGCCCGATGGTACCAACTGGGTACAAGGCTTTGATCATACTCGTATGTCAATCATTGATGTTGAATTGTCCATCACAGTGCTAACTTGATGGTTCCTCAGCCTGGCTCGATCTGATGCAATATTACATTACCGCGTACAAGACCGGTTCATACCCGGACGTCACTGATGACCGTATCTTCCTCTGGGGTCGTCTGTATCCTGCCAACATGACTCTCGACGACCCTATCGGTATTCCTGATAACTGGCAATGGGTATGTAACAGTTCATCATTCCCGCTGGAGCTTGTCACTAAGCGTTTGAATTCATCAGGCGTCAGACAAGGCGTGGGGTGTTGCATTGCTCGGGCAACCCGGTACTCTTCATCTGACGTGCGGCACTGACACGACATCAATACCCGTGAATGAAGGTCAAAATCTCGTTCAGCTGTCATTGTCGCAGTCATGTGGTGTAACGTCTGAACTCACGCGTGGAAAGAAGAACGTCAAGGTGATGGACTACACACCTCTCGGCTTCAACTTCAGCACAAACCCGCCACCCCAATATAACTTCAACGCTTTCGTCGCTGCTTCTCCTGCAGGGGCTGGAGTCACTTCAAGCGCAATCCTCTCGAGCACAATATCCTCATGGCGGATGCTTCTCGCAGTTTGTTTTGTGGTCTCTGTTTTCCTTTCATGATAGATTCTCTTTCTCTCTCTTTGTTACTTATCTCCTATACCTGACTGGAAAACACCATGGACTTGATCCCCTTCGAAATAGTGTATCATTCATATAACTGGGAGGCTTGGCGTCGTGCCCTCGTTTTCGCGCAAGGTTCTCTCATATCATTATTACTAGCCCATTGAAATGCATACTTGTTTTTGTCACCCGTGGATGATCATCCTCAATCTCCGTATAATCTTCCGATGGCCCAACACGGTGACTATGCAATGACTCCGGGCAACAAATCCTCATGATGGTCCCCGGAGATCTGATACAATGGCTCTCTTAATGATGTCATAAAGGAAAACGTATACCACTACGGTATTCGAACCAAGATGAAATGAAGCCAAATGTGACCTTCAAAATTGAAATTGTCGAATGAGATACTCGTGGACCCACGAAATGATCACCCAACCCAGGAGCCCACCGCGAGGGAATCAGACCTCATGCTGCTCGTACGAACATATACCAGCATCATAACATCTGGTCTCCCTCTGGCGGAGCCCTGGCTTGATATGCCACAGTGGCTGCTGGAATATGGGTGAAGGGGAGGATAGGGAGGAGAGTAGGGGTGTCCTGGCCAGGGCTATCGACAACGTTTATAGTCGGCAAGCACCGAGGTCCTGTATAACAGTCAAGTTCAGCGCTTCCTAAAGGCATTGCCAATTTTGGGCGCGTAGAGGTATATATGGTACTCAATACATCCTCTCGGTAAACATTGGGGTGCGATAGGAGTAACTGGGCAAGTGATATCGCATTAGCCAGTGTAGTTCATACATCTGAATGGTTCTGACAGTCAGGCAGGATGAAGACCTGAACATTCTCCGAAATAAAGGGTACTTATTTCGTTCGTCAATGAAGTTCGACTACAAGTCTTACCACTGGCACTCGTTCTAGAGGTCCAGACAACGGATATGCATCTGCCACTCAGGCTCGACCAAGAGCAGGAGTGAATGCCAGAGGGGCCCTTCATCAGCTCCTCAGAAGTTGACGCCCACCATCGGTGAGCTTTGGTTTCGGCAATTCCTCGAGGCTATCATATATTCTTCGATTTATCGAGCGCCCACATCGTGGAGCGCAGCTATCAGTCACAGTGAGAAGGTACTCAACATCTTCCTCTCAGAATGCATGTTTCGAGGGCAGGAAACGTCATCGACATGACCCGCTGAACTTCCAAACGACAGCATATAAAAAATGCCTCCGTAAGGAACTAACTTCTCCTGCACCTATCTCCTCCAGCTTCTGCAGTTGCGCGACGAAGTCATATCATGAGGAAATATGTGTCCTTTGACTATTTGACGAGGCGCTTGAGGTTCAGCCCAATTTGGGCATTATTGTAGTAAGAAGGCTTCACCCGAACGCTCACAGACTGAGAAACCATTGTTCTCTTGGGTTGGTTCCCTTGGGATCACACAACGATGTCTATTTCAGTCACAATGACCCTTGGTCATGTTATCAACCTATTGTTGTGCTATTCGAGGTTGTCACTTAACTTTTCACACCAGGTCGCTTCGAGGAGTCAGACAGAAGTACAAAAGATTGAAGCAACTCGCTTTGAACACCCTCTTCTATAGCACTATCTTTTGGAATCATTCTGCGGACCTCTTCTACCTTAACCTCTTACTGATCATAATCACGAGGCCAACATTACAATGAACTCCCAAACTATTCTCTTTCCTCCTCCACCTCCGACGACCAATCTCATTGAAGGCAAGCATCGTCTTCGTCTCATGCGTTCTACCAGGAAGTTGGGAGCAGTCCTTGGGACCGTGGCTCATGTCTCAGAGTCGGACCCAAAGTCGCTCCCCGTGCTGCTACCCATTGGCGTCCAGCACAACGCGAGACCAAGTACGAGTTCAAGCACAAGCTCCGTGGACTCTGTAAAGTCGTCCAGGCGGCAGGGGTCCATTTTCTCAGTACCCACGTTGATGCCGGAGTCGGTTTACACTTCTCCTTCTCCAATGTCATCAACATCATCGCTTTCACTTGACAATGACACAAAGTCAGAGACTCATTGTACCAGTCGTGACTCAAAGCATAAACTGAAGCGACCTGCCGCTTTACCCCGGCCTCTCGTTCTCCGCCTGAACGCAGTGCCGCAGCGTCTACAAGTTCCATCTACTCCTCAGACACTTCCTTCAACCCCCTCCATCTCAGCTACCCTCATACCTCCGAGTCCATATGGGCCAGACACTCCAACTACCCCCATCTCTCCGACACCTTCAGAGACTCGTCGAAAGCGTATGGCGAAACTTACCCGGACCCTGGGTGAGACGATCCCTCCCCAGCTCGTCACTTTCGCGAGAAAGAAGGTCTCTACGCCTACGCTGAAAATCAATTTCTCTCCCGATGTTACCCCTGCGGTAGTTGCCAATAAGGCGGGAAGAAGACGGAGCATGTCTGTCGACTTTGATGCTGGGCGCAGCGAAAATATGTCTCCATACCCTCGATCTTCTCGAGTTTGGGTGACTGAAAACAAATCATGGAGAGGAGAATGGAACCGGAAGGACATCAAGGATGTTCAGAAGCAATTACGTTCGTTGAAAGCCCGCTGATTGAATGTCAATTTCTTGTATTGTCTCTCTGGAAACTTGACTCTTAGATCCGGATTCACTCTTCATTTTGTACTCTGGATTATCCTCAAGCCTTAGTCTCGCATTGTAGCTTCCCACTCAGCCTTCGTCGTGTAGCCTTAGATCTATTGATTCGTCCTGATTATCGTTCATATTCTGTAAACCTGACTACATTAATAGCGTCATTACTATTGTATGCTATTGTATGACATTTCTATTCTTCCTGGTCAATCGTAACATTCTGCTCAGAAGAGATTTGCATGGGATAGGAGTGACCCAAAGCATCCTGGGAGCTGCTGGAAGAAGTCGTCGAATGTGCATCTGTAGAAAGCCAGCGCTGGTTATTTTGGTAGGCGTCGATGAGCATATAGCGGGCGTTGCAAGCTTGAGAGCCTGTTAACTCAGCGACAAGGATAGTATATGATCTCAGCTCATCCGCGTAGAACCGCGCAAGGCGATTCATATAGCGCCTTATGTCATGCAGAGGGCGTCTTTGCTCGGATAGCGGCAGAGGAGAAAGTGCGGTTGGGCTGAGAGATGTAACTTCAGTATCAATCCAGTTTGCGCAAGAGAATGTTGACATACAGGAAGGTGTATAAACCAAGGCTCTTGAGCACAGTAAGTATTATGGAAAGAGTTTCTTCCGAACGACTCTCGGCAAGCACGACGTCCATGAGTCGGCGAAATTCGCCCCCAATAGCGATGCATCTTAAGAAAGAGTCGGAGGCGCTGTACATGATATCCGGTTCGGCGTTGTTTTCCCTATCGTTGACGCGATTAATCACAAGATACTTGAATACAAAGCAGAACTGAGAAACCCACCGTAAGATAGTCACAATATCTCTGTATATCGACTCCAGGGGTAAGTAATCCGCTTCTTGAGGAGAGACATGTTTGTTCCCTTTGAGCACGTACTCCATTGCCACGAGAATGAATTTGAGGATAGATACATCCATATCTAACCAGATGCTCTGCAACAACGGAGCGTCCGGTAAGCCCAGGAAATCTGGCGAATAATACAAACTAAGGAACCAGCGAGGAACGTCTCGACTCCGTAGGAGGCGGATACATGATTGAGGGTGCGTCGACAAGGCGGCAAGAAGCATACTGCTCACAGCGTGGACATCAGAGATAGCCGTCCTATTCACGCGAACAGAAGTGTTCGTATAAGTAGCAGGGTTTGGAAAGTCATTGAGACACATGCATTTGAGGAGTTTTATGAGATCGACGTCCAAACATAAGGATGCCGCGACAGGGCTTGCGCGACACAACTGCGTAAGGAAATAGAGAAAAGGAACTACCGGGTGCTGACCATTAACATGATTGGCCAGGTATGCCCGATATGCTTTTGGTAGACTGGAGTCCGGTGGGCAGCCTTTCTGTACGAATGGCTGCAACCAACGCATAATGTGTATGATGAAGAGCCGAAGATCACGTCTAGACCACGTCACAAGAACACGGACCAGGGAGACGGCGTGGAATCGACTAATGGAGATGAAGAGCAGCTCGCATGTCTGGCGCTGTACACATTTGTCATACATGGTAACTCTGAGGGCCGTGTCAGGAGAATGATGGGAAAGATGATTGAGAAAACCTCACCGGAAAACTTCAAGAACTTCTGCGTGCAAGTTGATGATTTGTTTAGTGGGGGCGGAGGAGCCCATCTCGAGCGGGAGGATGGACGAAATGGTATTCAGCCTTGCACATATGATAGACTTGATCAACCTCGATAGAGACAGTCTTTCCCTTTGAATAGACATTCCCTGGAGATATACTCCAGGACCCAAGTCCATCTTGCCAGAAGCACTGACAAAGGGCGAGAACGAAATTGCGTCAGCCTCCTCTATTGCTTCTTCGTCTGTCTTGATGATCATTTGTTCTGCCTCGGTCAACTGCGTAAAGAACCGTATGACTCGGAAAGCCAAGCTTGAATCGCGCTGTTGTAAGTGACGCAGGCTCTTGTTGACTTCCAGCGAATATCTACTGTCTCGTCTGGGATGAATCCTGAAGTCACAGTTAGCTCAGTTTCCCAAATGGCACTGCATAAGCAAGCGTACCAGCCAGATGGCATATATTTCAATATGTCCATCAGGAACATATCAGCCTCATCCCACTTTAGAAGGTAGTGCACAAGATCTGTCGTATTTCCTTCAAGAATAATCAGTAGAATCAGACTCCAAGCCTTGGCCTTTATGCGAGTAGAGTACAAGTCGCGTCTGTGGGTACTTGTGAGCATATTGTCGATGTGAGGCAGCGGAACAAGCGTACCTCGCGAACTCGAGTAGGTCCCCACATATGTGTTCATCGGCCGCTTGCGTGTGTCCCGGTCTCAGCTGAGAACTGATGGTAGTGAGTCGACGTTGGATGGCAAAGGCCTCAATGCCTTTGCGAACTAGCCCACCAACTGCCATAAGGAATTTACCAGTGGTCACGCCAGGTCCTGGAATGGTGCTACGAGACAAGGACGAATGAGTAAACGACATAGAGCATCGATCGTCGGTCAATGGCAGGTCTAGATATTGCATAGGAGGGGACAACATCCTGACATCGGGTTAACTGGCTGTGAGCGTACGGCAGATATACCAAACCCAAACGCAGGGAAGTTAAATCCCTGAAGAAAATCATCCCTCATAGGATGTGGCCGGCTGTGCCGAAATGATTACAGGAACTCATCAAGCGGCGCTGCGGCGGTGTTGCCAGAAGTCAGAGTAAGCTTGAAACAAGTAACAGGGCGTCTAGATGCCATGGACTAAGCTGCTTTGAAGCTGCCATATCCCGACCATATATCTCTTGCCCATTTGGATTGGGTATTCAAAGTCAACTTGTACGAAAGACAGACCGACAAGCTCACCGAGAAATGGAAAGCCTGGCTTGTGTTTATCAATACTTTGGTTAAAACAGCCCCTGGTGGATGGATCTCCAGACGGAAGGACGAAGAGAAACGAGTAGCACATGTACTCATATAATTCGAAGAACAACAGAACTAGTCCGTCCGTACGACATATCACGAAGTCATTGTTGTCATGACATCGCCCTGAGTGCAATGCTGTAGTTGCCCGAGATTCAGGTGGTCTTGGTAGGCACGACCAATGATTAAACAGAGTGGCCGACTTCGCGTGCGAAATGTCAAAGCAAAGCGAAAGCGACAACGTAAACACAGCTAAAATCATTTTTGTAACCTTGGAGCCAAGGTTTGTGAGCTGCACAAAGGGACCGGCGACTGCACAAAACCAACAAACTGAGCAGTCGCACATGCTCTAGCTTCTTTCCGCAGCACCTTTACTCTTCTTTTTCTTCCTCTTCCTTGCAGCACCGTCCTTTTCTGCCGACGCAGGAGTACGTTCCTCGTTTTCCTGCGCCTCTTCCAACGTCCGTTTCTTCGTGTTCGGCTTGGCAGCTTCTGTTTGAGTCGGGACAGGTTGCTCTTGACCTGTGAGTGCTGATGCGACCAACCCTGTAGTCTCAGCTTGTTGCTGATTTTCCACCGCTTCATCTTGCTCCGACGGTGCTTGGGTCAAGTGCTCAGGAATCACCAGCTTTGGCTCGGAGAGAATGGCACGATATGTCTTGCGTGTTTCTAAATGAATGTAAACATCAGATATGAACAAGAAGTAAGAGCTGAATGCACATACGAGCTCGCAAGATCAGAGCTTGAGGAGTTTTGGTTGAGGAATCATGAGCTAAGTTCTGCGCCAAGCTGAGGAAAGTTAAGCTAGCAAGAGGACATGAATAATTGTTTCCCCGAATTAAAATTGGATAGCCTTACAGATTTCCCACATCCCTCGGTGCTCTCAAATCGGCCTGGTTCATGGCACCACTGCTTACAATGATACCTTTGCCTTTTGTTACACGAATAACCTCGCGAGCTGCTGCCCACCAATTTCGTTTCGCCGAGGAACCGCTCTCCGTCCCCGCGACACCAAGGCTGGGATCGGCTTCTCCACCAAGGGCACCTGCATATGTAATCTCAAAGACAGCCCCATTCTTGATTGCTGAACGGATGAGAGTGTGCTTTAGATTGAATGGAAGGCGGGGTAGCGTGAGGGGTAAGGAAATTATATGGGTGGTCAGGTTTGAGGGTTGGGTGTGCGTGAGGCAGGCGAGAGAGAAGGTCGTCGCAGTTGTTGGCGTTAGTGCCAAGATGTCATATGGAGCAACGAGAGCGGCACTGCTTGTAGTCTAAAACTGTGGTCAAAATCGAACCAAAAGAGCAGGATAGGTGGGTTGCGTACAAGACCAAAGCCCTTTTCACTTTCCTCGTCTAGGACGATCGTAAGCCTTTTCAAATATGCAATACCGGACCTTTTACGCAGCTGTGACAGGAGAGGGTCGAGGACGTTGACATGCATTTTGGGATCAATCTTCTTTTGTACTGTCTGATTGAATGCAATCACAGTGTATCCTACTAATGCTTCACAATCAGAATAACAAGAAGAATGAGCAAAATCGTGACAGACAATGTAGAAGCAGGTCAATTCGTGCTTCGATCGCGGACACCTGAGCAGGAGTAAAAGCGATGGTGGATGTAGGTTGAGTCTGTGGTTGTTTTCCCTTCCCTTTCTTCGACTGCGTGATCGGTTGTCCTTGGATTGGCAGGACAGGAACATTCAGGTCAATATACATCTTGTTGAGCACGTCCGTTCAAGATACGCGTAGTTTGTGAGTGTCTTCGCGAATTTTCTGAGTTCGCCAACGAATAGTGTGAATCAGGGAACGTATGAAGCGAATATATCAATCCTCTCCTGAGGAACAAACAGAAACACCAAAGTAGTTGTTAGTTAACCACATGCAAACCTACTAGTGTTGGATTTACCGAGCTTCTTAAGAGGTCAAATCAATGTAGCTTAATCTTGTGTGGTACTTCGTTACGCGTTTTGAAGTGATGAGACCCGCATATAGTGTTTTAGCGTTCGGCAAGTTGTGGTACAATTCAAGATCGTGTTTGGCGCCAATTACTCTCCTTACGACTCATATGAGTACTTTCATCTAGAACTTGAGTTTGAATGGAACTCGGATTTGAGTCATACTTCGATGTCGTATGGATGTTTTGGTGAGACATATGATATGTTAGAATATTCGCCTGACTTTTTAGATCGTCGAGCTGCCTCACCGATGCCTCACGCTTGATGTGTGGCACACGAAACTCCGTGTCGAACTTACACGGAGTCGGCAATCTAAGAACAATGATTCTTTATCTGCCTATATTTTGTGCCTTAAGCTGCCGGAAGTGTTTTCACTTGTACTGACATTTTCGCCACCGCTACGCGTGACCTCTCGCGTGTCTGTTTTCTTTGAAATTCCGCACGTCCACTCCTTATAAATTATCTACCATGGCAGAGGCGGAGTCCTCCAACTCTCCCCAGGCATGTTCACATACGATCTCAAGGAAATTTTGTACCTGCTGAACTTCTTCCCCAGACTTTGCAAGACGAACGTCGCGTCCGAGAGATACTACTTCCTGCAAGTGCCATGGAGTCACAGCAACAAGTCGACGACAATCTCGAGCGTGCTACGGAACCTCCTGACTCCCGGGAATCTTCCTTTGACGATTCATGCATGTCTTTCACTTCCGACAACCTGGGCTTTACATTCACACCTCTTGCACAATTGAAAGACTACGACGAACACCAATGGCCCGATGTCGTTCATGGCCACTCGGCAGATCCAGGACACGAATCCATGCATTCCAACGGGGGATCTGTAATAGATGATGAGGGCGCTGACAGATCTTCTCGGTTCACTGCTGCTGAGAAAGGGAAAGGAAGAGCTATTTCTAAGGATCGCCTTGATGACGTCCATCCGAATGAGTCTTCTGAAGCACCCAAGACGCAGCACCGTTCAACGAGCAAGAAACGTGCCAGAACGTCCTCCTCTGAAGACGACCCTGCTCCTCACAACGACGCGGAGGTAAGTCCAGTCGGAAGTCACCTTTGTTCGTACTACCTAATTGTTCGTTTATAGTCGGTTAATTGGGAAACGCATATCAAGGACAGCATATTACGATATATCAATAACAAAGAAGATTCTTTCCCTCTCGGTCGTCGAGTGGACTCAACTGTGAGTGCCACTACCTCTCGCTCGCCTTAGATTTCTTACTAACTCCGATTCTAGTTGACATTTCCATCCCAATTTTTGACTGGCTTCTTTCAGTTGGCTGCAATCAGAGACCCACCAGGTTCCCCTTCTAGAATTGACAAACCTGAACATAAACTTGACAACTACGTTGAGGTCGCGAATTGGGCGAGATCATTCTTACACATGCAGTTCCGTCTTGAAGATAACCAGATTGAGGACAACGTTATAGTGGTGAGTTGATGCTTAATTGACGACATATCTTTGTACTTATGGTCTGAGGCTATCAGTTGTTAATGATGTTGGTAAACGACTTTTACGATACTCATATGAGGCTTGCAGATGCAATTGTGACGCAAGCCATAAAATATCGAGATGAGGATCGCCGGGATGTTCTAAAAGTGGAGGACTTCGTACACATTTTCGGTGCGAGCACTCTCTTAGCCAATCATCTGATTACCCACGCCTTATCCTGCAGAGAGGATCCAGAATGCTCGTCATGATCGTATTTATGATGCTCTCGAAGCTCGCAGAGGTCTGTGGCAACGACTCCGCATGTTGATGCTCGGACGCTAATTGTAGCATCTCGCGTATAGCCCGTGCTCCTCGCCATCCTACGCATATCCCAGATGCCACGACACGTTCCGGAAGGACTTCAAGACTCACTCCACAAGCCCAAGCGGCGTTGAGACAAGAACAGGAAAAAGAAAGGAAGAAGGAAGCTCGAAAGTTGAAGAAACAACAAGACCAAGTACGAAAGAATAATGAAGATATGGATTCTCAAGGTCTTGACGATAACAGCCCTTCTTTGGCAACTGGTCAAGTGTGTCCGACTTGTCATCGATTGGTTCCCGGTGAACAGAACGACATGGCAATCTCTCCAAAATCTCGAAAGAAGCCTGCGAGGAAAAGGGGCAAGAAAGCTGCTCCCTTACGGACGAGGGTGCCAAAAGTTTCTGAAAGTCCGGCTCCTTTGCTCTCTGTTTCTACTGCTGTAGCAGAAGAGGAGGAGGAAAGTTCTGACGGGGAGCCTAACGATTCTGCTCAGTCCGGGAGGCGTCCGGTACTCAAAGTCAAGATACCAACCAAGAGGGACACAGTCAAGGCTGAGTCGCCCCAGCCTGGCCCATCAGTGATTTCAACCATTCCTTTAAGGGCCCCTGTTCCCATTCGTCCTCGGCCTTCTGACTCGCTTGATCCAAACTATCACTATCCCGATATCCCACCTGGTTATACTGGCTCTGCGAATAATGCTGCGACTCTACTCCCAATTAGACACGGCGGACTTCCATCAACCTCAAGTCCGTTCTCTCAAAGGAATTGGAATCCTGGTGAACCTTCTCGTCCTAATCTTGGTGCCACCCACTTCCCGATTTCCGGACAGTCCCCTTACTTGGCGATCCCAACATCTAACGCGTTCCCAGCTTCTGGTATACCTTACGCACCTCCTCTTCCGGATATAAATTATCCTCCTAGGCGACGCTCTAATTCTAGCTCTGAAGCCAGGACTCATGATAGTCAAGTGCATGGCCATCGTCGGGGGCTGTCTCATGATCTAGGGCTTTCTCATAATCTTGGGATATTCATGGACGGTGGACCTAGAATTGCAATATCTTCTGCTCTTCCGATAGGTGATCCGTCGTATGGGCATGCTCTGCTGTCTGCCGTAGGCACTCAGACTGGGTCACAAGGCGGTCTACAACAAGCAGGCCCTGCTCTGCCAACCCAAACTCAAGATTTACCTCGCAATGGGCTACCACAAGATTTGCCAGGACCTGCTCAATTTGTACGTACCTGCCCCTAGACTCTTCCTTATTCCGCTGATAAGTAATACGACTATTCCTACAAAGGTCTTCCGCAATACCACGCCCGAAACATACCTGAACGCAAGGACTCAACCCAGACCAGGCCCATCTACCTCCACATCTCACACTGCACACCCACATCAAACCTTCCCCACCCCAAACGCTAACCCCACCACAACTCTACCGCAACCTCCTCCACTTGGTACCCCATCATTTCCATCTACGCCATACAGCGCTATCACGCCCACAGCCTATTCAGCCTCCCCAGCTCCTACTATAACGACTGTGAATCGTGATTATACCGTTTCGCCTACGCTTAGTGCAGATGAAGGACGATTTGGGTTGGAGGTTAAACGGGAACAGGTGGAGTGTCATTGGGAAAGTGGGTTGCCGGTGGTGTCTTTGGGTGGTGGTGCTGAACGGGTTTGGAATCCTGTTGATCAAAAACAGGAGCAAGAGCAAGAGCAAGGGGAAGGGGAGGATAAGTCTGGTCTGAACCGGACGAACGCTGTCCTTGGTACCAGTGCTGCATCCGTAGGAATATCTGAAGACGTTAACGTTCCTGAAGAACAAGTTGAGGCTGGACCGAGTGCAGTCCCTGGCCATGGTCCATCGTCGGATTCAACTTCGACTGGTGACAAAGGTAAAACCCTGAGAAGGAGTACGAGGAAGATCCCGCCAAAGGTTGTGGGAGGGTTGGGGTCGCCTAAGAGGAAGCACGTGGCAAAGCGGAGGAAGTTGAGGAGGTGAAGTGTTATTCTTTTCTTCGCGACGAGTTCGTTTTTCTTGAATAAGACAATGATTGATATTTCACGATTGTAATGACTGTAGCGATTGAATTCAAGGTGTGACATATTCTATAGTATTAGCCTGTTGTTCTATCCCTATGAAAAATCCAAGCGTTCTCTATATACCATATATCAAAGAACCATATAAGGGCGAGCAGCGGTAGCGGAGCGGGGGGAAGGCTGAGTTTACGAGCTTACCATATAAGCAGTAGTCAATAATGTCTTATGCTAGTCTTCGAACTGCCGAGACTATCCAAAGGCCATTCGGGTACACCATTGGAACAACAGAATAAATCAAGCTGATTCAGCCTCAGGAGTCAAGGGCTACTACTGCGGGGAAGGGAGAACCTGTTCCTTCGGTCAGAGGTTCGTCGATGGGAGGCTCGCCCATGATCTCGCGAATCTGTTTTGTGTTGAGGAGTTTGGCGTATTTGGGTTGGATGAAGAGGGCACTCATAAAAAATGACGTCGTCAGTAACACAACAAAGATATAACCGGACAAACAAAAGCGTCCGAAGGGAGAATACTCACGTCGCCTCAACGAGAACAGTTCCCTCCAAGTCTTCGACACAACCGGAGACGGTAACCTTGCGGCCGTTTTGTTCAACCAGACGTGTTTTGATCACTATGAACTGGAAGGATAGTAAGTAAGTAATCGCAAAAAAAGGACATATTGAGGGTGGGAGGGAAGCTTACTTGATCAGCACGAGTAGGTGCTTTATAACTGATATTCAAGTTGGCAGTGACCCCAACCTTGTCTGGCAAGTTCAACAAGGCCTAACAGAACATAGTAAGACCCATTGAATGTCACTGAGAAGCAAAAGAACTACTCACGATCCGGCCAAAGCTCTCATCGAGCAAAGTAGCCAAAAGACCACCATGGATGATACCCTCATGACCACAAAGACCCCGTCCCACATGCAAGAAGATCCAAGACTCGCTTTCATCCCTCTTCGCCCTGACAAGCGGAGGAAGAGCAAGCTTCCCGGGACCTCGGAGTGCACCCGCAGTCAAGCTATTCGCCCTGCGTTCCTCGGAAAGCGTCACGAACGGTCGAGTCTCGTACCACTGACGGGCATCATCACGTTGTCGGTGTGCCTCCAGAATAGAAAGCGTCTGAAGAGAGTCTTCGAGACTTTCGACATATGCTATTGATTCGGGCGCGTTGGGGTCTGGTGGGGGAGGTGCGGAACGGGGAGAGACGTAGGTCGCGATTGTGGGAGGGTATAGTGAACCGGCGGTATAGGAAGCAGCGGCCAAAGTGGAAGCTGCAGAGGCCATTCCGAGATATTTGGAGATATTCCCGGAAGGATTTGACGAGTTTGAGGAAGTGGAGGAGAGCCGTGCGTGTAGGCGACGGTGAGCGAGTTTCTTGCTCGCAAGGAGTTGTCTGCGCGCGACGGCGGACAACATGGTGGATGGGGAATGTTGAGGTCTATAGAGTACAAGGGAAGGTATAGCAGACGTATAGAGTAGAGAGGTGAGGAACGCCGGCAAGGGTCACCGCCATGGAATCACAGAGAAAAATTATCAGATAAGATGGCGCAACTTACCCGGTCCATCCCGCATCTAGATCTAAAGCCTTTGCCATACTTGGCAGGGCCCCCATTGACTTCAACGTTCGTTGCATATTTCCACTCGAGTGAAAGCCAGGACAGACTGGTTCAGCTAGAATGTTTGTGGGTGTGTAGGTGCAAGTTGTTGTGATGCGATTCTCAACAGACTAATGGACGTTGGCTTATATATTCTATTCGACACCGGAGAAAGAACGGAATATGCTCGATGCGATGTATCGCAGAATGTAACATACGGTACATGCAAAATGGAGATCAAGTGATACCCATTATGCAAGACCCATTCAAACCATACGACATATAGACAAATCGCACAAGTGACCTCCAAGTAGCAGAGTGTTGGCTGTCTTGTTGCTTAACACCGCGGAAATGGATCACCCAACCCCTGACGTATTCTTTCATACTTTCATTTCCTCTGTTACACCTTCTGGCGTTGATTCCGACGCATTGTCTTCACTCCGAGCGATAGCACGATCGGCGGCAGCACCAACAGCGACGAAATGCCTCCTCTCAACCTCGGATTCGCCACCCCCAACGCTAGACTCCGACTCGGGCACCTGCAAAGCTTCACCAACACCTTCTATCCAGTCAAAAGACACTTGTTCCATGAAATCATTCGGCCGCAGTCTGCGTATCGCTTCTTTGTTTTTCTCGTGGGGTCGTGGATGTTCGTGGAGGAAGTCCTTGAACGCGAGAAGGTCGCTGTGCCGTTGTCCTTCTTCCTTACTAATGACGCCGTAGACTTCCGGCGAGCAGCCATAGGCAAATATGCTGTACCTCGGATGTTTGTCTCTGGTCTTTTTCGCATGTCTGGAGGTGCTTGAAGACGCTTGCTCCTCTCCGGCCTGATTCCTCCCCTCTCGCGCAACCCGCGGATATGGTTTTGGAGGTCGAACATCCAAGTCAACGACCATCGTCACGTATGGTATTTTGTCGCCCTTCTTCTTCCTCACCGACGACAGAAACCCATCGATTTCGCGTTCAAAAATACCTCGGTCCCGTAGTCGTCTGACTTGGCACATCAACGCAGAGATATTGTCGTTGGATATCGGGAGGTCCCTGTCAAGCAAGATCCCCAACACAAAGTCCACACTACTACCCTCCGTCCCAGAGCAAATGAAACCCATACACCGAATGAAAGCCGCCCTCAGTGCAGGGACCGTTATCGCAGAATCGTCTCCCGCACGAACGAAATGGGTCACACGAATAACGGACTTCTTGAACACTTCCCTAAAAGTCTTGCCAGGTTCACCATTCGCTGGGGTGGAGTCCAAGATCGCCTGGGCGTGTTCCTTCGAATAAAGCTCCTTGATGAAACTAACAACGCCACACCCCTCGCTAAAAAGGAATTCCCTTCCTTTCGCATCCTTGGCCACGGCACGCAGATAGGCCGTCATGACCAAAGCACGTACGACAACTTCGGCTCGTCGATCGGCTTTGATCATAGACCCAGAACCCAGCCGAAAGTCCTTTTCCAGTATGTCGCTCATTGCGTCTTTAGCACCCCCTTTCACGGTCATGAACAAGTGCATCTGCTGTGCCGCACCTTCGGCCATGATAGGTTCAGAGGAGTATCCAGTCTCGATGAGCTTGCCAAATCCTGAGGCAGAGTACAGCACGCGCATGTGTTTTTCGACTTGATAGATTTCTCGGAGTAACACTTCGGGGCTTCTTGCGTAGTCGATGTTGATGAGCATGTCGACGACGGCGGCTAAGCTGCGTGGACCGTATTCGATACGGATGTCGGTATGTTTTTGTTCTATCTTTACTTGAGCCCCGATGTACATTAGTTTTCCTCTGGCGAGGAGGATCAGAGAGTATTTCATGAAGTTCTTGTCGCTCGAGTGTGCGCTCTCGAGCATAGACCACCATCTACAATGAATGAGGTTTAGCAGATGTGTAAAGATGACTAGTGTTGGAAGATACTGACAGAGGACGTCCGAAGCGCACCAAGAATGCTACATCAGATGCTTTCTCTAGAGTCAACTCTCCGAGCTCCTCCATCGATATCGGTAAATGCGGTGAACAATCAAATGGGGTCTCGGTAATCGGAGGATGAATGATCCTAGCGAGCCTTGAAGGACCATAAAGAACTTCATCTGTCTTTAGCGGAAGGTATATCTCTGGACTGGTTGAGATGAACACGGTCATGACTTGGACGCTGGTGTCTAACCAAGGATTGATGCATGACAGGAAAATTTCGTAATACGACTTGTTACTGATACGACTTCCCCAATTGTTGATCAGATATTTGTTGGCCAGCTCATGTGCTTCGTCAAAGTATAGCAGTAGCTTGACGTCCATGGGATTACCAGTTGGGACCCAGTCGTACTTTGGAGTGCTTGGGAGGTGCACGATCAGGTCCAGGAGTTCATTGAGACCATCGTACATGTCCTTTTCGGCATCATCATCTTTCTGGTGAATGAGAGATCTCAGGGCACATACATTCTCATAAATACGCAAGACACTCACGTGGAAATGTCTAGCAGTAGCAGCCCGCACAACTTCGGAATACATGGCATCCCGGTTCTTCCTGTCATCCTCTTCCAGATACCTACGCCATGACATTGCCAGCTCCTCGTATGTCTCAACGGGTGATTCTGATATCAAAATTCGTAGGTTGGCCACAACCGCTTTGAACAGAGATGCGAAATATCTCCGGAAGTATAGCTCGAGCTCGAGTTCAGTGCGCATCCAGTTCGTCACGAGGTGATGATAAACTTCGGAATCCGACGGCGGGTAAGCACCCTGTTCTGCGCAGAGTTGAGTAATGGCGTATGGGGACATTGGCATTGTGGTACCAAATTCATGAGAGACTTACGGGAGTCCGCCGGCGGGCGTATGTTACAAGGAATCGTGAAGACGAGGTCAGATGCCTCGTGAACCATCCGAGACTTTCCGGTCCCGGAACTCTGTACGACAGCTATTGAGTTTGAGTAACGTACAGCCCTATCACGTTCAGCGCGGTTCAGGTTGTAGACGAAGAGTGCATGATGATCTCCGATATATGGTGCCTCCCATGAACCCTGGATTGCTATGATACGAGTTCATGTGAGTTCACGGTTCCTGGATGAGGAAACGCGACTTTACCAATGTCGTAAGGACGTGTGTCTACGGTAAGTGGTATTGTGCGGAATGAACGGGTGAATGGTTGACGACGGGGTTTGCATTGAAAAATCGCTGATAAGAAATGTTGGAGTTCGCGCGACTGTGTGTCAGACTGAACTGTACTTGCCTAGGTTTCGAATAGCCTTGAAGGACCTGGTCCGAACTGCATCTAAAACAATATCACGCAGTTCGCCAGACTCTTTCAGCCACTCTGTCACTTCTTCCATATCAAGACTTGGATTCATATAGTCGGGACATGTTGAGAGCACAGCATGGATCGCTTGTGAGAGCAGACGAGGACCGTCCGGAGTGTGCGCAAACATCTCCACCACATCTACAAGAGGCATGTGATCGGACCTACAGGCCATCTCATCATATATGGCGTGTTGTGCATCAGTTAACCCTAGGTTGAATTCTTCAAGAAGTCCGTCGGGCTTTTGCTGCTTGGTAGGGGGTTCTTCTGAGCTACTACCAGATGTCAGTGTATTCTCCATTTATGCGATTACCGAATCTGAGAATGTGGCGTTGAGGAAGGTGGATAAACAGGACCTGGTAGAATGAGGATGCTGCCGCGGTGGACTGTACAGTAGGTAGAAATTTGAACAAGTGCCACTGTGCCAGAACATGGTGTTTGAACGAGATGAGTATGACCAAATTCGGGGCCATGAGTTGACCGGGCCGAAGCTCCTTTGATCCGTCTCCTCCGTCGTCTTTGCAGTTCAGTGCTTTCGATGTCTGAAAACATCAACTACCTGAATGTCCTTCGACGAAATGTTCTCTCCTATGATGAATTCTACGCAGATTATCTTCTTCCAAATGTCCCGGTGATCTTCAACCGGTCTCTTGTTTCCTCGTGGCCTGCATTTGATCTTTGGGTCAAGTCATGTAAAGACTCCAACTCCTCCCATATCCATTGGGATTATTTTCAAGATACTTATGGAGCTCTGGAGGTGACGGTAGCCGATTGTGCGAATGTTGATTCATTTGGAAATCAAGACCGTCGTACCATGCTTCTCCGAGAAGTAATCTCCATGTGGAAGGATGCGGAAGGTCAATCGTTGTACATCAAAGACTGGCATCTCGCCAAACAATTAGAGAAGACTGGATCTCCAAGTGTACCATTCTACTCTACACCGGATTTCTTCCGGGATGACTGGATGAACTCCTATTACACTTCACATACGGATGACGACTTTCGTTTTGTCTACATGGGTGCCAAGGGCACCTTCACGCCTTTACATCGAGATGTCTATACGTCGTACTCCTGGTCCACCAATGTGTATGGTCGAAAACGGTGGTGGTTCTTCCCTCCTGAACAAACCCCATATCTCTTCATGAAGTATAGAAATGTCAATCTGTATGATGTTAGGAACGTCGACTTGAAGGACTTCCCCGACTTCCATCGTGCAACGCCGATTATCATCGAACAAGAAGCAGGGGAAACGATCTTCGTGTGAGTACCAACTATCCCAAATGTGATTGTTCAGAGGGCTTATTGCGTTAGAAAAGACCGAGTGGTTGGTACCACCAGGTATGCGGTTTATCATACGAAACACCTCATCGCAACTCACGAATTCTGCAAGGTAGAAAACCTAACGCACTGCATTTCTATCAACCACAATTGGTGCAATTCCGTCAACCTCCGTTCCCTCTACACCTCCATGTGCGCCGAAGTGATCCAAGTTGAGGCAGCGCTCGAGGATGTCCGCGAGATCCTCTCAAAAGGACAGTCTGATGACGAATGGAAGTTGGAATGGACACGTATCGTGCAGGACGTTGTCAACCGTGACGCAGGATGGAAGTGAGCGTCTCGAGTAGTTTCGTGTTCTCATTTAATCCTGACAGTCCATTCCATTAGTTGGCTTACATTCTGGAAGATGGTTTCGCATGCGTTACATGCTGTCGTCTCGCCAGGATCTGTACGTTCAAGTTCATCCATAAGATGTAATAATCAGGTCTCGAACTGACGTCTTCAATAGTCTTCTCCCCAGGGCGTTTCATCCCGTCATAACGTATTCCCACCCGCACCTGCAAATCTCCGACCACCAACTGCTTTCATCCTGGAACAAATCCGTGCTTGTTATGATGACTTCATGACACGGGATCGACGTGAATGCGAGGGCGAGGTTCAAGAAGTCGTTTCGACAATAGGCAGCTTGTTGGTAAATCCGGGCTATCAGCCTTTAAAGGGGTTTGCAATGACTAGATGCGAAAACGGTGATACGAAGAGCTCGTGTCCGGGTTCGCATCAGTGAATCTTGGCATGCCGTTATGCACGATTTACGGCGGGAAGAATGGTGAAGGATGGTTAAGTATGAACATAAGATCATAGGTGAGCGTTTGACGATCTGGACCTTACAGAGGATCTGATGCCCTACTTCATATGGAGTATGTGGGAAGGGTCAGCACGCCACCAATGGTGTTTCGATCAATTACCCAGCCTACTCTTGATTCAGACGTTTCATATATCTCCAATCCATTGCATGGTTTTTCGATGCCTGGCAGCGATCACAGATATGAATACCAGCTGTCTGCATAAAACTTGTCAGCTTCGCGATAATCCACGCTTGCTAGTGATTCCATTGGAGCCGCCTGGATATCCAATCTACATGACCCACCAATCCTTCCGATCTTGAATGGTCGAGTCAAGGGTCGAGTTTCGAAGTTGTATTCGCCTTTTAGATTCTTAGGCCGACGATATGACGATCGCTGTGATCATCTCCCCGACGGGTTCACTATGTACACCAACTGAGCGGTGGTGATGTGACCTGAGTATGCCTGACAGGAGATCAATCATCATCTCGTTTGAGCGTCATACATCAGCCTTTAGGAGATACGTTTCCCACCACGTTACAATCACTTCGGCGCAATGCACAGTCAATGTCGTTTGTCTTCAAACCTAGTACGTCGGTTTTGTTTGTCACTTCGGGACATGAATGAAGTTGAAAACACCATAGTGTAGTTTGCGCGTCGGGATAGGTCGGGATTTGCCTATTTGAGTCGTACTATGAGCGTCAGGCGGGTTTCACTCTGATCCTGCCGGAATCAGTGCAAAGATGCGGTGCGCTTGGATTCATCATGCCAGGTCGTCAAGCACATATATATAAGACCCTGAGTCCTCCTCGCCTTCCTCACCACGTCCTTGACGATAACGGTACTCTACGCTTTTTCCTTAATTTTCTCTCCTTTACGAGAGTCTTTGTGGCCGGTCCACAGTAGACATCGTTGTTTTCGTTTTCCTTACCTTTTTTTTTGTCAAGACACTCATCCTTTCGGCGAAGTTCCATTATGTTCAGCAGATCAGCAGCCGTCGCGAACCAGAGTGGTCGCTTTTTGTCCCCTCTTTCTCCAATCTCACCTCTGAGTGCCTCGTTCGGTGCAGTTGATGCCGAGGTTCGTCGAGGGATGCGTTCAGGGAAGGTGATTCGAAACGTGCCCAAGACGTCTGGTACTACCGTCGCCCTCGAAGTGTCAGGCTCGACCACCCCTTCCACATCCATAGGGTTTGGATTCGACTCTACAATAATGGAGCGTTTGGAGAACGCACTCGCTTCTCCGTTCTCTCCCAAGAGCTTGCGCTCTTTCTTGCCCAACTCTCCTACAGTCACCTCTCGTATGAGCGGTAGCCCCCTCAAGCCTCGCATTGCTGGCGGCCGTGCTGACGCCAGGGTCGTCTCATTGAAACCGCGAAAGAAGGGGACGCCAAAACCGCTCCCCCTCAATCAACCGTCTCGTCTTTCGGAGCAATCACCGCTCTCGCCGTTCAAGTACTCAACTTATGTCGAAACGTGGGTGTTTCATATTCCCTAATCTCGTAGCTGTGCATATATTGACTATGCTATTATGATAGTAAAGCGACTCTGGCGCCCATTTCACCATCTGCAGTTCTTTCGAAACTGTCTCCAGTACCCAATGTTACTTCCATGTCCGAAGCTGATATTCGCAAGCAGAAAATGGAGAAGCTCGCCCGCTGCCTTGGTGAGACAGGTCCGCAGGAAATGGTGTTCCCTTCCTTCGGACAAGTTGGCGCGGAGGTGCAAGGTGTTCCTACCTATCTCGACCTGTACCGTCAACACAGCGCTATCGACGATTCCGTGTTGATGAACTTGAAGTCACCTGCTCCTCGCGATTCCAAAGTCGACTGGGCCACTTTGGATGACATCGAGACAAAGAACAATGAACCAATCACGAGAAAGTCCATGCTTCGCCGAAGCCGCTCTGTTGGCGATTTCTACAGTGCGGAGGAGATTTTGGAGATGCGCCAAGTTCGCGTGGAAGCTGTCACCACCACAGAGGCAGAGGAGGGAATGCGCTCTGCGGTTGCTTCTGTCATCAAACCAGTTGAAGAAGCACCTATGGAGCTTCGTCGCAAGCAATCCATCGCCAATGCCAAAGCCTCTATTCTTGGGGACGACGCGAAGCTCATGGCTGACTTCCGCTCGAGCTTCAAGCCTCGTCCTCTTGACTTGTCGCTCGACTTCAGCAATTCGCCTCTCCCTTCCCCTCCTGCACCTTCTGGATTTGAGGTCAGGTCTCCTCGTGCTCCGTACTGGGTGAAGCCTATTAGGATGCCTAAGACCCCACGCACTTTGAGAACGGAACGTAGACAAGGTTGGGGAGGCAAATGGGACTTTGTCGAGACGATGGGCCAATTGAAGCAGTTGTGAAGGGCTTTTATACGATGCGAGTGATGATGAGTTTCATGACTTACGACCGAATGCTATTAAACACTGCGGACTGTTGCTTCATGCATCTAGTTACTACTCAGGATTTGTGTTGACCTCTGATGAATTCTGCCAATTATTCTTTATGCATATGCTTGTATTGTGATCTTCCATTCACTTCTATCCTATCGTAGACATCCGTATATGCCTCATGGCTCCGGTCATCAACTGCCTATTCCTTGGAGTGAATGTGTGAAGGGCTTATACCAACCGCTTACTCGAGAACGTAAAAACGTTAAGGGAACACTGCGGTGAATTCGAGGCATACAAAGTCAAAAACATGTATAGCAAGCATAGGCGCATGAGAAAACATATCCCGACAACGGCTCGGCAACGCCTAATGGTGACCTGATCCACCTTTTGATATCCTCCATATGAAGCTCTTGCCCTCCAGCAACCCAAAGCCAACGTCAACGTTATGTGAATGTTTAGAGCTTCTGGGCGGTGGCAACAGAGAGGGTCTGGCCAGCGGCCTTAGCACGCTTGCGGAGCTTCTGGGTGGACTTGTTGCCACGGATGCCTCCACCCCATTGACGGCGCTGTTCCTCGTACTTGTCGCTGCTAAAGGGATGTGAGCAATAATGAACAGAAAAGAGACGAGAAATACAACATACAAATTGGCCTTAGCGGCGCTGACGAGAGTAGCGAGCTCGCGTTGGTCCTCAGACTTGACGTCCTGGAGGGTGACGACGGCAGCGGTCTTCTTGTGGACGACCGTACCGAGACGAGCCTTGCCCTTTACGATGACATAAGGGACACCCATCTTGCGGCAGAGGGCGGGGAGGAAGATGACAAGCTCAATAGGGTCGACATCGTGGGCAATGACGACGAGGGATGCCTTCTTAGCCTCGATGAGGGCAACACAGTGGTTCAAGCCATATTTGACAAAGAGTGGCTTCTTGGAGTCCTGAAAAGATATTGATTTAGCCTTCTAAACTCGAAGTAAAAGCGACGACACAAAAATACCTTAGCCTGAGCCTCCTTCTCCTCAGCAGTGGCCTTGGCAGTAGCCTCGAGACGAGCCTTCTTCTCCTGCTTGGTCTCAGGGCGGTACTTGTTAAGGAGCTTGAACAACTGAGTAGCAGTGTTCTTGTCGAGAGTATGGGAGAACTGAGCAATAGCAGGGGGGACCTTCAGACGCTGGTTAAGGATAACCTTCTGGCGTTGGAGGCGGACATATTCGGGCCACTTGACGAAGCGAGTCAAATCGGTCTTGGGCTGGATATCCTGACCTGAATAGGATGAATTAAGCCCTCGTTGAGCTTCTATAGGAAAGGATGAACATACCAATACCGAAGTTCTTGGGGCGAGCCTCAAAGAGCGGGTTCTTCTGAGTCTTTGCGGGACCCTTACTGGCGCCGTAAGGGGCGGGGGCGGGCTTCTTACCGGTAGACTTGGCCTTGGGCTGGTCATTGAGACGTGTAACATTAGCAACATGTGACAACAGTACAAGAGACTGCTGTCGTCGCTATGCACCCGGAGCTCTAACGCTTGCACTCTGTATCCTCATAGCGATTAAGGAGAGTAGCAAGCCCAGCATATTGCTTCATATTCCGCAAAGCGGGAAGCAGAGTGTGCTGACACACAGAATCCTAGAAGTTACGAGGCTAATAGGACCAAAATCAGTACCTCGATCACAATGTCATCCGAGAGTAAGCCATACCATCCATCCCGTATCTTCACCATTCTGCAGGATTCCAGTGGTTGAAAAGCTCCAGATGCATAGTGCGACAACCTGCATTAGATTCTCTCCTCACCATTGTGGTTGCTGGCTTGAAGACGGTGCTTGAGTCGGGCTTGAGGACGAGAAGCTTTCTGTAGGGCAGAGGCGAAATTGGATTGCGCTTACATATTCGAACTCCGCTTAAGTCAGCGCGGTGCCGCCGGCTAAAGACCTCGGCACGAAGCTTGGAGTTATTGAACGTCTTGTTTAACGCCCGCTGTGAAGTGAGGTGTTCTTGAGGTAGTAAGTCTTGAGCTTGTATTCCAAGTATGTGGGTTTGAACTCAACGTCCGCTAATCGAGGATCTTCGACTGCAACCGCTGACCGAACTAGTGGGCTTCCGTCTACATGCAGTGTACTCGTAACAAGCTTGTTATGGATTTTGCGACATTCATTGTCGTGAACGTCCGAGCTCGCCCTGTGTAACGGTACCGGTGCGGCTTCGGAATTTTATCTAATCACCAATCCCTCAAAACATGCACCGATATATCTAACTCTCGAAACCTCCTGACTCTCGCATAAGACTAGATGACTTCTAATCACCAATGGCTGTGACTCGTGCAGATTCGCCATCCCGAGAGGTGCGAACGAACGTCAGCTTTTGCTCATAATTTCAACTAGCAACGCGCGGTACGTTCAAGCTGCACCTCACCTTCACATCTCTTTCAGGTCTTCCCGCACCCGTGGATGGGTCCAGGCCTCGTGTCTAATCTATCCACAGAAGTCATTACGAATACTATGTCCGTCCTTCCAAAGGACGCTATTCCTCCGTCCCATCCGCGTCCCGGGGTCTAAGTAAGGAAGTCGATATTGTGCCGAATCTGACTGCTTGCTTTGGCCGAAACTCATGACAAACAGTGGCCATACTTCTCCCGTCTGACTACAATTCCTTCGCCGCTCTTACACCACTTCCAAGCTAGAAGCAGCAATTCCTCTCAGTTGAAAGCACATGCTTCAAGGCATGAGTCTCCGACTCTATTCGTGAGGTCATTCATTTTGTCATAGTTGTCTACTTACTCAACCGGACAGCGAGAATCCAGTCTTCTCCGAGGGAATTATCCATTGCCGGCGGCGATGTGACCCGCCACATAGCCCTACTAATGCCTTATCCATACGCTGCGAGCGCATGCCGCATATCACATTCTTATTGGTCGACTGTTCATAAATGAAAACATCCTACATAGCTCGCGGCAGTCCGACGGAGTCAGGATTGCCCTTCTTTTACTCACATGGTAGCTTGGTCCACGTCGACACACATCTACATTACTCTCAACGGATCATCGATGAAGCATTCGGAGGAAGATTGTGGCCATAACGGTAGATTGGTATACGTACCGTGTGTACGGTTGCCTAAGCCATTGGCTCACTTGGGACAAGAGAAGCTGTTCGGTTGACAGCCATGTAGTCATGCAAGTAGCCGTTCCAAATTATTGTCAATGAATAACCCGCACCTCCAGAATATGCTAAGCACTATACTATATCGTAAGTTTCTTGTACTGGAAGACCATGCGTATGTAATAAGCCCATGTTCGACATTTGCAATTGAGTACATGGTCAAGGTTAAACCCCGGTCAACGTCAGACTGTCAAAGTAATGTTACATCCACCCATGTGCAACGCAGCGATGATTGCCCTGGAGCCCAGACCAGTCCTGATCTCCAACTACATAGTCAAAGGCGTACTGCCCTGATCGATTTGGGGTGTACATATGCATAGTTTGGCGGCAATCAAGCCCACAACTGCATCAACACCGTTCAACGTGGTGTTCAGCACACGTAAGAAAAACGTATGCTACCAGTCACGATCCGAGGTTCTCAGAGAAAGCCAATTGGAAATTGGAAACAGGGACATTGATCCTCTATTCACTCTGAGTACATGTGACAGTATAGCAAATAGCGATCCATCGTCTCGTTCTGATATAGCGCATTGCTATATGTTATCTTCGACAATATGAAAAGCTCCTGGGGGAAACGAAAGAGAAGACGCTATACCAAGTGATTTGTAAGATGGTATGATGGTCGCGGGAGATAGTAGCAAACGTCGTGCGACAGAGCGCAAGTCCCTACTCACTGCTGCGCCGCCCAGATAGATTAGCCCAAACCAATCCTTGCGGCCGCCACAACTCAGCAAACATCAGTCCCTCTAATGAGGAATTCCGACGCAAGACATGAGTTCGTGGCCCGAAGGTCTGACTTGGGGTGGTCTGCCAGACGGCTCAGGAGTGACGAATGTAGACTGTGGAGAAGGGAGGAGTAGACAAAACAGCCCGACAACGACAAGCACGACTCACTGTAGATGAGTTGAGTGGGGGATGAGGGAGGATAAACTCAGTGGAAGTCAGGATGTGGTATCCGATAGTCTTATGCCCAGATAGCGAGGTGTCTTTATAGTTTGGTCCGGCGGCTATCCAGTTCGACCCATGCATATGTCCGAGTTGATGGATTGTCCCACGAGAGAGCAAAATATCCACTTGGCGACAACGGGCGACAACCGGGAGCAGAGAGAATGTCGCTGACCAAATCCAGATTTAGGTAAGTTGCTTACTGTGCATGGCAAAGAGTGGTGTATGTCATTCTGAGTATCGATATGAACACCATGACCAAGAGACTCCAGGGTAATGCTCATGATGTGTAGGAGTCGGCGACAATAGACTTGGAGCAAGAATGGTTGTACTCAACATATGTCAGTCAAACGTATTGGTAGTGATCGGAAGTTGGCGAGCTACTTACGAACGATTGCGCAAACATCGCCGATTCGTGGCTCCACAACGGTCGGTTAGATGTGACGAATCAGAAGAAAGATGCCGAATTCATACAAATAGAATCAAAATAAGGCACTACACCCGACGTTACTCTCAAGGCAAATGCAAAGAAAAAGACATATCCTAGGTGCCTCGGATAACTTTGAGCGCGTGATCCGCGGGGTATGTCGAAGTAGCTCAAGCGCGAGAAGTTATTGAATATTGAATATCGTCACCCTGGTTCAAGGCATGTACACCTGATTTGTATCTGACAATACCCAACAACAGGGAACCAGGATACCGTAGAGACATAACCCTAACCTCATAAGAACAACATGCCGCTGATCATGGGAGCACGATGTGGAGCTCTGTTCACGTAAAAACATAGATTGAGGATTCGTACCTTTGCTTTAACGTTTGCAAGAACGCTATCTAGACACAACCGTATCATGTTCGCGATTGATAGTACGGCGAAAACATCGGACAAGATACCAGCCGAGCAAAGATAAGGACCGAGAGAGCGGTCTTTTGGTCACCTCTCGTGTCGAAGAGACGCTGTTGGATTTCGGGGGAGTAACTAACAAAAAGAAAAACTCACACAAAGTAGAATTCCGCAGCCGCTAGATCCACTACGGAACTTCCCCGATTTCGACAATGATACGGGGAGATGCTGATTCTGCAACGCGTGTGGGATGGAACCGGTCTAACGTAGAACACCAGCTGCACGAAGATCACGGTGATCACAAGCCTTTCATTTGGTTAGGAAGCACTCTATGTTCTACGTCAATAAGCTTGGGGATGATAGCAGGAATTATTAAGCCATGACAGTTCGCACCATTCCTGAAGGTCGCTGACACGTTCATCTTTGACAACGAACCGAAAATAGAGATGCGAACGACAAAATGTCGATAAGACCTTTAATACGCCCGGATCTGCAAGGAACGGGTGAGCCGAACATTCCTGACTTGTACAGTCGATTCTGATACTGGATATTTCCCGGTAGCAACCGAGAACGATCTTCCCAGGAGATTCTGTGGAACAATATCAGAAAAAGGGGGAATTTGTATATCCCTATCTGAGCGGGAAAAATAGTATGTTTCAAGGAAGGAGTAGGCCAATCGAGCGTTCTTAGACGAAACAAATTGAAGGTTGAGGTTGAAGTTGAGCCTGGCAGGTTGAAAATGTAAACATCCCGATTAGTCCTTGTTGTTTGTGCGTGTATGGCAAGACCTTCTGAGTCAAACAACTTCAAACAAACACTCAATGAAGATTTCCAACCTTTTGCTTCGGCATCTTCCATTTGCTGATTCTTCAAAAACTAACGCTTTAGCAGGTGGGCTTTGGACGGGCTTTCCATCCTTCTGCTGCATTCTTGGTACACACTTCTTGCTCGTCATACATCGTGCTGTGCGAATACTTACTGTAGAACAGATAGCCTATCGCCAGGTCGAACGCCGGTTCCCAATTCTTACCTGAATGACAGTTGTATCGCCGCACACGGCTCCAACCTCTCAGTTACCACCAATCGGCAAAATTAAAACATGTTCCATCGAAGAACTTATTATATCGATTCGTTATCTTCGACTTCTATATACCCCGGAAGTTCGTGGCACGCGGAGGATAGGCCAATACCCGGTTTTCCCAAGACCTACGGAAATCGAATCGACGACGAACATTCTCAGTCAACATCAGACGAAGTACAACTCGCATGATACCTTGACTTCTGCCGAACAGTCTTTACATGCTATCAACTTCGACGAGTTTGAGAGGTCGTACGCGATTCGCTGGCTGACTGCACTTGTCTCTCAGGCGGACCAGCTTTTGTCCTGCACAGACTCTTCGCTGCAGGATAATCCAGTGCTAGAGTCCCAGGCCGTTGAATGGGAGAACATGATCGAGAATGCGGCCGCTCTATTGGCCACCTGCGCTGGCACGGCTTCGGCTGGGACCGTTTCTCGAGTCTTCGTCTTCCCTTACGGCGCTAATCCCCTTATGAGAGTCCAAATACGTGATGCTCCTTTGGAGAATCACGACTTCCACAGTGTGGGTGCCCAAACTTGGGGTAGCGCATGTTTGCTCGCGGAGATGATGGTTGATTCACCTGACTTGTTTGGTCTGAGCAACACACCCCACACGAGACCTCTGCGCGTCCTCGAGCTCGGAGCTGGCACTGGTCTCGTTACTTTGACTGCTTCCCTTTTGTTACATGGCTTTGGGGCCGACCAGTTTACCGCTAAGGTCGATGTCGTTGCGACCGATTTCCACCCCTCGGTCCTCGAGAACCTTCGTTACAATGTCGCAGATAATATCTCGGCGACAAACGTCCAAGTCCACTTCTTGGACTGGTCGCAGTTCCCACTTTCACCATCTTCAGCACCGTTCAACAACCCTTTCGACATCATCTTCGGCGCGGATATTATCTACGAAGCAGAACACGCCAAATGGATACGGAACTGTCTTCGGCTGCTGCTGCGGAAGCCGGACGGCCGCCAGGCCGAATCTCGCTTTCACCTAGTCATTCCACTTCGTCCTACCCACCCAATGGAATCCCAGGCCATTGACTTACTCTTCCCAACTGGCTCTCCATTTCAACCTCCTCCCAACGGGATATCTGTGCAGACTATTCCAATACTAGGAATCATCAGGAAGGACGTTATCGTGTGCGGGAGTGGTGCGAATGTTTGTTCTCGTGCTTCTGACTCGGACTTGGTGGAATATGCTCATTATACCATTGCATGGATTGATCCTCCTATTTCCGACACTAACAACGCAATTACTCTTAGACACCACACAGTTTCAGACTAACTTATGCCACCACGTATAGATAGACCCCTAGACTAGATTCGTAGACATAGATAGACAAACTGTATAGATCGTAGACGACATTCCTGGATTTGTGATGTATATCTTTTTGGGGCACACAGCATCTTGCGGATGTATCTTCTTTGTGGCAATGTAAGTGACCCAATGGTGTTTCCGTGTGCAACAAATGCTAACAATGTGTATATTATCCAGAAAGGAAGTGGAGCTTTCCGTTTTGGAAAATATGTTCTTTCTTCCGTCTATAGCCGACATACGTCATAGGGGTGCTCACTCCTCGAAAGTCATATATAAAGCGGATCTTTCAACTTAGGAGTCTCTGCAGATCTTCACGTTAACAGGATCAATCACACGAATCTCTATCACTGTCCGAATCTATCTTGTATTTTATACGATGTCCGATACCTCTGATCCTCCGCCAGCAGGCACAGGAGGCACAGGGAGCGCGGCGGAACCAGGTAATGCAGGACGTGCTGAAAGTCCGGGAAAGGGTGCTTCAATGGGTGAGAAAGTCCGGTACGTCTCCTATTGCACTATGATACAGCTTCGTGTCCTTACACTAGCGAATGATTCACTCAGTGGGGCATTTGGGACCGTACATGGTATGTTTTATGTTTGCCCTAAGTGTCATGAATGAACGCGTGACGCAATATACTGATAGGCGTATTCGGCGCGTTCTTAGGTTACACAGAATCGTTCCGAACGGGTGTGCTGGACTTCGTTGATACTGCTACTGGCACCAAAGACCGTCGTCAGGTTCATAAGGATGCCGGTGAGACGGAAGAGGGGGTTCAAACGCAACCGATGGAACATAGAGACAAAGATAAAGTGGCGACAGCCCCAGGAACGACCGCTCCTGAACCTACAACTGCTCCTGAACCTACAGCAGCTCGTGAACCTACAACTGCTGCGGCCCCTAGTCCTGTAGGCGATGTAAAGAAGTCTCATGAGCCTACTGCTCCTTTTGAGGAACGTGCAGGCGGTACTGGCACGTCGACCGCAACTAAAGTTTGAGTACAAAGGTGAGCTGGGTGAATCTAGGGGAGGCATGTAATCGTTGATCATGGATTCGGCAGCCTTCAATGCATCAGTATAGCAGCCATTCGTCATTTCCACTTGTTTAAAGATGATCGCGACATAATATTACCGCCTAGGTTTATTCAGGAAGTGGCATGTAGTAATAGGTGCGAGTAAACGGGACGGACAATCTATCATACAAGTCAATGTGATCTGTAGCAATACAATCCAGATATTGAAGATGAAAATCAATGTGAGATGGGGTTACATGGGTAACGGCGTAGCCAAGACGAAAAGGATATATCGGTGTCCGTAAGGAACTTTTTAAGAACGATCTGCGCGTTTGCGTAGGACGTGAGGCTCAACTTCGGGGGACATTATCAGGCCTTTCCAAAGTTGTCTCCATGATATCGGGTTGCCCTACACAACACGCATTAAAAGTAAACTCTGATAACTAGAGACGAACCACATACCTGATCCCTATGCATAAGACAGAAAGTCCCTGAATACGACCCATGCGTGAAGTTCTCCAACTTCACATATCCTTTGTACATCAATTTTCGTTTATCATACCCGCCTATCCGAATCTGAACAAGCCCGCGATTGGGGTTGCTCTTATCCTTCACATGTTCTGGGGGTTTGTACTTGACTCTAAGAGCGGTGAGAGCCTCTTCGATGAGTGGCAGTAGAACACCGGGCCCAACGGAGGTGTAGAATCGAGTCAGATGCGGTGTGTATCTTTGGCCAGACTGCGTTTGTGACTGAACAAGGAATAAGTGATAACGCGAGCTGAACGATAGAATGGCGGTAACGTACGAAGAGAAGAAGCGATTGGGTGAATTGAGATTTGTGTGGTGAAGGTGCCTTCATGATCGTATCTCCGTCCTTGTCGACGTCTGATTCGCTGCAAATCACAACATTAGCCAAAACATTGGGACCTTCATGGTATGAACTTACGATCCACTCATTGAGGGTGTAAGATAGTCATAGTCGCCCTGCTTCCTCAGGTTCTCTGTGAGTTTCTCGGCAATAGCGGCGGGTCCTTGGTTCGCTAGTTGACTCGGTCTAGCGAACTTAGTTCATTTTTGGAGTATATAGGAAGAAATGGTGCCACATACCGCATCATCCAAGGATGCTGGAACGCTTGTGAGCATGTCAGACGTTCCCTAGGGTCAACAGCAAGCAGACCCGTCAACATCGCTGGGAAGGAAGGTGAATAAGGATTTGTACAGACAAGGAGATTCGGTTGAACTTACATAGGCAATCCGAGCTGAAATGGTTCCATGGATCTTCGTCGAAGCATTTTCCTCTGATATAACGATGGAAGTCTGGGCTGTTCTTAGTCGGTTCATCCCAAGGCGTCGCTGCAAATATCCATCAATATGCGATGAATGGAAATGGAAAAATGGGTTGTACGTGAGGATACTTACTGCCTGTAAGAATGGTAAAGAGAATAATCCCGCACCCCCATACATCGATTGGTTCTGCGTCGTACAAGGCATCACCAGCAAGCTGTCAAGATACTCAGAAAGCATGTCGTTGGACCTTAGGTTTGTCTACTACCTCTGGTGCAACATATGGTAGACTTCCACATCGATCCGTGAGTTGTCGAGTTTTGCCTGATTTGATGTCTTTGAAGATTGAACAAAGGCCGAAGTCGCATATCTTTAATGTTCCTGCTGCATCGAGTAGAATGTTCTCGGGCTTAAGATCGCGATGGCAAACTCCTTGTGAATGAATATAGTCCTAGGGTCCGTGAGTTAAATCAAATATAATCATTATAGATGCACTCGTTAAATCGCACCACGCCAGAGATCATCTGAGTGAAGTAATATTGTGAGACTTCTTCACTGACACCCATTTCCGGAGCTATTGAAGTAGAGTTCAAGTTTTAATGTAATATGTGTAATATGGTATGCTTTCACACCTACCGATCTTGTCAAAGAGATCTCCACCTGCCGCCATTTCCAGAAGCATGTAAACAGCAGGGTAGTAAGGAGAGTTGCTGTTTGGTTCAACAATTACAGCATTGTAGAATTCGATGACATTCGGGTGTTGCATCCTGGAATGTGACTTCATCTCTTTGCGTAATGTCCTTCGTTCCTCGTCTGTGGTCTTTGGGGTTAAGTCGACAACTTTGCAAGCTGCGACACGTTCTTCTTCTATGTTGATAGCTCGGTATACGCTATAATCACGGGTAAGAAAAATACGTTTCTGTTTTGAGTTTGGGTGATACTTGCGTTGCAAATGACCCGCCACCAAGTCGATCATCCAGTTTGAATCCTGTTATGCAATCGTTATCGACGGTCATGACATTCCAGAAAATGCTCCATACCAGCAACGAGCGGAAACTTGAGGCCCATTTCGAGTTTTGTTGAGTGGGTACTGTAGTTCTTTGAATGTAGGACAGAACAAAGAAGCCGGGCCGACTCATCAACGGCGCGCATTTCGCGCTTGTCACAGTCTCGTGATAAGTGTCACGGGGGTTTTGTTCAATCCCTTCAGGCTTTCCGCAACTCGACGTACTTAAATCTTGTGTACATATCTGCTTTCTCCCAACATACATGTTGAATAGCGCCCCGTTTCGGCTGCACAAGCTGAGCTGGGACTTGCTAACATATACCTCCGGCTGTACCGTCTCTTGAACGGGCTAATCCAGATACTACTAAGCTACGTTATCGGTTGTATCTGCCAGGACGAACTTACTGCTCCGTACCGTGATGATATGGCGTGACAACCGCAACGTTGTTGCCCTTTGTGAGTGTAGACCATTGGCTCACGTCTATCATTGGTGGTACGTTATATAAATGGCATCTCAGAACAATCTCTTTGTTGTTGGTTTGTACCAGGGGAAGATTCATATTGGAATATATAAGCAGGTGCTCGTTACTGAGCTTCGAGCGATGCTGTAGTATTCTACGTGTACAGTGAGTTTACATCATGGTACTTCATATCCTTGGTCTAACTGTGCCTTCGGCTTGTACCGATATCATGTCCTCGATGACGGAAGAAGATCTACAAGTAGGGAATTTTTTTTTGTCGTCGTTGCATGCTTGCTAGACATACATATAGTGGTAAGTATCTTCTGACTTAATTTGTTCTCACCCACGGATTATATTCACAGATCATTGATTGGCTGAATCTTAACTGGTGGCTGCATTACTTAATCGTGGTGAACACTGTTAGCATTTCCCATAGCTATCATGGCCATAACATATGCGGCGCCAGGCAAGTACTAAGTCATTTTTTCAAATGACGCTAATTGAGACCTGTTGAACTGATGTGTTCATTTTAAGGTACGTGCAAGTTGTCAGTTTTTTTTTGCTGGTGGTTTCAAGGTCAAGCCTAACATCATCGCATCTTCCCGAGCTATGACTTCCCTGTTATTACCCGACGACTCGTATTCCGATCCCGTACCTATGATGAGTCACGCGGCCTCATCTACCTCTCGAGACCGGGCATTCGCTGATAAGAACGTTACTACGACGCGCGGCGGTCTCACCGCAACGAATATAGATCTAATTGAGTACGTTAGTGTGACTGCAAACCATACACCTGCATTGACCTTTTTTGACGATCAGGTTAGCTCGTAATTCATATGAATTCATGACGAAAGTCTCCGGAGCGTCAGTACATGTCCTAGAACCAGAGAGAACAGATCCTGTCTGCGCGTAGAAGATCCAGAATGAAGCACAGTCCCGCTAACCAATGCAAGTCTTTCTTGGGTACTGCTACACACGTACCACGGACGTACCATCTATGAATTAACCTGACAGTGATACATTTACGGACTTTTCTAACTCACTTCCCCAAGCACATGTATAATAATATCGCTGCCAACCAAAGCCCTGGAGAGCCTGCACACCGCTGTTTCGAGCCGCAATGCAGCAACCCTCGGAACCGTAGACGTTCCACTGTCTCCTCGAGGCTCGCTGTTATAGAGACCCGGGCGATATTCGAAGCACAGGACGCCAATTGGAGCCCTGTCAAAATTGACATCTGGGAGCGGATACACCCAAACGTAGTACGCACTCGCTCATGATTGGCGTTGAGAGGACGTAAAAGCTAACATGTCAACAGCACGTATCTCACTAGCAACGAGTGCATTCGCTGCCGGTACCTGCCTCGAAACACACTCAGAAAATCTCACACCATTTACACACTGCGGAATGTGGCCGCTGGCTCCAATTCTCAACGGCGATGCCCGGCAGGCGGTTTCGAATACGCTCTACTTGCGCTCCACTAAATCACAATCAAAATTAGTGACAGCGTCTCCAGGCCCGATCAGGTAAACTCCATCCTTCGACTTGTTGGAAACTTGAACTTTGTGTGCGTTCGGGTTGCCGTAAGATTCCAATCGCGACGCTCAAATGCCCCCGACAACCCGATATATATGTTTACCACCTCCAAGGGGCATTGTTGCTACCCAATGTGTCGCTATCCTTTCTGTAAACCACTGCCCTGAAGTAGCACTCAATTTCACTCGTAGCCTTAAATCGCGTCGGAAACTGACGAAATAGGGTTCAAATTCGAAGCGTCAACATGGTGGATTGGAATAATCCAGAGGTCGTGCGGACGTGTGCCATTTACCTGCAACAAAGTTTCGTTTTCGTTTTCGCAATCTATCTGTCGGTACACCTGCTTTCTCCAGGTCTATCTTACTGACCAACAGTTCACGGGAAGATGGGAATATTTGTTGACTTTTGCCAACGTCGAAGGTCGTATCTTGACCAGGAAAATGAGATTCAGACCCGTTCTGGTAAGAATACATTCCAAGAGGATTCCTTATACGTGATACAACGCTCACCACGTTCTGCACGTTAGATACCGTATTTGTTGGGCCGATACGTGTGGTTGGCGAGTGTAATCGCAATGTGGGCTATATTGGCTCTGAAGCCCGGGCCTCCTGAACCCAAGTCCCAAACGGCCACAGAAGACCAGTCCGAACACCATTGTTCACGTAAGCAGTCCACCATGCCTCATGATAATGAAGGCTGACCGCCACGGAACTGGAAGTGATTTCAGCGTTGTTTTCCGTATGTCTCTCCATTTCTTAGACATATTCATAGCTCCAACAACTGTCCTAGATCGTGGCGTCCTTGTGTGTTGTCTGTGCCAGCACGAACCTTCTGATTCGTACTGTGATAATATGGCGAGGCAACCGATACATAGCCGGCTTCCTTGTTCTTGCGTGTGCTGGTCACTGGCTAACATCCATCGTCGCAGGTAAGTGCTACGCCGTTTGATGCCACATCCTTATGAAATCATGGCGACGCTTTTATTTTGTAGGTGCCTTAGAAGGACACAACTCGCAGATTAACCCCGATGTGCGCGTATGTGAATTCAGGCCAACAAGCGCTATCGTATTCTATATGTATAGTCAGTGAATCCCAATGGCAGTTCATCCTTGAGGTCTCACCTATGTTTGTGCAGCATTAGTTCTAGATCTTGCTATCCTTGCTTTGACGCTTTTTGGTCTCTGTCGGCGGCATATCTTGAACAGTGGGTCATTGTGGGTGAAGATATATAAGCAAGGCATATTTTATTTTGTGGCGGCATTCCTAGTAAACGTACCGATGCTAGTGAGTGATACATTATTCAATCCATTGATCACTCATGTATGGAGCGGTTAGGTGTTGGTTTTGCTTGATCTCAATCGTACGTCACCTACACTGTTCGAGAACTTTACTGACTTATCCGTAGCCGTAATGAATGTTATTTGCGCTGCACCCGGTAAGTGGGGAACATTTCCTATGACATGATTCTCAAAATTCTCATGGCAAACAGGTGTGACTGTCAGGTAAGTAGGCCAAGCCTACGCGCTGCGACAAAGAACTGACCGTCCGTGTCTAGTATAATCGCATCTTCCCGAGCCGTAACGTCTCTCCTTTTATCCGGTGAACCGCGTACAATCCATGCTACAAGCGACACCTCCTTGCCTATACCTCGCGAACAGGCCATCCTTGAGAAGGACGTGCCTTCGTCGCGCAACGGTCTCTTCAGCACCAATATCGAATTAGCCGAGTGAGTACACGAGCTTGCGGTAAATCGACGTACGGCGTTTGACACAGTGAAACGGATAGCTTGGCTCTAAGTTCGGGCGAAGTCAGGGATGACTTTGCACATTCGCCATATCGCCAATAATGGCGGCTCGATGCGCATTTTCAAGCTGTATCTTGAATTGCGATTCGCAATATACACTTTCTTGAGTACATTTACAACAAAATCTACATCGATCGGTTCCCCATGGACGCACCATAAACCTTGTTCACCTTCTCCCGTGCTGTTCAGCTGCCCCAAGCAGGTTAGCAACGACAGCGGAACTATCCTGAATACGTTTGAGGTGATCGAATAGATGTCGAATTACTTTATTGGTGTCCGAAAGTAATTGTTGCTCGGTTGGGAGTTCTGGATTTTGAGGGTCGAGGAGCGGTAGCGCACCAACCCCCGAGTGTCTGAGGAGTTCTTGCAATAGGTCAACCGCCTGCCTCAAAGAAACGATGTCCGCTAAAGAAATTCACAGCCCATAATCGAGTTGCAATGGTCCGGATCGGACATACCTGATGTCTGTATAGGATTGGTCCCTGGACGATAGGCGTGTTCGCTATAACAGAGGACATCGGGTTCTATATCATTTCTACGCATATTAAAACGCTTACATTCCGGCTATGGCGCTCCGAACAAGCGACTGCACTCTGGTTAACTGATCGAGAACAAGTATGATGTTCTGCTTGAAAGTTTCTGGCGAGTTGACGTCTTGCGATCCCAATAAACTCAAGTCACTTAATGTCTGAGATCCGAAGGTCTGGCTGCCAAAGCTTGAGGAAATGTCGGGAAAGTTCAACGATTGACTCGTTGCAAACAAGCTTGACTGCGAGGTAGATGATTGTGTAAAAGACTGAGACAGAGGAAGCATGATGGATGCTTGAGAACAAGATTGCATTAGTCTGTCAAGCGAAGTGATATTGGGCGCTTGTTGGTAACACGCTGTAGCTGCGAGGTCAATTCAGGTTGTCGCTGATCCTTTCTTCTCACCACCACTCTGTTTTTTCAATCATTGAGTTATAAGGTGCAATGCTCGCTTGAGTGCCGAGGTCCAAAGGGCCCTCCCCTCTCAAGCAACAAGTTTCCCACTTGTTGGCCATAATTGTTTAATATGGACTCCGATTCTCCAGAAGCTAGACAACAGTTGGAAATTACCGCCCTCAAGAGCATTTACGATGATAACTTTATCGAATCCCCTCCTCCAAAGGCTTGGAAGGTAGCTTTAAAGACCTTTTAGCGTGTTCAGTGGCTGAGAAACGACACAGGGAGCACCGAGACTACCAGAATTCATTATCAAAGTACATCATCCAGACGAAACTTATGCTGAGAAGATCTACTTCCATTTACACACAAAGTGAGATCGTCGTCAGCTAGTGGCATGTCACTGGCTGAGTTCTGAAATCTAGGTTTCCGAAGACGTATCCCGCACTGGCATGTCCCACCTTCATGATTCAACAACCTATCGCGGGCCTGAAGCCCAATGAGGTGACGAAACTGTCCAATGCCATTCACACAGAAGCCCTGAGAAACAAGGGAACAGAGTCAGTTTTCATCGTACGTTGCACTTGACACCTCTGTCAATGACCCAATCTGACTTGCATGGCTTCCTAGGTTGTGACTTATGCGCAGGATTGGATCTTGAATAATATTGCTCCTCCCGTGGAAGTGTCAGGCTCATTAGCCACTGAGATGATCAAACGATCTATCGCCGAGGAGCAGGCTAAAAAGCAGCGTGAGGAGGCTGAAGCAGAAGTGGCCATGGAACGAGAGGCACAAAGGGCAGAAGAACTTCAGGAACAGATTCGGGCCGACGTCGAACGGCAGCAGCAGGAACAGCGAGCTCGCAAGAGGGCGATGTCTGACGCAACAGAAGTTCCTGTCATTGAAGACGTCCCCGACACAACACCAACCGAGTCCTTTCCAAAGGAGATTTCTTGGCAGAATGTCCACTTCCGCGCTGTCAAACTGTTTCATCCACAGAAAGGTGTGTTTGGTTTTACGATTGATATGCTGATATTAACATTTGTATAGAGCCGATCGGCGTGATTTGGCAGGCAGAACCTGTCGCGGATGATGCAAAGGTCTCACTCCAGCTCGAACTTTTGAACGTCACATTCGAATCGCGATATTATTCCACCAATCAAGGCAGGAAGAAGCTGAAGCAGTTGGAGTCCGAGGTCCAGCGTTTGGTTGCCGTACAGCAAGCGAATTTAGTCACTGTTCTTGCTGTGAAACTCGTGACTCCTCATTCAAGCGGACCTCCTCGGCTTTCAATATTGTCCGAAGCCCGACCACCTGTGACTCTGGATGATGTTCTCGAGGATTGCGACTGCTTACGTGAAGATCGTGCTTCTGTATGTGCCTCTTGTGGCAATCTACATGAAAGTATTTAGCTTCACTCACAATTCTCTTTCTAGGAATACCTGGGCCAGATCCTATCTGCACTCGGCGCCATCCACGAAGCTGATCTCGTTCACCGCGGTTTGTCGTCTCGTTGTGTGGGTCTCGTATCGGGAGATCGTCCGGGCGAGTCGAAACGCGTCAAGGTATTCAAGGTGTCTTATCATGTTCGACTTCTGGATATGCATCGCTCCGATCCTTTCGGTTGCGATAGTGGCAGAGGTCATCTTGAGGACCCTCCCCTTCCGGAAGGCTGGTAGGTAGCTTTAGTTCAGAATGTCGAAACATCTGCCTGATTAAATGCCAAAGGTTGCCTAAGGACGCTGTAGATTCTCCCTTAGTATACACCAAGAACCGCGACATTCACGCTGCCGGGATCATTCTACTACAAATGCTTATCGGTCGAGATGTCGTCGACAGGTACCCAGATCCACAGACTGCCATCCGCAATAGTAAGTCTTAATCGTTGCGGACTTGTAGACAATGCACTCATAAATGATAGCCACAATCTCTCCGAGACTTCAACAGATCGCTTTAAACATGCTCACACCAACGAAGAAGAACGTGTCCAGTTTTTCGCTCTTGGCAGAACTTGCAGGTGTCGCATTCAGCAATGGGTCACGATCACCCACCATAGTCTTCTCAGGTAGCTATTATTCAGGTCTTCACGAGGTAGCATCAGACTTATGCCGATGATCTTTAGGACCGAAGACACCCATGACCTACCAGTTCAATGGTTCGCCGGAATCTGATTACTTCCGAGCTCCGCCTCCCCCGAAGATGAGACATAGCAGATGGAAAGAAGACTGGGAGGAACTTGAGCTTCTTGTGAGTAGTGACTGTTTCCAAAGCATTCTCCACATTCTCACGGCCATTTCAGGGTCGAGGCGGGTTTGGTTCTGTTGTGAAAGCAAGGAACAAGATAGACAACTTGATCTATGCAGGTACGTGGGTTCAGAGGTTGAGGATTGCCGATCTCACTGTCGTTGCTCAGTCAAGAAGATCAGGCTTAAAGCAACACAGAGCGATAGTAGGATCTTTCGAGAAGTGAATGCTTTAAGTCGTCTGAATCATCGCTTCATCGTGCGATACTATACCACATGGGTTGAAACGTCCGAAGTACCCTCCACCACGGCCTCATCTGCAGGAAGCGATTCAACCACATCCGTTCCAGTTACGAGAGAACATTCGGAGGATGGTAGCGATACTAACCCTTTCACATTTGATATGGATGACCTGGCCTCTGAAAGCCACAGTCGTCGTTCTTTCCCGAGCATCAGGTTTACGAGGTCGGGCACCCCTGAGGAGAGTAGCGATAGTGATGAGATTGACGATGATGACCCATTCCTACCTGAGGGATTGCGAGGGAGGACGACAATCAAGAGGAACAGTCCTTCTCCTGGTGCCCCTGCAGTCATACGAACACTGTACATTCAGATGGTATGTCCTGCTAAAAACAAACTGATCAGACGCTCACCTATGTATAGGAATATGTCGAAAGGCAGACGCTTCAGGAGGTACGGGAGCTCTAGAATCGAAACGAAGGCAACACTGACCACAGGCACAGAGAATCGCCGAGGGCCTCTCCGAAAGCGAAGCATGGAGACTGTTCCAGCAGATCGTGGACGCTTTAGTTCACATGTCCAGTCTCGGCATCGTAAGTAGAATCCTTTCATGACAGCGCAAAAGTTATTCATGGTCTTCTAGCTTCATCGTGACATCAAGCTCACCAACATCTTTATCGGTACGTCCATTCCTGAAGTCTCCAGCCGATTCTCCACTAACCCCATGCAGACGGCAAGGGCGATTGCAAAGGTAAATTTCATTTTGGGCCGTGTCCCGTGGATGACTCATTAAATGTCTTTCTAGTTGGTGACTTTGGGCTTGCCACTTCGAGTTTGGCTGCCGTTGACCCATCCGATGTTTCTCTTTCCACTACCGCTGATGCTGATATAACATTGGGTATGTCTCGCTCTCCGGACATATATTTCATGAGGTTGAATTGTCATTCAGATGTCGGTACTAAATTATATATTGCACCTGAAGTGCAATCATCGAAGGGTGTCCCTCGTAGCCACGACAAAGCCGACATGTACAGTCTTGGGGTAGGTGTCTTTTTCGTTACCAACTAGAACAAGACAGTTTCCTGACCATGTTATACATAGATCGTGTTCTTCGAAATGAACTACATGTTCTCAACCCGCTCAGAGCGCATTGTAGTAATCGAAAGCCTCCGCAAGCCGGGCATTTACTTCCCATCTGATTGGGATGCACGCAGGTCAAGACAAAGACAGAGTGAGCCCAAGGCTTCTCATTAAATTCTTCCTCCCTGAATATTTCACAGTTATCACTTGGCTGCTTCAACACAATCCCAATGATCGGCCGACCGCTTTGGAGTTGTCCCAAAGCTCTCTGCTTCCACCGAGAATGGAAGATGAATACTTCAAGAACGCACTCAAGATGATGGGTATGTTTGCCTAGCTTCCGCACAGCTTTTATTGACATGCGTCTTGTTTCAAGTAAAACCTGATTCACCCCACTACCAAGCTGTGTTGTCGACATTATTCAATCAAACGGTCAAACCAGCTCGTGCATATTTGTACGACGCTGAGGTTGATCTTTCTGAAAATGCCACGCTGAATGGAATAGTTCATGATCGGATGGTGCAGATCTTCCGATTGCATGGTGCTATTGAGATGGAGCCTACACTCCTCCTTCCCGTGACAAATCCAGACGACGACCAAAGTCGTGCTATGCTCCTCGACCGGCATGGGGAGGTTGTGGCTTTACCTCATAATGCGCTGGTCCCTTTTGCTCGTTTGGCCGCAAGAGCAAATATTCGGCGTATCAAACGCTACCATATCGGAGACATCTACCGTTCAGTGTGAGTGGATTGTTGCTGATGCTTCATTGATTTCTTACATGGTGTTACGTAGTGTTACTCCTGGCCATCCGAAGACGATGAAAACAGCCGTGTTTGATATCATCACACCTGACGTGGAGAATGGATCAGTGGCCGCAGCTGCTGAGGCCATCGCGATTGTGAATACTTGTTTGGATGCTTTTGCTGGGCTTGCAACCTATGAGATTCATATATCGCATACCAAAGGTGTGTCTCTCTTTCAGGGCGCGAAGCTTCAACGCTGACAGAGTGCAGTGCTCGATGTTGCCTTAAGTCGGGTCTCTGCTGAGCTTCGATCAGAGGTGCTTAGAGTATTGGACCAGCCTAAGTCCTCACTGTCCCAGAAGCGCGCGATCTTGCTCAGGAAGGGCGTTCCACGCAATGTTGTTGATGAACTCGAGACTCTGATTGAGATAGGTATGCATAAGCTTTCCTTCCCTTCCGATATTGTTAATTTATGCTTGTAGATGACGACATTGATGCCTTTGTGGCGAAGCTGGAGAGGATTTCCCCACCCCTGGTCTCGCTTCTCAGCGGTGCCATAGACGAGATCAGGCGAGCTATCCAATACGCCAATGCGACCGGTGTCACACGTCCTATCTACTTTCATCCATTGTTCATGATCAATAGCCCCGACTCCTATTTTAAAGATGGTGTTTGCTTCCAAGTGCTCAGACGACACAAACGGTCGGACATCCTTGCGTTGGGCGGACGGTAAGTGTCGATATTTTACTAATTTCAGTTGAGCTCACCATCCGAAAGATATGACCACATCATCTCCCGTTATTCACCTCCCAAACCCAAATCTGATGCGATATGTGCAATCGCAGTTCAAATTAATCTGGACAAGATCACCCTGGCCTTAGCATCATTTCAGAGTGCATCCCAGAAAACCTTGCTGAGGGAACGACGGTCTTACGGATATTGGAGTCCCCGCCGCTGCGACGTTTATGTTGTATCTCACCAAGAAGGTTACTTGACTGATCGTCTGGAAGTGACAGCCTTGTTATGGCAAAACAACATCAGCGCCGATTTGATGTATGAATTTGGCTTTCAGAATGCCGAGCATGAGAATGTCGTCGATCAGTGTTCTCGAGAGGGTATATTGTAAGCATGCACTATGTATATCCATCGGCCATTTACCGAGCCACTTTTTCAGGTTTGTAGTATACCCTCGTCCGAGAACCGCCCGTCGAGATCAGCCTGCATTCAAAGTCAAGAGTGTATTGAGAGGCACCGAATACGAAGGTGATTATTCCTGCCTGAAGGTTGTCTGTCCTTTCTAATCTTGCTCGTGCAGTGTCTCGTCAAGAGCTTGTCCCGTTCCTGCACCAACAAATCGCCGAGCAGAAGCGTATCGACGCCGGACTCTCTGGAGTTGCCACTGTTACAGAAGGTCCCCAAAATGTAAGCACAACGAAGGAGGGGACTACATCCGCCGATGTTACATTGGTCCTTCCCGGGGACGCTAAGAAGCAACGGAAACACACCAAACAAATGTTCTTGGATAGAGGTGAGATACTGCCTAAACGTCATACACATTGACGCTGGTCTAATTTGTGGTCCAGCATTCGATTTTGGCGTGCAGCTGAAGAACACCATTACACAGTCTGGAATACCCGTTTTAGGTGTGGATGTTCCTTTGACTGTATTCGAAGACATGTGCAAGAACACAAGCTGGGTAACGGACGAGGATGCTTGGAAAATTCTGGTTGCTGGCTTTCCTCCCCAACATACCCCTTACGCCCATCAAGTCCGAGAGGCTGTACTCAAACGCAAGGCAGACGGACTCAAGTTCATCATTCTATTTGCGGTTCGTGAGGAGCGTGCTGCGCTGTTGACTTTGTCACAATAGTGTATTTGGAAATGTATATTTATGGTCATGTATAATCGTTCTCATCTATGCTCTTAATATTCGTTGCGTCCTAGAGGAAGGTGGTGGTATTCTGTAGAATTTGCTACGGTGCGCTGTCAGCGCGTAACGCAGAACAACTAGGCATAAGCAAGTGTCTTCCTTCGAGACACGACTCCTATTCTTGTATCTATTCCTTTTACATGAGCATGGATATCATGACTATGGGATATCTCTTCTGTCTAAATGCGCGATCGACCTGGGCATTGTGTGGATTAAGGGGCCCTTGCATGCGGGGGTTCAACCGGACCAAAAACATCCGTACTACCTTCAGCTAGCTCCGTTTCCTCAGGAATACTAGATGGGATTTCGTCGAAATCTTGATCCTCGAAATGCTCTATAGCATAGTCCGCCGCCGTACCTACCGCAAAGCAAGGCTGCGTGGTGTACTCGTCTTCCTTGCTTTGCTCGTTGTACTCGTCTTCCCTGCTTTGCTTGTTGTCCTCGCTTTCTGGGATTCTACGATTCTGCAGAAACGGGTCGAGCAACCAGTGATAAAATTCGATTCCCAAATACCAGACGGGTTTTAATTTGCGTACTGCCTTCAAGCTCTCTATGTGCTGTCGGGGGTGTTCGTCGAGAAAATCCTTCAGCGCAAGGAGTTTGTGAAACCTGTTCCTTTCCTCTTCACTGATTACTTTGTAGATCGTCGGCGAGCAGCCGTACACAAAGACACTATACTTCGGATGTTTATCTCTAGGATGCTTTGTAGTACCCTGCGAAATAACACGCATGTGAGAAGGAGTCGCGAGTGGCTTCTGTTTGGACGGTGGAGCAGGTCGTTCAGCTGGTTGCTGCCCCTTAGCGACAAGGAGTCGTGCACGCTCGGTAACTTTCACTGCTGTTCTGAGATGACGGGGCCTGGGGGGTTGTACACCTAGCTCAGCCACAATCGTTATGTATGGCGTCTCGTCCTGCGGATCCTTCGGGAAAAAGTTGATTTTATCTTGTCGAATATCGTATGTATTGATTGCCCCCTTGTCGCGACGTCGTTTGATTTGCCACATCATGGCTGTTATGTTGCTGTCGGTGATAGGGAGATCTTCGTCGATTAGAATTGCAATCATAAAGTCAACCGTGTTCTGCGTCCATGAGCAGATGAAGCCCATACACCGGATGAATGCGGCTTTCATCGCAGGAACGGTCGTCGCAGAGTCGTCGCCTGCACGAACGAAATGGGTGAGGCGAATGATGGATTTCTTGAATACGTCTCTAAATTTCTTCTTAGACGTCAGGTTCGATGGGACACTATCCAGCAATGCTTCTGCCTCGTGCTCGGGGTAAAGCTCTTCGATAAATGTGATAAGCTTGCATCCTCGGCTGAAGAAAACCTTAGTCTCGTCTGATTGTTCCCGAGCCACGGCTCGAATGTACGCCGTCATGATCAAAAGGCGCGCAACCACTTCACCTCGTTGACCGTCGTCTATTAAGGACGTAGAGCCAAACTCGAAATTTTGTTCGAGGATGGTACTCATGACACCTTCACCGCCTTCCAGACACATGAATTGGTACATTTGCTGCGCTGCAGCCTCCGCCAAAATTGGCTCGGAAGAGTACCCGGTCCGAATGTGATAGCGAGATTGCGGGACGGAATATATGAGTCGCATATTGCTTGCAACTAATTCTAACTCTCGTTCGAATGACTCGCGACTTGATTCGTAATCCAGTTTGATGAGCACGTCGAGAATAGCGGACACTGCATGACGCTTGAATGTGGAAGGCGACTCGGTAAGTAATGCTTGGTCGCCGACAGACAACAACTTGCATCTTGCGATGGTGATAAGAGCTTCCTCAATCGCCAGGGCACCGTAGTCATTGGCTTGGTAGCCGCCTCGGATAAACGACCACCAGCTAACGAATGTTATGTCAGAGACAGGAGGTGAAACCCACTAATAGATACTCACAGAGGTCGTCCGAACCGCGCCAAAAAGCTGATTTGAGATGCTTTTGCCAGAGTGAGCTTATTGAGCTCATCTGTCCCCAACGGCAGATCCGGTGAACAGTCAAACGGAGTCTCGTTAAGAGGAGGCTGAAGGTTGGAGCGACTGTTCATGTAACGAGCTGAAGGAACGTGTTCGGGCAAGGGAGCCAAGTCATAGATATCCGAATTGGTTGAGAGGAACACAGCCATAACCTGGGTACCGTTCACGTCTTGCAGCCACTCGTTGAGGCAAGAGAGAAAGATGTGATAATAGTTTTTCTCGCATACTGGCTTCCCATCCGCACCGAGGACCCGTTGTTTAGCCAGTGTCTGTGACTCATCGAAACATAAGAGCAGTTTCACGTCCTCGGACTCTATCTTTGACCAAGACCCACGTTTGGAGTATCTTAGCGAGATAACTATACGCAGCAACCCCCGGAGAGCTTGCATCATATTGTTCAACATGTCTTTGTTTTTCTTGGCGAAAATCTCATCAGGGCAAATATTGGGAATATAAATGACACACTCACCTTAACGTCTAAAGCCTTTGCTTCGCTTATAACACTCTCATACATGGATTTCCGCTCCGCGCCATTGCCCCTTTCCAGATGCTGGCGCCATCTTAATGTCAGCTCCTCGTAGGTAGTGGGACGCTCGTTCGGCATCAACATCTCAACTCTCCTAGTAACTTCCTTGAACAAGGAAGTAAAGTAATTTAAGAAGCGGTGCAGAACTTGTTGCTCGGTACTAGACCCCATTGAAAGGTGATCAAAGACCACCTTGTCTGAGGGTGGATATGCGTTGACAGCTAAAAGACGTTCAGCGTTGGGACATTGCAAGAGGAAAACTCGTCTTACCAGACTCCTGGGGCGGGCGCAAATTACAAGGGATCGTAAACACCAAACCTGACGCCTCGCGAACCATCCTTGATTTCCCAGATCCCGAACTCTGTACAATAGAGACGGAATTACAGTAATGACTGTTCGGATTTCGAGTAGAATGGTTTAGGTTGTAGACGAAGAGCTCTGGGTGACTTCCAACATATGAAATTTCCCACGCAGACTGGATTACTTTGATATGCCATTAGCTGAGGTATGCACATCACAGCGCAATATTAACATACCTTTTTCATAAGTACTCAGGTCTACCTGAAGTCGTTGGGCCGTGCTTCTGGGTACGGCCCCTGCTGTTTCCGACTGGAAGATGGCTGAGAGTAGTATAGTTAGAGTCTGGTAGAATGTGCGGTAACTAGGACCTGCCTAGGTCCCGAATAGCCTTGAAGGACTGCTTCCGAAATGCATCCACAACAGTCTCACGCAGTGCGGTTGATTCTGTCAGCCATTCCACCACTTCTTGTTTTGAAAGGTCTTGTTTCATATAATCAGGACATGTGCGGCACACGGAGATTATCGCTTGCGCGAGTGAGTCAACCAGTGCCTTCGGAGCGTCTTTAAGGGCATCTATCACGGTCGTAGAGGGCAAGGCGTTAGTATTTACGGCTGCCTTGTCATAGGCGGCATGCTGGTCGTGTGTTAAATTGAGGACAGTATACCGAAGAAGCCTATCGATGGGCCGTTGCTGCTTGGAAGGAGGCGCCTCCGATGTGTCGGTAAGTGCTCGAGTACGTTTGGTAGTACTGCTCGCCATCTCCACTGTTGAATCAGGGGAAGTGAAGGTGAGGGAGAACGTTGTGGCGCATAGTACGGTGAATCTGAACTTATTATAAGGTGGCCATCGTTGATAATCAGATTTGGAGAACAATTGAGCTCGAGGGCCATGCCACATGGTTGCTAAATCACGTCATAATTATAGTCTAATCTAACAATCTATGATAGAGACGCGTCCTGTCGAATACAAAGTCATCGATACAAGCATTACAAGATAGGACATGAATTATCGATCCGAGCAGTTTACATGATGAACTGGAGATTTGTGTCCTGCTAGGAAAGATTAACAGACATTCAAGTGATATTACCAATAACTCACGATGCGGTGAGAACTGGACAGCTGCGGCTTCTGGCTATATTTCTTCCTCAGAATTTCGCTACGAAGATCTCAGAATACATCTTGAAAAACTAAAGTCTAAGTGGATACGTACCGAACAGACTTCAAAAGCTCTTGGTATGATTGATGCGGGTTGTGCTCTGAGAAAATGGTGTCAGCAGTTTTCGTATGAACATCGCCGTCTTTATGCACTTAGAACAGTCATGAACGCCTGCCAGAACTTACATCAGCAGTTTATCGCGATCGATATATGGATAAACAACGCACATAACTCATCGCCCCTGCGGCAGCGCCTGATTCAAAGGTATCAGCGCTGGTCTGGGAGTCCTTACATCCGCTCCAAGAGATCTAGTTAGAGCGTCAGGAAGAAGAGATGGAGTATCGGCACGTCCTACGTACAACATCGGCATGGGTTCCCTTTCGTTTCCTGTGACTGCTCTTGACTTGACTACCCTTGACACGTCCGTCCGTGTGGTACTGGATTCAAATGTAAGTTTATTCGTCCACAAGGCAAGAGGGAAATCGACATACGAGGTAGGGAAGATCTACAATAATAATATTATGTCAGCCATGCTTGAGTTGATGACGGTCTGCATTGAATTCCTACCTAATACCGATCCTGAATGACAAGACTAAGCAAATATGTCAGAAAGAAGCGTGGCGATCAAGGTGGAATCATAATCACATCGAACAATGCCGTGAGGCGACATCCAACAGGAAGAACAGACACCTGAACGTCATGAATACAGAATATCGAAATTTAGCAGTGTATCACACACCATAATGCTATTCATGAGCTGTACGTCGTGTTAGACTGCATTTCCAATTGGAGGGAGTGAAGTGCTATAACTTACATCATCGACGATGCAGCCCGCCTTCTTGTAGTCCAAGGGGAATATAACTGTTGACAGACGCTTTAATGTCGTCATGAAAACAATGAATGAACTACCGGTGTATACCTTCGTCGTATCCGTCTACTTCGTCACCATCGCGATCCTTGACTTGGCCGCCATGTCCAGAATCTAGACGATCGTCCGGAGCAGAACTCGGTCACAGCCAGCCCAAATCACGCAACGAAGGGACTTACAGTGAAAGAATAGAGAGTCATCTGGTTGAGCATCCCGGACAAGCCACTTCATGGCGTCGATGATATTAGCTTTGGTTGGCTGCGCTCTAGGGTTATTGGAATCATCGGTCAATAGTACGATATCTTCGTCCCTGTAATGGTGGTATCCTGTAGGCCATATTTCAATGAGGTCAATAACAACACAAGAGCAACACGTTATAAGCGATACATATACATACGGGTCAGGAAACGATGAACATTCTTCGCATCGTTCACGCAGCCACGAAGTTCAAACTGCTGGCCGGTGTAATTAACGCCGATCTAAGTCCACAAAATGAATACGCAGCCTCGATACAGTTATTCAACATGCGAGAAGGACATACACAAACAGCCTTTCTCTTGCCGGTACATTTTGAATACTGGAAATAACTCTCGGCGTGACCACCGGGCGCATGACTAGCATGAGAATGCTGTGATACTACTGGTGGAGCCGAGGGAGGTCTCTGTTCTGAATCTTGAGATATCAGGTTCACAAGTCTTCTTTGAGCCCCGTGAAAGAAAACTTACTGTGGGGTCTACTAGAGGAGTGCAATCTGTGCCGCCCGTGACTCGTATGAGTCGTCTGATGTGAATGAGAGTGATGAGCACTCTGATACTGCTGCCCATAGTCTGCAGCAGTCGGCGCACGTTGGGCATACGAGGCTTGGTTTACGGAAGGTTGGTTTGCGTAAGCCCAAGCGGGAGCACTATTATCTTATTTTAAACCAGCTGGAAAGCCAAAGGGTCGTTGAACACTACTTACGGCGAATAGACACTAGAGAGTGGAAACCGTGTTAGACCAGAAAAATTGTTGAGTCATAGACGGGACCTACGGAGATCCGACTGGAGCCATCGGAGCACCAATAGGCATGAATGGCGAGGGCGCAGCTTCACTAAAGTTCAGGAATATGGGCTCTAAGTACCGGAATTCCCAAAAATGAGAGCACTTACGGCATGGGAAATCTGAAGCCATCGTTCAATCTACGTTCAGAACCTTCCATAGTGTACTATTCTAGAAATGAAACTTACGACGATCCTCCAGGATAGACAGGTGCCTGGTAATATCCATCTGAGTTCAGATTCGGGGCTGACGCCGCCCCACCACTCAAATCCCACATCATGTTGGGTGATCGAACTTAGACTGCGGGGATGTAGGAATCGATACGAATCTGTTTGGACGCTTTTATCGCTACGACGTCAGCGAAAAGCTTGGCAGGACAGGAAAGATGGGGAATGTAATGAAGGTAGTAAGCAGTGAAACGTCCGCCTTATAGGTAATTCTCTTCCAGCGCTACTTCATGACAGTACGACAGATGAGGAATGAATAGAACTCGTGATCAGTGAAGGCCAATCGCGGGAACTTCCCAAATCTTGTACTTGGCAATACTAGGGATAAAGCAAGATAGCGTGTTGTTTCAAGCAGAAGTTGTTGTTGAGATAGCGATGCAGCCAGAGACCAAGTTAGATAGAATGGTCGAAGAGTATGAGTAAGGGTCAACATAGGGAGTAATAACAGTCGCATCCTGCATTCTTATACAATGCATATGACACGAGCGCTATTATCTCATAGCAAGGTCCATTTTCCGACTCTCACAGCGTTCCGTCCACAGCGGGGGGAGTCAGCCAAGGTACTGCAAGTCTAGCAAAGGCTATGTCGAGTCCAAGTCGAGTCCACGGCAGGGTTATTGGCCGAACGTAGCCATTGGATACATAGTGGACCCTAACCCTGTAGTGAGGTCGCGGTCCGACCGGGCCAAGGCGGAATAAACCCTATGTGAATCTGATCACTGACCGACTGGAGTTGAGCAGAAATCAAGCCTTTCTGTCAACGAATCATCTATCATGGACCCACTCACTTCCGTCATTGAAGCTCTGAAGCATGATAAGATAATACCAGATGTCGTCCCCGAGACATTCAATCCTTCATTGTTGTTCTCTATCGGGTATCCGAGTGGGAAGGAGGTCCTTCTCGGAAACGAATTCACTGTGGATGAGACTCAGGATGAACCATCGATCAACTTCACACCTCTGAACATGCCGACAGAACAGGCAGACTCGCAGGAGGAGGTCTCGTATACGTTGGCTATGGTGGATCCAGATGCGCCTTCGAGAGCCGAACCGCTCTACAAATCGTTCAGGCATTGGTTGGTGCGTATGTTCATAAGATAAGCCCGCTCCTATATTGAGAGGTATTGTAGATCACAGGATTGAAGTCACCGAGAGATAGCGCCAGCACGACGTCTGACTTGAACGCTCTGGAAAGCAAGCCGGCAACAACACCCTACCGGCCACCAGGACCACGACCAGGTTCCGGTTTGCATCGTTATGGTAAGATATTACACCGTTCGTCGACACGCCACGATATTTGAGACCATACTCGTAGTTTTCCTGTTGTTCCAAGAGCCGGGATCAACGGCGTTCACTGTCCCTGCAGGGTCCCCTGAGTATGGTGCCGCATTGGAGGAAAGGAGAAGTTGGGACGCAGTGAAGTTTGCAGAAAGGTATGGCCTAAAGCTCGTTGGAGCGAATTTCATGTTGATACGATCGCCGAGTGAAAGTAAGTAGAAAGCTTGGTATATCAAGCTGCATCCTGTAGTACATGCTGGCGGAGACTTGGAAAATCGAATGGATAGTTACGCAATCGGAGATATAAAATTCTGTCGGAGTTTACTGTATGATCTTCTTTGCCTTCGACGTTAATCTGCTCTATCTTGAAGTCACCATCTTTCTTTCTCTCCCATGTAACATACATTCTAAATGTGTGCCTCCATATGTACGGCATGATATCCAAGATGAGCTTGGTAAGTCTAATCACGTCTTGAGGACATTTTGAAGCCTGTTGGTAGGACTAGATGCCAAGAATGTCTCAGATTTTCTACCTAATGCTCATCAACTGCATATATGCACTTCGTGTTTCAACGTTAGATCTGTAGTATCTCTGCCCTAACACATTGCAGCCCCTTTCCACCTTAGCTTCTTCATGATTTGCTGGGCCCATTGATGAACCATTACTGATTAGTTCGCTCTATGTATATCGTTCTCTGGAGAGTTGATGTGTAGTATCGGCAGGGAAGGGCAGCCAGTGACAGGTGAGCATTATCCCAATACATAGTGACTTTGTTCTATCTACATCACTTAATCCGATCGTTGTATGCATATCACGACGTTTGTCCTTAAATGTGTCTCAATGTTTGAAACCCGCTCTTACATTAAATTCTGCCACAAGATTGTCCTGAGCTTCATCATACCTTGAAATCTCTATGCTCGCCCCCTTTCCTACGGACCTCTTAATTCTTTCATCTTGCAGCATGCCTTCCCGGTAGCTCTTCTCGTTTACCACTTTCGTCTAACAGTCCGTGCACCTCTACTTCATCCGAATCAGAGAGTTCACATGTAAATGTAGTCGTTAACCTCACCCTTCGTCTTCGTATGACTAGGTACGTTCTTCCGTTTTCCAAGAATCGTGTACTTAACGCTTACAGCTGTCGAATCAGATGGCTTGAGGCATATCACCGGCAATAATTTCTCTGTCAATTCAGCCTTTGCATCGCGTCGCCACCTATTTTCCTCTCAGTAAGCCTATGAAGTTTTATCATTGTTATGACTCTGTATAATTTCATTTTCCCAGCGGGGGGCTCTCACTCTAAGATTTGTGTAGTACCATAGGTTCGTCGTGATGTATTCATTATCATTCAATGCAACAGCCATACATATGATGCTTCTTCATCCATTAACCCATAGATTGTCTTGGAAGGAGTGGTTCAATACCCTATCCACCTATACATCTTTCTATGTACGTTTTTCAAAGTTTCTATTCAGTTTTTCTGTTCACCTCGCTTCGGCTATACGTCAGCTTCGTGACATGCGTACTGATAAGATTAGATCTCGAAGTGCTTCTTTCGCGGACATTGCACCCACAAGACCAAACGCCTCGCGTTGATCCATGTTCGAATTGGAAGCGCCCATCCCCACGGTTCTCTTCTACGTCGACGACCTCTCTGTAAATTTCGGAGTCGTTTCGGTGCGAGGTGGAGGTGTTGGAAGCGGCTTGAATGCCCTCGAAGGTTCGTTTCCTACATATCAGCAATTGTGGTTCGGTGCTTGACCTTTATCTGGCTAGCCAACAAATTGTTGACTAGAAGGTAATCAACCAATCCCGGATCCGTTGCGTATATTGCAAGAAGCACAATCAGTAACGCTACCCACGAGTCACTTAAGTTGTACGAAGCTCACAGCACGACAATCCACGCGTCTCAAATCATCAAGTCCTTAGAATCATCACGAACACGAATCCAAGCTCAACGTTTTACGATCCTCTTTTTGCTTTTCTGTGCATACGACTTTACGCGTTTTCGATCAAGTTTACGATTTTTTTCCTCGAGACCAAAGTTTCTATTTCTATCTAACATCAAATACATAACGATTTGCAAGACTCAAGATGCGCAATACTTTGCCTCTTTTATCTCGTGCGCAGGCCGCCGGCTCTTCCACTCCAACCGCCACTCCTCCCCAAGCTGTACCCACCATTCGCTTTATCTCTGCTACGCCATCCGTGGCAGCTGACACAAGTACATCGTTCAATGCCGTCGCACCCTTCGCGTCTTCATCACTTGCACCGCGCGAAGATGCAGAAGTACCACGGAGACGCCTTGTTCCCAAAAAGTCCAAGCTCGGACTGCTTGGTGGAAACAATAAGGCAAAAGACAAAGCTAATAAAGACTTCTCTGACGTTGTTCGGCGCGTCGGAGGGGGCTCAACAAATGGCAGGGGTGGATTCGAGATCTACGTTGACCAAGCGGATGACCCGGATCTCGGGGAGATTTTGGTAGTAAAGAAGAAGAAGTCACGCCTGGGATTAGACGGGATGAAATGGGGTGCTTTAGGCGAGACGACAAATATTCCTGTTACTTCCTCTTCGCAACCAGAGAAGAAGGCTCTGCCGTCTGAGAACCTATTGAAGGTGAAAGGCGATGACAGCCAGAAGTGGTGGAGTATCGGCAGAGGAAGGAAAGACTCGAAGGAGAAGGCAAAGGAGAATAAACCTCAAGCTCCCCCTCGCTCAAAGAGTATGTTTCTATTATACTTCCTACGAGCCTGGCTGACTTATCTCGCCTGATAGCGCCCGAACCTTCGAAGCCTCTGGAGTCGCGAGCGCGATTCAATTCGCTCAACGCTGCCAACTTACTCTCCGTACCAGAACACCCCAATTCCGTCCGTTCCGTGACCTCGCCAATTGAGCACAGCAACGGTCTCCTTGCACCCCCGTCCAATAATGAACCCGCCACCGGATCGCTTGCCGTACGTGCAATGCGTTCTGTGCGGTCCATTGCGCGCATGAAGAGCTGGGCAACACTGTCTGGCGCGACTACCAACAGCAAGGAAGGCCACAATACTAACAACGCATCTACGAACATGACTGCGACGACTAGCAATGTCAAGACGAAGGAGAAGGGAGAAGAGAAGAAAAAGAAAAAGAAGAAAGAGAAGGAGAAAACTGTCCGATACTCAGGTAGCAGTTTCGAAGCTGGAGCCTTGAGTGCTCAGGCAAGTCCTATGGAGCCCAGCTTCCCCACTACAGCGACGATGAAGAAGAAGCAAAGTATCCTAGGGCTCGGTCTACCTTCCACTATGCGCCGTACGATGCGCAACGTCTCAACCATATCAAATGCATCATCGGTTGTACCACCGCCCGCGACCATGAACTGCCTTTCCGCTGATTCAGCTCACCTTGTTCTCAACGCTGCTGGGCGGCCCTCTTCTGTTATCTCCAGTGGGTCCTCTCTACGTCCGCCCTCGACTGCTTCTGGAGTGTCCGCGTTCTCCGGACGCTCTGCACGTTCGTCTACGAGTTCCGTTGTCTCTGTGCGATGGGACGAGAAGGGCCTGCAGAATGTAAAGGAGATGCAGCGAAAGGAGAGAAAGGCTAAGCGTGAGAGTGCCGCTTCCAATGGAACCGATAGGAAGGCATCTAAGGAGAGCCGTAAGAGTTCTGAAGCTCGTCGTCGCACACCCATTTCAGAAATCTTCCCTGACGTTAAGGTTCAAAGGCCTCCATCCGTGGCTTCTCATTCCACCACCAAGTCCTCTGTTCTCGGAGGTCCTATTGTAAATGTCGAAGAAGCTACTGCTGATGGACATTCTGACCACGGCGGCGATACTGTGATGGAAACACCTGTAAAGAAGGTTCGTCCTCGTCCAGTCTCCGAACAGCTCCTTGGAAAGACAAGGCCACAGTGTATCCATCAGGAAAGTGATGGTAAGTCTGCAATAAATTATCTGTCTCTTTTTTTTTCGACTCTCTTATTTCCCCTAGGTGTCATATCCATCTTGGACGCTGCTACGAATGACCTTGCGTCGCTCATCTCTCGCTTGGACCTTGAAGCAACCCCTGCCAGCTGCAATGGTTCTCCGTTCAATTGCTCACCCCTAGCCTCATTCGGCTCCCCATCTCGCACGACCCTTCCTGCTGACGAAAGTCCCATTAAGTCGCGCACTCTTCAGAGGGACCAAGTTCTTGCCGGTGGACTTCGCGAGAGCATGGCGTCCATTAGTTCTCTTCGACCATATGCTCTCGCTCAATCATCTCATGCCATTCCCACAATTTCCGAGAAGCCAGCGATGAACGCTGAACGTATTGGCCAGCAAATTGCGCCTTGGTCGGCCCTTGACTGGGAGATCTCGCCGAAGAAACCTGTCTTCCGCAAGCCTGCCACTGGACGACCTACACACAAGCGAACGTTGACTCCGTCCCCCGCTATCGAGCCTCCCCCAGTGTTCCAACCATTGAAGCCTGCGAAAAGGAATATCTCGCCCGTCTTGACCAAGAGTCCTACACCCTCTGCAACTACACCTCGCGCTGGCGACCCAGCCCAAGCGCCCTCTTCGAACACCTTTGGTTCCAAATCCTCGAAGATGGGCGTAGAACGGTCGATGGAGATTGACGACGATCCCATGCCGTCTCCGTGCCCAGTCTTCAGGAAGAGTGGTGGACACATCCGATCTGGCTCCATTGTTTCCGCTGTTGGTAGCACGCCAAGCAAACTCAGTCTTCGGAAGTCATCTAACGAGGGCAGCATGCCACTGGCGCCCGAGGCGAAGAAGGTCCTGGGTCTGACTGGGACACTGGGTGGTTCTGCTTCCACTGAACCCCCGGTTGATCCTGAGGACCCTGACTCTGACATTCCTGATGAACTTCAGGTCATCATTGCAGGGCAATCTGATGAAGAGTTCACGCGCAACTTCGATGACACCGTCTCCTTCCACCGTATCTCTCCGCCACCTTCGCCGGCGGAGTCTTCCCGTTCAATCGAGCTTCCTCCAGTGGTTGTCACCACTGCAATGACTGCGGTTGCATCTGTCCCGGTATTCCGAGCGCAAGTCGTCGACGAGGAAGACAACCATGCGGACATTGACGACGCTGGTAATGGTTCTTCAGAGGAGGACGATACCAATAAATCCTTCGACTTCACTGGCGAATTGCAGAAATTGAATGAATCAGGTGCCTCCGATAGGCGTAGCTTCGTAGAACAACTTGAAAATGCGTTTCGTACCCCTGCTCGCATTGACTTGGGTCTGGACGACGGTTTCTTAAAGGCCAGCGCTCCGCCTATTCCTCCGTTGCCTCTCAATTTCAGACCAATGCCATCCGAGGATTTGGTGCCACGAAGCGTGTCGGATCCCGAAGTTACAACAACAGTTGAGAACAACACTATGGATGCTTCATTCAGGGACTCTGCCGTCTCTGATACCCTAGACCATCTTCTCGCCGAATGTCAAGAAGATTTCTGTCGTCCCTACCCGGAGATGAAGAGAAGCAATGGCTCGATGCGCTCCAAAGCGTCAGATGGACAGCTGAACATCGACTTCAAGTTCGGGGGCAAGCTTTCTGTTCCTCCTGCCCTACCTGAGAAGGAGGAAAAACCATTGACACTCTCAGATATCATCCCACCGCCGTCCCACTATCGATCCCGCTCCTCTTCATCCATATTGGAGGATGATTCTGTACTCAAGTCCATTTTGGCGCATGTCTCTGAGATGCCGCCTCCTGCTGTTAGACCTCGTGCAAATTCTGACACCAGCTCCAGGAGCTTTGCTCGCGATTCATCCCAAATCAGTCATGGATCATCGCGTTCGAGGACCACATCCGAAGCTAGTTTCACAGGCTTTGAATCATTCGACGAGATTCGTAGAGGTTTCGAATTCGGACCTACTCGACCGGCCTTCTATCCTCCTCCTGGAGCAAACACCAGCCAGTCGCACTCACGGACATCCCACAACAAGCACGAATCAATGTACAGTGTCGCGTCGGTCTCTTCCTTTGGTTCCGTTGTCAATTCCGGCTCCGTCGATCCTTTCGGCTACTTCCTAAGCAGACCGCCTTCAGAGGACATGTCGATGTCGATGTCGATGTCAGTCGACGATACCTTCTCGTTCATGCGCAAGGATCCTCGACGCCAACGTGTCGATAGTGATGCGTCCAGTTTCTACTTCCGTGCTCCAGGGGTGTCTCAAGGTTCCCATCAGTACAGGCGTGGTCACCGTCGAAATGATTCTACAATGTCTACGGTCTCCAATGCTCCACCCGTCAGCATCTACAACAAGAGCTTTGGCGTCCATCGTCGAAATGATTCGAACACCAGTGCAAGCTCTGTTGCGCAATCTTATGCAATGCATGGGGCTTATGGGGGACGCGCATCTTGGGCACGTCACCGACCTGATCTTTCAATCGATTCCGTTTCCAGTGAATACTCTGCAATGCGTCTCGGTAGGCCTGGTATTGGTGACAAGATGTTTGACCGGGACTATGGCATGCCACTAACTGCAATTTCTGCATCTCCGCCGGAAAGCGTCTCTCGCGAGCCGACCAACAACCCATCCAACTGGGACTCTATCATTGACGACCACCGGACATCGGCCGAGGATTCGCTATTCGAGAAGACCGGTTACAGGTCATCGTACAGCTCAGATGAGTCCGTCTTCGGCTTCGATGGGAATCACTCCGACCCGGGTCAGCTTCCTCCTAACCACTTCCGACCCTTGTCTATGATGAGTGTGGCCAGTACGCATAGCGCACCTAAAGAGGACGACACCATGATCTCTGTATGTACCCCTCTTCCTGTTCTAGCGATGGCTCTGACGCTTAGATTCTCACCAGATGATTGGTGGAGGGCATGTACGCAGACGCTCCGTGGATTCATTGATTGAGGCCTCTCCCTGTGTTAAGAAAGGTATTGAGAAGAGGAAACAGACACTGCAGAAGGTCGGCCGTGTGCTCAAGTTCGACATGGGTGACGATATGCCACCTCCGCCCGTTCCCAAGATCATATCACCTGGCAAGACTCAAATCACAGCGAAGCCATCTATTGCTTCGACTTCATCCTTGCAATTTGGCGGCGAACGTATGATCAAGGCGAGACAGGGGCTCCTTGAAAGACAGAGCCTCGAGGATAGCGCGCTGATGGCTCACGGCGAAGATCTCTTGGCTTCTTGTAGGTTATTTTTCCAATATATCACTTCTCTATGTTTACTAATCATTTCGACATAGTATGCTCTCAGTCGACTTTCTCTCGACCTGGCCCGGCTTCACGTTCACGTTCGAGTACTGTGACAGAGAGCTCAGGTGCTGACACGCCTCCTTTGTCATCTTCCGATGGCTCCTCTGTCTCTGGAGGTTCTCAGTCTAGCATAGATCTTGGACATTTGAACACTCTGCTCACCGGTCACACTTATCCAAGCAGCGGCATTGCAAGGGCTCGAGCTAGGCAGAGAGCGCGAGGCACTGGTCATCGTCGACGAATCTCTCAAGCACATGTGTCTCGTTCGTCAGTATATGAAACCATTCAGGAAGAATCATTCGTTCTCTCCAGCTCGCCTTCACCAGCCAAGTCATCAATCCCCTCCGTTCCAGCCAGCCTCACCAAGGCGATCGCATCCCCTGTTCGTGACTCCGTCTACATTGTGGATAGCGACACCCAATCTTTGGTCTCGTTCTCGGAGGACTGGGATGACGAACGTGGAATTGTTGGTTTGAGGCGATACTACGCCCTAAAGTCCGAAGCTCACGAAACTGTCGTTGAGAGCAAGAGAGTATGGCTCGACACCCCCTTCTCAATCTTTGCCGTGCAATGTGAGTCTTCAGCCGTTTGATGGACTATGTATATACTGACAAATCTGTCCACAGCATTCCAACCGCCGTCCGACAAAACTGGCATGCAAATGATGCTTGAACATTCGCAGAAGAACTATGGCCCTCTCCCATCCGAGCTTCGCCCTTATCGTGTTCGTTCCCGCACGTCTTCTAGAGCATCCCCGTATCCTCTTCGATCATTGAAGTCGACGCTCTCCCCTGAACGCACTCGTTCGCCTCGGAAATCCAAGACATCAAGCGCATTTGGCGATTTCTCCGCATCCAGGCCATTCTCATTCCTCGATGGGGATTCCACAGCGCCTCTGCAGGATGTTAGCACCAACGTCAATGTCGTTTCTCCGCCTCCTGTGATTGATGTCAAAGCATTTACGCCATTCGCAGTCAAACTGGATGAAGCTGTCAAGCCCGAGAAGAACAACATTGTGCTTCCTGTTCCTGCAAGGCCTCGTGTTACGTCCAGTGCCAGGAGGACTGCTCTTGGATGGTCCAAACGCAGTTCAGGAAAGGCGAGTTCTAAAGAGCAGAAGGAGAACATTAGTCAAGGAACGTTGGCTACGTAAGTTGCTTCGCTCTTCACTCTTTTATTCGATCTCATTTTTCGACTTTACAGTCCCGGAGACAGCCTTAGGATCTCCCGACCCCGTCCTCGCGGTCGCCCCACGCCTGCTCGAACAGCCACGATCCGAGTTTAATGAGCCCATAAATCGATTCCTGATACATATACAACATACATCGCTTCTCACCTTTCAATTGCTTCGGTTGGCTCCGGTTCGTGCGGACTCGACTTGCAAGCCAGGGGAGGAGCCAGAACGGTCCTATGCTATGCTCATCGTCTATGCCCCATTCTCCTAAGCTTCACCGCATCTGCTCGCGTATCTTCGAAATTCTCATTCGCATCTTCGAATCCCTTTACGCAACTCTCCTCACGTCTCACTGGCTGCTTGCAGTCAGTATGTCATTTCTTACGATTCGCTTTCTTGTTCACGTCCTTTTACGTTCAACGTACGCCCTACTCACGTTTTGACGGCTCCGAAACATACCCTCGAAACTGTTCTTACGGGCTTTCCCAGTTACGACATCTTGCTTCAAGCTTCATTGCTTCCTTTGATTCATGATTTTTTCTGCTTTCTTGTATTGCTGTTGTTTGTGCTCTGCTTTGCTACGAGATCAAAATCCTGCTCTGTATAGCTGAGATTGTACAATAGCTCTCTTATGCATTGTAGGATACGCCCTCCTGCTACGACTCACATACGTACGGTCACTGTTCTTGTTTTCGTAGATCGAGAATATAGGATTGTTGTCCCTCATAATTCATGAGTAGATTGTGCACTCTAAGCTGGAACGAAATGGAAAATTCGAAGATCTCCGAATTCCCTGGGGTGCATGTATATGAAGGACATGATTATCGACAGAACAGCTGAGTGTAGTGGAGTGTGAAGTCGCTATGACGCGCGTACGAACTGAGCTGCAGGCCCATTTCTTCGCATGACGCCAAGGTGTACTGCAAAAGAACTAGCTTAGAACATGTAGTCAATGGTGGAGCTGATGGACTTACCAGGCCGCCGATCCCAGCCTTTGGTTTTTGCTATTTGAGACTTGCCCTGGACGTTCAAACTTTTCTTAACGAACTTGTTGACACCAGCTGAAGTGCGCAACTCTTTGGAAACAGGTGTTGAGACCAAAGAATCAGAGCTTTTGGGTACTGTGCGAATGGTCCGTGAGCTACACAAGGTATTCCGGTCAGTACATAGAAGAAACATGAGTAAATTGACTACACACCCAATCACAATGTCTTTGTTTGTCTTCTTGAGACGTCTTCGTTTCTTCGTAGGCGTGTCTTTTTGCGATGCAGCAGCCTTCCGTTTTGCTCCAGAAGAAGTCTCAGGCTGTGAGAAAGCCGCAGTAAATAGATGGTCCGGAAGGTAATCCAGCTTTTGTGAAGGTTTCCGAGGAGGCACGTCTTCTTCCTCGGAAGGGGACTCCTCCTCCTCCCCGTCTTCACGGACATGCACCGGTAATTCGTCTTCCGAGCTTTCGTCTGAGACGGAATCATCGCTTGCCTCGCTGAACTCATCAGCCTCTGAATCGTCAGCATTGAAGCCTTCGAACTCCTCCGGCTCTTCGTCTTCCAAGTCAGAACCAGACTGTTCGGCAGCGTCCCTCATCGCTCTCTCCATCCTAGCCTCCAGATCGTCTCGTGAAGGACCTGCTAATGAACCATCATCCTCATTCTCGTCTTCTTCCTCATTAACAGCTTTATCCTTTCCCTTGACATCAGGTTTTCGTTTTGATAAGGCACGCTCTTTGAGAGCTTGATCCTTCCGCCTATTTTTCTCCTTCGTCTTGAGTCTCTCTTCCGATTGGAACTGTTGCAGAGCTGCGTCACGACCTTTCGCAGCTTTCTTCTCGGAATTGAAAGAAATTGCCTCCGGTGCCTCGTCGTCGCTAGAGACAGAACTTCGTGCCATTATCAACACGTTGGTAGATCTAGGAAGTAGTTAGAAACCACGACTGAAACACAGAGCAAGGCTCAAGCAAGAACGAAATCAAAAAGCTAGGGAGTGGAATTCAATACAAATTGATCGAGCTTGGTTCTGTTGAATATTATATAAGCGCCCGCTTGCTCTTAACGATCCTACGATACCCAACGCTTTCGTACCTTTTCGCGCTCAATCGGTACTTGCATAAAATTACTAGTCACTCTCTCATGGTGTGGTCTGTTACGCTAAAAGCAGGTTTCCCCTTGGATGTTCTCTCTCCTGCTTCTGTCAAACCCACCTCTAATCCGCTCTGCTGCTGGAAGTGACTACTAATTTCGGATAGAACAGGCATTTTTCCACACCAGCGATCCAATTCAATGGTGACGCTAGAGGTCGCGGGACCAGCATGCGAAATGCTTGAATCTTGTTGGCTGGCATTCGCGATCTCGGTTGCCCTGAGGTAACGGCTAAAATGAACGACCGTTATGTAGAAACCAAAGGTACCGCCTACGTGAAAGAGCTCAAAAAGCCCCCGTCCCGAGGGAATTGCTCAGGATGGTTGCCCTCGGTTTATTCTCTGCGAAACCCTTGGTTACCAGCGTGGACTCCTACTACAGCACACCAATGCTCTTTTATATCCTCACGTCGTCAATATAGTTCTTGCCATCGTTCGTATTCTTATCGTCTTCGCGTACCGTTCAGCTATGGTGAACTGGAAAGATCCCGCTGTGGAAAAAGTCTGTGCCATCATATACAGTCGGATGTCTGCTGTGCTGCTTGGTGTATACTTGTACGGATCAATCGACATTGAGTTGTTCCCTCGCTTTGATCGTACTGATGCTTTTACAGATGGTACTTCTGTGTTACCTTTAAGACTGTAGAAGGAGCTCTTATCCTTCGCAAGTTGAGATTTTCACTCACCTTGGTAAGGCACGCCTACTGGAAATATCCCCTTTCCTTACTGAGTAATTTTCCAATTGCAGATTCCATATTTTCTTGGACGATATAGCACAGCTGTTTCTGTCATCTCTGATGAAAATCGACCAGCAGGGAGCCCGGAGGATGAACGACAAAGTACGTTTGGCTTAAGACAGGTAACGGTAGTCTTGTTGCAAACACATAAAGAAAACAAGTATGCTACGGATTCGTGTACGCTACGATCTACATAAGGTTCATGCTCCGACCGCTAATCTCCATGAGTCGCCGAAGCGCCCAATTTACAACACACCCACTCGCTAAAGGCGACGAATAACAAAGTCACCCACTGAATGAGATAACACAACAAACAACAAAAATCAACCTATCCACAACCTACATATCCAGCATCTTCCAGCGACTGACCCTCCGAGTAAGTGACCCAACAATGAGTTCCGCCAAACTCCTACTTGCCACGTCGGCATGATCTGAATCCTGCAGTCGAGCGATAGTTGTCTAGAACAACTGAAGTCCAGGGTAATGAGGGTCCGTGAAGGCCATCTTCGCATGAACATCATCCTCCAAAGCAGTGTCCTCGACTGGAGCTGAAGCATGACAATAATGAGCAATGTGACCGAGTTTCAAGCAACGATGGCACTTGGGAGAGGAACCACGATTATTGGTGGAATACTTGGGCTTACGTGTGCTGACATTCAGAGCACCAAGGGCACCTTCGGGGGTGAGCTTCTTCATCTGCTCCTCAGCCTCGATGAGGCTAGCAGTGATGTCGGCAATGGAAGGGGAAGAAGTCGATTGCATGAGGGAAGTCGCAACAGCAGTGTACTCAGGTGCGAGGGCGTAGATAAGGACATCGGTGACATCTTCATCCTCAACGGTGATGCCAATGGCCTTGAGTTTGCTGACGATGGTGGTGATACCAGTGACATACTCGATGATGGGGTTCTCAATCTCATGGGAGAACATGTAGAACTGACGCTTGAGCATGATGCGCGTAGCGCGACCATTCCGCTCGTAAATAGCGGCAAGAGCCTTCCAGGCTCCAGGACCAGTGTTGCACTCACGAATGTGCGCCGTCTCGCTCTGCTCCACAGCAAGCCCGATCGCAGTGAGACCATCCTCGGATAGCGAATCCCAGATCGCAGCCTTCTTAGGGTCATCATCTGGACGTAAGAGTTTGCCGCTAACAATGTGCCAGCAGCCGGCGCGACGGAGAATCATCTGCATGGCGAACTTCCAATCATAGTAGTTCGACCCATTGAGTTTGATGATCGAGGCGATGAGCGAATTGATGTTGGTAGACATGAGAAGCGATGTGTGGGAATGAGTGACCGAATGAAGGAAAGGAATCCACCGGGCAGCTTGTATAGCCTACAAGCGGGCGATGCGTTTGTGATGAAAATCGACCAGCAGGGAGCCCGGAGGATGAACGACAAAGTACGTTTGGCTTAAGACAGGTAACGGTAGTCTTGTTGCAAACGCATAAAGAAAACAAGTATGCTACGGATTCGTGTACGCTACGATCTACATAAGGTTCATGCTCCGACCGCTAATCTCCATGAGTCGCCGAAGCGCCCAATTTACAACAATCTCTTTGTAAGCCTTCTGGTCGTCCAATGCTAACCGAATGCTCATAACATGTCTCGTCTTCGCAGAAACCTGATCACTCACGGCACATTGTTAAACGATTGCAATTGTAAGTCGACCCCTTCTGAAATTATCTTCAGAATGTTAAAAGGACGCACTAAGTCGGGAATGGAGTCGTCGCGGTTGGTAATATCGCCCATGTCAATGAGATCAATCTTATCCTTGCTGAGCAGGTTCTGGCGAGCATCGTAGTGATTTCCGCCAGCAGTACTATTTTACTGCGACCGTGTGTAGAAGGTTTTTTTTTTCGTGTCACCATTTCCCCGCTGACGTGAATAGCGATTTCCAGGCTAGTACTGTGGAAAGAAAACAAGCCTGTCTTAGCCGTTCTCACCATTCTCCTTCTCACACATTGGGGGATTGGCCTTAATGGTACGTACTTTGCTTCTTGTCGCATGGGATGCTAGTTTCATTTTGAGTGTGCGGATCTTGTGAAGCGGCGATTGGTACAGTTCGTGTGAGTTGGAGTCCCAATATTCCTCAATGCGCAAGTACAATCCCAATCGGATCTCACGGGATGCCTTCCATAATCGCGTTCTACTTCTTCAGTTAGTCTTCCCATGCATGACCTGACATCTGCCTTCGACTGAATATTGTTGCTATTATCGTAGCTGTTTTGTGGGATTTAATCATCTTGATTTTTACTGCGGTTGGGTTGCATCGTCAATACCTCGCGAGGTCATCGACACTTTGGAAGATGCTATATAAACAGGGAATTTTGTACGTAGTCGTAGCATTCGCTGTTAACATTCCAATGCTGGTATGTCACAACTTCAGACTCTTGGACAGTGTAAAACTAAGGATGATTAGGTCTTCTCATGGTTGAATCTCAATGGTATGATTGTAGTTTTCGCTTCTCATTACTGATGAGCTGTGACCATCCATCATTAAAAGGTACTATGAACATATTCTTCGCCGCACCAGGTAAGAGCTCCGCGGTTCCTATGTAATTCTGGTTAGGGAACTCAAAATTTGACTTCTATCTGAACAGGCGGGACTATCAGGTAAGCCAACCTCTATTTGCGTGCTATCGTTAACGTGTTCATTTCTATGAAGTGTCATGGCATCTTCTTCCGCACTCGTATCACTTCTCAAACTCAAGCGTGAAGAATCAGAATCGTCAGTGCACTGTTCCATTCTCGTTCCAACCTTCATCTTATCTCACACTCTCTGCATGTAGAGCACATCAGCGACCGTTGCACGTCGCAGTGGGACGCGAAGTCTCAACAGTGGACAAGAACGACGTTGAGGCCAACCAGCTCACCAGCCATATAGATCTACCGTAAGCTCCATTGCAAGTGGTTAATCTCTACTGCATGATTTGATACTTGGAGTTTTCAGTACTGCATTCAGTACAGTGCCACATGTTGCGGATACTTCAATGGCCAGTGTCGACCGAAGTTCTTTTGTTATCCATACTTCAGCATGAATCAAGCCGTTATGAATAGTCCGACTCGTAAGGATGCTCCTCAACTTTTGTTCTCGCGTTTTGTCAATATAGTTCATTGTGTATTTATCCGGTGAATATTCGGTGGCGATTATGATCGGATGATGGGAAAATTAGACGCACCGTGCACTTCCGAACCGACGAAGTGGCGGAACTGAGGTCAGACTCGCCCTCGACACTGTTGCAACTCTGTATCTCAAACATCAGACATTAAGTTCTGTGCACACTGAAGCACCGTAACTTAGTGATCTTGTGTGGTGATGTCGAGAGTGTTGAAAAGACACTGCGTCACGCCATCGTTGCGTACACGCATTCCTTCTACCTTCCCATGTAGCAAGATTGCATTCGCTATAGTGAGATTCTCCACACGCTTGCCTTGAAAGCGTTCGCTGACGTTATATCTATCAATGTTTTTTTGTCCTTACATGTAGGCTCGTCATTATTGTCAAAGAGGATACGCACCCGCATGTTCGAGGTTTTCAACCTCTGCCCCTTTGTCATGGAAGCCGACCCCAATCCTCAAGTCGAGAGTAGTCTTCACTGGTAATAGTATCGAGTTTGACCTCGATGAGGCTGACAAAACACTATATGACAATAATCTTGGCTTCCGAGAGGAAGTGGTTTGCATCGGACCACCTTTACTTCCGCTGCCAGGCTATCCTGAGATTAAGTTAGGACGGGAATTCGGGGCTGACGGAGATCCCCCTTTTCGAATATGTAGGAAGCTGGGATGGGATGGCACCTCGAGTGTATGGCTGGCCTTCAATGGGTGTGAACTTTATGTTTTCCTCTGTGATCACGCATCATGCTTAACTCTGACACGGTTTGCAGATTCAAGTACCTCGCATTTAGGGCATTAACTCAAGTTGCCTCGGTACCTATTCAGGATGGAGAATCACAGCTATACTCCTTCGTCAAGGTGCTTGATGATTATTATCTAAACCAACTGCCGGATCATCCAGGCTTCGAGTTGGTCTTAAAAGGAGAGCTCTACTTCAATATACAACCCTATGACCAGCAAGGTCAACTAGTCGAACTGACGGGACCCAACATAGGCTTGCTGAAGGCGACATCACCTGATCGACGTTTACCACTAGATGCAGTCAAGGTTCTTTGCCGACAGATGCTTATGGCCCTCGACTTTCTACATGGTACATGTGGCGTGGTACATACAAGTACATCTTTTTGCAACGCTCAACGTGTAACTTTTCTGATATGATCTTGACCTTCTTCTCAGACATCAAACCTGACACCATCTTTGTTAAACATATACTCACCACGGAAGAAATTACAAAGCTTCTGGAAGAGGACCCCCAAAGGATGTACCCTGGTCCGGCATGGACTCTTATCCCAGTGGAAGATATAAAAAATAGACTCATGTTCCCTAATCCGCTCGATAACTCTTCGGTCTTCCGACCTACTGAGGAATTCGTCAGTCAGCCACTTCCGGCGCCGCTGCTGACCGATATCAGGACTCTTACATTCAAACTCGGCAACTTTGAAAACGGTCAGTCATATATCATTGGTTCTGTCCTTCAAAAATGTCTTTTTAATACACGGTGAAGTGCAACTTCTTCAGAATAAGATGCGCGATAAGCTTCACATTTCACCGAATATGTCTCCACCTGAGCTGATCCTTGGTTTACCTTGGGACGAGAAGATCGACATCTGGGCACTCGGATGTACAGTATGTGGCTTGTACCGGCTGACGCTGCCCATCTGATGAAATTTTTTGAACTTGACATTCCAAGGTCTTTGAGCTCTTGACTGGGACTAGTCTCTTCTCAAGACCCCCATCGTTGACATCCGAAGAGTCTGATGCCCGGCATCTGAACGACATGGTATGTGTCACAGGTGACTCTCTAGCAGGCTTCGTTCCAAGCATAGGTACGTCTATTCTTATTAGACGAAGACGTACATGACGGGGAACTGTTGTCAATAGGCCCCCTGGCTGGTGAAGATTCTCGAAGCATTGGGAGCCGCCTTGCTGAAGCAGGCTTTCACAACACGGAACGAGAACGCGCAACTCATTTCCTCCGACGCTGTTTGACGCTTGCCTCAGACAAGCGACCATCCGCCTTGGAGCTCTTCAAGGATGCTTGGCTAGTTGGGTAGATGATGATTGGTCAAGCTGGTCTCCCTAGAGCAGAGTAGACAAAATGCAAACCGTCGTATCTCAGGATCTCTAGATCAGTTGGCCTATTTTTGCCTTTCGTATAGACTCATGCATACTTCCTCTCAGCGTGCTACTGTTGCTTGATAGCACGCCGTATTCCTTCATATTCTAGGTCTTTCCTCGACTGAGTGGTGTAGTGTACTTTGTAACCTAACGGCACAAGAAGTATTGAGTTCAATTTGCCCCGAGTCCGTCCGATCGCGCTTAAGTTTGGATAATACTAGTCGATCAATCATCGGGTCCGCAAAACAACTTCAACATACGGTAATATTGGATGATACGTTCTCTCCAGGTCCCAACCACTGAGTACTGAGTCCTGTGTAGCGTTGAGCAAACGAGCTATCACAGATTCTGATGTTACAACTCTGTCATTCGAGGAATGTCCGGACGACTCTCCGGACAGTGTGGCGTATGTATCAAGCAAATGGCCTCAAGATCCACAAGTCTGCACATATTAATGTCGTCAGTATTCTCTACCATCCATTTCGCCTAGATGTCTAAGTGCATTCGGTTTATAAGGGAGCAGCTGACCGTCTTCAGCTATTCTCAACCTCCTCGGCTATGCTCTGGAAGAGCACTTCGCCTTTGCAGAGTCATGTCAAGATTGCGGCGGACGGCGGGGTGGACTATGAATTTGATCCTGCGGATGTCAAAACTGTGGAGACGATGAAGTTCAGCGAAGAGTCTATCGGTCTTCACACTCCTATCGGCCCCGGTTTTAGACGAGTGAACATCGGCGATAGTTTCGATATCCTGGATACCAAATTCAAGATCTGTCGGAAACTAGGATGGGGAACTCATTCCAGTGTATGGCTTGTAAAGGACGAGTCAATATCTTCGCTTCTGAAGGCTGTTACTGTCACTGATGGGGCGTCGTAGGTCAGATTATTATGTCGTCGAAGTCCTCACGGAATACTTCTCAAAGGCGACTTGGAACGGGCAACGATCATACTTTGACATCTTAGAACGAATACACAAAGAATGCTCAAAGGAAACCAACAAACATCCTGGTACTGATCACGTCGTTCGAGTAATGTATGTGTTCGAATTCGATGCTCATCACGCAGCTGCCATGTTTCAACGTGTGGGGCCGGATGTCAACATAAAAAGATCTTTCCCATACCGTTCGTTGAAACCTGATGTGGGAAAGGTGCTTTGCCGCCAGATTCTTCAAGCTCTTGACATGCTGCATCGCGACTGCGAGGTGGTGCATATGGGTATGTGAATGCAGTTATGGGCATACCATGATATGCCACCATCACTGTTACTCTCGATCTTGCTTAGACATCAAGCCGGCCAGTATTCTCGTTCAATCCCCGCTTAGCACTCAGGAGATCTCAGACCTTCTGCTCAAGGATCCTCCAATGACATATCCCGGAAGCGCATGGACCTTCATTTCACGCGAAGAGATACAACGTCGTCTGCAGCACACTGAGGACGATTCTAGTGTCCTCCGTCAAGTGTCCGAGCCAGTCAGTCAGCCTCTCCCCGCACCTCCTTTGGATCGTCCAGACAGCCTGACTTTTAAACTATCGGATTTCGGAGATGGTGTGTTCTCCCCGAGTGGTCGTACTGGACTTGCTGACAAAAAATTGGGAGGCAGCTCAGTTTCTGTCTCAACAAACATTCGTTGGTCGTATATCTCCATGGGTACGATCTCCAGAGATGGTTCTTGACTTGCCGTGGAACGAGAAAACTGATATATGGGCTTTCGGATGCACCGTAGGTGGCACATTCATATTGTCCCATCGTGTATGACACCTTCTTTGCAGTTGTTCCAACTCCTCACTGCAACCGACCTTATATCGAGGATCCCGGCCTCCGAGATGGCTCAATTCGATGCTATGTACCTTCAAGCGATGGCTCGTTCGCTGTCTACCACCTTTCCTTCTGAAATGCTGGAGGACACTGGGCGAGAAGACTTGAAGCACATAACCGGTGCGTCACAATCATGTTCGTGGGCTTTGGTGTTCATGAAGGTGTCGCAGCTTTTCGTGATTTGAGAAAACCTCCTCCTGAATCTCGGCTTGCGTCTGACATATGGTTCCGCCTTGCACTGGCTGGAATCACCGGCAAGGAGCTAGAAGCTATCTCTTCTTTCCTTAGACGATGTCTCACGTTAAATCCAAACGAACGGCCCTCTGCGAAAGAACTTCTCGACGATCGTTGGTTACAGTAAACCCCCTGAATGCCCTTCATTGCGTTTATATGATATTCTATTGATCGGATTATTGCAGATAAGCTCATCTGCCATATGTATTTTCCTTTGGATCTCTATCCAGACCGGTTGAACGAGGTGCTCAGACTCAAATGCTTATCCTCACAAATCTTCCAAGGGCACAATGGGGACGATTTCAACATTCACCGTCGCCCTCTCTCCCCCTCCCCATCTTATACCTCACGGCCAATTTGTTTCTCTACCCTTTATGACCCGACTCGAAGTCGATTTTGCACTCAATGAAGTGCACGCCAGGGTTCGTGACAAGGATGAGGACCTTCACTTAGAGCCAGTTGGCATCGGCTTCCCTACAAATTCTAGGTTTCTTCTCCTTAACATCAGCGATGCGGTCGAGATTTTGGCGTAAATTATCATGCCTGTCACAAGTTGGGGTTCGGATCCAACTCCAACGTCTGACTGGTTCATGACGGGCAAGAGAACGGTCAGCTGCTATCAAGTGCCTTGGAAAGTTTTTACCGTCGTTCTCACCCATAGGCCCCTCCTGACGCAATTACAGGTGTGGCATCTAAACATGGTTCCAATTTTTCCTTGACATCGCAAACGTTATCCTAAGCTCTCACAATACAGATCAAGGAATTATTTCAGAAACGTCGAACTTCCAAAATGTCAAGATAGGAATTGGCACCGTGGAGTTTGCTCGCTTGCGAACGCCCCTAGCCTAATCCAGAGCACAGACCGAATGCACCATCCGAATATAGATCGGTTTAATGATGCTGTGTAGCGTGAGCCCTCCACATTAGCTTTGCTAGACAATTCACGACACAGTTTAACAACGATCTTGTCCGAGGTCGTGAACAGGACCCTGTCAATGTCATGATGAGTTGCGTACGTCTTGCGGAAAAGGTCGTGTGGTAGCCTCTCTACTGTTCCTTCAGCTTCCCGATGAGCTTTGATAGAAGTTTCAATTCCATCGGAGAGAAAGGACTGGATTGCATCCTCTCCATTGCTCTGACCCATGATGATAACGTTCCTCGGTCCTATCTCATACGACTCGTCATATTTTTTCCAGCTTAATGAAGGCCTGATGCCTCCCGGATGCGACACTGTGACGTGCTACAGACTTGAAGCGGTGAATGGTCTGCGGGTCTAATTCTTTCTCCATGTCCTAGAAGCGTACACGACTTAGAGTGCTCGCCATATATTGCGTTGCCACTTTTCCAGCTTCGTCCAGACGGCGTTTAGATATCCTCCTCCACAATGGTACTTCGATGCACTTGCGTTTACTGTTATATTCTTTACACAGTAACTGCTGCGCTAGAGCAACCGTTGCACCAAAGCGATCGTCCTTCTTGAATTGTGAAGGATCCAGTGTTACGCCCAACAGACCCATCACGCTTAACACAACATCTGCGGGGCGAGCGGATACACGCCATTGAAAAATTTTCCGAACATCATCGAACTGTGCAACTGTCCCATCATTCGCACCTTCAACGAATTGTGGACGTATTTTCAACGCCTGCCTGAATTGCTGTCGTGGCACCCGCGAGCCGTCTCGCGAGTAGTCATATTGACGGTTCTGCATTTCAAAGCATCCGTGATGTCTATTATGCGGGGAGTAGTCTCAAGTGAGTCATGTACAACACCTTTACTAGTGGCGCGACTATGACCTCCTGGAATGTCTATGCGCGTTCGACCCCGCCGGTCTCTTCTGACTCATCTGGAAAGCGCTGCAGACCTGCAGGAAGTACGAGGCAGGCATGACAGCCCTTGTAAACATCATACATATGCAGGATCTGCCAACGCTTGTCTCGCTGGCCTGCAGTTGTGGGTGTTTGAAGAATGCATAAACGGTCGAGCCAGAGCAGCCGTATGCCCATCTGAAGCGCTGCGCTGCTCGAATAACGTAGAACGTCAATGCTGATGGGCCCACCATCATTTCTCTCTTCACATTCGACGAGGAATACCCCATTTGTGGTAAGGTCGTGTGGTCGGGGCTCTTTGCTCTTCCAGATGTGCGAGATCGCAATATATTGATCTATGGGCAATTGCGGCACTTCCCAAAGCTCTAGGACGCCGTGTCTAACGAAGCTGTTACAGTCGATAAAACGGTACCGCTCAGCAGTGGCACAATCGGTCACGTCAATTCTCTCGTCGCGACCGGCGGCGGCTCGAAGCGCAGGAAGCGATTGACTATAAATGACTTTGCCTTCAGGCACAGTGGGTACTTCTTTGGGAGTTATATCTCTGATTTGTTCTCCCTTTGGCTCGTACAGGGCCAGTGGATGATTGTAGGAATCTTGAAGACTGGGTGAAACAAATACAATCCCGTGATTGCTAGCGGTTGCGGATCCATCACCCATCGATGACTCGAGATCGTCTTGCCGTTCGTGGACCTTTTTTTGTTTTGCTACTCGTGCAAGAATTGATCGTCAGGCGATACTTCGTTTGGTGGAAGCTCTGTCTCACTGGGGTCGTTTCGCTGCCTTCAGGATAACGGGTGTTACGTCGTCCGGAACTTTGGGACTAGAGAACGCTGTAGTATCTCGCGGTACCTTCCTGAGTACAGTAGCCGCAGCTCGATCGATTTCACGACGACTACGTTGAGTCACGACGTGTTTTTGCATATGCAAGGCAATGCGATTAGTAATGTAGGGCGTATTTTGCTTTATCGTGGACTTACCTTCGTTTGTGTATTGGCTTGACCTATGACTTCACATGTAGACAGAGGATATGAGGAAAGTTGAAGCTCTAGACACACTGCTTAAGGCAGGCTAGCCTCCTCGAGGAAACTCAATCAAGTCATTTCGGCTTCATCCGTACGCTTCCGAACGTTGTGCTTCCTGTTGGAAATTTCGAACTGTGGGCTTATATTATGGCAGACAGTGGGTTGACGCCGTATCGATCTGTGGATCTATCTTTGAGCACGTTGGAGATCATATTCGACCCATGATTTGGCTTACATTATGTGCAACTCTCCATAATTGATCTAGTATGTTTGCATTTCGTGAACAAAGGACTTGCCAGCGTCGAGAGGGTGAATCTGCAACGAAATAAAATAGTGTAGTGGTAGAGAGCACGGACAATGAAACATAAATAGATATAAAGACGGGTCACCATATACATAGACTACTGATCTCGTGTGTTGCATTTGTTGAAAACGTGTTCGTCGATATCACCAACCAACATGCACCCGATCTCTATCCCCTGCCATTCGAGCCACAACCCGCCGTCCTTTTCCTTCATTATGCAGTCGTTCGGCCATTGATCAGGGTGTCTCTTGGATTGTCTTACATCTGTTAAGTCTTCGGCGACATTGATTTGCAGAGATACAAGATGAAGGGGTATATCTGATCGGCCTAGAAATACATATGCGAGCTTCATGATGTAAAGAGGATCTAAGGTATTTCACAATACAGTAAGCATGCCGATTTAGGTCATTCACGGTCGAAAGCTTATTTGTTACTCACCGACGCCGAACGCAGTGGAATTGTAATATACACCATTCACCTCCCGAATGAGGTAGAAGCTCTCAATTTTGGTGTACTCGCCCTCATAGCCTGCCCGATATATTGGATATAAAAGACCACCAATGATTCGAGCTTCCACAGCGAGACCAGCCTCTGCGGCTTGGTTTTGGAACCATGGAGACCATTCGCTTGTGATTGTCCTTGGATATACGATGCCAGGGGGAGTGCTCTCGACGCCGTATAGCATTGCGCGAATCCAATGAGCCAACTCATGTAGAAGAGTAAGACCGACGTTAGCGACGAGATTGAAGTCGTGCATGCCCAGCTTTTTGGAAATGTCTACTTCACTCAGAGCCATCGCCATATCGTATGAGAGGAAGAGTCTTGGGGTACCCAGTGGGAAGCGATAGGTAAGACCAAACATATCCTCCAGCGGCATGATACCGACAGCACCGCGAACATCAGAGTTGAAAAGATCCCTAAGAATCTCGGCTAGGCTAAAGCCACCCTCATCATCATCGTCTTCAAGAGCCAGGGCTTCGCAGAATGCTTCGCGAATGAGTGGATTTGTGCGCACAAGCAACTCGACGTTGGTAAGGATGGAAGACAAAGCGAGGATCTCGATGGATCCTGTGGGGTCATGAGGCTTGTCATAGTCGTAAATGAGATATGTATGCTTGTGGATCATCGTGTGCGATTTTGCCATGAGTGTCTGGAAGAATTTGGAAATACATGGCAAGTACGTTGGACTATCTTATAGGCCTGCTGAAGGGAATATCGCACAACACAAGCTGACCCAACACAAGCTTCACGAAAACTGAGCCCCTTGACCCATATCACCCGCAAACAAACCGAGTGTCGCCAAATTAGTATTAGCGTGAATTGAAGCGGCGGGCAGGGGGCATGGAGATCCACATACCCTGGATATTCAAATAATTCGTCGCCTGTAGTCAAGGCCTGGGGGAAAAAAATATTGGAAATATTATTGCAGAAATGGATCACCCCTCAAATCGCAGCTTTTATCTTACATCGCGCTCAGCACAGTCAGCTGCACGAGGACCTGGCTAACACGATCGATGGAGTCACCGGCATGTCGATCCCTGTTCCAGGTAACAAGTTATAGCCACAAGTTTAAGCCAGGCATAAATAATGCGTACTTCCGCGCAGGCCTCATTATTTGCAGTCACGGACACCAAAGTGACGGGTAATGGGCAACGGACTAACATAACTCCTCTCAAAAAGCTCATCCTTGGCCGTTTTGTCCGCGCCAGGTCCCGGATTAGACATGAAGAAATGGTCGCCGAGCAACATCGCACACGTACGAGAGTTGATATGCTGGATCGGGACCACTTCGAGCTTGCTAACATCAAAAGGTATGAATCGAAAAGATTCCAAACGTTCTTTAACGTCTTGCACAGCTGTCAATTACTGATAGTATCTGAGCACCAAGAAAAAGACGAAAGTGCTTACCGAGTTTATATGTACGCCCATCGCGACACCAGAGGAAAAGGAATGAAATGTGTGTAAAATCAGACGATAGGAAAGCCGGAGGCAACCAGTCGAGATGCTCGTCGAACATCACACCGACGATGCCACCGAATAGGGCCTCTTCAATCCAAAAGCCATGCTCCATATGAGAATAAGGTTTCGTGAAGTTGTTAGAAACGTAAACGGGGAAGGTAGGCAATAGCTTGATAACAGTTGTAAGATCATTGAAATGGTGACAAATAGCATGTCCTAGCTGATGTAGGATCTGCACGACAACAATGAATCTCAGTAGAGCACGGTTATCATCCGTCTGTGGCTCAGATAGTGCCGCAACAGTACGACCGTGAATTTCCATTGTCGTCGGATCTTTCATCGGCGTGTTGCAATCATAGCACCATTTTCCCATCCCGGACACGCTGGGATTCGGGAAAATGTGTTGAATATATGAAGATATACGAGAGATATCGAGTTCGGATGCAGGTGCGCTATTCGAGCTCTGTGGATTCTCATCCCGAGAAAGAGGGACGAATACAGACAACAACGAGGGAGTGGCGAGGAGGGATTCCTGGACACCGTTGAATATGGGTTGTATGTCATGAACTGACGGCTGCATTGTAAAGTAATCAAACGGTATAACTTCAAATAGTGGCTCTGGTCGCTCCTTTGACGGTGAAACAAGTGAGGTTGGGTCGCAGCTGAAAATGTTGACAAGAGAAAGACCGGTCCCGACATTTGGCGACGCTGTGACGGTGACGTGACTATTCACGATCGATCACAAGTCGATCGAATATCTCAAAAGAGTCTTCCTGAGGCTTTGCCGATTTGTTGAACCAAGTACTGATTCAGCAGCCTGAGAGGTCTGATGAACTCCAATACCTATGGCACATCTCTAGTGATACATTTGCATGCCATGTGCTCCTCAATACTACAGACTTCTATCGCAGGGATCTCCATTTCCCCCCATCTGAACCACAACTGGCCTCCCGACCCTTTGGTGCTCACATCGGGACCGTGTTGATGAGGGGGCCGGATAACCAACTTCACTTCGGATGCATCCCTGAGAACATCGACCTCGAGAGAAGCCAAATGTACCGGTGTATTTCCCAGCCATGTATCAGCCAGTCTCGTAATGTAAGACGTATCTGGATGGAGTGCCACGAGAAATGGTGTAAGTGCCTTTCTGCCTTGCAATGTATGATAATGTTATACTCACTAACCACGAATGCCGTTAGGTCGTAGTATACTCCGCACAATTCTTTGATGAAGTAAAAACCATCGATGAAGCTATAGTCGTCTTCGCGATCTAGCCTGTATATGGGATGTAGCAATCCGCCAAACAATTTACCCTCAACGTCCAGTCCGGCCTCAGCGTAATTATTCGAAAAGTAGTCCTCAGATATCTGAGAGATCTTTCGAGGGTATACGATGCCAGACGGAGTGGGCGTAGAGCCGAGTTCTACCCCACGGATGTAGTGAGCCATTTCGTGATGTAAAATAACGCCAACGAGAACAATCAAGTTCCGATCCTCCCGCGTTAAAGAGCAAAGGATGTTGGCGCTGATTTGACTTAGTGCGAGCCCTAACTTCCAGGAGATGAAAAGCCTAGGGTACTTGTCGCAGAAGCGATAGGTGACCGCAAAGATGTCGTCGAGTTCCATGAGGCCGATCTCTTTAGGGCCGTCATCTCGGAAGAGGGCTCGAATTATCGGGTCCATTTCAGCGGATGTTTCATTAGAGGTAGATGAGATGGCAAGTGATCTTATGTAAGCCAGACGGATAGTCTTATTATTGAGGAGGAGTTCACGAAGATTGTGCAGTATGATAGTAAGGATAGGGATCTGCAGGGAGGCTAACGCCTCATAGGTCGGTTTGTCATCGATCTCGGCATATAGAAAGTAGGTATCTGGAGGGGCCTGCTGAAACGCCATGGCATGAGGTGGAATGATATTTAGCGACAGATTGTGCCAGCTTTAAATATCTTTGAATGAAAGAAACATGTCTTGTCTCCTGTCATGAACAATGAGAAGACGACTCTGTGGCGATTTCGATACCCCTAAGTACCGTCGACGACGGATGCTTGGCGGCCGAGCAACAGCGAGCAACCTGGTGAGTACGAGAGTACAAACCATACGCCACAATTTGATAAAACACGGTGGTTTAGTACTGATTTGAATCAATATGTCAGACATTCAGGGGAATTTCGTCGTCGACACATTGACCTAGTATGCTGGCTGTATTGTGCTTCTGTTGATCCAACCCGCCGATATTGTCGACGTCTCACAGGGAAAGGACTGTTATTATCTGGGGAAATTCGAGTAAGACACATACAATACAGGTCAGAGTGAAACACGTACGCGATATAGATGCAATACTGAGATATACGATAAAAGACTGGCAAAGCGCGGTTGACATCTGGACGATGAAAGAACTTTAAACGCAGGATAGCCGTGTAAAGGGCGAGTCGAACATTTCCTTGAAAGTGGATTCACACTAGCACATACCTTCGATATAAGAGGACTAAAACGAGTCACGACTTTCAGAGGTACAACGAATGCCACAAAATCCGAGGTTTGTGACATTCGAAACGCCGAATTCTATACACGTTTGATCTCCCTGGTTGAGATCGCCAGGTCCAATATCGAACATGGTATGATCAGGTCTGAAAACAAGTGAGAAGGTGAGGAAGATGGCAGTCCATGCTTACGAGCATACCCTGGTTGTCATTCAAACCGTCGCGGTAATGAATAATGAGACAGGTTGTCTCCCTGAGACAGATAGAGACGCAACCTTCGTGCCTCAGGAGACCTCCGTCTGACAATTCCCCGTGTAAACCAATCACTGTAGTATCGATCTCATCTTGAAAGACAATTGTATCCATCAAGTGGGCCAGATGTCATTCCTACGTGAGAGAAATGATTACCAGATCTACGTCATCCTCATGAGTGGAGACAACGGTGACAGCCACAGTCATCGATCATCAACAGTGCTACTCATGTTCAACCAAGTTAACTGTTACGAAGAACTCCTTAACTTGGGATATGCGAGGACGATGGAGGACACGGTATCAAGATAACATGGTTTTAGACAGAATGCATGACATGTCGACAGCAGGAAACAAAAGCAAGACAACAATAACCACGGGTATTATGACTCCGTAATCACATACGAGTGAGAGGAGAGAGGGACAAGAGTCTCATTGCACTGCCCAATACGTCCCGAGCGCTCATGTAAAGGAAGAGGCGGGCTTGCGCAAGCTCATGCTCTTGGCCCATAACGATCAACGTCTCCCAAGCAGAACTGATGATGTGGCTCAGTCTAAGAAATGGTGATGGGTGAGCGACGTATTCATGCGAATGACGCCGTGTATGCAGACTTACCTGAAACAGAATGAGACTATGTTACTGGGCTCATATGTCTTTAGAGCGGTCCGCACAACGTCAGGGTACGTCCCAAGAATAAAGACGATCTCTCGAGCTTTCGGCTCAGCGAGAAGATCGAAATTGATCTGGGATGGATCGGATGGTACGACAACGGTCGGGGCGACCTTTCGCTCAATGGAGCACAGTCGAACATGTGCATATTGCAGATATGCTCCGGTGTCGCCTTCGAACGATGTCATGCGCTGGGGGTCGAAGTTATAGGAGTGCACCCTGCGAAGACGGTGATAGCTGAGATTTGCATCACATAAGGCAATCGGAAAACCACAAACCTTTTAGCTTGCATGTCTTGAACCTTAACGCACGTCATGCCAATCTGATCCGCCGTATAATCAGGATCCTCTATGTCCTTGAACTTTTCCTCTTTCTGTTGCATCTGCGCCAGCATAGCCTCCTTCGCTGTGTCAAGGATCTCATCAAGGAACTTGACATCGCCCTTCCTCGTGCTCATCCCATTGACGCGACCGAAGCTGACGTGCTCAAGACGATCGGCAAAGGGAGCGTTTAAGAGCGAGACAATCTTGAAGAATTGGGCAACGTGAAGCTCTTGCTGATCGCCGACGACGTAAATGTGCTTGTCGAACTTATACTGTTCATAACGCTGAAAGACACCCGCGATGTCTCGCATGATATAGATGGTGGTACCGTCTATGAATCAAAGTAGGTAAGCATCCAGCACCTGATAACATAATTCGTACCGGGTTTCTGCACAACAGGCTTTCCCAGCTTCCATTGGTTCAAATCCACGGCCTTAGCAACACCTCGCCCACTTGGATTGGCTTCAGCATCCTCCTCCTCAGCCGTACGCAGGGTCCCTAGGCTCATCGCAACCTTCTTCTCCTTCCAGTTATTGTTGCTTTCCTTCGAAGTCTTGTCGGTGAGAAGATTGTTCGCCTCCAAAGCTGCCATGGCAGCCTTGATGTGATCGGAGCGAACCAGCGACTCCCCAGCGTAGACATCGAAACGCACATTCAGTCGATTGTATACTTCGGCGTACTTGTGGATGGAGAGTTCGCGAAACCGGCGCCAAAGAGAAAGAGTCGATTCGTCACCTGATGACATTGGCGTTAGCGCGACCTAGCAAAGTCCACCGGTGGGCAAAACGCACCGCTCTCCATTTTCCGAAATACCTCACGCGCTTTTTGGTCGGTGATTTCAGGCTCACCGCGTTCTTTCTCCAGCGCAGCATCACGGTTCACTTTGACATAGACGTCGAAGAGGTGCATGATGGCATTGTTGGCCAGTGATTCTTCTGATCCGTAGCGCTTAAACCCGACAGCAAGAAGTCCTGGTAGAGGAGCTGCGAGTCAGACGCGATGCAAGCCAAGAACAAAGGGGCAGGGGACAATGTGAAGTGACAGACCGAATTGTTTCCCCCAATCACCTAGGCTGAAACCCATGAAGAAAGAATGTGATGAATGGCGTCATTCACGGCGATTTTGTCCACTAGATACTCAACTAGTTCATTCTGATAACGTCCCACCCGTTCGCCTCAAAAAGATTAGACAGCACAGTGCCGATGATTGTGCTGCGAAGATGCCCTGCGTGGAACGGCTTGGCGATATTGGGACTACTGAATTCAATGACGACCTTCTTTCCAGCTCCTTGCCAGTTCGAACCGAATGGTACTCCGTTTGATGCAGGTGATTGGTGAATACGCTCAAGAACGAGCTTGAAAAGGGTGGTGGTGCGCACATAAAAGTGGACAAAAGGTGATTCCCCCACACATTGCTCGAGATAGTGGTTTGGGGTGAACTAAGACATAACACATCGACGAGGTTTAAGGTATATTGATAACATAATGGATACAGAATATACCGTGCTCGTAACCTTTTCGATCAGTTCTGGAATCTTGCTCTTGAGTCGAAATCGCGGAACTGCAACTGTGAAGTCCACGCCTTTTCTGCCGAAATCAACACCAGAAAAAGCAGTGTCGAGGGAAAGATCAAGGGCTTTGGAAAGAAGGACTGCGATGGCGACTTTGAATGAGTCGAGCGGAAAGTTTGCAGGATCGGCCCCCTCGATGAGCGGAAGGACAGAGGAGGACATGGTGGTGTGGCGGGAGCCAGAATCGAGTCAGAACGACATCCTACTGCCAACAATGGCCCGGCAAAGGCCCTTGATGATCAGGTCTGAAAACAAATGAGTGAGAAGGTGACACAACCAACCACTGCGCTATCGATCTCATCTTGGAAAACAATTGTATCCGTTAAGTGGGCAAAGGGTCATTCCTTCTGTGGCGAATTGTGTAATAGAAACCCACAGTGATAGTTAGTTGAGTGCCAGGACACAAAAAAGTCAACCCGGCAGTCACTGTCAGTCGGAGAGGACAACAATAAAGAACTGTTTCACAAAAAGTTCCCACTAGCCGACTTGAACGACTGACCTCATCATTACTAGTGATGCGCTCTACCACTGAGCTAAGCGGGATTTATGAATATAACAATTTATAAAACCATTACTTGATTTTTTCAAATATCATTCCCTAACGAAGGTGAGAGAAGATGATTGATTATTCACCATTACAATATACGCAACATATCATCAACTTCGTCCATAGAAGCCATGGAGGCTAGAGATGCTATAAGGAGTAGGAATGAAAACCATGATGTTCGATACAGTGTGCGAAATGTGAATCTCTATGATACCTAGACACGAGCCGGAGAATGAAAAGGTGAGAACCATATACGCCTAGGAACCCATGAAGCAAGAGGTATCCAGAATGAAGGAGGGAGAATCAAGAGGAAGGGAAAGGATGAACAGTAATAAGTTATGTTGCGTAAATATGTCCATAAAGTCCGCCATTGGGCATGCTACCATATGCATGCCATATGCAGCGAAGCGCGTTGTTTGATTCCGAGTCAACGGAACGTCGTACACGCGCGAGGGCGTGTCAAAAGGTCATAAGACTAGAAGCCGAGAGCATATAAGTGAGATTTGTCAGATATGACAGAAGAGTTTTTTACTCACATCGTAAATCAATGTTTACAGATTCAGTGGTGCGAGGGTATGAAGCTCCTCACGAACTCGAACTGAGGCCCGGTTTCCGGACTGCACGGGAATCGTTTGTACTTCTCCACGAGCTTCCACTCATCCGCGATAAGCCGTAACGCATCCTCACCATTCCTTGCTACACCCGACTCAACCAACCAACATCCAACTACTAGACCTGTCCGTCCAATCCCACCGCGACAGTGCACTGCACATATTCGACTTTTTTGCTCGTTGTCCCTGAGTATATCAAGGATTTGACGCACAAAGGCGACGCTTTCTGGCAGGTTTCTATCGCGAATAGGGAAATTGTGGTACTCGACCTCTCCAGGCTCAATGCCAAGTAACGAGCAGCGAGCGGAAAGGTGGGGGGAGTAAGGGAAAAGCTCGTGTGGTTCAGTCAAGTCGATGAAAGTTCGCACGCCGGCTGCGAGCAATGCATCCAGTTTTTGCTTCGTTTGTTTACGCTCGATCTGACTGGGAGTCAGAGGACAGTAAGGGAATTCGCAAGCAACAAGATAAGGCGTCGCCCAGTACGAATTAGGGATCGGTCGTGGTCGCTGACGCAGTGTTCTCGATGAGCTTGCACGCCGACTTCGTTTGCTCGGACCGTTTGGCGGTTGACTCAAAGAGTAGGTAGCGTCCTGCATGTGTAAAGCTGACCTTGAGGATACGTAGGTTCGCTCGTACAGGACAGACATATGTGTTACTCGTCAAAAGATGAAAAGAGAGTGAATTGAGTGACGAGCGGGTGGTCGTTAGGGTATACACACCCGCCCAATGGTTGGCACTTATACAGTAGGCGAGAACCGCTTGGCGCCGGCCCAAAGTGGTCTCGCCACAAAAGCAACACTGCCACACCCTTCCGCACTTGCCTTCCGTTGACAACCCTTCTCCCGACCCTTTGTCTTCTCAATTGTTTCCGCCTTCCTGTCAAGTCGCTGTTTATAGCTTTCGTTATCTGTGGAAGCCCTCTGATGGTATTTAACTTCCGTGTTTTTTTTTCTGTTTCTTTCTCGTGCTGGAAAGTTACCAGGGGACGCCAAGCATTTCAGAGCTGTAACGTAGATTAACTTGAATGTCTCGGAACAGTCATCCTCTCTACCAAACACGGCCAGAGGGTATCCCATGACGAAACTGCAGGTTTACTCGCGTTACATACCTCTTATCAATTGGCTGCATGCGAACTGCATGTCCTGGGATTATGGCGCGGACTCCATGCGCCCACGTCAAACTTTGCTGCGGATTCGATTCTGCTATTCACTTCAAAGCCTATACAGTTCGGTACGTATCATCTTCGTTATTCTGATTCTGCTCGGCACTCCGAACATCTGGGTAGAACTGGGAAACAAAATCCTACTCTGGCCACGCGCGTCCCTTATAACCATTGCTTGTTATTAATCCATGAATGCATAAATGTTGAGAGTTACGCATAGAAGCTAAACAAAGGCAAAACATTCCGATAGTCCATCGGATGCCGGACCACTCTATTGCTCAACTTTGGACTTTTTGCCTTCGAAAGTTCAAGAAGAATGACGAAAGAAGGTGCGGTGGCTATCCTGCTAGCCGAGTTCGTTTGGGGTAGTTTCTTTGAGCCAAGCTATAGCTTCTATTTATTCCGCACCCTCTCCGGATGCTCCCGCTCCACGAACTCCCATGGGAGGTGCTCTTCAAGACATGCCAGTTACCACACAGGATCCTCGTTATCTTCTGCTCTACTGCGGCACGGATTCCATCTTATGAAACTTCCGAGCTTCGCCGAATAGGTCTATTCGCCTAAGGACTACGGTGTCTCGTCGGAGCATTCTATATCTCTAACTGACTCCTGGCAGATGAACGCTGGTTTCTTGCCGATCTGCTGATATGCCCTATCCGGATATATGGCACGTTCTTATCCTTAGGTCGACGCCTCCAATCATCTCAAGGTCGGCAGAGGCAGCACGGCATTTTGACAGCTTGCCCTTTCCGAGATGTGCAATTGTCCCATAATCACAACGGTTGAAGCATTTTCTATTGATTTTTAACATTGTGTCATACGTGTCTCTCGAGGCTGGCATCTGGCACTCATTTGATATAGGCGCATTGCTGGAGGCGCGTGATGAACATAGATTGTTGTGATTTACGACGGAGACAATTGGTATGATTTATTCTGATGTATATGATCTCATATTCATTGCACTCCATGGAGAACTCGAAGCCAACCCTGCGCGTACGATCCTTGAATGCAAGCAGAAAGCTTCTACTGCCGTGAACCATCGGGCCTGTTTTCATGACCTTTCAGTAATCAAGAGATCTCCGGATTCCTCGAAGCTGTAGTGTCAAAATTGATCACAACAGCTCTTCCGGACATAGCAGTGTCGTATGATTTATCTATCTGGTGTGTGTCGACTGTGCTTAACTCGACCCACACTTGAGATATAGTACGTCACAAGACGAACGTCCTTATTGCGGTGTTTTCATTCAACGGACTCTGGTATAATCTTTCAATGGATCGTTGTCGTGTCACTCTTGAGTCATTCTCTGACACCTAACCTGGGCGTGCGTTGATCTAGGCGTCCGACAATGTTTCCCTTACTAGCATTCAATTCCGTCGTTCATTTTTTGCCGGCTACAGTCCGTTGAACCTGGATCACTCACCCTAGACAGGTGGATTCGGGCGATTATTTCAATACGGTACGTCATGAAATGACATCAAGATTGAGTCAGCTTCGTTGACATTTTGTGCAAGGCTTGGTGCGAGCTAACAGTAACCTCGAGGTCTAGACTCGTTGATGTCAACTACCGAATTTGTCTTGGGAGCCCTGGCCAAGCTCGCCTTGAATCGCCAACATGCCAATTCAGATGGAACGCAAGGCATAGAAAAGGACACTTTGAACTTTCCTTCCGGATGCGATCTTTGTATAACAATTCATATCTTACTCGGCTCTTTTTCTCAAAGGAATTGTCGCAACACAGCTGTTTGTCATATGGCAGTTGGTATGTTTTATCGAGTACGATGTACATGGCAAGTATACTACGTAGGTTTTGTTGTTTCTGCTAACATTCTGCGTACTACTATCCCGCTGACAAATTCTTAGCTCCGTTGTTGCAGATTTTAACTCCAGCGACTCAATAACGCGATTGCTGTTCTAGAACTAAAGGAAGAAGACGTAGCATGAAATCAGCCCAAGATCACCGAAGCAGCCTGCTTCCATCATATTTGTATTTGACCACTTTGCGAACGAAGCATCATCATCTGGAACCTGCTGTAGAAGGTTCAAACATCACTGGTCCGTGGGGCTCGCCTCTGCTGGGCGCGCCGTTGCTGTCATTGCTCAAGTGAGCCGCCTGCCTGAGCGTTCTAGTACGCCTCCAAGCTCTGATTTCCACGCTGGCCTCGCTGCGATGAATATATTACCCGTATTCTCACCGCTCTGCATCCACAATTGCGCTTGGATGCCCAGCAACCTAGTTTCTCGTATCCTTGACGCACCGGCGTCCTGTCTTCGGCCGCTCTTGATCAAATTCTAGTGGGTCATGAGTGCAGGCCCGGTTTCTTAACCCTGGGGTACGCCATTCTCGTTTCTAGATTCTACGCTGCCTCGAGTTCCGTTCTTGTTGCCGGCACAGACAATAGACTCACTTTCATAGCCTCGGGTTTTTGTCCATCTGTAGACAAACCTTCCATGTGTCGAATATTGAAGATCAGATCTGTCAGGCTGCCGGTTGTCCCGTCTCTGCCTACCTATAAATCCTTCGACCGGCTTCTCGAGATGGACAGCATCTTGTGATAATTTGGATCTTCGCTCTACCTCCCTCTCCCCTCTCACGAATTACGATCCTGTGACGAATTGATTATACGACTTCTGGACAAATCCTTACTCTATACCCCATGCCCGCAGTTCAGTCTGGGAAAGTTCTGGTCTCGGGCGCAAATGGTTACGTCGCATGTTGGGTCATTAAAAGTCTTCTTGAGCAGGGCTACTCCGTCCGGGGAACCGTCCGTTCCGAGAGCAAAGGAGCATATACAAGAAAACTATTTGCCTCCTACCGTGATAGATTTGAACTTGTCATAGTCGAAGACATGTGCAAGGTAAGCACACTCGCATTATGGATGCGAATTTGAATTTACGTTGAACGCACATCAGGAAGGTGCATTTGACGATGCTGTGAAGGATGTTGACGGGGTTCAACATATTGCGTCGGCACCTGTCTGTTGGGATGCGAATAATCCGAACGACATGATTTATCAATCCATGGTACCAGGAGTGGTCAGCATGCTGCAGAGTATTCTGCATTATGGAACGCGAGTGAAGCGGGTCGTCATTACCTCCTCGACTACTGCGGTGAAGGATGTCCCTCCCTCAACTACAGAACGCGTCTTCACCGAGGAGAATTTCAATTACTCGGCGATTCGTGAACTGGAGCAGAAGGGTGCCAATACAGACCCCCTCGTGAAATATGCCGCTGGCAAGACTTTAGCAGAACTCGCCGCATGGGAGCTTTATGAAGCAGAGAAAAGGAAGGGTTTGTATTGGGACATGGTAGTGATTGCACCACCATTCATCTTCGGACCTCCGTTGCACCACCAGGGTGGCCCAGAAACACTAAAAGTCCCGATGAATGGTTGGTACAAGCACGTCCTCGGAGGTGATGTGGAATATGTTCCTTGGACGGCAGCCACGGGGTAAGCTGCGCTAATAGTCTCAAAGTGTGACTGTCATAATTCTTATTCTTATAGCGGCGGTGACTGGGTCGACGTCCGCGATCTTTCTGATGCCCATGTGCTTGTAATGCAGGAGGAAGCCACTGGAGGACATCGCTTCATCATTAGCGCAGGACAGTTCACATGGAACGATTGGAGTACGTTGCGTCTAGTTTTTTAATACTGTGACTGATGTCGAGATTGCAACAATATTTGGATAGTCGAAACAGTCCGTCGCGTATCTGGCAGCGACAACCTTCCACATGAAGTTGACAAGCCTGGATACCCTATCTATCTGTCTAAGTTGGATGTGTCTAAAGTACAGCGAGTATTGGGAGCTTCGCAATACCGAGATATGGAGGCGTGCACTCGAGCTCTTCTAGACTTCTTCGAACGGAAAGGTTGGTGGGAGTCGTAGTGGTATATGCCGTGACATTGTAGCCTGGATATGTACCGGAACCTTGATTTTATTTTTAATCTACCACATTTCGCCTACCCTTGCGTACGCTGCAGTACTTATCTTGAAGGTTACGTCTCCATCCAGTGTCACAACAGTGACTTTTCCACTCCGCCGATACCACAAAAAACCGTTCAAAGAGAATGTTCACCGAGGCCCACTCCAATCATAAGGAATCATCACCGTCCGACTGTGTACACGAAGTCGCCACTAAGTGGATCCACTCAATGTTTAATGTGTGCTCTTTGGTCTGAACTACGGGAATGACAAATCAAACCCTTCTGCTGCGATCTCGGCGAAGAATATCTTCGTTTCCCCCATAATGACCAATCTCCCCTTCCCCGCAAATATCATGTTTGCAGACGTATTTCCTATGAAGAATTTACCTAGTAATTCTCCTTCAGGATTCCAGACCTAAATATCATCCATTTGATCATCAGCATCTGTTTCGCCACAGCGTTTGAGAATTTTACCTGTGTGCCATCGCCACAGCCTGCGTAAACATTCCCATTGCTATCCAGCTGAACTCCGTCTGCAACACCAGTGTCCACATAGGCGAAGACGCGCCTGTTCAAGAATGCCTGAGTCTTTGGATCAACATCGAAAGCGTAACTACATGAAAACCATCAGTTCAAGCTGTGCAGTTTGCGAGGGAAAAAAAGCTTCACATGGTTGCCGGTTCAGTCTGATTGTTTCCCAAGAATCCTGCGGTGGCGCCGGTATCTGCACTGCAACTGGAAGTTTGTCATGGCCCAGTTCGGAGAAATACCATACTTACATATATGCCGTATTTCCGTCCTTAGTAAACGCAATACCGTTTGGTCTGTCAAAACCGTCTGCTACAACCCGTACTCTTCCTGTGTCTGGGTCAAATCGATACACTTGGTTCGGCATAAGCGGATTTGGCCGGAAATGATTGAGGAAGCCGTAGCTAGAGTATGTGAAAGTAACACAAATCGTCCACTGTCATTGAAGACCGGACAAGTGTGTGTTTGACGTAACGTACGTTACATCGGTGAAGAATATCTTCTTACTTTTGGGGTGAATCTTCACATCGTTAAGAGAGTTGAACTGTCGTCCAAAGAAATTGTCGAGTAGTAAAGTCGTGTTAAATGGAGGCTTAGGGTTTACAAGTGTGAGGGAAGGGGGTAAAGGTCCACGACCGGAGTTGATCAATAGGAGTGAAGAACGGAAGGGTCCTGTTCCACCGTTTGTCATTTGTACCGTATCTGGTAAATCCAGCTTGCTTCTGGTCAACATCAGCTCACAAGTCATGCAAGATATAACCATACCTTCGTCACGGTGACGTTCACATCGGCGTGGCCAGAAACTCTGGCGATGGCTGCCGAAACGTCCTTCAAACTTACCTTGCTCACTTGATTGTTATGGTCGATATCACTCATTCCGAGCGGCCCGCCATCATTGCTTGCGAAAAATACTTCGTCCGTACCTGGAAGCCATATAGGTGCTTCGTGAGCAAAAGCAAATTCTGGGTTTGCTGCTATTGCACGAATAGACGGCTTTTTGCCTAGGATGGAAAGGAAATCGGGATGGAAAACTTGGAAGAAAGGCGGTGTAGAATTGGTAGGATTGAAGAATTCAGTGAACGAAGAGTCTCGGAAGGCGCCATTCTGACTCAGAACGTTAAAATCGAGAGGATCAATCAACTACGCCACAGAAATGAGAACAGAGTTCATAAATACAAATGATGGGACACTGACCACTGCTTGTGAAGCCAACGAGGCTGCAGCGCCGGTCTCTGGAGTTGCTCTGCTGGACCAAAAGGCTGCTACAAAAGCGAGGATGCCTCCTATGAACAAGGGCATTTCAGCTTTGACCACTACTCCTGAGTAGTATTGATTCGTTTTATGAGTTGCGTGTATTATTAGGGGCCACCTGGAGCAGTTGACGATGATATATGTAGGATTGTTTGTGGGAAACTCTCGACATGCTGATGACCCCATGACTCAGTCAGGGAGCAGTTTCAACGGCCTGTGAGACTTGGAAGCATTGAAAGCACCTTCTGTGTTGCTAGCGGCGGGCCATGAACCACAATTCTTGCCAAAGCCAGTAACTCGTTCCGTGTCCCTTCCTTGTAACAACGCCGATCTAGGTTTTAATTAGTGCAGCTGGGTGCCCGGCTACCGACGAAGAACGAAAAAATAGAGTCCTTTAGCGGTGACAAATATATTAGATGTCAGTACCACACGTCATGAGGTCTACTTACTACCAGGCCAAGCGATCGGGAGACAAAGTCCTGCTAGTAACGGCGCTACGTGCCTCATCGCCTAGTCAATGATATCTCCGGGATGTGTCGGGTTGTACCTACATACCATGAATAACGCGAAAGGGGTTACGGAATAGCATATCGTGAGGATAGCAGCACCGTGTAAAGCCGCTGTGGTTGCCTCCGTCACAGGCTATAGTAGAGCACTCAACTTCAGAACGCGCTGTACGTCCGTATCGGTTGGCAATATCTTAGCATTGATGTCGTATCGAAGATTTCCTATCCACTGTAAGACAGCCCCGTTTAACACGACTATGATTATTCGGATGGGTCAGGATTTCGGAAGTCACAAATGTCGGAAAACATAGACGAGAAGCTTCATGGTCAACAATGAGAGCAAGCTGGGCGCCACATATCTTCCAAATGATGGACAAGCTCAAGGACCCCGATGGTATTGCATAGAATGGTAACCATTATGTTGTATCTAGCATACAAAGTTAATTTACGTTAAATATTGCTCTATACGAGGATTGGAGCTCCGGGGTCCTTGACCGTGAACTGCCAAGTACTGCCACCATCTGCTGCAGTCCGCGCGTTGTTCTCTGGCTAGGCAGTCTGGAGACTACTACCTTCGTTTGTTATACCCCCTGCTGGCTTCGGGTTGCATAGAACGCTTCACTTCTTAATTTCTACATGCCTGCTTTCCGACGAAACCCAGATCCTGAAGACACCGACGATGAAACTGATACAGTCGACCCCGAGTTGCGCCTTCGCACTGTGCGGACGGCTGCTTCGACAATCGCAGAGTCGATACGAGCGGAGGAGCGGGCAGAGCGCAGAAAGACAATGAGGAAGAAGCGGTCGTTCTTCCGCGGGCGCGGTGACAAGAAGCGGGCAGCTCAGGCAGCGCAGGCAGCCAAAGCGCAAGACACGACCCCTCCATCAGAGGTTGCTGCTGCACCTCCCGTTACTGGCTTGCGTCGTAACATCTATGTCAATATGCCCCTGCCTCCGGACGAAGTTAACAGGGAGGGGGAACCCATCGTTCGCTATGTCAGGAATAAAGTCCGGACTAGCAGTGAGTGCAGTGGGCATACATGATCGATCGCAATACTCATGCGTCCTGCAGAGTATACCGTCATCACGTTCATACCCAAGAATCTATATGAGCAATTTCGCAGGTAAGCAAACATGTTCACTTTCTTTCCTCTGACCTAATGTTTCACAGGGTCGCGAACTTATATTTCTTAGCAACGGCCATTTTGCCAGGTACTTGTCACCACAGACATTCCCGCGGGTTCAATCCTATTTACATTGTTTTCAGTCTTTCCCATCTTTGGTGCCGCATCGCCGCAGACGGCAGCTCTTCCTTTGCTTTTTATCCTCGTAATCACGGGAATTAAGGATGGCGTGGAAGATTATCGCCGAGCGGTTCTTGACGAGGAGGTCAACAATTCCGCAGCAACGAAGCTCGGCGAATGGAAGAATGTGAATCAGCCGTCGGACCCACGTAAGTGGTTCGAGAAGTTGCTTGGCCTCAACCCTCCGGGCAAGGTTACGAAGGGTGTCCGCAAGCTGCGTGAACGTGAAGCCGCCGAAGGGAAGCAAATTGTACTGAGCAAGGATGGTGATGAGTCTCGGACGAGCCTGAGCACCAAGGACACGCATCATGACAGCCACGACGGTGAAGAGGGCTACTTTGCCGGTGCCGGAGGACGACGGCTGGATGACATTCAGAGTATGGATGAACACAGCTATCCGCCGAATGTGAGCATAGACATCCAGGGAAGTACATCTACTGTGGGCGGGTTCACCACTGAGGATATGACTTCTTGGCGTGGTGGTTCGGGCTCGCTGACGGCATACCAACAGTCTGTGAAGTCACGGTCGAGCACGGGCGTCGTGGACTATCGGAAACGCGTGAATGGCACTGCCCGATGGGATCGAACGCTTTGGAAAAAGCTGGAAGTGGGCGACATCGTGCTGCTGCGAGACAACGAACAGGTTCCGGCGGATGTCGTTGTGCTATGTACGTCGGATGCGGATAACATGTGTTACTTGGAGACGAAGAATCTCGATGGCGAGACCAACTTGAAACCGCGCAAGTCTGTCCGTGCAACCTCGTCCATTACGTCCGAGGATGACATCGAACGAATTTCATTCGTCCTGGACTCGGAGCCTCCCCACCAAAACTTATACCTTTACCACGGTGTCTTGCGATACAACGATCCAGTGACCGGCGCACAGAAGCAGGAATCCGTAACGATCAACGAGCTCCTCCTTCGTGGCTGCACTGTTCGAAACACCGCTTGGATCATCGGACTCGTCGTTTTCACTGGTGCCGACTCCAAGATCATGCTCAATGGTGGTGATACGCCCTCGAAACGGTCGAAAATCGAGAAGGAAACCAACTTTAACGTCATCGTCAATTTCGTGGTGCTGATTGTTATGTGCTTAATTTCTGCGATTGCGAATGGTGTCCTGGATGGCCAGGCTGGCACAAGCGCAAATTTTTTTGAGGATGGTGCGGATCCAACGGGTTCCTCGGTCGTCAACGCTATTGTCACCTTTGCGTGAGGAATCTCCGCCTATCTTCAGCGGCTTTGCGATAATAATGTTTTGTAGGTCATGCTTGATCGCTTTCCAGAATATTGTGCCCGTTTCGCTGTACATATCGATCGAGATTGTCAAGACTATCCAGGCATTCTTCATCTCGCAAGACGTCGATATGTATTATAAACCGTTCGACGCGGCATGCTCACCCAAAACTTGGAACATCTCCGACGATTTGGGTCAAATCGAGTACATTTTCTCAGACAAGACTGGCACGCTCACGCAGAACATCATGGAGTTCCAAAAATGTTCTGTCCGTGGTGTGACATATGGAGAAGGCGTAACCGAAGCCCAGCGTGGTCAAGCCAAGCGACAAGGAAAGGTCGACGCATTGGAACCCGAGGAACAGGATCGCAGGCTTAAGGTGATGAAAGGAAAAACGCTGGATCTGATGTCTCGTGCTTTCAAGAACAGGTATCTACAGCCGGAGAAACTGACGCTGATCTCGCCCAAGCTCGCTGAAGACCTTGCGGATAAATCATCGGAACAACGCTCTCACCTAATCGCGTTCTTCCGTGCCCTTGCGATTTGCCACAGTGTGCTATCAGACCGTCCCGATTCTACTAACAAGCCCTTTCACCTTGATTACAAGGCTGAGTCGCCAGACGAGGCTGCGCTTGTAGCTGCTGCTCGTGATGTTGGTTTCCCCTTCGTGCACAAGTCTAAGGACGGTATTGACATCGAGGTGATGGGCCAACCCGAACGGTACACTCCTCTCGAGTTGCTCGAATTCAACAGTACTCGCAAGAGGATGAGTGTCATTGTCCGCAATCCTCAAGGTCAGATCGTCTTATACTGCAAAGGTGCCGATAGCGTCATCTACGAACGTTTGGCTGCCGACCATGACCCTGAACTCAAGGAGAAGACCTCGAAAGACATGGAGGCTTTTGCGAACAGCGGACTACGGACATTGTGTATCGCGTATCGCTATTTGACCGAACAGGAATATATGGAATGGCAACGGATATATGATGCTGCTTGCAACTCCACCACTGATAGGGACGAACAAATCGACAAAGCGAACGAGAAAATTGAGCATTCCCTGTACATTCTCGGAGCCACTGCCCTGGAGGACAAGCTACAAGAGGGTGTACCAGACGCAATCGAAACTCTTCACAATGCTGGTATCAAACTGTGGATCTTGACTGGTTCGTCGGTCTTGTCTTCCATATTCCAAAATTCATGTGACGCATTCCTATCTCGTAGGTGACAAAGTCCAGACAGCCATCGAAATCGGATTCAGCTGTAATCTCCTCAAGAGCGACATGGAGATCATGATCCTATCGGCTGACACACATCATGCGGCGCAGCTCCAAATTGAAGGGGGTTTGAACAAGATTGCGTCCGTCTTGGGTCCCCCTTCATTAGGTCCGCAGAAGAGAGGTTTCGTGCCCGGTGCTCAAGCAGCTTTTGCGATCGTCATCGATGGTGATACTCTCCGTCACGCCCTAACACCACAACTCAAGCCGCTGTTCCTCGATCTCGCCACGCAATGTGAGACTGTTGTCTGCTGTCGAGTCTCACCAGCACAGAAGGCTTTGGTTGTAAAGTTGGTGAGTTCAATCGTCAGTACTTTATCGCCTGAAGACAATCTGAGGTGCGCTCGCAGGTTAAAGAAGGCAGGAATGCTATGACTCTGTCCATCGGGGATGGCGCAAACGACGTCGCGATGATTCAAGAGGCTAACGTTGGCTGCGGATTGCTGGGTTACGAAGGATCACAAGCTGCTATGTCCGCCGACTATGCCTTTGGTCAATTCCGTTTCTTAACGAAACTATTGATTGTTCATGGCCGATGGTCCTATCAACGGATTGCGGATATGCATAGTAACTTCTTCTATAAGAACATGATCTGGACGTTCGCCATGTTCTGGTTCCTAATCTTCAATAGGTGAGAAATCATTGCCCATCATCTTTCGTGCATGGCTGATCTCATCCCTCTCTTGCTAGCTTTGACGCAACGTACCTATACCAGTATACATTCATCCTGTTGTACAACCTTGTTTTCACCTCGTTGCCGGTCATTGCTCTGGGTGGTAAGATACCTTCCTCAAACCTGCATACCTCCCAGTGCTGATATATCTGATTTCCACAGCTTTTGATCAAGATATCAATGCAAGAGCTGCGATGGCGTTCCCCCAACTGTATGTTCGAGGCATCCGTGGCCTTGAGTATACGAAGCTCAAGTTCTGGGCGTTCATGTTGGATGGTTTATATCAATCTGCTGTCGTGTTTTTCATCCCATTCTTGGTCTGGACCTTTGGTTTGGCCGTCTCATGGAACGGCAAGACTATCGAATCATTGGCGGACTTTGGGACAACTGTCGCTGTCGCTGCTATCTTTGCTGCTAACACTTTCGTTGGCATGAACACTACCTAGTGAGTCCTCCCGACTGCTACATGTAGCGCCTTACTTATCTTCCGATTCAGCTGGACTGTCCTAACTTGGATTATTGTCATCGGCTCATCGTTCGTTATGCTCTTGTGGATAGTCATCTACTCGTTCTTTGAGAGTAACGATTTCGTGGATGAAGTGGTGGTCCTCTGCGGGAATGGAATGTTCTGGCTGACCGTCCTCATGTCAGTCGTTATTGCACTAGGTAAGTCACCCTCTACAAATGTGCGATCTATAGCCTCATTGATCTATCTCCTTAGGACCTCGATTCGTCGCCAAATTCATCGCGAAGGTCTACTACCCACTGGATAAGGACATCGTGCGTGAGATGTGGGTCAAAGGCGACTTGAAAGATCGTCTCGGCATTCAACACCGCAAATCGAGGAACAACAAGGGTAGGTTGGAGCAAGCACCTATGTTCCACCATCCTCACGCTCGGTCCGAATCCGAAATCTCCACGTACCAGCAAGATATTGAACTAGGCGGCCTCACTGCGGGAGGCAGCAACCCAAGCTCTCTCTCTGCTTCCCCTCGCACCCCACTAACACCCGTCCATGAAGCACAATCACCTGCCGCGGAACAACCATCATACGATCATCTTTCACCAACTCCTAGAGAAACTAGACCAGCCGGGGACCAAAGAACTACGTCACCGTCTTTCAGAGGATCCTACTACTCCGCTTCTGCTATCCCCATGTCTTCACCTGAGCCATCATTACAACCTGGTTACACTCTGTCCCAAGATCCTCCCATGTCCACCGTGTCACCTAATCCCGTCACACCTTTTGCGCATCCTTCCCAGGGCAGCCTACATCCTCCACCTCAACCACAACCGTCTCCTCCGCCAGAAACGTTTGAGATGCATGTTCGCCAGCCATCGGATGAACTGTACTCACCGAGAACAGACCATACGCATGGAGGCGTGAGCGAGTCATCCTACATGACAGCCTATGACGGCTTCACAGATGATCACTTACAACAGTCAGGGCACGATCCAGAAGGAAGCTGGCGAGAGAGCACATACTCAACATATTCAGCACATGCTTTGTAGCAACATACTCGAACAAACTGGTTCACATCTTTCATATTCCTCGAGGCTCGGCATCGTGGTATAGTAGTTTAGACAGGCTCTTTCATCTCCTCTTGGTTCGCTTTTAAATTATTCATTGCTGCTGCTCCTGCTGCGATCGCGTGCATGCGGTTCTTTATTCGCACTGACCATGTCCCTTCGTTTTTTCCTGCTATTGCGCTCGTTTGCTATCTACATCCATGAGCATTCCATTTCACATTAGTACTGTTACTAGAAACATTGTAGTATACCCTACTCGCCCTGACTTATACGCTCACCGGAATTATTAGAAGCCTGTATATACTTGTTCTCGGCGGAAGTTCTGTGTTCAAGTTACTGTGCAGCATTGACACCGCCGTCAAAATACAGTTTCGTTTCGAATCGTGCTAGCTATGGAACATTATGAGGAGGGTCGTCTCACCCCCAATGGTGAGAAGATATACGTATCCAAATGCTTCTAAACCTGTATTTAAACTTGTCTGAGTCGCCTCGCGTTGCCTATGATCTGTGGTATACACGCGAAACCGTCAAATCAGGTACCTCTCGTTTCTTCCTTCAGTGCATAAAGAAGTCCTTCGCCGACAAACAAATTTGCAGATCTTGAAGCCATCTCACTAATGCCGTGTACAACAGCAAATCCGCTGGCAGAGCTGCTATGCGTTGTTCTCCCTAGGGTTATACACGAGCGAGCAAGTTCATCACTGCGGGATAACTTCCATATCATCTGATACGATGCCTGTGGTTCTCTGGTGGGCTGAAGAAGTAGTTGTCATCATTTGTCCGGCCATGAGGCCGTCCGTGGCCATCGGCACTTCGACGGTGCAAAAAGTAACAAACCGATGGCAGACGAGCATACGGCACTCTATTCACGAGGAAATCATATCCTGGCAGATATAGGGCTGCAGGCCGCTTGAGTGGCTGAGACGTTGTAGAGACAGGTAAAAGCTCTTACATGTATATACATCTTATCACTGAATCAGAACATCTTGACCAGCCCTCTGAATCTAAATGCCGCCTGGAACAACCGTTTTTGGGTCCCGGTATTGTTGCTTCTTCATCATAATGAATTCCGAACTCAGTTTGGCTGTGTATTGTAGGTTTGAAGACGGAGATTCAGATGACCTAGACTGCCTTCCGAATCATCACATACCTCATGGCAATGCGCCAACCTGCAGGGTCTCCACCTATGATCAAGCGAAATCCGCAGATCCTGGATCCTGCACGATAGCAATGACCGCAACAGTTCTCAGCAAGGGGCATTTGGGGTGCGTTTCAAGTACTAGTAGTCTGGCAGACGCTTTGCCAAGTTTCAAGATTACTCCCGTTCCATTCGATTCAGGTAAATTCATCACTTCGTGGAAAAATTCTCATAGCGTGTTCGCTTCTTAGATGATCAGGAAGCAGATTGGACCTTGCGACCATTCATCAGAACGACGTACATGTTCGCATCTTAAAGTTAGTACCCTAATTTCGTCGACTTGGACGTAGGCGCGTTGTAAATCCGACGTTGGAGAATCACTCTGCCAACAACACAGGCCGTTCAAGCAAACGATATGGATCCTGGATGCTGATTCCGAAGTTCTCGTTGCATCGATACAGAATGTATAAAGCATAATGCCCCTCTAACACAATCCCTGGCATTGCCGTCAGGATCCCGTTAAAGCCTAGTGACTCAACAGTGCTAATGTCTGTCTCACAGGATTTACCCCTCATTCCTCCTAACGTCGGGCAGCTGTACGTCAAGCTCTTTCTATGGTGTTTCTTCAAACTCAATGAGATCATTTAAACTCAGTACTGGACCACTTGTTCGTTGCAACTTCAATGTTCCCCTCTAAGGTTTCATTTCTAACGGTCGTTCACTTTTCTTGTCAGCTTCTGGGTCATTTGTTCAACTGGGGTCTCTTCGGCGCGCTGGCTGTGCAAACATGTGCGTATCATGCACAGTCACTTTTACCTATAGTGACCTTCCGAAACAGACATCTACTACATCGCTTTTCCTAACGACCGGCTGCTCCCAAAGAGCATTGTTGGCTTCACCTTCATAACGGAACTTCTGCAGACGCTTCTTGCGACTCGTGATGCATTTCGTGACTTTGGGACCGGTTGGGGCAATATGGAGGAGTTGGACTCGGTAGGCCTTCTGTGGCTCAGCGTGCCAGTCTTGGGCAGCATCAGTGAGTTATGCGACGTTGCCAGCCTTTACGTTCCTCATCAGAACCTCGCAGTGTGCTTCACGACTCAGGCATTCTTTGCATGGCGTGTCTGGATCCTGAGTAAGAACAAACGGATAGTGGGAATTATCATGGTTGTAGGTGGAATTATTCAATGCAGTACAAGTTGTTTTTTTCTTCTGAGCGGCACATGCTTTAACTTGTAGCTTGCTTTAACGTCTTTTGTTGTTGGTTTATACTCTGGCGCTTTCACTGTTATAATTGGGAAGTTCTCGGAAGGTTGGTTGATGTTACTTTATCTCGTCAACCCTATCTCTGACGAAACGGACGTACAGTGCAGAAACGGGCTTATAGGACCACTTGCGTAGGTCTTTGATGCTAATTTGCACAGTGTATATATTGGTTTAATCACCCATTTCATTTCTCAGGTATGGCTCGGAGGCACAGCGCTTTGTGATATGATTATTGCCGGGAGTATGATATTTTATCTACACAGGACGAGAACCGGATTCCACATGTCACCTACCATTCTAAGCAAATTCATCCGCCTCACTATCGAGACAGGTCTCACCTGTGCCACCATTGCGATCGTAGATCTTGCGCTCTTCCTCGGGTTCCAGCAAAATAACTATCATCTCGCACCCAGTATTGCTCTGAGCAAATTGTACGCTAACAGTCTGCTCGTGGTATGTTTTATTCTTGGGTTATGATCATCTATCCTGCTGATTGGGTGCACTAGGTGTTGATGACAACTGAGCATGAGGCGTTGGCATATTTCAATCGGGTTTCGTCCTTTCACGGCAAGACTGGTACCTCCGCCATAGCTATATCTATTTCTCACACAAGGGAAGCCGACGTGGACGATGTCTCCAGGGGAAAGCGCATTCCTATGACAGATGTATGTCGCGACGCTGAGCATCGCAAGGGAGACTGTTGCTAAGTTCTGCTTCAGATGAACGACGGGTCCCATAGAGCCAATCAAAACGATGTTCTACACTTCACCTCCGCCTCCTCCGCCTAGTCTTATGCACGCTTGACGCTTCTAGAACTGCAAGATGCACCTGAACTTCATCTCTCCAAATGTCGGGTGTCCGGCTTGTATGCGTCGGTTGTTGTCAATCATGTGAATTCGAAGGAACTATCTTTACGTGCACAGTGATCGAAACAGAAACGGATGTCCGGACCATACCGTGTTGTTCGAGATTTCTGTGCTTCAAGATGTTTATCTAGAGTCTCCATATCAAATGATGAATGCGGTACTTCCTGTGATCACTCGTATTTGGGCGAACGTCGTGCTCAGTGGGGTGAAATGCGAGCAATGTTGAGCTCCTATATAAATAAGCATCGACACCAGAGCTTGACTGATACAGCCGCAAATGGATCACGGAACACGATACAAGAGATTGTACGGTATATCCAAACTAGGATAAATAGACTCCGTGTCCTTCACATGACATCGCGGCCGATATCCACATCAGCACTCCTCATTCCTGGATATAACTTCGTTTGTATCGACGTCGTCTTCCAAGTTTTAGAGACAAACTTGCTCTCCTCGGCCTTGGCAGACAAGTGATGCATACAATTGGATGGGGTTGAAGTCGAATAGGTAGATTGAATATTAGTGGAGGCCGATCTGATGGCTCGAGAGCGAGTAGCATCACTATTACCTCGCCCGAGCAAGCCATGTCGTCCAATTATGAGTTCCAAACTATATGATTCGTAGATATTTAAATGCTTGCTCCAGGTTGAGATGATTCTGACTCGTGGTCAATGGGACACGATCACGATGAGATCGACCTAGCGCACCAAATTAGGGCCTCCTCCTTCCAAAAGTAGTATCCTCTTTGGTCTCAGGTGGTGTCGGGCCACGCGGCCGATACCATCGCCTCTGCTCTGAACGTCGACCGTGGGCCACGCATTACAGAACTATGAAATGAATCAAACGATATCTCCTGTGTTTCCTTTGCATTAGGTTCTCATCCTCGCAATATAGCCGAAAACACCAACTCGGCGGCCTCAGACGACTATCTCGTTTTGTACAACAATTCTGCTGGCGCATCCAATGATATGTAGACCCATGTTCTCACCGGGTTTATGCCGCTGTACAATGTGCATCAGTGATGGCGCTATATTTTAAGCACCTTCAAGTAGCCAATTTACTCGCGAAACATGTTCGTGAACGAGTGCACCAACGGAGCTGGTGATCGCGATCAAGCTGGGAGCTTACCCCAGTCCTCACATTCACTGAACGTCAATTGTATAGCATGATTGCTATTTCCAGTCGGGGGAGCTGATACAATGACATTTGCCTACGGCCGACCCTCGTATTCCAGAGTTTCGTCGACACGTCATCCGCAATCACTTTCCTCGCGGCGATCCGAGACGCATTCATCTTCGACGCTATACTATCTCTGTTCAAATTGTTCGGAAGCTTGGGCTCGCCATTCTCGGGCATTGATGGGAGATATATGCGTTCCTACACCGAGTCAGACTTCATACGTGTAGTCTATGTCTTCCTCGCTTAGGATCGACACACAACCCGGTGACTGCTCATCTTTATCTCGTCTCCCAATAACCAATGTTCCTTTCCATTTTACGGTCGATTTCGGCATTGCTTGCCTGACAAATCTAACACGTTTCACTCTCGTTTTGTTTGGATGAAGTGTCGACAGAGCGAATCCGGGCAATATCCTTGCTAAGTTCATCCGTAACTGACTGTGATACAACAGATGTAGTATGAATCAGGATGTCGACATAGGAGAAAGGGCGGGCTCACCCTGACAGACTATTGCCATCATCGCTTTGCCCGAATTGGCCGATCAAACCCTGTTCTACCTTGTGAAATGAGCAAGTACCGCCTCGTGAGCTGATTTGTTAGCTCAGGTTTCTCCCATTGTTGATTCTCCCGCGATACTGTAGCTGCAGACTTGACCATCTGCCAGCAATAATAGGTTATTGGGACCTTTCCTTCTGACCGCCAACACCGGGCGTCAACTCACCGCTTCTTTCAATGGAACAGACAAGCAAGGCTTTATTGGGCGATACTACAAGTTCATCATTTCCGAAAGCTCAACATCTCGCCTTAGACATGAAGATGTGGTATGAACACACCTAGCAAATAACCATACTCTGAAAGCCTTGAAAGTCTGCACTGACGCTATGGGGTGGTAGATCGGAAACATCCCAGGTCCTTGGACTCTGCATCATCATATTGATAGGTGTCGGTGGCAATCGAGTCTGGTTTATTTCAATCAACATCTTTCATGAAAAGAGCACACATGTCGCTACCGTAGCGATTCTCATTTCCCACCCGGAGGAAGGTGACGCGCAAGATGTCTCCTTCAGAGAACAGTGCTCTGATGATGCACGTACGTTGTCTACCGCGCGCTAATACATGCGGGTTCCTCCCGGTATTCCGTTCTCCAGTGGAATAAAAACCTCGCTGTAGGTTCATGACTGTACCTGACACCTAACAAGACTTATGCAAAGAATTTATTCTCAGACACTGAGGTTACTGAGTATCCCAAACTCTCGACGTGGTGTCTCCCGACTATATATAGACCTGTCGACCTGCAACCTGCTCGAGGTCAGACAGATGTCCGGATATATGCGTTGGTGATCCCGGTTTGTCGCATCATCACAGCACATTCAACAAGGATCAAGATGTTCTAAAGGTTGGATGGAAATCCGATGCTCACCCTTCGCTGTGGTCAAATGTATAAAGGAATACCCTCGTTCAGATACATGGTCTGACAGCCCACTACAAGTCCACAGATCTGCCGACGGGGCCATGAGTGCAGCAGGTTTTCCTTCCATTCCTTTGGATATCGCACAATTGTACGTGGAGTTTCTTGTACTGATGTATATATTTTGACTCAGTTGGGTCTGTCACTCTCAGTACTGGACCTCTCGTTCGTCGCAACTTCTTGGCTCTCGGGCTACCAGATCCTGATGCCGCTCTCTTCATTGTCAGCTTCTAGGTCATTTATTCAACTGGGGTCTCTTCGGCGCTCTGAGTGTGCAAACCTGTATGTATCGTGTATAAACAGTTCAGGTTTTCGATGTTCTCCACTGACGCTCTCGAATAGACATATACTACATTGCTTTCCCTCATGATCGGTTACTTCCCAAAAGCATCGTTGGCTTTGCATTCATAGCTGAACTTCTGCAGACTGTTCTTGCGACTTTTGATGCATTTCGCTATTTTGGGATGGCGTGGGGGAACTTGAACGAGTTGAACAATGTTGGCTTCTTTTGGTTCAATGTGCAGATTCTAGGAAGTATCAGTGAGTACTGGAACATGTGTAGTTGGGCTTCATCTTATCCAGGTCCGCCTAGTGTCCTTCACTGCGCAGGCGTTTTTCGCTTGGCGGGTGTGGATCCTAAGTAAGAACAAGTGGATCGTAGGAATCATTTTAATCGTTCGTAAAATATCTTCCTTTAGACTGGGGTTTCTTGTTCCTGACGAGAGTTTTTGCTGACTTATAGCTTGCGATGATGTCACTTGTCACTGGTCTATACTCTGGTGCTCTCACCCATATCATCGGCACTTTCTCGGAAGGTTTGTTTATGGACTTCTTTTCATGTTCCCTATATCTAATAATGCGGACACATAGTGCAGAGGCAGGCTTATAAGACCACTTGCGTATGTACTACTACTAGCATGGATATTAATTTCGTCATCCCCCCCTTCACAGGTATGGCTTAGTGGAACAGCCCTTTGTGATGTCATCATTGCCACTGCCAGTGTGGTCTTGTATTTGCACAAAACAAGGATTAGGCTCTACAACAATTCTACCTTCTTGAGCAAATTCTCTCGACTCACCATCGAGACGGGTTTGACCTGTGCCATCGTTGCGATTATTCATCTTTCGCTCTTCCTTGGGTCCCAGCGGAACAACTATCATCTTGCACCGAGTATCGCTCTGAGCAAGGTGCATGCTAACAGTTTGCTTGTGGTATGTGAACCCTTTAATACCCTCTAATCTCCAGCGATGATCATAAACGTACTCCTCTAATTCCGTTTACTAGATTTTGATGGCAACCGAATCTGACGCGTTGGCCGACTTCAATCGACTTTCATCACTTACCGAGAACAACGATCACTCCGCCATATCCATATCCATTTCTCACACGAAGGAAGCTGATACGGATGATGTGCCTCGAGCCAAGAGCATTTCTATGACAGACGTATATCACGGTATTAACGACCGTAAAATAAGTTCTGCTGATCTTCATCTGCTTTAGACGGACAAAGGGTGCCAAAGAACCAATCCAAGCAATATCTTGCGCCTCAGCTCAGCTTCACCCGTGTAGCCGTATGCACCATCTGGGCGTTGAGCTTCAAGCTGCGTTGTGAATGATGTCGATTGAACACAAGACAACATGTTCGCACACGTGTTGCAACCAACGTGGCTGAGGTGGAAGCAACGTTGGGTCCTGGTATGGACAACTTAAAGGACATAGTTGCAGACCCATTACGAGATACGGTTCAACAGATTGTACGGTAGAGATAGACAAAAATATGCAAGAAATATGCGAATGAGATTGCGTTGAAGTCCTGTTATAGTGCTGCAGATAATCATGCCTCCAATGCACGCCATGAGATAGAGTCCAAGCAATCACCCTAAACAAAATAGAAGTAAAACTCTCACAAGTCAACACTGATATCCATGTCCGAACCAGAATAGCTAGACTCCGCATCTTTGACTTCAACGTCACAACCAACATCTGCATGAGCACCAGAACCTAAACTTGTCTCAGAGCAACCGACAGTCAAGCCATCGATCCTAAATGTGACCTCGCTTGTGTCCACGGCAGAATCGGAGGCGTCCAAGATGAGCTTGCTACCCTCGACCTTAGCAGCAAGGCGAGGTGTACTATACGGGGACGGCAGATATGGTGAGGGCATTGCGGCTCTGATGGCAGAGGATTCGAGCATTCTATCAGGCGAGGAAGTAGATGGTGACAGAGCAGGAGAACTGATGTCCATCTCCGAGTCGGATGGAACGCGCTTGCGCTTCTTCGGGGTAGAAGTCTGAGCGGGAGGGTTGAAGTTGAATCCAAAGTCATGGGAAGCGAATGGGGCAGTGGAAGCTGAACCATTGGATCGAGAGCTGCTCCGACCCCGGGTAAGAGTAATATTACGACGAGAGCCACCTGCGAGCAATCCACGTCGCCTCTCAGGGAGTTTCTGACTCTGAGATCGGTAAACGCTTGCTCCAGGTCGAAGATTGAGGCGATTCCGAGTGGTCAATGGGACACGATGGGAATGAGATCGACCTAGCGCCGCGCATTCGTCGGGAGGTGTGTTGAAGAGGGTTTCACGATCGAGCATACGGCGCCTCTTCACCGGTTTATCGACGTTCATCTTCCCAATGATGTTCTCTACGTCCTCGTCTTCCTCCTCTGATTCCACTTCTTCCTTGAGAACATCGAGGGGTTTCCCGGTAGGGCTCCCAAGTTTAGATGAGAAGTCTGCCTCGATATTGCGACTGCGAGAAGCCAAGGGCGAGATTGGACTCATTGGGGGGTCGAGTAGCAAGAGGTCACGGGCAGACCGACCAGGCGAAATGTACCCGTCCAACAACAAACTGGAAGATAGGTTCATAGACCGCTCCGCTTTGGGTGCTCCAGGTACTTCCCTACTTGACGCATGTATCCCCACCAGTAACTCGATACTATTGCGAATAAACGCATCCGTTCGTCTAGTGCTCGTGTCGATTCTGAGAGCCTGAGGAAGTCGTTCGTTCAATATCTGAGTGACAGAGAGCAGTTGTGGGCGAGTCATTGTCACGAGATCAGCGTGGCAGCAGAATGGGAGCGTATGAAGGGCGGTGATGATGACTGCATCTGAGATGGAAGGATCGTTATTCTGCAAGGCAACGCAGTTGGGAAGATGTCCTCCTAGAGTGAGGGCAGCTCCATCGGATGTACTGAAGACTGTAGGAGAGCAAGGAGAAGATGCTTGAGACCGACCACGTTTGCCTAGAGCCCGGGGTGTAGCAACGGCATTCGTAGGCTTGAAGATGTCCTTGAGGTACCATCGAACAAGAGGAGTCCGGAAAGGTTGTTTGATATAGCTGAGTTTGGTCATGGTCGTAGAAGCCAAGTAGTGAGAAACAGAAGACGCAGGCTGGCGTTCCTTGGTGCTGATCAGAGGCTGACGAGCTTGTCAGCCTCAATGAATTTGAGACCTGACACGGGAGAACCATGGTCGGACGTTACAATACGGACTGTTAGATTCAGACCGAGCGATGTAACAGGAAACGAAAACGTGCAGGACGAGAGAATATCCTCAGGATGTGCTGATCCGTTGCTGAGGACCTCTATCAGTAGGTTGTTGTCCGGATATCTAGAGATCCGGTATAACCAGTCATAGGATGCTAGACGGATGACCTTGAATGGATCACATCCAGACTAGAGTAGAGAAACAAGCTTCAGTGCTTCGTGAAGCCGTGACCAGATCTTCAACGCCAACTCTTTTGAGAAGGTTTGACTACGGCTTCCCACACAATTAGCAACAATGACGATAGTCAGCTGGCACGCACTACAGGTTACCGATATCTCCCAGCTACGAGCAGATCATACAAGTTTGGCATGCTTGGAAGGAGGCAAGAGTGTTTCCCGCCCCAAACAGTCTTCAGGAAGTACCGACAAGTATAATATGCGCATGTTATTCTCTTCACATTTTTTTTTCCATTCTGGTTGATCACCAAAAACCGATGTAGGTAAATGCAGAGAGGTATATTGCAATGGAAGTGTACAAGATCGCTACATACAAGCAGGAAAGATTTACAGGAAACAGGACCTGCAGAAATAAGAGATGTCAGTAACAAATTCGACAAACTTCAAGCAGATAAACCAAGAAGATGGTTAATGGAGGATCAGACATCCAAAGGAAGGTACTTATTGGCCCTCACCGCACCTACCCCCGCTTCCCGCCCAGCGCACCCAAGGGCGGCCCACACTCGACCAAAACGATTTTGGGTTCCGCTTGGTATGGAGGGGGAATATAGACGTTCCGCATTGGGGGAGTACTCCCTTGCGAGGAGGGTGCTAGGGTGAAAACTGCGAATGTACGGTGATATTCATCATAGAAGGGTGGAAGGGGTGGGTGTGAAAAACCTGGGAGAAGAAACTCACCGATCAAAACAAAAATCGAAATGGCGATGGAGGACAATATCAAATGAAATTCAGGACCTGGATAGAGGAGATCAGTAGAAGGCCGAAGTAAAATTTTCAGACAGAAGATCAGACGAAATGGCACTGGCAAGTACACTGTGCGCCCCGTAGGACGCGAGTTCGTTGCGAACGAACTAGCTCTATTTCTCGGCATGGTCGTGTAGGACGGGGAAGAGAATAAAGTCATCATAGAAAGAGATTATGAAAGAGATACTCACAATAAAGTACATGGGAAAGGCGCAGAAAAAGAGAGTCAAATCACACAGTCAAGGAAGGCGAGCAACAAATTTATACGGCTCAAGCTGTTTGGATCTATTTGGATCTTTCCCGAAACGGCCTACGGGAGACGCGTGCGAGATTATGTACGTCGTTACAGCCTGCAGCGCCGCAGAGCGACTTTACCAACGACTACCGTGTTCACCTCGCACCCTTAAAGATGGGAAGACACGACAACGACCGATACGATAGGAGAGATGGTAACCTAACCCACGCTTCTTATCGTCAAGCACAATTGAGCTAACCTCTGCTTCTTTTCTCTTGACCACGCATCTTCACTTGGTGGAAAAACATTGACATCATGAACACCGCGATTGATATCAAACACTCATGTCTGTATGTGTAGCGAGGTGGCGTGGAAGGAGTCGGTCGAGATCGCCTCCTCCTCGTAAGGATCCCGACGACCGACAGCGAGAGGAGCGATCGAAACAGAGGCAAGACTCCAGGCTGGAGGATTCCAGGCGGAAATACGAAGATAATGCGAATAGAACCAGCTCATCAAGGCACAGCTACCATGAACAGACACCTAGAGAGGATGATGGACCATCAGTGCGACGTCGAAGTCGTGAGCGGGTACGTTTATTGACGGAGCCTATCCATTTTCAACCCTCACAATTACAGTCCTTACCGTTAGGCTTATGAACGCGGGAGACGACGTTCTCGTTCCTCATCTGTATCCTCTACTTCTTCCTCGACATCATCTCGGCGGTCTAGGAGTTCCTCACCAGATTCAAAACGACCTTCAGGTTCAGGAAGACACAAACATCGTTCCCGTTCTAGGTCACGCTCCAGAGAACGAAGCAAACACAGTTCCAAATCTAAATCCAATCATCGAGACGGCGATCATAGGAGCGAGAAGAAGCGACGGAGAGATAAAGACAAAAAGAAGAGAAAGGAGAAGGATCGATCAAGTAAAGAGCAGAGAAGGAGTGTCCTCACGGGCAAGAAGGTATGCCTTTCGGGCACTTTGTATTGTAAACTAAGGTTCACTGAATGGTCTTGTAGATCAAGCTGAAGGTCCACAAGGATGCCGAAGATTTGGAAATGGATGCAAAACGGGAGGATCTATTGCGATTTTTGAACTCGGCATTCGATTGATACCTAGGCAGATCTTGCTGATCATTGCCACTCGTCCGTTTCCTCTTCACTGCAGATCTTTACTTTCGCATGCTCTCTGTAACAACCGTGTTCTATAATTAGGTTTGTGTCGGCAACGCAGCTGGCCTTTACCACTCTGTGTTTACTCGCAAACTCCTTTCTCTTATTGGAATGTTTCTGCTTCGCTGTAAACCGTCTTGATTCTGATTTGTCTTCCGATCATCTTTCTGCATCCCTTGATCCCTTGTGCTTCCTTTTGTTCCGGAAGAAAGCACGGTGGCAAACAGGCAAGAGGCATTTATTTCGTGAGATATAGGGACTCTGTAGTGCCTGAAAGTCTCTGCGTCCCGCAACTCATTTGCCCGTTCGTCTCACCAGCTCACCTCTCCTCTCAATATAACCTTTTGATGGCATGACGGTGAGCCCTTCCACAGAATCTTCCTCTGAGACCCTGATAAAACCCGTTCACTGATGGCCTTTCCAGTACCACCGCGCATGTCAGAGGACCCCTGACTATTCCCTGTCTGTCATGGCAGTCATAATTGATGGGAGGGTATGCATTGCATGGTGTTCGTGATCCCGCCCTGTGAGCGATGCATCACACATTCATACATAAAGACGCAGGTGTAGACGCAAGCCACTGATAGGCCGATATCTCACCAACCTATATGTTGGCCTACCATTTTAGAGCTTGAATCTCTACTGTCACCTCTCCCCTTTCCCTCCTCTACTTTGACCGAGAGCTACATATCTAGATAACATACAACAACATAAACACCGGCCTGCCAATATATATCGAAAGCTTATCTCCGAACTCTAAATCACGCACAGCATGGCGACTGCTTTCCCGTTCTCGATGAATCCAGACGACTACAAGACCCTCCCAATCCCTCCACGCCCACAAACTCAAGGTCTGACTTCGACCACGTTCAAGATCCCACCTCTTGACGGATCTTTGAGCCTTCCCGAGATATATGATTGGCACGCGGAGAACTCCCCTAATCATCCGTTATTCGAATTCGCTGAGGATGACGGTACTGTCAGGACGATTACGTGGAAGGAGGGTGTAAAGGGTGTTCATCGAGCAGGGCGGTATGTGAGGAATAAGCTGACTGAATTCGGGGAAACGGAAGCAAGACCGGTTGTGGCCATTTTGGCTGCGTCAGGTTCGTCTGGAAACTAATTGAATAACATTTTGATTTAACGGATTCCGTTTCCAGATTTCATAACGTACTATGCTGTTTTGGTCGGCATCATGCGAGCGGGATATGTCGCGTTCTTCATCTCACCACGCAACTCCGTTAGTGCAGTTGCGCATTTACTCACAAAGACGAACAGTACACATGTATTCGTTGGACCCGAGGAGAATCTGCAAACTCTGGCGCAATCTTCCATAAAACTCATGCAAAGTCAGAGTGCAAATGTGGGGGAAGGGTGGACAGCGCCCAAGACATGGACGATGCCGATCTTTGAGGATCTCTTTCCCGGTTTCGCAGCTACAAATGCGAATACGAGGGGCGAGGAGGAGACTTTTGAATATTTGCCGAAAGTCAAGTTCAGTCTTGATGACTTGGCCATCGTCACACACTCCTCCGGTAAGTTTTCATCCCTGTTAAGTTCTTAGAGACGGTCACAAACGTTGATGTTACCTTTGTACGTAGGATCGACTGCATACCCGAAACCCATCCGCTTTACTCATTATCGATATCTAATCATGTGTAATGCACCTTGTAAGTCCACAGATTATGGTCTAGATATTCGGGTGCATATTCTGATGCTGGTGCATTAGTCTTCGGAGAATTAGACAAGACCGGTCTGCGTATGAGTTCTCACTCGATACCGATGTTTCATGGGATGGGCATGATCCATACCGCGTGGACTGTATGTATATCTGATTCTCTGCGCTCCCTCTGGGGTAAAATACCTCGGTACTTATATGAAGACATCGTATTAACAGGCTGCGTGCGGAGTCGTCGTGACAGCCCTCCGACCCCGCGCTCCCGCAATTCCGATTACTGCAGAGAATGTACTGAAAGGTGCTGCGGATACGAAGAGCGATATAATATTTTGTGTACCTACATTCATCGAGGTACGGTTTCCATTCACTTTTGCCCTTGATGCTAGTGTTGATGGGAACGTCTGGTTCTATAGGACTGGGCTCGCGATCCCAATGCTGTGAAACAGTTGCAGAAGACAAAAGGCATTGTAGGTTCACGTCACACTTCCATTCAAGAGTGTTTAACTCTTTCACAGTTATTCGGAGGTGGCCCACTGTCCAAAGCAGTTGGTGATGAACTGACAGATCAAGGCATCAATATATTCAACACGTATGGAATGTATGTTCATACTCTCTTCATTTGTGCGCTGTGGCCTGTGTCTTGAATACTGCAAATTTATTCCTGCAGAGGCGAATGCGGTGGTGTCATGAGCCCGCTATACCCTGGTGCGTATACTTCTACAAAGTCCACGGGAACGCAAAAACATTGACTTGTATGAATTCCAGAGCGACTTGACAAAGAGTGGGAGTATTTCAGGTTCACGCCCAACATCACGCCATTCTTCATTCAAGACGAGAGTGGTTACTCCGAAGCATTTATCCTGGTACGTTCTGATCTATTGGTCCCCTCAAACTTTTTCACACTTCTATGTGCTTTACTGTAGCCGAACAAGTACCATGTTCCCAATATACTCAATGCAACTGTTGAAGTCAATGGCGAGAAACGAGCTGCATACGCAACGAGCGATTATCTAGCACCCCATCCGACCAAGCCTGGGTACTGGAAGATTATCGATAGGGTGGACAACCAAATCATCCACAACACAGGGGAGAAGGTTCGCCCCATTCACCCCTAGCTTCTCTCCCTTCCGGTTCTCGCCCACCTTTTTGACCTTTCCTTCTTCTTTGACCAATCCCGGACCGCTTGGTAAGTCCCGTCTTGCCTTATCCATTATTGTGGTTCTTATATGTCGAACTATGATTTAGAGAGCATACTACACCATGACCCGCACATTGAATCTGCGGTGATGTTTGGACGGGGAAGGTTCAACGTTGGTGTGCTCATCGACCCCAGACCTGCACATCAGTTCAATCCAAGTAACCTACAGAAGTTAGCTGAGTTTAGGGATAAGATCTGGTAGGGACTCATGTTGCTCTACAGGCTTAGGAGATGACACTGAACGTGAGTGCGCAGGCCATCAGTCGAAAAGGCGAACGAGTATGCGCCTCAGCATTCGCGGATATTCAAAGAGGTATATCTTGTCAACCGCATCACGATTAGTTCCCATCCTGACACTGCACTAGATGATCCTTGTAGCCTCCCCCTCTAAACCCTTCGACTACACCGCCAAGTTTACTGCACGTCGGCAAGCTATGGTCGCGCTATATAAACCTGAAATTGAAGCGCTGTATGCAACAGTGGATGAAACTACTCACGCAGAACTTCAAATACCATCCCATTGGGACCTTCATAACACCACAATCTTCGTGCGAAACGTCATTACTAAGGTCATAAGGGGCAATTTGGGGGATGAGGATGATTTCTTTCAGAAGGGGTGTGACAGGTGAGTGCTCAAAACGAAATGACGGGGATAGAATTCACAATGTCCAACTTCAATCAATTGTAGTTTACAGGCTACTTGGATTCGAAATTCGATCCTGCATGGGCTACGCAATTCCCGCGCCGACGTAAATGTCAGACAAATTCCAACGAGCTTCATTTATCGCTATCCAACCATCTCTAAACTGTCGTCTTATGTCTCCTCCCTGCTACCTTCTGCAGGTGGCTTTGCGGCTAATGAACACAGTAAAGCACATGATCCAGTTCCAGCTATGCTCAACATGGTCGCTAAGTACGGCTCGGACTTCCCTGTCCACCGACCATCGACTATCCCTAATTCCATGAAGACGATGTTGGATACTGTCCTGGTAACGGGCACGACGGGTGGACTTGGCGCTTCCTTGTTATCTGCTTTAGTCCAGTCTGGGGATGTCGAGAAGGTGTATGCATTGAATCGCAGACGAGAGGGCACGGGCTCTTTGAAGCAAAGACAAAGGTTGGTACTGCAGGACAGGGGACTCAACTCAAGTCTTGTCGATTCTCCCAAAATTGAGTTTCTTGAAGCGGATTTGGCAGAACCTCGGCTGGGACTTCCACAGGAGCTATTTGAACAGGTGGGCAGATATGTTTTAAGGCTTCGAGTCTAAACTGATGCGTTTTACCCTGTAGATCGTATCAAGTGTCACTCACATCATCCACAATGGTATGCTGCTTTGGGCATTTTTCTCTCATCTCGTGAAGCCATTGATCCAAAACCATCCAACCAGCCTATCAGGTTGACTGGAAGCCTACACTAGAATCCTTCGAACCCCACGTCCATGTATTTCGCAACCTAATCGACGTATCACTATCTTCGCCTCGATCCCGACCTCCGACAATCCTGCTCACCAGTTCAATTGCAGTTCTACGCCACCGTGCGCTTATTATACTTGTGATGTAATCGCTAGGACTGACTATCTCCACGTTAGATCCAGAGGCGAAGACCCGCGCTCTTACAGAAACTCTGGTTCCACCCGAAAGTGCTGCTGGTAGTGGATACAGTGAAGCGAAATGGGTTTGCGAGAAATTGGCATCATTGGCTGCGGAGAAGACGACGCTTAGGCCCGTCATCGTTCGCATTGGGCAGATTGCAGGTTCGGCCTCGGGCGCTTGGAAACCCACTGAATGGGTCCCCAGCATGATTCGCTCTAGTGTTTACGTAGGCGCTCTTCCTACGGAGGACAAGGTTTGTCGCACTAATCTTCCGCCGGACTGATGGCTTACTTTACATGTACATGATACAGGTAATCTCCTGGATGCGTGTTGAGGATGCTGCACAGGCGATCATTGAAATGCGTAACGCCTCAGCAGTGGACCCGACCCCGTATATTGTCCACTTAGCCCACCCTCGCCCTGTCCCAAGCGGCGTCATCACAACCACTCTTTCCGAGTCACTCGGTATTCCTTCGATCCCATTTCATCAATGGGTGACTCTCCTGGAGCAGAGTTCACCTTCAGATGATAACCCGGCCTTGAAGATCCTTGACTACTTCAGGGACGGAAGAGAAGGCAACAAGACCGAGGCCTTTGGAGTCGTTCAGATGGATATGTCAAATACTTTGAAAAGCTCTAGGTCGTGGCGTTCGTCAGTGCGGGAACTGGATGAGAAGGATGTGCAGGATTGGCTTGCTTACTGGCGCAGAATTGGATTCTTATAAGTTACTGGTGATGTCGCCGATTTAACGTCGTGTTTAGAACAAGGGTAGGGCTAATATCTCTGGAGAAGTAATTGGCGCTCAATGCGATAGAGGTAGAAGAATTTCATGACGAGATCATTGTCCAAGGACGAGACTTGTGTAAGCAAAGTTATCACGATCACCCTCCAAGAAATAGATCCTGCAGCATCGTTTCTGTTGGGGCATCATTCGAGCTATAATTTTAGAACCTAGTTCATTTAAGTAACACGGTTTGGATGTATGTAGAATGCACGAGACCAAGTCTAAGCAAGAGACGGTATTCGCCGTATTAGGCAAGAATGTCGACGCATTTGGTAAACAGAGCCAAACTAGATTGGACCGAAAGTTGGCAAATGATCTTGGACCAAGCTTTTTGATTTCTTGGGGACTGTGCACTAAGCTCACTTCCTCCTTTATAATAATTCTATGGTGAGGGTCTTTCACATACTTCACCAGCAGATTGAAAAAGAGGCCCGATTTAGTTGTCCTCTGCGACCGCGCCGGTGGTTGACTCGGATAAGTATAGCATCCTGGAAAGCGGTGTCCATGAGTCTGATTCGTGCTATAGGTGACATTATCAGGTGAATGACTTATTCCTTCACAAATTTTGACACCTACAAACTCATTGTATAGAAGCAACTTGGCCGACCTTCTCTCACGTTGCTAACTAGGATTCCGGACGGGCTTTCGGTTGGCCTACGCCTACATGAACAAATGATGTTGAAATATGTGGGTGAAAATCTTGACAGAATACGGTATCGTACAGCCAGATGCAGCATCGTGTCAGATGGGGTATATCTGTATGTATCCGGGATGAAGGTATTGCAAAGAGGCCGACGCTCTGAGTTTAGTATCCAAGCTGTCGACTCAAAGTAGTGTAAGCATGGCGAGCAGCGTCCTCTTTAGCTGCATTGCCTGTGTAACCTGTTCCCCTTCCATACTCCACTTGCTGTACTGAAGCGTTGTACAGTTAATACATTTGACATGAAGAAAGATTACACTGACTCAGTGCGATCACTTCCCAGCTTGCTGGTCCATGTTGGTGTTGTACCCACTGCAGCTTTTGTGCGCCGTAGGAACGACACAGCAGGCCGTTCAGTTGCAATTTCCAGTGCTTTTGCGTTGGAATCACCCTTACTAGTAGCACCTTTCGCAAAGACGTCGCGATAAACGTACATTCGCCATATTTGCTTCCGACTCGTAGGATTGAAATGTCGCGACAAGTAAACTGGGTCCTGATACAACTGGTGGTGTCACAATGAGTATCGACCTAGCAACATGAAGCAATAATACTGCTATAATGCGAGAGTGCTCGTTTGTGGCTCCCACGACAATGCTTCGTTGACAATCTAATCTTATCTCCAGAGCCGCCCATAAACTTGATCGAGGGTCACGCCGACAATGTGTTGACCATCCCAGTGCATTGTGTTCAGATCCTTTGATTCTCTTTTACATCCTCACATTGACTGCATCTCCTTTTGATTGCATCTTGTAGCATTCTGTGGGCTTTTCGTACTCTAAGCCGTCACATTTGGCCTAACGTCCACTTTCTGACGTATTCAACGATTATTACTATAGGTTGCTTCGAGCTGAAGTTGAAGGCAAAGGCTGCATATCCGCGGTGGAAATGACTCGTCAGGAGACCGATTACCCTCCATTGAGTGATGTGGAACAGAAGAGACGGAAGGCGACACTCGAACGTGCCAAGGCAACATATGTGAGTATGTTCTTTTGTCGCCTGATGCACACTCTAATTCTCTGCATCGTTTGCTTCGGATGTTTTACTATTGCTTTATATAATCATATAGCTCTCAGGTCAATTACGTCTGCGATTGCAGTATGCGAAGCTGAAAGTTGACCATGGTTGGGTTAGTTGAGCCACTCCCCGTCTACTCGAAGTTACCTTTACAAACTAACATATAAATCACTAGCAACGTCAAAATCTCAATGAAGTGGAGAACCTCTATTTCCGTCATTCACATATGATGAAGCCTAAGTCAGAGTTGAATGTGCCACCAGGTCATTTTGATACAACGCCTTCTCTGCAAGCCGCTTCCTCTTCGTCGCACCTTACACCCACGCCCCGACCAGACGATCCCTCTAAATCAACAATCTCTACTTCACCGGAAATCATGTTTTCTCGACATGTACAATCCGACCCACTTCAGAGTATCCCTGCGCGGGAACAGACGTCCTGTACGTCTCTTATCCCTCTATCACTTTGCTATCTCCTGACAGGAAGCAGCTCACAATATGCAGAACCCGTTGCCTGTTTCACATACCTCCGCGACGACAGATGTCATCATGATTGATGTCACCCCCCGCGTAGATTCTCAATCTTCTACTGAGATCGCAACATCAGCTTCGAAATCTCCAGCTAAGAAGCGTGCACCTAGAAAACCTACCTCTCGTGCCCGAACCATGACATCTGATGGTCCTTCGCCTTCGCCATTTGCTGTGACGTCTTCAACGCCTCCCCCCTCTCAACCGCAGCGTCAACGTTCACCTGCGCCCACACCTGTTTCCACTCATCCATCACTCTCATCAACTTCTTATTCTCATACGGCGCTGCTATCGGAATCAACTTCGTACTATCGTACACCGTCTATACAAGACATCTCAAATTCAGGTTCAAAATCCAACGGTGCATATCAACCCGCAACTCATTCTTCGTCAAACTCGTTTGTTACTTCGTTGGCGTCGGGGACCCCTCAGACATATGATTCATTTTGGACAGCGCATTCCAGCTCAACGCAGGGCTATCGACATCTCTTATCAGGAGCTGCCAGTGTAGCTTCTGGGACGACTCTTGGAAGGATGAACTCTGGTGTATCACCTGTTACAGCAGCTACGTCGAATAGTTCGGTGATTTCAGACGTTCGATAGGTTCTCAGTATGCATTACTATTCTCCGCTTATGAATTCACGCTCATGACAAATTGTTTAAGTTGTTATTTGCTCGTTCTTAGTCCCTCACTTTTTTCCTATCATGATCATACAAATTGGGACTTTCGTTGCACCATATCATCACTCTACTTACGCGTCTGTTTGCCAATGTGCATGTCGCTTTTGTCATAGAAGCGTTTAAATCCAATGCATATCACAAGTATAAGCTAAGACAAAGAGTTGAAGGTAAGGACCGCTGTAAACTGACACTTACGGCGCACGCCTTGTCTTTTTTGGCCGCCTCTTCGTCGCAAGCCGCATGCTGCACCGCCTCTTACTAGGGCCCACATCGTTATCTCCTTCTTCTTCCTCCGGTATATCGCTCAGCCTTACTCGCGAACTGGCCGGCTCTTCATCCTCGGACTCGATATCATCCCGGCGTCTCTTCCTTGCACGAGTGGAGGACGATATTCGGGAACTGGTGGTCTTGGAGCCTTTGATATTTCCGCTTTTGTCCTTGGCCTTGCTCTTGCCTTTGCGTCCACCTCTGCCCTTACCTTTGTCCTCCTCCCTGTCCTCGTCATTGTTTCCATCGTTGCTCCTACCCTTCCCCTTTTCAGTCTTTGCGGAAGCTCGGGTCTTGCGCATACTCTCCTCCTTTTCCTCCTCCTCCTCCTCCTCCTCTTCTTTTTTCTGCTCTTCCTCCTCCTCCTCAACCTCGGTTATCTCACCTTCCTCTCGGTTCTCAGCCTCTTCCATAGCAGATCGATAATCAGCGGAGGCATGTTTAGATGCCATAAGCTTCTTATCTTTATCCGCCGCTTTCTGCGGGGGATAGATATCTTCGACGGGGTTGCCATCAGTCCAATCGGCGGATGGGTTGTTGAGTTGATCGTCGAAGTGTTTGTATACCCTGCGTAGATCCTTCTCAAGCTCTTCACGATATTCTTGTAAAGGTTTTTTGTCGCCGTCGCGTTCTTGAGAATCGACGACAAGTTGCCGGAAATGCTGATGGAACTTGCTCATGGTTTTGATGACCTTCTGGAGAGCAGGACAGTCGAACTCCGCACCTCTGGCAAAAAGCCAAGACTGCTTGTTTTCACCGCCGATTGCCTGCGCGCCGGCGAAGCCCCCCACATCATCCGACCACTGATCAAAGACATCCATGCTGAACTTCCCAGTATGTTTGAAATGGTGGATTGAAATGAAGAGCATCACCCATAGGATCGATTCAATGTCGTCGAAAACTTCATGCGGTTTCTCCGGGTCCTTAAGCAGAGCGACGGACATGAATTGCCAAGTCCCCTGCGAAAACATGAGCATTCTGACTATGACGATAATGAGCAGGCAGAGGGACGCACGGTCCGATGATTGAAGACAGGTGTTGTTGCCTTCAGTGGTCTGCTATGATCCCAATCATTCAGTATACCACAGGGTTTCTTGTCGTCAGCGGGATTCTCCGTGAGCATCACATTGCCTTTGCTGATGTCTCGATGAAGACGTTTGGCATCGTAGTATGACATAACGATAGCTGTATATGAATGAGAATATCGTCAAGTCACGGCGGCGAAAAGGCTTACCTTCGGATGCGTCGCGCATGGCATGTACGAGCTCCTTGGCACTCCGAACACAGTGGAGAGGATACAGAAGTTCTTGGACCACCCGATGATGAACGAGGTTCTTGATTGAGCCCGTCGGTCGTCTCCATTTCTTCGCTTCGGGTTTCTTGAGCCATAGCTGGTTGGTTGTCCGTTGGACTGTCGTATCGGCAAGAACGTCACCAGCACAGTGAATAACAGGAATGTGAGGAACTTCGGCGTCCTTCAATTCAGCATATATGTCTGCCTCTTGTTCGTATTCCGCCGTACGCCACGAGTCCTTCATCCAATATAACTCGCATTCATCGCCAGTGTTTGCAGCTTGGTTTTCAACCTCAGAGGCTTCGTTCTCGGCATCACATCCTGGGGCTCGTATCGCAATGTAACCTCGAGTGCACCGACCGCAAGGGGTAAGAAGCTCCGGCTGCGCCAACGGTTTTCGGACGATCCAATGAGACACCCCGCCGTTGCGGTCGTTCACTTGTATTTTGCAAGTCGCGTAGTCGCCATCAGCCATACCTTCAATACCAGGGTACGTACGATAGTTGCGTCTCTTGGCCCGCTCCAGGTACTCTTTGATCTTCGAATCAAACAACTGGCATTCAGCATCTTCAGCAAGAGAGACGGTGGGGTCATATCCACGTTGAACAGCGTGCATACGAGAGTAGCGCCAGAAGAACTCGAGCAGGACATGAGGCTTCACCATATAGTTAAAAGGGGCAGAGGCGACAATGCATGAGCGGTCGACACGGTAGAGACGAGCATATGAGCCATAGATCCCTACAAGGTAGACAAACAGTCGATGTTGATGAGTCATTTGAATTGCGGCGTAAGAGAATAGTTGTCCACGGGTCGCCTTGGCCTTCTGGCTGCCTGCGTTCTCAACGAAGAGCTTGCCGTCTTTGAATGAGTCAGAGTAACCATCCCTGGAGACAGGTAGCTTCCATTCGACGATGATTTCGACTAGAGACCAATCAAGGTCCATGGGAGGATCGTCCCCCCAGTAGGAGACAATGTCGGGGCGCATATTCGTGTCTACATCAGCATCCCGTTTGTCTCCTGTATCACGGAATTTCAATTTCCCACAGAGTTTTCTCCGCCGATTCATAATGTCGACCTAGACGCGTCGTGAGGTCGACATCATTGGCGGAGAGTCGAGGAGATTAACTTACAAAGGGTTGATACATCTGCTGTTCCCTCGTCGGATTGGTGGGTAATTTGTCAAATGCGTGGTCGGAGGACCTAGAAGCTGGGTATCTTTCGCCGATCGGAAAGTATTCTTGCAAGAAGGTGCCTATGGGCATGGGTCCGATAGACATGCCGTACATCTCAGACGCAACTGCGATGTGAAGGTCTGTCGCAGAAAAAATCTTGTTAGCATTGGGTACGAAGGTCCTGACGCCCCTCTTGACAGAGGAGACGGGTTTCTTAGAGGATGCCATAGTTGGGAGGGGGAGGAAAATAAAATAAACATACCAGGAGATAGAGCCGGAAGGCGTTTATATATTCTAGAACCTATGAGTGTGGTTTGGCCCTTAAGTTAGCGGAGATACTAGGCGGGGCCACGGAACAATGGGTGTTCAGCAATCTCTGCTAAGCGAGTGTGGCTGCTGGTCACAAAGAATCAGTCTGGCGGTCAGATTGCGGATGCAAATCGTCACATTACCGCGGTTTCAAGCAAGAATCCTATGACAAACAATGTAGTTTCCGAGCGATTCGCTATTGTTGCCCGGTCGTCTGTGACCTTTATGTTCGACGTCTGACTTGTGGTTGAACTTGACTGCCGAAATGGGACGAAATATCCCTTGTAACGGTCACATTCACGTGTTGTGTGACTTTCTCGCGATCGCGAACAGCAGCGTGAGGACCAAGCAGATACTTATTGTTGCTCATTCGACACGCTCACCTGAATCCACCTGAATCGCATGATAGTATCTAAATACGCTTATTTCGCCCTCTTGGCTTCTCCGTGTCAGACTGAATTTTTCCATCTCTGGGGGCCCAACAGCAAGTCCGAAAGCTTGGTCATCAATATCGTAGGTTCACGAGCGGGAATCTTTGATCACTTCCTGACTGACTATTGCATCGACGGCCTTGGAGTCTGCAGCGTTAAACGCCATCATGCTGTTAGCAGTTCGTACAGCACTATAGCTTTTCTGTGCAAAATATTCTTGGAACACCTTTCGATTTCCTTGACATCCGAGGACTGAGTCTTGAACATGGAAATATGCTCTGCAATGCAAAGTGTATATAAGAAGGATCCTAGGCCGTAAATAGGTGTGCCAGAACTCGGAATCTTTGAGCGCTGACCCGTTCAGAAAGCGCAGAATCCATAATCATGACGATTGCATGTAAAGTGATGATTAAGGTGATATCCTGCACTGAATTAGTGACTGTACGGAGTTCACGCGTACTGAAGCCATCTTCGCGTATATGATCAGGAACTGTCCTTAGCTCTCATGAGCAATCCTCATCCGACTAGAATCTGCTGTTCGTTTCATGTCTAGAGGGCTCGGCCGCCAGTAGTACACTTTCTGGATTGATATTGCTATGGACGGTGCCTAAAGTTTCCAGATGCTCCAACCCTGCCAGATGTGCATCCAGTGAATGACGAAATTACGCAGTATCGGCAGTTGTTACTAGGCACGATCGCAATACCTCCTTTACAGGACTGAAGTGGCGTGTCATACTCACAACGTGGTTTTCCATTTGAACCGTCGGGCGGTGTGGTACAGACGCCTCTTGCGAACGTTTCGTCTGTACGTTGCTTTCTGTATAGATTGCACAGGTCGCTAGAAATAACTCATTGTGAAATGCCGTCGAGTCTCGTACGCCTACACCAATCTGGGGCTGGAGGGTCATCCGGTATGGCTTCCCCCTTACTACCGCGAGTGTATCCCTGATTCATGAAAATAGTAGATGCCTTTGCATTGATATAATTGACGTATGGAAGACACAATTCATTATGTGCATCATAGCCTCTAGAACACGGCTCAGGCTTCTCAGGAGCAAACTATGTCTGGAACTCGATGGAGACGCTTAACATCTTGCACATGGTTGTAAGGGCATTGGTACGAAGACAATGACATTACATCGTCATATCCTCGTCCTCGCCTTCCTCCTCCTGCCCCATCAAGAAAGCCTTTACATTGTGTAATGCCTCAAGGACGTCAGCATGGGACAGAGGCTCTTGTTGCTCAGCTGATACAGGTTTTTTGAACTTCTTCAAAGTTATTTGCTTCAGCTGGGTCTGTTGCTCCGGGGTCAATCCTTTAGATGCGGCTTTACCACCTCTTCGCAATTGTTGCCCCACTAACATCAACAGTTGAGTCAACATCGCGCAGAGAACCCAATCGGAACCATCTATGACTTCTTGGATAAAGATTTCGTCAACGGCCTCGACCTCAGTTGGCTTAGATGACATTGAGCGGCGGGTGTTCGAGATAGTTGTATGGCTTGTTTGCCCAAAGTACATATTGAATTGCCGTACTACCGCCCTCTTGGGAGTCACAGTCCGTGCGCGATTGTATGCCAGTGCCCTGCGGTGCAAGGCGTAAACCAGTACGTATATGAAGGATTCCAAATCGTGGGGGGGGGGGGGGGGGTGTGATTGAATCCAACCTTCGGCTTCACGATGTGTTCCAGGACCTCAACAGCCATGAATTGAGCTGTACCCTGTAGACCGGAGATGAGCTTTCGATGGCAAATTGAATGACAGTAGAGAACAAACCGTGATAGGAGGACCTTGATACTTCCGCTCGAGTTTCGCGTCTGGAGGGAATATATAATGTTTCGCAGTTGGTGAACTTGAATGTCCTGATTGGCGGTTTGGTCCACAGCAACTAATGTACCATCACGTCTTGCCACATGTTCAGGGAGTCTCTCGGTTGGTCGTGGGGGTACGGTGTCCCTCATTACGGGAATGTACAAGAACTCCAGATCAGACAAGAAGCCTTCGTTATCCTTTTGTGGAGACTCTTCCGTAGCAAGTAGTACGTTTCCCGGATTGATGTCGCCGTGAAGGATGTCGAGTGATGCCAGGCGTTCCAGAGCTGTATTACGTATCCTGTGAGTGACAGAGGAACACCTTGACTAGTGCAACTTACAAGAAACAACGGCTACACACCCTTTGATACAATGAAGCGATGTCTCGTACTCCCAAAGAGGCTTCCCAACGTAACGGATTATCGCTGAACGGTGCAGTACAGGGCCTTCGTCAAGAGGATCTCTTCCTGCGATGGTGTCTTTCGCCGAATAATTGAACTTTTGAAGATGGTTCAGCAATAGTGTCCACCCTCTTCATGAATTATCCTTGCCTACCTCGTAGGTTATACGTGCTTTTCGTGAGCCATCCAGATCTGACGAAAACTCAGTGTTCGTTTCGTTTCCAGAGGGCTCGGCCGCCAGTAATATGCTTCCTGCATTGACACCAGTGCCGTGAGCGGTGCCTAAAGTTGACAGACGTTCCAAACCTGACATATGTACAGTCAATGAGTAACGAAATCATTTAGCGTCCGCAGTTGTCCCCCGGCACGATCGCGACACGACTGAGATGGCGTATCATACTCACCGAGAGCTTTCCCATCTGTACGAGGCATTGCGCTGTGTAGCACGGAATCCCGGAGAATAGTTCAAATGTACGTTGTATTCCTGTAGATATTGAACCAACTCTGCACAGATCGTTTTTGTACACGTGCATCAATCCCGAGCTGAAGGTGCAGTATCGTTCGATGTCAGTTCCCCCTACATAAGTTGCTACCGCCAGTGCCAGTGTGTGTTCACTGACTCATGGAAATTGTGCAGATTTCACCTGTATACCACCACGGTGACTACTGCGACTATACACGGCGCGACTCACCTGTGTACATTGTATCGTAGAATAAATCTTAGCCTTCGAGAAACAAAGAACACGGGTTTGCGTCACTTTGCGAGGGCCGATCGGGCCCTGTTATTGTAAAGAACACCATTAACATTTGATCGATCTTCCAGTACAGACACATGATGGAGATCGTCGAGACATCAAGTTACAAATTCATACGAATCACCATCTAAAAAAATAAAGTTCCAATTCACAGTAGACGTACCGTGGTATTGCGAGATTGATTCCATCTACGACATCTATGCAATCATCTAGCCTTGTGCCGTTGACTTCGTCTCACCCTTGAGCCCATTCATGGCCTTCACATCATCCGAAGGTACATGCTGGTGTCTCTGCGCCCATTCCGGCCACCCATCAACAGAGTAAGCAGCTATTTTGGCATTAATCTTGTCATTCATCGTCTTGTTGTTTTCATGGTAGGCACGTAAGTTCAACAAGAACACGGCGAATCGATAGCAATCAAGCGGAAGCATAAGGTCGTATGTGCGCATCTGACGAACAACCACATAAGTGGCCTGGATCGCAAGTCCTGTATAAGCATCAATTCGAAGTAAAATCGTATCACAGTACCTTAGTGAGCTTTGAAGTCCATGCCATTATGACCCCACCAGTTGTTCCGTTAGTGAGGAGACCAAACACAGGGTAACCATATATGCCCATCGCCGCGAGCTTCTGGGCCTCTGAGACACAGTACATCAGAATTTGTTGCAGTGCCTTGTCCTCGCTCTCAGTCTTCTTGTATTCAACAAGAAGGCGTGGTACCATGACCCACGGCCTGGGCGGTAATGGCTTGTGGTTGATCTCGACTTCAGGGAGAGCTGGACGACGGTTAGCCTGAAGCGAAAGTTGTATGGGATTCTTGAAAGCTTTGGCAAGTTCCGACCATGTGCCCTTCTCAATGCTCTGTCTGTCCAGGGAGATGTCCTTGGTGGATGCGTTCGACGACTTGGCGGAGTTCGATCCTTCCGTGTTGTTGAAACGATGAACAATCTGAAAACGCCGGAGAGCGAGCTCGTAATGTTTGCGATTACCTTCCGACAATTCGGGCAGCTCAAATGAATACGGCTCAGCGAGCATGGCATCACATTTTCCTCTCCAGGGTTCCTCCTTGGCGTGTTTGAGTACTCTGTCCTTGAACCCACCAGTATCGTTCTGTGCAAGAAGGTCTGTCAAGCTCCGCTCAAATGACATAGATAAATGGAACGCAGATAGCGTCTCCAGCTGCTTTGTCATGTTACGGCCGATGTTGGACAGTTCCCAAGTGTAGATCTGGCCCATGTCTTTTGCAAGACCAATGCAGTCCAGAAGCACATTGCTGATGTCATCCGCTGTGAGGTCCTTTTTCTTAAGACAATCCTCAACTTTATTTCGAGAGAGAGAAATTTCTCGTTCCAAGCTGTAGAGCCATCATTATAACATGAACACAAAGAGTATAGAGGAAACTCACAACAATAAGATAGAGGCATCTTCGCCTTCCGCGACGTACAACAACTGCACAAATCTATCCCAGGGCTGTCGTCTCTCAGCTTCATATATGGTTCTCCACGGTTCCGGCATATTCCAGCTAATGGTTTCAATACAGGCCGAGAGGATATAATCCAGCCGACTTTCAACTAAAGGAACGATACCCTCATCAAGGGTCTTGTACGTCCGAGAAGTGTCGAGTTTGTGCTGTTCCCATAAGGAGTCATACAGCGGCTTGAATTTAGACGTCGCCTTAGGCCTGGATGTCTAGTCGTGATGAAGTATGTCAGCTTCTGGATGATAGACCTTGGTTTCTGAGAAGTACCTTCGTCCATGTTTCAGGCCAATAATCGCCAGTAATGTTGTCGTATAGCGCGATCATGTGAGCTCTCTCTTCTCGCACAGCGTCGTCCAGACTTTCGCTCACTTGATACTTGCAAAATAAGAAAGCCGATTCATTTTCAAGTTCGTCCTCGTCTTGAGACAAAATTGAACCAAGAGGGACCTTAACCTTGAGATCATCATTGCTGATGATAATAGCGAATCTGTCAAAAAGCCAGCTGCAGATCGTCGATGTGGCGTCGCTCAGTTGCTTCACGCCACGGTTGACAAAGCTACATTCAATCAGTAGACTGTCAGGCGAAACGTATTTACGGCGCCGATACTCACTTCGTGGCGGATACGGCCTCAGTCTTTTCGGATTTCCCTTTATTTGACTGCTTGTCAGAGCCCTCTCGCTGAAGTTCAGCGGCACTGCGGAAATTTCAGGTTAGTTGCATAAGCTAATAGGAGCAAGGTGGTAACGAACACAGGTGACAGAAGGTTGTTCCTCAGGGGAGGGACAGAACTCCCGGGAAGATTAATCGTTGGAGGATGAGACTGAGGACGAGACTGAGGGCGAGACATGTCTGATGGTGTTATCGCCTCGCTATAGTTGGGGATTTATATCACGACAAACGCGCAGGGAAGTCAGCGAAATACGTACCCATCTGGAGAATACGGCTCCACATCGCCTAACCAAGACAGTATCCTTTTGTGAAGGAATTCCTCTTCTGTCTCATCTGAAGGACCGTCGCCAAGATCACAACCGTCAGAGCGCCAGTGCAAGGTCCGGAGAAAATAACAGTTTGACGCAGCCGTTGCCACGTTGTCGATATGGGATGAAAGTCCAAGAATGAATTCGGCTAAGGAACACGCTGCCCATGGGTCGGTCATATCGAACACGCCACAAGGAGATGAACATTGTCCTGGATCCGCGGCCCGCGCTATATGGACATGCTGGATAACAAATCAAGAACAATAGACTTGTTAATAGCATCTATGGCAACTTACAGGATTGCCTTCACGAAATTCAAGCCAGCCGAGAAAGACCTGAACAGTGGTGCCGAATTTGGAAAACGCGAGGCCAACCACCGGGTCCGAGATTCCCCAGACAAACCTCTGAAACAAAGAACTCGTCATCAGAGGAACAATGTTCTCAAAATCCGCAACAAGAACAATAGGAAGGAGGCAATAACGTCTGACACCGCGTCCTGTGAGCATGTGAGCATGAAAAGGCATATCGATTGGTAGCTCGGACTTCGTTTCGAGGACATCGGAAACAGCCGCTGGTGTATCGACTTCAGGTTGGGATCCTGTTGCGTGGGAGGAGCGGAAAGACCTTTCCCTGACGCGTTCCTGTCGCAACATATCGCGAGTCATGGACATCGATGCGCCGGATGTGTCCATAGGCACATCGGCAGCCGAGGTAGAACGAGTCACAGCCTTCGGCCACACAACGGTAGAGATCATAATGGAGGACATTCCGTCGAAGACGCCTTGTTGAAATTTGTGCACGTAATCATCCGTATACGGTAAGATGTACGTCGCATGTTCTCTGTAATATATTGATCAGCGGAAGAACAACGGAAGAAGGCAGAATTTTTTACATCACAAGGGAGTCCCCTGCTACAATGGCGCAAAGGGCACGAATTAAGGAGTATAACAAAGGCCCCGCCGAGTTAGTGAATCCGTCTTCGTCCGAATGTTCTAGGGAATGTCGTAGAAACGCGACTGCTGGCAACACCAAACCAAAAACATCGCGTAAAGGTATGCTCCGCCCACCGGTAAAGGATGTAGGTGTACGGAGAAAGTAATCGGGTCTACGAGTAGCGCATAGCTCGCCGATGATATCTCGAGTCAACCTGAATGTTGGAAAGTCCAGCAAGCCGCTAATATCAGTTGGGTATGATTTGGGCGCCAGGTGTCTGACTGAGGTTGGCCAGTCAGACGGGTGCGGTATGTTGTGTAGAACTGGATTAGGCAGGTACATCTGTTCAGTGATGGAGTAAAAGACTAAGGGTTCGTTCAAGTTAGTATGCTCACAATAAATACGAATTGAACAATGAGCATGCGCTGATCGAATCACAACTACTGCCATAAGTGGGCATTTTAGCGCCCATTGTTAATCGGAAGTTTCGAGACTGGTGAAGGCCTAAAAGTATCTGCCTTCCGAGCAGAGGCTATGTGCAGACAAGTCAAGGAATCTTTCTGGGACAGATTTGATCTTTTCAGGGTCCGTTGACCAAAGGACAGACAATAAGACATAAGTAGTGCCAAGATGTTCGCCTCTGTACCTCGTTGACTCGTCGTATCTGAACGAGGCGCAGATCAAGGTCTCTTACGTACCCTAGGTACTGGTCTAAAACTCAACGTCAACTTAGAAATTACTGTGGAGTTGTTACCCAGTAGCGGACTCAATGAGAAACATATCGAATCGCGACCGGCTGTCTAGGCTCATTTCCAGCCTCTAGTGTACTCTCGGAAGACAATCGTTCCTTCCTAATAAAACCAGTTTTCCCGGCTTGGCAACGCGATGCACAATGAACATCGCTTGCGGAGGCTAGAGTAATAGTCGAGCTCGATAGATCCAAATTTATTCGTTGCCATTTTCATTTGGGAACAATGAAGGGTGGGACATGGTGGGACATGGTATGCCACAAAGGCGCCATGGGCTCAACACATGTCCGTTTACCAACTAGCTGAACAGATAACTGATGACATCGGTGAAGATTCGACACGACTCGGAGTGGTTTGTAAGAATTGACTAAATCATTCTCTTAGTAAGAACGCCAACGCTCTCAATTATACATCTAGAGTTATGATGCAATCTATCCAGTACAAGAGGTATGTTGTACTCACAGGGGGGAATATAGGCGCAGATAACACAGAGCGAAGCAACATTACAACAATAAGATCCAGTCGTGCATATATCAAGCAAAATAAGTATTCGTAACAGAGCAAGCCCTCCTCCTCAATCATTCCGTCGGGCGTCGCTAGCGGGCTCATCAATAGGCTCACCCGTGAGGTCAGCGTTATCGACAGCGTTCTGCTTGTCGCCGAGGTACCAGTTAGGCATGATGAGGGCGAAAAGGATGGGAACAACACTGAGGGCTGTGGCAGCGATGATCATGACCTTCATAGTCTCGTCGTAGGCTGAAAATAAGAACACATTAGTTGAAAGAAGACATGAGTAAATGGGGCAGACACTTGCCGTTAATAACACCCTCACGAATGGGGTCACCACGTGGGTAGACGGCGACGTCGGTGATACTGCCAAAAAGCTGCGCCCGTTGGTCTTCAGGGAGGAACGAGAGATACTTGTCAAGCTTTTTAGGCATGGTGTTCGTCCAGATAGCACCAGCTACGAAGTGGTCACCAAGTCAGTCAAGTAACCGCTAGCGAGAAATGTCGATGAGACATACCAAGGGCACCACCAACACCACCACCGATCTCCGTCCACAGCAAAACGACAGCAGTGATAATGGCGACATCAGCGTGAGGAACGGAGGCCTGGGCACCAACTTGAGTAGCAACGGAAGCGAAACCACCCCCCAAACCTTGAAGGATTTGAGTCCAGACAATCTCGGCATCGGAGGCGTTGGCGCCACGAGAATGGATCATGAGACCAACACCACTATATGAAATAAATGAGGAAAATGGTTGGGGTTAATGGGTTGGAGTCAGAGAAGACGCACAGTAGACGAATGCAAAGACCAATAATGAGGAGGTATTTGTAGCGGTGGAGGTATCGCATAAGGACACCAGCAGTGATACCAAAGACGGTCAAGGCGACTGTCTGGGTTGAGGAGAAGTAGTTCACGTTGACGAGTGTCCTGAAAACGAAGGATCAGGATACATGTTCCCGCCACAGTTGTCGGGGATGTGAAGCTTACCATGACTTCACGACGAAGACGTAAGAAAGGAGGTAAGTGTACGTGAGGTAGAACGACACCTATTTGGATCGTTAGTACACACCTCCCATCGTGAAGTCCGGGCAAGCAGTAAGGACTTACGAAATCAAAGAATCCAATCCAAGCAGCAGCAAGCACGCTCCTGTTCTTGATGAACCGCGCCGCAATAACCGGCTTCTTTGCGAATCTGAAATCCCAGATGGCGAATACCCCAAGCAGCACTACACCAACCACCAACATTGCAATGATAGAAGCGTTCTTCCATCCGCTGTTTGCCGTTTGACTCAATGTGAGAGGCAGCAAGATGAGAGCAACAGCGGCACCCAATAAAATGAGACCGACAAGATCGAGTTGATCGGCAGCTCTTCGGATTCTCTGGACTGGGGTTACTGTAATTTTGGCGGGCTCGATGTAGCCAGGCGCAGAGCGACGAACAGCTTCCTCAACGAGACCAAGTTTCCTAGCTTTACGTTCGCCCCAGTAGAGGGTGACGATAAGCGGGGCAAGGGATGCGGGAACGAGGATAGCGAACATGCCGTCTATACGAGGAGTTGGGGTCAAAATTAGTCTTCAATGTGAAAGTGAAAAGGATAAAGAAATGAAACATACATCCCCATCGCCAGCCTGCGTGCTCGAGTACTGAAGCGGAGATGTTGGAACCGACAAAGGCATTGATAATGAAGGGTGCAGACATAAGCGCAGAGACAAGACCTCGCCATTTGAGGGTCGTAATGTCGGCGATGATAATTTGCGTCAGTAGTTGTAGACCAGTATATCCACTGGAAAGATAAACGAGTTTCAACTTTTCAACTCTCGCAGAAAACAACAGAAGGCAGAAATTAGACATACCAAGCGTATATAATGATACCACCGGCGACAGAACCGATGTTACGGGCGGAAGCAATAACAATGTAACCGACCACATAGAGAACCACTTTACGGCACTCGTCAACAGAAGAATAAAGCGATAGTGAGTGGTATACACACAGACAACAAGGTAAGCGGATGCCCTAGAAGTCACATCAGCGACCTTAGCAATGACGGGTTTGCCAACCGCAACTGTCAAATACCATGCGTTAGGAACGGGTACCGTGAGAGCCGAATAACCAGGTGACTCACTGATAATGGACTGAGCGACTTGAATAGAGGCAATAAGACTGTGTTCGCCAAACGACGACGCGGCGAAGCTCAGATACATGTAGGTCGTTGAGCCATCCAACGAGTAGACATATGCTGCCAGACCAAGACTAGCCGAAAAGGGAAGGAAGCAGAGATATTAGCATCTACGCGAGCCACGCGTCCTAGTAAATGGGGACGATGTACCTAATGAACAGAGCCCATCTGGAGTATTTCCCCCAGACCTTCGTCGCGGCCTCGACGGTCTTGACACCAAGGTGAGCATCCTGCTCAGCCTGAATTTCGTCGGCGGTGCGGAAGTCGAGGGCAGGTTCGTCGTGACCACCGTTCTCGGAGTAGTCGTCTTTTTTCAGGGAAGACATGATGAATTAGCCAAGTTCAAGGGAACTGGAAGGATGTTCACCGTGGGGGTCTTGCCGCAGAAGGGAGTAGCCCTTCGGAGCCATGTTATATACCCAGCGCAATGTCGGGCAGCAGAAGGTGATGGCTCTATCTGATAAACGTTATACCATTCAAAATGTCCTATCGTAATCTAATCAGATAGTTCACGCGGTCGGCCGTGCCTGCTTATCAGATAATTTCCATCGAATGATCTCCGCTTGGCACGCGATCTCTCTTCCTCCTCCGTTTTCAAGCCGCCGTTCCGTTCTCCTCTTCATTCTGCGAGCTTTCAGGTAGGTTCAAGACTTGATCAGGGGTCTTTACGCGAGCGAGACTTTCGCTGCACTCGTCTCTCTCTCAGAAACCATTTGCGTTCGGCTGCTGGATTTACAACAGATTTTAGACTGATGTCAAGTAGCTGCCAGGAATATGCTACACTGGCCAAAATGAAACTGAACCGAAAGAAAGTCTTGCGACTGAACGGCCAGACCCCTAACTAGTTGGAAAACTCAGGCACACGACATACTGGGTGCGCCTATACATGCAGGCACTCCATGTACCGCTTCGGTACTGCAGCTTCTTTCATCCGACAGGTTACCAAACTACTGGATGTCGACTAAGATTTTTCGGACGAGGTCCGAGAGTGCTTAGCAGACAACAAGTTCCGCTTTAATGGTACGACGACAACATTACAGCTGGCATCTGAACTATGTCTACACTCGCATTAGGGTAGGAATGAGGAGCCAAAGGATGGTAGGATGGAAAAAGACCGGATGCGAGTAACAATAGCCTCGCAATGTTTTGATCAAAGTAGATGGAGAAACGTACATCAGCAGTTTACGAGGGGGAAGCAGCAACGAACGCATTGAAGTTATATGAAGGCGGGTTCGTGTTAAAGTTGAATCCGGGTGGCGAAAAGGTGACTGTCGTAATGCCGTTCCTCACAACTTGAGATGAGACACTACAGGTCTCGGTAAGGGGTAGCTTGAGCTTCGAGAGGCCCGCCCCAACCGAGAATGTTTGGATGCTGGGCCCACAAGACAGTGTCACAGAGCCAGGGGACTGGAGGAGAACCACCGCCCAGAGGTAATCTTGCGTCTGCGAAGAAACGGTTCAGCGTAGGCTGAATGAAAAGAAGGTAGTAGTGGAAAACTTACCCATTCCCAGTTGGTGGGTCTAGGCACCGGATCTGGCGCGTTCGCGCCAGCGGGGTAAAGACGACCCCAGAGGAAGACTCGGTCCTTTGTGATGATTGGGTATACGCCGGTCTTATATGCCGTGATGTAATACTTCATCAAATCAAGCCAACCTAAATTCCTCCTCATTCGCGAATGCTCCGTTGAAAGCTTAAGAGTTCATACCTTGGTGATCGAAATCATCCACCCATGATTGAGAGTTCGGCTGTACACCATCAACAAGTCCGATGTAGTGCGACTCGCTATAGTCGTTCCAGGAGATGACCTGAGCAAACGTCACTTGGTTTCGGTTTTGGACGAGTTGTTCCCAGCGTTCGGCCCACAGCCAGTCATCCGCCCTGTAAATCCAGTTCTTACTGAACGAATTTGGACCATAGTGCTAAACCAGGATTCATAAGACTACAGTAGATACAGAACGCAGAAGAAAGACAAACAGTGAAGAACCAAGGGGACACGCCAGCCATATACCCGCGTCCGCCAAGGTTATTAAGATAGGACTGGTCCGAATCAAAGTTGGTATCGAAGTTTCCTGTCGGCCAAGCAGCGTTCCACTATCAAGCAAGGGGTTTAGTTCAGAATTGAACGTGGATGGAGCTGTGTATTCGCACATTGAAGACGCCATCGAGAGCGGTATAACCGCCAAAGGTCGCTGGGTCCACAAAGAATGCAGGTACGAAATACGTTGGGGGCATATTGGCTTTGACGGTATTCCACCACCCAGTATTCACGTCCCCGGTTCCGAACCTACAACCCTCCCCACCGAACGTTGATACGAGCATCTTACCGTCAATGTAGACTTCATTCGGATGACCGTTATAGCCATTGATGAATTGTTGGATACCGTTTGCGTCACCAGGAGACTGGCAAGCCCAGGCAGACATGTCAAAGGAGAGGAACAACTTGAAAGAACCACTACTGATGGCGGCGATATGGGCGTTTGATACTTGGATGGCTTGCCAGTTGTCAGGACCGAAGTTGAGCGCGAAGGCGTCGATGCCTTTAGATTGAGCTATGGCGATGTCTGAGAACGCGCATTGAGAATGAGCACACAATCGGGATGATGAAATAGAACCAGCATACTGTTCGCCCAATCGGCAATACTGTAAGCAGCGGTATAGCCCACCATGAAATGTGCGAAGACCAAATTGGATGGGGAAGCGCGTTTGCTGAGTCCTCTAGCTTCAAGGTCATCGTAAGTCGCGTTTACGTTTAAGTGTGTAGTTGGAGAAGCACGACGAGAACCAATTCGCGAATGGCGACGAGGCGGTGAGACCATTTGCGCCCAGGAAAGGGAAATAAAGAATGTGAGGGCCACAAGAGCAGCATGGCAAAGGACACCAGAACGCATCCTCAAAACAACGCGTTTTGCGTGTCGGACGGCAAAGGAATGACAGGGACCCACGCGTGGTGGGGGGGCGAAAGAACACGGAAACAGTCTGAAGCAGAGGTTAAAGCTAGTCTGTTCAACGCGCTTCGCCCTTATGTATCTCGAACGACGCCCATAGCGATAGGGTCTCATTAGCTGGCAAGTGTTCCTGGGCAAAACCGCCGCCGAGAACACCGTTCTTTCTCCGTTAGTCAGGATAAGTCGGATGCAAATCTCACAAGCGATAGTCTTACTCAACGGACATCAGACTATAGGCGACTTGAAATATGACGATGACGGTGGCGATTTAAGCTATGAAGTTACCATCCGTCAAAAACGTCATGTCATGGAAGGTGGCTGATGAAACAACGCGGCTCACTGAAAAATGTTCATCACGACCGAATAGTTCACTACAGTCAATGGACATCCATTCTGGGAGACGTTTGACGAAGATGTTGCCGGCTGGGCGCTGAAACGGGACAACAAAATCAAAGAGGCGGCAAAGAGGAAGGCCTTCGTCCAAATCGGGTTGGACGGGAGAGGGTACTCGGTTTCTTACGTCGGGCGGCGTAATCAAGAAGAAGGCTATGCACTGCATGGTGCGTGCCTATTTTAGCTTGGTCGGTGACGGTGTCTCAAGGTCCATTTTGGGATCAACTAAGATACTGATGCTGGAGTCGGAATCTGTGAGACTGTCATATCATTCAGAGGAAATGGACAAGGGACATAACCTTAAGATTCTGTACAAGCATAGGAGGCTTCAGCCATCTCAATCAACTGCAAGTATCTGAGAGGCCGCTCTAACTGATACGTGAATTTCTCCTTACGATTAGCAATCTTCGCCCTCAATGGCTTCAAGCGGCCATCCGTTTTCTGTCAACGGTCTTCATAACAATCAGCAGGCATGGATACGTCGCCGTAGGTGTTGAGAGGTAATGACTTACGGCTCATGGCACGTATCTTGCACATCTGTTCATATGCAGACGTGACTTCGGCATTGCCTACCATTTACCACCTGCAAAAGAACAGCCGGGAATAACCGGGAATTATGGTTCAAATTCGAGATAGAACACTTGATAGAGCGGGTCGATACAGCGTTGGAACAATACGAGGTCATAATAATACAGAGACAGTCTTCATTCCGCGTTTACAGACATTGAGAATAGTAGTCTGTGTATGTTGTGAGTTTGTTGTTAGGAAGAGGATCATCAATCGACTTACCATTCAACTTTTGGCAAGTGAACGGCGCGGCACTAAAGGAGAAGGAGCTGAGTAATGTCAATCACGTTGAACGCAAAGAGAACGACTTGCCATCCTGTCGGTCCCGTGTAACCGGAACCTCCGCACTGGCCGTATTGAGCGATGGTACCTGCCGCTGTTGAAGTAGTGGAGGGAGGAGCAACGGTACTGGACGGCAAAGAAGTTGAAGTAGGTGCTGCGGTGGTCTAGAAAGCAGGCACATAAGAAAAAGGAAGAGTATATACTGTACACGAGGGAGACTCACGGGTGGAGCCGGAGCCGGAGCACCAGTCCCGCTACCGTAGAGAGGAGGCCCAGGGATGATATAAGTGGTCTCAGTCTTAGCATTGTTGGCGTAAAGATCAACAGTAAGGCCGGGATCTACATGCGACACCTCATTGAGTAAGGGATTAGCACTGTGACTTTGGCGATGCACTTACCGGAAGCACTGTACGCGCCGGGGAAGGAAACTAGTTCGTCACTGGTTGGTGCTTGGCTGCCTCCACCGGTGATTTGGATCTGGGCACATTCCGGATAGAATTGCTGCGTCGAGATTCAAAATAAGATCAGCAACAGAGGTAAGGTTGATTGAAATTATCTTACAGCAGGAAGAGAGTGGAGTGCAATAGTCTCGAACCGGATCAGATAATTGCCAGAGGGTACAGACGAAGGAATGGTCGTGGTCCAGGATGAGTTCTGGTCAATCATCTTGCCGGAACCCCAGTATCCATCGCCGATAGAACCAGACAAAAGACCAGCCTCATCGATCTTGAACTAATCCAGTATATTAGGGACTCGGACACTCTCTAGTACAAAGTGGACGATGACTTACCCATTTAAGAGTATTCGCGTTCACACCAGTGCAGGTTGACCCCGGGCATTGTGCCAAGTAGGTCAACTGAGGACCGTAAGAGACTGATAAGAATGACAAGCTGAATCGCGTACCATCGGTCCATATGCATGAGGCCAGACCTGATTCCAGTAGGCAGTGATCGCGGAGCCGGCAGCAACAGTAGCAGTAAGCTGGAGTGCCCCAGAGGTACCGTCGTCATTGCAAGCAATGGTAGGGTCAGTTGCAACAGTGATAGGGTTGCTGGAAACAATGTTCAAAGGAAGGAAAATACGGAATAAGCTTAGCACTACGAACTAGGTTGACCAAGGACGCTGAATAGTGGTTTGTCCGGTAGGACTGTTGTATGGAGCCCTGCATAATAAGAACAGAATTAGAATATATCTGAGACGAAAACGGTGGAAGACCAGACGTACCAGCCTTGATACCAGTTCCCGGCATTGACGTATGACAGAACCCCGCCATGTGCAAGAGCCGTAGGAACTGCAATGGAGGCGATTGCGAAAAGGCTGACTAGTGAAAGCATATTCTTTTACGTATTGAAACAAGTTTTGGAGTTCACTGTTGAAGATGGGCCATAACATCAGTTGCTTTTTATACCCTGGAGACGTCACCTGCGAGGCGGGGAATTTGCGGGGTGCGGGGTAAAGAGACGTGATCAGTATGTGAAAAGGATAGCAAGCCGAAGACGGAGTGCCTGAAGGTTTGCGATAAGTTGAATTAACGGCACCGAACAAAGTGACTTCTGCGGTTAAACCTCGTAAGCATGTGAGAGTTGCAAGAGCTCCTCGACACAAGGGACGCCTGTGACGAAGTTGTTCAACCAACTGGGCAAAGCAGAAATCAGCTGAACTGTAAATAGATCCAGGTCCGTAGTCAGAATGACATTGGAATGACAAGTCGCCTAGATGCGGATGGTGCTCGGGATGAAGTCGGAAAGAGGCTTCGAATCTGAAGGTCTCCAGATAAGACTTCCGTTATAGCGGTCGATAGAGAAGGAAAAACTTGACATGTGAGAAGTCTATTCTTAGAACTGACATCGCTTTATGAGAGGATGGCCACGGATGAACTGGGATTACTGAGCATACTAACGAAAGTGAGGGGTGATGGTTCTCCTCAAAAGATGAACGGGCTGAAAAGGAACGGCCGTGGATGTTCCTACAGAGAAAGAGTTGAGATCAGCTGAATGGTTCAAGTAATTACAGGAACGAAAATACCTAGTGAATTGAGTCCTCAGAAGATATCAGCGTATCTGTCTAAGATGGAGGTCCCGACAACTCAGGTAATTGTCCAAATCTGAACATGAGCATCTTCTATGCCCTTACCATTTTTTTCCGACAGGAGAAACATGATTTTCGAATTCCTTCAACGTCTAGATCCACTGTTTCTTTCTAATTGAATAGACTCGTACTGAAGCTCTCGGAAGAAGTGGAGTTAAGCTGTCGGAGGCGCTTGGCTCGTCTTTGTGCACAAGTATCAGAATCCAAACAATGCGAGAAAGGGGTTTCTTTGGTGGAGAGATTCTAAAGATATTTGAGAGCGATTGCTCGGAACGAAGTGAGCATCTGTTAATCAGAGAGAGCTTAATAACTTCATTATCGTTCTCCACATGTCGATCCACGATCGATTGCGCAGTACAGAAATTGCAAATATTCCAAAGGACGTTCGGCAAGGCTATGTGCCTTGCACCATTTGCAAGCAGAAATAGACCTCAGCTGTCGTTATTCATGCCCAGGTTCGCCCCCCCCCCCCGAAATACTCATGAGATCCTCACCAATCAAGTGCATGCTCGACAAAGGGCTGACAACACTTCGTACTTGGTACTCAGACGCAACCCCAAAAATAGCTTGAACGTCTGTTTGCACCTCGTAGTTGATCGTACTGGACAACGGCGCAACAAATGTATGAACAGAAATACATTATGCTATGAGATGAATGAGACGAACCGAATGGAGTATTTAGCGGCTAGAAAGCGTTATGAGTCGACCGCTGAGTATGGAGAATAGACTAATGGACATCCATGCCATCCGACTGTGGAACACTGAATACGTACTGAAAGACCGGAGACGTCACAAGAGCCCCAGACGATACACAAAACATTGTTGTAGGACAACGGAACCATCCGGAGGGTTTCGCATCTTTCTATAGTCCGAGTAGCAAATAGTTTAACTTGGCGGAAAACTCAGGGTCCACCACACGGCGAACAACATACGGAAAGGGGATCCAAGATGAGGATGAACGTCAAGAGGAGAGCGAGAGTCTTGCTCAGTGCTGGCTTGCTTGCTGATTTATTTAGGACGTTTCCCTCCACGTGCATTTTGATCGCGTCTGGGCGTCTTTCTCATGTTCTTGTCCTTCAACACACCTTCAACCTGGTACACGTGTTTACAACGAGCAGGTCAGTGGTGCATTGTTCTCAATTCATGATTTCGGATGCTTTCACCCTTCCGGCCCATAACGAAAACTGAAAAGGTGTGTAGTGTAGAAAACTTCCCATCGAGGTACGCACGCCTCCAAAGGTACGGTCGGTAAGATAGTACTTTACGATATGTATGCTCATGCGCCATCATAACAGAGAGAAGTTGAAAGCTCAGAAATACTTAGAAAACCTTCGTTATATTTCTAAGGCGCCTCAATAACGATCGCAATTCGTCGGCAGGACCGAACGCACTTATTCTGGCAACTCTTGGAAGCATTGTCGCTCATTTCATGTGGACAATTGAACACCGGGATCTCACAGGAAAGTCCGCTGATAACATAAGGCTATAAGTATGTGGATTGATACACATTCCCACCACTAATCTGATCACTTTTCCCCCATGTCTAGCCAGCCGCCATCTCAACCGTCTCAGACCGAGCGTAAAGCCTCAATTGTTAAGCCTAGCTCTGCAGGCATGTTCAACAACTTCTCTTCTAATCCGAGTTCGTACAACGAGACCCGGGACGAACTCAAGAAGGAGGTGACGGGAAAAGTTGTTTACAATGTCAATTCCATCATTGAGCATTTCATGAGGATCAACGCAAATACCAAGTCGGAGCAGGGAGGAGACCTCCCAGATTCCAGGATCGCTCAGTGTATCGCACAGATTGGGACAGGGGATCTGATAACCCTGCATCAGATAGTCGACGATTCGAAGCAGAATGAAAGGGCTATGTATGGACCTCTGGTAAGTGCTTTTGCTCAACAATGACGACAAAAATGCTCACATACTGCCAGGAAAACATCATGAACGCGATTGGAGATTTCTTTGCCCCTCAGGGACGAGCTCCGAAGCGGTTTGTACAGCAGTCCGGCTTCACTCATGTAGACGAAGTTGTTCAACAGATGGCTTTTCCGCCTCGTTTCCCCGACTTCTTAATGCTTCCGGAGAAACTTTCATGGCTCTCACAGAAGCCAGATAAGGCTCATTTGAAAGTTTCCTGGAGCACCACCGAAGCTCTCGTGGAGGTCAAACATTCTGCTACCAAAGGCAGTCCTTTCTACGCCCGACAATCTCAGCAAGAGACCGGGGTGAAGGGGATTATCGCCCAGACTGCCGATTACGTTCGCCTGCGTCTATCTGCACGCCCATTCCAACTTTACACCCTCGCATTCCTCATATACGGTGCTGAATGTTGCATTGCAATTTATGACCGTTATGGGGTATTGTTATCCCCTGGTTACAAGGTCTACGAGCGTGTGGTTGGTCCTGATGGGAATTTCGACTATGAATTGTCTTACGATTTCGTGCGTATCTTAGCGAGACTCACCTGTGGCCTGTCTGCCGAGGATTTTGGATCAGACCCCACTGTAGAATTGAGGAGTGGTAATCCGCAGAAGCCTCCGTCATATTCCGTTGGATACAAACCCTCTGCTTCCATAATCCCCGCAACTCCCCTTACTGGTCCGAACGCTCGATATAACACAGTTGGTTCCCCGATCTGGTCATCGTTATCGTTGCTAGGACGTGGAACGTCTGTTTGGTATGTCAAAGATCCCACAGGAGTACGTAAAAAGGTGGTGATGAAGAGCGCGTGGAGAGCGGGGTCTAGAACACCGGAGTCATCTATCTATGAATACCTGAAGCAAACGTTGAAGAATCTCGACGGAATAGCAGCGTTTGTTGAAGGCCTGGACGTCTACTTGGATCAACAGACACCTATGCGCGTACAAAATCTCCGCATAGCAAGGTTCAATTATCCGGTCGCAGGTACCGTTGCGGAAACAATTCCTTTCGATGAGGACCCTGTACTCCATCGTTTGATACTTGCTTCTGTTGGGAAGCCTCTTTGGGAGTACGAGACACCGCTTGACTTTGTTCAAGGGTGCATAGCCGTTGTTTCTGGTAAGGTGCATCATTTGACGTATTACTCTGTTGCTCATCGAACATGTAATACAGCTTTGGAACGCCTAGCAGCTCACGACATCCTCCACCGCGACGTTAGTCCGGGAAACGTACTACTTGCTGCTGACGAGTCACCACGAAAGAATAACGAAGGATTCTTGTCCGATCTAGAGTTTTTATACATTCCCGGAATGGGGGACACTGTCGACCCACAACCAACCGGGAAACTCCCTGAACATGTGGCAAGACCTGATGGTACGCTGCATCGTGTGGACGAAATTCGCAATGACGACATTCCCCAGCTGGGGAGGCATTATATATACCCTCAAGACGCGAAACCCGAGCCGAAACCTCAAGGTCCTCCTATCACAGTTTGTTCTTCACTATTCTTCAATTTGTCTTTGAAAGCTCATCTCCGATATATAGGGTACAGCTCAATTCATGGCTGTTGAGGTCTTGGATCATATCGTGCAGTCAGACACTAGCTTCAATCGCACCCCTCTCCACGATCTGGAATCCTTCATATATGTGCTGGTTTACGCCTTGCACCGCAGAGCATACGATCGCGCTCAGAATTCAGATACCAGGAAGGCGATAGGAAGGGTGTTCACTAACTACTTCGCACAGACAAGCCATACAGCCATTCGGGATGTCCGCCGCTCAATGTCATCTCGAGCACTCACGAGCAAATCTGCACTTAAAATATTCAGCGAAGAAGTGGCCAATGGTTCCCATTTGGTACTCTGCGCGTTGTTGACTCAGCTCTTGGCATTAGTGAGGCGCAGGTTAATGAGGGCCGATGGAGATACTACTATCGAACGGATGGCCGAAATGACTGAAGGATTACCCCCGAAAGAGCAGAGCATGATGAACTGGATAGAAGAAGCTGAGCAACTTGAAGAAGGGCCTACTCGAGCTCTGTCCCATGACGCTGTCCTTAAAGTGTTACGCGGACTAGAGCGTAGGATGAGAGTGGTGTAATACAGCTAAACGCAGAACGATAGGCCCCTGGTCAAAATTTTCCGCACCTGTCGCTTAGTAGACGAACGTAGCCGGCTTGGTTCCGTCGTTGTGATTCACTGTGACCACACCTGTGACCCTCTCCCCCTCTCTCTGTATCGAAATAACTGAGTAGTACATACTTAGTCTGTTATAGAATATATCCATTATAGTAACATGTCTATAAGTAAGCCGCAGTGGTCACTGTTACACTCCCCGAGTCTACTTCGAGTGTTCACTGATGATGGGGCTGTTATAATTATACTATTCTGATGTGGCCGCCTTTCACATTCAATCATTGACTGCCATAATGTCTTGCACTTCGAACAAGAGACACAAAGTCATGCTGAGGTCTCGCAGAAGTATATCAGGTCAGGGTTCGATGCAACCTTCAAGAAACTCTGTGCAAGCTGTGTGTGTGCAGAGACTGGATAGTACAGCACTTACAGTGGCTTGAATGCTATTGAGAATTCAAGGCCATCTATTACAGAGGGGAAGGCGAACGACAGCAGTGTCGCGGTACATGTTAATAGGCCGTTCGATGGAACGCACGCCGGTACCGGTGAATGAATCGGCCAATCGTTTCATATGAGAGCCTAAACCCGGTCACCAAGGATCATACTAAAGGCATAACAGTGAACGTCGTTGAGTAGGCTGGATAGTGAGTGACAAGGGAGTGACATCGAACTACTATTGTTCTCTGGCGGCTACGCAGCTCGGCTCCCTGCGGCTACGTTCGCCTGTTAGGCGACATGTGCAGAAAAAATTGACCAGGGGCCTATCGTTCTGCGTTTAGCTGTAAGGAAGATGCAGTCGAATGAGAAAGAAGCAGCTGGTTTCCACGCTTTGATCTTCATTGGCATTAGTTGAGACTTTAGGAGGCTAGCAAAGATGACTTTCCATGAAGTAATACGGAGATATCTTAGCGGAAATCACTGCGAAGTACTGTATGGCAGACAAGATCGCAGTAGGTTTGAGGGCTAGTGACGTCCGCACGGTGTTTCTAGTTCATATGTTAAGAGCAACAAGATTGTGAAAGACTAGTGATAAGAACAAGAGGCCGATATGAGATTTATCCGGATGCAGGGATAGGTATAGGACTCCCAACGGATCCTATGCAGCAGCTTGAAGTAGGAATTGCAGAGACGGAGTGAAGTATAAGTGGTGACGAAATTGGTGGGTTAGGGTTAGAGCGGGTGTCGACTCGGAGGTACTAGCATTCCTTAGATTCATACTTCGACCACCAACGACATTCTACTGTATATTAACTAGACTCCCTGCAGTGTTGTGTAACTTTACTGTGGTCTGTGCAGGATACCTCTCTAATACCCATTACTCTTGGTCTTAGAAGTCCTCGAACGTCCCTTTTCTCGGAGCTGTTTACCCCCGCTATCCACATTGGGTTTCTTGACCTTCATACCCACTGTCACAGGCGATTTGTTGCATTTGCATGCGAAGCTGTCTGCCCGACGAAGCTTTGATAACGATTAAAGACGGTCTCAGGATTGCTCGTAAGTTCGAATATTCTCGCAGTCCGCAGTTCCTGCGATCTGATGGACCGTGGGCGTGCAGTTATTCAAATATCTAGTTGTCACTCTGCCTCGTCCTGCAACTAGGTGCAACAAGCCACCATGTTTGCCTTTCCTGAGCCCGGATCTGGCTCAGGTTCCTCTCTTCCACTGCCAATCCTATTGCTAGCTGGTATTGCGACCCTTGCAGCAACTGGTATCTCTGCGACCTCGATATATCTTCACCTAAAAAATTATCGCAAACCTATCCTACAGCGGTATGCAGCTTGTCTCAATGGTATACTCTGGGGATCATTGACAATTCCTAGGATGGTCGTTCGAATCATGCTCATGGTCCCCCTCTACGCCATATCATCCTTCATATCGCTGTTCTCTCTTCAAGCAGCATTCTTCATTGATGCTGTCAGAGACATATACGAGGTGGGCTTCACGATCGTATCTTTGCATCCTTCGATTGCTAACAAATGTAGTTTACTTGAAGGCCTTCGTCATATACTGTTTCTTCGACCTGCTCATCGCATATCTGGGCGGTGAACGCTCACTCCTGATTCTCCTACACGGTCGACCCCCCAAATATCCCGTATTTCCGGGCAGCATATTTTGGAGAGAAGTGGATGTTAGCGACCCCCACACATTCTTGTTTCTGAAACGAGGTGTACTCCGTGAGTGAACTTATGCCTCATGTCATAATATTCGGCTCAAGTTGTGGTAGAGTACGTGCAGGTGAAGCCGATACTGGCTTTGGCAACCATTATCCTGAAGGCTACTGGAAAGTTCAACGAAGGTGACTTGAGATGGGACTCGGGTTATCTCTACGTCAGCACCGTGTACAACGTTAGCATCTGTATGGCGCTCTATTGCCTCGCTATCTTCTGGATGTGTGTCAACGACGATCTAAAACCTTTCCGGTGAGTAATTTTGAAACAATTTCCGCCACCGTTGCCTTAACGCCTTATTTAGACCCATGCCGAAGTTCCTTTGCGTAAAAGGAATTCTCTTCTTCTGTTTCTGGCAGTCGCTCTTTATCTCTATTCTTGTCACGGCTGGAGCGATTAAACGTCTCGGACCCTACACCGACATCGAACATGTCTCTCTCGGTCTCACAGATATTCTCATCTGTCTCGAGATGCCCTTCTTTGCGATCGCTCATCAATACGCTTTCAGCACACGAGATTTCGTAGACCCACACGCCAAGTATGTTGCACGCATGCCCGTATTTTATGCCTCCCGAGATGCTTTTGGTGTCAAAGACGTAGCCGAAGACATCAAAGCGACTCTCAAAGGTGAGGGTATGGACTACAGGGCGTTTGAACCAAGTGAGGGGTACATGCATCAAGGTGCCGGACGTGATAGACGGATTCGGGCGGGATTGAGGTATAGTCAGGGTGGTAAAAGGAAATACTGGTTGCCCCAGCCAACGAGGGATACCCGCTCACCGACTACTGCGGAACACAGAGTTAATAGGGCCGTCGGGAGGATTGCTAGACGTCTGCCCCAAGATGAAGATGTGTACGCGCCACTGTTGCCTGACCAAGCTGAAGACGTTGTGCATACTGCGCCGGATTTGCAATCTCCAGAGTCGGAACAGGATTTCTTCCTCGAACATAGGGAAGTGGTTGACGAAGGTCTTGATTTACCTTTTGGCGATCTGGACCCTGCAGACGAAGAGTTGTTCGACTATAGCAAGAAGTACATCTTTGGTGACTACAACTACCCTTGTATCGACGTCTCCTCCGAATCAGCACGAGTAGCTGTCTGGAATGAAGAGGAACGTATATTAAGGCACGAACGCGGGGCCTACTTCTCACCTATACTCGGACCGAGGAGAACCTTTGGCGGGCAGAGGCAGAGGGATGGATATGGCGCCGTTGGGAGTTTCCAGAGGAGTGCTGTTAGGGTACGACAGGACTCGGATACTGGGAGCGAGAGGGATAAAGGAAAGAGTAGGGACGTGGTTATCGACAAGGAACAAGATCGGATACCTGCACTTTCCCCCGATGAGGTGCATTTGAAATGGACGCGAACGAAAGGAGCGTCACCGATACAATCGCCTCGGATACGCAAACTTTCTAATCAAGGCCGAAGTTCATCCGCTTCTTCTAACCCCTCGTCAGGTTCATCGTCTTCGAGTCCACGGGATCGACCACCGCCTTCTCCACGGAAAGAAAACGAACGACCGACCCTACCTCCAGATGCCGTAGATCTGGTCGTTGAAGACCCACATGCGGCTGAAAAGGAAATGACGCATGAGCGACGGAAAGGTGAACCAGCCGTCCGAGGTACCGTAGGTCTGCGGAAAGTCTATCGACGTGGATATGTCGTAGACGACCCTGAAGGTCGGAAGGAAGGTGAAGTGGAAATCGAGCAACCGATTACTCCGACTGCCGAGGAACGGGAAAACGAGAATGGTGATGCGAGATTTAGTGTGGGAGACGATGTGGATGAGATCATGGAAGTTGAGCATGAAGCTGTGGAGGCAGTTGAAGATGTAGAGAGGACAGTGGCGAGAGTGGAGACTCCGCCTGCACATGCAAGGATCGTCGTGGATCATTATACCATACCTGGTGACGATAATCCTTGGGCGTAGACGAAGTTTGGATGTGGGAACGAGACTTTGACTGGAACGATGCTGTGATATATACCAGTGAGATTCGTTTCCTGTACTATATTCACTGTTGTTTTTTTGGATGTATTTTATCATTATGGGTTTTCTACAGGATCACGATCGAATACGATTTCTGGGGACGAACGCAGCGAATCGCTATCTACAGCCCGGTGTATTCATGGATGTGCAAATAGCGTCTGTGATCACCACGACGTTTAGAGACCCAGCCTTCGACTGTCCCGTCGAAATACACGTCCATCTTCCAAGTTCCTGTGCCGACTCACTTCTCGTCTAGCGAGACAGCCCGCCACTCGATGAAAGTCTCATGAAATTGGAAATCAACGATGCGGGAGACCCAAGTATTCATGCCTAGGCACGCTCATGTTTGAGCACTGCACGCTATCTGGTCACAACATCTCTCACCTTCCTGGTACTAGATCATCGTCTGGGATATAGTTTGCTCCGCCATAGGTTTTTGGGTCCACATTCTCGTTATAGAACTGGTAGACTCTGAAATTCAGATCTTCCCCATGTCGAAATTCAACCTGCGATAATAATGGAGTGGTCAACAGGTGTTGACTCGAAACAAATACTGTACAAGCAACGGCACCTTCGTGGCGCCGTGTGCTTGATGGCGATGCAATGGAAGATACATTACACCTGAGAACGGAGCAGGACATTGTTCCTGGTTTACCTTCAGAAGGTCAGCTGTAGCGTCTCATCTGAGTTCCGCATACTACTCACCTCCCAAGACACAGTCTTCGTGCAGTACTTAAAAGTCCGTTTCTGAAGTTGATTACGTCCTGAATCCATTTGAGCATCATACATCACGATCCTCTCGATCATCCGAGCAATGAAGCGAAGTCAGAGATGCTAAACTCCCCTTCGTGTGGAACCCATCCACGCACGAGCGGTCTGTTCAGTCCATACTGCATCGAGATGTAGATACGTTTGGCCACCAGGTTCGCATGATTGTCGTCAGTGCTCTTTCTCCTTGACAAGATGAAGCCACGGTGAAGATTCGGATCCTTCTGGACGTTGTGTAGTAAAGGGGACACTCAGAAGCTCCGATCGACATCCCACGCTCTATGGGTGAGCATGAACACTACCAAATTCAGAGATCGTCTCTTTCACTCACGCTTGTTTCTATGCGTATGCTTGTTTCAGATGTCAGAATAAAGCCATTGGTCTTACGCCTAAAAATAGACGCACCTGAGCGGAGCAAGCCAAGGATTCCTTTCCGACGTGACCTAGTGTGCTTGGTCTTGCATTGTGGACTCAGTTACAGCTTTATAATGCAGATGGCCACTTGCTCAAACCTGGTCGATGTGCTTTGCTGCCGCTCGAAGCTTGGCAGGGCTCAACGATATTCGAATGAAACGATGCCTACTACTCTTTCAATTAACAGGAATCGTCAGATAGCAAAGACTAACTGCGAAGTTAGGGTGTACTGCGAACAGGAGAACTCGAGATGAGGACCATATTGCATCTCAGGTGATCTGCATCTAATCTGCATCAATTCCCCAGTCATCAATACTTCAGCACAGCATTCGGTTACTGAACCTAACCTGTGAATCTCGAGCTCGAACTTCGCTTCTCATAATCCCATCCGTTCATCATCTCAACGGTCTCCTCCCTTTGCTGGATGTCGACGTGGCAGAATCTAACGAATGTCGCAACTTCCCCCGATCCCACCTGTCATCGCTAGGTTGTGAGTGTTGTCGTCTAAAAGACGCTCATCATGTTCACACATTTACTTGCAGAACGGGACCACTCGTGCGTTTGTCAACCATATAGTTGTGAATATCTGACGCGATTGGCGAATGAAGCTTATTGGGCAGTTCTTTAACTGGGGTTTATTCGGGGTTTTATGTGTACAAATATGTGAGTACACTTCGGACGTGTTCCGATCAGACATGTAGCTGACTTAGATATAATTCTTCTCAGACATATACACCCTCGCTTTTCCGACAGATCGTAAAAGACAACAGGTTCTCGTGGCAGTGATCTTTATTATCGAGGCATTGCAAACCTTGCTTGGAACTTACGATGCGTTTCGGATTCTGGCAGAGCATTATGGTGACATGCTAGAATTGGACCGCGTCGGCCTGCTTTGGTTTACGTATCCCTTTTTGAACACGACAGGTAAGGGCTGATAGTGCGTACATGGACGTTGTCTGAAGCTTTCTCCTCAGCTAGTTGTATTGTGCAGCTCTTCTATGCCTGGCGAATACGAGTTCTCAGCTTCAAGACGTGGTTACCGATAATCATAGCAATTGTATGTTTGCTTTCAATGTTTTAGCAAAGACAGCGTCTAACCCACATGTATAGCTTTCCTTAGCTCAAACTGCTACTGGTATATACGAAGCTGTAGTTGCTCACGAAATTGGTGTCTTTTCAAAATGTAAGTTCTAGTTTCATGACACTCATCGTTCCAACTCACGGGAATCGCCAGTATCTCAACATGCTGCGTGGTCTGAAATAGTATGTTCAGAACATCCAAATTGTGATCCTCGTTCATGTCTTCTCTCCATAGGTCCATCTCGGTGGAACGGCCCTCTGCGACTCAATCATAACGGGCTGTATGGTGTATTACCTGAAGAAATCGCAGATAGGCTTCCGTCGATTCAACGACTTCCTCGGGAAGCTCATGCGCCTGACCATGGAGACTGGAGCTCTATGTATGGCCATGGCTATCATAGACTTGGCGTTGTTCCTTGGCTTCGAGAAGACAAATTATCATACAGTACCGGCGTCGGTCATATCGAAACTTTATTCAAATAGTCTGCTTGTTGTACGTTGTCTCTCAATCCGCTATCATGGTAATTACCTAACAGTCTTGCCCATAGCTGATCAACGCGAGAGCACAATTCGCTCTTGCCGATACTGATACATTCGCCGACTCAACAACACTTTCTCTGTCTTTTGTCTCGGTGTCGCAGTTACGCAGTGCTAGCGAGAATATCCGGTCGCGACCATCTGGTGTGCAGGCATCCTTATCCGAACAGCTTGAAGATCAGCAACCGGAATTTTCGGGATCTCGGTATGCACTCACAAAGGAGCAAAGGTCGAATCCATGATACGTTGAATTGAATTGCAATCATGCCTGTACGTATATTTACTTCCAGCCTGCTATAGGGTACGTTGGGATATGCATTCTTCCGTGGATGAACCGATGATGGATGGTATTTCTATACATAGACCGATTGTTCAACTCTGCGCTATACACGAAGTGCAGTCACCTGTATCAGAACATTTCTCCCTGTACACTTTGAACATTGCTCACTTCTAGAGATACAAGAGAGTATTCGCATCAATCGCTTGCGCGTCCTTTAAATTTCCAGGGCTTTCGAGCGTTTTCCCTACACGTTTATCACGGCGAATGCCGTCCATCTGACTCGAATCCACCCATTCCCAACAACTATCGGTTGGGTATTTAACTCGTGGCACCTCTTACAGACAATCATCCGTTCTCAACGACACATCATTTGCTTTACTCTTTACTATCCGAAGATTCAAACTGATTCTATTTTTGTCGCCGGCTCTCCAGTGACATCAAACGATTGTAAGAATTAGGCTTGGGTATTCTGGTCTTCTCGATCTAATTGGTCTCTCACTCAAAGCTTCTAAGAATGGTGGACAACAAAATAGAAGAACAGCTGGACGAGATGAAAGTCAACCGATTCTCGATTGATGAAAATCATATACTATCGATGACAAAGGCGTTTGCACGCGACTGGTTGTTAGATCAAGCAAGTGTGGCGCAGGACTTCGTTTATACTCTTCGCACTCGCGCAAATGAGTTAGCCCATATACATTCCTTGCCAGATGAGCTCCTCTTGCGAGTCTTTCAAATTCTCGTCGATGATGACAATGCACTACTCCTGAAGGATAGATGTTACGCGATCGTCACGTTGACGGCAGTTTGCAGGAAATGGCGAGCAATGGGCCTGGATTCGCCATTACTCTGGACAGACATCGATGCTCTCAATTTGGACCGGGCTGAGGTTTTTCTGCGGAGGTCGGGAACAACAGCTGCTCACGTCCGGCTGTATGCTATTTACCAGGAAGGAGCAGAATACGCGGCGCGGCTGGCTGATATCTTGTCAGATCACGTCGAACATATCACAAGTCTGACCTTATCAGCTCGCCTTCCCCTTTTATCAGACATCCTTACCCGCATTACATTCTCACTGGGTGCAATACAAAATCTTTCTCTCGAGGCCTGGCACTATACCTTTTCCCTCCACGATTCCATCACACCCACAGTGTTTACTCCCACTATAACTAAGCAACTTGACAACATCTCTCTATATGGCGTGTTCCTACCATTCAATTCGCCGATGTTTGTGGGGCTGTTGACACTGCATTTGGGGTATCACAATCCGAGGCCTGAGCTCGCTCCCTCCATGGACGAATTCCTAGCTGTTTTGAAAAACTGTCCACATTTAACCGACTTGCGTTTATGTTACGCAGGCCCTACGGTTGATACCCTTAGACGGGGTGGGACGACGCCTGTTGTACGACGGCTAGAGCTCAGCTGTCTACAGACCTTGTCACTTGAATTGGAGGCTAGGAACATCGCCTTGCTTCTGACGCATCTCGTAATCTCGGAGCACACGCGAGTTAATTTGACGTGTTATCTGGAAGAATCCGACTCCGTGACAAGCATCATTCCACCTCATTCCACGTTAATGGTTCTCAATGTCTGCAGAACACTACGGGTCAGGGCTGTCACCTTGATGCATGAACGGCGTAGTGCTATGCTGAAGTATATACGTGTGGAAGCTGCTATAAACTCGATGGCACCTCCGAACATCACGATAGATCTTGCATCGGCGGACCGATGGAATGAAAACCACTGGCAGGCAATAACTCCAGAAGTTCTGCTTGCACTTCCGGTTTTGTTCCATACAAGCCCCATCTCGACTCTGGATGTTTCCTGCAATGCTAACGACATGACGTGTGACCAATGGTTGGAGACTCTCGAAAGATTCCCACTTCTGACTTCCCTTACCCTTCATCCTCAATTGGACGGACTCTTTGCTCTTCCTAGCTGCGTTAACGGACTCCTCGATGCTCTCTGTGTGTTGAACCACGAGGCTCTCCATGAACCTGCTACAATATGCTCGGGCCTACGGTATCTTATGCTAGACAGATTTGTTATGGATTCTGAGTTTTTCCCAAACCTGTTGGGTTGTTTGGAACTACGGAGTTCCATGGGAATCGGTCTCTGTGCTGTGGATATCCTCAGCTTTCATTGGACTGGCCCTGGGAAGCTTTTGATACCTGATCTTGGAGAATGGGTCTACTGCAGGAAAAATGGTTGTTGGTGTACTGTAGGAACATGTGACGACTCGCAGTTTTGATAAATGCTTTTTTTTGTAGTTGTGTCAATATGCGGATTGCGGTTACGAAGAACGTTATTCCCAGGTGGAATGATACAGTGTTTATCTGACTCGCCAGGATTGTCCGTCGGAGCTGAACAAATTCTGAATTATATTCAGCACGGCATTTTCATGGCATTAAAGATCGTTAGTAGTGTAGAATATGAGTAGGATTTTCATTAAACGTGCGTGAACAAAATTCCGAGATGGGAGACTTGCCAAACCTGGAATAGAGTGTGTCAATGGCAGGCGCTTCATGGCTGTGCACGTATATTAGGCACGGCGAGGAACTGAAGGATGCACGAATGCCTCCCACCTCGACTTTAAGTACATGAGAGGACAGATATATCAGGGCAACAGGTGTAAGTGCTCAAATCTCATCGCATCATTCGAATCACATTGGTGGGTGATGGCAGTTTCCCCGATTATCTCAGTAACAAAAATTCGTCCATCTAGATCCACGGTTCAACTCGTAATTGGTGTAAACCAAGTAATATGTCGACAGAAACTAAAACGACGAGTCTATCCCCCGCTGAATCACACTTTTCCCTCTCGATCGATGAATCGAAACTTGCGGGATCTTCCAGAGAGCATGCTCGCCAATATCTCTTAGGCGAGATCGCTGGCGCGGAGGACTACATTTGGAGTCTTCGAACGCGTGCCAATGACTATGCTGAGATCCATAGTCTTCCTGATGACATCCTCACCAATATATTCAACTTGGTCGTCGACGAGGACCACCGTTTGGAACGTCAGATGTTCATGAACCTCAAGCTTTCCGCGGTCTGTCGGCGATGGCGTGGAGTTGCGTTGGATTCCCAACTTTTATGGACGGAGATAGACATCAGCAACCTGGTTAGGGCTGCGGCCTTTTTGGAGAGGTCCGGGACTGCACCTGTGGACACATATCTTGACGGAGGTTTCTATGGTACTGGCGGCGGCGACCCATCGCGGGTTGACGGTTTTGGACTTTGGGAGACACTATCTCCACATGCATATCATATCACCTCCTTATACATTGAAGTTCCATTTACCCAAATGCAGGCCTTACTGGAGTCCCTCGACTGCGCTTTTAACAGTCTTGTGAACCTCCGCCTCCTTTGCCCCATAGAAAAGGGTGAGAACCGTGACAGTTTTCAAACCATTCCATATAACCCCCCTTCAATAAGCGCTGTTCAAGAACTTGATCTGTACAAAGTTATCGTACCTTGGAATTCTCTCGCTTACGCAGGACTCCGTGACTTGGACTTACGTTACCAAGTTAGCAGCCCAGCAAATGCGCCCACTATGGATCAGTTCTTGAACGTGCTTCAGCGTTCGCCTGATCTCGAGTTCCTCCGCTTAGCTTTCGCAGGCCCTATGCTCGACTCTTCCTTCACAACCTATCCGGAACCACAGCGAAAGGTCGAGTTGCGTTCGCTCAAGTCTCTCACGTTGTACAACCACCCGCTAGATATCGGTCATCTCCTCGCTCACCTAGACCTACCTGTATCGACATGTATCAATATCCATGCCATCCTTTCATCTTCAACTACTATCTGTGACCTATTTCCTCGAGGGTGCACACTCCCTATATTCGACGAGATTACCGGCATTAGCTTAGGCTACACCAAGAGCTACATCGAATGCCCGTGGGAAGACCTTTCTCTCCGTCTGGAAGGATTCGTGAAGACAGATCCTATATCTCGTATTAGTGTGGATTTTAAGTGGCCAGAGGATGCAGGAAACGATGGGTGGGCTGCGGGCATCCCTCAGACATTCCGCTCTCTTCCCATCATCTTCGCTCGTTCTGGCATTACGAGCCTAGAGGTCACTTGCAGTTATCATGCATTCACCGCTGATGACTGGAGATCAGTCCTATCTAGTTTTCCCGAACTGATATTGCTCATAGCGAAACCGCTTAGTCCTGCATACTACGTACCTTCGGCTAACGTTGAAGATCTCATCGAAGTCCTTACTCCGCCTCTCGGTCCATACCTGCCAGTCCTCTGTCCCGAACTTCGTCAGTTGAAGCTTGGGAGCTTTAACATGGGAAGCGCTTTTATCTCTACTCTGATGGATTGCGTGAGTGCGAGAAAATCCAGAGATGCTGGCCTGTGCATGTTGAAGTTGGGACACTTCAACTGGATAGGGGAGAATGAGTTTACCATGCCGGATTTTCGAGAGTCGGTACAATGCAGGTGTGGAGGCGATTTGATTTGTTCGCCCACGCCGAGATGCACAACCCCTTGGTAGCATTTGCGGGTTTCTGTATTGCGCGTTGCTGTATATTCACACCATGAGGCGAATACCGCTGGTGTTATTTGTCTGTCCCTATCCTCCACTCGGATTAGTACTTTTGGACCTTCACTCCTATTAGACTATACTGTCTAGGTGATTGTGACAACACATGTAGTCATATGTTATCCGAGGTTCAACAACTTTGTCGTCCCTTGTATGTTTTGCGCTGAGGTCCTTCCTATTATAGACTTCATGTAGAGGTTCTAGCACAACAGACACAAACATGCCCCTTCAGGCTTGGTGAGCCGGCTTAGAATTATCGGCAGGCTGTTTCTATACTGAGCCTTGTCTCAATCGATATCGGTGTTAACGTAGTCTACTTGGAGCAAATTTCTGAAGATATATACCGAAAGCAAGGTAGAAATTTCACTGGCGGTCAACTTGTACAGTAAGTATCTTTTAATCCAACAAGTTGTCACACAAATCGACACGTTGAAAGCAGACAGGGATTCACATTGAACTTAGCAATATGTATGACACTTTCGCTTCAACCTGGGACCGCTTCACCCTCGTGATTCTTCCCCGTTGACACCGGTCTTCTCAAAGCAGCCGGGTCAGTTAGTACTTCCCCCGTTCGTGAGTGCGTTTCCAAACTAAAGGCCGAACAACAGTCCACGTGAAGACTAGGGCTGTGATAACAATCTGATGGTGTTTTTAACCCGCTTCGGAACACAAAACTTCCACTTACGGTGCCGTTACAGACAGCCTGGTCTCAAGTTGCCCGCAGTTTGCGGTATTCAGCTGCATGTATCAATTCTGCTGAGATCTAGAGCAGTGTCACGTCGGGCTTGATGTTTGGCTGGCATGCACATTGTTGTAGTCAATTTAAGTCTTGTTGGATTGGCGATTGTCAATAAATCCAAGTTCGAGCGTCGAGACACGCATATATACCGACAACATACTTTACATTTCTAGTACGATAGTTTACAAAGAGCTGAATTTCTACGGGTCTGAATCAATCCGCTACGATTACCCCGACTATGTCCTTCTATATCATCAATTTAGCTTCGCCCTCAATGCGATAGTCTGTGAACACTTGGAAGCTAGCGGCATTAGAGAGCAGCTAGTACAGCGTCGGCGCCTGAGACGGTGACACCGCGGGCCGGCTCGACCTAGATAGCAGCCATGAGCATCAGCAACCACATTCAATCACAGAGACGAAGAACCAAAACGAGGACGGCGACTTACACCAAGGTAGGTGATCTTGAGATCATCAAGAATGAGTGCGAAACGGGAAGTTCGGAGGCCGAGACCGAGCTCGTTTGCCTTGGAAAGATCGACGGAGAGACCGAGTTGGGAGGTCCAGGCTGCTGTGGGATCTGACAGGGGAAGAATCTGTGGGAATGTCTCAGTCAGTTGCGACTTGAGAAACCAGGTGGAGGCGCAGAGCATAGCGTGAACCGCGAAGATGATCGACGACCCTCGCAGTACTCTAAAGAAGGAAAGAGAAGCATACCTTATCCTTGAATCCCAAAGCCTTTCCCCATCCGCTCATCACAAAGGCATCATTGGCGGTGACGACAGCAATCTGATCAACACCCTTTGCTTTGAATTCGTCGTATTTCTGAATGTATGGCGGCAGATGGTTGGCGTGGCAGGTTGGCTAGAGAGAGATTTGGGTACAATGAGTTGAAGCGGATGCAGAGAGGAGGGGGGACGAACAGTGAAAGCTCCAGGAACAGAGATCAGGACAACTTTCTTGCCCTTCCATGCATCTGTACTGATCTTCGTAGCTATATGCAGAAATATGGTTTTCGATTAGATGGGATGAGTATTTAGGAAAGAGGATGGGAAAGAAACTACGCACGGACACCACAAGCAGCGAGATCGTCTGTCTCGGGAGTGTATGGGACATACCAGAACGTACCGGTGGGGACTACGTCGCCGACTCGGACAGTAGGGTTGGCCATTGCGAGAGGTTACAGTAGTAGATATCAGGAGAAGAGAAGAATGAATCGTCGAAGATCGAAAGAACAGGAGTGAGAGAGATTTCGCGAGATATATGTAGACTAGCATCACATGACGGAATTCTCCCGTTATTCAGCGTTCTTATCAATCGTTTGCATCTGACCGGCATTTACAGATCTCTGAACGTGATCCTAGAGAGAAATATCTGAAAGTGTACGGTCGGGTATTGGTGAGGGATTAGAAAGAGCACAGCGTCAGGAATAGGCGGTGCGTGACTTGGCCAAATCAATGGAATGCGGCAGTATTATATACCGCGATGGCGCTGTTAATGAATGTAATAGGGCGAGATGTTGCTTGGCATGGTGGGCGTAGAGTGTTGAGTAGTGTTGTAAAGCGTTGGGTGTCCTGTGATGCCTACGAGTTATGTCTATACTATGAGGCGGCCATCCGAATTGATGTGAAGTATGATCACTGCAGAGAGTTATATAGCACCGTCGCGGCTTAAACTTCTTACATGATATGGTCACTTTACAGACCACCTGCAGGGCTACATAATGACTATGTTCAACATAAACGACTGACGTAGTTCGCCTAAGTGCATGAGGAGATCTTAGCCGAAAAACGTGGCCAAGAGCCTGAGATCCACCTGATCTTATCTCTTCGAGGTACTCGCGCGTCTTTCGTTGTTTCTATACCACCACGTATGATATCTTCTGCAGTTCCCTGGTCCTTCCCATGTTCGATCCCGCTGTCAATAGTTGAAATTTCCCTGGTCCCCGAATATTGTTTACAAGTCCGAGTCCTTCGCTTCGAATCGGAATGCTGTTGCTGGCAGGGTACCTACATGCAATGCGGCCCGATTGAGAATGGACAGATAGACGTATTTGATACGCCAAAGAAATGTATTGCATGCGTAAAGCGTGAGTCTCATTTGTTTATGATTAAATTGCATCGTGAATATCATCACCGAAGACGCACGCCGTTCAAGGTTTACCGCGCCCTGCTTCACGTTCTTCGCGTATATGCCGCGCTTATGGTTCTTAGAGGTTTACCAGACTAGAAGGGCTCTTATACCGTATGGTTTTGGCTTTCACGTCGGATATGGGTGGTGTTCGAATCGACGGTATTTGGGTTCCGGTGAATACAACGGACAAGGATCATTAGCAGGCGATGCAGTCGGCTGGTGTAGGTCCCTAACAAAGTCCTCTGGCCTGCGTGCACAGAGTGATGCGTGCCATCATGACCGAACACGTGTCGGTTGTTTACAGTGATATTTTGATCTCAAGAAGATGAAGATATGCGTATACATGTCAAGAGTTCGTAAAAGGATGGTATTCAAGAAACGTCGACCTAACATGGCCTTCATGACTTCCTTGTTCTCGCAGGGCCCGCACCCAGCCATACTGTCATACAGGCCCTTTTGCATGCCCGTTTGAGACAGGAAATAACAGCTCATTGAAGTTGAGCCTGATTGACGAGCACCGCACGAATTACAATATTTGTAAGTTGTAAGATTGAAATCGGCGAGACTAGATAAATTTAAGAAGATTGCCATTAACGGTATGTTCGACTGATGTCAAATTATTTCTCAGCATACTTGCTCACAATGAGCGATTATACGTACGTTGAGCCTCATTCACAGCCATTTATAAAAGCGGTTCCCAAACGCGTTCGCTCTAAGTTACAGTGAGTGCGTCACCCCACGTGAATGTGACCGTTACAGTATCTATTCGGGTAATGAAGTTCAAGTTTCCTCAACTACAGTACACGTTGAACACAAAGGTGGCAGACGACTGGGAAACAATAGTGAATCGCTGGGAAACGCCATTGTTTCTCATAGAATTCTTGCTTGAAACCGGTAATGTGTCAATTTGCATCCGCAATCTGACCGCCAGACTGACTCTTTGTGACCAGCAGCCACACTCGCTTAGCAGAGATTGCTGAACACCCATTGTTCCGTGGCCTCGCGTAGTATCTCTACTAACTTGAGGGCCAAACCACACTCACAGTGTCTAGAGTATATAAACAGCTTCCGGCGCTATCTCCCGGTATGTTTATTTTCTTTTCATCCCCCTCCCGACTATGGTGTCCTCACAGACACCCGTCTCCTCCGTCAAGAGGGGCGTCAGGACCTTCGTGCCCAACTCTAACAAGCTTTTTTCTGCGACAGATCTTCACGGCATAGTTGCGTTTGAATTGTACGGCATGTCTATCGGACCCATGCCCATAGACACCTTCTTGCAAGAATACTTTCCGATCGACGAAAAATACCCAGCTTCGAGGTCCTCTGACCACGCATTTGACAAATTACCCACCAATCCGACGAGGGAACAGCAGATGTATCAACCCTTTGTAAGTTAATCTCTTCGACTCTCCGCCAATGATGTGGACCTCACGACGCGTCTAGGTCGACATTATGAATCGGCGGAGAAAACTCTGTGGGAAATTGAAATTCCGTGATACAGGAGACAAACGGGATGCTGATGTAGACACGAATATGCGCCCCGACATTGTCTCCTACTGGGGGGACGATCCTCCCATGGACCTTGATTGGTCTCTAGTCGAAATCATCATCGAATGGAAGCTACTTGTCTCCAGGGATGGTTACTCTGACTCATTCAAAGAGGGCAAGCTCTTCGTTGAGAACGCGGGCAGCCAGAAGGCCAAGGCGACCCGTGGACAACTATTCTCTTACGCCGCAATTCAAATGACTCATCAACATCGACTGTTTGTCTACCTTGTGGGGATCTATGGCCCATATGCTCGTCTCTATCGTGTCGACCGCTCATGCATTGTTGCTTCTGCCCCTTTTAACTATATGGTGAAGCCTCATGTCCTGCTCGAGTTCTTCTGGCGCTACGCTCGTATGCACGCTGTTCAACGTGGATACGACCCTACTGTGTCTCTTGCTGAAGATGCTGAATGCCGGTTATTTGACTCCAAGATCAAAGAGTACCTGGAGCGCGCGAAGAGACACAACTATCGTACGTACCCTGGTATTGAAGGTATGGCGGATGGCGACTACGCGACTTGCAAAATACAAGTGAATGACCGCAACGGTGGGGTGTCTCATTGGATCGTCCGAAAACCGTTGGCGCAGCCGGAGCTTCTTACCCCTTGCGGTCGGTGCACTCGAGGTTACATTGCGATACGAGCCCCAGGATGTGATGCCGAGAACGAATCCTCTGATGTTGGGAACCAAGCTGCAAATACCGGCGATGAATGCGAGTTGTACTGGATGAAGGACTCGTGGCGTACGGCGGAATACGAACAGGAGGCAGACATCTATGCTGAATTGAAGGACGCCGAAGTTCCTCACATTCCTGTTATTCACTGTGCTGGCGATGTTCTTGTGGATACTACGGTCCAACGGACGACCAACCAGCTATGGCTCAAGAAACCCGAAGCGGAGGCATGGAAGCGACCAACGGGCCCGATCAGAAACCTCGTTCACCATCGGGTGGTACAAGAACTTCTATATCCTCTCGGCTGCGTTCAGAGTGCCAGGGAGCTGGTACGTGCAACGCACGATACGCTCGAAAGTGAGCATTTTCATTCATGTAATCTGACGATCGTTCTAATTCATGTTCAGCTCTGGTTGAGGCATACTATAAGCCTAAACGTCTTCATCGGGACGTTAGTAAAAATAATGTGATGCTGACGGAGAACCCCTCTGATGGCAAGAATCCCTCTGGCATACTGAATGATTGGGATCATAGTAGACCGCTCGATGCAACAACACCTGTCTTCAACCATCGAACTGTACGTTCATTCTTACTGTTCACTATCATCGTAATCTCACCCGTCACATTTTCCAGGGGACCTGGCAATTTATGTCGGTGAAATTACTTGAAGACCCGGATAAGCCGCACGAAATCTTCGACGATCTTGAATCCGTTCTCTGGGTTTTGCTCTTCATCGCAGTCCATCATTTTGAACATAGCGGGACGTTTGATATGGGTGTCTTCGATTATTTTATATCGCACCCCGGTGGCTTTACGGGCAACGCAACGACCGGAGGCCAGATCAAACGTTCATGGCTTTCGGGTCAAAGTGTCAGGTTCGAGTGCCCTGCTCTCAATAAGGTTATAATCACCGTCGGCGACTTTCACAACCACCTACTCAACCTCGCCAACCTCGCCAAGCGCGATCCAGACAACAAGGCACTAGAAGAGAAGAAAACAGAGCTCAAGGCTAACCTACGACAATTACTCGAAGATTTTGACGGTCAACTTAACAGCGCTTCCGCCGACTGGACTAAAGGCGATTGGGTTGATGACCTGTATCCTCCGACAACAGCAGAAAAACTCGAGAAATATCTCATGGAGTGTGCACAATTGACTTCGTGTGAGTCTGGTTGGCCGGGTGCGGCTGGCGCTCCGTTGGAAGACGATCTGTTGGAAGACATTCCGTTGGAAGCCGAGCCAAATGCTACAGAGCAAGTTAAGCAGGAGCATCAAACTTCCGCGAAAGCAGAAAAAAGGGAGCGTAGTGGAAACGGGACGGGGAAGAGCAAGGAAAAGGGAAAGGAGAAAGCTAAAGCTGAGGGAAAGGGTAAAGGGAAGATGAAACCTAATACGCGTTCCAAGAACACCATTTCGCAAGCATCATCCTCTGCTCGTGGCACGAAGAGATACAGGGATGATGTTGAGTCTGAGGATGAAGAAGAGCCATCCGGTAGATCGCACGGGCAGCTTATTGATATCCCGGAGGAAGAGGAGGGAATCGCGGGCCCTAGTAGGAGGCGGTTTGTAACAAAGAACAGAACCAAAAGGGCAAAGCGTGGTTCATAAGTGTTTGTCTTATATATCTTCAAGCTTTAAACTTCCTGTTTCGATGTATGAGTCGCAGCCCGATAACAGATGTCGAGGGAGGATCTCAGACTGTGATCTGACTACCGCCCTCCCTCCCTTAGTAGACCCATCGTTGGTCTGCAGCGTACCGGAGACTATGATTTGACTATGATCGATAATGTGAGGCTTTACATACACCCTGTTTGCGATAAGATTAGATGTGTCACCTTCATCTAGTCGCGTACGTGCTCAACAACTTCAGAACCAAACTTACCAGTGTTTCATGCAAGACCTTTCCTCCGTCGATGAAGGTTCTTAGGACAGTGCATCCTCGCTTTTCTCTGTAACGTGTGATGCAAGGCACTATCTCCACTGCTACTGGAGTATCACTTCCTCGCTGCTCGTCTCATGGCGTCCTGTTACTCAGTACTCGATATTGACTCCTTGTCATCACACGGATGAACGTTGTCTTGTGGATCTGGCTTGGATGTCGAAACTATCTAACCCTTGGTACATTCTGAAGTCCAGATTTCAGATTACAAGATATCGTATCTAGAACTTGACAGAGTCAGAAGGTGAGTTGACTTGCAGTCGTTTCTGCTGAAGTCTCATGGAATTTTTATGATGACGTAGCTATTCCCTCGATCCCCGCCATCGGTGTCCATATTAGAGATGCTTCGAGACGCAATGTCTATGTCTACGTCGTATAATTACATGGCGTGACTTAGATCTTGACTGAATCTGTGCCTAAACGACTTCGATATTGACAGCGTGGTGCGTCCAACTCGATCTAGCTGATTAGGTAGTGATACCACTTCTGCGACCACTTTGAATAGCAACTCTAAATATCAAGTGAATGAATACGTGAAGTCACGGCACGTGAATGTGACCATTGCAGAGTTTCGGTAAGCAAATTCTATTTGAATTCTCCCCAGTTCAATCTTGAACGTGAATACCCAAAGTTCACTACGGTGCAGTAGAGAGGGTTTGTGTAGCCCGTATGTGTTCGGTCCTCACCATGATCTTGCATATGCAATCTGACATGAGGCTTTCTTCATCTCAGCAGCCACATTGACGAAGTCGAAAATACTACACTACCTCACCATATCTCCGCTAACAGGAGGCCAACATCGCCAAACTTTCAGGCCATATAGGCATCGTGGTTGCTATTTTCCGTCAACTCTTTCTGTATCTCTCACAATAATTTCCTCACTGGTACCGAAGTAGATTTCCTCTCCGACGACAACCATCCCAATATGGTGAAAAAATATGAGACTGCTGCATTCGAGACGTCTGGCAGGTGTATTGGACCGGTCCCCCACCGTGCCTTCATGCAAACGCATATGCCTGTAGATGACGGGTTCAAATCCTCACATTTCCCTAGGAAAACCTTACCAAAGAACTTCTTTAGGAGCAAACTGTCGGATATAGGCTCTGGACGAAAAAGGTGTAAAACGTTTGTAAGTGAAATACAGATCGTCGATTCCATCCTTCTCAGAGCGTTGTCCTGTTTCTAGGTGGAGCTTATGAATCAGAAGGGCCTTTGTCACGAGCTGAAATTCCATGTCGCAGACCAGGCAGACTGTGTCAGTCACGCAGGGGCACGTCCAGGACCTTAATTGGTCCCAAGTGGATCTCCCCGTGCAATGGAACTCGGATGACGACGCGGATTGCTGTTCAAACATCCTCCAAGGCACGCAATATTTTCTCGACAGTTCGTCCAGCAGGGCCAAGTCCACCCTCGGACAATTGTTCTCCTACGCCGCTGAGCAAATGTCTCATCATCGTCTATGGGTCTTCGCCGTCGCAATTTATGGTTCGTATGCTCGTTTCTTCCGATTCGACAGAAGCAGCATCGTCATCTCTGCGCCAGTCAAGTACATGGAGAACTCTCGCATTTTCCTCGAATTCTTCTGGCGCTACGCTCGATTGGATGCTGTAACACGCGGGTATGATCCCACCGTCTCTCCTGCTTCATCCCCCGAATGCGCTCTGTTCGATGCAAAGATCAAGGAATATCTGGAACGCGCAGAAAGAAGGAGATTGCGTAAATATCCGGGTGTTGAAGATCTTACGAATGATCAATATGTCACCTCGAAGGTACGGGTGGACGATCGTGATGGTGGCGTCTCCTATTGGATTGTTCGAAAACCTCTGGCTCAACCTCATCTGCTTCTCCCTTGTGGGAAAAACACCCGGGGATACATAGCTGTAGAAGCACCAGATCTCGATGCTTCGGGCCTGCCTCTCGGGGACGAGAATGAGGCCATGAACAAGGAGGATAGGTGTGAGTTGTACTGGCTCAAGGATTCTTGGCGTTTGGAGGAATGCGAAGCAGAGGCAGATATCTATCATGATCTGAAGAAAGCGAAGGTATCACATGTTCCCGTGGTCAAATGTGCTGGGGACGTCCTCCAAGGTGAAAATGAAGATGGGGATGTGGACGAGGATGAGGATGGGGCTGAAGAAGAAGAAGATGTGGTCGAGGATGAACATGATGAGTGTGACGATGGGGGCGAAGATGAGGCCGAGGATGGCATTGATAGAGAAGTACAACAGACAACGAACCAAAAGTGGCTCAGTCATCCCGGTGCCAGAACTATATGGAAAGGAGTAACAGGACGGATTCAACCCTGCATCCATCATCGGGTCGTTCAAGAAGTTGTTTATCCCCTGAGCTGCGTGCAGAGTGCAAGAGAGCTCGTACGCGCGACGCGCGATGTTCTCGAAAGTGCGTTTTTTCTTTCACACCGTCATTTTCGCAGTCGTTCTGATTAGGGTGCAGCTGTAATCGAGGCGTACTACAATGCCAATCTTCTCCACTTAGACATCAGTAAGGGCAACGTGATGCTGACGGAGAAGTTCACTGACGGTCAGGACGAGTCTGGGGTGCTTAATGATTGGGACATCAGCCACTTCGTTGGCTTAGGCACTCGACATCGTTCGGTACGTCCAGTTTTCTTCTTGATATTCTTCCTTTCTCAACACTCACATCTTGTAGGGAACCTGGCCATTCATGTCCATTCAGTTACTCGAAGATCCGAAAAAAACCGCATGAGATCTTTGATGACATTGAGTCTATTCTCTGAGTTATGTTGTTCACCGCGATCCATTATTTCAAGCATGATCAACCTTTCAATATGAATACCTTCAATGAACGTATACCAAAGCCCGGCGATTTTTCGGGTACATTTGCAACTGGTGGCGGGCTCAAACGCCTTTGGCTTTGGATACGATGTGGAAACTTCGACTGTCGTGCCCTGGATGAAGTTATTAATGCTGTTGCGGACGTCCAATCGCACCTTTTGGGTATCAACCGTCGAGCACACCGTGATTCAGACAGCAAACCAAATTTGGACAACTATCGGGATGAGCTCAAGAAGGATCTGTGGCATCTGCTCAAGAGCTTCGATGATAAACTGGAGGACCCCTCTGCCGATTGGTCTAATGGGAATGCTGTAGACAATCTCTACGCTCCGAGAACTTCGCAATCTCAGGCATCCGATTCTTGCGAATATAATGATGGGGGGTTTGCAGCATTCCTCGCTCGTTGCGGGAAGAGAGCCCGGGATGAATTCGAGCCAGTAGTTGAAGACGACTCATCAAGTACGTCACAGCTCAACGCTATCTCGGGCTGCGAAGCAAGGAAAGGAAAGGACGAGGAAGTTGGTGGCATTCGACGGAGCTCCCGACTTATTGAGAACGCCAGACAAACCAAGAAGCCGAAATACATCTATTGAGTATTCAACGTCATTGTCTCTAAAGTTCATGTGTCGAGCTACCTTCATCCGATCTCTGTATTTAGTTCACCAGAAATAACCTTGACCGTGCAGGACTCGAGCTGAAACTGTGCATTTTATTCTCAGACCCCAGTATTTCGCGCTTGAACCGCTGTTCTCACTTGAACTGGCTGAATTCACAGCTCAGTCATTCTTCTAATCTTTTTCTCGCTATTCTTACGTGCTCGTATTCATCTCTGCACAATGTCGAAAGGCTATTGGTTTGAATGTCAGATATCTTCTCCTTCCTGCTTCATGCGTCAATTATCCATAAACACGGTGTCAGGGTCGGCGAAGTCTTCTCTCGGACTTCATAATCACCGAAAGACCCAAACCCTGTTCGAACTGGCAGGCGCGAGTGATCTGATTGAACGTGTCAAATATTGGAAACCTGTCCGATCGACACCTTTTCCGGGGACTGTTCGATAACCCCACCTTTTTTCATTGCCTGCCATTCTCTTGGACTGAGCGTCCTCTTTCCAATTCCGTATACTTAAAGCCTCTTCATATGTCTGTGATTATATCCCACGTTCTACAGTATCGTACAAACGTACGCATACGACAGGTCTGCTACTGACGCAGTGCAACGGCTCTCATTCTTCCACGGCTCGCCCCACATATTCGACACGTTGTCTAGTATGTTCTCGGTTCATTCGGGGATGTCCTTACCTTGACTCAGATCGTCTTGACGCTCAAAAATTGTCTAATGAACGAGTCAGACTTTCGAGCGACATTGACGAATTCATCAATCTGTGTCAGGAGAGCACTATTGTCTGTCCCTCGGATAAGGCACACAAGAGCTGGGTCATGGGAGCGGGAAGTTCGGTGTCGCAGACGACGGAAGGAATGTGTGTACAAAACTCCGTTGTGCAGGTACTGACGCGCTGACGTTTGAGAATCAATATAGGATATGATGAACTGACCATTCGGTGAGAGATGGGCCGTCTATGAAGCTCGGTCTTGCAAAATTTAGGTTTAGAACAGCGCGGAACTAGTAAGGTTCGTCTTTATCCGATGTCACGTCCACTAGGCTGATTGAAAGTCAGCGCAGGTCGAGGTCGAGCATGTATATCTTTATCACAATTGCAGCGGACGTACAGTCGATAGACAGTTCCTGATCATGACAGCAAAGCACGGGAGATTGAAAGCGCAAGACACGCACTATGAGTTTAGAATCGCGATTGGTTCATCAATATACAGATAAACGGGACACGCCTTGATACCGACACTCAGTAATCCATGCATGCAAACCACGCGAAAGGCGACAGGGTGACAATTCATCTTGTAGAAGACATTCACTCGGATACAGTCAACGAAGAATCCAAGTGTGGTGATCCAGATGCAAACGGGACGATAAGGAATACTGGGTACATTAATGAGATCTAGAGGGCTGCTATTGAGTACTGCTAAGTAAGTAGTACTAGAGTGCAAACTCAAACGTTCACAGGTAAACGGCGATCTCCGAATCTTATCTTGTCGTAAGTGTGAGCTCCGATTGGTTGGAGTTTTCTCTTCTCGTCTAATTCTCCTTGAATTCTCCCCAACACGAACTCCTGCAGTTGCTGTCATTTATTCTCAGCAGTATCTTGATCGTGCTTCCCTATAATACGTCTCTATTGTTTACTTTCTTAAATTCATCCAGTACGTTGCAGACCTTCCGAATTTGTCGCCTTCAACTGCTCAACACTTACGAAGCGAACGAACCGTCTTCTCTCATACCGACACAGTTCCTATGATGTTTCGTCCTTTAGGACATTTCTATCTAGCTGAGATTTGCGACATCGGCTGAACAAGCCTGTGCAAGTATATATGTTCTTCGAGCTGAACCGCCACCTAGCCTGTACGTCAATTACTTTTCCCCTTCCATTTTCGGCCATTTCAGCTTGCACTTTACCATGAAAACAATCAACCTTTGATCTGGTAATTTAGAATAGTAAGATTCATGCTCAAGATCCCGGTCATCATTGCTGTTGTGCTAAACAATATCGATGCGATTCGGTTCGCTGCAGAGCAATGTACCCCGGGCCCAAGAATAGACTGGTCATTACCTTCTGCATATGGGGTGCTAATCGCCAGTACTCAGTCCAAGGTGGCACCAACCGTCACTTTTCCCGTGTTTTCGAAGCCCATCTAATCTGGTACACTCGCAGAATGAACGTCTGGTAAGTAGTCGACAACCTCGGAATTCTCTTGACGACGCATCAATTGACTCCGGCGCCGGTTGGCAAGGTCTTCTCGGATGAATTGTCGAATCCATCCAACGGGGTTCATTTCTCATACCCCCCCTCTCCAACAATCTTGCTTCCTGCTCATGCGGCATTTCCGCCGACTTCTCCCTCTAGACGTGGGTCCAGACGTCCCACCTACCCGTGATAAGAATGCCTTTGTCTATCTGTTTCATCACAAGGCATTATCGTCTTTGAAACCAGTCACACATTCTAGGTTCGTATCGTATCTTCTTTATCCATAGATTTTAGATGTAGTTGTTGCTAAAACGAATCGCGGCGCCTTCTTCATTGCCTTCTCTTGACATTTGCACTGTCTCACTGTTTAGGCTCTTCGTATCGCTAGGATGCAACTGCTTTTGTTTTGCTGATCCAGCGCAAAGTATGACGGTTGCTAGGACGACCCTTCGACGTGGGCTACATCATTCTAGCCTTGACACCATAGACAGAAGCTGTCTTCAGGTCGTTTCTGGCAGCTGCCGCCTTAATGTCCGGTGACGTTCAAGATAAGTTCCCTGTCCTGTCTATCGTTGCCTTTGACGTAGAGCCGCGGAGACCCATTTTCCGGTACGTCAGTGAAGCGAACCAAATATGGTCTGCTGGTGATATCCAAGGGCATTTGTCTGTGCATTCACCGCTTTGGGTCACGTTGGTTGGCTTGGCCCATTTACATCTCCTTTGGTCAATTTGTGGCTCTTTCCGCGTCTCCCTCTTTGTCAATCTCAACCTCTTTGTTCGCGTGTGGCGCAAAGCAATAGGCATGGACAGCTTTGGTGGCTCTTGCGATCTATAAAAGGAGTCTTGCAGATGCCATTTCCTCTAACACACCCACATATTCCGCCATTTGAACCACCTCACACAAGAAAACCTACCGACGTCATCTCACGACAATTACACAATTCGCAATGTCTACTGTAATAGTGAATGGAGTACAAGAGCGCATGTACGCCGTAAGCTCTTTCCTAGTCCGATACAAATTGAAGAGGTTCTCACTATATTGTAGTCCAACAAACAGGTCTTCGTTATCGTCAAACACCCAAGAATCAATGTCAATCAGATTGCGTCAGTGATACGTTCAGAACCGATGGTAAATCTTTATGTCGACCTGTCGATGTTTCCTGCCCCTGATAAGTTCGCTATTCCAGGGAAATACTACGAGATATCAAGTTCAGACTAGAAACGATTCAGACTAGTTCTATCATGAAGGGTCAGTACTAGAGATGCGAAGGTCTGGCATGGGCTGGCCTGAATCCATGAAGATCCCCATGAGATACCTGTGGAGTGAATACTTGTTTTAATATGTTGCTGTTACCTCTATCCCTATGAACTTCTAATTGCGAAAGCCTTGTGTTCGTCAATCCTTCTCGTGTCGCAAGTAAAGAAGTCAGATCAGATCTCACACTTGAATCCTCCTGGGGTGAACGCACTAACTTTATACGAGCGACTCGATGGGTGGGATGGTTGGCGATTTGTGGTCACGAAAAAAAGATGGTGACAGGTATTCAACGTCCCAGTGAAAAGTCGGTCTACTTGCCTGGAGTAATTGCGATGTGCTCACACCTACCCAATATATATCAGTGTAAGGGATAGAAAAGTCGGTATTCTAAGTATATTTTTATGCTCCGAATTGTATCCCAGGCTACTGATTCACCTATCAGCCCACGTCGTTCTCTATTTCTATCATCGTTCGTGTTGGTCAGGGTCCAACCGACCCAGGAGGACTTATGTGGGACGTAATAATATTATCTTATCTACTGTTACACCTCATTACAATTGGCGCATAGAACGCTCAACAACTTCAACGCAGTCGTTGACGGGTTCGGAGGTGAGAGAAACGGATAGTTCTCTCAAGTGAACATACTTACCATATTCGGAGGTGACTGAAAGCAATGCGGGCACAGCCAGGCTCGACCGCTGCATTAAAGCCTGACACCGAACCACCGTCCTCTTCTCCAAGCTAAAACATTCATAATGAAAGAAGAATCTGATTGTTTCGCCGGGTAAATGACATCTTATCCAGAGAATCTTTTCTGACACAAGGCTGCACTCTAGGCTTGCTACTGCTAGTACTACGCCACGCCTTGCCGTTTCCGATTCAGAGCAAGATCACTCTAACCTCTCCCAGAGGTACCAACGTCACCTCCCACAGGAGCTTATTGACTGCATTATAGATGAATTACATGATGATCGAATATCCCTCGCTCTCTGCGCTCTCGTCTCGCGTTCCTGGGTGAACGAAAGCCGCCATCATCTCTTCATGACCGTGAATCTTCAGGCCTACGATTCGTTGGAGTCCCCTCTACCTTCCTTCTCAGAATTGCTACTTAACAATTTGAACCTGCAACAGTTCGTACGTACTCTAATGATCAATAACAAGAAGGCTTTCATCCACCCGGTTAAGGGCAAAGTCGAGCTCTCCTTACTTGGCTCCATTCTGGGTCGCCTACCCAACTTACGCACTCTTTCCTTGCATTGGGTACAGATCGCCGTGGCATCTGATTTAAGAAGCTCTCTTCTCTCCATGGAGGATGCATTGGATCTTCCGGAGGTCGTCTTATGGGGAGTTGACTTCCAAGTTCAATCGCACAATGAGGACTCCTTCGATCCCTTCTTGAGGTTGTTCACCCACATAGGGTTCTTTGATTTAGATTGGTGTCGCGTAATCGATACGCATGGAGAAAAGGCAGATGTCATTCGCGAGAACCTTATCAGCAGGCTCCGTGTGCACAGACTCCAAGTCATGGCCTGCGCTCGGCCCATCGAGCAAGCGCTGTATTTGTCTATAGTTCCGTCCCGAATACGGTTTGCTGCCGTAGGATTTTTGTGGTTCCACGGGAAGGGTGTCCTCTCATCCTTCCTATGTAATCCTGAAGTGAAACTCACGGCGCTGGAGCTCAATTGGAACTACGTAAATCCGCTTCATTTATCGACAGATGGTGAGTGATTTACGGTCTCGGGATTGTCTAATGAATGCTAACCCTCCATATAGCATTACAGTCTTGGAGTTCTCTAACTCTACGGTGTTGCCGATGGCTTAGCCTCATTATTATCCGACTCAGTATATACGAAGGCCGGCCATCCCAGAATGTTTTCGTATGGTCATCTGTCGTAGCCTTGCTCGCCACACTACCGATCACTTTTACTGGTCGGTTAGAGCTCTATGTTACCCTGTTGCATCAGGGCGACTACGTTGGGTTGTCGACTTCTATCCATGAGTTGGACTGGGACGCATTCACTATCGCCGTACGAGGCAAAGCTCAAGCCATGAAATGCTATTTGTTGCATCATCCTGCCATTTCGCGAGAGTCGTTTATTCAGTTCAAAAACATCATCACGGATAGATTGTGCGGGCACGGAGAGCGTGCTCCCGTCGTGTGCATCGAGCAGAAAGCGATTGACGACTGGAGGTTAATGGCGGGTGTCTAGTATGTCTATGGTGATGTTCTGTGAATACGAGATATCGGGAGGGGTAACCATTGAAATAATGTCACGGTACATTATCCTTCGTCAAACAACCCTGTACATGACAACTATGCCTTATTAATTTATTAGCCAGTCAGTTGAGTACCATCGCATCACGAGCTGATAATCGTCACTGATCAAGATTGCTCAAATCATATTGGGAGGCGTACGACGTGTTATACTGATACAGAAAAAAGCACAAAGACAGAAAGGAGCAGTATATGGCTGCAGTACACTAAGCGTAGTGTGCCGCCTAGGACGCACTCTAAGACGGCACATAGTATGCCACCGGTTGCGAGACGGGTGAGGTGGCGGTGAGCCAATTATGGTTGATGAAAAACGGAGCGCTCCAGACTATGCTCAGGCTATTGGGGGCCACTTTCTGGTACCGAACCTTGTACCTCCACGTGCCAGACCACTGATGATAGAATGAGTACATCGTCTGTCGTTGATGAAATCAAAGACAACTTACGGGCTCGCATTCATAAACGTATAGAGTATATCCATACGCAGAATGGGAGATGTCGTTAATGTAGACGACGGAGTTCACCTGGAAATGGTGTCAAGATGTGAGAAGAGGAAAAGGGATTTAAAAAAAATGTACGGGGAATGGAGTAACAGCTGACATTGCAGATTGCTGGGAGATAGAGAAGACGGATATTCGCAAGTGAAGAGTGTGAATGCGGAGTAAGATTGTTTGCTAGGATGAGGGATATGATGCATCCTGGAACCTGTATATATACGTCGTCGGAGACGCTGTAAGTATACTAACAGGACACATCTGCGTGATTGTACCCATGACATCTTAGCATCGGACTCGCTCAATGTAGGTGCAAAAGGATGGATACCAACGTCCGAATGCGGACGTAACATCGCTAAGAGGGTTGTATCACCCAGATTGTCCTAATCAGGGGATGTATCCTAAGTAGCGACAATAGATTATGCATCTGAGGACGATTGTCAGGACACGAATAGTCTGAAAGAGGACGAAAAGATATCAAGGTTGCTCACTGGAAATGGTATGTCGCATTCTCCTCAAGGTTCTTCAGCTGTTCGACCAGCGTTGAACCTGAACCAACTATATTTGGACTGTTGCTAGGGAGATTTTAGAATGACTGAATCCGATTGCGCAACGACGAGGCGATGTAGGCCTTCAGCCAGAAAGGAAACCAAGTACTGCTGTTGCCAGTGCTGTGTAGCCTGATATAACGGCATGGCGAGCTTCCTAGTATGCTACCCACATGATTTCAACTTGCATGTACAGTACTTTGTATCTTGGGGATGTCAGAGATGTGAGATCTTAACTCGAAATGTCTCTATTGAACTTTGGTCATGCTTCACCATGCCAGTACTTCACGCGCACGCATAAGCTGTGATCGGGCTCAATCGATTGGGTGGTGGTCTTACCGGTGTGCAATCAAGTTACCATATCGGGCTGTATACTAGGAAGCTTGCCATGCCGTTATATCAGGCTACACAGCACTGGCAACAGCAGTACTTGGTTTCCTTTCTGGCTGAAGGCCTACATCGCCTCGTCGTTGCGCAATCGGATTCAGTCATTCTAAAATCTCCCTAGCAACAGTCCAAATATAGTTGGTTCAGGTTCAACGCTGGTCGAACAGCTGAAGAACCTTGAGGAGAATGCGACATACCATTTCCAGTGAGCAACCTTGATATCTTTTCGTCCTCTTTCGGACTATTCGTGTCCTGACAATCGTCCTCAGATGCATAATCTATTGTCGCTACTTAGGATACATCTCCTGATTAGGACAATCTGGGTGATACAACCCTCTTAGCGATGTTACGTTCACATTTGGACATTGGCATCCATCCCTTTGCACCTACATTGACCGAATCCGATGCTAACATGCCATGGGCATAATTACATAGACATGCCCTGCAAGTATACTTACAGCATCTCCGATGACGTATATATACAGGTTCCAGGATGCATCATATCCCTCCATCCTAGCAAACAATCTTACTCTGCATTCACACTCTTCACTCACGAACACCTGTCCCCCTCCACCCCCCAGCCATCTGCAATGTCGGCTGTTACTCCATTTCCCGTACATTTTTTTTTTATTACCTCTCTTTCTCTTCTCACTTGACAATATTTCCAGTTGCAGTCTGTGGTCTACATTAATGACTCCTCCCATCCTGCATATGGATATGCTCTATATGTTCTTGAATGCGAGCCCGTAAGTTCTGTTTGATCTCATCAATGACAGATGATGTACTCATTCTATCATCAGTGGTCTAACACATGGAGGTATAAGGTTCAGTACCAGAAAGTGGCCGCCAATGGCATAGTCTGGAGTGATCCATTTTTCATCAACCATAATTGGCTCTCCACCACCTCACCCCTTGTGCAACCGGTGGCATACTATGTGCCATCTCAGAGTGCATCCTAGATGGCATACGTAGCCCGTTGCAGCCGTACACTGCTCCTCTCTGTCTTTGTATTTTTTGTTTTTGTTTTTGTATTAGTACAACCTGTCGTATGCCTCTCAATATGATTTGAGCAATCTTGATCAGTGATAATTATCAGCTCGCGATGCAGTAGTACTCAACGAAGAGAACCTCATTCCCGAGATAGCTAAAAGAACATGCGAGGTGTGGCATGTTGGCAGTTGTCATCATGCTATCTTCGCTGTTGCAAATGCGAGTCTCAGTTGTATTTTCTACAGTTCAGAGGAGGTGAAGATACTTCATCGCTGTATAATCAACCTGCAGTGATGATCATTATCTGAGTAAGTGTGCATTATTTGTGCGACATGGTAGGTAATTCATGCTCGACAAATCCTCCTCATCAACTGTCCCTCTGAGATCATGAATGCCTTCAGAACACGCTCAGCTTTGTTAAACTGATTGTGGATGGTCTGCACGCCCTTTAAATCTGTGTGATCTGTACATAACATCAAATATAAGCACAATTTGGGAGGTCCACGAGAATGATCAGTTTACCGTACTCGAGCCTGTTCTTCACCGCAGTGAGATACTCTTGCCTTAGAGCTCATTCATTCGCATGAAAGACGAGCATAAAATGCCCTATAGCGGGTTCCCTCGGTAAGCCGTTATAGATACCATGTAAGAACTAATCTTCCCATTCAGTACCACCGCCATCTCATTCCAACCAGTCATTGGCGAAACATTGACATGTCCCACTAAGCGAGGACTGTGAATGTGAAGGATGATCACAGCTGCAGCGAAGTGGATGTTAGTCAGAGAAACGTATGATGAGGGTCATCCGCTTCATCAAGATATCTGAATGATGAGAGACCCGAAGAGTGACCGTATTTCAAGTCAGGTGATAAAACATCCCACTCAGACTGAAGGGAAAGAGTAGACGACATGAGTGGCATCATTGACAACACATGCCATCCCACCACATAGGTCTAGATCGAGAGGAGCAAGATTTAGTACTGATTCGTGCTTAAAGCACCCACTCATCAGAAAATGCTGAAGCCGATTACCTTCGCCTGAGTAATTGCGGCTTGGAGTGGACAACGAAATATGCACCTGCATTTGGATCCAAGTCGGTGAAAATGACAGCTAGATAGGAACACTAGCACTGTAATCAGCCCACGTACCTGCTGATAGAAATTGGACCCACGCAGTGTAAATCAGTCATAAGAAATTTCTAAGGCCCTTGTCTCGACCATATCGGGATAGCAGTGAAACCGACCTGTCGCGAAGGACCGACATCAGGACACCTTGGCCCAGGGCAGAGCTCAGAGAAGGGTTTTGAGCTCAGTACGGCTAAAGACATGCGCAAACTTGAAAATCAGACCGCAAAACAACGGGGAAAGCAGATAGGTCGGAGTAAGTCTATTATGAGCGAGGCAGGAGAATTCGCCAGATAAGTAACTAAATGTTGTACGCCTTGACAGGATACAGAGCGCATTGTAAAGCTGCCTCGGGTCGGAAAGAAGATAACTGCAGAGGGGTATCGACAAGGTCGTTCAGAGTATACAAGGACCTGAGGTTGGAAAATGCAGCATCTGGATTCTGGACGAAGAGCGGTATTCATCTGGTTTAAAATCAGTTCAAATCTGATGTGATTGAGCGCACCAATATATGTGAGAACCAGCTCAGAAAGTGGAAGGACCACCTGAAATCGACGCCGGTGTCTTTGGGCATAAGGATCGAAGAGGCAGTCACCACAGAAGAGATCTCACTAAGAATGTTTATCCGCATTCAGCATAATCGATCGAGAGAGCTTCACCCCGCCTGCTCGGAAGGTTGCACAGAAGAGTCCCGAGCTGTTAAGCCTAGACTGACTCGGAGTATGCGGGAGTCACCATTTTCCCAGGGTGGCCAGTATCATAGAGGGCGTAAGAAAGTGCCAATGGATAAGGTTGTTATGAGCGTGCCAATGACTGTTCTCCGCATTTCTCCCGCAACGCAGCTGCCTGTAGAAATATCGTGGTGGAAACTGTGCTTCATGAAAGTTCCCTTGAGGGTTCTGAAAGGCGCACGACCTTGTATCAAATTCAATTGAGAATAGATTAGATTCTCTTACCTCAAACGATTTGACCGGTCGGGGTTACCATTCGGTGGGAGATGGACCAGCTATGAAGCTCGGTCTTGTAAGATTTAGGTTTAGAACAGTGCGGAGCTAGTAAGGTTCTTTATCCGATCCCACGTCCACTGGGTTGATTGAAACTCAGCGCAGGCTGGACAAGGCACCCAGGATATGAACAAGCAGGTCGACGTATATCTTTATCTAGATTGTACTAGCGGACATACAGTTGACTGACAGTTCTTGATCATGGCAGCAAAGCACGGGTGATTGCAACCGCGAGACGCAAACCAAGGGTTCAGAATCGCGCTTGGTTCATCCGTATATTCTAGATAACCTAGAAAAAGCCTTGATACCGACACTGATTGACCCACGCCTGCAGACCAAGTGAAGGATGACGGGGGGACAGTTTATCTTGTGGAAGATGTTTACGACATAGTCGATGATTTATTGAAGAACCCAAGTGTGGTAATTCAGTTGCAAAAGGGACAATAATAAGTACTGAGGGTATTAATGAGATCTGCAGGTGGCTGCTATCGAGTAATGCTAGTACTGAGTACTGAGTACTGAGCAGTTGCCGCGTTCAAGAATTAAAGCCTCAACGGTAACGGGCATCTCCGAATCTTATCTTGTCGTGCGAGCGCTGATTGGTTGGAGTTGTCTCCCTTGGTCTACTTAGTCCTGCTCAAGTGCGAACTCCTGCGGTTGCTATCATTTATTCTCCTAGCACCAACACCTTCACAGCGAACGATTCGCTTTCTCTCATATCGACATTCCTATGATGTCTAGCTTCCACTCTTTTTCGATTCTCACGACTTCCTGATAGCTGAGATTCGCGACAGCGGCTGAACAAGATATATGCAGGCGTATTCTTCGAGCTGAGCAGCCGCCTGCATGCCAATTACTTTCTTCCTTCTATTTCACAGGTTGTAAGCCCTTTCAGCTTGCAGTTCGACGTGAAAAGAATCATCTTTTGATCTAGTACTGCAATATAACAACCAGGCTCGTGCTCAAGGTTCCCGTCGTAATTGTTGTTACGTCAAACGCTATCGATGCTATTCGGTGCGCTGAGGAGCAATGTACCCCGGGCCCAAGAGTAGAACGGCCATGGCCTTCTGTATATGGAGTGCTAATCACCATTACTCAGTTCCAGGTGGGATCAGGCGTCGCTTCTCCTGTAGTCTATCCTCCTGATACGCTCACATAATGGACTTCTGGTAGTCGACAACTTCTTGACGACCTCTCACTTGACTCCGGCGCCGATCGGCCAAGGTCATCTCGGGCGGATTGTCGAGTCCATCTAACGGTCATCCATGACCCTTCAGCACACCAAGGTGGATTACTATTCATATCACGAAAGCTACGAACTTGCAGTCCACATTTCATGCTTAAGTTCTCGACACGACATTGGGACCCATTCTTTACGGCGTGGTGTGTTTGTACGATATGATGCGTGTATAGACGTGTACATGTAAATGCCTCATGCTTTACTTTCGGCTTTGTCTCCTCACCTCTCCTCATTTTTCGACCACAAAACCTGATTCTGGAGCTCGGAATGTCACGGATCTTTACGACAAACGAGCCATCATCGTCTTTGGAACTATCCCACCTTCTGTATCCGTATTGCTGCTTCTCTGTCCCTGGATGTTGGAACTAGCTAATACTCAAATGAATCGCCGCGCCTTCTTCATCGCCTTCTCTTGACATTTGCGCTGTTTCGACTGCTAAGGCTCTTCGTATCGCCTGGATGCAACTGCTTTTGTTTTGCCAAATCCAGCGCAAATTTTGACGGTTGCTAGGACGACTCTTCGACACGGGCTACATCATTATAACCTTGACACCATAGACAGAAACTGTTTTCAGGTCGTTTCTGGCAGCTGCCGCCTTAATGTCCGGTGATGTTCAAGAGAAGTTCCCTGTCCTGTCTATCGTTACCCTTGACGTTAGAGCCTCGGAGACCCATTTCCCGGTACGTCGTTGAAGCCAACCAAATATGGTCTGCTGGTGATATTCAAGGGCATTTGTCAGTGCATTCACCGCTTTGGGCCACGTTGGTTGGCCCATTTACGTCTCCTTTGGTCAATTTGTGGCTCTTTCCGCGTCCCGCTCTTTGTTAAAATCGACCTCTTTGTTCGCGTGTGGCGCAAAGCAACAGGCATGGACAACTTTGGTGGCTCTTACGATCTATAAAAGGAGTCTTGCGGATGCCACTTCCTCTAACATTGATCCACATACTCCCCCATTTGAGCCACCTCACGCAAGAAACCCTTCCGACGTCATCTCACTACAATTACACCATTTACGATGTCTACTGTGATAGTGAATGGAGTACAAGAACGGGTCTACGCCGTAAGTTCTCTCATACTCCGATAACACTTGAGGAGATTCTCATTCCCACATTATGCTCTAGTCCAACAAACAAGTTTTCGTTATTGTCAGACACCCGAGAATCAACGTAAATCAGATTGCATCGGTAATACGATCAGAACCGAGGGTAGGTTTTTTGAATCAAGTTGAGGTATTGCGTGGTACTCATTCGTTGATTTATCTAGGGAAATACCGCACTATACCAAGTTCAAGCTGGACACGTTTCGGACTGGTTCTACCATGAAGAATTGTGCGAACATCCGATCCCCGTCGGCGATGCGAAGAACTGGCATGGAACCACCTAGCTTAATGGCGCATTCCTCCAGGATGTCTGACGTATTCTAGTCAAATGACTCTATTCATGATGTCTTATGTGTTCCCAAACATTTGTTTGTATTTGCGGTTCAAGTTATAATTTGTACTATTCGCTCTGCTAGTTGAACACAACAAACTCGGACTATCATGATGTGTAACGGTATATCTAGAAAATCAACCCTCTATGTCATCGTCATCACCATCGTTATCATCGGTACTCGAAGGCTCTTTTTCCCCTCGAGTTGCCGAACGTACGAAGGGACGCTACCGTTTCATGGGGTTTGAGCAATCTTGATGTTACGTTTGAACCTGGCGAGAAGGTGTAAACCTTGTAAGCACCTTTTATCGAGTTATGGACTATACGAATTGTTGATCTCCAGCGACACATATCGACTGACAACAGAGCTTCTATAGGCAAACTGTCCACGTAGGAATGACAGAAGGAGAGGTATGTCATGCCGGCCCTGAAGTTGGGAATATATGGATTTGAAAGTGCAGTCTTATGGTCAATCGTTCGAGCAAGATAATGCTTCAGCAAAGGAAGGTACTCATGTTGCCACGTAAACGTCAATGATATATGCACCTAGCTTCTGTGGAAACCAGTGATTATTTCGATACTTGCGCCACGCAACTTGACGAGGTGCCGTACCGTCCACTGGAGAAGACGGCTCAGATCTCTTCAGTTCCTTTGTACTACTACAAGTGCCATCGCTGACGAGGATTGAGTGAGCACAACATGGTGGACCCACTCATGGGCTAGCGTGGTTTGGTGCCACTCGGTACTTGGAGGTGGTGCTTTTCCACTGACTCTTATTCAATGAATGTCACCATTTTTGGGGCGCATAGCGAGCCCGGTAGATCGTGGATAAAGCAAGGAAGTTTAGATTCCAGAAAGGCTCATACATGGGTAGTAGTATAGTTCAGCTTTTTACTGACGCTCACATTTTCCGTTTGTATCTGATAGGACTCAAATCAATTTAGAAATGAGCAGGTAAAACCATTCGAAACTTGGAGTTAATCCAAAGTTCGTCTGGTGTATATATACAACTATTATCTAAATACATGTGGTAACAATGTGTTCGTATATACTTATGGTATCGGTCAGGTTCGAGCATGGATCAATGAATGTGTTTGGGTAGGTTTTAATAAGTGGTTACAAATGAATAACAGGAGGGAAAGGTGTGTTCGTAGATCTGAAATGAAAGTGATCGTAACATTACCCCCTCCTCTAGAATCGTGTCCTCACGATTAATTTATGATAGATATGGAATTGTTCAATCATACCATGATGATCCATTCTTCCGAGTTTTCTCTCTCCCGTTCTTGTAGGCATACAACCCAGAGTATTACTCCAATAGTGCATAGGATTATGCCGCCAAAGATGCTAAAGATGATGATTCCGTCTTTGTCCATTTCTACCAAAGAGCTTTCATTGGTTGAGTGAATGAGTGTTCTAAGATAGGGGAATCCATACTTGGGATTGATATTGGTTCGACGAGTTGATAGAAGGAAAGAATGGGGTATTGCCATTCGAGTTTGACTTTCGTAGGCGCAGATGTGATTGCCATGTGTGTCAGTTTGAGCGTCTGCTCATTGATGATCCATAACTCGCCGGCATTCGGGTAATGCTGATTAGATATGATTTGTGCTTTCCTTCAATTTTCAAATAATTTAATCGAATCTGGATTCACAGATATCATTGCTTTTTCTTTTTTACGACGTTCTGCCCATCGCTGTACTTTCTGATCCCAATAATCCCATTCTTCTTGTGTCGCTTCTCTAGGAAATGACTGTTTCATAATTTGTGCCTTTAACAATATTCTCGTGGGTGCTTTTGGCGCATCGGGATCATCTTTATGGAATTTGTCAATTATCTTTTTGTCTATGTTTTTAATAATTTTATGACGTAGTTCCCATGTATTTTCAGAACGTGGTTTTCCAGCCCACTTGATTAGATATTGAAGACCCCCACGTGCCATCTTAGAGCCCAATATGGATTCAGCTTTGTCTTCTAAGATATCAATAATTATTGGAATATTTTTGTGTGTTTTCTGATTAGGGAATTCTGGTGCATGATACGGCAACAATAAAGTTTCATTGAATACGGGATGTACACCTTTCCACGATTTTGGTAATTTGAGCTTGTATGCGCTAGCTCCAATTTTCTTGATAATTGGGAATGGTCCATATCTTTTATCATCTAGTTTTCGATTTGATCTGTCCGTACGTATATGTATGGCTTCAAGCCATACTAAATCTCCATCTTTATAATTTATGGCTTCGCCTTTATATTTATCGTATTGTCTTTTCATAACATCTTGTGCTAACGTTAACGATGCTGATGCTTCTTCTTGGATTTTCTTCATTCGTGCTACAAACTGCTCTGCAGTTTCATTACGAATTTCCTTTTTGGTTTCTACACCAGTGTAGGCTTCTCGTCCATGATTCATATAAAATGGTGAAAATCCAGTTGCAGAGTGGACTCTATTTCGATATGCAAATGTTGCTAGTGGCAACCATTCTGGCCAATCAGTCTGTCGATGATTGATAAAGATTCGTAGATAATTTTCAATTTCTTGATTGATTCGTTCTGTTTGTCCGTCTGTCTGTGGATGGTATGCCGTACTAGGATTTCCCTGAATTCCTAGTTTCTTGTATAAATCTTTTATAAAGCTGGAAATGAATTGCGGTCCACGGTCTGATGTCATCTTTTTTGGTAATCCGTGCAACGGATATACATTTTTGATATAGAGATTAGCCCATCCTTCTGATGTCAATTGCTCCGTAGTTGGTATTTCAATATAGTCTTTTGATTTCATGTCCACAACTACTATGATCGCATCATGCCCTTGCGACTCTGGTAAGTGTGTAATCATATCTACTGATTGATATTCCCAATTGTGTTCCAGAATTGCATTTGGGTGCAATGGAGCATTCTTCGGTTGATGATTAATTTTGGTTTTTTGACAAGTCTCGCAGCCTTTTACATAAGTTTTTACATCTTTTTTGATCGAAGGCCACCAGTACGATCAATAGATTAGTTCTTGTGTTTTTGCTTGTCCAGGGTGACCAGCACTAATCGAGTCATGATGCGAATGAATAATTTCTCCTCTGAGTTCCTTGTCAAAAGGGATAACAATCTTCCCCCTTCTCCAGATAAGACCGTCCTCGGTCTCATTGAAGTCGGCATCTTTTGTCAATAGTTTTAATCATACATTGTTTTCATATTTATCAGTGTTTTTTATGATTTTCTCCCGTAAAGCTGATGATCTGAGGATTTCATTGGCTCGGAACCATTCTGGTTTTAACAATGTAATGTTTTCATTATGACTATCTCCAATATCATGGTGGGTCTGTCGCGATAAAGGGTCTCCCTTCGTCATTGTGTTTTCGGGTTTGTGAGTCAAATTGAAATCATATTGTTGTAATTCTTGGATCCATCGCGCTTGGCGATGATTCAACTTCTGAGGTTTTTTGAAATAACCAAGGTTCTTGTGATCGGAATGAATTTTGAATTTCTGGGCAGCTCCCATCAGAAAATGACACCATTCTTCTAATGAGATCATGATGGCTAGCATCTCTCGATTGTAGATCTCATAGTTTCTTTCAGCCAGTGAAAGGCTTTTTGATAGAAAGGCAATGGTTCGCCAATGTCCATCTTGCTTCTGTGCAAGTTCTGCTCCAATAGCATATTTGGATGCATCGCATTTAACTTTGAACTGATCTTCATTGTTCGGAATACCTAATACCGGTGCCGTGGTAATGGTTTTCTTTAGAAGTTCAAAAGCTTCTTGCTGTTCTGGACCCCAGGTCCATTCTACTTGTCCGGTTAATTTATTCAAGGAAGTGGCGATTTTGGAAAAGTCTTTGATGAATCGTCGATAGAAATTGGCAAATCCAAGGAATGACTGTAATTCCTTTTTGGCTTTTGGTACTGGCCATTGCGTAACTCCATCGACTTTGGCAGGATCCATCTTTACAGTTCCTTGCGAAATAATATGTCCGAGATATTCTGTTTCTTGAGTTTCAAACTCGCATTTTTCTGGTTTGCAGGTTAACTTATTTTCTCGTAATATTTTAAGGACTTCTTTCACAATACGGCGATGTTCCTCCAGGGATTCAGAAAATATGAGTATATCGTCAAGATATATGATTACTTTTCCTTTGAGAATGAGATTACGGAAAATGTCATTCATCATCATCTGGAATGTAGCAGGACTATTTGTCAATCCGAAGAACATGACAGTTGGTTCATATAATCCTCTATTTGTGATGAATGTAGCTTTCTCTTCATCTCCTTCTTTCATGCGAATATTATTGTATCCCCAGTGAATATCCAGTTTCGTGAAATATTTAGCACCTTTGAGCTTATCAATAAGCTCTGAGATTAGTGGTAAAGGATATTTGTTTTTCTTGATCATATCATTAAGTTTTCGGTAGTCCTGTACCGGTTGCAATTTGCCATCTTTCTTTTTGACAAAGAAGAAGGGTGCTCCCCAGGGAGACTTTGATGGTCGGATTCTTCCCGTCTTTAGGTTTTCTTCAAGAAAACTGTCTAGGATTTTTTATTCTTCAACAGTCATGGAATACACTTTGCCTGCATACGGTGATGAATCTGGTAGCAGTTCTATTGCATGGTCCCATGGTTTCCTTTCTGGAAGGACGTCAAAAGTATCCTCAGTGAATACGTCTGTGAATTCACGATACTGTTCGGGAACCATTTCTTCAAAGGTCTTTTTCTTTTTTTGTTTACTTTGTTTGATTGCTATGTCCATGGCTGTTACGCGCATTCGCTGAATATATTCTCCCCATTCTTTATCTCAAGCATTGGTATTGAGTAAATATACGGTATCTCCTTCTTCGATTTCTTGTTGTCTTATAGTGACGCACGTGTGTGGGCATCAGTTAAAGTCAACAAGTTGCAATTTGAAGTCTATTGATGGATTATGATATTCAATCCATTCATATCCGAGGAATATGTCTGACTTCCCCAGATCGGTAACTAGAAGCATGATCTTCTCTTGGTGATCGCCGATTCGAAGTGTGAGTCGGACGTATTCTGTGATCGGTTCTTGAGAATTTTCGCTGTTATCCGTGTTATAGACTTGGATCGGTTGATCAAATCTAGAGGTTTCAATTCCATGCCTTTTTACGAAATTATAATTTATGCATGATCCGGTACTTCCGATGTCAACTAATGCTATTGTATCATGAATTCTTTCTGTTTCTGGGATGATCACGGTGACCGGTAGGTCCATTTGTTTCCCTCTTCCAAGTTCTTTGACAACTCGGAGTAATGGTGGTCCGATGTCTGTGATGCTTTTATCTGACGCACTCGGTTTATTTTCAAATTTTTTTGTATTTTGTTTAGAGGAATCAAGCACAGGTTCCGTCCTGCCGCACTTCTTGGTAGAAGACGCCTCTGCATTAGATGAAATATTTACAAAAGGGGACTGTCCGATCGATGTACTATAGGCATGTATTGAAGATGTTTTCATAGAACCCTCCAGGGGTTTATCCGAGTCATTGTTCTTATCCGGCAAGTTACTTTGTGCGTTTAAGCCTTGCCCGAGCCAAAATTCAGCTTCTTTGCCTTCTCCGGGTTCTTCTCCATCCATCGCCGAACGATGGCGATCATCTTGTCATCGTTGTCATCATCTGAGTCGGAGATCTCCTCGATCTTTGACTCTGTCTTTGTTTCATTCTTACGAACACGTTGAGTGTTCGTGGATGGTCCCGATCGATTGAGGACATGCCATGCACTTCCGCAAGTGCCCTTCTCTGATTGCTTAGCCTTACACTTAAGGCAATTTCTGTCCAAGTCCATGGGCTGTCCATGCCCTGTGAACATTGTCCCGGTTCTATCTTTCTTTTCTCCGTAGTCCTTCTTCAGACTCTGATTCTGGTTCTGACCCGATCCTTGGGTCTGCTGCTGATAGGCAGGGTACTTCTGCCCATAGTTCTGGTTTGATCGGTATGGTCGATATCCGATCTTCTTCAGACGCTTCTCTTCTTCCCGCTGCCTTCGCGAGGAATCAATATCAATGATTGCTTCCTTCCACTGTGCATAAGTGGCTGGTCACGTGTCTCTGTCAAGAGCCCTGTCTACGATGGACTCATTGCAATTGAGTCGAATGAGGTCGATAGTGTGTTTATCTTCCTTTTTTCTGCCCGCCTGTGTGATGTACATTTCCAATTTCTGGAAATATTTCTGCGCCGTTCCATTGCCTTGGGTCAAGTTATCCATTTGGATAACTACTTGTTCGACTCTATTTGAATCGAGGAATTGTTCATCAAGGTCGAGAATCAACTGATAGAAGTTGACATTCCAGCTGTCGGAGGCAATGTTAAACTCATTTTCAAAATAGTTGTTGACCCAGTCGTCAACCTTTGGACCCTTCATGTACGAAAGAGTCATGTCGATCTTCTGCTCATCAGTGAGACCGGTGTTCTTCAGTGTTCAGAACCATAGGTACAGTTGTCTTTTGAAAGACGGGTATTTGTCTTTGGTTCCATCGAAGTCTGAGGGTTTCCCTCCAGATGCCTTTGTGTTTGGCTGTGGTGCAGCTGCTGGTGGGTTGTTTGGCAGAGGCGGAGGTGGATTTCTGGGTGGGTTTGGGTTTCCTCCCGGAGGAGGTGGTGATGGTGGATTTACTCCGAGACTGCCTGTTCCAGATCCAGTAGAACCCATTGGTGATATCGGTGAAGGTGGTGTGGGATTTGTAGGGGATGAGTGTGGTGATGGTGTGAGTGGAGGTGGAGATCGGCGTGCGTAGAATTGATAGATAGGTACAGAGTCAGGGAATATGAATGAAGACGTGATATGTGAACAATAGTGTCTTGTACCGGGCACACGACCCTGTTCTGGTACTTAGATGAGTATAGATCTGAGGTAAAGGTACTCCTTCGAAGTGTTCCGGCCAATAGCCGATCCAGACACATGAAGTAGGTAGGTATAGTGGCTACGTAAAATGATTTGGCCTTAGAAGGTGCAAAAAGAGAAATTGATCTCTGCGGTAGTTGTCTTTCGACGTGCAAGAGAGTCAAGGAATACCAGCGAGGTTTGAAACCTCCTGCCATACACTCAGTCGTTTAGGTCTGAGCAGGGTAAATTCTGGTAGGATTTTTCAATGGCCCCTCTGTCAAGAAGGTTGCAGCACTGCCTACTTCCTGGTTGCTTCAAGAGCGGACTACCAGGTGAGAGTAATGATTTATATACTAAGGGAATACAAGGGTCGCAATCTACAGTTGTAGTTGCATGATTACCCAGGTGGAGGAGTGGAGTGCGATATGAAAGGTAACTAGGAATGTGGAATTCGGATCCCTCCGAATGAGGTCTTGAGCGAGTAAGAGTAAAGTAGAGTAGAGTAGAGTGAGGAATGAGGTGGTTGCCGTCGAGTACAACGAACTTTGAGTGAGGTGAAAAGTGGGTAGAAGATGAGGCAATGCCTGTCGAGAGAGTGCGAAGGGGCAAGTTTCGAATTATGATAGGACTCAAATCAATTTAGAAATGAGCAGGTAAAACCATTCGAAACTTGGAGTTAATCCAAAGTTCGTCTGGTGTATATATACAACTATTATCTAAATACATGTGGTAACAATGTGTTCGTATATACTTATGGTATCGGTCAGGTTCGAGCATGGATCAATGAATGTGTTTGGGTAGGTTTTAATAAGTGGTTACAAATGAATAACAGGAGGGAAAGGTGTGTTCGTAGATCTGAAATGAAAGTGATCGTAACAGTATCGTCCCGAGTCGTGGTTGAAGTTGCAGGATCACAATCTTATCTTATCATATCTCATGAAGAATGGTTCAGCTGAACGTTGAACGTGAAACATTGGAACGTTAACGTTAATTTAACCTTCATGGTACGCCGCTCACTACCTTTCCAAGAATCTCAAACGAGTCTTTCTCTGAAAAGTCTGCCAGTGCACCTCATCCATCTTCTTTTATTCCGTGCTTCGCCAATAAACCTTTGTACAGACCTGTTCCACGGATTTCTTAGAAGTTCTTTGAAAGGAGCGTTCGCTGGAGCCTAATGCATAACATGCCTGACTCCCTTGCGCAATACCTGGCTTTCGCAGCATTTACAGAACGCAATTTTCTGGCGCGAATCTCGTTTCTAACGACTCGAGGTGTGGAATTTGTCTTGTTATTAATCTCCTGAGACAGATCGTCTTCCTGTCCCTCTAACCTTCTGTACTAGAGCCTCACTTTGGGATGATGTGCATTGTTCTTTTCAGATTGCGACCCTCTTAGCTGCAGGTATGTGGCTCCAGCCCCATGCGCTGGGTAGAGCCATGAGCATTTGATCGAATGAGATGTTCGGCATACCGTGAGTTCTCCATCTGATAACATACGAACCTCGGATGACCGCAGTGATACGTTTCCGATTCGTTTTTTGTACGTTGCCTTTTCTGGAAAACCAGATCAATCTGTGGCGTACGATTTGTCACAATCATTCTTGTTATGCTTTTGCAATCGTGACGCTGCCTTCGTTTGTTCAATTACGCAAACGCGCGACCTTCATGTTTTTGTTTTCGACTAGTTTTAGCGTCTACACGGGCTATACAAAAGAACTGCGCCCCATGTTATTCAATCATTCTTCCGCCCTCTCAACGTTTCAGCAGCCATGTCTTCTGTACAAACTTCTGCGGTCTCCGACGTATGTGCTATGATTATTCTTCATTTCTCGCATTCTCTGACAATCATTCTCGCTCGTCACCACCCTCAGATAGGGACTTGCGTCCGCGTTATCCGTACCAAGTCCTCTTCCCACAACCAAATCGGGATAGTTACACAAACTATCAAGGTGAGTGGTCGGACACTATCCTGCCTATCATCTCATTCATTGCGTTGTTTTGCTTCTTTCAGGACTACTATGTCGTCGTCCAATTCTGCGATAACGGCGGCAAAGTCTCTAACAAGGTTTTCAAACCCTCCGATTTGGAGCTTGTCCTACGAACGGAGCTTACCGATGAGGGCCAGGACCTTCACTCCTCCGATACATAATGGCATAAACACGGTTTGAACCCAGGGTACGCATCGGTGTATTCACCTGGGCGGAGGTTGTTGCTCGAATCATGTTGAATGTGTCTTTTCCATGCAGCTGATGCAGATATTAGCAGTAGACACGAAGCTATATACTTACCGTAAGAAGAGAAGCAGTATTGAACTTCAATCCAAGTCTTTCATGTCAGGAAACTTGAAGGCTGTGTTGATCGAACCTGATCCTAGCTGATCTGATCGAACACGTGAACAATTGCCGCAGGACAACTTTGAGTGGCGTCGCCTTGCCACGAACCACGAACCTGTGAGCTTTCCAAGTACTATGGATACTGACACAATTATGGTATGATACACAAAAAGAGGAAAATTATGGTCTAGTTGGATCCTACAATGCTGCATTCCGATAGGAGTTTGCTTGAGCCACAGGCACGACATCGCAGAGCACTTATTTGCCTTTGTTCTCTTCATGGCTGGAAACCATTCTCTGTTTACTACCTGATGATTCGACATGCCCGAGTTTCGAGGCTTCCCTGCCGGACGCTTCTCACGCTGAATGGAAACATGTACCTGGACGGTAAGTCAGTTTTCTCAGGCATCGCTCCAACCGAAGACAAGGGTGGATTGCGAATGACTTTCCTCAGTCTTATTTTAGATTCTTTGTGTCGTCCTCTCCGAGTTTGCCGCAACACCACACGTTGCGTGGTTATATTATCTCTTTTACCCGCCCACGCCTTCATGCGGCCCATATCAAAAGACGGAATCGGAATCTTGGAATGTGAGCCAAGACTACTCATTATGGCTGATTATGCCTAGATACAATCTCGGTTGTCAAATAAAAAACAGGTCTAGTGCGTGAATTCTTAATCGCTATTGTTCTAACTGGGGCTGTGACCTCTCAAACAATTGAAACTACGTCAACTACCGCTGTATTAGGTTTGCACTGGGTGCGCAAAACATATGTGTTTCCTGTGCTCACCACCTCTTCCAACTGCCCAGCCGTGGAACGGAGAGAAGGGATGCAACATGGCAAGTATTATAAAAGGTTCCGATGTCCTTTCTAGGCTGCCAGTATTTTGTTGCAGTAAGTGGCGACTTGGTCTATTGTCAGCGAACTCAATCATATTGTATTTCCAGATTTCACTTCTTCTCTATGGCATGGACTGTCACTGTATTTCTCCATTATTAGGATCTGAAATTCCAGTAGGTTCTCAGAGGATGCACCACCAGCGGAACACTGAGAATACTGACTTTGTACGGAACCTAGTGGAGATTTTCGTTATCTCGCCACATCCTGTTCAGTCGGAGACCCCTCTTGTACTCCGGCCATGTTCCATGCTGTTTGATCAGATACGCTAGGTTCATTTTGGTCGGGATGGAAAGTCTCTATTCAGTCAATTACAGTACGTACAGTGACCCACATTCACATTTGCTTTACATTTACACGATATTTGTTCCATTTACTCGGGTTCTGCATAAGCCCGAGTTTCCATCGGCGGACGATCCATGCGAATTCACAATGAACTTACCACAACATCGACCACCGCCCCCGTCGAGCGCGATCCGATATCTGCTTCTTCAATGGCAGTGCGTCTGAGATAGATCCAACTCACGATCCACCTCTGTTAGGATATTCCAAACTTTCATATCGCAGGCCAGAAACTGTGACGTTAAGGGCCCTAGTATCCACTATCCCTCGAAAACGATACCGTAAGTTTAGTTCACCCCATCATGCATCACCGGCTACATCACACCTTCTAAGTTTGGTGGACATCCCACTCCCTTCTTTATATCCATATATCGGTTCAAGCGTGCTGGAGGAGCCGAAGTTTAGAGAGGAAGTCACAAGTGGGCAGCAGAACCCACTACTCCGAGACAAGATAACTCTAACGCAGGGAGAAGAATTCACATTACGATGGACGGGTTTATTCAGTGGTACTTTCTTTCCGAAAATGTCAAGCTCTTGACTTCTACCGTCGTTATATTGGGTTTGCACATTGTGTGCTACTTGATCTTTATGTGCTGGCATACACGTGCAATATCATCACTCGAGATCCGAGAAACAGCACATGCTGGGTCGGGCTTTTCAAAAGGTTCCGTGGCTAGAAAGATGGACTTAGTACCGATTAGAGCATGTTCGAACTCGCCTGAAAAGCTCTCGCTGTTCAGAATTGGAGACAGCAGTTACCATCCGCAGCGAGGAGATAGGGCCTGAATTTTGAGTTTGTTTCAGAATGCAGGCAAACAATATGCCCTATTGCATCTGCCGTAGGACGTTTTGTCTCTATCTGTCAATGCCGATCCTAATTTGTAACATATCTGGGACCCCTTTTTGCAGCACGGGGATTTCACAAATGATATGAACGGAGCCTGCTTTCACTTGCCAACAGTGGCAATTTTCGCACTCTGATTATCGCCAGGCCCCCTTTTCACAACCCAAACTCCAAGTCAACTTCGCTGAACGTATTTACAGGTCTCGTCGGAGTCTACTCTGCATCGCTATATCGGCTGCTGTAACGCGGCCGACAGCGTGTACTTGACATCCTAGTGGTAATATGATCTTTCACACAAAGTTGTGTCCATGAAATGTCGTGCAACGACAGTGTAAGCGTTGTGAAAAGAACTACGCATGTTCTAGAGTGAAGTTTGCCGATGTGACGTGTTTATTAGAAATGCTCTCTATAATCTAAAAATTCGTAATACGAGGCCCTGCACAGAGAAGGCCTAGTCACTACCAAATGCGACTGATCGTCATAACCCTTCTCGGAGACAAGCACAGGGGATGATTATAACATGATGTGATGCCGGCTTTCCTGCGAGGTACACAAACTCATCGGAATATCGATACGATCATCGGTATATGTTGTCAACGGGTATCATCGGCGTGTCTTCAGCTATATGATATATTTAGACATCCTCCTTGACTTAATAGGTCCTTACCAAGCCCTTGTTCTTCAGAGTGACTCGAAGACGAGTATGATTTTAACGCCCCAATCAACGGAGCTGTATCGATACCAACCATTGTTCTTCGTTCTCTATTTTACAGCAGCTCTTGTGCCCCAGCAACTTTTCGATCCCCATCTCATCGCATCTACGGTCTTTGAGCTCAGCTTGTGCTATTGGGTTCAACGAACGTACTTGTCAGCGGGTGATCTGATCTGATCGGCTAGCGTCGGAGCAACCGTCTTCTCAGAATCTGAGCAAGATCTTGACAAGTAGAAGAGCACATTCTAGCTATAACGGGTGAGATCGTCGTATACCTTGAATGCATTGGTTGACAACCCCAAGGGGGAATGTAGGTGCCATCATTCTGGAACACTAAACCTTCATATGCCGTAAAAGCAAAGTTACAGGGAAAATTGGATGTCAGAGCATCACGCCAACACATAAGACACAAGCTCGAGGACAAAATGTGTTCATCTTCTAGGCCATGTTTACAGATACAACAGAACACTTCTTCGGGGGTGGGGGGCCGGCGGGGCGAGGGGAATTAATCACTCCCTTTCTTCATTGTGGATGGTTACCACTCCTTGATTAGTTTATCGCATAAGACTACCGTTAAACATCGAGACGGAACACATGTAACGCACCACAGGCTCCCACGGGACGGTCTCATATCGAACGCTGAGCACCCCACTATCCCGGTACTCCGATAGCATCTGCCCAATGAAGGCGCGAATTTCATTCGGGGAGCGGTGCGAAGCATTTTCTGCAGGTCTGTCGAACAAGCATATGATTATACTTTTCGTATTAATTCCCTGTAAAGCGTTTGCTAAACGCGACCAGTCAAGATGCTGCAGAACTGCGAGGGGTTTGGAGATATCCCAATGTAAGCAAACATCAATTTCGAGGCGCGATATCGATGATCGAAGTGTCGCTACCGTGGAGAATATTGAAGCCCATAAAAAAGCATTCATCAGGTCGTGATCCTGATAAATGGTGAGACCTAGATGCAGGGTCTCCAATGAGCGGCACAAATCCAAATCGATGGTGACACAGTCTTCGAACCCTGAATTAAGGAGGTCAGATGTGAAAATGGAACATGAAAGGAATCAGCAAACCATTTCGAAGAATGAGCCCGATAGGGACAAATTCAACAAAAGATAATTCAAGTGTTGTAATTCGAGATGCTGTACCATTTAGCACCGACTGCACGTCGATTGCATCGGCAACTCTATTGACGGTAAGAAGACAACTGGTGAGATTGGATGGTGCGATTGTTGCATATAGAAGCCGGAGGAGCTTATGGTCCGTCATCAATACTTCGACTCTGGTAGCCCGGACTGTGTGCAAGGCATCGGGCGACACTGAGGAGGCAAAGGTTGCACCGTCCGTATAAGGCCCCGCGTGAGTGCCCGCACGAAGCCTGAGGCGTTTGAGAGAAGAAAACCAAGAGAGGAAATGGGAAAATGGCCAGTCAGGGTCTATCTGTGGAGGGATGGAAAGATAGAGTCGTTGCAGACTCAACTCCTGAAGTCGAAATGACGGTCTATGCGAACCGGTCATTTCCGAAGTACGACTATTCCAAAGAAGACCGACATGGTCCATTGAGAACATAGACAGCCGTGGTAAACTGCGCAGAAGAGCGGCAATGAGATAGAGCTCAATCTCAGGATATGCGGCCAATCTATCCCACTCTCCTCGGGTTATCGAGAGGCTGCGTACAAGCATTGCAATGGTCTGCCTGCTGTTGAAGAAGAGCGTAAACGAGGTTAGATGATTTTCGACATTGGCTGATTGTCCGATACGAATGCGAATGATCCCGAAAAGATGATAACGGCTCGACTCCAACCATGCCCAGGACAAAAGTGCGCAACAACAAAGTGAAGGTTTGTCATCGTGCAAGAAGTCTATCACATAGTCTATGATCTCTTGTGGGACCCTTAGACTAAAGCCTCTATCCATTCGGATAATAATGTCAGGGCAGCGGTGAGGTGGAATACTAAGTACGTTTGGCTCGGGCGCTTATGTACATGTCCTAAGTGTGGCGGAATTCCAAAGCTAAATATAAACAAGGTAATGGAGTTGCCAACCCTCTCCGATGTAATCGCCCTTTCCGTCGTTCTGGAGGATCCAGAATGGAATATACCAATAAGCTCGTTATGAGTACACTTATACACGTATACGGAGGTATCTATTCACTCTTCTCTTCTTTTTTCTGTTGGAAAGGTTTGGTCGAAACTGATGAACGTGCTTCAATAGATCGCTTGAAATTTCTGGACCTTGTATGTTCAAGGCGCCATCCGCACCGCTCTCAGTGTTGTCTAGCACCTGCGGTGAACAAACCGTATGTGGAATCTGTTGTGCCTGATGTTTATTTTGTCTCCGATTTTGATAGTTGATGGTTCAAAGTTCAAGTTAGGGTCGCATGGCCCTCGTGTTCTTGCGTTAGTCGCACTTCCAGGGTCTATCACGATGAGTGAAAACCTTAATCGACCTATACGCATTCAATCTTTCAGCCTTCAGGTTTTTCCAGGGCTCTGTCTAACGAGCATTGTCTCCCCACAATTACATCACGAGGGCCCGTGCAATGTGATGGGGAGTTGAGAAACAGATGTTATCTCACCGCCGAAGGGCCTAGTAATCCTGGGCAAATCCTGGGTCAATTTCACCTTATGCAGTTGAACTTTATTGCATCTGAGTGTTGCTGTATGACCGCCTTTTTTTCTTTTGTAATTTCAGATGTCCAACCCCCCACCCCCGACCTCATCAACTCACTAGTTAGAGCGCCCTCATGAGGTATAAAAAGGTGAGTGAATATTCCCTCTCTCTCCAGGATTTCGGTTCACCCAGTTCGTCATTCTTCTATATCCCCAAGTTCTAACAAATGTCTCGCATCCCCGTTCGTAACATCTCTTTGTGCTGCACTCTGATTGCGCTTACGACTCTGTTAGCTTGGAAGCGTCCGGTGTGTCGTAAGCCCCAGCAGCGCACTCTTCAATCACTGGGTTGAAGTCGTTGGGTACGACGGCAGCCGCGTCGGCGTAAGCAGAATCATTGAACAACTTAGAACTTTGGCTCCATTATGCTCATTTTTCTTCCAGCAACCTGGTCCCCAACATATATACACTGTCGAGTACAACTACCGCACTTCATCTACTACGGTGGTGCGCGAGCGAATGAAGCTTTCTGAGGAGGCCCTGAGCGAATTTCCCCCCACCAGAGCTGGTGGCCCCGCTCGTCTCGTTTACGACCCTAACCAATTCGCGGCCCCCCAGTAGTGGTGAATACAAGCTTCGCACCGTACCACAGTTTGCAATATGCCAGTGTTTTAGTGTTACGCGTTAATGTTTGTAAGATAGCTTGACACGGATCGTGTACTTGTATTAGTGGCAGAGGATCCATATTAGTGTACTTGTACCAGCGGCGGAGGATCCAGAATACTACTGTACAATTATGTTTGTCCCATACGTGCCGCACGAAGTCCCCCTGATTTATGGGATAACCTGAATAATTGAAATCACCGATAAGATATTCAAAAAGCTCTCTCAGGACAACGCATTCATAACTTATCTGACATGATGTTCGCCGACTGATCATCCGAGGGACTCCGAATGATGAGCATGTATTACATAGCTCGAGGTCCGATATCCAGCACAAGCTAACTCTCCGTGTCTGGGAAGGCGGACCTGAGCCTTCCAATTAGAGCATATTTGAAGCCGCCTGAAGAGCTCTCGCTGTTCAGAATTGGATCGAATTATCGAAAGACTCTTATTTTTAACCACCTAAACTCCAAGCCAATTGGGCCCGAATGTACTTACAAGGTCTATGCTGCACGTTGCTACATCGGCTGCTGTAACACGGCTATTTGAGATGTTAGTGGCAATATGATCTTTCGCACAAAGGTGCGCCCATCAAATATCGTGCGGCAACAGTGTAGGCATTTTGAACAGAGCTGCGCATATCCTAGTGTGTTTCCTGTTATGACGCGCTCATTAGAACTGCTGTCTATAATTTAACTGTCCATAATACGAGACTCCACAGAGACAAGGTTCACTTACTACTATATGCAACCGATCGTCATAAACCTTCTCGGAGATAAGCACAGGGCACAATTGTAACACTTTGTGATGCAGGCCTTTCTGAGAGATCCACGGACACGTCGGAATTGAATACAATCATTGGTACCTATGATCAACAGGTACAATCAACGTGCCTTCAGCGGTATAATATAATTAGACACCTTCCTTAACTTACTAGACCCTGACCGAGCCGTTGTTCTTCAGAGTGACTCGAAAATGAATATGGTGTTAACGCCCCAATAAGGGGAACTATATCGATACCAACCGTTTTACTTCGCTCCTCGTTTATAGCAGCTCTTGGGTCCCGGCAACTGCGCGATCTCTATCTCGCCTGAGTCGCTTCAAAGACTCACAGTGCATCCTGGAGCCTGGCCTGTGCTAATCAATTCAACGAGCGTACTTTTAAGGTGATCTGATCTGATCGGTTAGCTCAAGGTGGCCTTCTCAAATCTGAGCAAGATCTTGACGGGTAGACGTATACATTTCTAGGTGATGCCTGAGATCGTCATACACCTTAACGGCGTTGGCGATTACTCCTAAGGAGGAATGCAGGTGCCATCATTGTGGAACGCTAAACTTCCAGAGAATCTGGGCCATTCGTATGCCGTAAGGATGGGGGTTCCAGAAGAAGTAGCATAGCCTTGTCGACCTAGAGATGTTAACGGATTTCAGAACATCACGCCGACACCGGTACGTAAGACCCAACCCGAGAACAAAGAGGGTTCGTATTTAACAATAGAAAAAGGTACTTCCTTCGAGGGTTCAAATTGCATCCGTTCACTCTGTCTTTCTCTGTCACAGATACCACCGCTCCTTGTATGATGTATCACATCAACATACCGTCAAACATTGAGATGGAACACATGTAACTCACCACAGGTGCCGACGGGATGGTCGCATGTTGAACGCAGAGCACCCCATTCTCCCGGCGCTCCGGTAGCATCTGCTCAATGAAGGCAGCGCTTTCATCGAGTGAGGCGTGCCAAGCACTTTCTCCCGATCTGTCAGACAAACATATTGTCGCACTTGTTGCATTAACACCCCGGAGCGCAGTTGCTAATCGCAACCAATCAAGACGCTGCAGAACTGCGAGGGGTTTGGAGATATCCCGGTGTAGAAAAATATTGATTACAAGGCGCAATGTCGATGATCGAAGTGTCGATACCGTGGTAAATATTGAGGCCCATACGAAAGCATTCCAAAGGTCGTGGTCTTCGAAAAGGGTGAGACCTAGATGCAGGGTCTCCAATGAGCGGCACAAATCCAAATTGATGGTGACACAGTCTTCGAACCCTGGATTAAGGAGGTCAGATGTGAAAATGGAGCATGAAAGGAATCAGCAAACCATTTCGAAGAATGAGCCCGATAGGAACAAATTCAACAAAAGATAATTCAAGCGTTGAAATTTGGGCTGCTGTACCATTTAGCACCGACTGCACGTCGATTGCATCGGCAACTTCATTGACGGTAAGAAGACAACTGGTGAGATTGGATGGTACGATTGTTGCATATAGAAGCCGCAGTAGGTTATGGTCTGTCATCAGTACTTCGACCCTTGTCGCCCGGACCTTGTGTAGGGCATCAGACGATACTGAGGAAGCAACAGTTCCGCCATCGATATGAGACCCCGAGGGCATGCCCCCACGAAGGCTGAGGAGTTTGAGAGAAGAAAACCAAGAGAGGAAATGGGAAAATGGCCAATCAGGGTCGATCTGCGGAGGGATGGGAAGAAAGATCCGCCTCAGATTTAACTCCTGAAGTTGAAAAGACGGCCGGCGAGAATCCATCGTTTCTGAGATATGGCTATTCCAAAGGAGACCGATACCGTCCATCGAAAATGCGGAGATCCTTGGGAGGCTGCGCAGAAGGGCGGCGATGAGGTAGAGTTCGATCTTGGGATACGTCAGGTCGGCTAGCACTGATGCCTCGTCAATCAGGTCGAACTTCCATTCTCCGCGAGCGATCAATAGTTTGTGTACAAGTCTAGAAATTAATGGATTGCGATTGAAAAATAGCGTGAACGAAGTAAGCAGTTGTTCGATGTTGTGTGAGCTGTGGATGCGAATGCGAATAATCCTAAAAAGATGATAACGGCTCGATTCCAACCACGCCGACGACAAAAGGGCACAATGGAAGAGCGAGAGCTTATCATCATGAAGAAAATCCACCACATAGTCGACTACTTCTTGCGGTATATTGAAGGAGGTTTGATGATCCATAGTATGACCTCTGAGTCATATGAAGGAACAACCGCCTTCCGAGAAGATCTAGAGGCTGGAAGCGAGCCTGCCTCCGAGTGAACGGCTGTGAACGGTAAATGTGCAAGTATTAAGCGCCCACAAACGACTCGGATTCAACGCCACGGCGCTATACTTTGTATGGATCGCCCCCTGGTCTGCTTGCCGTAGGTTGGCTACACGGATATCTCTGGCATATAGTGTCACCTTCGTCTACCTCCGCCGTCTACGTTTTAACACAAAGTTTTCACACGAACTGCCCGCTCGCAGTGTTTCACCCGGTGTATAGGGTTCGGTGGTGCTTGAAGTAGACTTTCACGGCATCGACAAGGACCGTACAATCAAGACGGTAGTAGTGCGGTACGTTATGCTGCGGTTTCCCTTGGTTTCTGGACCAGCTGATTCACAACCGTCTTATTTCTAGGAATCATCCATTTGAAGAACCGTCAATAGCTTCGCATAATGTTTTCATGATATAGGAACACAATACTACCATATTCTTCATGCATTGAGTAGCGGCCCCCACCTGTGGGGTTTTCATACCCGATTTATTTACTATCTCCGATACTGACCTATTTTCCGTTGCACAACCCAGGTTGTGCAGTCCTCATGTTTTATCTCGGTCGCAATTCTGGTGGCGTGTTCTGAACCTTGTTTTTCGCTGTCTCCGCTGATCTGTATCTGTTTTACGTCGTATACGATGGCGAAGAATCAGGCTACTCATCAGAACCTCGTTGCGATGATCGCATGTATTCAATTCTCTGGGTCAGAACCTCCTTACGCAGGTAAGTCTCTGGTCTTGCGCTGTCTGTGTACTGTGTCACTGGGTTTCTGGAGTTCTTTTTCCATCTACATACCACGAGAGGCGTCTCCTGGCTGTATAAGAATACGGCGAGGTTTTTCACAAAGCTCCAAGATTCCTGCGCAACCACATCAGCATCTCATCCTCATCTTACGCCTCTGCCTATGTCGCAAACCCCACCCCCCGCCATTACTGATGTAATTTATCTCCTTCTATGCCGCGTTCTAGTTGAGCTTACCGTTTATCATAGTTTCCAATTAGGAAATGTGTTGTCAGCCGTGCCAGCATGCTGTACAATCACTGGGTCACAGTTTTTCAACATGAAACTTATCGAGCTGTAAGCAGCGTATCATTCACGTTACGGAATGCTCCTCATCACACAATTTGTTTTTCACCCAAAGCCGCTCCCGGGACACATGTACTATGTCAGGTACAACCATCGTACCTCACCTACTACTATAGAGCAGCGATTCCTTGTCCTCTCCGAGTCTGCTCTTGGTGACCATGCCCCGTTCGGAGAGGCCGAGCGTGCCCGCACTGTCTACGATCCCGCTAATCTCGGACCCCCCGTGTATTAATCCTGAATCCAGGCTTTGTACCACGGTTCCCAATGTGCAGGTTTTTCAGGGTTACGTGCTTGTGTTTGTATGATAGCTAACATGGATCATGTACTTGTATCAGCGGCAGAGAATCCATTTTAGTGTACTTGTATCAGCGGCGGAGGATCCAGAATATTATTGTACGATTATGTCCGACCCGCACGTTGTTCAGGCGGATTGCGATACACGGGGTCCGCTGTGAGTTTATCTGCGAACGTTTGAAACCGTAGGATAAAATATCCAGATGATCCCTCAGAGGACAATGTATTGATGAATTTATCCGGTGCCCACCACTGACACGACGCCCAATTGAACTGCTGAAGATCAGAATAGCGAAAATGCATTCACACGCTGCACCATGAAAAAGTATGTTCGTACTGTTGGAAGTATACAGTATAATCCAGACTCGTCGTAGAGTCTCCATACTTACATACATACCCATTATGGTAATTCAGGTATTGCCGTACTAGTCGTACAAGTAGTACACGCACCGTAGTTAGTTTTGCTCAGTTAGTCTACGTGGTTACACGACGACTGAGGTTCGACACCTTTGGTGTCTCCTATAGCTTTCCTACACGTACAACCTTCATGTATTGAATAAAACGCGAAAATTCATTGAACTAGTAAGTTGGTTCCGGGACCAGTACTGATATCGTGGATCTTGGACAATGAAAATAGCAGATGATCCTTTGGTTGATGCCCCAGGCCAAGAACGAACAAGACTGAAAGAGGTTGCGAGGAAAGGCGCTCCACCTTATCTGAGTCCTATTCACCCGCTAAAATACTTTCTCAACCCTCGACGCTACCATCGTCATCTCGGGCCAGTTGGGGGTCGGGGAAATAGTTTATGTACCGGTGAACCTGGAAGTGAAATAAGATCACAGCCGGAGGGAATAATCCAGAGAGATGCACTATGAGGATCATCGGCTGCATCTTGCGATACTTATGCGGATGGCGAGGAATCGCAGAGTGATTGCATTTCGAGTCGGGTGAGAAACTTTTCGCTACGACTGAAGGGGCAGAGCTCGGCTTCTGAAACTGGTGTCTCATCTTCCTACAGCACTAGACACCCCACGTAGGCCTAACTCGAAAAGCGCCCCATTTGCAACAAAACATTGAAATCGTCTGCGCATTAGAACCGAAGCTTTGGATTTTTGGATTGGATGATAAAGCATGTGCGTACTTTTACACCCAGTTCAGCCAGAATGGCAGCTAAACAAGAAGCCAAGCACCATGATGAACTCGCGGACCTTCTAACAATAGTCAGCGTATCCACCCAGTTTGAATCGGGCACAAGACTTTTCCAGGCAATGCCGAACACATCCGTACAGATCTACAACGAACTGATCATGAATTCACCCCATCCGAGGTCCGAAGCAGAGTTTCGAACGGTTGGAGATATATGAAACCTCGAAATGTAGTACAGACATGCGACAGGCCAAGCAGGACGGAGGCCCGGGTAGGTCGAATGTAGGAGAATCAGCCCACACCGTTGAGAAAGGAAACTATACTCTGACCAGTTACACAGCACCATGTAAAGCTGGACATGGTTGGAAAAACCAGTAACTGTTAGGTATCAATGAGATTGTTCGTCTGTCGCAAAGACGCTGACGTCGGATACAGCACTGGACGAACTGGCTTCGAAGGGCCGGGGAAGAACTGGTACAACCGCCAGAGAAGGGGCACAATCAGACGGCTCGAGCGCATCAATATGCGAAAAGTAGTTGACTTACTACTTTGAATGGACACTGGGGCCTCCGAGTCCGGGAAGATGGGTGAAGAGGAAGTCGACTGGCCACAGGAAAGATCTCGAGTAGTCTCATTAAGAGTTGTTATTCACATCAAACACAACCTATCCAGAATAAGCTTGTACAGTCTCGGAAGGCTACACGGGAGAGTCGCCAGCTGTTAAGACTGGACTAGACAGGCGCCATCTCCTCGTGTGGCGAATACGTCAAACGGCGTACCAAAGCGCTGACAGAGAACGTCGTTGTAAGTACGTCGATGAGCAAGCCGAGATAAGACATACTACCAGCCAGGGTAACTGGGCTATCCTGGAAACGATGGTGACCACAGGTTCAGTCATGAGGAAGTGTCGAAGTAACAGCAATGGTCATGTAGAAAGCCGACCACATCGTCAATCAATTCTTTTGATCTGAGATTTCGGAAAATGGCTGTTCTTTGCGATTCTCCCGCATTAATAGCAGCCAGTAGAAGCTGTGGTGAGAATTGTACTTTGACGGTTCTCTTATACGAAGGTTCTGAACTTAGAAGCAGGATCCAATCGACAATTATAGGAATATCAAATTCAAGGAGATTAGATTAGATGCTGTTACCCCAAACGACTTGACCGGTTGGTTCGATCGAAACTGCCGACTGGCGAATATCACCTGAACTCTCTTTCTCTCCTCCACCATCCCTCATCTGTTCAACTCCTTGACTACTCCTCGAACAACATATCCTACCTAGCCTTGCCATGCCTCCAAAAGCAACTGTAGACGACGATTTTGACGATCTCGATGGTGCGTTTACGACCTCATGAATCGTGTGCATTATATTCCCCGCTCACGCGAGTCATAATAGACGTCCTGGATGCGTTTCCACAAAAGTCATCGCAACCCACGACGGCCAAGGGAACACCCTCTAAAGCTCCTGCTACTAGCAAGGACAAGGAGAGTGCTCCCGCCGCACAAACAGCGCCTGGGTTCGACGATTTGAATTTAGCTGACAACTTCACGGAAGAGCTCGCCAAAGGCATGGCCGCTCTCATGCGGGAAATTGCTGCAGAGTCAGATGTGGGCGGGGGTGGAGTTGGAGATGCTGATGGGAAGAGCGGTCCTCAGACTGATCAGGAGAAGGCGTTCCGTGAGGCTTGGGAGAAGATGCTTATTGATGGTATGAATGGGGAGGTGGACTTTGATGGCCTGGAGAAAACTACGGAAGCTAAAGGGAAACTGAAGGAAACTGGGAAGGCGAACGGTAAGGCGGAGGGATCGGCTGCGAATGGAAATACAGAAACAAAAGAAGACGCTTTCCAGTCGAGTATACGGAAAGCTATGGACAAGCTGAAGGAGAGCGAGACGAATCTCCAGGTGCGTCTTAAGTAGTGTTGTTAGTTCTATCTCAATGCTGACTTATATTCACTCAGGCTGAGTCTGCATCCGACGTCTCGGATCCTCTAGAAGCGTTGCTATCGCAATTAGGTGACGGTGCTGGTGGCGAGTCAGAAGAAGAGCTTCAAAACATCCTCGAATCGATGATGACCCAACTCATGAGCAAGGAGATTCTCTATGAACCTCTGAAAGAGCTTCATGAAAAGGTACACATCTTTATTATTCCTGACTGTCGCCCGGTCATTCATCCAATTTGTCCAGTTCCCGTCCTATCTTAAGGAAAACGGCTCGAAACTCAACCCGGATGATCAGAAACGTTATGTCTCGCAACAGGAAGCCGTTATCAAGATCCTTGCTGTTTTCGATGACCCATCATACTCGGAAGGGAACGCTGAACTGGGGGCAAAGGTTGTAACACTCATGAACGAGGTTCGTCCTAGTCTCTTTGGCTTCTAATACTGCAAATCTGACTATTTCTGGATTCAGATGCAATCGTACGGTTCTCCGCCGCCTGAGATCATGGGTCCTCTACCACCAGGACTAGACGTAGGAGCGGATGGCATGCCCAAATTACCGGACGGTTGTACAATCGCGTGATGTCATTCTATCTGTCAATTCGCTTTCGATCGTTTGGTTGTATTGCTTTTCTATCGTTTATTTCCTGTGTACAGGGATTCTACGCTATTGGTATACCCTGAACTAATATGTATTAATGATCTTATCCTTTGCAACTAGACGACTTTCGGTTATGTGTGTCTGCGTGAGGATCCTCGATGTCGAAGTCGCATAGACAGGACTTGGAAATCAGCTGCGCGAGCTCCACAAGGGGACCGATTGAGATCGGCGTAGAGCACGAAAGCGCGAGAACGTCAAGACAAGACATCTGGAAGGTCTAGGCAAGGACTACCGCAGGCAACGAGAAGAACCCGTAGCTTGCAGTGAGCCAAGGCGCAGAGTCCGGTAGCTTGCAGCGCGTAAGGTCTGAAATGAAGACATATTCCGGCGAACAATGGATGTCGGGAATTATGGAAGGGTTTTCACAGGTTTTCACCTGCCAATGGACTCATAGCTAATATAATTCGCACCATCGTCCTAAGCCAGGCACTCTGATCCTTGTGATCTCGCTAAGACCACAAGTTGCTCGGCCTACGTTCTTCAGTAACTAAAGCAATTGATTCCCGTACCTCTTTGAGGGCTGAAGAATCTTGGGAATGCAAAAGTTACCGAGGAGTAAAAGGCAATAAATCACATTCAGAGAATGGGCAACTGATCGTGCAGTTGACATGGAGCTTCTGAATCATTTATCAGTTGTGGGTCGGTGTGTGCAGCTTTGTTGTCGCAGACCGAGGTTCGAGACATACTGTACGTACGCATTGGTCAAGGAACGGAAGTAATAAAAGAATGAAAAAAGCACATGCATTTTTTACGCAATGCTGTACGGTGGCTGAGATCAAGCACGAGGAAGGGACAGACTTAGACTAAGCCGAGCTTCTCGAGACTTGTCCTCGACCACGAGCATCTCATCTCACGCCTTCCACTGCCCACCCATCCCAAAATGCATACCTCACGTCTTTTCACGAGGCTCGAGGCACCAGGTCGACCCAAGACGTTAGTCGGTCCTGATGATGGCACGATCGTGTCTCCTCGGGCGGCAGTGAAATTTTCGCGCTTTTTTCACCCATGGGGTGAAGGTCCGGGAAAACAGCTTTGTATGAAATGTCGAGTTGAAAACGCAAGGGCGGGCGAGGATTACGTGCTTGAGCGCACTGCTCAGAAAATATACATAATTCGAAGGATGGGCTGCTTTTCAGCGACTCGGGTCCATCTACTTTTTTTGCACCTCCTTTGCCGACTTTGAATACTTCCGACTTTGAGGAAGATGGCTGAACATAAGCCTCATTTGGATTTTAAAGACGATGCCTCGACTTCGAGCCATCCCGTGTACACCAAAACCGAGGAAGGTGGTAGCGGTACGTCAACTCTTGGCTCGTTTACTTCCATCTTTGACTTATGGTATGTGTTCCTAGATGTTGAGTTCAACCAGACCTCCGAGGATCGAAGGCAGATTGGTACCTTCAGTGCCGCGTTTCTCATTTTCAACCGTATCATTGGAACCGGTATCTTCTCGACGCCCTCTGCCATCCTCGCATTGACCGGTTCCGTCGGTTTGTCATTATTCATTTGGGTCGCGGGTATGGTTATCGCCATTCTGGGATGTCTCGTCTATCTCGAATTCGGTATGGCTATTCCAAGGTATCCCCCACGATCTTTTGCCTAATGGACACCACTCTTATGCTGACATCTTTGTAGGAACGGTGGCGAGAAAAATTACCTGGAGGTCGTATACACTCGTCCCAAGTACCTCGTCACAGCCATGTACGCCTCTTACGTCGTTCTCCTCGGTTGGGCATCTGGAAACTCGGTCGTCTTCGGTGAATACATCCTACACGCAGCCCAAGTCGAAGTCGACCGATGGAACCAACGTGGTGTCGCTCTCGCCTGTATCACAGCCGCTTTCCTCATTCATGCGACCCATGTAAAAGCTGGTTTGTACCTGCAGAACTTCTTGGGCGTGATCAAGTTGATCATCATTGCGATCATTATCGTGGCGGGGTGGGTTGCGCTTGGCGGTCATTTGAAGGTCGAGAAGCCGCATAATTTCGATAATGCGTTTGAAGGGACTAGGGGGAGCGGATATGGGATTGTGACGGCCCTTTATAATGTCATTTGGTCATACATTGGATATTCGAACGCCAACTACGTATGTTTCTTTCCCTCACTTGTCTTGCGCATTGAGGACTGAACTTGCTTCGTATACAGGCCCTCAGCGAGACGAAGAACCCCGTTCGTACCCTCAAGATTGCTGTGCCCACTGCCATCGTCTCCGTCTCCATACTCTACATGCTGGTCAACATCGCGTACTTTGCGGCCGTGCCCAAAGCGGAAATCCTTACCTCTGGTCGTATCGTCGCTGCCAATTTCTTCCGTAACATGTTTGGGGAGCAGGCGGAGCGTGCCCTCTCTGTCTTTGTCGCCTTGTCTGCGTTTGGTAACGTTCTCAGTGTGATGTTCTCCCAAGGACGAAGTGAGTCTTCATTCTTCATGATTCTCCCATGATATGATGCTGACTTCACGTTCAGTCGTACAGGAACTAGGTCGCGAAGGCATCTTACCCTTTTCACGACTCTGGGCCTCCAACAAACCCTTTAACGCCCCCGCAGCGGGTCTATTCGAGCATTATATCGTCTCCGTCGTCGTCATGCTCGCCCCACCCCCAGGCGACGCCTACAACTTCCTTCTCAACCTGATCTCGTACCCTCTCGCCATCGTCAACGTGTTTGTCTCCGCTGGCCTGGTCTACCTATACCTGAACGCCAAACGGCTAAACTGGAACCCACCATTCCGCGCGACGCTGCCGGTTGTGATTCTCTTCCTTCTGTCGAATATCTATCTGGTGATAGCGCCTTATATCCCTCCGGATGGCGACAACGTCTATAACGAACTGCCTTATTACCTGCATTGCGTCGTGGGACTGGGCATCTTTGCGGTCGGAGCTATTTATTGGCTGTTGTGGACGATAGTGCTGCCGAAGATTGGCGGGTATAGGTTGGTGGTGAAGACGACATTAGGGAGCGATGGGTGGTCGAGAAAACATTTCATCAAGGAGAAAGTGCAATGATCTTGATGTCTGTGTGTGTTCTGTTTTTGCATGACTCTTGACGTTCTATGATGTTTGCTGTCATGTGTTGCTCTTGGGACTTTTGCTTTGTTGTTGTCTTCTGGGACCTCAAAAGTTGTGATTATAGTACTGTATAATTAGATACCCTAGATGAATGTATATTCTACATACGACACTTTATCATCTGGGATTAAGCATGGGGTGACTAGCGAGTATTGATCTGAATGGATGTATTATAAGCGCCGGTGCCACAAACGCGTTCAAGTTTGACGTCCACCGCAAGGTCCACCGTGTTCAGCCTCGAAATAGTGCGAGTTGCTCCCAATAGCATTCAAGAGATCGTACTATCTGCACTCGAGAGATACTACCTGCACTAACAGCACTAGCTAGAGGGCTATAGCCTGCACTACTGCCCAGCAAGTACTGGTTAAGGGTCATATAGCCTGCACCAGCTAACCTGCTTGCTAGAGCAAAACTGCCTGCACTAGCTAGAGCGTTATAACCTCTACCTGCCTAGACTACCTACTACCGGTCATGGCTTCTCCTCTAACGACCTCCGTGCTACAAGGCTCGACATCCACCCCCATACGCGCTACCACTTCCAACCTCTCTCTTCGAGCCGCTCCTTCTGTTCCTCCTGCGAGCCAGGCTTATGAACCTCTAGTCAAACATGTCTTGCGACGACGTCTCGTATATCATCTCTTTCCGTACTCTGCTGCTTTCACTTGGGCTCTCGTCGTCATTACCTCGATATGGATGCAGGGCGGCGTGTCCGAGGTGGGCGTCGTGGCGACATTGCTGCAGCCTGTGCGGCCGAGTACGATTGCAATAACCGTCCTTTCTTGGACTTTGGGAGCTATCCCAATTGTTGTATTGAGGAAGCGGTATTCTTCAGGTGAGTCTCGTGCCCGTTGATCCTTGTCCATGCCAAGACGCTATTCTCCTCCTCTCATGTTCATGTGCATTCTTTTGCACTCTGCTCTACTCTACCACTGGCATTTACTCTTCATATAACTTAACATATCCTCTTCATATAACTTAACATATCCTCTATAGCTGCCCCAACTCCCGCGACATCCCCTTCGCAAATCTTCCATACTGCTTGGAATAAGCCTACCACGACTCGCGCTCTGCTCACTTATATATCCTCTGCTTTCGTCCTCACTTTGCTTCATATACTCGCTGCCTATACCTACCAAGAAGATCCCCGGCTTTCTCTTTTTGTAAAGTCAAAGTCCGTTTCTCCTTGGTTCTCTCATCACTACGTGATTCTGACCGTCTACTCACAGAAAGCACCCGTATTACCTCAATGGACGCCTCCTCTACCTTTTATCCTCGCAGCTGCTCGTGGCTTCCGTCTATCTCTTACGGAACATCCTTCTCGATCGTTTCACTGTCCGCTGGAACTCGCTCGTACGTCCTATCTGGCCGTTCTTTTATCGTGTATCTTGCTGATGATCACCCGAATTAGTTCTCTCCCAATGCACACATTCAAAACTTCCGCCTCGCGCGCGTCCTCATTGTCGGCTTCACATTGGTCCTCCTCGCAACACTCAACACGGCTGTCCATACATTCCTCTTCGGCCTTGCTCGTTTGATCGCCTTGCCAGCTCTCTATAAACTCCCTCTGATTCCAAGACTTCTCCGACCATTTACGTCACATTTCCTGAGGGGTCCATATTCCTTGGTTCTGCTGTTGCGTAATGGCCCTTTGATTGCCAGAGCGTTTGCCCTCAGTTTCAGTACACTTGCGATCTGGGAGTTCGCGGAGAGTGTTTTTGATCATGTCGTCTCCGAGGTACGCATACACACCCCACTCTAATCATTATTGTTTGTTTCTCTGATCACTTGCCTCGAAGCCTGTCACAGTCTCGCAAACAACCGCTGACCCAGCTCTTACCATCATTTCTGGAACGACTTCATCCGATCTTTACTTCAAACACTTTGCCTATAACGAGCTCGTTCATTTCGCCAACGAGGATTCCGATGCAGCTCGCGCTCAGAGATCAGCTTTGTTTGCAGATCAGAAGTACAACCCGAGTATGTGGAGTACGCTAGTGAGGGAGAGTCTGATTACTCTTGGGAAGGATTATCAATTGTTGTTGAGACGTGGAAAACCTGAGGCTCCTGGTAAGTTTGAGCTTCTAGTTTTGTGTGATCGTTTGAGTTCATGGGCTTTCCCTATGTAGCTCCCGCTGCTGCACCCACTGCGTTAAAGGCGCCTCCTCCACCACCGGGCATCCCTCAGACACCTCTTCTTCGCACATCTGTTTTCAAACCTAGTTCTCAACAAGTTATTCGCCAGGCTAGAGACGCACTTGCAGGTCGCTCACTTGCACGTGACTTTCCTTTTATTATGGCCACCGGCGAGAACGTCCCAGAATTGTTCCGTTCAGTCCTGCACGCTCCACCTTCACAAGTTGTCTCTGAGAGTAGCGCTTTGAAAAAAAGTGAGGAAGAGATGAAAAAGATGGCGAAGACTCTTGATCCGAAACGGTGGAAAACGATGCTTTTGAAGGCTTTGGAGACACAGGTTGAGAAGGTCGTTCCAAAGAGGGTCGTCGAGGGAAAGCAACGATTGGGCAGGTGGTGGACTAGGGAGAGAGTGAATAAGGTCGTGGAATGTGCAGTGCCGAATAGGAAGTTGGACGCGTTGGCCATCCAAGGTAAGCATCTTTCTTTTTTGTCTGCCTGCCGCTGGTTGACGGATCTATTTTATAGCACTGTCGCAATTGGTTTGCCATTCACTGACAGAAGACAAATACGGTGTCGTTCAAAGGGACATCCCGCGAATCCTCGAGGCCATGATCTCCTTCCTCACAGCGATCGAGGAATACCGAACGGAACTTCAGACAAAATATCCAACACCTTCGGCAGATGATCTAGCCCATCTCCCTCCTGCGGAAGTGGCTCAAAAGGAAAAAGTCATGATTGAACTTGCGACAGCCGGCGATGTTTTGGGCGAAGTCGATGATGGTGAGTCTCCTCTCTCTGTTGATGCCCACGATGCGTTTTTTTTTTAAATTCAAGTGATGCGCGTTGTGTTTGTAGCTTTGAAGAATGGGCTTGTACGCATTGTGCAGACATTTGGAGAACGTCTGTCTGCGTTCAGATTTCCCCCGAGGATAGCGAAAATATTGCAGGAATATGTAGACTACACATGATCAATGTCTGTTGTAATTCTCGTGCGTATTCAATAGAAATCCCGGCCCTGTCAAAGTCTCTTGTGTTGAGTTCTTCTTGCTCTCTCAACCGAGTCAACTCATTTGTCTGCTATTTCTCTCTTCTGACACCGAGTTTCCTTCATGCGCTGTAAGGTATACCGAGAGGAGATACACCGCATCGTCCTGAACTCATCGCACATACTTTTCCAATACTTTCTGTGGTACTGCCCATCTCGCAGCTCGTGTTGTCCTATCTTTCAATGTAGCCGCTTGGCCCTGGGGATCGTTTGGGATCGTGAGACGACCGACAGGCTTTACTTGCGACTCTTCGTCGACACCCCCACTGCTTTCAGCAAAGTCAGTCCGCTCACTTTGCTTCCATTCCTCGGGACCACCAACGCAGAAATCGTATTCGGACCACGAGTCGACCCAGCTCTTGTATCGTCTTTCCACAGACAAGTACGATCGCACGTGGAACTTGCCAGGAGCGTGTTGTTGCACGATCATCGCACGAATGTTGTTCCCCTCGTCCGCTGGCGTCGCGCCAGGGTAGTATGCATTGAACCATCCGAGTAACACAGCAAATGCAACTGAATCCAAATGTCCCTCTACGTCAACATCTCTACTTTGCGGCTCCCAGACAGACCCGTCGTTTGCCGTTAGACTGGTCGGAAGAGTTGAATCTCTGCTTGTCGTCGACAGGCTCATTCTGTTGCTCAACGCCAACGTTGCGCGCCGGGCTGCGCTCTGCTTTCTTGTTGCAAGTTGTAGGGGTATCGCTTTCCTCTTCAACTGAAGATATCCATGGTCGTCCATACTGCCCTGTGGCATGCCGATGAGGGCTGCGGCATTCGGATATTCGCTGTCCATGAACTCAGATACCTCTCGGACTTGGCCCTGGACTCGAATAAGTGCTTTCCCTGCAACACTCGTACGGGGAAAAGCTGGGAAAGTGGAAATCTGTTGGCATGGGTCTAAACGGAAGGAGACTCCCATCCAGCAAGCGGTTCCACCCTGGTTTAGTATTTCCTTTGCAAGAGCTATCGTCGCTCCTACTCTATCGTTCTTATGGAACGACTGGGTGTCGAGAGACACACCGAATAAGCCCATGATGCTGAAAACCATATCGACAGGTCGAGACGAAGTACGCATCAGAGCGCTTTGCCAGATGGCGTAATGTCTTGTGTCCTCATCGGCAGACAATACTTCATCCATGGCGACAGCGAGCGCGGAAACGTTCGGAGACAGGATCTTGCGCTGTGGCTGCCAAAACGGAATATCATTGTAACTGAAATTGGACGGTTGTGCACTAAACATTTTGCATTCGACCATCAAAGAACTCTCCAGGGAGGTGGAACTTCTGTGGAATGACAGCGTCCCAGTGACGCAGGCATCTAGAATGAGGGAGAATGGTGCCATGGCGGACTTTTGAGGAACGACTTCTTTGATCTCTTCTGCGGCTCCTTCGCCTGCTCTGCCTGTCCCAGATCCGAGTTTCCAGGCAAAGAGAACGACTGTATTTCTCGGTGCCAACACTTCCTGAAGCGTCCACCCTCGATGTATCCATGACGTCTCCTGGTCGAGGCGAACGAGGAGCTGTACACCGCCAGGAATGACGATGCACATTCTGCATGATTGGTACATGCGGAACATTTGACCGATTTGCCACTGTTTATCTTCGCGACTGGTCTGCAGGATGCAAAGCCTATCGATCCATAGGTACGGAACTCCTCTTGACAGTGAAGCGGTACAAGCATGCATAAGGACTTCGACGCTGATAGGATCGGCTGCCTCCGCCCCCAAGACAGAAAACGTTGGGCTGGTAGAGTCTGGATCTGGAACGTTTCCGCGCCAGACGTAGGAGATTGCTGAGTATTCGACGTGTGGGAAGTTCGCAAATTCGCATATCTGGAGGATGTTGTTCGAGACAAACAGTCTGCAATCTAGTAATCGGTATCGTTTCGAAGTTGCATGGGGTGTCACATCTACAGGGACACCGGCGGCAACGATGTTATCAAGGGGACAATTATATATCTCCCGAGGGGTCACCAGGATCTACACACAACTGAGAAGATGTAGTCGGCACAAGTAACAATGACGAACCTTTATCGTTTGAAGGACCGTAGCTATACGCGCTTGGCATTTATTTATGTTCTTTGAAATGCGATAACGGTAGAACATGAGGCGTACTCGATTCACCGAAAGGCATTCCCGAAGCAGGCCAACAACCTGAATCAATTCACTCCAGCGAGTGTTAGCGTTATAGTTCTGGATGTGAGTCGATAGTTGAAACATACTGTGACAGACTTTGCAGGGCCTGAGACGTCTCGTCGGAGACTCGGTTATACCAAGCATGTTCTCGACTTCCCTGCGAGAAGTCAAGAAGCATTTCTCTGATAGTTTCTACGTCCGAAATCAACACCTTCCACTGTTTCTCGAAGACGCTGACACGCTGAAACCCAGGTTCGTTTTTTTACATCCGGTGAGTGCTAGAGACGGAACTCACGTTCTTATTGGTTACAATTGCAAGCAGTACATCATCCAACTGCTCAAGAGCGGAGAGGTTAGAACTATCCTCCTCAAATCGTCGCAGAGTGCGTTTCAGGTCCGTCGCATTGAATGTATCTTGTGGCTTGCTACTACCTTTCCAAATCCAAGGCAAAACTTCGCGTAGCGAGGTTCCGATCCATCGAGCGACATGTAAGACAACTACGCCAATTTAAGTTGCGTATGCGCAACGAGACCAACTACATAAACGTACCATTTGCATCAGATTTACGAACAGGAGCCAGATCCGGGTAGTCAGTGTTAGCAGAAGCTGCAAAAGGCTCCGTTTCCGGATGGTCAGCGTCCATTCTCCGTCGGTTGGAGGTATAGTCCAGTAGGAGGTTCAAGCATGGAGTGAGAGCCCTGTAGGTAGCACTTATCCTATGCACGGGAGCACGAGCAGACCACGCGCAAAACGTACGATCTTCTCCGGAGGCTCCATCTACGTGCCTACATAACTTAACTTTATGCTGCCGCCTTCTTCCACGTGAAGGTAATCTCTTTCAGTTGACGAAAGCTGGAAGCGCCGGTGTGTGCGAATCAAGAATGAGGTATTGAATGCATCACTGGTCTGTATCAGCACTTTATCTCACTGTAATACTTCGGAAATGCGAAAACAGCGCACGATCGTGGAAATGGCTTCGCAAAGACAATTTATTCGGGAGGAAGTTGGAAACGTACTGGTGGCTGAAGCTCCAGTCGCAACTACTTGATGCAGCTGCATGTTAGTTATGTACGAAGACAGAAACGAGGAAAGTCAAGGGTGTTAATCTGGATATATTCAGGGTCATAGGCGCGAAAGAAAGATTCAGTGGAACTTAATGACCAGCTAGCGCGCCCTGGTGAACACGACTGTAGATCAATGTACCACAGTACAGCGTACCGCGCGAACATCGAATGGAACATCGTGAGTGATGTCGGGATGGCAGCGGGATGGCAGGTCCGAATAAAAGCGAGTACGGGCATCCCAAGGATCAGAGTTGTTCTATAGACGCAAATCACCAGTCGAAAGTATCTGAGCGACCTGCATCAGTCGTAGATGTAGCATGAGTGCTTGGGTAGTTTACGAAAGAACCCACTCAGCATAAGAAATCCATCAGTAGGATTCGAGGCGGAGAGGAATCCTTCGAGTATGTGGACGTGAATGATTGAGTGAGTTTTGGGCGCTTGTATTGATCCTTGGCTTTTATTCAAATGGCAAGACGGTTCTTCTTGGAATAACTAGCCCCAGGCTGCCCCGCGTTTCCGATCGCAACCCCACGGGGGTTATTGCATACTAGTCCAGGTATTTGTCTGCTATGTTTAGGATAATGGTATTGTCTTTCACAATAGGAATGAAATCGGAATGCCGCCCCGCATCCTTCCGCAGCGGGGTCAAATGACGAGCCACGAATTGCCAGAACTGTATTAAATAAATGCAGCGACTCTCACCAACATTGGAGGCCCTCCATTTCATGACCACAATCGTCTTCGATCGGTTCAAACCGGCCACTGCCAACTAACTATAGCTTCCGTCCTGCTGCAACCCTTTGCTACAACCCAGCTCGTCCAGCAATCCGGATACCCTCATCTCCTGTTTGCGATTTGCGCACTTTCGCCCTTGCATTTTTACACCTTCGCCCGTTAGATCGAGTGTTTTCATTCGAACTTCCTCATCATGTCGAACAGCATCTCAGTAAAAGAGGCTGTCGCTGTGGCCGTTCCGGTCTCGACCAAGTCTAGTGGACAAAAGAAGAAGCAACCTTATCCCTTCTGGTTAGGAGGTACGTTTCCAATACATCATGACTGAATGGGTTCCCTAACTGAGCTCATATTTGATCTATTGCAGGGGTGGCGGCTACGATTGCTGCGTCTATAACTCAGTGCGTAATTCCTCGGCGCTCGGGTCGTTCGTTCGAGTTTCGCACTCGATCGCAGGACTGAGACGTTTGCTTGTATTCGAATCTGACATGAATCGTCCTTCGCAGCCCGTTGGACCTCACAAAGGTTCGACTGCAGGCAACTGGCGATAAGGGGATGATCCAGTCTTTGAAGAGGACTGTGCACACAGCCGGTATATTATCTTCGCTTTGTGTCTGAAGTCTCGTCCTTCAATGTCATCTCCATTCAGGATATCGAGGTTTATTCGACGGTATTACTGGCACATGGATGCGACAGATGAGTTACTCTCTCTGTCGCTTCTGGGCATACGACGAAAGCAAGAAGCTGCTGGGCGCAGGACCCCATGCGCCTGCGTGGAAGCTCGCGTTAGCCGGTGGAATGGGTATGCATTATGTCGCTATATCACTGCACTTGATTGAACTGTGCGATCGTCAGCTGGTGGTATTGCCGGTCTAGTCGGAAACCCAGGAGGTACGTATAGCTCGTTTGAATCGAGATTCAATAGCTAATCTTTCTGGTGCAGAGATCGTTATGGTAAGCTTCCTATTGATCTATTTTCTTTCGAGATCCTCATTCCAAGTAGGTTCGACTGCAAGGCGACTTTGGGAAACCTCCGGAGAAGCGATTCAACTATAAACATTGTTTCGATGCTTTGTTCCGCGTACGCATTGCCGGTTTTCCCTTTAGTTGTCTTAAACTGAGTTATGCTACTATAGATGGTCCGTGAAGAGGGCTCTTCGTCCCTTCTAAGAGGCGTCGGACCCAACATTTTCCGTGCTGTCCTTATGAACGCGAGTCAGCTTGCGTCATACGATTTCTTCAAGCAAGAACTACTGAAGACCAAGTACTTCGAGGACAACATCTATTGCCATACTGTGGCTAGTTTTGCTGCGGTGGGTCCAAGCTTTGCTTGGCACGCTGTATAGACACTAATACACTCCACAGGGTACCGTTGCGACCACTGTTTGCTCGCCTGCAGACGTTTTGAAGGTCAGTAAATGAAAACTTTTCCCGCATCTGATTCTTCTCATTATCGTTCTAGAGCCGGATAATGACTGCTTCGGGCAAAGAGTCCGCCGTAAGTATTGATCCATTTGGAATTTGGTCGCGTGACTGAGACATATTTTTTTTTGTAGTCGACGCTTCAAGTTATCAAGACGTCTCTCCGCAACGAAGGCGCAATGTTTATGTTCAAGGGATGGTTGCCTGCTTGGACTCGTCTTCAGCCGACGACGATGCTTATCTTCATCACGCTCGAGCAGCTCAAGAATTTGGTTGATTTCACACGATCTTTACGAGAGAAGGATAGTGACTAAAAATATGTCTTTTCACCGCATGGATGAGTGTATTACTACTGCCTTGTTGTGCCTTCTTTGTGTGTCGTATGTCGGCTTGGAAAACATACCCAGTTTGTCTGGTTCACAGCCACCACAATAGGAAAGGCTCGGATTGGCCAAAGGGGTCGGCCGGCTTTGTCCGCGGGATGGATCCAATTTACCGCTAAGCATGAATTGCGGGGTGTGATATTATCTCTCCTCTCCCCTCCATGTCCATCCCCTCCCCGTAGCTCTCTTCCAACTATGCCTCCTGTTACAACCAAAGAGTCCAAGGAAGACGAGCAACAACAAGAACAGAAACCATCCTCTTCTGTACCCAAGGATAGGCGGTTCAAGCTAAGCAGGTATGTGCTAATACTATTACTCAGCAAATGACTAGGCTCGACTGAACTATCTCGAAAGAGCATGCGATCGCTGTCGGTGAGCTACATACATTGTGTCGCTTGTAAATACAATACAACGTGCTAATGCGTCTACCGGACGTAAAGCCGCCGTCGTATCAAGTGCGATGAAGGCCACCCATGTCAGTCGTGCTTGACATCCAACTCGGCATGCACCTTCGAGGAACCGGGCAAGAGGACACACCCTCATAAGTCGAAGTACGTACATGTCTTCTTATTATCCTGTTTATGCTGTGGTTATATTGGTCTTGGAAAGGACGTGGATGGGCTGTTGTGCGAGACTGTTCCAGTGCTGCAGGGTGATCCACTGACGGTGAGATGTCGATGGTTCGCTCTGTCGTACATTTTCCCTATCTCCAAATCTTCCCCCTCGGCATCTAACAAGTTCTGATACCTGTCGACTCACATAGACGTGCTGCTACACTTGAAGACCGTATGCATCATCTCGAAACCTTGATCCAAGCCATCCCTCCCGCCGTATTTGCTGCAGGCGTCAACTTCAAAGGGGCTGGTGGAGGCCCGCAGTCCCCCGCTGATCCCTCGACTAGTGCTCATGCCTCATTTGCATCGTCTACACATACCTATCCCCCCGGCGTCCCGCCTCCATCATTATCGAATTACCCTCTAATGAACCCATCTACTTTCTTTGCTCCCACAAAGCCTTCGTCTCGACATTCTAGTCCGCATGGAGGCTATTCGATGCATATCCCGGCCAACCCGACGATGTCCCCTGATCAACTTGCAGACGAGGCGTCACGAATGTCTTTGGCTGCATCTTATCTCTACTTTGATGACGAGGGCTACACTCGGTGGCAAGGCGAAACATCCGGATTACCGTTACTCGATTTGCTGGTTGAACGTCATAAGGTGGTCACGAAACAAGATCCGGATGGTCCTCTTCAGCAACAAAATATCTTAGCTATGGACCATCCATCAGTGAACGATTGGTTTCCAGACAGAACTGCTCGGAGGACGGGTAACAATCCGGAAGTCATCTGGAAGCTTGTGACGTCTTTCATCGCCCCCGATCTTATGGACAGGTGTGTTCTTTCCCATCTGCGCATTTAAGTCCGGTTCTGAATGATGTAACCCCGATATTTCTTAGCCTGGTCCAATGTTATCTATCCACATCCTATTATCTCATGCCCTTCCTCCACGTTCCTAGTTTCCTTGCTGTAAGTTCTTTCAGGTCCGTTCATTTGCCAAGATGTTCCTGACCATATGAATTTTCCCAGGACTACGGGAACCCACAAAAATGGGGCGAACCTGGCTTTGCAGCTTTCATCGTCTCCATATGCTGTCTTGCTTCAAGACATATCGATGACCCTCGCGTTCGTGCTGATCCTGCCGATGGCAACAGTGCGGGCACCGTATGGTTTGACCTCTTTGGCCGCCTTCGTTCTCTACCCACCGCAGATCGACCAACGGTATATACCGTGCAATCTGTGTTGATTGCGGGCGTGTACGCTATTGGCCTTGGGAAACTTTCGAAAGCGTTCGCCCTCATATCCGAAGCTATCACACTCTCCATTGACGGTGGACTTCATCGTTCCTCTGATGCTTACGACGTTTTTGATTCTATTGAGGATGAGGTTCGCAAACGGACTTTCTGGTGCGTCTACCTCTGGGACAAGCAGGCATGCGTGCACTTCGGCCGACCTCCTATGATCCGGCTGAGAGATTGCGATGTTGGCGAGCCTGCTATCGTCGATGACGAGTATATAACTCGCGACGGTATCTCTTTGCAACCTCCTGAGCAAGAGAGTCGTATGAGCGCCTTCGTCGATTGCGTTCGACTCTTCGTCGTGATGGAAGCCATTCTCGACGTCCCTCCATCTCGGCACTTCGGCGATGGATCTCCTTTCTTGACTCGTGCTACATCTATTCTGACTGGCTTCCGACGACATAAGGAGCTACGAGAAGAGGAAGCGTTGTTGGATGAAATCTCTCGTTCCATTCCGCCACATTGGGCTCACTCGGTGGAGACTATGGCGAGTGACGATGTGATTCGAGTTACACAAGCAGAACGGTTGTACTGCTTGGAACAGTTTATTCGCATGCTCATACATCGGCATCGGTTCTCTGAGATCGTTGCAGAAAAGGTTTTCACCCAGGCGAACTACGAGGACCAGGGCGATGCAGAGTGTGAAGCCATGCGTGTGGCCCATGCATGTGCATTGCAGATCGTTTCTTCGCATCTGCAGATCGCTGCGAAGGGTTTGATGACATATTGTGAGTCTACCATCTGTTCTCCGTACACATATGTCCTGACCTTCTCTTTTTTCAGACGGCGTACATGTCATTCATCAACTAACAGCTGCAGGTCGCACACTAGTTGCTGTTCTGTTGAATTGTCATTCAGAACAGTTACGCCCACTCATATCTCCGGCGCTGGATGCCCTGCGATCCTGCGTTGGTTTGCTACGCCGATTCAGTGGACGATACGTGTGCGGTCTACGCTCAGGCGATCTCATGGAGGAATTCTGTCGAAGTACGCCAATAAACCACTCTAAACCTGTATACTCTAATCTGTTTTTTTTCTCTTGTTAGTAACACAAATACCGCTCGAAGGGACAAGACAAGACACTCCTTCCAGCAGGAGCCGGCCTCCTTGGATCCGTCCTGTGCGGAAAAAGACACCTTCCGTGGCGCACTCTGGTGCCTCCAATGATTCGCCATCACACCAGAGTAGCCCGGAAGCATTCTCACCATCCGACACTTTCCTTGACCTCTCCGGAGGTGCGAATTTGGCGACATCTCCACAGTCTATACCAACGTTTGGCTCGCCACCAAACGGCGTTACGTCGGTCTCCATGATGAGCAACCCGTCAGCGACCTCTCAGAATTTCGTTATGGGAAGCGCCTCGGGGGACCCCTCTACATCGTTCATGAACGATGGGAACGTGGATATGCTGGGCACTGGGACTCCTGGAGGGCCAGCCTCCTTATCGCAATCGGATTTACTAGCAATGTTTGGGGAGGGAGGAGTGGATGTCGCCGCGTTGTTGATGTCTCCAGAACTAGCAAGTCCTCGAACGACGGACAATGACTTCTATAATGCGATCGGAGGGCCGGGATTGGATAATGGACATGCGATGAGCCTAGTGTCGCCGTCGTAGGGTTATCTTTTTGCATTTTCGGTATTTTCTTTTTATTCCTGATATCTGTACGTTCTTGATTTTTTCTTATCAAGTACTACGCCCGATTCTGGATTCGTGTATCATCGCCGCATATCATGTATTCTTGCTACGTCTATCTGGCCAGGTTTTTTTTTGTTGAAGCAATTCGAGCAAATCTTGCGACTCCACATCGTCTACTGTACTCATAGGAAAATTTGCCTAAACGCTGTCGGTGAGGTCATTCTCAATCAACGTGTTGTGTTACTTCTCTGCGTTGCTGGCTGATCATACTTTGACCTTGAACAGATGACAAAGGAGCGCGATAAGATTAACTCAGGTAGCTGAGCAGTTACTACGCAAAGGCCTGGGTGTCGACTTAAATGGTGACAATCATGCACATCTTGGAGATTACCGATGCTACTCGGACATCCGATTCTTTGCTATGCTTGGTACAAGTACATTCCTAATATTAACCTTCAAGCTTCAGCGCGCATTGTTGGATGCATCGGCATTCTCAACGTTATATCTGATCGCGCTATTGGTGTGCAAGTTATAAGACGTCTGAACTACTTCTGGTATCAACTCAATCGTTGAGAGTCCCGTTGTAATCGCACTCGATCGTACGTCAATCTTTGTGTCGCAATCAGGAATGTGGGCAGGTTTGTCCAACTTACCTCCCTTCAGGATCTTCCCGTCCGTTTCAACCGATAGCATGTCTGCGATAGTCTCTGGTGCCATTCCAGAGACCTTGTCCCCGCAGGTTCAGACAGTGTTGAACTTTCTGACCCTCTTGGGTGCTGGGGACATCGACAAACTTTCCAACCTACTCTCAGATGATCTCTCATACTACGTTCATCCAAAGTCTCTCAATATCCCTTGCTTGGCCAAGCATGAATGGCTACAACGTGTCAAAAAGGGATTTGTAGGAATGAAGGTGAGTTCCGGTTGACGTATGTCAACTTCCGAGTGATCGAAAGCACGTTCTGCAGTTTTATATCTTTGAGATCGTCTGCGAGAGACCGTCAGTTGCGGTTCATGTGAGGTTCAAATAACTTTCGGGCAGTCGCTCTTCATGCTGATGTTGATTTATACATCCTAAGGCTTCCAGTACCGCAACTTCGCGGACTGGAGGTTCCTATGCCAATGAATATTCCTTCTGGTTCCACCTTGAACAACAGCCGGAGGGAACGCACAGGATGAAGACTGTCAAGGAGTTTTTGGACTCGAAGTACATCATCGAGTTCAAAACAGAGGAGACCGAGCGTGCAGAGAAATTAGCGAAGTAAGATGGACAGATGTCATGTTTTTGTCTTTCGTGTGGATAATCGTCCACGGCTAGCTATAACATGTCCTAGGTCTACATAAAACTCTGGAAACTAATGCACTGTACTTCAAATTCCAATCTGACACACCCGCTAGCGTCTGCCGCTCTTCTTTGCACGCTTTTTCCACTCCTTCTCAAAGGCACTGTACTCATCTTTGAAGCGACGATCGTGGAAGGTCGTTCTGTCTATCCCAAAGAAACGAGTGATCAAAGGAAATAGGGTGTGTGCCGTACATATGGGCCCTTGAGCGTTTTCGACGGTGTGCTGCAAGACTTCTTGGAGGCATCGGCCCGTCTGACCAGGGAAATTCAAGATGTACGAGACATCGTTTCCGAAGTGCAATTCAGATATGAGGAAGCACTGATCAGGGTCGAGCTCTATGGCGTTGAAACGCTGCCCAACTTGCGGTTGGTCAGGCCCTCTTTCTAAGTCTCGGGCAAAGCACAACAGCTTGTACCACACATCCGAGCGAGTTCCCTTGAGAGTGGAGAGGGATTCCTTATGTATCTCCATCGACTTCACGCCGTGCATGAATATCTGACGGAAACGTTGAGCCTCTGGAAAAGATCTTTCAATACATGTGGGTAACTAGTGTCGGAAGGACGTACCGTCATTTCCTCGACAAAGGCAACGAAACCACAGCTCGTGTTGAGCAAAATCAATGGTGATATCCTCACTATGTTGGTCGGACGCGGCAAGGCTGAGCCGAAATATTGACTTCCCGTCGTTTTCAGCATGCCGAAGGAACTGTACGAGATTGGACGCATCCACTGTTATCTGCACTCTTTCCGCACGAAGGCGTACAGTTTCTTTGGCGACGAGATCCTCGACCCGTTCTAAAGTCAGAGGATCAACTACATTGAACTGAGGAGGAGTTCCTGGTGAATCAGCAAGACGTGCTGCGGCGGAGTTACGGAGAGGGGAGGTGTTTGGACTGGCTCGACTGATTGCACGAACTATGATTGTGGTGCTCGATTCATTCTTCGAGTGATACTTGAGGACAAAATCGAGCATATCTGGACTATCCACCCGAAAATATGCCATATTCTCTGCACCGACATATATGGCGTTATCGTCGACAAGCTCTCCACCAGATTTCTGGGACATAAGCTGTTGGAAGCTGATAGATGAGGCTTTGTTCGGCGTGGTTGGCCTCCCCGTCGTTGCCCCAACATTCCCAAAGTCGTAGACGAGATTGACGAGCTGTTCAGATTCTGATTCGGACATCGTGTCAGTGATCAGATAACACGGGGGGATAGGAACGACTGCATCAAAGGGATTATGTGTCCTACATTATATAGCATGCTGACCCTGAATTGCGTGGCTGTAAAAGAAAAATCACAACCCAGCGAAGGAGAGGCGAGTCCAGAAATGTTGAGAACTACCGGAAGTAGAACGGAGCCTGACTTACCACATTATTCGACGAGAAAGGAATCACCGAGAAGACAGGGAGCAGAATGCTATATCATATCATTCTCACATCAGAAATCTGATCCCCGGACAACAGATAAGTGAAGGACCAATCCTACATACGAATTCGAGCGACGTCTTGAACAGCAATGCGACAATTCAAAGTATGGCTAGTTGTAATGAGAACAAGGGCAAACCTCGAAGGGTGGATGATAATACGTGAAAGATAGAGGACAGTGTCCATAAAGTTTAAAACATTCGCTGCGTCATCAAATGGTGCCGTTCGACAGGGAATCGGCCCTAAGAAGTGAAGCCACTTCCTTGCATGCATGCATAATGTCCTGACTCCGGCGTTCGAAGGGTTCCTTAGAAGTGAAACGCACTTGTCGGAGGGCGGGAAAACACCATCGCAAATATCTCGCGACAGAATGTGGGGAATCCACGAGGGAACGTGCGAGGTTTAACTCCTGCAACCTAGTAGCCTTGCCGGGGCAGCTCAGATCGATTTCATGCTGCCACCGATCTCCGGTTCCATTGACGTGGACTGCAACATCGCGAAGATCGGGGCAATGCAATGCAAGCCATTTAAGCCCAGTTAACGTAACCATCTTGGCAGGCGGCTCAGTAACTGTGTTACAGGTGGCTAGCCGGAGTGAACGGAGGTGCGGCCAAGCGACACTCATGGAGTGAAATAGTGCATCTGAAAGAGTTTCAGCTTCCAGATACATCAGGTGGACGTCCGTCAGCCTTGCTCCTAGTAGATGAGTGATTATCACGGGGTATAAGAGGCCTTCTTCCAGAGAGGAGAAGTATATCCCGTCAGGTATCCCAATCTCAACCGAGTTCATGGAAGAAGAGAAGTTTGCCAGTAGGTCACGGACCAGGTCCTGCTGATGCCAAAACGGAAGTGAATCTTGTATGGCGATATCGACCTTGCTAATCGCACAGCCGTGCAGAGCCGGAAGAAAGACTTTCGCCATGCGATAAGGGCAGTTGAGGGAGAGAGACCGCAACGCAGGGAAACCTTGGGAAAGGGGGGTAAACACTGAGGAACGAATGGCGTTACTGCCAACAGAAGATTCGAGCTCAAGGTTCTCGAGACTGTATAGTCCAGAGAGTACTTGAAGGGCATCGGGATAATGAGATATGTCAAAATTAGTCGACAATGATCGAAGTTGATGAAAAGCGGCGATGGAATGTAGCATATTTTCACAGTGCTCGTAACTCTGTGGACGGGGTTCCAGCCAATGCATGTGCAACGAGGTGATGTCAGGAACCGTCTGATAGACAGTTCGAAGGATGTTAGACATGGAGATTCCCACGTCGTATTGAATGCTGAAGGAAATGTCCTTTAAAGAAGGCACTATGAAGAGGTCGATGTCGTCACAACTGGACTCTGATTCGATGTACCAAAATAATCCAGTCAAGTGAGAGAACTGCGGGATAGTAATTCGCCGTAAAAAGGCGACCCACTCGGCAGGAATGTCGTCACGCGCCACGATCAGAACGCGAACTCTAGAACTGTACTGCAGGAACCGGCGTGAAGCTGCAGGGAAATTCTGGCGTGGCAAATCATTGTCAGTCTATGAAGTCGAACTTTGATTAAAATGCATGCATACCTCCGACTGTGCCGATTCTTCACATGTACGTACGAGAGAAAGTAAGGGATCGATTTTGTCTAACCGGCTCCATAGAACATCGAGGGCAGCAGGTGAAATGGATTTGCAAACGCTTGCCAATGAAGCAAGAGCATCTCTATTCTCGTCTCCGAATTCGGCATCGGAAACGTCCAGGATATTCAGGATTTGACGTAGGAGCTCGTCACATAGGAGAACACGGTGTGCAGCAGACAGGGAAACGGGTGTTCCCTGTTCACGAGGTAGATGCTTAAGAGCACCACGCCTTCCAGACACCGGATTTGAGATGTCTCTGGTTTGGCCAAGTGCAAAGAGCCTTCGTGCTCCGAATGAGTTTCGTCGCTGCAGCAGTTTCGCACTTAGCGTAATAAGCAGCGAAGCGAAAAGTACACCAAGCGTAGCTATGAATGTGGATTTCATTCAACGGAGACATTCAGAGTGTCAAATAAGACTCACCAGATACATCTGAACGCATGCTGAACGACTTCGGAGACAAGTTACAATGGTTGTCGGGGAAGCCTTGAGTATCGCTTCGCGCGAAGTTCAGTATGGACCGTGACAACGTGATGAGAATGTAACGCGTCACTAAGATAGGCTCGCCTTCTATAGGCACTTTTCTCAGAAGACAATCGTTCCTTCGTAGATAGACACTTAGGTCCTCAAGGCTCAACTGTGCTCTTCTTTGCTCGCGATATACCCAGGGCGTGTCCACGACGAAGAATCTTAATCCTACCCAAGACAAGGCCTTAAATACAAGGTGCAGCTGCATCCGACGGTTCTAAGTATGCGCCCACCTCAAATGTCTGTACGTTCCGCATTTTGTGAATCTCCTAGCGTCCTTGCTCTACTATGGTTTGTGGCTGCCATCACCTCCAGAAAAATTGGTGGCCCCCATCCGCCTGTCGCACGGGTTAGTTGTCGTCCCTATTCTAGGATGCCCGTTCGGCTCTGGCGTTGTTATCTGGGTTGCGGCCAATTATGAATAGCAATACGGACGATTCCAGCTGTCTTCTGCATTCGTGCATGCCTCCAATGCTTCTGATGGCTCGTAGTCGTGTTTCCTAGACTGCTTATTTCTCCTCCGCCTCCACTGTCTTACGCGTCTTGAGGGTATGCCGTCTTTTCTACTGGCTAGGCACGATCGAACAAGCTTGGAGGGCCTACTTAGCGACGATGGGGATCTCGCGTTCGAGTGCTCTAGACATTTAGTCAGGGTGCTTTTGGATGTGGTCCGGTATATGTTCCTTTCTTCCACACTGAGTACCCAAGCAAATATTGTCTCTCGCACGAGATGTTCTGGATCTGGTATCTTCATGCTGACTCGCACTGGACTGTCGTCTATCGCTGCTGTCTCACTCTTGTCCATACGTCTAAACACTCGACGTCTCAAGAGTCTTCTGATGTTCAATTTATACAGAAAAATGTATTAGAATCAGGGTTAGGAAGCTGTCAGGGATTAGGGCGAAGTGGACGAGCGTCTGTGGAGGAAAAGCCTAACCTAGCTTCCTTACAGGGGGACTTATACCTATAAGTCCGCACAAGCCGGTGCACCGGCCAGTGCACCAGCTGGTGCCAGCCGGTCATGTGACTGCACCAGCTGGTGTAGGCCGGTCATGTGACATAGGAAGCTGGAAAAGCGGCCATATTATGTCAGCATTTCCTTTTTGGGACATATATGAAAGTCATAGCCTCGCACTGCGGCTATTCGTATATCGTCTCAGAGTTATCGCGCGATAAGCGGTTAAGGCTGTAAATGCAAAATACTGAAAAAAACACGGTGCAATAGAAAATATGGCCATCACACAAATATGCAACTTTAGGTTAGGTTAGGTTAGGGTTAGGTTAGGTTAGGTTAGGTTAGGTTAGGTTAGGTTAGGTTAGGTTAGGGTTAGGTTAGGGTTAGGTTAGGGTTAGGTTTAGGTTAGGTTAGGGTTAGGTTAGGGTTAGGTTAGGGTTAGGTTAGGGTTAGGTTAGGTTAGGTTAGGTTAGGGTTAGGTTAGGGTTAGGGTTAGGTTAGGTTAGGACAGGTTACGTTATTAAAATCAGGTAAATTATTGTCTAGAAAAAATGGGTTATATAAATTATCTTATAATTTATTAAATGACTCCTGCCGCGGCCTGTCCGCTGCAGGAGGGGTTTAAAAAAATAAAATTTATAAATTTAGCTTGGGTCAACGCAACTACCTACCCATATTTGTTATTAAAACAAATATGGGTGGGAGAGGCGGAGTGGAGGCGGCCTATAAATTAATTAATGCATGTAAATTTTCACTATATGCTGGAAAATTTTTAAAGTTAAATACTATAATAGTGAAAATTTTAACTTAAATAAAAATAATCAGCAGGACATATCGCCATATGCCTCATCGACTTTATGTGAAAGTGCGATTTTAAAGGTTAAAATTTGTTTCGATTCTCCCTACCCCTCCTCTATCCTATTTCCTCTAAAGAGGAAATAGGGCAAGAGGGGTAGGGACGTACATATAAATTTTTATTTTTTATTGTTAAGATAAAGTCAGCTCCCGTTGTACCCTTTCCCTTTCCTTCTCTAATTACCTAATTGAAAAGGGGATACTAAAGGGGTCTTTAGCTTGTTAGGGGCCCGGGAGTGACACTTATAGAATTAATCTGGACTATCACACCAGCTTTAGTTTTAATAGCTATTGCTTTCCCTTCGATTTAGACTACTTTATTTACTGGATGAAGTAATATCACCTACAATTACAATTAAAGTAGTAGGTCATCAATGGTATTGGTCTTATGAATATAGTGATTATATTAATGAAAGTGGGGAATCTATTGAATTTGATTCATATATGATACCTGAATCAGATTTAGAATTAGGTCAATTTAGATTATTAGATGTAGATAATAGAGTAATTGTTCCTACTGATACACATATCAGATTAATAGTAACTGGTAGTGATGTAATTCATTCATTTGCTGTGCCTTGCTTAGGAGTAAAAATAGATGCTGTACCGGGTAGATTAAATCAAACATCTATTTTAGCTGAAAGAACTGGTACTTTCTATGGTCAATGCTCTGAAATATGTGGAGTATGGCATGGATTCATGCCTATAGCTATAGAAGCTGTATCTGTTCAAGATTATCTAGCTTGGGTTGATGCTGCTTAATTTTATTAATCATAAATATAAAAATTTTAACTATTTTACTTATATTAATTTATAGTTTACGTAGATTTTATTTTTATTTAACTAAAAATATTTACTAAAATTTAATTAAACTTAATATTTTGTTTTTTTTTAGTTTTATTTATCTTCTACCCCTTTCTTTTTATTTAATCGGAGTGTCAAATAATATAATTTAAATTTAATATTTACTATATAATTATATATTTATGAACAAAATAATTTTATATGTAAATATCTGATTTAAGGCTAAAAGTCTGTAAATATGATTAATTTATATTTAGCTATTTAAAAATGTTAAGCTCTATAATTAAGGGTATTAACATTAATATATATTTATTTAATTTCCTATTATTGTTTTAAATTTTTATATAAAAGAGAATATATTAATACAAATAATTCAATAAAGCTAAAAAAAAAATAAAATTTATTAGGGGATATCTGATAATGGTAATCAGTTGTATTTGCACTACAAATATGATAGTTCGAGTCTATCTTTCTCCAAAAAAAAATCTAAATTTAAATAGTCCTACGCAGCCAGTGAGCGGAGGGGTACAAAAACAATAGTATAAATTTATAACCAGTAAAAAATAAAAAATAAAAACAAAAAAACAAAACAAAAATAGCCTAGGTTGCTTAAATGGTTAAAGCGTTATATTGAAGCTATAGAGAAGGGAGTTCAATTCTCTCCCAAGGCATTATAAAAATTCTTATTAAAATTTATTTTCTTACTACATCATTAGTACTGTCCAAAAAAAAGTGATATTAATATCAAGCCGAAATAGTATAATGGTTATAACAAATTCCTTGTAAGAATTAGATAAAGGTTCAATTCCTTTTTTCGGCTTAATTAAATTTAAATTTTTTATTTATTTATAATTTAATATTTTAAATCTTTTTTTAGTTAAAATTAATTAATATACTGTGTATGAGTTGTAGTTTAATTTGGAAAAACACCATTTTTTGGTGATGTTTAATATCAGTTCAAGTCTGGTCAACTCAGCTAAACTAAAAAAATTTTTTTTTATTTTTTAAATTTTTAGTAAATTTAATTGAATAGATACTTTTTGTTTAAAGGAAACAGAACTCGAAGGTTGAGTTTCTCCCTTTTAAGGAGAGAGTCCTGGTTCGAGTCCAGGTGTTTTCAAATCATTAAAATTATTTTTATATTCTAATTCATTTTTTTTTTTA